AAACGACGTGCTGCCGGAGGCCAAGAGGCTGAGACTGGTTGAGAAAGCCAATGGATTGTTCATTTGGGCAAGCACCGCATGTCGAATGCTCAGTAGCGAAACTACATTAGACTTGCCGGAAAGCATCTATGATCGTCTAATTTCAGTGGACCAGACTGGAGAGATAGACGACGTTTACAAGCTCGTTTTCGAGCGTATGGACCCCAAATCCCACACAATCATGTCCAGCATGCTCGCCTTGCTGCTTGCTGCATTCGAGCCACTCAGCACCGATGACTTGGACGACATCTTCAAGAACCTTGGGCTCAAGTGGAGTTCCAGGGCACTGGTACAGAACCTAGGAAGTGTGCTCAGTGTAAACCCAAGTACAAACTTGGTCCAATTCCGCCATCCTACCCTTGTCGAATACCTTGGACGGTGTTCCCTCGCCTCAGCTCCCGACAAACCCAATACACTCCATCTCGACGTGACCAAGGCGCATGGTCAGGCCGCATCATGGTGTCTCAAACGACTCATATCGCGGACTGATGGACTTAAGTTTAATATATGTCAACTCGAGTCATCTTTCTACCTCAATAGAGAGATCCTAAACCTCAAGACGAGGATATCGAGACTCATTCCAAAGGCGCTTCGATATGCCAGCTCTCACTGGTTGTTCCATGTGGCGGAAACTGATGACACATGGCGATCCATGGTCAAGAGGGAACTTCAACAGATTATTCAAGCTCCACACGTGCTATACTGGATGGAAGTCCTGAGCTTCACTGGGGGTGTGCCACGAGCAATAGCTGGCCTTCGAGCTATTAGACGCCACACAGGGGTAAGTCGCTGATCCAACAAATTCAACACTTACACAACAGACAGCCCGAAATGTGGGATAAAGCCAGCATGGACCAAATTCGACGATTTATAATGACATTTTCGGTACCCATTCAAGAGAGCGCGCCACATATTTACATTTCTGCACTGCCATTTGCCCCTATAAAGTCCATATTACATATAGAGGGTGCAAAAAGATACAGAAACCTTCTTCGCGTAGCAGAAGGCCTCGAGGAGATGTATTCTGGGCTCCCAAGTAGTCTTCGAGGTCACGAATCCGCGGTCAACACCGTCGGATTCTCGCCAGACGGCTCACAGATCGTGTCTGGCTCGTACGACAAGACAATTCGATTGTGGGACGCAGCAACTGGTCAGGCTGTGGGAGAGCCACTCCGAGGACATGAAGATTGGGTCACGGCCGTCGGATTCTCGCCAGACGGCTCACAGATTGTGTCTGGCTCGTACGACAAGACAATTCGATTGTGGGACGCGGCAACTGGTCAGGCTGTGGGAGAGCCACTCCGAGGTCATGATGGCAGGGTCAGCGCCGTCGGATTCTCGCCAGACGGCTCACAGATTGTGTCTGGCTCGCACGACAAGACAATTCGATTGTGGGACGCGGCAACTGGTCAGGCTGTGGGAAAGCCACTCCGAGGTCATGAATCCGTAGTCGTGGCCGTCGGATTCTCGCCAGACGGCTCACAGATTGTGTCTGGCTCGTCCGACAAGACAATTCGATTGTGGGACGCGGCAACTGGTCAGGCTGTGGGAGAGCCACTCCGAGGACATGAAGATTGGGTCACGGCCGTCGGATTCTCGCCAGACGGCTCACAGATTGTGTCTGGCTCGTACGACAAGACAATTCGATTGTGGGACGCGGCAACTGGTCAGGCTGTGGGAGAGCCACTCCGAGGACATGAAGGCAGGGTCACGGCCGTCGGATTCTCGCCAGACGGCTCACAGATTGTGTCTGGCTCGCACGACAAGACAATTCGATTGTGGGACGCGGCAACTGGTCAGGCTGTGGGAGAGCCACTCCGAGGACATGAAGGCAGGGTCACGGCCGTCGGATTCTCGCCAGACGGCTCACAGATTGTGTCTGGCTCGTACGACAACACAATTCGATTGTGGGACGCAGCAACTGGTCAGGCTGTGGGAGAGCCACTCCGAGGACATAAAGACGCGGTCACGGCCGTCGGATTCTCGCCAGACGGCTCACAGATTGTGTCTGGCTCGTACGACAAGACAATTCGATTGTGGGACGCGGCAACTGGTCAGGCTGTGGGAGAGCCACTCCGAGGTCATGAAGGCAGGGTCAGCGCCGTCGGATTGTCACCAGACGGCTCACAGATTGTGTCTGGCTCGTGGGACAACACAATTCGATTGTGGGACGCGGCAACTGGTCAGGCTGTGGGAGAGCCACTCCGAGGACATGAAGATTGGGTCACGGCCGTCGGATTCTCGCCAGACGGCTCACAGATTGTGTCTGGCTCGTACGACAAGACAATTCGATTGTGGGACGCAGTAACTGGTCAGGCTGTGGGAGAGCCACTCCGAGGACATGAAGATGGGGTCAGCGCCGTCGGATTCTCGCCAGACGGCTCACAGATTGTGTCTGGCTCGTACGACAAGACAATTCGATTGTGGGACGCGGCAACTGGTCAGGCTGTGGGAGAGCCACTCCGAGGTCATGAAGGCAGGGTCAGCGCCGTCGGATTCTCGCCAGACGGCTCACAGATTGTGTCTGGCTCGCACGACAAGACAATTCGATTGTGGGACGCGGCAACTGGTCAGGCTGTGGGAGAGCCACTCCGAGGACATGAAGATGGGGTCATGGCCGTCGGATTCTCGCCAGACGGCTCACAGATTGTGTCTGGCTCGCACGACGAGACAATTCGATTGTGGGACGCGGCAACTGGTCAGGCTGTGGGAGAGCCACTCCGAGGTCATGAATCCGTGGTCATGGCCGTCGGATTCTCGCCAGACGGCTCACAGATTGTGTCTGGCTCGTACGACAAGACAATTCGATTATGGAATACAGAAACTGGTAAGTTCAACCCGGCTTGTCTTCGAGATCGTGACGCGACCCGATAAATAGCATTGGGTGCAAAAGCGAATACCTCCGACCAGGATGATACAGAGTCTGTATATTCAGGTCTCAGCAAAGATCTACAGGGCACTCCGCTCCAAATCGTTGTGCCTGGATTCAATCAGTGCTCACTTTCGCTCGATGGCTGGGTACATTCTTCCGGCAAACGTCTCTTCTGGGTACCTCCAGACAATCGACGGGGACTAAAGTATCCGTACCGCCTGACAATTCCGACCAGCGCTCCATTCCGTGTGACGAAACTTGATTTCACTAATTTCCAATGTGGCTCCTCTTGGACAAAGGTTCGAACAGACGCGTGCTCGTGATTTGCTATGACTGGTATCACTGTATCCCCTTCCCTCCACTTCGTTACGGTCAGGGTCTTGTTCTCGTTTGCCAGGAACGCGCCCGTGCTTGTCCGTACAAAATTTTGCATCAATTGCGTTTGTTCCCCTGAGCCTTGGCTACTGGAAGTTTTTGATTAGAAGCCGTATTACTGAGCTAAGCCGCGGGTGGCCATGTGCCATTGTCTCAAGTGCTTTTGTCCGAAACTTGGACATTTTTTCTGCTGAGCCCCATGCCCGTTCCTGATCTTTCCGAGTTCTGTGCAACCCTTACGAGTGCAGATCGCTCATTCCTTCTCAATCCGCCTCGGTGGCTCGATTTTGTTGTGGCCCAGATGGCGAGCCACTTTTTCGCCCATCGCACAGTAATCAGGCGATCATTGCCTATCGTCAACGACTATTCCTGCTTGCTGACAGGGCAGGTGTTCCCATACCAAATGCACCTATCCTTTCTGCAGCTCGTAGAGTTCACCTCCTGTTCAACGTCCATGGTCGACTGCAGCATATTGGTCGATTTATCGCCGAGAAATATGCGCTTCAACTCTCTGGTCTGTTTATTTTTATTCCCAGAATAGTCTGACATCCTCCAGGTGTCCCTGCGCATGATACCCGCATCAATTTCTCAGAGTACGTCCCCTTCTCCATGTCTACTAACCTCCTCGACCATACAGATTCTTCTGGTGAGTAAAGCTGTACTGTTCTATGGGCCTGTGCTCACCGTTTCGTATAGTCTGCCACAGTACTGCTTCACAATAAACCAGTGCCTGTACTGACGCTCGCTGCATCTCTGCGTGCCTCTGAACACTATATGATAAATGATATACCGATGAAGAATTCTATGCGTTGTGATGATACCGTTATACCTGCTACATCGTTTGCACGTCCAGATCGTCCCGTTTTACCCATTATATCGCATCGATGTAAACCTGTTGAAACCGGCGCGCCACCTATCGACCTCAACGAAACGAGTACATGGTTGCATGAACTAAATGTGCTTGACTCTCCGTCCGTGTCGACGTCTTCACATGCCCGCTTAGTGCCCAGCCCAGAGCCTCTTCGTTCATTTGTGGAAGACATGACCCCGACTGCCTTTAGATTTCTAAACTCTGAGTGCAAGGCGCACATGTGATGCTCTCGCGCGTCAAAACTATCGATGGAATTGCCATTCTTCGACCTTTCCGACGCGAAAGGATTGAGAAGCGACTTTCTCAACAGCTTCGGACTGAGTTTGAACGACTCCAACAACTCGATAAACAGACGTCGCTTCGCTATGCCCGAATACTGAGAAGTATGGAAGAAAATATGTTGGTCGATGATGCTGGTGAGCACTCTTGAGGACTTCCTGACTGTGACACTTTTAAATATATAGAATGGCTTGCTATCTAGCGAGATCCTCTCTCTTGCTTTGCATTGGAAATTGAAATGTACATCAATAAACAGGTCATCCGGAATTGTCTGATCAAAAGTATTAGTTGCAGCTCATCGTTGATATGGTCATGTGGTAACTAGATGTACTCGGTTCAAATATTCTCTGTAGAATTGCGGTGTACAATATGATCGGTCAGGGTTCGCCCGGAGGGCCCTGCAATCCGTATTGAGCGTCTCGCCCAATCGAGACAGGCCGCGAGTTCAGTAAATCAGAATCCAGAATAATATCAATGGTCTCAGCATGTATTTCCTTCCATACTACTGCAGCAATTAGAAATTCTGTCAGCACGACTGACTAGAGCTTTGGTCGTAAGTTAAATTCATAAGTTTGTAGCCTGTCCCTCCTTTGTTTCTACCGCTTCCACCCTCGATGCATATCGAGACTTTTCATTCTTCTCCATATTCACGTCGGCACCATTAGCGTGCCCTTTCTCCAGATCGTTTGAAGAAGGTGGGGTGGCGGATCTTTCTTGTTCTTCTGCGTCTCCAGCTTTCTTAGGGTCTTCTCCTTTCTTGATTTGTCTCTTGAGCGAGTACGCACGTACAGGAAGGACAAGGAGGAGCCCGACAAAGCAAATTGCGCAATAGACGATCCTATATCCATTAGCTCGGATTATCCATTGGGGGAAAAGAGTAGACAAACCAGATGAGCGCAATGGACCGGGTATATGCATGCAGAACTTGGTCTCGCAATTCCGGTGGCTGAATCTCATGTAGACCCTGAACGTTGTTTGTCATCCCATAAGAACCGGGATTGTAGCCTTCAATACGTGGCAGGCGCCGTCGCAGTCCTGATTGATAGACAGCCTATGTAAAAGTTGAGCCTTGTTTGATCATTTGAACGTGCAAAAAGCCTTACATTTCCAACAGATAGCCCAATAGTTCCACCAAGGAATCGGAGAAGCGATAAAGTTGATGTCGAGGTAGCCATGTCTTTGAGGGGCATAGCAGCCTGGAGTGCGATCAAGGGAACGGGGAAGAGCGGTCCTACACCAATTGCTGCCACAAGCAATAGTACAACTTGGACACCAACAGATGTCTTGTTGTCAAGGAGATAGAACAGGCCCATGCCGAGCGTCGTCACAACCTAGGACTGGTAAGATGGACATAGTGCGACACTATGAAAGACAAACCCAGGATGCCCAAAGAGTAGGTCTGTAGGAACCCGTACGTGATACAATCTGGCCACCAACAATGGCAAAGATTGCGCCTCCAAAGGAAAACGGTATCATCTTGATCCCAGCGTCTGTGGCGGATGATCCCAGAACCTTGAATACGTTAGCTGTGACACTTTAAGGCAGGTAGACTCACCTGGAAGTAGTTTGGCAAGTAATATGACGCGCCTGTGAACGCAAAGAACTGGATGAAACTCGAGAGAAGGAGACCAGTTGTTGTTCTTGTTTGGAACAATCTTGGTGGGAAGATGGGCAGACGCTCCTTGAGATAGAATTCGTTGACGCCGCAGATGATAAAAAGAACACCGCCGACGACCAAAAGGGCGATTGTCTTTGCGTCTTTCCACGATGTTTCTGCATAGTTGAATCCGAGTAGGATGCACACAACGCCTCCAACCGCTAGAAGCAATCCGAGAAAGTCGAACTCTCGGACATAGGTCTTGAACGGCTTGCGCGGCGTTGGATTGAGCTATAGGCGTTGAATATATGCCAGTATTTCCTGGAATACACTCACGTTGAGGAACAGTGCAAGGAGAGCAATGGCAAAGCCACCAGTAGGGAGATTCTACAAAATGTCAGATGCAACGAAGCCCGACGACAAGCCGCCCTCACCAGCCAAAAGATCCAGCGCCACGACGAGTGATCTGCCAATGCGCCACCGATCAATGGCCCGACGACTTGATTTTTGAGTTAATAATAGGAGCAAACAGAGGAAGGTAAAGACGACCAACCACTGGCAACACCTAGGCACGTCAGACAAGGGTAAAGGGAAGGAGGGGTGACTAACCCCATGTGGCTCCAATGAAGCCAATATATTTTCCTCGCTTCTCAAGAGTCGCTGTTGGAGATAATTAAAACACGTTCGCGCGACCATGACCCAACTGACTGATGTCGGAGATAGTAATCTGGCAAAGCTGTAGAATCGATGAGAATACAAGCGCTTGAATAGCATATACTCGTACCTGTAGGGCGCCACCACCACCAATACCCTGAACACCGCGAGAGATGCAAAGCCAGAGCATCGACTTGGCCGCACCACATAGTGCAGATCCAAGCAAAAAGGTCAAAATACAGAAGAAGAGCGTTGGCTTTCGTCCCGTCATATCCTGGTCTGGTCAGCCATGGCCCAGAGTAACGATTCGCCCGCATACTGATAGAACACCATATAGAGGAGCACATGCTGCGCTCGTGAGTAGGTATGCCGTTCCAACCCATGCATATCCCGAAGCTCCATCTTTGATTGGTTAGAGACGACCCAAAGGCGACCCAAAAAGGGGTCGGGACGCGGGAAGGATAGACGACTTACTAAGGTCAGCAACAATTCTCGGCAATGCTGTTGCAACTAAGGCGATGTGTTAGTAATCGCCCTTTGACTTGAATACCCGAGCGATGGGTTCTTGCGGACGTCCGAGCCATCGAAAATGAGGTCAGATGTACGCACCAATTGTCTGGTCGAGAGCGGCCAGAAATACTGTCAAAATGAATCCAGGAAAAACGAGGAGAAGGTTACTGGAGCAGACGTTAGTCGTCGACGACTCTTGATTCGGAGAGTATCAAATCATACTTGTGTGGAATCTCCTGAACTTCGTCCTTTTTCCATTCCTCTCCCGGTTTTCTTTTTCCCTTGACGTTTTCTTGTGAGCCTGCGAGCGTCTGCTCGAGTTCTGGACTCGACGGTGCTGCTTGGTGTTGGTCCGACATTTGGAGACTGACGAGGAAGAGTCCAAAGTGCGCAAAAATAGATGGGTCTGGTGCTGATTCACTCTAAAGCCCGGCTTGTTTCGGCTACCTTAGCTAAGCAAAAGGTACCCAAATTTCAACTCCGCTACGACGCGCTGTCGTTGACGATGAGCAACAATCCCAGAAAATTCATGCCAGTGAGGAGAAATGGACAGCAAAACTCGAATAACACGGCCAGCGACAACGATGGACGCGCATCAGTCGCTTCCACAGCTTCTGGAACATCTGCTGGCTCGCTCGCGGGCCCAAGGATCCCCTTTTTGCCGTCTTCGCACTCGGGTACAACGACAATTCGAAACCAAATGAACGAACTGGCCAGATCGCGCTCAGTCGTCAAGCCATTAGCCACTTCTACCTTGTTGGCGCGTCCCGTCTCGTCTCTTGGTGCATCAAGGAGTAGATCCCCTGTGAAGCCTCCTTCTAGTCCTACAAAGACGCGCAAAGTCGTCTTTGATAGTCCTGCCACCAGTCCAACAAAAATCAATGCTCGGGGTTTGCCAGGGGAAGAGGATGAAGAACCGTTCTCTCCTAGCCATTTAGTGGATGCTACGATCATCTCCGACATAGATCTCTCTGTAGATTTTGATCCCAACGAATTATCAAGGATGCTGGCCGACGAGCAAGCGCGCGAGGACGAAGCACGCTCCGACGCGTTAGACAAGGTCCTTGTTTCTATCAGGTATGCATTATTACTCCCTATTATCTTCTCTCATATCGACGATAGAGTAAAGCCTATTAATGATGACGAGGAGGCTTGGAAACCAGATACCGAAGAGGCAAAGATCATGATCAAGGGGCAGTACGCAAGAACTACTACGAGTGTCAACAATGAGTATAGATATGGTAAGCTCCTACCTGCTCGAAGCAGTCGCCTCCCTGACATTCTGTAGACAACGTCTTGGCCGGCTCAAATAACAAACTCGCTTATGAAGCCACTGCTCGTCGACATGTTCGTTCAGCTATGGAAGGATTCAACTCTGTCGTATTTGCATATGGGCAAACGGCCAGTGGAAAGACCTATACATTGGTATTGTCTCTTCGCAATTCCCAATCTCTCCGCTGACAAAAAAGCATAGAGTGGTACAGATGAAGATCCAGGTATCATCCCTCGGGCGATGCGAGATGTGTTTGGGTATATCAAAGCTACACCCGGCCGTGAATACCTTCTCCGAGCATCCTATCTGGAGATCTACAACGAGCAAATTCACGACCTCTTGGCACCAGGTATCGGAGTAGCGCGTGTGCCTGTCATGCTCCAAGGAACAGGGCTCAATGTGACCATGACACCCCTCAGGGAGGAGGTCGTCACCAGTCTTAAAGCCGTAAAGGAAGTAATGGAGCGTGGCGAGAGTAATCGACGCACAGCCAACACGGACTGGAATGAGCGCAGCAGTCGGTCACATTCGGTTTTCCGATTGGTGAGGGCCGACGCGGTCCAGAAGTTTTCGGTTGACTGACCCACACCAGGTGATTGAAAGTCGAGAGAGGACTGCCGAAGGCTCCACACCGAATCTGCCTTCTGCCTCCAGCAGTTCGAAGCTCCACGCCCCCGGTGCCAATGGTGTGCGCATGAGCGTTCTCGTAAGTCACATGGGTCGTATTTTTGTATTTTCTGACATCAGTAGTCTCTAATTGATCTCGCTGGGAGCGAGAAGGCAACATCGGATAAAGAGCGTGCCAAAGAGGGAAAGTACATCAACACAAGGTATGTTTATATGCTCTTCTGTATCGTTATCTTATCTTATAGCCTGCTCACGCTCGGAACTGTTATCGGAACGCTGGCTGAAAACGCGTCAAAGGGGAAAAGGTATGTGAATAGATTCAAGGCTAGTTGTCTCAATACCCTCCAGCGATCACGTTCCATTTCGAAACTCGAAACTTACAAGGATGCTTCAACCTTCTCTGTCTGGAGACGCGCGCATCTCCGTCATTTGCACCTTGAACCCGTCGCCATCCGCCGTCAGCGAATCTCTCAATACCCTGGGTTTCGCCTCGAGAGTGAAACGAGTATCAGTGGGTCCAGATCTGGCCTTGTAACTTCGTCTAACATGTTTCACTTGCCAGCTAAATGCTACAAAGAAGGAGATTGTCGATCATGAAGCCCTTCTCGAGAGATACCGCAAGGAGATTGATGAACTCAAGGCAAAACTGCGGGAAAAAGATGCCCAAGAACGCAAAGTAAATCGACGACTAAGCATGCGAGAGGTAAGTTTATGCCTCTTCACGCTGCACAATTTATAACATGGTATACAGAAAGCAGATGAACACAGAGATAAGACGGATCTAAACTTGCGACTCCAGCAACTATCCAAGCTCATCTTGACAAGCCAATCCGTCGATCTGCCTACCGAAACCGCAGGGAGCCCAACTAAGCTCGACTTTGATCTCACACCATACGAGCTACAAGAAGAGCTTCATAATGCACGGAAAAGGCTGGAAATGCAGGAGACGCAAATACTCTCCCTTGAAGCGGCATTGGCAGCCCGTCCCGCGCTCGGCTCCGATGCACCGGAAACGGAAAAGGATAAACTCATTGCGGAGCTCCAGCAAACTAATCGTGAGCTTACTATTGTCGTACAAGGATACGAGGCAAACGTAGGCGAACCGTTGGTGGCTGTCAAGGAGGATGTGGAGAAAGAGTGGATCGATAAACTCAATGCACTCGAACATCAACTCGAGGAAAGTAAATCATGGGCTAAAGAGATGACCAAGGAGCTGGAAAGCGAAAAGCGGGTGTGTATTGCCTTTATTGGATCAGGACTGTGGCTGACATTTATGTTCAAGGTCCGGCAGAGGTTGGAGGATGAGAAACGTGCACTCCTCTCATTTGTGACAGAGGTTGACGTGCACATGCGTGAGCGCACGTCCTACACTTCCTCTTTACCCCGCCTTGCGATTAGCACGCCACGGACCTCTTTAGGAAACCCAGAAAACAAACAACGAAGCCTGGGCGCTGTCTTGATTGAAACGTCAAACGCTAGCTTTGGAACACTAGGTGATCTCAGAGAGGTGGAGGCGAAAGAGTAGGAAGGCGAAAGTCGCGGCGATATGATTATGATTTTTATGTCTTCTTGGTCGTGCCTTTCTTGTTGTAGCTTACACTCCTTGTACTTCTTGCAATGATTTGAAAAGAATGTATCCTCCAAAGCAATTTTGTAGATTCAGAGGAGATACAAACAGGAGAAGGTCTATTATCCTCCCGAGACAACTTGATATCGTTTGTAAGCGCTCTACTTGTCGCCTAGCATCATCTGGAAAGAGGTGAGTGCGTGCTCGTTCAGTCTCGTTGGGATTCTACCTTGACAAATTCTAGGAGATTATCAGCAAACGTCGTGCAGACCATCATAAGACTACGCACCGGCATAATCAATTTTTCCGTCTCCATTGGTGTCCGCCTCTTTCATCATCTCCGACAATTCTGCCTTTGACAATTTCTCGCCTAAAACGCTATTAGCTGCACATACCTGCAACTGCCTTGACGACGCACCGAGGTTCTCCATAACCTGGCCCAACTCAGAGAGAGTCACAAATCCGTCGCCGTTCTTGTCAAATACTTTGAACGCCTGGCGAATCTCCTCCTCCCGATCACCATCCTTGAGCTTCTTGGCCATCATCGTCAGAAACTCTTTGAAATCTATCGTTCCATTTCCGTCGGCGTCGACCTCGTTGATCTACATGATCCGCCTGTTAATCTATCGGTGAACACTAGAGGCGATATAGAACCGTACCATGTCCTGAAGTTCAGAATCTGATGGGTTTTGGCCGAGAGAGCGCATCACGGTTCCGAGTTCCTAGTATGGTTCGTCAGGGGGAGCGCAACCCCTCGATGTGATCAAGGCGGACCTTCGTGGTGATAGTTCCATCGCCATCTGGCACAATTGTGAGGTTACAGTATCTTCAGTGCATGATTGTACTCACCCTTGTCGAAGAGAGCAAACGCCTCCTTGAATTCTGCAAACGATCGGAGAGCGCGACGGCATGAGCCTCCATCGCTAGCTACAGTTGATCGGAATAACTCTTACCCGATACCTGCTCTGTATATCACCAGATACGAAAGAAATTGTCAGCTCGAGCACTAAAACGGAGAGGAGCTGCTCCACCGTCGGTCTAAAGTAGCCATCGATGGCGACGGACAACGAACGAATCGTGCATCAGTGTAGAGAAAACGTTTAGGAATTCAAAATCTCATACTAGAGAGTCAGCCATGGTGCACTGGTGGATGGTACGAGTACAAGTTCGAGCTCAGCGGCTGATCTCTAGGCGCGGAGAGAGGCGTAATTGGGACGGGTGCAGCAAGCGCTCAAGTTTCAAAATACGTTATTCTCGGACTAGCAGTTACGTAATATCGCATTGGATAGAGTTGGCGATTTCATATCCGACTACGACACGGTGTAAACCTCTCTAACGACAGAAAGAGAGAAGTTTGCAGACAGCGACCCCTTATTTCGAAAGCATCATCTAAGAAGATTGTTAGTACTTTGTCCAGGTATGCCCCCACGTGTAGGCGCACCTTGACGAATTCTGCCAGAAGCGGTCAGCAATCTTAGTCAAATACATGCATAGGAGATTCGTACCTTCGTAGTTAATTTGACCATCACCGTCAACATCTGCTTCCCGAATCATTTCATCGACCTCCGAGTCGGTAAGTTTCTCTCCTGCACAACCAAACGATTAGCAGACACTCTCCTTGGTGACCGGGACATACCGAGGTTCAGCATGACATGTCGCAGCTCAGCACTCGAGATATATCCATTTCCATCCTTGTCAAAGACTTTAAAGGCCTCTTTGATCTCCTCTTCCGAGTCGGTATCCTTCATCTTTCGTGCCATCATGGTGAGGAACTCTGGAAAGTCGACTGTGCCGTTACTGTCCGCATCAACTTCGTTGATCATGTCTTGGAGCTCGGCTTCGGTGGGGTTCTGTCCCAAAGATCGCATTACAGTTCCAAGTTCACGAGTTGTGATTGTTCCATCTCCATCTGCGTGCCAAGTTAGATTGTGAACGACAATGGCCAACGTAGTTCAGAAATGGGTCCACGTGCATGTTTGGACTCAGGTATGGTCGCTCCAAATAGAAGAGAGAGCTGAGAAACGCGAACCTTTGTCGAACAACGAAAAGGCCTCCTTGAACTCTGGATTCCAATAGATCAACGATGCGACACGGAGCTCCTGCGTGGGCAAACCGCGTACCAGAGATTTGCTCTAGATGCCAAATGGGTGATCAGGATGGATCAGATTGCGTTGATGCATGGCAGAGGCTTGAACGCACCCTCAGTCTGGGAGACGGTATGAGCTCACGATTGGAAACGCTCATAGCATAGCGGAAGAGTACGCACTAGTTGATCAGCCATTGTTTGGATTAAATTCTACGGGTATAACGCGATTCTCGATGCAAATGAAGATGGGCCGATGATGCAGTCAGGTTCAAGTTTGGTGGCGTCGATGGAAGGGCCAGCAAAGGGACAGATATGTGCTATATTCCACGAATGAAGAGCGGATACATCATAATATTCACCCAAGGACCCACAGAGTCTCATCAAGTGGAATACCTCGAAGCGTTGTCTAACACATATCTTCCTCTTACAACACTAGTCTTAGTTGATTAGCACACCAGTGTGCAATGTATGCGCACCATCCAAACTAAGTCTGCCACCTCCGTCTGTATCTGCAAAGTGGATCATCCCATCAACCTCGTCGTCCGTGAGCTTGTTCCCTATATCCAAGTTGAATGTTTAAGGCCCTTCGTTTGGGCTGCATATATATTCCAATGACGCCCATGGCACGCTTGAGCTCGGAGGGCTCGAATGACCCAAATGCCTCTACAAAGTCGTCGTGGGTCTCTCGACTCTTGTAGGACAATCTTTTGATCTTGAGAAATTCTGGAAAGTCGCGGATCCTTCCCCTGCGAATGCAGACCCAACGACTTTGGTGGCAAGTTTGCTTGCAGTGGCTTCAGAGATGCCAAGACTGGTACTTATCAGGACAGTAGTATGCACTTCCTTGGTGAGAATATGCCCCTTGTGCTCTGAAGTGGGGCTCAGCAAGTGCTGGAGGGTGGCCAGTTCGTGAATCCACTAGACCTCTGCAACTGACTATTGTAAAAAGTTATGAACGCCTCCTTGTACTCTAGAGAAATGCGTCAGATCCCTCTTCCCCATGGCCCCTGCAAAGATTCACCCTCATGTCCTACAAGTGGTCCAGTTCAATTACCCGTGATTGTTGCTCAATGTCGATGGACAAACTTAATCTCCATCATTGGCGTTCACGGGGTGCGAATAGATTCCAAAGCGGCAGAAGAGACGTGTCAAAGCCTGTCACGCCGGTAATAAGGACCTACAATATAATCTGCCATACTTTTTGTTGACAAGTAGCCCGATTATGTAGAAATCTAAATCAAATGGGGTTCAAGCCAAAGGTAGGCGCTTTCTGGTGGCTAAGGTGCACTCGGCGAATGACGAGCTCCGCTCATAGGAAGATATAAAGGGTATTCTGTCTGGGCGTAGATGACATGCATAAACGAAGAGCCCGAACTTTGTATACTGCTGTACGTAAGGTTCCCCTAAAGAAATTAAATTCGCTATTTATAAATGTCAGCCTCTTTGAAAGTAAATTTTGTTGCCAAAATCATAACCAGGTCTTCGCCAAGCACCAATAGGGATGCTCAACGACTACCCAGTGATGACCTTCCCCGGTTTGATACGTATTTGCGCTTACTGGATGGCGATTACCCTCGTGTCTCGTTCGATCTTGCTTATGGTGGAACCGCTGGGCGCTAGCGAGTTGTAGCTCAGAAGAGACAAAATCCCAGTAAATAAAAGCCTTTACCAGCGCGAGCATCCATAAGGCTTATGCCTCACGTGCGTGTAAACGTGGTTGACCGCATTGGGATGGCGCTTGTTCTGAGACGAGGGATGGTCAGTAGCCATCCATTTTACCAGGGAGTGCGCTCACGTTGTATGTACAGTTTGGCCAGTTGCAATCCCATTGCTGACACCCATTGCGACTCCCCCGACTCGAGCCTGTTGCTCGAGGGTAAGGAACGCGTGTGAGTAAGGCAGCTACCACGTTATCCAGAGAGCTTTGGGGAGATTTGGAGTGCGGCGCTTCGATTGACATTTCGGCCAATGAGACGCACGCTTCCAGCACCGACTGATCCATTTGGTTCAACTCCAGAATGGATGCCTCTTGGGATCCAAGAGCCCTACCGATGATATACCTCTGCTGTGTTTCCGGGAGGTCAAAGAAGCGTTCAACGAGGTCTCGAGACCGTAGGGTGTGAATGCGTGTTTCCGGAGACGGGATTGATTGTGCTGCAAATTGACGGCTGACGACTTCTGCAGTTGACAGTTCTAACCAGGCAGGGAAATCTGCATTTGGGATTGGGTGGCCGGGATTCGAATAGATCATCTGGTTCTGTATGGGGACTGGAAGTCATTTAGCTCTCGTCTAAGAGATAATGACAAGTATGAGCACTTACACTGAAGATAATCAGGTACATAGAGGGGAACTGCAGTTTCTGGCTGATTCCCGGGGAGAGTCTCGCCTAAGAATGGGTCTGGCGATTCAACGAGTCCAGGCAGCGGGGCTGGTTGAGATTGGGAAAGAGGCATTGAAGCAATGTCTGAGTCTTTCTGATTGAGCGATTACAGATGCGACAGCGAGCTCTTACCTGGCAAAGCCACAGGTAGGTCCAAAGAGTTCGAGTAGCGCCTAGCGGAGCTCTCCAACAGATCGGCCATAAGAGGTTCAGAATTATACATAGTAGGTGTCTCTCTCTACCATCAAATTGTGAGCCCGCTAGCATAGGAGGACGGTCACCCACGTGTTCTTGCGACATGCTTAGAGGAGTCTGTCGACAGTCTCCAGAGGATATGCCCTGTAGAATATCAGTTTGAGGACTGTCAAGTGCCGTAAGCTGGTGAGATAGATCAGAAGCTGAAACTGGGGGGGACCAAGCCATGCCGCCCAAACAAAGTCCGCCTCGACAAGGAGAATTGCCGACCGTTGAAGGTGACTGAATTTTGAATTTTGATCATATCAAAGATAGAAAGATAGCCTCAATCGCGCAAAAGGGTCGCCCCTGTGCGGGACGGAGATCCAGGGATGATATCCTGTTCGAGTAAGGTAATAGAAATGTTCAATGCACAGCGCGATTGTATCAGTCAAATCCTGAGCCCACTCTGGTGGTCATCTGTCACTGCCAGCTGCGTGCTTCGCCAAAGTGAGATCTAGGTCACGATGATTGTATGATAAAAATACGTTTGAGTGCGAGTTGACTTGAATTGATAATGAAAAGAGAATCCCATGTCGAATCAACGCCGTAAACGGTTAAAAGATGATCCCCCAAAGTGTCAACCATCCAGGTGCTCAAAAGTCACGGAATGTGTTTCAACAAGATTGACATTGAAAAAGCCGCGAGGTCATGCGGTGTTGGTTTGGGTTGAGATGTGGTTGACCTCGACACCCTTGACGTGACATTGTTCGGTATCGGCAGAAATATTCGGGCAAATATGTCTCAGCATCGTGTGGTCCACCAAAATCTACCAGATAACGATCGAGACGAGTCGGCCGGTGGTATGTTCTGCAAACCGTGCGCGGAGATTGTCACTGACCCAGGTCAGCAGCGGCCACAGGTGCACAAGAGAACGCATCTCAACCCCGTGTTATCCAACAAACACTGCCAGAAAATGACCGAGACGAGACGTTTGGTACGCATGCAAACCACGCCCAGCCTCCGGTAATAACCCCTTCTAGTCGTGACAACAGAATCGCCAAATTCGTTTGCTCAGTCGAGCTTGTTCGTTCTCGTCATTCTCCTCACCGCCATCCTGGTCCCTCTTGTCCTGCTGTTCATCATTATCGTCAACCTTAGTGGATCAATCATCGCCTCAATACTGTTCGAAGTCCTTGGACACGCCGTCCTTCGAGCATTGGGCGTCGACGGCTTCAACAATCGACTCAAGCATTCGGTCAAAGTCGGCGCCGTTGGTGGCGCCATTGTCGCCATCCCTTTCAACATCTTTTACGCTTTCCTCGAGTACCTGATTGCTCCTACTGTCGTCAGTGTCACAGACGAAAGTGAAGCAGAGCCATTGCTCCCACCCGAACGCCAGAGCTCGTTCGGCCAAGTGACAAAGTCATTCAACGAGAGCTTGAAAGGAACAAGGCGCAATCCCATCAACCAAAGGCTCTATCTTCAGCAGCGCGAAACCGGCGAAGCACCTTCTAGATGGCGCGTCTTTTTCGCACTTCTCGGAGATTTTTTGTCCGGCCCAGCCCTTGGAGCCCTTTCTGGAGCAGTTGGGTCATTTGTGCTTGAAAAGGCAGGTCATGAGGTCATGGATGTTGCTCACTCTGCCCAGGCCGGAGCATTAGGCGGTTTCATCCTTGGCCCTCTCGCTGCGGCTCTTTTTTCCACCATGTTTGCAGTAGCCATCGCAGTCTTCATATCAAGAAATCCTTCTACATAGTTCGAACTATGTATGCGAGACATCATCTACTTTGCTCTCCTCCTAGTATCATCGTGCACACGGGCATCCACGCCAAAGCGTCGCATGAGCGAAGTGAAATATTGCTGACCTCTTCTTTGCACCAAGAAAGGTAAAGGGATATGGTTCCACAATCGCCCCCTTCCCTCAGTCTATGATCAATATGTCAGAGACTCGTTTGGTGCACTTGTCTCCAATGAAACTATCCGCAAATCGATCATGGGCAAAACGACAAGGTAAATTCGTCCGTCTTGTATTTGCATTCTTCTCACGACCATCTTCTCCCTCACTACGTGTCACTCTTCTTGATGAGACTCGACTTTGGTGCCTCTATTATCACCTCGGTATACTTCGAGATTTTCGGAGATGTCATCAAATATTTTCCGGGGACATGTGGAATTTTACTGCTCGACTCGAGCAATCATTCATAGTCGGAGCTATTGGCGGGTCCATTGTCATTATTCCTTGCAGCATCTGCCACGGACTCATAGGATCCCTTATCGTTCCTATTCCTGTGAATACCAGGGACGAACGTGCAGGAAAGTGGCCATTCCAACGTCACAGCTCGCTCGGCAAAGTGGCAAAGTCACTTAGGGATGCAATAAATGTAGAAAGCTTCGAAACCATCTCTCAAAGAGCCCAGCGACTCAAAGCGGACGAAGCACCACAGACATGGCGGATTTTACTCGCAGCGGTCGCAGACCTCCTCACATTTCCAGCGTTCGGAGCTCTTTCTGGAGCTGTCGGATCGCTAGTCTTGGAAAGGACGGATAATTACGTCGTAGATGTCTCTCGCTCTGCTCGGGCGGGGGCAATAGGTGGATTCATGTTCAGCCCCCCTGTCGGCGCGCTCGTTTTCGTAGCATGTGTGTCAGCAATCAGTGCCTTCTTATCATGGAGACGTTTGAGCTAGATCCATCGTTATGCATACCAAGCCTGGTAATTTCCCATTTGCTAGTCGTCGAGGATTATAGTGACTTCGTCCTCTAAGATTACCAGTCCTTCTTCTTCTAGTCTCTGCGCCTTTGATGGGCTTGTCAACGGGGCTTGATTCGGTTTGACCTTTTTCCTCGCAGGTCCATCCTCGGTGCCAGCAACGTCTTCGCCAAGTTTGCGTTTGAGTTGATTGCGATCTATGTCCATATCTCCTGTCGCCGACGCTTTGCCCTTTACCTTTGGCTTGAGTTTTGAGCGCGTGGGAGGCAATATCAGAGAATCCGCCCCATCATCCCTGCCAAGGATCATCAAAGTCGTTTCGAATCCATATGATTACTCACGCTCGTAAGCAGATTGCCACGGTCAGTGTGCTCCACCGTTCATCTTCGTCGACAATAGAGATGAACTTTCCCTGACCACAGCCCAGTTCCAAAAGCGTCTTCTCGAGGTTGTCATCAAATTCAGGATCAGCCAGTAGACGACCAGCTTCAAAGACATTGACTTCAGACGTCTCCAATGCACCACCCTCTTCATCACCCAAATCTGTGTGCGCGAGCGTCTTGGAGAGGAGGGCACCGAGGGTCACATTTGCTGGGTCACATTGTACAATCATATACGTATCCACGCATGCGGCGCAAGAGGGGTTCGGTGGAGGACGTTGTGAGCCAGTGATTGGCTTGTTCGGCTTTGCGGTCAGGTACGGCCATACAAGCAACTCGAGGTTGTGTTGCAGGATCTGGACGGCTTGTAAGACAATGAGACCGGCAATAATGGCGTTTGTGGTCGCAATCGCCGGAATGATGTTGCCCGCCATCTCTGGTTAAGAATTAAGCGCGGTGTGAATGCAAGGGAAAGAACTCCGTACCCTTTACGTCCCAGCGGTTCTTTTGCGGGATGTTATACACTGCCGACCGTAAATTGGAGGCTGCCGTCACGAAGTCCAAAGTGTCGTCGTCGTCTTTGTCAAAAGTGATAATATTCTCACCGGCCTGTAGCCGGGCTGATAACCGCTGGATACTTCGAGGATAAGGATTTGTATTCCATTTATTCGGGAAGCCCCATACCTGGACGTGAACAGCTCGAGCGACTCGGGCAAAGTAAGGGACCGTTGATCCCGCAGATTGACACCAGCGGCTTGTCCGTTTGATTCAGACTTAGAAGCATGGCGGCTCTGTTCGACCCCTCGCAAAACAAATGTTCCGGCTGCGACCTGGTCAAAGTCCAAGGGGACCGGTCGTTGCCGATTCTGCCACATGTCGTCCATTCTGAGCAGTTTTTCTGTATCTCTTCTAAATGCCTGCAATTCTATCAGCAAACCGCAGAAACAATTAATTAAAGGTGGTACCTTTTCGAAGACCGCCTTGCCTGCCTCTGTATTGGCCATGCGGAGAGCGGCTCGCATTCGCTTCCACTCGTGAGCTTCTTCCCGGAGAGCGGCAATTTCATTTGCTGTACCTGTGAGTGAGTGCCGTTTCATCTCATGGAGAGGCACCCACGATTCTCTCCATCCTGCTCTGCTTTATCCAGCTCGGCCTCGTTCTCTTCCTCGCCAAAGAGTTGTCTATTGTAAATATTGAGGAGAATGATAGAGGTCGAATAGGATACTGACGGTAGGAGATAACTCTTTGCCCACACGATCGAATGTATCGGCTGAGAGGGTGTAGACCGAATCGTGCAAACAGGATATGTGCGCTGCTGGACGGGCTTGGGCGTGCATTCATAACATTCCGTTTCGTCCTGCAATCACTTCTGAGCGAAGGCCTCTCAGTGCGAGAGCTATAATTCACCTTTATGATGGGCTGAACTTGTCCAAAGTACCCTTCGGTACCACTTTCTACAAGAGGAACCCCTGCTGCTAGACACATTCTGTTGATATGTTTCCTCGCATCGAGATTGTCCAGAGCGCTCATGACAAGGTCGAAACTCGCAAACCATTTCGCGTCATACTTTGGCTCTTTGATGTTTGCACAAAGAGGTTTAATAAAGACAGAAGGGTTGAAGGCTGACGCGGTCCTAGCGGCGACAAGGGCTTTGGATTGCTTGACGTCCTTTTTGCGGAACAGAAACTGACGATTGAGGTTCGAAAGGTCGATCGTATCGAGATCAAGCAGTGTAATGTTTCCAAATCCTGCTAATACGACATTCTTCACTGTACTTGATGCCTCAGCCGCCATCTTGTGGTTTCGACGAGCGACTTACGCAGCTCGCAGCCAATTCCACCACTCCCCACGACAAGAATACGCGTATTCTTAAGCTTTTCTGCGAATTCTGAGCCAAAAAGCGCTGTCGTATGGCTGGTCCGCATCAGGAACGCGCCAAGTTGCACCTCGGACTCTGCCAACACCAACGATTTAACGCGGTCCTCGCTCTACGCCAGCTGAGACTTGGACATGGGCACCAGACGCTCCCTCGACGTCCTCGGAGTTAATCTCCCCTGTGATTGATCAGATGGATACAATTCCAGGGTAAACCCCCGCTTTCTGGGGTTAGAAGCCGTAAACGGTCCTTAGTGTGGAGATTTCATCACCAAAACAGTCTTGGAACATCCGATGCGGACGTATACACAGGCGCATCTTCGGAGTGCATAACCGCCTTCTCTAATGTTTCGGCATCTTCGACTGGAAGGAAGCTGTTGCACTACTCAATATGCACCAATCATCATTCACTCCGATACAACCTTTGACCCTAGCCGCCAAGTAGGGCCGCATCATCTCACCTTCGCTCTTCATCGCGAGCGAGTTGTTCGGCGGGAACAAGGCGGTCGTCCGAGCGCGTAGCAAACTCGATGTAGCTAGTGAGTACTCGTAAAAAACAGTTGGTTGAGTGATTGACGTTCCCTCTAGCCTTCCTCTCTTCACCTCGTGATACATTTATTGAATAATGCGATAACCGAGGGGGGAGAACTGTATAACGCTCCACAAATGGACTCCGGTTACAACCGTGTCGTTCATTTAATGATCGTGCACGGCTTCGAGGGTTCTCTCCAACCCCGTCCCCCGCACATGCTTCGATTATCCGGCATACTGCCGCTCCAGGGAATGAGTATATAGCTCCTCACCCTGCCGTTTACGAACAAACCGGACAGCTCTTCTTCGAAAAGCCCCCTTTCCATTCTGACAGAGCATCGACAACCATCATGGGTGGCGACATTGCTGGTGGTGATCCGCTCGTAACGCAATACGTGCTGGAGGACACGACCCCATGGTACAAGAAGCGCAACCTCCGCTACCTTTACTTTGTGCTCGTTCCGACGTGTATTGGGGTCGAAATCACATCCGGGTAACGTTTGGTCATTCTTAGACTGCATCCCGACTCACGGACTTCACCAGATTCGACTCTAGTATGATGAACGGACTGCAAGGAGTGACCTACTGGGACAACTGTTAGTACGGCTCATCGGCCCGCGCGCCAAGGCACTAAACGAATACTCGCAGACTTCGGCCATCCTCAGGGCCAAACTCTTGGTCTCATGAGCTCTGCTTATTCACTCGGATGCATTCTTTCATTGCCGTTTATCCCGTTCGTCGTTGACCGCCTTGGACGTCGGCTCTCCATTGTCTGCGGGAGCTGCGTCATGCTCGTCGGAGTAGCATTGCAAGCTTCAGCTGTTAACTATGCAATGTTCACCATCGCCCGTGCAGTCATGGGTTTCGGAATGCCCATCTGCATCGTTTCAGCGTCTGCGCTCATCGGAGAACTTTCGTACCCGAAGGAGAGAACCTATCTTGGCTCTCTGTTCAACGCGAGCTGGTTCATTGGCGCTATCGTAGCTGCTGGTACAACCTACGGCACCTTTGCGATGCCAAACAACTGGTCGTGGAGAATCCCCTCAATTCTGGTGGGTGTCAGCCTCGTACTGGTAGAACGTTATTGAACGCACCATAGCAAGCCGCTCCATCACTGCTTCAGATCTCATTTATGATGCTCCTTCCCGAGAGTCCAAGATGTGAGGGCTTCCTTCTACGCCTTGCTCTGGCTGATTGAAATGTAGGGCTGATCTCAAAGGGCCGAGAGGAAGAGGCCTTCCAGATTCTCGCCACATACCACGCTGAAGGAGACAGAGAGAGCGAGTTAGTCAAGGCTGAATATGCTCAAATCAATGTCACGATTCAAATGGAGATGGAAAATAGCAAGCGCAGCTGGAAGGAGATGATCGCGACTGCCGGAATGCGCAAACGTGTCACCATTGCAACTGCCTTGGGGCTTTTCACTCAATGGTCTGGTAACGGCATGATCAGGTACTGTCCTTATCGTTATCCGAACCTGAACTGACACAGCTCAGTTACTACTTGAAGCAGATCCTGAAAGATGTTGGAATCACCGATAACAAGTGAGTTGATAACGTCTCACGAATGTGACTGACCCTCTTGGATAGAACCGTCAACCAGATCAACGTTGCCAACACTTGCTGGGGTCTCCTCAATGCCACAACGATCGCATTCCTGGTATACAAATTGAAGCGCCGTACAGCGTACCTTTTGTGCACGACTTCGCTCCTCTGCATTTACACCGGGTGAGTTGATCACGAAATAACGAATTGATCCTCATCCAACGCGCAGATGGACGATTTCAGCAGCCAGATATACAATTGCGAAGGATAAGCAAGCGTCACATGCCGTTCTGGCATTCATCTTTTTGTACTCGCCTGCGTATAACATTGGCGTACGTTCCCTTTATACCCTTTCAACGCATTTACTGACTGTCTTTAGTACAACGCTTTGACGTATAGTGAGTCTCTCTCCCTCAGTGAAAGATCCCTGCTCATCTCTGCTAGCTTTCCTTGTCGAGCTCTTCCCCTTCGCTGTCCGAGCCCGCGGTATCACCCTCTTCCAGCTCTTTGGGCGCATGGCCAGCTTCTTCAACCAATACGTTAATCCTATTGGTATCAAGAATGCTGGCTGGAAGTACTACCTTTCCTATGTGTAAGTCCCAGCCATGAAGGTATACCTCACCCACTCACGACATGCCCATAGGGTTTGGCTCGCATTTGAGGTCATTTTTGTCTACTTCATGTTCCCAGAGACATCGGGAAGAACACTGGAAGAGCTGGCGTTCAGTGAGTTGCCTTTCCGTGGTCGGATCCTCGCTAACGTTCTTCTAGTCTTCGAAGGCGAGGAGGTGAGAAAGAGGCAGGCAAAGGAGACAGAACAGGAGTTGCATCAAGGACCTATCGGCCAGCCTATGAAGGTGGCATCTCCCAACGAGAAGTTGCCTACATACAACGAGCAGATGAAAGCAGAGGACAAGGCGTAATAATCGACCGCAGATATCTCAGCAGGCCTGGAATAGGTGTACAGAATCAGATTGAAATCAGTTGCCTTTTCATGAAACGATGCCAGTGAGAACGCTCAGGAAGTAGTAAGATTGGGCGTTGCTCTGGTGAAACTTTTCAGATACATTACTGACAAAGCGTGGATGACTATAATCAATTCCCGCACTCTACTTACGTGCGATAAGCAGAGGCATCGCCTGGGCTTCTTCAGATTGTCCACGACCGAGCTACAGCTACAACCCGGCACGGCACGGCGCAATCTTACATCTTGGGATTGACTGTCATTTACCGGGCAGTTCGAGAAGAGAAACAGGCTTGTTTATCCATATACGAAAGTCATAGAAGAAACCATCAGGAATAAAATAGCTACTTATCGGAACCCTTTGTCGACTATGCTTACTACGTGACAATCTTGAGAGCCTATTCTTGGGTGACCACCTAAAACAGCATGAAACTACGGGGAGATGGATCATGGACGCTCACGTACGAGTTTCGCCGTTGTTATCATTCATCACATCCATCCAGAGGGGTCGCAGGACTTGCCTCATTAGCGGAAGATCCGACTCCGTTGTATACCTTCTTCCACGCTTCTGTGAGGCGGAGGTAGACTGGAGACCAGATTGAACGCGTATATGACGCCTTTGCGTGCGTTGAGGACGAGTTGGGATTAACTGCAAATCGTCAGCCAGCTCTGGAGTCCAAACCATAAATAGATCCTTAAGCAGAAGGCCCTCCACCCGCCCAACTGCAAAAAAAGCACCCATGGCCGGGGCTTGGGGCACACCTGTACATCTCGGTCACCCAAAGGGGCGACAGAGAATGAGCTTGAACTGCCTGGTGTCGGCGCGATGGATCGCGGACGGTTTGATTGAACAGGCTTAGGTCGTGGTCGGCATGTCTTCTTATCCACGTGCCGTTTGCGATCAGCATGACGTGCGAATCCTCGTTGACTGCAAATGAATTTAATGGGAGCCATTGTAAAGACAGTAAACGTACCAATATTCACACCGGAAGGGTTTCACACCCAAGTGGCCAGCGACATGACCGCGTGCTTGGTCTTGTCTTGGGAATGGCCGATGTTTGCAATCTGGATACAAACATGTCCAACTCTCTGTCCCATTCCGAGATCCCACACCAGTTTCGCTCGATGGGAGAGGCTTCCTTTGGAGGTATGGATCGATCTTTTGCAACGGAAGTCCTTCGATACTCTCGGCAGTATTCTGTTGCCCGCTGACAGTTTCGGTCGATGAGGAACCTATATCCGTCGACTGTATGTGGATACCCTCGTTGTCGTCAACAGGGTCTGCTGGAGAGGTACCAGGATCCGGCGTCGTGGTCGTGCTATCCATCGTCTCTTTTTCGCTTGCATCGAGCAGAATATCGAGATGGGGGCCAGTCTCGAATGGATTAGACGGTTGGATGTGGCCATCGCCGCGGGGAATAGGCAATGCATAAACATCCACATCAGCGCGGTACACCCTGGGATCATCGATGGCATGACTGGGAGTAGGATTATTATTCCCTTGGAAGACAAGTTTGTCGAGCTGGGTGGAATATCCGGGAGTCAGCCCGAATGGGGGGACGCCGTGAAGTTGTGTCGCAAACCCGAGAGCGTCTACGCCCATAGGCGGGGATCCCATGTTTGCATAGCTGGGGTGCTCTAGCGCTTGGGAGGAGTCGAAGAGACGGGCAAAGGATAAGTCGGTTGGCTGATGTCCCCCAATGACAGGGCCGAGACCGACGGAGGTCGGAGGGGGCGCAACTCCGACGCCATAATTGATAGGCACAAGCGACACAGGAGGTGGCGAGAACATGGTTCCATACGAATATGTCGCGTCGTCGAAGAGCAAAGAGTTCTGGCTCGAAGCGGTGGAGAACAGAGGTGCTGCAAGTGTGTGAGTGTCCATTGGAAACGACAGTGGGTCGTATGCAAAAAGATTACTTACATCCTTCGAGTGAACCAGAGTGCTGCTGTGAATATAGCTGGGTTATATCGGTTGAGGGATCTGCGAGGGGTGATAACGTCAGCTGGACTCACTCGAGTCGAAGGGTGCGGGGACATACTGAAATGCTTCCCAGAGCCAGTAAACGGACCTCCAGTGTGCATGATAGCGACAAAAGTTGTTGCGGGGAGTTGTGCAAATTTGGACAAGGTGTAAACGTTGATTGCGTGACCGAGAGACGAGTGGATGATGGTCTGGCAAAGCGCAGGAGAGGGGTGCTGATAAGAGGCGGAGAGCAACAAGCTGAACACGTTGGCTGCCAGTGGGGCGCCTGGTCGCTGGATGAGAGATGGGCGAGATCGGGGATGGACAAGCTCCTGGATGGGGCCAGGGCCTTTTATTGACCGAGTGATACAACAGGTTCCGAGAAACTGGTTCGACCATAAGGTAATTTGCCAGGTGTGTACTCGACGGCCACACAACCCGAGCTGCCCATATCCATCCTCCCGGAATCTGGCTTCGTCGATTTGACCATTCCTGTTCCGATCTCAGTTGGTCGATTTCGGACATTTTACGTGACCGGCCGTGATGGACGAAAGGGACTTGAAGCCTCTGCAAACAATTTCAGCACGCATCTAACCATTTTTGTGTATTCCTTATGTGGTCATGGAACAATGACGATCTATTGGATCATGCGCTGATAGATGGCAGGGATCAGGCGTGCCAGACGGGAGCAATAATCATTAGAACGTACCCTCGCCTATCCGCCACAGTTTGACACCACCCTGACCCTGGCCCGACCGATACGGACTGGACTGCTGGACTGGTGATCCATCTGAGAGCGGAAATAGTCCAAAAGTTGACAGGAATAACAGATTACAGCCCCAAAGTATAGCGCCGGGAGCCCCGGTCGGAGGTAAGCCACGATTCGACAGCGTCTATTGTCGCCGAGGCATAATAATATCCCTCGATAGTCGGTTACAGAACGAAAACTGAAATCAGGCTCTTTTCTATGAAACGCCAGCGAAGGGATTCACAAAGTTGGGCGTTTAGACCCGTGTCGTTGAGCCTCAGGGAAGAAGCGGACACTCTGAACGATTCAAGCTTCAAGAATGGCAGTAACAAGCATATTCATCCATATAGGAAAAGCATAAAGGCATAAGGAATAGATAACGACCAACTGGAACTCCTGACTGGTATAGTCCTTGACGAGTCTTGAGGTTCGTATTCTGGGTGGCCACCTAATATACCATGAGATTTATATGGAGATGAACCGTGAAGACTCACCTATGGGCCCCATCAGTGTTATTCATTACATCTCTCCCGGATGCGTCGCAGGGCTCCTTTCAGTGGAAGGCGCCGAATTCGATCTGGTGTACCCTCGTTGGCCTTTCCTTGAGCCTGAGATATGCGCTTTCGTGTGAGGGCTAGTTTTGGAGCGCGTCGTACGCATTGAATTGCGGTGGGATCTAATCAGGGACGACTATAAACGGTCAGTAGTGTCTGGAGACCAAACCATAGAATGAGTCTTAAGCGGAGTCGTGTATGACCGCACAAAATTCGACCATGGTTGAATTGGTAACATCACCTGTATGTATTTTGCACTTCCTTTCGTTGCTCTGGCGTCTGGAAGATTGAAAAAGAGCGACTCCCCAGTGCTCATGCCCACTCCAGCTGGACTACTTCCTGGTCTCGGTGCGATTGATTGAGCTCCGCTTCTTGTGTTTCCTTTCAGAGATTTGCAGGCATTTGTAATATGTCGCTTGAGATCTGCGCGACGCAAGAACTTGCTTTGACTGCAGATTGGTTAGACCGACGTCAAGTCTGGACCCGATGGACGTACCAACTTTCGCACTTGTGTGACTTGTACCCAAGATGCGCAGCGATGTGACAGCGCGTTTGGTCCCGTCTTTTGTTTGTATACGGGCCATGAGTGCATGGATGGTATGTGCACGACCAATCTTTCGCACCGCCACGAGATCCATGACCCGCTTTACTGCGCGGCAAGGGATTCCTCCTCAGGTATTTATCGATCTCCTCCAATGGAAGATTTTCGGTGCTCCTAGCATTATTCTGCTGTTGGGGACGTAGATTCACCGGTTGGCGACCCACGCTCTGATCATCGACGTCGACAGAGGATGGGGGAGAGGCGATTGGAGAAAGATGATTCGTAGCTGTATTGCCCATCATTTCATTTTGGCTACCACCGAGCCAAGGATTGAGACTGGGACTAGTCTCAAATGCATTGAGCGGTTGCGTGCTGTCGCCGCCATGGGATATTGGGAATGCCTGAACATCCACATGAGTGCTGAGCACCATGTTGCTACCGAAGGTACGGCTGAGGGTGGAATCAATGTTCGATTCGAAGCCAAGCCCATGGAGCGAGGTTTGATGGTCAGTCCATGTAGGGTACTGGGCGGTCTGACCGAACGTGGGTACACCCTGAGGTTGCGTCTGAAACGCATAAGAATCCTCTGCGAAGATATCCAGAGGCGGAAGCTCCAAGTTGGTATTGCTGGGGTGTTGCAGCCCTTGGAAAGAGTCGAACAAGGAGACAAGGTCCAAGTTGGACTGGGGATGCATCAATGCGTCTTGGGCTCTGGTTACTGGACTTGGGAATAGAGGACTGATGAAGCTCGAAGTGGGTGCGACTCTGGTCGTATCTTCGATCAACAAGGAGCTCCGACTCGAAGCGGCAGAGAAGTCAGATGCTGCAACTATGTTAGTCTCCACCGGTTCATAGACAGAGCAAGACAGGTGTGTAAGAGAACGATAGTAAAAAAGCGGCCACTCACATCCACGACGTGAATCAGTGTACCCTTGGCCATACGTTGGCTGGTCCCATGGCATCTGAGTCCGGCGATATCCTGGATTCGTGCCAGACGTATCTGTTAGGCATAGACAATGTAAATTATCTCAACCGGATCAAAGGATCTCAGAACATACCAAAGTACTCGTTGCGGGACATAGAGCCCGCAGTTGGATCCCAAGCGTACATAATCACGGCAAATGACTATTCGAGGTTGACCTGGACTTGTGCAGATTTGGAGAATTTCTCGAAGACCTCTAAATGCCAGTCCTTGTTAGGGGCAAACAAGTGACGATCTGGTAGAAAGTAGAGAGTAGTGCTAGTAAGAGGCACAGAGCAACAAGCTAGACACGTTGGTTGGCCCAATGGAGAGTGGAGTCTGACCTGGGCGCTGGGTGAGAGATGATGGAAGGACAAACTTGCAATGGAGTGGGTTTTTATGGTCGGGAGAGAGATTTCAGAGCATTTGGTTCGACATAGGCGGGACTGCACAGTCGACCACACGAATGAAGCTGGCCGCATCCATGCGTCCCGGATTCTTGGTGTTTTGATGACGATGGATGGTTGGGCCGCAAGTTGCGGTCAATAGAAGAAGGGGACGTAGCTTTGAGGGAACACCAGCAGGTTACCTATCGATATCCGTGTGTTGGCTGGGATGCCCGGTGGACTGGTGGACATCACCTATACACGTGTTGAGCGAATATTACCACGTTACCTACCCTTACAACAAACGTAGTCTTTGTCAATCTGCCGCAGTTTGATAGGCCCCTGTTCTGAATGTCAGTAGGGGTCCACCCGGTTGTGATCCATGTGAGATAGTAAGTGGTCCAACTGTTCACAAAAAACAAGAGAATGGGACCCTAAACATACCCGTTCACGGGTACGATATCGAATCCGATCGCCGAGAGATCCGGCGGACCTGCGATTCGATTGCTTCGCCACCACGAAACACTGCGGTCGGAATACGTACGTTCACATTCACAGAAATAATTAGCAGACAAGTTAGGTAGCCAGCTACGTGGGAACGGGGTTTAATCCCAATCGTCCTCTTCCTCATCTTCATCGTCACTATCCGCCAACTTGCCCTTGCGCTGACTGAGCGCAGCCGCGAGTGCACTCGCAAGATCTGCACCTCCGGCTCCAGCTGCTGCACCAGCCGCTGCACCCGCAGCCATCGCAGCAGCGCCGTTCCCGCTTCCACTTGCTCCTCCTCCACCAGATGTCGATGCCGGTGCATGTCCTGTACCGTCTTCGTTTCTGGGCGTCTTCTTGAGCATATGGATGCCTGCTCCCTGGATACTGGCCAGCAGATCGCTTCGACCAGGCTGAGGTGCGGGAATCGCCGGCGCAGCGCTTCCCCCTCCGCCTCCATACCCACCTGGTGGAGGTGGAGGTGGAGGAGGTACACTTGGAGCGCCCATTCCTGGCATCGGAGGGGGCGGAGGCGGGGGAGGGATCGAAGGTGCGCTGCTTGTCGATGGCATCGGCGGTGGAGGAGGAGGAGGAGGAACCGACGGTGCCGTCGTCGTCCTGGGTCCAGGTAAAGGTGGTGCTGGTGGAGGAGGCGGGATGGGTGCGCTCGGTGCGGTACGCGCAGGTGGTAAAGGCGGAGCAGGGGGAGGTGCAGGTGCAGAAGGAGCAGCACGTGCCGGAGGTAAAGGAGGTGCAGGAGGAGGAGAAGTCGGCGCGGCGCGCGTCGGGGGTAAAGGCGGAGGGGCGGGCGCTGGAGGTGCAACAGGTGCAGAAGGCGGAGAAGGTGGCGGAGACTCTCTTCTCGGAGGTGGCAAAGCTGGAGGCGCAACGGTGGGAGACGTTGGCTCTGCAGGGGTCGCGAGCGTCTGGTTTCGTCTCGTTGGTGGCGGAGGTGGTTTCTTCTTGTCGGCTCCGCGCGCTGGAGGAGCTGGTGGAGGCACCTTTTTCTTTGTTTCTGCAGCAGCTGGTGCAGTCGCGGCTTCGTTTTCTTGCCATTGCCGTACATAGTCTTTGATAAAGCTCTCGTTGTGCTCGATCGTCGATGGATCGATCCCGTGAGCGGCTACTTGATTGAGAAGGTTTGTCCAGCTCTTGTCGACACCCTCGCTGCTAAAGCCCTTGTCGGCATCGTAGCCTATGTGCGCCAGATGCTGGAAGCCGGTCGGGGCAGAGATGAGCGACTTGTCAACCTTTTTCCCAGACGTTGATGCCTTTGATTTCGACTTTTTTGTCTTAGATGACTTGACTGTGAGTGGAAATGAGTGTCAAGGCTTTGTAAATGAGATGAAGACGCACCAGTGGGCTGCTTGCGAGTGGTCACCTTTTTATACATTGTCTTTGCTTCACTCTCATCAGCGAATACAAAGCCGATCATACACTCCTAGCAACCACAGATGGTGATCAGCTCGTGTTATCGCCTAAAACCAGACTTACATCGCCAGCAAACGAGTGGAAGAAGGGCCTATCTACATTATATTCAAATGGTTCCCAAATCTCGTGTTCCCAGACGATTCCGCGCGTCCCCTGGAGATCGACGAGCTTGAAGCCGAATCCAGTCGTGTTCTTATCCATTGCAAGGACGAGGGCACCCTGGAGGCCTGTATAGGACCACGAGTGAGGATCTGGATAAGCATAGTATACTCTGACGAGCGTTGCAGTCAGAATCTTGTTGTTTCCACTTGGGACGGCGGCTTTGATGCGCGTCTTGTCGTCTGCGCTGATGGTGGCGAGCGTCGGCATTGTGCAGAGAAAAGAAATCTACAATGCGCTCGCGGATGCTGATCGCAGCCTCACCGCGCTTTATGGTGGTCGAGTCCAAACGCCTTGCGACTGCGGCGTGGTCGACTAGGCGCTGCAGCTGGGCCATCAACGAGGATTACTCACAGATGATTACAGCTCCAACGATAACATTCAGGCATGGATAGTCATAGTTTGAATAGTTCCAGATTTGAATTCAGAGACCTAATGACGTACGTGCAGTCTCTCCCACTTCTGTTTTTACCCAAATAAACACCAACTATTCATGTGATCTTCGAAAGCAATACACCTGCATCTTGGACCCAACGACCACAATGTCTTTCTTCAGCAAATTCAAAGACACCATCCGCGGCAAGAAGAAGGAGAAGAAAGTCAAGACGGCAAAGACGGACGAAACAGCTCCTACCGCACCCGCTGGCGACGTTCACATCCTGCCTGTTCCCGGAGTAAGTGCCGCCTCGTGCTAGACCGCAGGCAACCCCATGTTGACCAAATCTTTCTCCCTACAGAACGAGAATCATCCTCCCGAGTCTGGTGGTGGACTAAACTCGAACCCGCAGCAAGCCGTCTTGAGCGGCGCAGGTCCGCAGATCCTTACTCCGGAGCAAGCTGCCGCGCTCGAGCCTCCAAAGGTATGTGCTGTGTGACCGATGCACCGTCTTCTTTACTCACGCCGAGGACGCTCCAGACCCGTGAAGAATTGCATGCACGTGCCGAAGCACTCAATGCATAAAGCGCTCCTAATCCAAGCTCATGTCTCGCAACCGCGCCACAGGGATGGTGCCATAAGCCCCTGTTATATAGTCAGACTCAATAATACTCCCTGTTGTGACCAAGTAAGATGCTTCTTTCAAGATGACTAGTAAAGAATACGACTCGCGCGACTTTATGGGACGACGCCTGTCCAGCTTCCGATCAAGTCGACGACAACGTAGCCACCAACTTGAGGAATATACTGCTTGGTAATGAGTTTGATCGCCTCTTGCGCGACCAAGCCTCCAACAAAGCTGGCCGTAGTGGGCAAGTCTGCTGTCGGCGCGCGTGCACTGGACGATTTAGCCCACAATTAGCAACGGGTAGACAGCCAACTCACATCTCTCCTATACTTTGTTCAATCTCCTCTGTAATCTCGGCGTCTTTCCCAATCAGTGCCTGGACCGCCGCTCGCAGATTCTCTACGGTTGGCTCTGTGCCTTCTGGAAGCGCGTCTAACGCGGCAAACGCAAGGTGCACGGCCGTCTCCCTCACTTTGACCATCAAAGACTCGCCTGTGATTACCCGAGTCAGAACCATGACGTTTGAAATGGCCGAACTACACACCGAGTGCCTGAGGATCCTTGTCGAGTGCTCCATACGCTTTACTCCTGAGCACGCGAAGACCGTGCGAGTTCTTGACAAAGTCGTCGATCATTCTCTCGCTAATCCCAACCCTGTTGAGCAACTCGTCTTCTCCTCCCACATTGGCCCCTAGCCGTTCCTTGAGCTGCTTGACCAAGATGGCCTTCAGCAGGTTACGCTCTTCTGTGGCACGCGTCTTGTAAATCGTTTGAATTTCCACATAACTCTTCGTATCCGACTTGATGTCCGGCAGCGTCGCGCTCAATGGCAATGTCCTCTTTCCTTCTTCCTGGCTTAGTACGTATTCCTTGAGCGCAGAGAGTAGGTGAAAGAAGGGTTTGGATTGTGGACCCAAGGACTTGAGTGCAGGGTCGTCAAACAGCGTCGTGACATCGGATGGAATGCGCTGAGGGTTAACGCGGAAGATCTGTCCAGCAGCTTCGTCAAAGTTTTCTTCGTCAAACTTCATCTTCATGTCCTCGATTAGTCCCTGGAACGCTTTACGCTCTGCAAAATTCTTGGGCAATGTATCATTGTGCTCGGCTCGCCACTTTGCCGCTGCCTGAATGAGAATGTAGATAAATGGAACATGGGCATGCGTTGTCTGGTCGAGATTTGCAAGGTCGATGGACATTGCCTTCTCTTGAAGGGCCGGGAACGGATTGTCGATGCGGAGCGATGGCTTGTCGTCGATATGTGATTCGATAACTGGAGAGCGTAAGTGCCCAACATTATAACATTGCCAAGCTTACCTGTATGTTCGTGACATTGGACGTAGAATTCCCCCAAGAAACCGGCAGTCTTGACCACAAACAGGGGAGGCAAGGCGGGATCGGACCAGAGATACGCGGCGAGCTTGTCTACAGTCTTTCTCGGGAGATTGTGGGCAAGAACGAGCGTATAATCGGCTAGCCACTCTGGTCTCTTTTCCAAAATATCTGCGATATCCTATCCGAGACGCGTCCATTAGCCACATTCTCTATCTCGTGATCAAACCCACCGAAACTTCTGCGGCGCTCTGTACACTCTCATTGAGCTCGGACAAGAGTCTAGCAGCCTCGACGGCCTTTTGCTTGCCAATACTGTCGTACTCGAGGAAGAAGTTGTTGCCTACATCCTCAGGTTTGGCGACGTTTGGATCAAGGATCGTAAAGTGACCGATCCCGGGCAGTACGAGATTCTTGAGTAGCGACGTCGACGTCGCCGTCGCGCCGATGACCAACAGGCGCGCACCTTCTAGAGCGGCTTGTCCAGTCGCGGCCCACAAGCTGCACGACGAGTTCGTGGAGTAGATTTCATCACAGTTTACGCGTGATGACCGTGTCAACAATGGCCTCTGTGCGTCGAGGCTGCACTGACCGAAGTTGGCGATCGTACTTTCGCGTTTTAGCGTCTGGAGGCCCTCTATAAGTGGAAATTAGATGGGCTCTGAAACATTACTGGAATTGAATGGCTCACGATTGAACGATCTGCGACATTGTCCGGTGCCTCTTTGGGTGTGGCGGAGGTCAAGTTTGTAGAGACGATTCGGAAAACAAGACTAGCATGATATTCATGAGACGCGATTAAAAGGATACATGGAGTTTTAGCTAAATATCCCATAGAGGATGACAAACCAAAGGAAAGTCGAACCGAACTATAGAAGAGACAAAAGGGGAGAACAGTCGATTAGCACTGGTTTATGTGGTTCTATCCACCCTAGGATGGTTTCTCCTTTGGCGGTCCACCCACCCTCGGCGTCGAATGCAGGGCGTAGTCGGGGCGGTACAGGCATAATTGGGCCTGCATGATATGCGGAATGAATCCAGCCATCATGATAAGTAAGCATGGAGTGTTTTATTTTCTTGCTATCCAGTTCGCATGTGGTAACCCTGTCGTCGTCGCACTTGGTGAGCGAAATCCTCCTGTTAGGAGTCCTCTCCAATGACCATGTCCAGGAGCCATAAACAATAAGATCCTTCCTCTTCCCAGCAAAATGTAGAGGATAAGCGGCCGACGGCGGGTTCTCGAGTTTGGCCTGACCGGCGAGTTCAAGTTTGCCCCCAACGACTTCCCAGACTTCGAGGGTCTGAGATCGTACTGCTGCAACCATATAATCTGTTGGATGCATGGCAGTCTGGATGCAGGGATCGCCCGATGAGGGTGCCTCGTACTCTGTTCCATCCGCCAGGTCACAGAGCACAAGCTTATCCCCTCTCTGACCAGCTATTGCCGTATCATCTCCGCTAGGTGCAAAGGAGATGACTCCAAGCGCTTGTTTGGACTTCCAGACGAGCTGATTTGTTTCATAGTTCCAAACTTGCGTCGCTTTAGCTGAGGAGATTGCGAGATACTGTCCATCTACCGAGAACAAAACTTTCTCGGGATCCGCGATGCTGAAATCAGTGAGTACCTTTGTAGAAGGCGACTTGGAGTTCAGGTCGTAGATTCGTAGGCCTCGAGGGCCAACTGATACCAGTTCTTTACCGTTGGTAGCCCACGAGGCAACAGAAGTGGCGACATCGAGCAACGCCTTGTCTACGCCTCCGTCATTGGTCACCCACCACACGTTGATGTAATCATAGGTGGGTGACCGAATGGTGCCGAGAAAGTGTTTTTCGTCGTCGAAAAACAGTCCAATCGCAGCGCTGTCAGGCGACGTTGGGCTATCCCACAGTATGGGCTCCGATGAAATGAATCTCGGGGCTTTGTGCCCGGCGGCGTCGTTGGGACTCAGGAGTTGGGCCTCGGAAGCTTCTAGGGTTACCAAGAAGGTGTAGACGTGCAGCGCAGATTCCGCAAAAATATCCCTATACTGGCGGACATAGGTAAGTCCAACTTTGAGGAAATGAGATAAGTTCTCCAGCTATGCTCCATGTTAGTCCATTTCTGTGGAATCTTGGAATACGCACAATTAGCCTTTCTGAGCCTGAAACATTGTATCCCTCCTCTTCGGCCACCTCCAGATTGACCTCCTCCTGGAGCTTGAGTAGAGAAGCAATGATGCTGTCAAGTGTGCCCATCCAACTCGCCAGTTCAATCCAATGGAGGAAGTGTTTGCTGAGGAAATCTTGGATCATGGCCCAGTCCACCCATCCTGCCAGTATGTGGTCGAGCCAGAACTTCGCTGCATATCTCCAACCTTCCCCAAGGGTTTTCTGGAGCCGATCATCCGATTTGATATCCGAGTTCCTGGGAATCCGGTATCCTTGTCGCCTTGCGTCCAACAAGTCGTATCTTAGGATATTGCGACCACTAGTGGTGTGCGTTCCACTCAGGAGTTGTATGCATAGTCTGCCCAGATGGCTGTGTGCTTCATCGGGCTCTACATAAAAATCGCCCGCTCTCTCCTTGGTAGAGCAGACGAATTCTTTGAAAGACTTGTTCTTGAATACCAGTGGCTTGAGGTCGTCTTTGACATCTTCGAGGACCGCAAGCTCTTGCAGCTGACTGAGGAGGGTGGGTACCTGATCATTACGATCGTATTCGTCGCGATCTAGTAGGTGAGAGAAGCCGCCTTCGATAGACAAGGGCTCGAATGAGGTAACGAGAACTTGTAGCACTTGTAGCGCGTCTTCCCGATCTTTCCCCCTCTTGTCTCTGAACGCCTGGTGCAGGGTGTTGGCATGGACACCGTCTATACCCGCATGAGACCCATTCCCTTCCGCAAGTTCAGCGAGGATCGCTGATCTTTTCCGACTTTTGACAAGCATCTCGCACACAACCACCGCTACCTCGAACTGGCCGGCACAGTATCTGACCACAGTGTTCCGATTGTCGTCGGAAAACTTGGGAATGGGCAACTCTGAATTGACATATCGCTGAAGGTCTTCTGCATTCGAAGTTTCAGAGGCGACAGGGTGTTCTGACGCTCCATACAACAGCCCCTTCCGTTTGAGGTCATGTATGGTGCCCAACGACCGCCGACTTGTGATAAGAACCTTGGCGGAAGGAATATTCGGGATCTCGTTAGCGAGAATCCTGAGCAGGGCTTCCTGCTCGTCAACCCCGAGGTTGTCCACAGCATCAAGAATAAAGAATATGGGGCAGGGATCGTGAAGGGCTTGGAGTGGCTCGGATATGAGAAGCCGAAAATAGGTGGGGGGATCATGTTGATACATTGACGTTTGCCTTAGTTGTCGCGTCGCAAGTTCGCGAATGCTTTCGGAGGATAGAAGCTGGGCAGCGAGATGTCGAATAATCTGCTTTACTTTTGGCGTTTCCTTCATATCCGGTGGACAATATAATTGCGCCACCGGGTACTTAAGGAGTTGCCAATGGGAAGCTTTGGTCGCGGCAACAGTGGTTTTGCCACTGCCTGCCTTGTCTGTAACCCAAAAGAATTGCTCTTTGCACCGGTCCTCATCCCATTGTTTGAGCTTGGCAAGCAGGTCCGTTCGGGTTTCGGGAAGACAACTCTGCGGAGATCGGAAGCCATATGTAAATTCCGTGATGGTGCATTCGGCTACGAGCGCTGTCTACGCTTAATGGTATCCTAGCCATTCGGTCTTGCTTACCTGGTAGGTCCTTGATATCCAGAGCATGTCGCACTTCGACCCGCAACTTGGATATACCTTCTCCGACAACATCAATTTTATTGTTCGTGACGAAGCCCACAGAAGTCTAGAGTTTTGATGAGTATACTCCAACAATCGACGTGAAACGTACGGAATATCTATTGTGTGCCTCTTGGAGCTTTTGACGTATACGCTTCATTCGTTCTGGGTCAATCCTTAGCGTCCCCAGGCGCTTCGCTTGTGGCATGAACTCTGGGGTTGTCAGCTTCTCTAGCTCTTCCAGCACCTCCTTGATCGCCTCGATGACAACTCTGTATTCTGTCAGCCAAGTCAACCCGAGATTGGATTACCTCACTTAGTGTAGTTATTCACTGCTTGCCTGAAGTCTTCGTCGTCTGATGATGGGTTGCTCTTTTCGTCAAGTTTAGCTCTAATCCACGCCATGAGGCTTATCCACGGTTCAAGGTCCTCGAGAAGCTCATCCCATCCAGTATGGATGTTGTCTAATGCCTGCATATGTCAGCCACAGGTTGACACGGCTGATCGACTCACCTCTGCAGTCTCCAAGCCACGAATGAGCAATGCGAACGTGGCCTTGAGAGGTGCAAACATTTCATCGGATTCCGAGAAGTCCTTTACGATATTGCAGATCAGAAGAGAGATAGCACTGGCTTTCTTGTATTTCTTCGACGACTCTGCATGGGTCTGACGAGGCGCCTCCGGCGTAGTAACGACAGTAGAGGGTGTGAGGGTGGGTGCCTTGCTATCTTCTGGAATAGAATTTGGCGAGCTCGAGCCCGCGAGCCCCGCAATGATTGGTCTAGAAGAAGGTTGAAGTGAGCGGATAGGTGTACCGAGGCTGTCGATTTTATTGAAGGTGACGCCACTCGCAACCATCTGGAGAACATGAGCATATTTCCTATTATCCAGGAGCAACGTACGCTGTACATCTTATGCGCCGCATAGAGCTTTTGACGTATGCGCTTCATTCGGTCTTGGTCCATCTTTAGCGTCGCTAGACGCTTCGCTTGTGTCTTGAACTCTGGGGTTTTCAGCTTCTCTAGCTCTTTCACCACCTCCTCAATCGCCTCGTTGACAACTCTGCATCCTGTTAGCCAAGTCAACCCAAATTGAATCAACTCACTTAGTATAGTCATCTACTGCTTGCCTGAGGTCTCCGTCGTCTGATGATGAATTTCCCGCCTTGTCCAGTTTGGTTTTAATCTTTTTCATGAGTTCTAGCCACGGTTGAAGGTCCTCAAGAAGCTCATCCCATCCAGCATGAATGTCATGTAACGCCTACATATGTCAGCCACGGAATTGAAAGGGCTGAACGACTCACTTTTGTAGTCTCCAAGCCACGAATGAGCAACGCGCACGTAGCTTTGAGAGGAGCAAACATTCCGTTGGACTCTGAGAAGTCCTTTACGATATTGAGGATCAGTACACAGAGATCGTTAGCCTTTTCGTATTTCGTCGACGACTCTGCGTGAGCCTGACGAGGCGTCTCGCTCGTAGAAGCGACCTGTGAGGCCGTGGATGTGGCTGATGTGCTACTCCTTGTAGTTAAGCTTGACGAACTGGAGCCTGGTAACCCGCCCGCGTCCTGCTGAGCTGTGGAGAGCTGAGTTGAGGTGGGCTGGAGAGAAGACGCCACGGGCTTCGGGGTGTTCGATGGTTTTGTGAGCTTCTTTGGTTTGCCTCCATCCCTCCTCGACTGCTTCCAAAACGTCCACAGCGACATGGCTGGGGGTGGTGTATTGGTGGCAGCTGAGTGACCAGGAGCCTCTGGCGGGGTGACGGCCTCTGGAGCCGTAGGCGTGGACGATACGCTTCCGTCTGTGGTCATATTTGACGAGATCGAGCTGGGTCTTCCCGTGGCTGGTTGAGCTACAGACAGGTGAGTCGATGTGGGGTGAACCATAGACATCGTGTCCTGTAAGGGCGCTGAAGGATTTGCTGTATTATTTGACTCCTTTGGTTTGCTTGCATCCTTCTTCGACGGCTTCTGGGTCTTCAAACCGAACATGTCAGATGGGCGTTGGGGCAGAGAGCAAGTTGACGACGGCGGCGCGGCCCACATCCGATGCTTTTAAGAACCAAATGGGCTGCAGGTGGCTCCCCATTGAGGGTCGGAATTCTTACCTGTTGTCTAACGTCACGCTGGGTGGCACTGCCTGGTTTCACACCATTCAGGAAATGATTATTGTCAGCGTTTGCCGATCTCCTTATCCTGAAAATGTTTAAACACCGAATATTAAGACCCTGTGGTGCACAATCAACGACGGTTCTTTATGATCGTAAATAAGCCTCTATTAGATATACGAATCGATCTCCGGAACATTAGGACGACGAGCTGGAATCACAACTAGCCGGTTGGCTTGAGTGCGTGGGTTGGTGATCTGATAAGTCGAGGTACTCGGAGATTGAACGGGGGTCACGATGCTGTCCGCCACTGGTTGCCGAGTGCCAAACATGGGGGAAATTTGTTTTCGCAGCCAAGAGCCTACCGTAGAGTGTGTACTGTTCACCTCCCGCTGAGAATCCGAGGTGGTTGGGCCGTCCTGCCGTCCGGTGGATACAGCCAATTCAGTAAGCCGGTTGGGTGGACCTTCATCTCGCAGTGCTGCAGTGGGCGTCTCCTGCCAGCCTGCCAATGGAGCGATCTGATCCCTTGCAGGAGGTAATGAGTGCTGAAGGGGCCGATATTCTGCGCTTGGAGCGGAGGTTTGACGGCGATGGCCTAATGAATGAGGAGCCCCAGCATCTCCTTGTAAACGAGGCGAGTTCTGGGGGGTGCCGACTGCACCTTGCGGGAGCAAGTTCCAGGCTGTTTGATCCGTCCTGGCAAGATTTGAACCACCCTCATCCAAACTCGCTCTATCTCCATAGGGTCGCAAATGCTGGACGGTATCCCAAGGTCTTGGTGGCATTCTATATATTCCAGCACGTGGGTGGTTTCTATAGTCTTCATAATTTGCATTTGCTGTGGTTTGGACCGTCCGCGAAGAGGTTTGTGGGATGTAAATCTCCTCTGGATCGGGAATGTGTGGTAACGCTATTACTGGGGGATCAATAATGCGTAACCTGGGAGAGAAAGAATTCCTCTGGGATGCATTCCCCGTATCTTGTTGGGCGACTGCTCTGTTGGGTAGTTGTGCTGTCGTAAAGACTTCTCTACGGCCGGGAGACTGATCCGTCATGGTCCCTACGCTTCTTGCTCCAGTGGGGTGATAAAGAGTTGCCGGCGGATCCAAATCTCGCATGAACTGGGCACGTGGTCTGGGTAACCCTGCGGGGTTCTGTTCCCCATCGAGCGTTGGAGAGCGAATTATGGTATTTTCGCCAGAAACACGATCGTCTTGGACAGGTAACCAGTCTGGATATCGTGTATCCCCGATCTCCCGTGCACGAGCTCGCCATGCAGCACGATGATTTATTCTCTGCGATGTGTCAGGATGGCGTATATTGTCCATCTGTGGCCCTCGCGTTGCCCGATCGGTGACAGGATTGAGCGTATTTACCATCTCGGTTATGGGAATCCTCGGAGCTGCTAGGGAGTGAAGTGTATCGGCTGTCCACGCTACGCGAGTTGGCCGACCGAACAGGGGAATGCGCGCTGTCTGCGGTGCGCGGGTTTGCCAAGCACCGATGGGACGAACTGTATTTACTGCATCCCGTATAGGAGCCCTGATACTTCTTCGTCGTTCCGTTCTCGAGCGATTCGTAAGGCCTTGTGGCGTGGGATGCCCACCGGGAGCTCCAGCGTAGTAGCGGCAATTGTCGTAATGTCGCGAGTTGTCGATGCGTACAATTTCGTCCCAAGGTGCGAGACACTCCCAGCAGCTATGCAAAAGGTAAGTATGTGTGCGAGAAATCGACCTCGGCTTACAATTGATGTCCACATCCTCCCGGTTTCTTGCACGTCATATGATCACAACCCTCGTTCTTTAGGATTCGGGCTTTACAATTGGGGCAGCCTTTGGTTTCAGTAAGGATCCATTCGTCTGTCCAACGCTCGCCATGTTCTGCGATCGCAAGTTGGTCATCCCATTGAGCACAGCTCATTCCTTCGTGCCATATACTCTGATGACGGAAGCACATCTTGGAGCCGCAGGCGTGACAAGTGACGATATTAGAGGCCTCTGGACAACTGTCAAATCAGATTTACACATGAACGTATCGGTACATACCGCCTCCCGTATGCTCTTGGCCTGCCTCGCAATTTGGAGATACACACCAAACCCAAGTCGAGTCGGACCGCAACGAGTTCTGGAACAGGAGAGTGTCATATCTGCAGCGAGTCTCGTCAGAACCCTAGAGTGTGTAAGTTTGGAATATATACCTCTGGAATATCTCTGGTTCGGCCCACTTCTGAACGTCAAAGTAGGTCATGGTTTGCCCACAACCAAGGCTCGGACATGGAATTCCGGAAATGAATGCTCCAGTCGATATCGAAGTTTCGATAATTCGTCTCAAACAGTCGAGGCAAGTCTCTGATTCATGTTCACAGGCGTCTGTTGCTGGCATGGTCGGGATGGCCACTTCATCCTCGCCGCTTCCGCACACGACGCACTCTGAGGACGCATGCACCTCCCTCGTAGATGCAGAGAATCTTTCTTCATTCATTGCAGTATTGCATTCCTCTTGATTGGCTATAATACTGCCGGGATTTGTTGGCGCGGCCTCGAGGGGTTCTTCGATCGAATGGACATCACGCAGAGTTGGAATATAATCTTGAGTGACTGAGGGCGTTGCTACGATTGCTGGAATCTCGATTGCTGTGTCGCTATCCATTGATCCTCCAGTCGGACTTGAGAAAGTGCGTAGAAAGATGGCGCAGGAATGGACTAGAGTGAAAGATCAAAATACGAAAAGTGCATTTATCCACGCAAACGAGCGCGGGGAGAAAGGAAATCGCGGAAGAAGACAGGCAGAGGCCGCGCACCACTTAACCAGCGGTACCAACATGTCTTCACCGAGCCGCAAAAATGTTGCCGTGAATACGTGCCTGTGGTCAAATCACAAAGAGAATGCATATGAAACTCATGACGACTCGGCGCCAGAACCAGCAGATCTCAGACCCGTAGAACGGAGGTCTCCTCACGGGAGAGACCAAAGGTCTCTTATCTCGCAGGATGCGCAGACGAAGTCCGCTTGGGAGAGCCGAGTTTTGGGACAAAGCTGCAATGTTCTCTAAAGATCTACGGCTCGTCACATCTAGTTTGAATTCAATGATTCTTACCTACACTCTTAATCTGGTACAAGTTGCATCGCCTGAATTGTACTTAGACAATGATCATTCTAAAACGTCTGTCGAGCCCTTTATCCGAATATCGAGAAATAGGATTACTACAATACATCTGTAAAGACAGACTTATCTACAACCGTTAATAAATGTCCATTAGTATAAGAGTCACAACTACTGGATTGAATGCGTGGGCTAGCGTCGTTGGTGATCCGAAGGTTTGAAGTTCTCGGAGATTGAACAGGAGCAAGAATGTTATCCACAGTGATCACCGAGCACTGAAGATGGGATGAATTTGCTTTTTCAACCAGGAACGCAATGTAGATACCCCTCGTCGGGAGTTCGAGGTATTTGGGATAGTACCCTGCTGTTCTGTGGATACAGCCAACTCAGTGGGTTGGTCAGACCGGGTTTCTTCATGCGGTGCCCCCAACTGTCCCATCAATGAAGGGTTTTGACCAATTGCTCCAACTCCATAGGGTAGGAGAGGTGCGACGGTCTCCGGGATTCTCGAGGCGACGTTGCTCATTCCAGCCCGTCGGTGATCTTGATGGTCTCGCGGTGACATATTTATTATAGGTTGTGAGCGACTTCGCGGGATGGCTGCAGGGCTCTCCAAGGAATTATTGCCCCCTGCATCGGAAAAGTGTGATGTTGCCGTTGGCGTATCCACAGCGCGTAATCTAGGGTAAATTGGAATTGCTTGACCAGAATTTTGCGCATGTTGTTGGTCGGTCGTTCTGGTTACGAGTGAAGGGCATTCTGCGGTAGTAAGGCCCTCCCTAGGGCCTGGGATTTGATCTATGATAGCCCCTAAGCGCCTGTATTCCACTGGAGGATATTGAGTTCTTGGTGGATCCAGTTCTTGCATGAACGGAGGACGTGGTCCGGATAGCTCTGCGGCACCATATTCTCTGCTGATCAGTCGAGAGCGAGCCACTATATTCTGCTCAAAACGGTGATTGCGTCGGGTTTGCACGAAATCTGGATATCGTGTATCCCCCCTCCCCTGCTCGGGAGTCCACCAAATTGCACGCGTATCTATTCTCTCCGTCACGCTATTCCCTTGGTCTGTGAAAGGATTGAGTATTCCTAACGTCTCTAGTTCGACCATTGCTCAGACCGGAAGACGATGGGCGTTATCACTGTCTCCAGCGTGCCGGTTTGCGAACCCGAGAAGTGAAGGGACGTACCTCTCGGCATCATGCAAGTTTGTCTCAAGACACCAGTGGAATGGGTTGTATCCACTGAGCCCCGCGGCACACGAACTCTCACGCTTCTCCGGTGTGTCCTTGAACTATTGGTGAGACCTTGCGGCGCAGGATGCCCACCGGGAGCTCCGGTATAATATCTGCAATTGTCATAATGTCGCGAATTATCTACCCGTACGATTTCTCTCCAAGGTGCGAGGCACTCCCAGCAACTACGCAAACGTAAATATTCGTGCTGGTAGTTAGCATTGACTCACAATTCATGTCCGCATCCTCCGGGTCTTCTGCATGTCATGTGATCACAACCTTCATTCTTTAGGATCCGTGCTTTACATTTGGGGCAGCCTTTTGTTTCGGTGAGGATCCATTCATCCGTCCAGCGTTCGCCATGCTCTGCAATTAACAGCTGTTCATCCCACTGTGCACAGCTCATTCCTTCGTGCCATGCGCTTTGATGACGGAAGCACATCTTGGAGCCACAGGCGTGACAGGTGACAATATTAGAGGCATCTGAAGAACAGTCAGATCCAGCCAAAGACTGTAAATCGCATGTACAAACCACCACCCGTATGTTCTTGACCTGCTTCACAACTTGGAGAAACACACCAAACCCAAGTCGAGTCGGACCGCAGAGAATTCTGGAAGAGGAGGGTATCGTACCTGCAGCGATTCCCGTCAGAGTATGGAAAGACAGCTCTTTCTTACACAAACCTCTGGAAGACCTTCGTTTCTGCCCACTTTTGAACATCAAAGTAGGTCATGATCTGCCCACAACCAATGCTCGGACATGGAATCCCCGAAATGAATGCTCCTGTCGATATTGAAGTCTCAATAATTCGTTTCAGACAGTCCACACAAATCTCTGGTGGATGGTCGCAGGCGCCTGTTGCTGGCACGTTGGGGATGGCCACATCATCCTCGTCACTTCCACACACAATGCACTCTGAAAATGCATGGGGCTTCTTCATGAATGTAGAATTTATATCGTGTCTTGACCCACTACTGCCTTCCTTGTGTTGGCCTGGTATATTGATTAGATTTGTCGCCTCTGGACTCGTCATGTGCTCTTCAAACGAAGCGATGACAAGAAGATACGCAAGATCATCTTGAGTATCTTGGGATGCGGTTACAATTGGCGGGGTCACGGCTGCTGTGTCGTTATCCATTGACGCTCCGGTCAGACTCGAGGAAGTGAATGAAGAGAGTGGAGATAAGGGGACTAGAACCAAATATATGAATATATACAGGGAAATAAGCGCGCGGAAAAAGATGACTGCGGAAGAGGACAGGGAAAGGCCGGGACCAACCAGCAATGTCAAGGTCACATCGGCCAATTATCCAAATATTACCATATATGCGTGCATATAGTTCATTCACAAGATAATGCATATGAAACTGGTAATAACTTCTTCGACCTCTCAGGGTCCAAGAATCGAAGTCATGACTCCAACCCCGCTCCTCATCGAGAGAATACTCTCCATATTTTCCACCAGCGCATTTCTTGTCCAGCGGGACGCAGGCTTCGTGGCGCTGGGTGGCCCCCCTTCTTACCCGTGTAGTATTTGCAATGGTCGTAGTGCTTCGAGTTGTCACCCGCAAGAATGCGCCTCCAAGGAGCCAAGCACAACCAGCAACTGCAAGGACGTGAGTATCTATCTGCGGCTTGTCCAGGTTGGAGAAAGTGCTGACAATTCGTGGCCGCAGCCGCCCGGTCTCTTGCATGTCATATGATCGCAGCCATTGATCTTTAGAATCTATAAATCGTTCGACTAGTGATTCGAGCGGACACTGCGATAGAGCACACCGGTCGTTTGCATTTGGGGCAAGCCTTGGTCGTTTTTGAGATGAATTTCTTACTGAGATCGTTTGCCTTTTTATGTTTTCCCTGTTTGTCCCATTGCTTGCAAGTGTATCCGGCGTGCCACTCGATGCGATGGTTGAAACATTGGGATTTCCGGCAGGAGTAGCAGATTACGATAGGATTATTACCTGTTCAATGGTCAGCAGTGTTTCGAGTCACCATGTCTGACATCGTGTACCTTTCTCTGTATGCACTTGTCCAGCAGAACACTTGGGATTTACGCATCTGACAAAGAGAGCGTCAGATCTCAGACTCCTGTTCAGTAGGTAGTTGTCATATCTATACATCGAATATCAGCTACATTATGCAAACAATGGCCCTGACTCACTTTTCGCAAACGTCATTAGGGGCCCATTGCCGGATCTCCAGATAACCCATCCACTGGTCACAGTTGTAGCTTGGACACCTAATCTGTGTCCCGTCTCCATTATAGTTACCATGTTTGACAGCCTCCTGAATTGTTCTCCCCAAACAGGCAGAGCAAACTTCAGGCGCATGACTGCAGTGGCTAGTAGGTGGATCTTTCGGAAAGTACTGTGGCTCATCTCTGCAAACAAGACATTCTTGGTTAGGAGATGCTGCCCTCGCGTTGTCGGGAATAACGACACGCGGCGTTGGTTCTCGGGGCTGTCCCAGTGCTATAGGGATATCACTAAACAGACCACTTGTACACCTCTAACATACCTTGCTCGACCAACTCTAGCATGCTTTGCTGGAGCGACGATGTCCCTGGCGTGGGATTCGATCCAGAGACGGCAAGCCCGTTGCCTGGAGTGTCTGTTTGCAAGTTCACCATCCAGCTAGTAGGACGTTCGGTCGTATAAGGTGTTATATGTATCGTCAGCCTTCAGCTTGTAATACTGGATGACAAATCTACCTGTAAAGGGCGTAGACACCACCGAAAGTGGCGAGCACGAGGAGTCCTGCCAGTTCTATAGGTTTAGACTGAAAAGAGGCACTTCAACAAAGGTTTGCGCGAGCAACGTTGGTAAGGCGTTGACCAAGGCTGGTGGCCGTTCCATGCAGCCTTTGACCAGTCGGCGTCTGATACACTCAATTTGATCGTTATACAGATCTAGCTCGAGAATTGACACTGCATGCCAGGTTATCAAAGAGACGGCAGCTCTTCGTTGACGCATCTACAAATATTTTCGTACATATTGAGCAAGAATCTTCTGTAGTCGAGTGTACCCTTATGGACCTTCCAAGCGTCTTCACAAGAGGTGCAAATCACTCCAGCCAATGCGCGGATGATGGGCGAGCGAAGCTCATTGCAGCACATCAACATGGCAAGTGGCAGAATCGCAGGGACCACCATAAGAGCTAGAGCGATGAATACAAGCGCCATGACCACGGGCAGAAGATGGATAAAGAGGAACAAGTAAAGGCCGACCGCTGCGACGACAACAGCTTTGGGGAGAATCTGTGCAAGTATCAGCGGTAGTATCAGCGGAATATCAAATGATGCCGTACCATGGCATTCAGCTATCACAGGGAATGGTTGAGGAGAATCTATCCGATAGTTGTGCGCCCTTTTATGTCCAAGACGCTCTCCAGAGCCTGACGTCCACATGTTTGGTGGCTGGAATATCCCATTTCGCATGTGTGTAATATACTTGTAGACATGTCTCCATTGGCTGCTCCGCAACGGCTGGGATAGCCACAGAAGACTGATCGAAGAGGTAAAACTGTTATATAGCACTATATTTGGCTGTTGAAAGACCCTCTCCTGCCCTCTGAACGGCCATAGATCGAAGACTGGGTCTTGCCGGTAAGACATATCCATCCAGAGTCAATGTCTCAAATATATGTCATTTTCCTGATCTATCATGCGTCTTGATGCAGTCTGGTAATCGCGACGAATGTGGTGCTCGGCAAGCTTTGAGCTTTTGACGACACCGCGGCCAGCTGTCCTCCAAAATGTGCGTTGGCAAGCGAGAATAAGCAAGCAAACTGCTAATATTCTGACTTTTGTTCGTGTTTATGCTCTACAGGGCCCCGCTGGTGATCCATAGTCCGGAAATTACACACGCGTCCTTTCATAGGACATACCCGACACTCCTGCACCCATATGCATTACCATTTCTGTCTCTTTATCCACTCCTTGCATACGCGTACTATGTAAAGTACGACGACTGGCTCAAGAGCGAGGAATGGACCTTCCTCGCCTGCACTTGCCTGGGAGCTGGACACGCACTCAGTTTTCTGGTCACTCGATGGAGTTTGGGAATGCGGGCTTTTCTGAGCTACCGCAAAGTGCGTAGTCGTTTATGTACTGATTTCCGAGGCTGCCCGGAGCTGACGAACAAACTTCTTTTTCCCTGCGCAGGCTCATAGTGTACAAGACGCTACTCACATACGACTGGTAGCCGCACCATTCCGTGGAAAGGGGGATATTGTTCCCATTACACAGCGAGATAAGAACGACAAGGCCAGCTACACGTTCAAATATCAATCCGACACGTATCTCTATAATCCAGTAGACAACTCGTTTGCACCAATATCGTATCCTTCCGACTCTAAACCACCCCTATCGACGTTTAATGCACCTCAAAACAAGGCAAAATGGATTGGAATCTCAACCGCCGACGTTGACAAACTCACCACGCTCTACGGCAAAAACGAGTTTGATATTCCCATCCCTACCTTTGCCGCTCTCTTTGCAGAGCATGCAGTCGCGCCTTTCTTCGTCTTCCAACTTTTCTGCGTTGCCCTCTGGTGTTTGGATGAGTACTGGTATTATTCGTACGTATATTCTTTTCGTGTGTCGAGAAAGCTGAACGTTGCACTAGCATATTTACTCTCTTCATGCTCGTCATGTTCGAGTGTACTGTTGTTTGGCAACGCTTGCGTACTCTCAAAGAGTTTAGGACCATGTCCGTGGTGCCCTATGATATTCAAGTTTATAGAAGCGGCAAGTGGTCCGTCTGTAGGACCGATGAGTTGATTCCAGGAGACGTCGTTAGTATTGGTGAGTTACCCTCTCTACCTAGGGTTTTATTCATGTCGAGTAGCCCGACCATCCGCAGACCAGTCCATCCCAGCGGATCTACTACTTCTCCAGGGCTCAGCAATTGTCAACGAGGCCATGCTCTCCGGCGAGTCGACCCCGCTCCTAAAAGAGTCTATCGAACTTTTTGAACCCAGCACGCGTCTCGCTATTGATGATGGTGGCATGCACAAGAATTCTGTTCTCTTCAGTGGTACCAAAGTCCTCCAGGTTACAGCCAGTTCGGCCGCCGCAACGACCAACGGTGTTACATCTGTTCCCTCCATACTCCCCAAGACTCCAGATGGAGGCGCCCTGTGCACTGTTCTCCGAACATCTTTCGGAACCTCACAAGGACAGCTCGTCCGCACCATGATCTTCTCGACAGACAGAGTCTCTGCAAATAACCTGGAAAGCTTCTTGTTCATTGGCTTCCTCCTCATCTTTGCAATTGCTGCTAGTGCTTACGTCTGGGTCATGGGTTAGTTTGCCTGCATTATCAGCACTGGTTACTGAACATTACCAGGTATCGAACGGGGTCTCAAGAAATCCAAGTTGCTCCTCGACTGCGTGCTAATTATCACATCCGTTGTCCCACCGGAGTTGCCTATGGAGCTGAGCTTGGCTGTGAACACTAGCCTGGCTGCACTATCCAAATTTGGTATTATCTCTTGATTCTCCATAAGCCCTGCGTACTCAACGACTCGCTAGCCATCTTCTGCACAGAACCTTTCCGTATCCCATACGCCGGAAGGGTTGATATCTGTTGCTTTGACAAGACCGGAACAATCACCGCAGAGTCTCTTGTGCTTGAAGGTGTCGTGGGCATCAAGTAAGATTTTGACACATCACTGGATCTCGTACTGACTCCTTTCAGCCCGGAAGATCCTCTGGCCATGGTTGACGTCAAGTCGGTCGATGTCAACACGACCCATGTTCTGGCTACGGCCCACGCTTTGGTCAAGTTGGATGAGGAGATTACCTCGTCTGCGGACATCAAGAAGGCAAAGTCTGGCGACGTGACGATTGTCGGCGACCCGATGGAAAAGACGACACTCGAGGCACTTGGGTGGCAACTTAAGAACAACGATATTGTTGAGCCGTCTGCGAGTATTGCTTCTCATGGTCGAACGCTTTCTAGCGTTCATATTCGCCGGCGTTTCCAATTTAGCTCTGCGTTGAAGCGCATGAGCACTGTTTCGTCTATTGGTAAAGGTGGTAAACTCATGGTGGGTCGCATTTCATATGATATAAATTCCCGGAGGCGCTCATACCGTATTCTAGGTCTCTGTCAAGGGCGCTCCTGAGACGATTAGAGGATTCTTAAAGGCCGGAACTATTCCTCATTGGTACGATGAAACCTACAAGTGGTACACTAGGCGTGGAAGCCGCGTGCTGGCTCTTGCCTGGAAGGAGCTCGGTGCTATGGGAGCTGACAAGGTGAGTAATAGTGATGTGCTTTTATGCTGACTAACGTTTGTAGATCAACCATCTTCAACGTGAAGAGGTCGAATGCCATCTTACATTTGCGGGATTCTTGGTCTTCCACTGTCCTCTCAAGCAAGACGCCGTTGAAACCCTGAAGATGTTGGCAGACAGCTCGCACAGAGTGCGTTACTTATTTGTTGATCCACAGGCCCTAACCCTATAATTGCAGTGTGTGATGATTACTGGTGATAATCCCTTGACGGCCGTACATGTTGCCAAAGAGGTGGAGATTGTTGACCGCGAGGCATTGATTCTAGACCAGCGCGAAAATGCAACCCGAGACGATGGTAAGCGTTATTTGACGTCGAAAGACGATGATTGACGACAACATCAGACCTGGTCTGGAAGAACGTGGACGATACAATTATCATTCCCGTTGTTCCATCTGCCCCTCTGGACACAACTCTCTTCGACCGCTACGATATTTGTGTTACCGGTGCTGCTCTGCGACAGTACGAGGGAATCCATCAAGCCTCATACGAGATCCTTGTCCAAAACACCTGGGTTTATGCACGTGTTTCACCGTCGCAAAAGGAGAGCATCTTGACCACGCTCAAGGCTTTGGGCTATATCACACTCATGGCAGGGGATGGCACAAACGATGTCGGCGCGTTGAAGCAGGCACATATCGGTGTTGCTTTGCTCGACGGTACTCCTGAAGATCTCCAAAAGATCGCCGAACACGCCAAGATTGAACGCATCAAGAGTGTCTACGAGACGCAACTCAAGTTTTCGCAACGATTCAATCAGCCTCCTCCACCCGTTCCACCCATGCTTGCAGCTCAGTACCCTGAGCTTGTCCAAGCGCAGGAGCGCGCAAAGGCAGATCAAACTGTGGCCCGTAGACAGAATCCATTGGAGAAGGTTGGTGGTTCGTTCGCTATAGATATGCCCGCTAAGCGTTCCTAGTTTGATATGGCGTCGATTACGGACAAACTTGCCGATCTCGAAGACGACAATGAGCCACCAAAGATCAAGTTGGGAGATGCATCATGCGCCGCACCGTTTACATCCAAGCTCTCTAATGTTGCCGCGAGTACGTCTACTTCTTACCTGGTACTAACATAATAGTGACGCCTTGGTAGTATCCAACATTATCCGCCAAGGTCGTTGCACGCTCGTAGCCACCGTCCAGATGTACAAGATTCTGGCGTTGAACTGCTTGATCACCGCATACAGTTTGAGCGTGCAATACCTCGACGGCATCAAGTTTGGTGATTACCAGGTTACTATTACGGGTATGCTCATGTCCGTCTGCTTCCTCTGCATTTCGAGAGCCAAGGCAAGGGATCTCTCATGGACATGAATGCCAGCTGACGACGATACTAGCCCATTGAGCAACTCTCACGTGAACGACCATTGGGAAATATTTTCAACTTTTACGTTGTTCTCTCGGTCCTGTTGCAGTTTGCGATCCACATCGCATCCCTCCTCTACATTACCAACTTGTCTTATATCTTTGCACCGTACGTTTTTGGCACTACTCGGGTATTGTGTATTTACATGGATACAGGCGCGAAGGTCCCATCGACCTCGAGGCCAAGTTTGAGCCTAGCTTGCTCAACACTGCCATCTATCTGCTCGGTCTCTCACAGCAAGTCTCGACGTTTGCAATCAACTTCCAGGGGAGACCATTCCGTGAGGGCATTACGGAGAATGGCGCGCTGTACTGGGGACTCGTCGGAGCTGCGGCTGTAGCGTTTTCTGGTGCGACAGACTTTATTCCCGAGCTCAATCGTCCACTGCAGATTGTGGAAATGGAGATGCCGGTACGTCAGCCTCTATCGCCCTTGGGTCTGAATGACATGTAACTCACGGCTTTACGCGCTTAGTTCAAAGTCCGCCTGACGCTCGTGATGATTGGAGACTTTGTTGGATGCTGGCTTGTGGAGGTTGCGTGCAAATGGCTGTTTGCAGATTTGGCGCCGAAAGCCATTGTCACACGTGGGCGAGAACGGCGTGAAGCCAGGCGATTCGAGGAGCTCAAGGCCAAAATTGCTGCGGACACGGCCGCGCGTGAGCAGAGGGAGGCAGAACAGGTTAAAGAGGCCGAAGCGCAATTGGAGAGTAAAAAGACTCGATAATCTGGTATCGCGCATATTGGAGATGGGTGTAATACAGACGGTTCCTTTAGAATATTCCGTAGAACCCTCAGCAAGTTCTCTACAAATTCCAGAGGGAGGCATTGCCACTGTCCTTGGATCATTTCACTCGATACCCTAGATCTGTAAACGTAGCGAGCTTCTTGTGGAATTCCCGTCCAAAGAACTGGTCGTACCCTGAATTGGGGATGACACGAAGTCGCTGCGTTTACCCCTTCAGGATAAGGATTTCTTTGTAAGGGTCGCAAGTCTCCTGCGGATGCAACTCTGTGAAAGTAGAGAGGCGTAACGGTTGGAAAGCGAAATCTCGGTGATCCGGTATCGTGTACGGTGGGAATGGGTGTAGTACAGAGAGCTCCATTCGAGTCCTTTGTACAAACCCTTGATAATGCATCAGCTCTGCCCAAGCTAGAGAAGTGCATTGTCTGTGTCCTTTGGACCATTTTTCGTTCGATGTCTCAGGTTCCTAAACAAGCAAGCTAATTTTGCATTTCCTCAATAGTTTGAGGAGAACAAAATGCTCGCAGTGTTTAGAGGTGATCAAGATGCCTGCATGTACTTATGGAGGGCTTGGACCAAAAGCCAGGCCTCTTTATGCTCGTCACCAGGTGTGGCCAGGAGGCTTTGGTGAGGATGTGACGAGTTTTCGAGTAGTATTCTAGAATATGTAGAGCTGGTTGAGCGAGCGCTCAAACCCTCGAATCCTAGGTTCGTCGGTGTATATCGAGACAAAACGGCAGTTGGTTCTGGGCGTTAAGTGACACGTGAACCAGCCACTACGATAGACTTTTTAATCGCTGAAGCCTAATGGCAGGGTCCGAGTTTATACCCAACCAGGGGGGCGCTGTAACATGAGGCGTTACGTAGCCAATGGCCAACTAGAGGCAGAGGAGAATGTAGAAACATCATATCGAAAGTTGCAATGGCCTGGTTTCGAACATCTCATCTTGAATGTGGATGGAAGGGCGAGAGCCAGCCTGGCTGTGCGTAAGCGATGAAACCAAACCCTCAGTCTCACTGAGCCGCCCACCTCTCAGGGTTTCTGCAAAAACTGCCTGCGTGAAGTTCCGTTCCGTATGTATTTCTTGTTTTCTCATTCCTGACCTCGTTTCCTGTCTGCTGACGTTCATCGCCATGGACGGACAGCGCCCGCAACCCTCGACTTTTTTCTCTTGCTTGTTTACGAAGACGCGCGACGAACGACTCGGATTTCTAAACGATTACGACTCTTTTCTACCTAATAAGCACCTTCCGTCGCGCGCATTCTGCCCGTCGACGCGCCCGAGTCTTCAAACACCAAACGCAACGCAACATTGACCATGGCAGCAGTGACCGCACCAGCACCGGCTACAGTCTCCGGCACGGGTCAGAATCCGCATCCGTTGCTCGACAATAATGAGGAGAAAAACTCGTACGTGTCTTTCGTGGCACGGCCGTTGCTGCCTGGCCAGCGCGGTTGTGATCTTAGGAGATGGCGCTGACTGTGCTTTTTCTCTGCAGCGTCGTCGTCAAAGTTGGCATGGTTGGAGACTCTCAGATTGGCAAGACGAGCTTGATGGTCAAATATGTCGAGGGGAGCTTCGATGAGGACTACATCCAAACCCTCGGTTCGCCACACGTCCTTTTGCCTCTAAAACATCGTTTCTGATCATCAAATAGGCGTAAATTTCATGGAAAAGACCATCTCTGTCCGGCGAACCACGATCACATTTTCCATCTGGGATCTCGGAGGTCTGTCACGCGATGTGTCGACTAGATGTAACCCTCATGATTCATAGGCCAGAGAGAATTCGTCAACATGTTGCCGCTTGTGTGCAACGACGCGGTCGCTATCCTCTTCATGTTCGACCTTAGCCGAAAGGCAACATTGAATTCGGTCAAGGAATGGTACAGACAAGCGCGAGGATTTAACAAGGTGCGTTATCGGTGTTTTATCGCGTGCTAGCTAACCTCTGGTACGCAGACGGCTATCCCGTTTCTCATCGGCACCAAGTATGACTTGTTTGCCAGTCTTCCACACGACGAGCAGGAAGAGATTACCAAGCAGGTCCGCATCTATTTGGTGCTAACCATCCACCATCTAACAAAGAATAGGCGAAGCGGTTCGCAAAGGCCATGCACGCCGGCTTGGTATTTTGCTCGACAGCTGCATCGATCAACGTCCAGAAGATCTTTAAGATTATCCTCGCCAAGGCATTCGACTTGAAATGTGTCATTCCGGAGATTGACGCAGTCGGAGAGCCGATCATTCAATACATCGATGTCTAAGCTGCGACTCATCTTTTCCTTTTCCTCTTCGACTCGGCCTGCATCCCAACTCTCAGATATCCCTCAGCATTACTATCTAATCACGACACTGTCACCGTGTCACCTGTACACTGTCTACCGCCTTTTTTTTTGTTCATCTGTGAGTGGCCGGATGACCGCTTTGGTTCCTTTACTCATGCGTTGTCTAGTGAATCATCGTCAGCCTACTATAGACCCAGATTTTCGTTACCCGATCCCCACTATTCCCCACCCATCGCATGCAGATACATTCATCACACACACTCGTTGAAAATATCAGGTCCGTCCCTACTCACTCACTCTCCTTATGCATCCTCGTTTCCTTTTCCTACCCAAAAAAAGACACTTTGGAACGTTTTGCAAAAGTATCCATCTATTCGTCGCCGTTGTCGTATATACTCTGAAAAAAAAAAGCAAGACGCAAATTGCGTGCTGGTAATGTCTTGTGTGAATACTTGAGCTTTTCTTGGGCAATACGTCGTATGCGCGGATTTAAAACGGACAAAAAGGACAAGAATAGGCCCAGAGTTCAAGACATAATTGGAGCGCGAACTGATCTTGGCCCTTGAAACGCACGCAATGCGGAGCGTGTAAATTGCTGCGGGTCGTCATTGGAGTTACAAGCGGTGTCCCCGAAATAAGATATATCCATTTCTCAAGTGGGAAGCTGGCAGGCTCGGCTGTCCGCGGGGGCACATTGTACAAATGTCCGGTTCCCAAACAAACCTTGATAACTTGAACCGCTCCGCTTCGCTCGTTTTTTACGCTCATTTGCTCATCTCACTGACGCACATCTCGTCTTTGTCGTCTTGAACCTCTTTGGAAATGTACGCTCCGGCTATCCTCAAGTCTCTCCTTGCCCTCGCGGTTCTCGCTGTTGCCCCCGCTGCCGCGGAGCTCTCGGTATGTCTACTTTCTTGCATTACACGGACACAATGCTTATGATCTGAATCTGTAATCGCTCAGGTTACTTCTCCGATTGCCACCACGACTTGCACGGGTGGTCAGACATGCGAAGTTGCATGGAGGGACAATGGTGAGGGCGTAACCCTCGCCCAGCAGGGCTTGTGCACCGTTGCGCTCTACGTTGGAGGTCGTATTTCGCAGGTAAGTCTCCATCTTTGTCCCTCCCCGGCGGCGGCTGGCCTCGGCCAGCGGTGATTGCCCGTGGCTCTGGCGTCTAAGGACGAAAACAAGATTACGCTCCGTGGTATTCCCACGCCACTACATAGCCAAAGGACCTAGAGGCCGCCTAAACTCCGGATCGTGCGGCCAGTAAATTCTGACGGACCTCTACAGACGTTCCTTCAGCCAATCGCGTTCCCAACAGCTATAAACGTTAGTACTACGGCGGCTATACAATTTGTAGTGGATCCCTCGGTCGGCGAAGACTCGTCCGAGTACTTCATCCGATTTTCGAGTCAAACGCTCACACAGGCTAACTCGACTACGGGGCTCCTTACCTCTCTTTCTCCGCCAAGTTCAGGCTTACAGGGATGACTGGGAGATTCAACGAGACAGTTCAAGCCCAGATCAGCAGCAGCGCACTGCCTACACCAACTGGAAACACCGCGACGTCTGCAGGGACCACTTCAACCCGTTCTACAACACGTGCGTCTACCAGCACTCCTGGTGCAGCCAGCCGTAACTCAGCTGTCGGAGCTGCTGCGGGAGCCATTGCCCTTGCCGGCCTCGCTGCCTTGCTCTAAGGAGCTTTCAATGGCAAAATAATGCGTCTAACTCTCTCTTTGAGCGTATGATCCTTCACGAGCATGCTCTCCCGTTCGTTGGGATGACCTATCGAACCAAAACAAACCCCAACCCACGCTCCTTATCCCGACTCTCATCCGTTCATTTGTTTCTTCTCCCATCTCTTCCTCGAGGAGTTGATGACTGTTACCCATGGATTTATTCCGTACACTAATCTTCTGTCAAATTGATGTTGACATTTCTACTGTATCCGGTCTAGTTTAAGAAGGCTGATTCAACCCATGAATGCGACGTAAAACAAATACTGAGTAAAGAGACCGCTAAGTGCATCATCGTCGTCGTGTTCTCCTCTCATGGCTTCGCTTGCATGCTCACGGGTTCGTCGCGGTGTTGCATATCCTCCGAAAGCTTCTTGTCAGACTCTTAGACGAAAACCACAGGACCCCGAGATACTAGAAGAACGTTTGAGACATTGTCTGGAGAGACTGCTGGGTCTGATTGAATGCTCGGGCACCCATCTAGTTTAGAACAGACAGCTAGGAAGAACTCTTCGCAGGTAATGAAAGGAGGTATCGACTCTCAGCAGGATTCTCACACCCAAAAAAAGTTTTCAAATGCAAGGAAGGCGAATTCACAGCCATTAGGGAGTGTAAAAGTATGAGAATCATCGATAACATCCGCCCGGGCACTCCTGAGTATCCAACTATCCACTTGGGATGCATAATCCTGCGTTTTCTTCTCTCAGATCGTTATGGTGGGTGAATGAGCTTGGCAGCTGGGAATATGCCTCACAAAATGCTCAAGCAAGTCGTCGGGGAATGCCACCTCCATGTATGAAGGAGGGCAAGCTTCTCCTGCCAATAGTCCCGTATGAGAGACTTTCACGCCAGCTCGCATAGGTCGCATACTCTGATCACTTTCCTAAGATACAAGACGGAACAGGCTGCGCCCTAGATCCTCATTTGCCCTTTTATAAGACGAGTGTCCCTCCAAAGCTCGTTTTCAACACGTGGCTCGCTTGGTTTGCGGACATCCAAGATGGCGACAGCAAAACATGGGAGCACGGTATGATCTTCAAATGTAACCTGAAGCATCCAAAATCAGACAAGCCGCTAATGGTACGTGATTTGTTCATTTTGTTGGTCACTTTAAACATAAGATCCAGTTGCTCCACGTTTCCCCCCTTCTTTGACAAGTCCATCTACTTGGTTGCCACCGCGAGTCGGAATTGATCTTTCACCCATTGATAGCTCTGGTAAGTCATAGGCTTGTCATAACACCAGATGATAATATTATCTCGCAGCAACACAATCAGGGCCACTTCATCCATCCCTACAAGTCCCAGAGCAGCAGCCTCGGCATGTTGGTCATCGCACCAGCGCGAAGAACTTGAAGACACTCGAGGGACCACCAAAGAAGCGCCCAAGACTCGAAGACTCACAACATTCTTCAGGAAAGCTATCTCACTAGACCATTGGCCTAAGGAGCTGTCAGGGAGCAAGGGTCCTTCGACCAGACAAACCGGTATTATGAAGTAGTCTAATTACCTATGGTGACGACGAGTTGTTTTTTGAGGGTTTATAAAGGTGGTGCCGTTTAAACTGTGCCTAAATATTGGCGACGCGTTCGATTACGCTGAGTCTTCTTCGAAGAGAGAGTATCACACTAGCTTCGTATCACGGATATACAAGAGTGCAGCCATACCGGTCTGATGCAAGAAGGCTCAGTTCAGGGTATGCATACGATGTATTAAGGAGAGGTTTACAGATCTCCAAGTGCATCATCATCATCGTCGTGCTCGCCTCTCATTACCTCACGTGATAGCTCCTTTTCCCGTTCGAGTGCAGCTTGCACGCTCACGAGTTCCTTGCGGTGTGCATTGAGCGGGTAGCGCATAGCCTAGATAAACATCATCAGCACAAAATATATGGGGGAACAGAAATAGAAGACTCACTCGGACACTCTCGTTGTGCAACTGCAAGCAAAACGCAATCCGGCGTCCAAACACATCGACAACCTCCGGTCCATAGCCCCTCATGAGGCCCGTGTGCACCTCTGCCCTCACGAGTGCCTCGCCCTGTGGCCGACTCTTCCCACCGAGATTGAACGCAGCTTTGCTCGCCTGGCCAACAACACCTAACCCTTCTCCATTGCTTGTTCCTTCGATTTCGTACCCCTTTTGAACCATCCACCCACGTTCGTGCACGATGCTCGCGTCAATGACGCCGTCTCGAATAGCCTTACCCACGACATATTCGGCGTCTTCTTCGCTCTCCAAGTGAAGTTTCAAGCAAATGTCGCGAAGAGAGATGCGCGAATAAGCTAGCGAGAGCTTGCGTAGACCAGTCTTGATCACATTTTGGCGTAGGCGCGAGAGTAAGGTGAGTGTGCAGTCCGAGGTAAACTGGGCCGCGTGTGTTTGGAGTGTCGTCTGGAATTGGGAGAGCGACCCTGCACGGACGGCTGCGCGCGAGTATCGATGATGAGTTATAATGAACTAGTCACTTGGCGGGTTGGGCTTACCGCGTACAATGTCCGCATAGGGCTTGAGCGGCTTCTCGAGCACGACATGTCGGAACATTTGACGCTCGGGGATTTCACCCATCAACAGCTCTACGACGATGAAAAATTTGTGCACGGCTTGATAGAACCCAGGAGCTGTGGTGGCGGGCGGAGCACGTCTAATGGCCTGCTGGAATTGGGTGTGCGCCTGAGTGTAGGAGAGTTGTACGGCTTTGATACGACCTTTTCAACAATCTTCAATACACGGACGCGTAAGGAGAGACTGTCATACCGAGGTAAAAGTGGTTTCGTGCCAATTGAGGGTTCGCAGCGGATTGCGGAAAGTTGGTCTTGGAGACAAACTTGTCCGCTTGAGAGAAGAGATTATAATGCAGATAGTTGCGAAGGAGCAGGTTGATGAGAACAGCTTGTGTATCGTCGTCGCGGCGAAGCGCGGCAGTGCGCTGAGCAGCGAGTAATTCACTAGGATCGCTGAGTAACAATCTATGGAATCATGGGAGAGCTCACGGTCGAAGAGACGCAAGGTGCTCGGGATCAACTACCTCGTAAGCTCGGCCATACGCCCACCAAATCTTTGCTCCAATCGGATCCATTGTTCGTCGGTTCAAAGATTGAATCTTTGCAGCCGACTCTTTTGCCAAGGTCAACGCCGCCTTCCGAGATTGCTCGGTGGGTGTCGACAGTAGATGATGAATGAGCAAAAGGCGCAAGTACATTTCTGTCTCTGGCAAATCGGCTGTCTGTGTAGATGCAGTCGAGGTGTCTACGTCCATGGACGAGGAGACATTGAGGTGCGGTTTAAGAGCTTTGGCCGCTGGTCCATCTGATATTCTTATCAGCCCGTCTTCAAACTATCATGATGAAATACATACCCTTGACCAAGTTTTCGTCAATAGCCTGGGCAATCGCCTCTGCGGTGAGGGACTTGCGTAACGCGGTGAGATTTCTCAAAGCACGATGCGCAAATCTTGGTTCCATCGAGCCCACACCCCGCTCGATGAGTGCTACATTAGCTTTGATCTCTTGCGCTGGCGTAAGCTTCTTCGGGGCTGCATCCTTGGACTCCTTGTCCTTGTTTGCCACGTCCGTGTCGAGTTTGAGTGGCTTCATGTCAACATCCTTGTCTGCCATGATTCGCGATGTTTAGATTGTGAGATGCGCGGTGGACGACGAGGAGCGTAGTAGCTGACGCGTCCAAGCTGTTTGCACAAACAACACGGGCCTTTGCCTTCGACCACGACTGCTGGCAAACGCTGTAAGTCAAAATACCATTTCAATCTACACAAGATGAACCGGATAAACAAGCATAGTTCACCCTGAAACTAGCCATGTTGACAAACATTCATCCCAAATGTCTTTCGCTCCTATCTGATCCCTCTCCATCCTCTTCCAACCTAAAAGCTGACTATTTCTCTTTTCAGACATCTTCTAGTCTAATGATCGTCTTCGAATGGGGTATTTGCTAGCACATACAATAGAAAAGAGCGAGAATAGACAAGCAACAAGGAACGAAAATATAAACGAAAGTCATTCAATGATCATGCGATCAAAATATTGGTGGCTAACTGGTGAACCCATGCTGTATGGATGAGAAAAGTGGGTAGCTTCTGTCCCAGGGCTACTGCTTTCTAGGTATGAAGGCGGCGACTCCATTGGGACTACGTGGGTGTAGGCTTCGATTTTACTGGCTCGCCATGCAGCCGCAACACGAGAGCGGGTAATCTGGTGTGAGATAACGGCTGGAGGAGGGCTATACGGCTCGGCATACCCTCCAACATCACCCCGTGATACTTCGACAACTTCCAGTGGAATCTCGTCAAGAGGCATTGCCTGTGGTTTGTATACGTTTTGGACGGCTATTCCGCGCCTGAATCGTCGTCTCCTCCACAGAAGTAACACGGCTAATATGAGCAGTAGGACAGCGATGCCACCTAGGGTTCCGCCTATTATGGCAGCAACGTTGATTTTCTCTGCTCCTGCGCAACCGTAGAGGTTTCGGATAGGAATGGTTTGGTTGAGGCGGCAGAGGTTGTCAACTCGGACGTGTCTGTGACAGGCTCGTAAAGAGAGGTGATTACCCCCGACGTCGACGAGATTCGCTCCGTTGTTGAAGTAGGCTCCACCGGTCCAAGAGTAAGATCAAGACGACGAAACATTAGATTGTACCATTCCTGCGGAACCTGGAACACGGTGGTATGGATGGCAACGTCGACTAGCACAGTCCCGTCGGCATTGAAGACATCCAGTATCCCCGAATGCAGAAAGTGGCGGTCTATGGGCCAGTTACTAAACGATGGCTAAGTCAAAAGCTGGGTCGTACCGTCTCCCCAGTGAGTTCCATTTGTTGGATATCCCAGCTGTGTGCTCAAATCATCCGTGAATTGGTAGCCGCCCACACTAGAATGTATTGAGACAGCGCGACTGTCCGTGATATTGCTCAGCGAGTTGGCCCGAAAGCCCCAGCTACTAAAATTTCCTTTTAGAACCGATGTCTTGGCTGACCACTGGCGTAACTTACAATGCCACCCGATCTGGAGTGCCTCTCAGAGAGGTGAGGTTGAGCGCTATCGTGGTCTGCAAAGACATGGTTTGATAGCCATGTTCATCTGCAGTTGCGTAAGAAGAACCAATCGTGATCTGGTAATTCGCAGCGGGCACGATGTAGTTGTCGCCTCGGCGGGAGATCAGCCATCAGTGTATACAGCGGCGCGCCGCTCACAGGTGTGATTCATAAACCCAGAGCACGTCCAGGGTCCACCACGCGAGGTCAAAAGACTGTTCTGTGAGAGAAATACGGAATAGGGGACAGGCGTTAGAGACATGAGTTGGAGGATGGTCGTGAAAAGACAGAGCCAAAAGAGAGGAAGGAGAGCAGAAAACATGATTCGTACGCACTGGCGTTTGATATATCCCCGTTTCTCCGTTCGGGCTTGCATGTGCTCTGGTGGAGGCTAACAGGCCTCGCGACGGTAGGTGGACGCTGACGTCTCAGTAAGAGCATTGAGACGCCGCCATGAGAACCAAAGTGAGAGCAGTACTCGGATGACCCTAGCGTTGACAGCAGGCCCTGGCTGTACTAGCTCGCAACTGTGGCCAACCTGATCAGAAAGCCATGTCACCCCAGAAGACTTGTTTTGGCAGTGATTTTGTCTTTTGTGCTGGGGATTTACACAGCTCTGCAATCCCAGCCCGCTGCCAGGGATCAATAGTCACAAGAAGCGCTTTCACCGTAAATAAAATGGACATTGAGTTGAATTTAGCATCATGACAGTAATATAGATATATGACGGCGGGCATGCGACCTATACAGTGTCAATAACTCGTAAGAGGCCATGGGCTGGCTTACCAAGGCTTCACGAGTCGCTTCTTTCCATTTTATCAGGCGTCTTATCGGACAAGGATACGTCTTCTTCGGTCTCTACGACGAGTTTTCGTCCGCCGAACATCTGATTAATCGTCGCGGCACGCTTGAGAACCTCTAGCTCCTTCTTCTTCTCCTTTATGAAAGCATCGAGCTTGGTCGAGTCTTGCTCAGATTGTGCCGCTTTGAAGAGGTCGTTGGTCCTTCGAACAAAATAGTTGCGAAAATTGTATGACGCAAAGGATTGCGAGGTACGTAGAGTGTTTGCATAGAGCACATTGAGCGCTTCTCGAGCTGGACCAGACATTTCTGATTTTGGAGACTGTCAGAGTTCGTGACCAAGAAGTGGCGGCTCGTCGGAGCAAACTTGAACTCCCTCCACAACTTGCCATCAACTCTAAGATCTGAAGGATGCCTCCAAAACGCGGAACAAAGAAAAAGGCACAGGCTGCGAAAGTGGAAGTTCCAGTCGACGAGGAGATGCAAGATGTTGAATCCAGTACGCAGCCGGAGAAGGAGATGAGCCAGCCTCCTACGACGGCAGTGGCAGCTGAAGAAAGTGCAAACGAGGAGTCTGTTGCCTCTGGTGCTGAAGGGCCATCCGCAAAGAAGTTGGTGTTGACACCACAAGAACGGGCTGCAAAGCTTGAAGCACTACGGGAGCGCATGGTCTGTGTTATACGCACAGTTTAACATGACACATTCGCTCATCATGTCATTTCTCCCATAGCGTGCGTCTGCGATCGCCAACAGACGCGATCTCATTGAGGAGAGCAATAGAGCAAAGCACAACGCAAAGGAGCTCGCTCGTCTAGAAAGAAAGCGAAAGCTTGCTGAAACACTTCGAGAAAAGGTACTTTTGTTTGCCTCGGTCTCTCCCATCCGCTGATCCGTCCAGATTGAGGCGCAGGAAACCGGTGAAGATCTCGAACGCAAACGAAACTGGGAATACAGCATCGAAGAGGATCAGAATTGGGCTGAGAAGATGGAAAAGAAGGCGAGGAATGCCGACTTTGAGTTCCATGGTAAGCATAATTAGTCGGATTGTTGCCAAGCTAACTCGAAACTAGACTATGACTCTACGGCGCACCGTAAATATGAAAAGGACCTCGACCTCCTGCGACCGGATCTCATAACCTACAATCATGACAAGGAGCGAGCACTCGGCCTCGAACCGGGAACGCTGGTCACAGTCGACGAGACTGGTAGAGCAGTCTTGACCGCAGCCGCTCTGGATCGTGGTACAATGACATCCGGTACGTCATTCAATGCTGCCATGTGGCTGGGACTCATTCATCCAGGCGCATCTGCCAGTGGGACGAATGCCGAAGTCCTGTACCGCGACGCAAACAGCCTTAGCTATGCGGACAACAAACCTAGCGAAGAAGCAATCGACCGCGTGGTCAACAAGCTCAATAACGAGTTCGTACACGCCCCGCTCTCAAGGTCATACTCTAACCCATGTCTAGTCTCGACAAACGCGGCAAATGGTCAAGGAAGCGCGCTAATGAAGACGAGGGAGATGTCACCTACATCAACCAACGAAACAAAGTCTTCAACAAAAAGGTATGCACGTGCATGTATCTCGTCCAGATTTCTGATCGTCTACAGATTGCGCGTTTCTACGACAAATACACAACCGAGATACGGGACAGCTTTGAGCGTGGAACTGCCGTCTAACGATCTTTTCTCGAACTCGGGAACACTCCCTAATTTATTGTTACTGTGGTATGTATACTCTGGCGATACACTATATTACAAAAGATGCTCTCTATACCATCAAGTTATGCCATCAGGAGAGGCGTGTGATCTTCTGCCAGGAGGACCATTCTTGGTCGCCGAAGAGGGGCTACTACGTTTCGCAGGTCCAAGAGTCTGCCTTTGGCTGTGGCTCCAATCGATCTTTTGCAGTCGTCGCACCCGTCGTCAGGATGAACCTCAGTTGGGGTGTACTCAATATAGTACGTGGAGAGTAAGCTGCGGACCCTTAGGGCCACTTCGGCATTGCAGCGAACCATGATGCAGTCTGGTAGGTCCAACCCTTCCTTTTTGTACCAGCCGGCAACCGCGTAAGCAAAGGACAGTGGTCCGACCGTGCCCTTGTCACGGTGGGTCAACAAAAAGTCCCAAAAGCCGCGCAAGAGCTCTGGGTTCCACACTATCTTGTCGTGCTGATCCTCTACGGGATGTAAAATATTGTAGTCGACGCAAGTTTCGTCAAGTCGCATCTCGCCACTCGAGGCATCCGCCCACGGTAGTATGCCATCAACGGGTATAACCCACATCGGCCTTGTCCTCAAGAATACCGCCATCCACTCTTCTGACCGCGGGAGAGGTGAGAAGCCGGCAAGAGGAGGCAACACGCTCCCTACGTCGACTTTGTTGGGTTCATAGGCCTTTTGGAACACATGCGGCATATTTCCTTCAAGGTAACGTGCCACAGGGAAAGGTAGGTATTTGTGAGTTCGACTAGTGAACCCCTGTCCCTTGTGTTCCGGTCTGCTTGCAAACCTCCATGGCTAGAATGCGGTTAGATAAAGATTCCTCGATGAATAAAGCATATGTACCAGCGGTAGCAACGCCCTGAGGCCGTCCTTTTCTAGCGTAGGTGCTGCGCGACGAGATTTCTTGCTACTCATCGAGATTCCAAAAGACTTTGCACTCTTGGACGATGCTCCATGTTGAAGGGGTCGTGACTGAGGTATAAGGGCGCTGAAATATGCATCAAGGTCCGACTGAAATTCGTTCAAAGGCAGGTTATCCTCGCATTGGTCGGCCACTAAGCGGGGTCAGCGGCTGAGACAAAGACGTATAGGACTGACCATCGTCTGCTTTTTGGTCGAACACGGCTACTGACAGCGCTGTAATCCAACCCTTGTCTGAAATGCTGTTCGCCACAAGCTCTCCGGCCATTTCCGCGTCATCTTCGGTGCGCTCGCCCAGGTATTCATGACTAATTTCATCCGAATTAGTGCCCTCGTCGAGCTTGTGGACAGTAATAGCCGTGGCCATTGACTGAGCAGATTCCAAGAAGTGGTGACGAAGTCCTGGATCTGACCACATTCGCCAGGCAGACCTGTATCTACAAAACTAAGAGCCATCTTCTTCTTCACCTTTATCTAATCAATTTTGTCTCCTTAAGAGCCGAGGATTGCTTGTATGTCCGCGTATTGACATCCTGGCAATCGCACTGACCAAAACGTTCATGAGGATGCCCCAGCTACATGAACTTCCTGTCGAGATCTGGCAGCAGGTTCTACGAAATGTCTTCGACGTGCCTTATGCTCTGGATACGACTGTGCCCACAGATGGCTGCTTCTGGCATCAGCAAGATCGATACCATGATAAACAGGTATATTGGATCTCCGAACAGGAGCGCAAGAAGCTCCGTTTAGTCTGTCGTAGCTGGCGAGACTACGTAGACGAGTACCGTTGCCGCTGGATATCATGGGACCCACACCCGTTCGCGATGAACAGAGAAGCAATGGAAGCTGGTGTTGCCCTTGGTATTCGCGAGGACTATATGGAAGACCCCGTACCGCCTATCCGCCCATTTCGCGCGTTCATGTCCATCAAGAATGAAACCGACTACAGCTTATTCAAATCCTCGCTGAATGACACGTTTGGACGACTGACAACCCTCTTCGTGCATTGCAGTTCACTCTATGGCCCAGCAATCTTCGACCTTCTGATAGCAAATGCACATAGCCTGCCGGACCTTCGGTGCCTAATGCTCAAGCACATCAACTTCCGGGAAACTCCACTGTCTTTGTTATCAAAGGCATTCCCTTTTCTGACAGGCCTTACTCTCGACGGAGGTCTCCTTCCTCCAAACCCTAACGATTGCCTGCGACTATCTCAGCTCGAGAGTTTGTACCTGGATCTTCCCTCACTTGAAGGCATGTCCTGCAAGACATGGCACCTCCCAGGTCTCGTCCGCCTCAGTGTTCCTCTCGCTCGCCGAGAACGCGAAGCATCGCAAGTCTTTGAATGTCTTCGCTCCCACGGTGCGAACATGACTTTCTTACACATTAGCTATGGAGAACCTGCCACGCTACCGCGTGACATCTGGAGATGGTGCCCTCACATGACGGAAATTGTCACCAGCTTCTCGATTGTCACATTAGAGGGACCCATTCCAGCGGAACACCCACTCCGATATTTGGTTCACCTCGCTCTTAACGACTCGTTCACAGATAACTCTCCGACGCTCTTGCACAACATCGAACTGCTCCCCCCCAATAGCACTGTCGTCGTAGGTGTACGTAGTTGGGAGAGGTACATGAAGAGAACGTACCAACGGCTGTTGAAGACAATGCAGTGCGACTATGGACACAAGTAGATAGCTTATGTCGAAGCAAGGAGATCCGTTTGGAGGACGAGGAGAAGGAAACATTTGACAAATATTTGACACACCGGGACACTGTCAAGAATACGTTTGTTCCCAGAGGTTTACTGGATAGTCTCACACTAGTATAGAAGACCACTGTACAGTTTCTGGATAGTTTACCCGCGAGATCGTCGAAGCAGGGCGAGTGCTTGCTCCTCCTGTTCTGCAATGGAGCCGAATTCAACACTATTAGAATCGCCGTTGACCTTTCGTCGTTTGGCCTTGCGATGAGTCGTCTCTTCCTCTGACGAGCTTGGCAAGTCAAATTCAGGAGACACATAGCCGTCGTCTTCGTGATCCTCCAGTTGAAGAATTGGAGCCGTTCGATGCCCTCCGTCGGTCTCTTCCTATGTTCGCTTAGACTCGAAAACAGCCTGAGAAATGTACTCACTCGTTCTCGCGCCTTCTGCTTGAGCTTTTCTCCTTTCGCTTCTTCTTTGCAACCGCTTTATCCTGCGACATCCACCTCTTTCAACTCAGTCCGTTGCTGCTCTGCAAACTGTTGTGCGAGTTCCATAACATCGACACCTTGACGCTTGAGCTCCTCCGCGTCCTTCATCTCATACACATGGTGTGCTTCGCCAGCCTCATCAAAGATGAGCTTCTCGCCGAGCGAGCCATACTTGGCCATGGCCTTTTTCGACTTTCCAATCTTCAGCTTGCGTTTCGAGATAAACTCTGGCTTATCAGGCTCGGTAGCGATCTCAGAAGGAAGATCGTGGTCGACTCGTTTGACGGTCATGAATTCATCCTCCGAGTCTGCTGGGTTTGCTTTGAACTCTTGGATCGATTGCTCTGCCACCTTGCGATAAAGCTCTTGTTTCTGGTTCTTGCGCTCGAACATGCGGTCATATTTTGTGCGAACAGTCTGGAAAGAAGCTTGAGAATGCCGCCGTGAGCAGACAAGAGAACTGACCGGTCGTTCTGTAGCCTGTTCGGAGCCAGAGGATGCTGACTCTGAATCCTCTTCTGCCATCGCAGTTTCAACCTGGCGAGAAGCATTCTTCCGCTGCTTAGCCAAGTCGCGGCTGAGAAACTTGACCCTCGGGGCTCCAGGTAAGCCCAGAGCCTCTGCAAACTCTTCTAGTGGTAGTCCTTCGAGCTTGAAAGTCGCTTTATCCTTTTGTAGGTATATGGATCTCAGATACGAGATGAATGCCTACAAATTGGCTGAGTCTCACTCGACGGAAGGGTTTATGAAGACATACCCTCTGACCTAGATACTTGATATCAGGATCCTGGAATGCAAAGCTTTGTAAATGGTTTTTGATTTCCATTGTCTGGCTCGACTTGACTTTGATATTTTGTGGACTTATTCCTTTCTTTTGAAGTGCTGCAGTGAAACCCTCTTCTTCACTCGGTAGAAGCACAAGGAGGCCTTTTCCTTGACTTTGATACCGCGCCGTTCGCCCTACGCGATGAATGTATGTGTCTGCATCTTCTGGTGCATCCAGTTGGACGACCCAATCGACCGCAGGAAAGTCGAGCCCACGAGCTGCAATGTCGGTTGCGAATAAGAACGCATGCTTGGCAGTGGTGAATTTCTGAAAGATTTCCAGGCGTTTCGATTGCTTCTGTTTCCCATGTAGGTGCATGAGAGGGACACCAGGATGGAGTTTGCAAAATGTTTCGAACGCGAAGCGAACTTGCTTGCATGTGGAGAAGAATACGAGTGCTTTAATTTGGAGATGGGTCTTGATGAAGGAAAACAGAACGTCCAGTTTCCTCGGGAGCTCGCATATGGTGTAGTATTGCTCGAGTCCTTTTGGTGTCGCAGCGTCGTGGTTCTCCTCTTTGACCCCAACATGAACAGGGTCTTTCAGACTCAGTCGAGCAAGGTCGCTGACTGACTCTGTTTGAGTGGCTGAAAAGAGTAGTGTTTGCCTCGACTTTGGCAAATGCGCAACGATAGCGTTGAGTGCCTTTGCAAATCCCATGTCCAAGATGCGGTCGGCTTCATCCAGCACGAGTAGCTGTAGATTCTCACAGTCGAATCCAACGGTTTGGTCCATGTGCTGAAGGAGACGGCCTGGAGTCGCAACTAGAATGTTCATTTTGGCTAGACGATCGCTCTCGTCTTTGAGGTTTTTGCCGCCGATGACTAAACCAGCGGAAAATGTATGATATCCACCTATTTTTCGTAAAACATCAAAGATTTGCATCGCCTATGCAGATGTGAGGTATGACCAGCGGTGTAGGAAGAGCACTATACCAGCTCCCTCGTCGGCGAGATAATAAGGGCTCCTAGCCCATCTTGAGGACCCCACTTCTTGCGCAATAGTACCTCCAGAATCGGTATCAAGAATGCTAGCGTTTTTCCACTCCCAGTTCGGGCGGCACCAAGGACATCTTTGCCTTGAAGCGAGAATGGAAGACTTTTGGCCTGAATGTCGGTCATGTTGATAAAATAACCCTTCTTTAAACCTGTATTGCGTCAATTCGAGTTGTGATAAAAAGAAGTTGTGTCTCACCTCGTTTGGTAGCGTCAGACAGCGGCATATCGGCAAACTTTTCTGCTGTCTGCGACACTTGCTATCTCCATTCGATGAGTGAGGTTAACAGCGTGTGAGTTATCCACTCACCAAGCCCGCCACTTGCTTTTCAAGGTCGGCAATATTCCTGTTTTGCTCATGGTAGCGTTTTGTTTTTCCCCGTGGGACATGGTGTTCTCGCTTTCGCTTCTTTCCAACGACATGCTGCGTTGCCGACATGGTCGTCGGGGAAAAAGTCTGGACCCGATCCTATCCACCTATTCTGGTGTATGCACCGCGCCGAACAGGGCATCGAACTTGAGGAGATTATGACACGGAGGAATACTGCATCAGAAGAGACCTCTAGTCCAAACGAGCATTCACTTGTACAGGATACGTCGCTTCGACGGCGCCTCGCGTTCAGCTTCTTTCTCTTGGGCCTTGTAAACAATGGTAAGACTTGTTTACGCATCTTCACATCTGACAGAGTCCACTAGTGCTATATGTGATCATTCTATCTGCCGCATTGGACCTCGTCGCCTCTGTCCCAAAAGGCCTTGTTCTATTCTGTAATATCGCACCCTCCTTGGTTTGCGCATTCATGACATACCTGGAAGCGATTTGAGGTCTTTTATAGGTTGCTAAAGTGGGGTGGCCCTATCTACTCAAAGGCGAAATACGTTACCAACGGCGTATCATTGGTTGCTGTTCGTTGAGCTTCATCGGGATGGTTGTGAGTCGCTATACTGATTCAGACAGACCCTTGGCTCATTATGACATTCAGATGGTGGGCTCCTTTGATCACTTGTTGTTCAAGTTATTGGGGATCTGCTGCGCATCCTTTTCTTGTGGTAAGTGGTGTAGTCAAACTTGAAAGCTTCTAAGATTGGAAGGGTTGGGGGAGATTACGTTTCTCCAACTTATTACCCGGTACCATCCCTCAACCCTTATGGCGCATTGCGTTGGGTTAGTCTCCCCCCTCCTGTATCAGTATACACTCATCACCCGCCAGATACTTTGCAAGTGGAACTGGCGCCGCCGGTCTTGTGGGTGCTGCGCTGTGGTGGCTTCTACGTCAGATCGGCGTACAAATAGGAATCTTCATCTGTTCTGTACGTTCAAACCCCAGAAGTGGATTAAACTGACGCATGTAGCTTCTACCATTTGCTCTACCTCTTGTTTGGTTCTTTATCATTCCTCAACCAGAATCCATGTCAACTTCCCAGCGAGTTGCTGCTGGATATGCGTCAGTTCCAATCGAAGAGGAGACGGACGACGAGTCGGCTGCAGTGCTGGACCCTGCCCAAATCGCTCCGGTAGCATTAACTGCAGATGACAAGTGGGCGCTACTATCACCTGTACTTGCTAAATACATGCTACCCCTATGTAAGTGCGATAAGATCCTCGTTTCAACTGCTAATCTCTTCTAGTCAGCGTCTACTTGGCGAGTGATACCGTTTTGCGCAAGATTTCGCTGACTCGCTCCAGTTTGAGTACATTATCAATCAGGTTTGAAATTTACGCTCAATCGAGCTGATTAATTGACAACGTCTGTCTAGGGTGTCTCGCCGACGCTGCTTTACCCCGTGCCAAATCCATATGCACCCAAAGTTTGGCAGTTTCTCATAAAGGATCTCAAAGATTATTATCCGCTCTGGCAGGTAAGTTTGACAAGATGATACTTGTGAACATACTGACCATGTTCACTCCATTAGCTCGTTTATCAGACCTTCGTCTTTCTCTCCCGGTCGTCGCTCACGTTTGGACTACCCCCGATTCCCGTCAAATTCCTGGCACTACCCGCAATCATCCAAGGCATGATCCTCATTATACTGACAACCGAGTCAGCGGCGGCAATTTTTGGCCAACATGGAGCCACTCTAGACTTGCTACTCATCTCCTTGGAAGGACTGTGCGGTGGCCTAGCATAGTGAGGTCTCCATGAAGCTAGCGAGCTACTTGTTAATGCCTTTGCAGTGTCAATGTCTATTATCATCTTGGCCACGAAGAGGTTGATCCAGTCGTGGTCAGGGACTCGTCGGTCGCGAATGAACATGGACAAACGTCGAGCGCAGTGCAGGCGTCCACAGTACTTCAGCTGCACCACCTGTACGAGACCCAGTGACGGATGCTCAATGGAGACAACAGGCCAAAGAGTTCCGTATGGGTTCTATGGGATTCGCTGATTCGTTTGGAATTCTCCTGGCATCGCTCATTGCAATGCCGACGGAAGTTGGACTTTGTAGGTTACAAGAGCTACGAGGTGATATCCTTTGCCTCAAAGTTTGATACGGGTGGCGAGGTTAGCGACTGTACCTTGCAAAATTGATCATATCCTCGACCGTTCCCCCGGAATCTCCTCTAGCTATCTCCGAGAATTGCCAATGGCTGACATGCTTATGCCTTGCACTGGACCCCATGTCTTCGTCTGATTTCATTTGGTTGAGAGGCCCACTCAGCAGGTTCGACAGCCCCGCAGATGTCAACACGTCCAATGCGATTCGTCGGGGGTTGTACTGTTTCCTGACCATGTGGATCTGTGGTGCGACTAACGGCAGCTGTTTGCGAGGGGGTCACCACAGAAGGTCTACGTACTGGCCATTGTACGTAAGGAACTGCCCACATCAAATCATGGATTTCGTGCAGGAATGCAGGGCCAGGCGAGATTATCGGCTAGCCCCTCGGGCCCACGAGGAGATTGCCGGAGCAAGGCAAATTGTCCACCTTTTCGGAGGTAAGTTCATCACTAAAGTTTCGATTGCACGGTAAAGTTCCAGTTTAGTTAGTTGTTGATCGCCCTTAGGATATATAGATCTCAGGGCCAATCAAAATGGCCGATGGGAATCTGATGCGGAAGATGGACGAGTGAGAGTTGAGAGAGCAGGGCAAGACTCGAAGCTCGGAACCTGAGACCTTGACGCCTGCGCAACGGCAGCAGGGTCAGCTGGATGAAACAACGTCCAAGGTGCAAAGGAGACCTGTTCAGACATCGGCACATCGAATGCGACAGTCGCTGTTCGGGGATTAGAGTTCCTCGGCAGGAGAGGCAAACAACCGAGGAGTAGTGCGCTTTGTTTGGCACCTTGGCTTTCCATTTGTCGCTCCTTCATAACCGCATCCCCGACTGCGCGACCTCGGTCTGCCTGTCTCCTTTCCCCGCTTTCGGCCCCCCAACAACCTAATGGTCGCTGTATAGTAAGTGGCGCTTCTCAGAGACTAGCAATAATCATGAATTACTGCTAAAATAAGGTAGAACAAGTTTATAGGAACGAACGAGTCTCATGATGAGTCGGTTACAACGATGGCTTCGGAAACTGGGCTCCAGGACAAAGAAGAGGCGACGTTCGGTATATGTTGATGATCAACAGCGTCAGCAACAGTTACGATACGAAGAATGGCAGCGAGGGTATGAAGCATGGCGGCAAGCTCAGGGCTTGAGCGAGCCGTGGCCATTGTCCCAAGATCATACAGAGACACGCCAGAAGGATATGACAGAAGAAGACGAATTCAGCGACAACTTTGTCTGCGAAGACGATCGAAAGGCACGATTTAGCGAGCCTGAAGACGTGGTGGCAGGGTTCGGGCCAGGGCTCGAGACTGGTCAGCAGGCGTTGAGGAGACGAAGGCGGATCTCAAGTCCAGAGTTTTCTCAAGTCCCACAGAAGAAGAAGGCAACCTCTGGTGGTCCGTCGAAGGCTGCAAGAGGGCAAAAGCGGCACAGAAGGAATGGCGAGACGGTTAGCTTGGGCGGAGGCGCTACCAGATCTGCACTTCCAAGTGCAATGGATTACTATACGCTAACCTCCATCGCAAACTCGTGGGGAATGGTTCCTGTTGTGATGAAGCGCACTGGTGACAGGCGGGAAGGCGTAGGGGACGAATACATCGCCTCCTCGGGGATTCTACGAGGAGAAGAGATGCGTGAGTAACTCGAGATGATGTTTGGGAGAAACTTAACCTTGGCGCTATCTACAGGCCCACTGCTCCTGTTGCGCTCTGACACTGCTCAGAAACGCGCCATGTCATTTACATACGGCGACTCCGAGCAAGATAATGATGAGATTGAGCTCATGTCATTCAAGACTATGGCAGCCAATTAACCTCCTTGTTCGTCTCTATTCCGAACCACTCGTCGTCGAATTGCCCTCCTGCACCCAAGTCTCTCGTTTAAGAGCATGCGTGTGTGCATTTGTCTTACTGCGCTCCGGATCCGCTCCGGTTGCCCTAGCTATTCCTTCTATCGGGATGCATTGTAAATCTGGAATCTATCGTTAACTATAATGTTGATACTCCATTGCTTTTATCCTCTCCTTTCCAAGTCTTCTTGCTCAGATGGAGGCCATCAACTGTGGCAAATGAACGTTGCTCCCGACCTGAACCACAGCCAAATTCCGACGCTTTTGTGGACAACGATAGCTTGTATGAAGCCTGAAAATCCGCATTTCTGGCCCATTAACGACTTGCATGGTTTCAGGACGCGGTTCCAAACGACCCAAAGGCTTGAAGAAGCATCCACTACAACTTGATACTTGTCATGCCTGGTCCAGATTACACTATTTTCGCGTTTACGGACCTTTCGATGTGCACCTCGCTCACGGACGGCGATCGTTCGTTTCTTGAGCCGTTTGCACGAGGGTCGCGATTGCTTTCCAAACCCAACGACGAGGCGACAGGTAGTAGAGATGAGGATACGAGTATGCGAAACGCGTCAAATAAGGGCGACGCACAGAAGGAAGTACAAGACATTGACCCGAGCTACGGGTTCGACGAGTTCCTGGCGAGTATGGATATCCTTATTTGTGGGAGAGGGCTTTATGAGCAGACTATGCAGAGGACGAACGGAAAGTGGCCGTATACGGGCAAGAGACTCATCGTCTTCTCTGCCGTCCCACTCTCTGAGCCAGTATCTTCCCCCGATGGTCAACGTAAGTCCTTTGACTCCTCACAAAACTGAATCTTCTCGGATGGCGATAATGGAATCTGACGAGAGTGCAGCGCCACAAAGACCGTTTACACCTCCACCGAACAGCGAACATTTTACGGGAACACCAGCTCAGCTCATGCAAAAGCTGTTTCGGGATAATACAAGATCGCGTAAATTTCGACGCGAGTCGGTATGGGTCATGGGCGGTGCGTCGATACGCGGCGCGCTGCTCCAGCTCGGTGCCATTGAGCGGATAGAGCTCGTCGTCGTACCCAAAATTATCACTCGGGGGAATCCGTTTGCGCCGCGGTCGGGTAGTGTCGGTGTTCCCTTGTGGGCGTTTCCGTCGATCGAGGGCGGGCAGGAAGAGGAACGGGCTGACGTTGATTTGCAACTCATTGAATGTAGGAGTTATGAGAATGGGGTTCTTGGTCTATCATACGTGGTGGGTGGCATGTCCTACGTTGTAGGCGGCAACCCATAACAGAAAGACACGGAGAGTCGTGTCCTGTGTGAATAAACTAATGTAGATTGACGGGTGATGTCTGACTGTGAGCCTGTCGAGCCTTGAAGGGTTGCCTTCTGCACTTGGACTCTGCCTTGTACCTGTTCAACGGTTCACGCCCTGGAATTCATAATCTAACGACAAGAAACTTCATTTAATAACCTTATACACTGTTTGATACGCTTCTGGACATCTGAAATGGCTAGCCCAAACCCCGCTCGTCTGTCTGCTATCGGGAGCAAGACGTTGACACTCGCAATGGAACGCCAACGCCTTTTATCCATTTCTCCACCATCTCAAACACACATAGCTACTGGTGCACACTCGTCTTCGTCGTCGAGTGTGAGCCAAATCATGAAGAACCTCACGACACTGCGCGAGGGTATCATGGCGATTGAGAATGCACAAGGATCCTCGAAACAAACTCAAGGGTTGAGGGAGCAATATTCGAGTATATTGAGCGTGTTGGGCGAGGACGAGGCTGCGGCTGCGGGTGCACAGAGGTACGTGGACGGTCGACTGTGCGAATTGCGAGGTCATGTTGATGTTTGGTTGGATTACCTATCAGTCTACCGCCGGCTCCTCGTCCCAAGATTGAGTCTCTCATCCCGTCTACCGCTGCAGCGGGCTCTAGCGAGCGGGTTGAATTCCGGGACGACCCGGAACAGACAAATGACGATATGTTTATGCAGCAGAAGCAAATTATGCAAGGTCTCGTACCATAGTTTTTGCGTCGTATGCGAGGTTGACAGTGCTCCGTTCGTAGATCAAGATACACAATTGGATGTACTATCACAGTCGATAGGAAGACAACATCATTTGTCTCTCCAGATCAACGACGAGCTGGGAGAACAAGCTGGGCTCTTGGATGGGTTGGATGAGGATTTGGATCGCACGGGCGTACGATTGCAACGGGCTCATCGAACGTTGGATAGGGTCAGCAGGGGAGCAAGAGAAAATTGTGAGTGCCCACCCGTCCCCTAGACGATTCACTCAAAGTGTGTAGGCTCGACAGTCACAATTGGGGTTGTAATTTTCGTCCTCCTTCTTTTGATCGTAATCTTCAAGACATGATACCGGCTTCTCGATAATAACTTATTCGATAATCGTCCCATCATCATCCTCGAGGTTTACGCTCTGCATCGTTTGATTATGTGCATATACAATCAATGCACATGTGTCCGCAGCGTGTTCGGATACAATCCCAAGTGGCGTGATCAGTGTAACGAGTCGAGGTAGACCCGGAGAAGGTCGTGTGGTGGCGCGAGATACGGTCGAGCTGGGGATATGCGGCCCAGTTTGACAAGTCTAAAACACTCCGAGGATTGATGGAAAGCTGCCAATGACAGGATAGATTAGGCCTGCCGATTTGTGACGTGTGAATAGCGGATGAGGTCCAAAGCACCAGCTCTGGCAGTTGGATGATGAGCGGTAAACTTGGACCTGATTTCATTGAACTCTGCGCTGGCTAGTGGGAGAGCATTCCGTCGTAGACTGCTGCTTATCCAACTATGGGTGGATGTCCCTGTGGAATTGCCGTCCTTGTTCTCACCGCGTCCGCGCCCTGACCGTGGGTTCTTGTCTTCTCTTAAGAGGCTAGCCGGACCAGAATCGGCTCTTCTAGCAATCCTCAAACGCTCTGTCACCTTCTTCCTTGTGCTTTCTATCCGTCCTCCGATTATCACTCGCCCTCGTCCATTTGTCTCACGAAGGGACCGCACAAGTTCTCCCGGCCTCCAGCATTTCTCCGTCCGATTTATTGCCAAAGTTTCAAAAAGAGAGCGCTCTTCGCTGTCTGCAGGCTAATCGAGTCGCTCCATCCACACACAAAAGGGTGAGAGCATTACACTCGCCTCGGACACACGCTGTCCGGAGTGCACATAAGCCGCTGTCTGTAGACAAAAAAAGAAGCAACAGGACGTAAGCGTCAACTCAAAACCCACGCACCACCCAAGCCTGGGCCGTGGAATATAAACCCCTGGGGCCTCTCGTGCACCTGATCTTCTTCCTCTGCTGGTTCCTCCACCCCCCGGCGGTTACTGACTGCGACAACTGGGATAATATCTTGGACCCCATCCATCCCCGTCGCTAGCCCTCTGCTACATCTGCGCCGGAGACGCAGGTAGATACGAAAATGCAGAATGAGAAAGGACAGCAGAAGAAGCGGTCTGCTGTACAGCCGGACGAGATTATAGCGCATCTTCGCGTTCTCGCCGTCTTTCACAAACTCAAGCTCGACGTCCAGGCCCGCTCGCCGCACAACCCTACAGGCCTGTGGAATGCTTTTCTAGGCTACGCAGTCGAAAAGTTTGCCTCTTGGATTTCCAATGTTGTCGATAAAGACGGCTGTGGGGATTCCGAGCTCCGGGAGGATGAGTTCCCTACGCTGGATGTTGCCATGGTACGTCGAAGCCTAACAGCCTACAACTCTTTTCATCTCATCATTATTTTATTAGATTTGGCATGCGTATATCCTGGTATGTCCCGACTGGCTTCTCACGGCTCTTCTGATTGCTTCCGTCGGTACTAATCCATCGCAACCAGAACCCACTCGAGTACCACAACGACTGTCAAAAGAGCCAGAAAGGTCTCTTGCGCATCAAGTACGTGCTACTTCCGCGCTCCCTACGCGGCCTCACCGTTGACGGTTGAATTGCTCGCACTAGATCGTTCCCCGTAACACGTCTAGCCGAAGTAATCGACACCCTTGGTCTTGAACCACGCTTTCCAGTTCCTGAATTTGGCACTAGTCGCGTACGCATCGGACCTCAGTTCTCACTCGACTTGGTCGCGGCCGTGAAACGTCAAGCATCATTCATTGCCCAGGTTGCTGCGGTAGGATGGACTCAACGACCCAAGGATATCACCACGATCGTGAGCAATGCGATCAATCGCTATCACTGTTTCCTGAAGAAGCTGTGGGAAAACCCCATGGGACTTGCGGTTCCGACTCTGGTGCGCGCTTGCTCTCCTCAACGGTCTCCCTTGAATCTAATACCTTGTTTAGGAAATTGTGAGCGCGGAGCGACGCCGAGGCCGATAAGACGTACTCACTTCAGGGTAGGATCTGGCGTGGCACACCCACCAACTCAACATCGAAGTCTACAGGTACGAATACTCGATCGCTATCTTTTCACCTGGCGCTAACGGTTTTCAGACAGGATTCCATGATGCTGTTTGGAAGGATCCTCCAGCATGATGACGATATCCCCAGCCCAGAGTTGAATAGGGCGTTTAACAGAAACTCTTACGATTGGAAGGTACGCTATAAGGTCTACACGAGCCTTGTTTTAATGGACGTCCCAGCAGAATCTCTTCCACATGGACTACTCTACCGGTTCAATATGCACCGGATTCCGTCCCGTCCAGCTCAGCGCTCCAAATTCACCAAAGAGATCGAGTTGGGATTCTCAAAAGGTGCGTCACTCTATACCGTTGATGCCGAAACTGACAGCATGGGACAGGGCAGCCCCGAGGTACTACCCACATTTTCTCCTCAACATGTGATAACAATTGCCCTAGATATCGTTACAGGATCTGTACATTGCAATGTCTGAAAAGGTGTGTGGCGTCACCGTCGGAAGAAGGCTGTTCTGAGGACAAACCTCCGCAGCGATTATCCGGTAATACGGATAGTTACAGCGCAACGTCGAGTCGCTCGTCGCTAGCACCATCTTCCAGTAGCGGACGAGGCTCGACGTCTCCATCACCCTCCCCCTCCTTGCTTTCTCCAAGCGGGAGCAGTGAGACGGACTCGCTACCCTCACAAGGTAACGGCGTCCTCTTCCAAACCTCGCATAATGACAGCACGGCGACAATTTCCGCCCGGCCATCGAACAATGTGACACTGACCAAGGGAGCATTGACCGAGTCGCCCATGTCATCCACCAGCGACCTTGACTCCATCTTTGCGTACAGCCCACCCCGAGGTTGGAATGAGGCGCGTGGTGCATTTGATCGTCCTCCCTCTTGTCTACGCCCCTCGTCTTCTCAAGGAAACTCGCTACAGAGGCCGTCTAGTGCCAGCAGTGCGTCGCCCACCCGCCCACCTTTGAGGAGACATCACACGTCAAACAGTGCTGGGGCTTTATACGTACCAGAGATACCTAGCCCTCTGAGTCGCCCACCAGAAGTCAACCAAGACTATTTCCAAGACGTTCCGCAGCCTTATCAAACCGCTGGTACACCGTTGACGCTTGCGAGGCAGCTTGCTTCTGAGAGGAAATTGGCTAATGATTCTGCACCGAAGCCAGCTCTCTCCTCACCTCCTACCCCACCATCATCCTTTAGATACCGACCGTCTTCTAGTGGTGGAAAGACAAGCGGGAACACCGCTACGCATTCGCCTCCATTGGCATCCACATCTACTCGACCTTCGACGAGCAGCGGACACCCTACGGAAGGCACGTCCTCCAAGTCGATTGGTGGATCGCTTTCACGGCTGCGTTCTTTCTCTTCGCGGCCCACAACTCCAGACCCAAAGTCTGGGGCTGCAACGACCAAGTCGAATGGGCGGCCAATGACGGCTCCCCAACCTTCGACAAAGCAGAACATGGGCAGTGGTGATGACGCCTCTCGCTCACATGGACTCTTTAGGAAAAAGGTGCGCTCCCTCAATAAGTGATGACTTGGTGCTGATTTTGACTTGCTAGTCCAAATCTGACAAGGAAAAGTCTCCTTCCTCCAAGAAATCCTGGTACAAACTTTGGTAAATGGCCGAAATTTGTGCAACACTCTCTTTCATGCACCCAGATTTACCCCCCATCCAACCTTGCACATTCCTTTGGCTATCCACGCGTCGCATATTCCTTGATGATCCATTTCCACACTCGTTGCCCTTTCTGATATCTTTGAGCCGACCAAGGACTCTGTCAAGACGGGGCGAGGTAGTCTCGTCCCTCACGTGTATATTACCACCAACCCGCTCCAACTCCCTACATAGATTTGCTGTCTAGTTATCTAACGTTATACTCGACTAATGCCCACGGGCTCTTCCATGCAATATATCCTTTTGTCTCTTGATCCCGTCCGCCACCGTCAGTGAAAATGGCCAACGCGTCAGAGGTCCCAACATCGAGTTTGACGTCGACTACATTGATCACATATCCGGCTAGGGATGACCAAACCCCCGAAAACTCATCGGCAGCGGCGAGCTCGAGCCAAGCAAGCAAGGCGGCGCCTAGAGCACAAGTCAAGGAGAGACTATACATTGGAAATCTTCATCCTACAGTCGATGAGTATGTGTCTTTCCGTCCAGATATCTTGTAACAGCTCTAGAACGATACGCTGATGATCCTTGTTTATTCTCCGATACTCCTATCAGGTATACACTCATACAGCTGTTCTCTCGCTTTGGAAAGATTGCCAAGCTGGACTTTTTGTTCCACAAGGCTGGTCCGATGAAAGGCAAACCGCGTGGATATGCATTCGTCGAATATGCAGATGCGGAAGTACGTTACACCCAACGAGCACTACAAGATATGCTAAACGACATCTCTCGGGTTGTAGAGTGCAGCTAAGGCTCTCCATGCCTGCAATCAAAAGTTGCTGCGAGGACGAAAGATTTCGGTAACATTTGCAACTCAGGTGCGCTGACTGAGAGTAGTTTACCCTGCTAAATTCTTATGTTGTCCTTTTAGGCACCTGATTTCTCAACATCCGGCCGACCCAGAATAGGAGAGGTTAAGACAACATCTCTTTCTCTTCTCAAGACGCCAAGTAAGCCAATGGGGTAAGCTACTATCCCTATATAAATATTATCGCTGTCTGACTTCGCTTGCTCGTAGAACCGAGAGCAAAATTGCCGCGTTGGAAGCGAAACTCAAGCAAATGGAGCAAGAAAAGCAGACAGGATTTGGAGATGCCGAACCAACGGGACAATCCAGCTTGCCGTCTAGACCGGCACATCTACCTCCAAAGCCGCGTGGCTGAGTACCCGATATAACAGCAGAGGAAGCAAGGCATACAATATATATGTCTAGCTATCGCTGGGCTGACCTCAAGATTGGTTTGTCACTCCAGCATCAACCTCATGTTCAATCCTCTTCATGAACCACGCTTTTGCTCGTCCGCTCACCATCTTCTTCACCATGCCATTCGTCACGCCATAATCATATGGACTTCTTCCTGACTCGTCCTTCTCCCCGAGTCGCCATTCTTCCTCCTTCCGCACATCCTTTATCACCCAGGATATGAAGACGCCGACGTTTTCGAATTTATCGGGATCTTTACCCATTTCGAACAAATATTCAATTCCTTGTTCGAATCTTCTTTCACCTACTCTTCATCAGTACACTCATTGCCGCTGTCCTGGCTGACTCACCAAGTGCAAAGTCCACAAAGGCCCTGGCGCGTCCAGTTGGCCCGATAGTATCTCCTTCTATCGATACGACACTCTTGCTCGACTGTGTCGCGAGGAACTGCTCGCCCTTGGTTTTGAAGTTGAGGAGCGTCGGCCCGGTTGTCGGTTCGACTACTGTCCATACAATTCCTTCTCCAGTCGTCACTTGGCGTGCAAGCCACTTGGCTGGCACTTCCATTGACTTGAGCAACTCGATCCCAATTGGACAATTTTCCACTACTTCGGCAGTGTACTGCATCATTCGTTCGTACGCCCTTTCGCCATTCGCTTCTTCAAGAAAGTCGACTTGCACTTCAAATGTCTGAAAGTTGACGACATTGTACACCCGCTCTTGAGGCGCGTGTACTGTGGCGAATTTGCGCATATCGACCCATTGGTCGTCGATTCGGATGTTAAATATGGCAAAGAACCGCGGGAGAAGCGAGACTGCGACGCCTTTTTGGATTCCTGTTCCAGCCCACTCGCCACAAATAAAAATCTCGCGGAACGTTGAGGTGCCACATATACGGAGGATCTCGTCGACGAGAATACTCCAAGAGATTCTGGAAAGCGTTGCTACGGCATCGCAGTGGTCGGTTTCACGAGTAATAATTCGGTTCCGCGATTGGAATTGGGGAGAGAGCACGGTGGAGGGCTCAATGACGACCGTAATATTTGATCCATGAAGTTTCACGGTCCCGAAGAGTGTTACACGACGGTACAATGATGCAATGCCATCATCCCTTCCCGTCGAAGGTACGCCATCTTGATCTTCCAGGCCTACTTTTGGGCTTGTAAGACGACGCAAAGCCTTTATAAACTGCGTGAAGGTTGTTGGTAGGGGGGTAAGAGATGAAAGACATGCTAGATGTCTTCCTACCAATGCATAAATGCCAGCCTTTTAACTGGTTGACCGAGGGATTGACTTGCACAGGCCTGGCGTCAAACCTGAGGTAAGTGCCTATGACTCTTCTTTCTCACCCTTGAATTTTGATTAAAAAATTAACAGGTCGGGCCCGATATCGGAGTGTAGCGCCTGACCATCGCGATCCAGGCGCCCTGCACCCACGCCATGTCAATTCGAGCTATATTGCAGCCTAACGGGGACACCTGTATATCCGGGAGCTCAGTTCCGAGTTTGGTCGATGACACGGCAACTTGACGTACGCACGCGTTTTTCCAATACAGTCTATCACCTGGAACAAGAAATGACCTTGAACCATATGCGTGGTATTTTCAAGCCGCGGTATGAGCAAATCCAAATAAGCTCGGGCGCGGGATATCCCCACGAGCAAACGGCATCAGAAACGGCGGAGATCATATAGTACTGCGGTTTTGGTCGAGCTCAAACTATTCTATATCGACGTGGAGCACGCTGGACGAACGAGCACATGGTATTTTGAGCCCAACGCCCAACGGCGGGAGTATGAATTCACTGTGGGCCTCAGCGGGCAGAACTCAGCAATTTATTCATCACAATTCGCTCCTTTTGGTGAGTAACTCTCTAGATGCCCAATCCTTCGGCTTGATCATCCTTGGGAGGCGACCGTCAAAGCGAACAGCGTGACCATGTGCTATTCCGCCATTTTCCTTTTTATCTTACCGTTGTATGCCTCAACCAAGATCCCTCGGCGCTAATTATTGCGAGGAGCTTCCCAGCCGCTCACCAACAGCCCACATACAAGGCGCAAGCCTTGATTATTTCTGCGCCCATTCGAATCGATGGAGTCAATCTTCTTTATATACACGCAAACTGTCAGCACTTCTTGCAGCATGTGCTCTGACATGATGAACAGGTCTGACAGGAGTCCGTCGAGCGCTCAAGATGTCAATTCCTGGAGCTCGTTGTAGACGGACTATATATATGGTCAAGAGTTTATGCAGCATCTAGGCACGTCTTTTCCCCCGAGCCCTCCCGCTGCCAATGGCAGACGACAAGGCTTTCCTTTCAGACACTCAACGCAACAATAATGCGTCTAGAGGCGAGATGTTTCTAGGTGACTCTACGAATGACACAGATACGCGGGTCATCCCATCATTGGATGTCAATGATGGTGGCTTCGTCGCTTGGAAGACCGTTTGTGGAGCGTCAGTATAAGCCCAACCTGGAATGTTCAGCTGTTAATGCGGATCATAGATGGTGTCTCATGTTTGCAACATTTGGGTAGGTACCTCAGAATTCCAGAGCTCGAGCTGACCCTTAGGAGAATGACCAACTCGTTCGGCGTCTACCAAGATTTCTATTCTCGCGAATACCTTACAAACTACTCTCCATCAGAAATAGGATGGATTGGCTCGACTCAGCTCTTCCTTCTATTCTTCCTGTGCTGGCCCGCTGGAACTCTGTTTGACGTTGGTTACTTTCACCATATGATCATTACTGGTTCTATCATCTATATTTTCAGGTAATTCAACACGACAATTGATGCTCCGCTAATCGTATATAGCCTTTACATGCTCTCCTTGGCGAAACCGCAGCAAATGTATCAAGTTTTCCTCACGCATGGGATCGGTATGGGACTATCTCTGGGAGTTTTATATCTTCCCGGAGTTGCCGTTGTCTCGCATCACTTTCAACGAAGGCGTACTTTTGCGATGGGCATTGTCATGTCCGGAAGTTCTTGTGGCAGCCTACTTTTTCCATGGCTGACCAAGTGGGTGGTTGGCTAGAATTTTATATCCTACTAACAGCCACCAGTCACTTGATTCTCACGCATGGGTTTGGATTCGCGACTCGAATCGCCGCCAGCATTTGTTGCGGAATGCTCATCGTCGCCAATCTTTTGATGCGGACCACGTTGCCTCCAAAAATGTCTGTCTTTAGCATCAAAAATTCGCTGAATGACCTCGGATCGCTACTCAAAGAACGCAATTATACGTTGTTTCTCTTGGCGTCAGTACCAATTTTATTATAGAGCATTGGCTTCTGAACTCGACGAAGGTTCTTCCTTGGTGGATTAGGACTTTACTTTCCGTGTATGGCGCAACTCTACAAAGTCACGTATTGGGCTAACATCCTCCAGTGCTATACCTTCAGTTATACGCCATCAAGAATGGAGTTGAAGCCAATCTTGCCTTCCATATGTTCACTATCTTGAATGGCTCAGGCTTTGTGAGTAGATTTGTCTTCGACTACGGCTTATTCATAACCACCCCTCAGCTGGGTCGACTGCTTCCTCCGCTGATTGCGGACATTTATGGAGTGTTCAACGTCGCGAGTTTATTCTCTGTTTTACAAACAGGTTTGCTTCTGTCGATGATTGGACTGACATCTGCAAGTGGAATCGCGGCTTTCGCAGCCTTCTATGGTGCAGTCAATGGAACCTGTGAGAAAATCTTCATTAGCCCTACATTTCTCTCAACTTCCCTAGGGATTGCGGTGATTGGCTCTTGTATGGCGTCAATGGCACCCTCACTTCATGAAGTCGGGTGAGTCTTATGTAAACTTGTTCGCTATCTCTCTAACCTGCCGTAAAGAACTAGAATGGGGGTCGGCTATCTCGCATGCTCTTTTGGCCTTCTCGCGTTTTCGCCTATCTCTGGTGCCATATTGGGACCAGACTACCACTGGACATGGACAATTCTGTTTCATGGGGTGAGAAACTGCCACGAGAATATATTATATCTAACCTATCCAAGCTTTGTCTGATTTTGAGCACGGCAATTTTTGTCTACTTGCGCTTCTCTTTCAGAGTTTTGCGAGGAACTCAAAAAGTCTAGTTACGCAGATATACATTTTCTCCGAATAAATACTAGTATGAGTGTGGTCAACCCTAATAGAACGTCACTTGGCCTCGACTATGATCTCGACTGTGTCCATTCAGTTATGAAGGCAGCAATACCTCCTTCAAGAGCGTTTCACGCGCGTTTAATGCCGAGAACAAGTCGTGTTTTGACAAATTTACGAAATTTTGGCTCTCGGAAACCAGGCCCTGACTTCCCTACGGGCCCTATAGACCCACAAGCTTCACCATGGGAGATATTCAACCTTCCCGCAGCGTCTACTCCAGAAGAGATCAAGAGGAGATGCGAGTATGTATTATTTGCCCTTACAGCGACTAATCCGTGCACAGACATTGAGCTTGTGAAATTGCATCATCCTGATTCAAATCCGTCGGAAGACGCTGAGGAAAGATTTCACGCCATTACAGAAGCCTATAACTTTCTTCTGACGCAATCTGGCTCTCCTCGCAATGGCGGAATGCAAGCGATGTTCGATGCGCAAGCCGAGGAGGTACGGAAACGGCTTGCCACGTGGAAAGCAAACGAAGCACGACGAGCAACCTCTGTATTCGACAAAGAGCGTACCCAACGAGCCCTAGACGCGGAAAAAGGGGCATGGACCTGGTGGAACTCTGACGCTACGTTGTATTACCTATTGGGCGGCGCTGTGGGGTTTCAACCACTCCAAATTTGATATCACTAACAACTTCTAGGCTCTCGCGGTCGCTGTGATGCACATCCAGAGTCGTTCAGCTCCCGTGCAGAAGGAGCGACTACGAAGATATATCGAACTACGTAAAGAGGAGTCACGCAAGGACAGTGAATAACATCTTTAACCTAATAAGTACTTTTTCACAAACCCCCTTTTCTGTCGCGGGGTGGGTACCAGTAGCGCTTCGGATTCCTGTGAGGTTTTGATGAGCACTGGGGCAAATACTGAGGCTGTAACAGAAATGAGCGGGATAAACATCATAACGGACGACATTCACCGATTCTCTTCGCTTCGACTTCTTGGCGCGATGTCTGCAAGCACGCAAACTGAAGAAACGCGAAAAGAGTTACCCAGACCTGGGCAATGTCAATCAGGTCCAGTTTAAAATTTGAGTCCACTAACATTAACAGATACTGGTGAGAGATGCTCTAATAGCTTTCAAGATGTCAGAAGAGTTTGGAAGTGGGGGCGAACTCACCTCGGAATCATCCTCTTCCGCAGCCCCGGTAATGATAGGATAGGCCGAGGATGGTACCATGCCATTTGGCAATGCCGCAAAGAAAAGTACCAGGACTTCCGCAAATGCCAGTGTGATGTCAACCGATGACCATCGAGTTTCGTCCTCAAAGGGAAATGGATCTTCCGTATCTAGGCACTGGAATGAAATAAGTTAGAGCCCGAGTGAAGCAAAGAACTTGCCTCGCGGATTAAAGATAATAACTCTAGATCCGACGACGTCGCAAAGAGCTCATTGCTTCTATCCTCAATCGGATGACTCATAAGCCAGTCTATAACCCTCATCAGCTCCTTTGGAATGGTAGAAGGCCGCGTCTCGTTTGCTTTTGAGAATCCGGCGGTGTATCGCGCGGATTGAGGCAAACAGGCGAGCGATTCCAAGCTCCTGGCAAAGCACGTATGCACTGGAGGCGGATGTTATTCGAAAAATTGACGTGGAATGATACTTACAGAACCTGCCGTTTACCGCGAGGAAGTAGTCCACGCCATGCTCGACATGCAGAACGATTGTTGTGTCGAGCTCCCCGGAACCCACGTTGAGTTCTGTAGCAGCGGATGTATCGATGAACGCTGTGAGGGTTAAAGTGATGGACTGGTGCGGGGCTATGATTCCCTAGCGATTAGAAGTGAGTGCAGACCTCGACTGTGAAGGATACCTACATATATAGGGCTTATTTTTAGCCAATGGGGTGCTATTAACCCGCCCTCAATAGGTGAAATGATTCGATAAGCGCAAGGTCGGTCGCTCTTATTGAGGATCTCCACGAACTGGGTCGAAGTTTCAAGATACCTAGACAGAGGATCAATAATGATTTATAGACACGTATATGCGTACCTAAGGTTCCCAAATTCTACAACCTTGCTACTCAGAGATAGCCTCGGGGCCGAATTCGCCTGTGTTGGCAGGCGGCTCATACTGGACAGGATAGTGGCAATGGAGCTCCTTTGAAGTTCCGGATCCACAGATCTTGTCTAAGAGTCATTAATACGAGTCATCTCATGTAGATGGAGACTACCTCAAGATCAAAATCGGCTGAGACAGGCTTGTGGTCGCTGAGGAGAGTGTTTGGATGAGACTCGTATTTGGTTTGTTGGAGGGACGATTCTGGATGAGCAAGGGAAAGGATTCGGTCTGTCCACGCTGGACGTCTCCTGGTGAAAATCAGATTTGATCACACGGACGTATGGCTAAAACTTACTTTGAGTCAATAGTAGTCCCATTTAGTAGGTATCGATAAGTCCTGATATAGTTCCAGTTAATGCGGACGAGCGAGGGTAGAAATAGCCTTACGGCGGAAAAGTAATCGGCATTTCTTTGAAAGAGTTGAATGCTAGCTTGTGTCTCTTTGAGACATTTAGCTATGGAAGTAGTGAGAGGTGAACAAAACGTTACAACTCCACGTACTTCGTCGAACTGAAGGAGTTCTACAAGGTCTCGCGGGGCCACAGATTCGACTATTTGCTCCATAACGTCTTCAAACGGTAGTTCAATACGATAGTTGAGATCTGAAAGAATGAGTGATGGATGCTAAGCGTCGGCGAGTACCAACCTCCCTACAGGCTCGGTCAGAATTGTCGAGATAAAGTAAGCAATTCACCATCCAGATAAGAACATCACTCTCGAATATTGAGGAAGAGACTGGTCTAAGTGGCTCCGCGGCTTCCGCGGGCGTCGCAGCCCGCAAGGGGAAGTGCATACGATTACAGATCTCGCGGTGGTCTTCATTGCGCTTTTGCATCATTCCGTCATGAGCTGCGAGATGTGATGCCACAACGGTGATGACTGTGTTTCGGAAGCGGAATCGTAAACCGACCCCACCCTTGTTTCCCTAAGCCAGAAGTCAGAGGGCGCCATGCCGAGAAGCCATTGACTCTACCATCAAGCCCATTATTCCTACCCCAAGATATGTAGTTGAAATCTCCGAGATGTATGGTCGTTGCCCCTTTCGAACGAAGGCGAGTATTAACATTCCTACCAGTTGACACGACGCGAACTACTTCCCCGTAAGCTTACCACTTGGATCCCTAAACTCGCATACCTTGACATAAGATCCTCCAGTATCTTCCAAGCAATTCATAATGGCTGACGTCCATGTATCCTCGAGCAGAGTAGACGTACTGTAGATTAAAGCACTTGTACTGAGGTCCAGCTCTTGAAATCCAAATATGAGCATATCAGGGCTATCAAGAATGCCGGGTTTTCGCCTGTCAGCTGAAGGGCCCATGTGTTGCACCCAAGACTTGATCGACGCATCCGGTAATCGTCCATTGACATTAAATGTTCCAACTCGTAGTCTGAATGGTGTCAATCAAACCTTTCGTATTGACAAGGAACGTGTGTACCGTAGCTTATGCGGGGAGGAGAATGCATCCCTGGATGCGAGGATTTGCTGCTGAATCCAATGATCACGAATCAAGATAGCGTCTCCATCCTCGTCTCCAGGGCTACCAGCAAAAGCGGTAGAGAGTGCGAGGTCGTCGACTAAATGTCTGAGGTCTACAGAATGAGCATCGGAGAGACCTTGCAAAGAAGCACTCGCCTTGAGGTCGGGAGAAATGCATGATCACTGTATGTAGAAGTATTTGAGAAACTAATCGGCTGTGGTGGGGTTAATACTGACTCCTCTGATCCTCAATAGGAGGAGAATACGCGGCGAGCCAGCTTTGAGTTGATTCTGCCCTCATTTCGCTGGTCACTGGGTACTTTAGTGATTGAGTGTATCATGAAAGGGCTTCTACGCACTAGTTAGGCTCTGGAGCTTTCTACATTCGCGCTCCAACGCCACTGCCTGATCTTCTTGGCAAACGAATGCGAACTCTCTGCCGTCGGAAAGTATGTTTACAAGACAATCTGAGAAGTTTCATTAGTGGAGGGTAGGTAGATAGAGTATTGCGTACGAGCGACCGAACTCTTCAGCGGGGCGTTGGTGCTCGTTGGGCTAGTTGAAGACGTCACTTGGGAGACATGAATCTCAAAGCTGGCAGATAATGCAAAGGTATCGACAAGGACGAGGGCGTCGCCGCTCCATTTAAATATGAACAGCCTGCATTAATGGGTTAGAATGTGTGCTTGCGCCATCTAGAGAATAGCTGTACCCTCCATATAGTGCTCCATTAGAGTCGTGTGATACGACCGCAATTACTCTCCGCGTCTTTCGTATGTATGTCGAGCCAGGTTCTTGCGTTGTTTGCAATGACGCGCCGTCACGAGCTGTTCGCGGTCGAGTATCAATAACAAGCGTTGCTTTTTCAGACCCTCTCAATAGTCTTGTGACAATCTCATTTGCATTTGGAGAAGTCGCCATTTCAAAGACAGCTGCTAGCGGATGAGGAGAGGACCAACATGGGTCCGATACAGGACAACAGGGTGAACCACTGTAAGACATTTCCGGCATATCCGACTGTTCTCTTTCGATCTGAGCTCCGCAGTTTTCACTCAATTTCTGCTACCAGTGGCCGGTTGGAAAAGACCTGTTCAACTGTATGTCACTGCTCCGTATAAGAACGAATTGATAATCCGTATCCCATATTACTCGCGAAATGTAAAGGCCTGGGGTTGTATTTTACTTCCTCTAATACATTACGCAAAAAGACCTCTATACGCTTTCTTCTCTTTTTCTCTCTTCTCCTTCCTCTTTGTACGTACGCGCTCCAATTCGCTTCGAAGGGCAGCATCTTTGCCACCCAGCAGTGCGTCGGCGGCGGCTAGATCTTTCTCTGCCTCATCTTCCTGCTTCGTGAGGGCATATGCCTGACCGCGTCTGTAGAGAGCTTTGGCTTTCTCCGTATCGCTAAGGTTTGTGATACCCAGAACGCGGGTAGCGCTCTGAATAGAGAGCCCGCCAGCAATAGGCTGGACCTTGAGCGCCACCAAGGCAATATTGAGGAGAACTGGCACACGTACGGCGCGGTATGATGCCGCTATCTCGCCTTCGAGTGTCGAATCGGGATGAATATCCAGGTATCGTAGTGCTTCTGAGACGGGATGAGGAACGAGTTGTCATGATACTAGAGTCTATGCTTACTCTGATATTTGGTAAGTGCTGTAGCGACGTCTCCCTTCTTGAACAAGGCATTAGCCACTTCTCGGACATGTGAGGCAATCTTCAGTGCCTCTTCCGGTTTCTGGGTATCGACAGATTCTTCATCCTCCGGCCAATCTTCGTAGGGATCACTGCCCTCAGCTGCCTTGGCGCTGCTATCCGTCGACAGACTGGGATCATCTGGGAGTAGTTCTCCACAATCGTCTATGACGACGGGGGATACAGGAACATCTCCCGCTGTAGTCTTGGTATTTTCGATCTCACGCACAATCGACTTTCCCTTGACTACTGTGCCGAATACGACGTGCTTTCCGTCGAGGTGAGGAGTAGGAACGGTCGTGATGAAGAACTGAGAACCTGAGGGAATATCTAAGAGATCATACTGTTTCATCAAATGCCTTACGAACCATTCGTGTTGGGTCCCTAGAACGAGATATCAGTAACTTCACGATCACCAATCCGAATAGACGTACTGCATTTGCCATAGAAAGCAAGAAAGGTCTTGAATGCTTGTATTCTGGGAGGAAGGCTTCATCGTCAAATTTCTCGCCATATATCGATTCCCCGCCTGTATCGCGAATCAGACAAGTAAATTGTCATATAAGGAGCATACCTGTGCCATTAGAAGCTGTAAAGTCTCCCCCTTGGCACATGAAGCTAGTGTATTGCCGTTATTTTCGGTCGCTCAAGCGTTGGTCCGCCGCGACTCACCCCTTTATGACTCGGTGAAACGTGCTTCCTTTGTAATGTAGAGGCTTTCCCGCTGCTCCTACTCCCTTCTCTCCTGTGCATAGTGCTCTGAAATTCTCAGCTGTCTTAGGCACGGCATCCGAGTAGAGCTGGAAGATGATCCGTCCAATCGGTCGTCCACCAATCGAGATGTCGAAGAAGGTATACGGTCTTTGCGTTTCTGAATCACTCATCTTGATATCTAGAGGTTGGGAAATTGATGGCAGGAGTTCAAGCTTATAAAGGGTGGCCAACTTTAGTGGCGGAATTCTCCAGAAGCTTGAAGAATTGCCTGAGCGCATTTCGTTCACCGACGGCCATCCAAGAGCTAAAATATGGCGTCAATTTCTTTTGTGAAAGTTTGATCGCGAGTTTGTCCAGAGGCTCTGGCGAATAAAAGTCACAATCTCAGCGCATGTCTCTAAAAGCAGTGCTACAGTAATCATATCACTATAAGCATGCATTTCATCTCTCTACCTCTCCAAAATCTAAGAGCATAACCTGCCCGTTCGTGCTACCCAGTGCAATCGAGCGGCCATACTTTGCTGCTTCGCTAACCTTGATCCCTTTAGGTAGAACCAATGTCCGAAGCGGACGCTTCTTATCTCCAAAGTCTATTGCATTCCATTCGGAATCGTGCCAGACGTTCAGAATCTCGGAGGGGAACGTCTCTTCTACGATAACCTCTAGCTGATCTTCAGGAACATAATGAACTGCATCTCCCTTGATCTCCCACGCCTCTTCGCCACAGCAAAGGTAACTTCCACTGGTATGCCAGCGTAGGGCCTGGTCATAGAGGGTGTAATTCATATCAAAGCACGCTTTCAGTGTCGGAGGCTTGTCCGTTGCATCCCATATGAATACTGTGCTTCTCGATGTCGTAAAGGCGAAGAGGGGTTGGGTAGGTGAAGCACAAACTTGATAGAAAACTTGCGTATCCTCAAGGCGAACGTGTGTCGATTCTGACCATGGATTAGTGGTCCAAATAAGTACTGTGTCGTTTGAGTCATGGCAAGTGACCAGGCGTCCATCGACAAGGTACGTCAAGGCGGTGATTTTTCCTTGTTCGGTGTTGACAGAGTCGGTAATTGTGGTTGCAGAGACAACGTCCCACGTACAGACGATTCCGTCCTCCGTGGCTGCGGCGAGATGGCTTCCTTCATGTGAGAAAGCTATGCAAGAAATACTCCCTATTGTATTAGATCTAGAGGCCTTCATTCCATCAAGGTTCGAGATGTGCAATGTACTATCAGCAGAGCCTGAAACCACCGACGTACCGTCAGAGTCGAGATCTATACAGGTGATAGGACTACTATGTATCCGTATTTGCCGGGTAACCCCTGTTCCCTTCTCCCAAAGACATAATTCGGCATTCACCGAACCTGCGATAAAATGTGATCCGTCTCCAGTTATAGAGGCACAGAGGAAGCGTGTATCATTCGATGGAGATTGATAAAGCTTCTGATTATCCTTGTAGTCCCAGACGTATACGACTCGTGAGACCGCTACAACTATAGGCTGCGAAGCTGCAAACGAGACACACTCGACTTTATTGATGAATGGAACCTCCCATTCTAAGCCAAATGATCCATCGCTTAGGTTCCAAATACGTAGCGCTTTATCTTCAGACCCAGTGCCAAGTAATCCATCAAACTTTGATATACTCGCACAGAGTATTGCTTTCTCATGAAGGCGCGAAGTTATGACAGAGTCTCCCACGATAGTGTCAACTAGTTGGGCCTCTCCGTCGTCCATTCCACAGAATAGGCGTGGGACTCCAGGCAGGAATCGTATCGTGTTGATTCTGCCGCCGGTCAGTGTCCAGGAGAACCCAAGACTTTCGCCAGTAGACCCATTCCATATACGTATTATACGCTCGTCTGAAATAGTCGCCAGCAGTGTCCCGTCGTGAGAAAACGTTACCGCCCGGACCCAATGGCCAAGCAAGGTTGTACTAATCGTGGTCCCGGATTTTGCGTCCCAGAGTCTAAGATGCTTATCCATCGACCCCGAAGCGACTCGAGAACCAAAAGGTGAGATGGCCACAGAGAGAATGCCTTGTCTATGCCCAAACAGAGGTAAACTCCCATGCTCCTGATCAGAAGTGTTGAGTACAAGTCGCGGAAGTACGTCTTCAAATTGGGGACGGAACGTCCTGGAGACCTTGTTGTTGGTGGGTAAGAATATCAGTGCTGAATAATATACCTGGAGGGCTGAATACTGGAGGAGTGATTGATTCAGCTGCAGGAATCTGAACGCATCACGGCACCATTCTTGATCCGTTATGACCTTACAGGTGTCAGCATGGTCAACGCGCTAGAGTAAGCCTTACTGCATCGCTAGACTTGAGAAGGGTTGCTTTACCAATAAGTGCTTCCAGGAGATGTAGGCTCCGCATGACGATGCCTAGGATATCACCTAGGGCTGAGTACTCGAGCCAATTCAGCAGCTTCGTGCTAAGAAAGGTTCGCAGAGCCCCGATAACGTCCTTTTCATAGATTACCGCGGCAATATGCGCCACAAAATGATTCGCGGAGTAGCGGAGTGTGACGGTTGTACTTTTTAGGAGCCGCTTCTTGAGATCCTTGACCTGGTCGTTGGGCGGAGGCGGCTCCTCTGCCCTGCTGATACTACATATGTCGGGCTTGAGTTCTCTCATCAATGTGTTAAGACAGGCGAGTCCAAGCAAAGAGTTGCCTCGATGCAAGCTGACAGAGAACATGTCCGTGCTTCGACCATTCTGGAGGAGAAATTCCCGAAAGGTAGGGTGGAGGATGTATACAGGATCGTCGGGTTCGCCGCTCCACAAAACACTGGCAAGGCTCTGGATTATACGGCGAACAGGGAGTGCAGGCTTCACGGTGTCCCCAGTAGTGCGACTATCTGGTTCGTTGTGAGTGACCGCCGAGCTGCAAGGACAACACTAAGGACCGCCTTGAGAGGCTTGATAGAGTGTGCATCCTTAGGCATGGCGCGCCGCAGCACATCCAGGTATAGAGTGTCAAGATTACTCCGTGTAGTGTGAGCAAGGATGCTTTGCATAACCCCACTCCTGTCAAATGACAGTTCCAGCATACGACATGCCGTGGAAGCAAAGATGAACAGACCATCTGATCGCGTAACCAACCGATCCTTATCGATCGCGGACAAATAAGGGTCGTCCATCTGCGAGAATCGATAGTCCACGAAGCGAGCGACGTCTTCAAAGTTATCCTCTCGTTCTGTAACTGACTGCTGAATGTGGCCAATTCGGACCTGTGAACCGAGAGTATGAAGGACATCTCGTATGTCCGGCTCCAAGCGAGTTGTGACGAAAACCTTGAGACCAGGGAGCAAGACCTGCGAGTGGAGACCAGAATCAGTCGGCGCCGATCCGGCAAAGGCCTCTGATATGGCTTCAAGTAACATACGCCGCGTTTCAGATGCACATTCGTCGAGTGCATCGATGACGAGGATTAATGATTGGGTTGAGAGTTGGCTGAGAGGCTCGACAACCAATCGCCGCCATTGCTTCTTGAAAGGGGACGAATAGATAGCCTCTTTGTCCTCTAGCAACACCTTCAAGCTCGCGCGAAGCCCGCGGAAATTGAGCATGAGATCCTCTGCAATGCCCAGGCAGAGGTCACTTGCTGTGGCGGTCGACAAGTTACCACGTGAGAAAAAGAACCGCGCAGCTAGGTGCTCCTGGTCATCCCACAGTTGTGCGAGGTGGTTCGCTATTGTGCTCTTGCCAGTTCCCGCAACGTCGACCAAGGCGTATATCCTGGGCGAATTCTTGTCCATGGCCCACTGGTTGATGGCGTCGAGTAATCGAACCCGCGTACCTTCAAGGCAGCGTCCATGCTGGATGCCGGACCGATTGATGTGTTTGAGCCTGTCATGGTCTGATGCCTCTGAAATCGATAAGAGAGCATCAAAGGCGAGAACTGCTGGGCACTTGCCTAACAACGCGTCATCCAGAGCATTAGTCGTCAATGGCTCTTCATTTTCCGTGTGAGGAAAGTATAGATCTATACTTGTCTTGCAGAGTGTGAAAAGGAGTGATTTGCAGAAGGGAGTCACATACTACGACTTGTCTTCGCGCATCCTCAAGCGCAGCTAACCACCCGGCCTTTTCATTCGCGGCAGGGTTCTGTACTTGAAAGCGAGATCCATTGGGCAAGTCACTGGACGAGATACCACTCTCAAACAAAGTATATCCCAGGGCGTCAACGAGTGCTCTAAGCCAGCTCAGAAATGAGGACATGTCAATATGACCACCCACCTTGCATAAATGCATGTAGCCGGAACGATTGGGTCTTCTCGATTGTGGGCGAAATCCTTGACTTTGAACCTTTGGATCTCGCTCTTTAAGAACTCGTCCTCTGGCCTCAGTAGATCGCTGATTCGTGCGAATGCCTCCTTTGCCGACGTTGTCCACTGCTCTGCTTTAGTCGATGGTAGAGTCAGAAAAGAGGGCTGACTGGATTAATATCCATAGACGTTATAATCAAGTCGTGAAGTGCTTGAAGGGCCGCAGCGCTGTTACGCAAAGCCTGAATCTCGTCGCATTTGGAAGAAACAAGGATAAATTGATCAATCAACCGTTGCTTCCTTAGCGCGTGATCCATTTTGGAGGCCACCTTTGACTGCTCTATCGCTGTATACATTGCGAGAGAGGTCTTGTCCAGGATCAGAGACAATGCAAGCCTTCAAATAGGAGACTGACCCTGAGCTCACTTACAATCTCCGTGAGCTGGTCCTTATAATCCTGTATCGTCGCAGTCTCCAGGTTTGCGCTTGTCATTTTTGAAAATCGCGTCCTCAGGCTTGCGTTCTCGATCGTTGTCACATCGCTGGCTGTCACGCCAATGTCTTGAATAACAGCCGCGAAAAGGTCTTCCAGATTCCTAGAACACTTGGGTGATTGTAATCGTCTAGCATACGACGACTTACTTTCCATATCTCTTGATGATAACCAAGACTTGATTGTCAACGTGTCCATAGTCATTTCCAGCCTCGGGATCTCTCCCCTCTAGTCTCTGGAGTTGGCCTTCAAACATCGAAGAGTGACTTTGGAGCGTTGCGATCAATCCACGCCATTTCTCCTCATTCTGGAGTACATCCTGCCATCCATTAGTCCTAAGATTCTTCTATCAAAGCCATGCACACCCTCATCGTTTCTAGCGCGCCAACGAGGATCGCGCTGACAGCCTTCAAGGGTGCGAGCACTTCCGACGCCTCAGATACACTTTTAAGAAGCTTGAACACGTTGATTGCCCAGTTTAACGTCTTGTCTTTGGTACTCTGCGTGATTCGTCGAGATGTTCCTGGGTGGTCCGAGGCCGAGACAGCACTACTGTCCGTAGGAATCTGATGTAAGCTCTTCTTCCCTTTATCTTTGTCTCTCTTGAGCAATTTGCTTATCCTTCGTGGAAAGCTCATAGTGGAGATCGAGTCCAAAGCGGCTCACAGCACGAGCTTACTTCAAAGGCCAGATGAATGTACATCTACGTTCTATTCCTTTGTGCTTGTGAGATGAAGTACAGATACAGCGGAGCTGAGCCAAGGCTAGACAAGAGGGTCGACAAGGATTGTGGCAGATGGTGCATAGACTATTAGTAAGGGAGTGTGATGGTACTGAAACGATATGTTTCCATGTCCGTTTTCGGCAGGTGACTATTTGAACAAAGGAAATGGGAAACACCAAGAGTGGGATATCAAGTAAAAAAAATCGAGCAGGATATGTTGCGAAAAGGACAGGACTGTCGTGACGGGGTCGTGATGTAATGGAAAATGCAACTGCCGAAAAAGTGTATGAGACGATGTGTACTGAGCACTCGCTCGAAGGAATGGGTGGTGATGCCGAGATTAATTTGCGCCCTCCCACTCGCCAGCAGTAGCGAGCTTGTGGAACGTGCCGTGACTCTTCATCAGCTGGTCGTACGTGCCTTGCTCAGCAACGCGTCCATCGTCGAGGACAATGATACGATCCGCCATCTGCATCATGGAAAGCTTGTGCGTTATTATGATCGTGGTACGACCATTCTTCGCCTTGCGGATCGTGTTCATCACTTCGCGCTGGTTCTCCGCATCGAGCGCCGACGTGCATTCGTCGAGGATGAGAACGCTGGCATCGCGCACGAGCGCGCGAGCGATGGAAATACGCTGAGCCTGGCCACCAGAGATGAGGCTGGCATTTTCTCCAACAAACGTGTTGTAGCCATTGGGGAGCGACATGATAAAATCGTGCACGTTGGCCTCGCGAGCAGCCTGCTCAATTTTTCGTGAGAATAGATTTGCGAGCCACCATAGCCGATATTCTCCTCAACTGGAGCGTCGAAGAGGTAAGGCTGCTGAGAGACCATCGAGACGTGTTCGCGGAGCCAGACGACGTCGGCATGCTGAAGGCGGTGTCCATTGATGCTGATGTAACCAACAGTGGGCTCGTACAGACGCTCGAGGAGAGATGCGACTGTCGACTTGCCACTACCAGAGGCACCAACGATGGCAACACATTCGTTGGGATTGATGGTGAGGGAGAGGTGACGGAGGACTTCGACATTTGGTCGGGTGGGGTACGCAAACGAGACGTCGTGGAAACGAATGGGACCCTGAACGCGCCAGCGGTTAGAGCCCTGAGACTCAGTGGTATCGGAAAGTTTGAGGTTGAGGAGTCGCTCAAAGTCGCGGAGGGCTTGCAATGACTTGCTCAATCGCGAGGCTACATCCATCGTCAGAGAGCCGACTCGAAACAAAGGAAAGTCGACTTACAGAATTCGAGCATCTGTGCAGCAATGGCGAGGGAAAACGCCACCAAGTTGAGGACTTCGATCATTTGGAGGAAGCTATAGATTCCCATGACCATGAAGCGTGCACCAACAAAGTAGATCAAGCCTGTAAAAGCAGGTCAGCGCCGTGACACATCATTGTGAAAAAAAATCATACCTTGGGCGAGGTAGATGAGCGAATTGATGATACCATAGCCCATACCATCGACAAAGGCGCCACTCGTACCGGTACGCATAGCACTCTCGAGACTGCGGCTAAACTGGTCGCGGAAGATGGAGTCAAAGCCCATGAAGCGAATGGCGCGAACGTTGGCAACAGTATCGTAATACTTCTTGTTCACATCCTCGCGCTTCTCCTTGTTCTTCCTCGTAAATCGACCAGAGTATCGGTTTTGCAACGCGCTCAGACCAATGTAGATGGGAGCGAGCGCGAGACCGACGAGGGTGAGCTGCCATCCAACGACCAAGGCCCAAATGAGACCGGTGCTGATCATGCTGACGACTGTGATGCACTGGGGGACAACGAGTGAGATAAAGGATCGAGCATCCTCTGGATCACGCATGATGAGCTGCAACAGCTGGGATGGAATGTTAGTCGGCATGTCGAACCAGGCCTTGTCTTGCATCATCACGTTATTGAACGCGCGCTTTCGGACATTTCGCAGCCATGCGTTGGTCGTCCATTCGATGACAAAGTGCTTGAGACCAGCAAAGACACCGTTTGCGATGGCCAAAAGAAGGACATAGACACCGTATTGAGTGACCAACGAGGTGTCGTGGACGCCATTGCGGGAAGTTGTGATGGCGACGAGCAGACGCGAGAGGAAGAAGCCAAAGACGGGGGCGCAAATACCAGAGAGGATCGAGAGGAAGAGACCAAAGATGTAGATCGGCTTGTACGGCAAGGTGGGCCAGTACATGCCGAGAATCTTGAAGAATGAGATGTGAGGTCGGTCCTCGGGGGGAGGAGAGGTCACGGTCAACTCTTGCTCTGGAGGTGCTCCTCCGTAGAGCGTCTTTGCAGGCTTCAACGGTCGACTCCGTAGACGTCTGATGCGCTTTTGACCCTGGTGCGCTGGGTTTGCTGGGGCCGGCGTCTCCCAATTCCTTCGAGTAGACTTGACCCGTCGTCGCTGAGCATCCACAGCCGTCATCTGCATGGTATTCTTCTCCTGCTCAAACTCGGCATCGTCCTCGATGACATCCTCGGCATCATTGTCAAACCTGCTCGAGGTCGAGCTGGTCGGGAGACTGGAGCGTCTCCACCGGTCCTGCTGAGAACGATCGACTTCGATGGTGAGGGACCTCCGACGAGGACGATGAAGGCCGGTAGGAGTGTCTTCTTGACGAGAAGGTGCGCGGTGGAATGGAAGCGGTGTCGTGCGGCCGTTGGCTTGCAGACGCATGACTGCCTCGTGCATCCATGGCTCGGCTTGAGGAATCGTAGGGTTCTGAGTCCAAGCGTTGCGCTGCGAGCGCTCCATGGTCGTCATCTCCTCACGCTCGTGCTCAAAGTCCTCGACGACCAAGTTGCGCTGGAAGGTTTGGTTATCCTCCTCGGTCTCATTGTCCTTGACTGGAAGGAAGCCGCCAGTCGTGCCTTGAGCCACCATCATATGGTAAAATTCTCCTTCTGTGTCTGCCTCGAGATCTTGTCGGTATCCTTGCTCGACCAGGTGGCCATCCTTGAGCAAGTAGACAAAGTCATCGCGGCTAATCTGAGAGAGATCATGTGTGATGACGATTGTCGTCTTGTTTCGGCGCCAGTGTTTGATAGCCTCGAATACGAGAAGACGCGAAGTTCCGTCGAGAGCCGAGGTAGCCTCATCTGGAAAATAAGTGTAAGTGAAATGTCGACAGAGCTGGCTAGAGTCTCACCAAGGATGAGCACTTCTGGGTTGCGAATATAGGCACGAGCAATGGAAAGCCGTTGCTTTTGTCCACCAGAGAGGGAAGCACCGCCGTTTCCGAGCTTGGTATCATATCCGTCGGGGAGATCGCGCACAAAGTCGTGCATCAATGCGACTCGGCAGGCAGCAATCACTTCCTCTCTGGTGACATCCTTTGGGTGCCTTCCAGAGTTTCCGCCAGCGATACCAAGGGCAACATTCTCATGGACAGTGCCATCAAAGAGGATGTGTCCTTGGCTGACGGCCGCAATGTGTGATCGGGTCCACTGTTCGTCGAGATACGAAAACGAGTTGCTGTCGAGCTCGATGGAGCCTTGCTGAGGCTCGTACAGGCGCAAAAGAAGTTGAGCAATGGTGGATTTCCCGGATCCGGATTCGCCAACGATAAACGTCATTTCACCCGAAGGCAGAAAGAGTGACACGTTGGAGAGTACTGGGACATCGGGACGAGTCGGATAGCAAAAAGTAATGTTGGAGAGGTTGAACTCGCCCTGGAAGGTGGGTGGGCGAATCTTCTTCAATGGGACCGACTTGAGGAATGTTGGTGCACCAAAGAATGCGCGCTTGGGGGTTTTGACAATGGGCTGAAGCGACATATGAGCGTCTGGGCGGTTGGACTTGGATTCGCTTGGGGGAGGATGGATGAGCTTGACAAGCGTGACCATGGAGGATTTTCCACGGGCATAGACAACAGTGCATCCGATCCACTGTTGCAAGGTGCTCGCAGCGATGAGACATGCCCAAAAGACTGCGAGGACGTCGGCAGCGGTGAGCCTGCCTGCCTTGACTTCCCTTGCTCCAAACCAAAATCCTTGTACGAACATGGAAAAGTTGACAAACTGAGAGACACCAATGACGCCAGCCCAAGGCCCGAGAGTCGCACGCTTGCTGAGCGCACCAGGTCGAGGCCAAAGTTTGCGCGAGCCGATTCGAGAGGTTGAGCATTGAATGCCTTGACGGTGGATATCGCATTGACAGCACGGTCGATGATGGTGGAAACATTGGTTACGCGGGTGCGTTCCGTGGTGTAGAGGGAGAAAGAGGCGATTTGGCCAATGGTTTGAGTGATGAAAATGACTGGGATTGTACTGAGGATGACGGCGGCGAGTACGGGTGCGCGCACAAAGGCCATGATGGTTGCCGCAATAATTGTGCACGAGTGTTGAATGAACATGCCCATGTTCAAGGCTGTCGCCATACGGACGTCTTCGGTAGTGCTGCCAAAATTTGTTGAGCGACAAAATGGTTTCGCCATGGAATCCAAAACTTACGAAGCGAATTGAGACATGAGACCTCCAGCACCAACGGCAGCTTCGCCTGGTGCGTTTCCTCCAGAGTTCTTGTCGAACCATTCCATCTCGCGCGATGCGACGGAGTCGTAGACGGCTCGTCGAAGATACATGACATTTCTCTCGCCAACCCAAATCCATAGAGAGCTCATGACACCACTGAGGAGGAGCGCTGCGCCTCCCATGATGCAGAGTTCAACAGTGGCCCATGTGACACCCCTTATCAAGAGGTTCATGTCGTTTCTTGTTGGATATTCTGTCGACTGAAAGACGGCGAATACATGGTAGATGTCGCCGATGACCACGGTCATGAAGGGAGGGATCACGGCAGCTATCAAAGCAGCTACGACGGCTGGGAGGACGAAAACAAAGAGGTCACGTGTTGGAAAAAGGGAGAAGAGGAGGACGAGGGATGGGTTGGGCTCCTTGTACTGCGACGAGGCGTCTGCAGATGGGTTGTGGCCATTGTTGACGGCCTTTGCAGACGGTTTAGCTGGAGATTTGGTGGTTGGAGTGGCTTGGTCGTTGATAGATACCGAATCCTGGGACATAGACGACACCGACGACGCGGTGCTCTTGCGGGCAACGGCGGTCGGGGTCGAAGTATCAACAGTGAGCGTTGGTCGTCTCATGGCGGGCACGACGACGCCAACGAAAAAGCAAGAAGAAAAGAAAGAAAAGTAAACGGGTCCAAGTCGCAGGTGAGCAAAAGGCGTAGGAGCTCGAAAGAACAAGGCGTCGATTACAAGGCTCCCAAATAGGCAACCAGCCGCCGCCGTCAAAAAGTACAAGGGGGCACCCGCGACTGCCATTTCTGGCTGGCTCTTGTACCTCCTAGTAGTGTCAATTCAGTCTATTCAGTCCTTGATTTGCGTCCGCATCGGAGGGCGAACAAAGCAGAGGCTACACTGCCTATAATACTATCGCGATATACATCGTTAAACCAGGTCTTGCGAGGGCCTACTATCTCTACTATCTCCTGTGAGAGCGGAGTGTTTCACGGAGACTTGAACCCGAGGGGCATATGTCCCACGCCGAATGTAGTGGCCCCTGGTCATTTGCGAATGCCATGCACTCCCACGGCGGACACGGCGCATACGGCGCATGCGTGAACAGACCCTCTCAAAGCACAGACTTGCTTGGCTCATATATTTCAATCAAAAGTTCTTACTGATTCTAGGAGTGGTACATAGGTGATTTTGCACCGTTGACCACTCACTAGCAAAATACTCCAGTATAATTTCTATTTGTACTAAGATATGATGAAATCAATTTATTCCCCGCCTTACGGTCGCGAACCTGTCCCCTTTGTCGGGAGGAGTGCACTGTGCACGCCTAGAGGTTTGACAGTAATCGCAAGTATACATTTAACTACTTGGAGGCATGGCAGCACTAATCGCCAATACTCGTTCTCACACCCAAGGCGTAATAAGGCCGAGTCCTGCACTACTCGGACTCCATCCACATAGCCGCAACGCCATGAATTGGTGCAAGACCCGTGATCCCAGGATTGTTCTCCCTATGGAAATCTTTACATCAATCCTCAATCAAGTCATCACCGAAGGCTTCATCAACCCGATCCGCCTGCTCCTCCCACTGACGCTCGTCAGTCAAGGGTGGTTAGACTATATAGTAAACACTCCAGAGCTATGGGTGCACATCGATGTGGGTAGAGGCCTGGAAGAGGCCGATTCACTCGCAAAGCTCGCTACTAGCCTCGCATTATCCAAAGATCAACGACTTTACCTCGTTATCGTTTACGAAATCAACAATTGGGACATGATATTCTCACTTCTACGGCCCCATATAACCAGAATAAGATCCCTTTCGTTCCTTCGACAGCGGACCGAGACGATACAAAGGCGTGATTGGGAGTATAGCCAGCGACAAATTATTAGATGCTTAAAGGACTTTGGTTATTTACCGGACTTACTGTCAATCACAGCGGACGGAGACTGGGCTGGGGGCATTTGGATCGAGAGGCTCTCGTATTTTCCGACTCTGAGGCAAATCTTGATACGCAAAATCCATCCTCGTGCAATCGAAAACCTTCAATGCCCAGAAAAGGTACAAGATTTCACTACATTGCTTTCTATCGGCGTGTGCTATCCTCTATTAGGTATCCTTTCGGGTCTACGGAAGCTGCGTATGGGTTCTATGCCACCTGAAGAACCTCCTAACGAGGATGGCATCCTCCCCACAGCGCTATATACACTCGCTGTGCGGGAAATTCTGACCGACTCCGCCGCGCGCCTGGTATTCAAAGTCATAAGAATGGCACCTCGGCTACGGCGCATAGGTCTTTTGATTGAATGGAATAGGCTCACAGAGCTCATGTCTATTCTTCCCAGCCTCCTTCAGCTCGAAACGCTGCAGCTGGAACTCACCAAGCCCACAGCAAGCAGATCAGAAAGTCTACACCTATTAGCGCCGGAGACTCCAACAGGCGTCAAGGACTTGTACATCCGCTATCAGGATTCGACTGATGCGCTGTACTACCACCAAGCTTTGGCCAAGTATTTACGGCACGCGATGCCATTCCTTTTAGACTTGCGCCTAGACTGTTACATATTACCCACACCATACATGTCGTACATCAAGTCTCTCAAACACCTTCTGCGTCTCCGTATCGCAGCGGGGAGAGCAGTAGTTGACAAAGACTCGATTATCCAGTCCGACTCGCTCGAAACCCTCAACATTCATTGGACGACTGCCGATCAAGGCTACATCTTGGAGAAGCTGCACTGTCCAGGTCTCTTGCGCCTCTCGTTATGCGAAGCAATGGCAGGCACGATTCGCGACCCACCCTCCTTTGCCCATTACCAAGTCCTTTCGACGACTCAAGAAACAATCCAACTTCCAGATATGAAAGCTTTGCGCACCCTCGAGCTTTCTGGCCGTTCGATACTATACATGCCACTCGACTCCTTGACTAGGATAGTCTTCGACAAATACACCTCGACAGCCAGCGAATTCTTCATCAAATTGATTAATCAACCAGATATGTGCGCGATGCTCCAACGCATAGAGCTTTATTGCTTTCCAGAATGGGATCTTCTCTTCCTCCTGCTTGAACGGCGGGGTTTTGCAAGTTTTACTCGCCCAATAGAAGAGATTATGCTTCCAGCAAATATACCTATATACCTCCTTCGTCCGTTGGTCAATCTATTGGGAGACCAAACGGCTCTACGTCCCCCAAACGAGGATGTCTCCCTTGATGCCATTGCGGATATCACGACGGACTACACAATGTAAGTTCAACGTGCGGCACGTCGGTTAGACACTGATAATCCGGACAGTCCCGGGTGTATGTGGTGTTCCTGGTCATTCCAAACGTGCGCAACACCAATCCCCAGACTGACTCACCTCCGATCAACTCCAAGCATCGCATTTAACCACTCCAAGGATCCGAAAGTACGTACGTGGATCTCTGATCATAGCCAAAGACAAGAACGGTGGCACAATCGGATGAAGAGCCTAGACGGAAAGGCCAGTAGAGTACCTGTATGCGACGAGCAGCTTCGTGGTGGCCCTGTCCTTGTGACTCGATACTCCCTTAGTGACACTTGACCATGCAGCGTAGGTCCAGTAATTTTTAGGAGCCTGTCCGATTGGATGCTCATGAGCGACCGCTAAATAACAAAAACAGTGTATTGTACGAAGGAAATTTATCAAAAGTTGCCACTTCTACTTGGAATGCTCACACAGAGGTCTGCTTCTCTTCGAGCGGATGAGAATCAGCCTCCTGCTTCTTCTCCCGACGTGCGCGAATGAGACCTTGGATGTTGAAGGGGTCGAGGAGCGTCTGGATGAACGGACGATTGTCGTCCCATCCTCCGCGGTCGGTAGATTCCTCCTGGCCATTCTCGTTGAGGAAGATCTTGTTCGACTTGGGGAGGTAGCGACCAGGGTGCCAGATGTTGAGAACAAGTACATTGATGAGCTATTAAGGCATGGGTAAACGAGACGAAGTATGATAGGCCATGTACGTACCATTAGAGTAGCTTCAAAGATTTGGAAGTAGACCTCCAGTCGATAAAGAGGACCAGTCGTTCCCATCCAATACTCCACAACACGGTAGAGGCACCGGACCGAGATCACAAAGGCAGAAGTATAAAGGACGTAGAGGACTGTGGTCCAGCGTCCCACAAGCTTTGCTTTGCGAACATTCGAATGGAAACGAGCTGCAACCATGACGAATAAGAGAAATAGCACAATTTGCAGAAGAAGCCCAGCCTAGCAAGTTTGAGCATTAAAAGCAGGCAAAACCGAGTGAAATCAAAAGTACCTTGATGAGCCCGCTACCAATGCGAACCTTGGTCGGGTTATCATAGTTCACGACTTGACCGACCCCTGTGCCCATAAGCATCTCGCAAAAGCCATCAAAGGCGACAAAGGTGGTGACGACTCGTCCTGGATGCATGGGAGCCTGGCTAGGGACATAATGTCTACACCAGAGCGTCAGTACGAATCGGCATCATAAGGAAGGACGTACAAAGTCTTTGCAAAGATGAAATAATCCGCTGCACTATAAATTGGAGGCGCGGTAACTATGCACCACGTCAATGCATGTGTAAAAACACAGTGAAAACGTACATAAAAGAATAACGGCTGTGATCCAGGCACCAAGATTCTTGGGATAGTACGACGACCAGATTTTGAAAGCGAATCCAATCGTCGTAAATGTGGAGCCAACAACCAAAGGGATCGCATATTTGGCCCTAAAAATTCCAGGTTAGTCGATCGTGCGTGGTTTGGCTTCATTGATTGTCCTGAGCCTCACCTATAACGCCTTGCCTGGTAGAGATGCCCGAGGGCGTTGAGGAAATACGCGGCCAAGAACCAGTAAGCAGCTGGCCTGTTAACTTTATAGCACCAGAAGGGGCTGTCGGAATCTATCCAAAGTTAAGATCACAGCAGTCGTCGCGGTGTGTGGACATACCACAGGCAGTCATAGCGGAGCGATGAATGAATGTTCTGGAGTAAGTTTGAGAAAGATTTGAGCAAGTTTCGGAAGGTTTCGAGTGCTGATGGACAGATGTTGTAGGACTCACACCTTAAGTAAGAGAGATAGAGCACTGCTTCAGGTGTACATCGCCGAAATGGCTGTTCTCATGCCGATGAATATACAATCTATAGTATAATTCATTCCTTCCGGCCCAGAGTGCGGACCATCCACGCGCAGCCCGACAAGCTGCGGAGATCGGTGCAGCGCCACCTGCGAACGCAGCAGGCCAGGGGAGTTTCGACACAGCTGCAAACGCAAACGCATTTAAATCCAATCATTTCATTCAAAGAACACAGAAACTAAATGACATCAAAACCTGGGTCAAACGCACGAGGGGAAGTTTCCAGTCGAGGAGGGGCTATGACCAAAGGGCCAGTGTTCGTAGGCTCGCATTGATAAAGATAGCATTGGCAGACGTCCCAGCGGCTAGTAGCGCAGCAGGAAGCGGGGAAATGGACAAAAAGAACACAGCATAGACTGCCAATCTTGTAAAGGCCATCGATGATGCATCCGATAAGGGTTGAATTTCTGGACTGTAGGGACTAATCTCGTAGGGCCAGGCGAGACGGAAGCCACAAAGAAAAACCCGCAGTAGCATAGCTTGAGGCCATCATGACATACCCCACATAAATCTACTACACCGCTGGTAGAGGCCGTAGGCTCTGTAGCGCGTACTACATAGGATTTCGCTTCGACTTTGTTGTCCGAATCACTCTCTGAGTAGACTCAAAATCAATCTCCAAGTTATGGAAAATTGTGCATCTTACGACGAAATTCTATCAATAGTCACTGCTCTGTTTGAGATGCTCACTCAGAGATCTGTGTCCTCTCTGTGAGCTGATGAAATTCTGCCTTCTTCTTCTCTCGACGCTCGCGAAGAAGACCCCTGATATTGAAGGGGTCGACGAGCGTGTGAATGAACGGACGATTATCTTCCCATCCTCCTCGCTCTGTTGACTCCTCCTGACCATTCTCATTGAGGAAGACCTTGTTCGACTTGGGGAGGTAGCGACCAGGGTGCCAGATATTGAGAACAAGCACGTTGATGAGCTATCGAGATGTGAGTAAACGACATGAGGTATGATAGGGACCCTACCATTAAAGAAGCTTCGAAGATTTGGAAGTAGACCTCCAGTCGATAGAGAGGACTAGTCGTTCCCATCCAATACTCCACAACACGGTAGAGGCACCGGACCGAGATCACAAAGGCAGAAGTATAAAGGACGTAGAGGACTGTGGTCCAGCGTCCAGCGAGCTTTGCTTTGTGGGTATTGGAATGGAAGCGTACGGCGACCACGACAAATAAAAGAAACAGCACAATCTGCAGAACAAGTCCAGCCTCGTACTTGTGAGTATCACACGAAGGCGGGGCAGAGGTGGAAAGTACCTTGATGATCCCGCTACCGATACGAACTCTCCTTGGGTCTTCGTGGTGCACGACTTGACCCACTCCCAGTCCCATTAGTGTCTCACACAGACTATCGGCCGCCACAAATGTGGTAACTACCCGTCGTGGATGCATTGGAGCCTGACTAGGAATATAGTGCCTAATACCAGATCATTACTGGAGCTTTACTCCATAAAAAGGAAAACTTGCAGTGTCTTTGCAAAAATGAAATAGTCGGCCGCGCTATAAATTGGCGGCGCGACGACTACAAGTTAAGATGTCAGTGTACGCGCAGACAAGCATTACAAACCGTACACAAGAGAATAACGGCGGCGATCCAAGCGCCAAGAACCTTTGGGTAATACGACGACCATATCTTGAACGCGAATCCAATCGTCGTACATGTCGAGCCTATAATCAAAGGAATAGCATATTTGGCCCTGGGGATAACAGTTACTCGAGTGCGAGTGTCATGGACATGGCTCTACCTATAACGCCTTGCCTGGTATACATGCCCAATCGTGTTGAGCAAATATGCCACTAAGAACCAATAAGCAGCTGGCTTGTTGACCTTGTAGCACCAAAATGGGCTGTCGGGATCTATCCAGCGTCAGATATTTGATCTTTGCAAGGTCTGAACATACCACAGGGTGTCATAGTGAGGAATATTCTAGGGCAGGTTTGAGAAATGTTTGAGCACGTCGAGAGCTGATGGACGAACGCCGTGGGACATGGTCCTTAAGTACAAGAGAAAGGGGACTGCGTCAAGTGTACATCGTCGAGACGACAGCTCTCATGCCGACGAATAAACAATTCATAGTTACCATTCACCCCTCCTGGTCCAGAACGCGAACCCATTTGAGCGCAGCCGTCGAAATAGGACGATCAATACAGTCCCGCAGCGAGCGCAGCCACGCCAAGCGACGAGCAAGTTTCGACACCAAACGACAGACACAAACATAATCTAAGTTTGAATACATTTCATTTCGAGAACACGGAAACTATATGACATCAAATCTGGGTCAAACGCGCGCAAAACAACTCTGTCGAGAAGCGGGGGAGGGAGATGAAAAGAGTGAACTCAAAGCTTGGGAAGATAGCATCGGCAGACGTCCCGGCAGCTGGTAGCGCAGCAAGGAGCGGGGAAAATGGACGAGCAGAAGACATCATAGACAGCCAACCTTGTCAAGGCCATCGGTGATGCATCCGATAAGAGTGGTACTTCTGGACTCTCTGGACCAGTCGAAGAGGGACCCGGCGAAAAGGCATGAACAAGCCACAAATAAAGGACAAGGGATAACGTGCGGTGACACATCTTGACCAAATGCCACTGTACATTCTCCACATAAGTTCAAACTCGGGATCGAGTTTCGAGTTTACTGTCCCTTGGGCTTGAACAACTTCCTCTTCGCCCCAACGAGTCAGTCATGCAGGTTTGTACGCTGCATCCCGCGAGTAATGTCCTCTTGGCTGGCCTTGCCTTGACCGCTATGCGTCGAGGGTTCCTGAGACTTTTGGGACGCATTCGAACTGGCGACACCGCTGGTAGAGGCCGCAGGCACCGTATTAGGAGGAGCAAGTGCCCCGTCCTTCTGTGTGATAGCCGCCTCTTGCTGCTTCGGAAGATTTCCAGCCGAAGGTGTAGGCGACGGTGGTGCGGCGTCCTGATGATGGTATGTAATCTCGTCGGCCTGTGAAAGATGTTCCTAGCAGGGGATTAGACTCCGTCGTGAAACTGGGAGGAGAGCCTACATTCTCTGCATCCTCCTTGTACTGTTTAACCTGCTTGGCAAGCTCGCTTTGATTTGCGGCTACACTCATCGACATGCGCTTCAACGCCGTGACAGTATGCACCGCGCGACGGACTGAGAGGCATCAGCGACGAGTCTGAAGAGAAAATTAGCTACTCACAAGTCCTCTTCGCGTCGAATTGCTTCTGAATATGAGGCAACAAATCGACAGGCTGTCCGGTGCCTTCCGGATCGGCAACAAAGTGCGGGGTGGCATCTGCGAGCCACTTGTGTTTCAACAAGTGCTCCGCCGTGGGTCGGCGGTTCGGGTCAATGGTGAGACACGTGCGAACAAAGTCGCGTGCAGTTTCCGAGACATTGGCCCAGTACGCCACCGGTTCAAACTTGTAGTCTCCACGCATGATGGCTCTGGCCTCCTCCTCTTGTGTATCACGATCAAACGGTGTGTACCCGCACAGCAGGAAATACGTGATGACACCGACTGCCCAAACATCGACCGGCTTTCCGTGTCCAGCTGCTGCCCGTCAGTATGTATAGTACAGATTTAGAAACTACTCTCACTCTTCTTGAAGATTTCAGGCGCCATGTAGCCCGGAGTTCCACAAACCTCTGTCAACAAGTGCAGCTTGTCCTCGTCCATGATACGACTGAGACCGAAATCGGCAATCATAATGTCCGCATCTTCGTCCTTTGTGCGGAAGAGGAGGTTCTCGGGCTTGAGATCACGATGGACAATGCCCGTGGAATGAATATAGGCCACTGCGCCCACAATAGTGCGGACAAGGCTGGCAGCGTCGGCCTCGTAATAGTTTCCCTTTGCGCAAATCCTATCAAAGAGCTCTCCGCCGGTGCAGAGGTCAAAGATGAGGTAGAGATTGTGCGACGTCTCGAAATAATCGTGGAGGGTCACAATGTTGCGATGGCCGCGGGAGACGTGTTTGAGAACAGCAATTTCATTCCTGACCTGTGCAGCGAGAAGCCGTGTCAGCCACCCTGTTTTTGGCAACGAAGAGACGGTCAATGGGAGTGCCGCCGATGGCGTCGCAGATCTCTCGAGACGCGACGTGGCGCATGCAACAATCAGATGGAGAAATTTGTTGGGTGTGATGAGTGACGACGAGCAGCCGCCACTTTGGGCTATTTGGAAAGCAGACGACTGACCATGTGTTCCCTGCCCTCCATGAGCTTCTTGTTGATGACTTTGCAAGCATAGTAGGTGCCCGTCTTGATGTGAACGGCTTCTTTCACAACGGCGTATGTGCCGCTACCGAGCGTCTTTCCTGTTCGATACTAGATAACAAGCGGACGGAGATGAGCGATCGGGGCCGCTGTAGTCGACGACGCAACAGGTAAAGGGACATACCTGGCATGGAACTGTCTGTGGTGGCATTTGGCAGAAATAGATGGATTCTCGTCGCAGCTGGCGGTCAACGCAGAGTCGCGGTGGTGGTGGAGAGCAAGAGGCGCGCGGACCAACCAGACGCCGAGTTGGGTGGTTTCGACAGGAGCCACCAGTGACCAGTCAAGTAGTATCACTTAAATACTCGAGGAGCAGCCAGGTATCCACCGCCCCCAGAGCTCAATACAACAGTGCCACAGCGTCTGCTCAAAATCCGATATACACTCTCGATCAATTCCGGTCGCAGTCCCCCCGGGATTTCGTACTTTGGTCATGTTTACAATAATACCGTGAGTATCGGCATGAAGGGACTCCTTGGCATTCTAAGTACAAGACAAGGCTCCAGACCGGCACATGCGGGACGATAGAAGACGGCTTCTAGAGAGCTGTGCAACGTGCTCAGTAAGATGACGAAAGAGCAATCAATCAGATACGTACCACTCGCGCCAGTAATAATATCCACGAGCTCATTGGTAATGGCAGCCTGTCGCCCGCGGTTGTACTTCATCTGCAGAGATCCAATCATGTCGGTCGCATTCTTCGAGGCATTGTCCATCGCATTGCGGCTGGAAACACGAGTCAATAGATGGATAGATACGACAATGGGCACATACCGAGCGCTAATCTCGGCAGCGTGACCCTCGACGAGGCCAGAATAGATAGCATTGGCAAGCGTAAATTGGGCGAGGTTGCTCGTCGCCTCTTCCTCTTGGTCATATTTGCGGAAGCCATCTAACAGCCATCAGCCAAAGAGACAGGCTAAAACTCTATACTGACCCGACTTTTCGAGCGTAGGCTGAGGCTGAATCTCTCGCATCGACGCCTCGTATGCAATGGCACTCAGGAACTTGTTGTATACAATAACAATCTATCAAACCATTAGAAAATAAGCTCAAACACCTGATAGAACCCTCACCGAGTCGTACTTGGCGCCGCTTTGCAAGACGAGATCGGCAACACCAGCCGCGTCGGCAAACGTAGGGACATCCTTTCCAATTTGATTGACGGAAAGGATGAGATTCTTGGGGAGCGCACGGACGAGCTGAGCCTTTGCCTTGTCACCAATCACGACGATGGGACTCGTCGGATCCACGTCGCCCTTCGGGTCGGCGAGCGTCCTGCGCGTGAGCTTGGTGAGCGCGGAGTGAACACCACCGCAAAGTCCCTTGTCGGACGAGACGACGATGAACAGTTTGCGCTTTTGCGGCTCGTTGGGGGTGACATTCTTGAAGATTTCTGTTGCCGGCGGTACAAAAATGTGACAAAATAAAATCAGCATTTGTTGAATCGTATAAACACCAAATGTCAAACTGGTTTGTTGACGTACCTGCGTTGGCCTCGCCATATGTTTTTGCAGAACCCATTGCACGCTGGGCCTTGACCATCTTCGTCGAGGCAATCATTTTCATCGACTAGAGTCACAAGCAGCCAGTGTGAGCGTCATAGAGTCCTTTGCGAATGTCCGAGCGGCCCACCTTGGTGATTTTCTCAATGTTCCTCACAGACTTGAGGCGCAACTCGATCTCGCGCAACGTTGCCATTGTACGGAGAGCATCTGGACCTCCTCTCGAGGCAGCCCGGATAAACGGACGTGCTGCTACTGCGCGGCAGAGCATCGTGACCGGTGGGTGACGATGGTCAAAGGTAGAGGTCGAAACTAAGATGAGGTAACAAAGTTTGTCCTAATGAAGATCAGTAAATATTCAAACTCCGATTACTAATTTTGTTACCCTTCTGCTGACTCGCCTGCCACTCTCTCTTGATCACCAACCACATCGGCTACTTGCTCACGATGGCATCAGAAGACCCTATGGCCATGTTTGCGGACATGAAGAAGAAGAAAAAGAAGCCAAAAGTCGCATTCTCAGAGGAGCCAGCAAGCGCTGATGCAGACCCGACGTATCCACCCAAGGAACCCATCGACGATCCTGCATTGGGACCTGTTACCGCTCATGAGCGTATTGCTACGAGTGCAGCAGCGAATGCTGGAGGTGCAGAAGACGCAGAGGCCGATGATCTGAAGAACATGTTTGGTGATTTGAAGAAGAAGAAGAAAAAGAAAGAACTGGCGATAGAGGTATGTGCAGTAAATTGCTTTCAGGTTGTGATTATGCTCATCAGCAACGTCCAGGAGCCAGAACCGGCCCCTGTGGCAGATGCCAATGCCAACGAGCTCGACTTTAGCGACATCAAGAAGCCAAAGAAGAAGAAGGAAGTTCAACTAGACTTGGTACGTCGAGCCCGAAATTTAGTCATTGGAATATACTGATACCTCGGCAGGATGATGGTGCGGCACCATTAGACGACTTTTCGGATCTCAAAAAGAAGAAGAAGAAAAAGGACATTCCCATGGATCTGGTATGTATTAGTACCTGTGTCTCAAACTGGACTGACTCGGATACAGGAAGGAGATGCACCAGCTGCCGAGGGCGCAGATGATTTTTCGGACCTCAAGAAGAAAAAGAAGAAGAAGATTCTCGCCATGGAAGACTTTGAAAAGGAATTGGGTAACGAAGCCGCTCCTGCTCCGAAAGCCAAAAAGCCCAAAAAGGTGGCAATTGAGGAGAATGAAGAAGGTGGCGAGGATGAGGATGATGGTGATTTCGACGAGATTGAAGAGGTCGATGAAGCCGAGCTCGGAGACAATCCGTTCGCCGCCGGCGGTGGAGGTGGTGGAGATGAGGCTGCGGCATTGTTCATAGACAGTGACAGGGACTACACATACGATGAGGTGCGCTATTGTTCATACTACCAAGATTAATTTTCACTGACGCGCTACAGCTTCTCTCAAGATTCTTCCGCCTCCTCCATGCAGCCAATCCAAACCTTGCATCGTCGTCCGGGAAGCGATATACACTGGCACCTCCGTCCATTCATCGTGATGGAAACAAAAAGTCGGTGTTCGCCAACATTGGTGACATTTGCAAGCGAATGCACCGTGAGCCGCAGCACGTAATCAACTTTTTGCTCACGGAAATGGGAACGACGGGGAGTGTGGATGGAAGTGGACGTCTAGTCATCAAGGGCAAGTTCCAGCAAAAGCAAGTCGAAAACATTCTTCGACGGTACATTGGTGCGTACACTCACTTTTGTGCCTTTAGAGCTAGCGCTGACGCGTGAATTAAAGTCGAGTATGTGACGTGCAAGACGTGCAAGTCACCAGATACATTGCTCACGAAAGAGACGCGTATCTCCTTCATCACCTGCGAGACCTGCGGTTCGCGGCAGTCGGTATCGGCGATCAAGGCTGGTTACACTGCTCAAGTCGGCAAGAGGAAGAAGCAGCAAGTCTAATCGTCCTCTATGCCTCGGGTACCGTTGTAGACGATTCGTTGTATCTTAACCTTCAATGTAAGTCGCTGCACGATCAAAATGTCGCATGCATTGCTTGAGGATTGTCCCTACGCTTGGTTCTAGACCTCGACCTCATTGTCTACTCTCAATTCACTCAGAATATATGGAGACGATTCAAACATTAAGGAGGCCGCCGAATCGATACTCCGACGAGGGCGGATGCGCGCGGCTGGAACTGGCCTTGTTGAGCTTCTTGGACTCTTCCAACTTTCACCGTTCCGGCGTCGATGAGTTCGGCCGTGGAAGAGGAGCCCAAAGCGCCGGAAACATCTCTTGGATATTTCCTCTGGGAATATATTTCAGCAAAATGCAAGACCTAGCGCATTCGACTCGTTAACGCTTCCACAATTACCTGCTTACGACTTGCGTATCAAAGCATTATCTATTGGCGTCCCACCTCCCAAACGCCATCTCCCACTACCAATCCCCATCCCTTATCCTTCCTTTTTCTCAAAGCAACAGGACCTCGCATACCTCGAAGAGACTATCATCCGAAACGTAGATGTACTGTGCAGAAGTGGAGAGGTGCTAGCCATGTTCGTAATCTTCCTCGTTGACGATTGTGGCTGACATGCCGTAGTATTGGAGGGTCTGGTTCGGTATCTAACCATTAAAATGATCTACCTTGAGTACTAAATTATCATATACAGGGTAAGAGCACGCTACTGAGCGCAGTCGTGGGTAGACTCGCGAATCTCCCAGTCAGGAATGGGTAAGTTCCATCTGATAAGAAAATAAGTTGATGAATATGATCAGAGCAATATCTTTTTCTCATACCTCGTCACCAGAAGACGAGATTCAGCTGCTCACAGCTGGTCAAATGAAGGACAAGATTGGCTTTGTCCCGCAAAATGATTACCTCTTGCCAAACTTGACAGGTATATCTAGTCATTTCTAATGACTTTGGTTGACATGGTCATAGTTCGAGAAACACTACACTATGCTGCAGAGCTTCGACTTCCATCGACCATTGACCGCCAAACCCGGACGGCAATTGTTAACCAAACGCTTGAAGAACTCGGTCTCACAGACGCTGCAGATACAGTTATTGGAGGATTCGGAAACATTCGAAAAGGCATCAGCGGTGGAGAACGACGGCGTGTCACCATTGCTTGCATCTTGGTCGCACTTCCTTCTGTAATTGTACTCGACGAGCCAACAAGTGGTCTTGATGCGTTCACGGCAAGTATTCCAGGCGCTTATATTCACATAGCTGACTTGCCTCAGGCATACCAACTACTTCTGACGCTGTCAGAGCTCGCAAAACGAAACAGAACCGTCATTCTATCCCTCCATCAACCCCGCTCAGACGCGTTCGCCCTCTTTACCCGACTTCTCGTCCTGTCCAAAGGCTCTGTTGTCTACTCTGGACTGACATCCCGATGTCTGCCCTGGTTCGCATCGCACGGGCTCGAGCCGGATGTTGGTGTGAATCCATTAGATTTTCTAATCGACATCTCGAGCATCGAAATTGGTGATGATGACAAACGCGAGGCGAGTCAAGCACGTCTCCACCGTCTCGTGGCCGCATGGAAAGAAAATGGGGCAGCGTATACTGCGGAACCAATGACAGGAGCGGAGAAAGTTGCAGTTTCTAAAGAGGGTGTAGCGACAAGACCGACATCCGAACGCACACTTAATCGACCAGGATATCTCTCGCAGGTGGCCACGCTTACGGCTCGGTACGTAATGAGATTGGTTAAAGACACGAACCAATACCTACTAGGGCGAGCAAGAACAATCTTCGTAATCACAGTCAAACGATAGGCTACGCGCTTCAAGCCATCATCATTGGAGTCATGCTAGGATTGTCCTACTTTAGGCTAGGAGAGGTGTGCTACGCATTTTTATTGAGAGCTATCTCATAAATCATTACAGACACCTGCCGATATTCAAAGTCTAAAGGTGTTACACATGCCGATACGAGCCACAAAACTTATAATTTTGTAGACGCTCTGCTTTCAGCATCTCCCAGCCTATTTCTATCTCACAATGGTCTATTCGATTTACCGATACTGCCACGAGCTTGTCGTGTTTGACCGAGAGAGTGCCGACCATCTGTACAAAGCCGCTCCATGGGTCGTCAGCGAATTCGTTTCCAGCCTTCCACTTAACGTCATCTTCTCAATGCTCTTCACGGTTATCATGTACTTCATGGCTGGATTGCGCGTCGACTCACTCGCCCAAAACCTGTTCACCCTCATTGGCAATTCTATCCTCGTTCAGCTCGGGTCCGTTGGCTTTGCTCTCCTTTCGGCATCACTTTTTCGGCCCTTTGAAAGCGCTTCCTTGGTCGCAAATGGTTTATCTATCTTTCTACTGCTCGCCACAGGCTATGTTCTCATCCATATCCCGGTATATGTCCGCTGGATTCGCTATATTTCGGTGTACTGGTATGGATTCCGTATCGTCACGATTTCTCAGTTTCGTGGACGAAGGTTTGCGTGCGAGGGGGTGAGCGGAATCGCGGCGAACCAATGTGTTGGAGACCGGGTGCTGACTGGTCTGAATATCTCCGCGAGCGATTCCCTATGGAGATATTTCGTTCCGCTTCTGGGCATAGTCGTGGCTCTCAATGTGCTGGCAGCAGTCATTCTGACAGTATGTCTCCCTTTACTTTACTCTCTGTGGTCTCACTAACGTGAAATCCGGTAGTTCTGGAAACCAGGTGGAGTCAAGCACGCCGGAAGACCCGGGTCGTCTGGCAAAGAAGTAATCATCGAGAGCGACATGGATATTGCACGTCAACGTGTCAACGTGACTGTAAACCAAGTGTCTCTTGCATGGTCTCGACCACGCTTCTTCATACTCCAACCAACGCGAAAGGAGATCTTAGCGAATATCTCCTTCACATGTCCGTCCGGACAAATTACTGCAATCATGGTCAGCGTTCACTCAAGCGACGATTCTGGGTATTGAGATTAATTCAGGGTCCTTCCGGAGCAGGTAAATCAAGTCTCCTACAACTCCTTGCCGCCCGGTCCATGAATGCGGGACCCTTTGCACGATTCGAGCGAAACGGCAACATATTATTTAACGGCAAGACTTTTTCCAGAGCGGACAGCAATATGGTGTCGTTTGTGCAACAGGACGACGACTATCATCTACCTGCGTTAACAGTAGGCACCCATCATTCCTGATCCATCTGGCGATGAGACTATTGACAAGGGCGAATTAGGTCCGTGAGACGCTCCGATACGCGGCTATCCTGCGACTCCCGCACACAATGTCAAAGCGGAGCAAACTTGGCCGCGCTGAGGAAATGATTCGTATGTTTGGGTTAAATGATTGTGAGAATACTCTGGTTGGGGGACCATTGCTCAAGGGCATTTCCGGTGGAGAAAAGAGGCGACTCAGTCTTGCGGTGGAAATGCTAAACGACCCGGCTGTGCTTATTGTCGGTGCGTCTTCGGACTTGCTCAACATTTATGAGCTCATAAGAGTAGACGAGGTGACATCAGGCTTGGATGCGGCTACTGCACACGTGAGGTATCCACCATATCCGAGAAATTGCTAATATTTCCACAGAATGTCATGCTCAGATTAAAAGCAATTTCGGAAAGCGGTCGAACTGTGATGTAGGGCACCTGCTTGATTTGAGACTTGAACTGACAATATCTATTCAGCTGTAAGGCGTGGTATTATCATCGGTCCCTTCTCATTAGATACAGTAACCCTTCATCAGCCGCGAAGTGATATTTATCACGTACGTGCATTTTTACATCACGAGTTTCGAGGGCTCAAAAATAGCAAATAGCTTCTAGACAACGTGATCGTGCTCGCAAAAGGTGGACGTACGGTATATGCCGGCCTACGAAAGCAAGTCGAATCGACTTTTGCTTCGCAAGGGTACACAATACCTGCATACTTTAATCCTGCCGACTTTCTCCTCGACGTCGTCTCGATCGATAGTCGGCCGCTTTACGAAGGTCAATCACGCGAGCGTGTAGGGAAACTGGTGAGCTATTGGAAGTCAGAAGAGGAGAAACGAGGACATGTGGAAGGTGGGAATACGATGGATGAGAATGGTCATCCGGAGCCCGTCATTGTCCAGGAGGATAGATTGACCCCGATGTGGATTGCGGTACCAGTGTTACTGGAGAGGACGCTACGGAATATGTACGTATCAGCTTTCTCCTTGCTTTGATTACTTACGACTCGAGTTAGGTGGAGGCAGCAATCGAGTACGTTCGTCATATGATTATGGATTGAGGACTGATTGTGGCGCACGTAGTCTTTTGGGTACGCCTACAACAGGCACCACTGTCTGCCGCGCTCTTCCTACTGTTCTTCCAGAGGCTGAGCAAAGGACCTTCGGGTGGACAAGATCGTATCGGGTACTTCCAGCAACTTGTTGGGTCAATGCCGGTACGTTGAATTGGTCCCTCGTCTATGCGATGGCACTCCCTAGACTGTCAATGGCTAATTGTGAATAGTTTCTGGGTCTGTTCAGCTCGGTGGCAATCTTCCCGGCTGAACGAGACGTATTCTTCCACGAATACCGGTCGAGTGCGGCATACTCTACGGCAACGTTTATCATCGTCACGACACTGGTGGAAACTCCGTTTACTTTTGTGGCGAATATTGTCCGTACCGTGACTTCTCTCCAGCCTTCTAGTTGACTGTTCCCTATTATAGTTGTTCGCGCTGTTCACGAATCTCGTGGCAGGTTTAACAACCTCACCTCGTATCTTTTTCGAGTTTGCGTTTAGCACGTTTGCGATGCAGAGCTTTGGCGAGGTGAGGTTTGATACCAATTGATGCACAGGCGACTCAACGCTCCTAGAGTGTAGGCATTATCTTTGCAACATTTACGCCTTCGATGGGGCTGAGCACTTTGTGCGTCTTCATTCATCCCGATCATGTGAAGCTGATTGAAGCCCGCCCAGTCTGGTGTCCACGGTCATCTCGGTAATGATGCAATTTTCGGGGTTGACTTCGCTCTCTGTGCCAAAGTGGTGCGTTTGAAGGACATGCCCCTTGATAGTGGTGCACTAACATCACGTGCAGGTTGCAAGCAATTGCGTGGTCCACGGCGGTGAAGCCGGGTATTCGATTGCTGGTAATCAATGAAGCGTCGGGGCTACACTTGAACTGCCCTCCGGATACAATTGCGAGCGGTGAATGTCTGGTACAGGACGGCTCAGATCTGATTGACTTGTTTGGATGGAAGGTATGTGTGTATATATCTGCTGTATGAGTGCAGGGATGATGTTGACTGTGCCATAGGATCTAGATCGGACCAAACTTGTGCTGATTATTGCAGGACTGTGCGTTGGGTGGCGGGTGCTGTCTTGGATGCTGCTCATGGTCCAGATGCGCGGCTGGTGACGTTTATTGCTCCCTGGCGAGTAGGCAGCAGCTTGACAGAGGAACAAGGTGGGGACGGCTTCTTTTGATCGATCATATCCGGGCTTCCTTGGGGCCATGGCCTAGTCGGGTTTCACAAAGTGGGTGTAAGACAATAACTAAAATATGTAGATTGAGAGGAAACCCGGGCGTAAATAGGGTCCGAATGAGATGCGAAACGAGCGAGCTCCTCTGCCCGGACAGCCATATGCCATGCATTACTCTATTAATGATCGCTCGCGCTTGTTAGTCCGCCGACGACTGCGAGCCCCACCAAGAACCATCAGCCATAGTGCGACTCAGTAAGCATCCAAGTTGGACCTGCCCACATCCGCCATATTTCTCTGCAATATTTCACTCTCAGCACCTTCAACAATATCAGCCAGAAATACCACATAAACGACGCCAATTGCTCCCGCTATACCCTGTGTCCGCCGGGTGGGCTACAGCGTCCCATTCAGGAGGTCAACAGTCTGTCAACATCTCCTGTCGCCTAGAAACTCGACCGTGACACTGTCCAGCTCGTGCTGTTGACATTGCCGAGCGACATTCGGTCACGGTCAACTGATTGCAGCAAGCGAAGCGTCGAGAGGTTGCCGGACTCATATCGTGAGGGTTGATTTTCAATCTTTTAATCGCTTTCTGACCTTGTGGGTCCAGTCTCAAACACAGGCGTCAAGTATTCGCTAGCGTCGCTTCCTGGACGGAGTCGTCGTCGCGTTCTCACACTATTCGTTGCGTTTCAGGCTACCCTATATATCTAGGAATCTTTGAAGACTACGACTTTTGTTACGACTTCTAACCACGATACGACCCAACGACGGACCCTCGTCTAGAAGGCGGACCTCGCAAAGACCGGCATTGATGCACGATGTACCTCCACCGTTCGATAATCGATCCAGAGCCCGATGACAGACTACGAAAACATCGTTTGCGACCGGTAAAAATCACGGTGGACACCTCTCACTTTCCAACCTCCGTCCTCAATCAACCCAACGCCAGTTTTATGCGCTTTCAAAAACGTATTCAGGCGGCCTCTTTAACCTCTTGGCAGATTGCGCTCATTGTCGTCGGCGCCCTCGTTTTTCTCGCCCTCATCTACGCCCTCTACACCATCCACCAACTACGCAAGTCAAAACAGACCGGTCAATACTCTATAGGGGCCAATTTCTTTGGCCTTTTATCCCGCAGGCGATCATCAGCACGTAGAGGTGCAAGTACGAGTAGAAGACGAGACGCTCGTAGTAAACGGCGACGCGGCTCGACCCATTTGTCAAGCGCGGATACTGGAGGTGCTGGATGGCTATGGATGGAAGAGAAGATGATGACAAGGAGATGGACTCACCCGTCAAGCTATCCCGATTGCTCAAGAGCAACCCATCTCAAGCTACTCATCGCTCCCTTGTGGGAGCCTCACCTTCGACAATTGCTATGATGCATTATCATCACAATAGCGGGGAAGAGGAAGAAGTCTCGCCTCCCCCGCCCCCGACAGGTTCGACTCTTAGACCGTCCACTGGGTTTACTAGCTCGTCTAGTATTACACATACTTCCCTTCCTGCTCCATACCTCAAAGATGGTTCATCCTTACGCGAAAGTGTATCAATAAAGGAATACGCATCGACAAAGGAGCGAGCCTCAGAGCAGATGTCTCCAAGTATCGGTTCCCCAATCTCTTCACCGATAAACTCTTCCCCTGGTGACCCACTTTCTACAAGTGTCAAATCTACTGGGGGGTTCTCACTTGGGAACACATTGAGTGCGGCATTGGATAAGCATCGACATCGGCGAGGGAGCAAAAGTAGTACAAATACTACTCCCACGTCATCTTCACTTCAAAATACCTCTAATCTCGATTCCGGACTGGCCTCCTCCCCGCCTCGCTCTGGTTCAGGTCGACCGAGGAGCCAGACTCAATCTCACACTCAGACCAAATCGCATCGATCACGAAATCATGCAAATCGGAGTCAAACACGGACACTCGACGATGGTCTGCCCCATGGGAGTCCTCCGACCAGTGCCGGCGGCCCCAGCAGCCCACTCTCGCCGTCGAGTCTCGGCACGAGTTTGGGATTATTTGGGAGACCCAATAGTTCATCCGCTCACTCGCATTCACTTCAGACACCTCAACAGTCCAAGCCGCACCACGGTTCTCAGCACCATCTTCCCAAAGAGGACAGCTGGCGAGATCGTGAGTCTGGGCGCGAGCGGGATCTCGATTTCGACGACAGAGAGAGCATCGCGCACACGATTCGTGAGAGCTTCGGTGACGACAATGACTATTCCCGCACCGAGGGCGAGATGGACATTGAGATGGACGAGCAAATCTCGACGTCGTTTACCACGCAATCCGGCACGGGTTCCGCGTCTGGAACGAGCAACGCCCACACATATGCTGGAGATGTGACACCACGAGGAGCGAGTGCTCCCCGAATCGCGTCCCCTCGTGCGAGTACCAAACGACTTGGGAGCTCGCATTCTACGGCTTCCTATGGATATTCGTTTACACCACCGACGACAGCCATGAGCCGTACGACGTTTGCGGAAAATGGCGTCGCTGTCCCCTTTAGCGGCATCGGTCTCGCGTTTGGACGGGCAGGCCGTGACAACTTTGATCCCGAAGGCGAATCAAAGCGTGCAGATAGGGGCAAGGAAAGGAGTCGACGACGGGGGCGCGAAAGAAATGAAGAATGATATTCGCTCATTTTTTGGTCGTACGCTTGCGGTAATGGACATTTTGGCTCTTATAACATGTTGTACACAGTTCATTTGATTAACCGAGATATATAACAAACAACGCGACGAATCCCATCTAAACAAAGCACAGCGGAAACCAAAAGGCGAGCTCTGTTCACTCTCCCATGAGACACAAGCCTGTCGCAGATACTTCGATATCCGCCGCACCAGGCACTTGTATGCGTCCACATAGCCATTCGTGCTCACCATACGTCCGCAACAGCACAATCTCCTTTTTCGCACCAGCCACCTCTGGCCCACGTCGCCCGTGTACGACATGGTTTTGTAGCAGGACAGCTTTGCGATTCTGATAATGTCCGCCGAGAGGGTAGTGTGGCGCAAACGTTTCAATGGGCACGTCTTCGAGTGGTGTCCCGCGCTCTTCGCCGTCTGCAAAGAAGCAGTTCGCCGTCGATTGAAGATAATCTTTCTCCTCCCACACTTTGGAAATCGTGACAATCCTTCCAGCATATTTTTCGTCTGCATAGTCGGCGTCCTCGCGGATCTGCGCTTGGATTCCTTCGAGTTTAAACTCGAGCAGCCATCGGCGATTGTCCATATCTATCCTAGATCAATATCTTTGAACTATTAATTTTGAAGAGACGTACTGAAAGGCGCATCATCACGGGGTATGCGAATATAATCTTGCGCCATTGCAGGTGTGGCTCCGATTCCGCGAGGCGTAGGTGCGGTAAAGTTACTCGGTGTATAGCCAGGAGTGGGTGCAGAGAAACCGGCTGGCGTAGGCGCGATACCGTATCCTCCTGGGGTTTCCCCATATACTGCAGGCGTTGGTGCGCTCACATAGGGCGTCGGAGCCGTTGCAGCGGGAGTTGGTGCAGAGAATGGGGTTGGTGCAGATACGTAGGGAGTTGGCGCAGAGGCGGCCGGTGTCGGAGCTGTATCGGCACCCTGCTCCATATCAGACTACCGTCAAGCATCTTTTCATAAACAAAGCGCACCCATGAATCCTCTTTGACTGTTCCCCAGCCACCTTTTGAGCCACTATTGCCCGTCTGACGCGGCGTGCTCCACCCATCATTATCGTTGGACGAACCCCAGCCACCACCGCCATCACTAACACTACCCCATCCACCCTTCTGTGGACCTGACGACGACACATTCGGTGTTTTATTGCCACCGCCACCGTACGGGTTGGGCGTGCGGAAGCTGGGTTCCATCCCGGTGTCCGCCCACCATCTCCACCGGCGGCATAAGGGTTTGGCGTGCGCGAACTCGCATTCCAAGCGGGTGTCTTTCCGCTGTCCAGATATGGATTCGGCGTAGTCGCGTTGGCGGACCATGCGGGTGTTCGTCGATCCGAATATGGGTTTGGCGTACGTCCTGTTGCGCCCCAGCCAGGTGTTCGTCCACCGTCGGTCATATATGGATTCGGTGTCCGTCCAAATGTCGAGTTGGTGGCTGAACCATCACTGTTGAATCCACCCCCAGGACCTCCACGCTTCTGCCCGGGATGAGCAAAGCCTCCAGGTCCCTCTAGTGGTTCCAATTGACCGTTGGGCCTACAAAAATCAGAGAGAGTCCCCACATGATGTCATATACATACGCCAATCGCCTGAGCTTGTCCTTCTCGATTGTAATGATACGATTGTTTGTGCTGAGCTCGACACGACAATGTTGACCGTTGACGTCCTTGATGATACCCTGGTATCCCTTTTGCGTACCCTTGATAATCTTGATGTTCACACCAATCAGTCGATCACGAGGGCCTCTACTCATCGACGGCGCGCCACCAGTTCCACCGGCGACAGCAGGATTCATCTTTGTCAAATCCATTGCGGGCTGCTTCGGCGCGCCCTTTGGTGCAATAGGAGCGAGCGAACGACATCGAGTGACAAAGATTCCGCCATCTTTGGGAATCTCGCGATTATGCAAAAAGGCGTAAAACGCTTGATGAATATGTAGCACCACACCACGCCGGTTCTGTTCATATCAGTTTCAAAAGGTGGATTGAGCACGCAAAACAGCGGACCTCGCCATCGACTTCTTTGACATTATCACCCACGCGCAATTCATTGCCTTCGGCGTCGGTCGAGACTGCCCTCCTCGAATCTTTGCGCATCGTGATTTGGTGTGGCTGGACGAGTCGGGTCTGCCCATGTTGATCAAGCACACGGAACGAGTCGCGCTCCGTCCGATAAATAACACCAACTGTCTGCATACTATACCATATTTAGCCACGCCTATTGGTCAAAATAAGGACTTACTCGAGCTGAACGAGATCGTGAAGTTCATAGTTGCCTACGACATTGGAGCTCGAGCCAACCTCTGCCGCGGTTCGCAAATCTTTTGAAAAGACGGTGATCTATAAAGTATGAGCAAGTTAATTTATGGATAGTCCAATGCCGCACCTCACTCTCGGTCAAGTCCGACATAAAGGTGACCAAGTCGCCATTGACAGACAAAACCATACCCGTCTCATCGGTATTGACACCCGCCATGACTTTGACGTGGTCACCAGGACTAAAGCGCTTGCGAACATGTCGCGCAGGTACCTCAATCGTCATCTTGCCTTCCAACTCGAGTCCCTCACCACGAATCGTCACAATGTCACCCAGCACAGAGTCGACGATACCCCGTGTACCAATCTGCTCGCCTTGGTAGACCTCGACTTGGTCGCCGGGCTGGAGCGCAACCATGATAGGTCGTCGAATTTCTGCAGCGAGTGATGCAAGGTTGAGCGCACCATCCCCACCAGCGGCCTTTTCTCCATCCTTTCCATCTCCCAAAAACGCAGACAGTTCATCTAGACGTGGCTGGACGTTTTCGGTGACCAATGCAGATACGCGGACGTCCTTTTCGAGGAATCCATTCGTGTACGTATCTCCATTGAAAATCCAACTTGGTCCACGGCGTATAGTCGTCTTTTTGCCGTAGACTTTGAGAACCTCTTCTGGGTTGAACGGTCGAGCAGGCGGTCTGCCAACAGTGGCAGCCACAGCACGTTTGCGCTTTGCACTTCCATCCCCACCTTCAAACTCGCGTGGTGTGAGGTCGATGCGAGGTAAAAATCGGATTCCGGCCTCTTCGCCAGTGTCGGTAACGTCCATCACTTGAGCGAGATCACCTTGGTACTTGCCGCGCTTGAGACGGACCCATGCACCAGGTTGCAGAGTAAACTCTTTCTGCTTGAGTTGGAGGAGGGGTGCCATTTCGCCAATGGGGACAAGGATTGGATCCCGTCGAAAGATACCGACGAGGTTTGAACATGCAGAGATGACAGCCTCTTTACTTCGCGACTCGACGTAGATGTACCCAGGAATGGATGTACGTTCAAATGCTGAGATGATTTGAAGTGGGTTGCCTTTGAGTTCGAGATCGAGCGTCTTGCGATAGAGGCTGAGCACAATATCTCGTTCGCGTCCGGGCTACAAATTAGCACAGAGCGAAGAGAAATTGGTGAAAAAATTCACCTTGACTTTGACTTGCCACAGGTTTGGATCGTTGACGCTTGGCATGAGCATTCGCTGGGGTACAGAGGCCAGTTCTTCGACCATTTGATCGTTTCGTGCGTATTTTTCACGCAATCGTTTTGCTAGCTCTTCTCCAGAGATTTCCATGTCTTCAAACCGTTTTCGGTCGAGCCTTCGCGCCCGTGCGACGCTCCGTTCTGCGTCTTGATCATCCTCTTCATCGTCTTGTTGTTGGTACTGCAAGAATCCTATACGAAAGGACTGTATGTCAGCTGTACGTGCCGCCGTTGGCCCAAGAAAGACGCGCCTGCCTCTGCCTCGTCTTCCTCATCGTCGTCGGCATCATCATCATCCACAAGTGCTTGTACATCGATATAAGGGTTTACAACTTGCTCTCTTCGCCGCCGCTAGTTGCGTACATTCAGCAAATTGGTGTCAAACGTTCAGAAATTCAAGTTTACTTTTGCTTTTCGCGGGTCTCGTTCCAATTCTTCCTCTTCCTCTTCTTCGTCTTCCTCTTCATCATCACTGTCGTCCATGTGCTTACGTCGAACAGGCTCCTCTTCTTCGTCTTCATCATAGTCGTTGCCAGCGCGCATGCGTACGTCGCGTTCGTCGAGATCCATGATTATTGTACGCAGCGAGTTGGCGCTTTAGCTGGTCGTGGCCGGGTCCAAGAGGGATGGCCAAACACGGCGAGGCTTGCCACTGGCACCAACATGGTAGCAATCGCTATGGCCTTGATTTCCACCTAAATGCTCCTGTTTGATAGTATATACTACTTAAAGTGCGTGTTAGGAATGTCCACTCTGTCAACGAGACCAAAGGCCCCTAATCGGAGTGTAAAGCGTGAAATGTCCGCCAAACGGACATGCCGAATAAGAGGCGGATCCACTTAGAGGCCGGCTTATCGAAGCCAGGAACGCTCTAATCCAAACTAGTAGTGGGTGGAAGAGCACAATGAAAAAGGATTGAGCCGAGGTCCCTATTTCAATAATGAGTGATCCAGGGATCTGGTTTCACAAACACATACAAAATCCGCGTGGACTGGTTCTTTTTGATTCACGCACTCCAGTCTGCTCTTTGCTCCCCTCCTTCCCTCCTCCCGTCTCAACGCCCGCCAGCTAGGATCTGCAAACATGCACTGGACAGACGTGATCCAACGCTACGCTGCCCAATACGACGTCGACCTCTCGCCGCTCCAGATTAACCTCGGTCTTGGTGTTGGCGCCGTTGTTGTCCTCGCCGTTGTGCGCTATCTCTCGTCCTCGTCGTCCAATGTCTATCACGGACCAGGCCCAAAGGGTGTTCCAGTCCTGGGGAACGCAGCAGACTTGCCCAAGAAAGACGACTACAAAGTCTATGCCTCTTGGCGACACAAATACGGTGATTTCCACAATGTCTAGCGCAATTACAAACAAGAGTCTAACTCCAGTCTAGGTGAAATGGTCTACCTGAGCGTTCTCGGGCAGCCAATCTACATTTTGAATTCACTCCGCACGGCCACAGAGCTCATGAACAAGCGTGCAATGATTTACTCTGACCGTCCCATCATGATCATGGCCCAGGAGCTCGTCGGGTGGAAGCGCACCCCTGTCCTCACGTCCTCCAACGACCCGCGATATTCTCGCTATCGCAAGCTCTTCCACACCGCGCTCCGAAAGGAGCGTGTACGTGAAATGGCTCCACTGCAAGAAAAGTCTAGCCACCAAATGTTGCAGCTTATCCTCGACAAGCCAGACGACTTTGTCAAGCACATTCGCTAGTACGTCTTCTTCTCTTGAGATACCGCAGGAAGCTGATATTCTACAGTTGCATTGGCGCTGTGATCACCAAAGTCACGTATGACTATGACATGAAGCCCGAAGGCGACGAGTTTGTCGAGTTGGCTGAGATTTCTGCGGATACCTTTTCCCAAGCTGCTGCTCCAGGAGCATGGCTGGTCGACATCTTCCCATGGAGTGCGTCTCATATAGCATATAAGTCTCGTCTAATCGCCCTATCAGTGCGCCATATCCCCGCTTGGTTCCCTGGAGCACGCTTCCAACGCATCGCCCGCGAATGGAAGGCCGTCAACGACTACCTGCACTCAAAGCCCTACAATGACGTCAAAGCGCAAATGGCAGCTGGAACGCACCACGGATCCGTCACCTCGCATCTCCTTACAAATGCACAGTCGTCCACGGTGGACGAAGACGGCGAAGTCGTAGTGCTCGATGACGAAGAGGAGAACCGCATCATGTGGGTCGTTGGAGCCATCTACTCTGGTGGAGCAGACACGACGGTCAGCGCTCTAACGACGTTTGTCCTCGCAATGGTCCTCTACCCTGGTGCTCAGCACAAGGCGCACGAAGAAATTGACCGTGTGCTTGGAAAGGATAGGCTGCCGGTGATGAGTGACAGGGAAAACTTGCCGTACGTCGAAGCCTTGTTCAAAGAGGTGCTTCGATGGCACCCAGTCGCCCCACTCGGTGTACCTCATCGACTAACGAAAGAGGACAAATTCGAAGGTAATCAATTACATCTAGTCTAACAAAAAAAAGGGCCTGACGTTTCTGAATAGGCGTCACCCTTCCGGCCGGCTCTACGGTGATTAGCAACATTTGGGCAATGGGCCATACCGAGGCGGACGGAAACGAGTTTAAGCCCGAACGCCATCTCCATAATAGCAAAGAAGGAGCCGCGACGGACCCAAGAGAATATGTATTTGGTTTCGGACGAAGGATTTGCCCCGGCAAAGAGCTCGCGGATGCCGGCGTCTGGTTGGGGATCGTAAGCCTTCTTGCGGCGTTTAGGTTTGGCAAGAAGCCGGACGGCAAAGGCGGTTATGTGGAGGTTAAAGAGGAGTATGCGCCTGGTATCATTTCGTACGTCGTCTTGTTTCTGCTGACGGCGTGTCGTCTGAACGCTTGTTTCAGGCATCCCATGCCATTTGCCTGCTCGATTGTCCCCCGCCATTCGAGCACGGCTGCACTCATCCGGTCTGCAATTGCCCGTGACCGAGAACACTGATTGTGGTTGTCATGTTCTAGTGGATTCTGTGATCGTTGTCCATGGTTCTGAAACTGGTATGAAACCAGCGGGTTATTCGGGACCATGCATGCACTAGTGCCAGTTTGGGCCTGGAGAGGACGCCGTGAATATAAATGTCTGGGATCGCGATAAACAAAATGATAGTCCATCAGATGGAAACCGTGCGGGTGGAGGTTAGAACTGATTCTCTCCGTCAAGCATATATAAGTGCGGCGGCTGGAGGTCATCAACCCGTGCCGCTGCTGCTGCTGCCTCTTGGACCTCTCCTCGTCCGTTATCCCTGTCGCAATGGCTACAATGTCCACCGAAGAGATTGCTGCGACACTCACAACGCTCGCCGAGGCCGTCTCCATTGGCCGCTACTGCACGCTCGCTGCCTGGGTCTTGCTCCTGTACGATCATATCATCCATCTCGACAAGGAAATCGAACTCTTTTGGATGAAACCCTGGAGCTTTGCAAAGGGTCTCTACCTCTTCGTGCGTTATGCATTCCTCTTAAACATTCAAGCTTACCTGCGACAAAAAGAATCGATATAGTGCTGCAGTGTTCATCGGGATACACGCCATGAGTCTGTTTCTCCATTCCTTTGCACAACTCGCGCTAACTGACAGGCAGTCTTCCTCAGCCCAAACGTCACAGATGGCATGTACGTACTCGTATCTATTTGTTTACCCGCTTCCTAACGTCTTCTTCCCAGATGTGAGCCCATCTTCCACCTTTGTTTCCCAACAACCCGCTAACCCAGGGCAGGTTTAGGCTGGTTTAAATTCGAAGGTTACACGGGTGTGTTGCGCTTCTCGTCTTCGCCTGGGTTCTCTTCTGACCCACTCTGGCAGGGACAATTGGCATCGCCGCGGTCGAGCGTACGCACCAATCCATCTGTCCAATAAACTGACATCTGACGAGTACAAAGTCATTCTTGGGTTCCGCGTCCTTGCTCTATGGAATCGTAACAAGGTCAGCTCGTACGACACAGGGAGAGAATGATGCTGACCCAGACGATAGATTATCACCTTTATCGTCTATTTTGCCCTCTTTTGCGAGATATCGGCCATGCTTGGGATCCTCACTTCGACCTACGTCCACATGGGTGGTCAGTGCTTTCCCTTTTTCTTCACTGGGCCATCCCTTCTCACCATCGGATTAAACACAGCCGTATCCACGCCAATTCCCGGGATACCATACAAAGCATGCCTTCCATTCAACATCCCGCCCTACTTTTTCGCATTTTGGCTACCGCCGCTCGGCTACGAGTCTCTCGTCTTCCTTCTCGCGGCGGCCAAGGGCTATCAAACGCTCCATACCGCGTTTGTCGCCACACGGAACGCTGCACGGATCAATATCCCCATGCCCCGCTTCAGCATCAGCGGCGAGCGAAGGAGCGAAACGATTGGGCGTGGGAGTTCCACCGTCGCGAGCGCACATAACCATGGTGCCGTCGAGGCGGTCGCGGGCAACGAACGAGGGGAGAATGGTGGGATCATTGGACGAGAAGCAGAAGCTAGAATCAAGCGCACAACGTTTTTCGCGTTCAAGACGACTGGTTCGCGCTTGCTCGAGGTCATGATCCGCGACTCGCTCTGGTACTTTTTACTCATCTTTGTGTGCGACATGGTTTGCTCGTTGATTTGGCTCAAGGGCCCCGACTCGCTCCTCCAAGCCGTTGTGGGTTTTGGTCTCGTCATTCCCTCCGTCGCAGGCTCGCATCTGCTTCTCAATCTTCGCGATGCATACTATCACCCCACGGGCATCACGACCGCCAGCACCGGTACACGCACTTACGATCTGCCCACGTTTAATCGCTCTGTAGACAATTCGGCCAAGAATGGCAAAGGGTATGCCCTCTTGTGGTGTAGTTACCTGCTTCTCACTCCTACATAGGCCGAAGAAGCGCGATTGGTTCACTCGGAGCGTGGCTGGTGGACGACAGCTTGATACAGAATGGGCCCTAGATCCAGAACAGGTGTGCTCGTTTAACTGTATTCTTGCAAGGTGTTGACAAATATTCAGGACAAGGTCACCCACTTTTCCACCTCGGACCCAGATCTCAAGCAGCCCGCCAACTTTGAGGACGGCGACATGCGACTCGAGCCAGTCGCGCGCGTGAAAGACAGTAGCGTTGGAGGAGAGAACATTGAGCTCGTCAATGTTTCCAAGTCGCATTCTACGACTGCTAATACCTCTCATTCGCCTATTGCTCCCGACGCCGTCCCACAACCATCAGACTCGTCACCTACAAAGGGTCATCTTCCCCGTCTCTCCCTCGCCATAGGCAGCTCCAACGCAAAGTCTCAACCACGTTCGCCCCCCACGTCTAGCCATGGACGTGGATCCAAGTCGCCTTCTTCACCATCAGCGACGAGCGCCCGGGGTATACACATTACGACCACCACAACGACAGTGGAGGACCTGCCACCACTTTTCGCGCCGCACGACTCGTCAAAATATATCTCCCGCCGTAACAGTGTGCAAGCCAAATCGAGTGTCTCTCCACCTACAACGCCGATTAATGCCCTTTCAACGAATGGATATCCTTCTACGACTCCTCCTGGAATTCACGGGTCATCACCCATATTGGACGCGTCGACACCACCGCTTTCGTCGGCTCCGCTGCCCAGGGAGTTTGGGACATATGGGTTTGGTTCAAACGCTTCTCGGCCTGGGACTGCCAACTCTCGGCCTGGGACCGCCGGGGCGAGAGACAAGCCTATGGACTGAGGGCTCATTCCTCGTCGCGCTCATTCCTCATCGCGAACGAGCGAATAGGAATCTCCTTTCTCACTTTTGCACACCATGTCATGGACCGCTAGAGCTTGTTGCTTGCCATCCCGTACTTTCTTGTCCATCGTGTATGCTAATGAACCTCCACCATCACGCACACCAACGAACCTCTCTACACGCCCTTCTTGCCCTTTTCTTGTCCATTCGTCGTTGGTCGTGCTATCATTCCCAAGTAGTATTTCATCCTCCTAGAACAAAGAGCCCCTTGTTGCACCAATTCTCCGACCGCGTCCGTTCGTTTTTCTTGGAATGTCACAGTGTTGTGACTGTAGCAAGAGTTACTCAATATACGAGTTTTTCTCTATTATACCACGCTGGTGAGGACTTAGATCCGACGCCTAGTTATGACCTTATGAGTCAATAGTTGAATGCGAGACCTAGAACAGGTTAATAGGCAGCATAATATGCAAGCAGTACGGGTCTACGTCAACTAGTCTCGCAATTGGGCAAGTGCTTTGTGGAATTGTCCAACACTTCGGTGCCTCTCTGCTCCATAACCAGGCTCACAGCACTGGGTAGATATCAGTACCAGCTGGAAGAGGGCCTTCGCGAGAGGGCAAAGGGAATGGATTTGCCTCCGGATCTACGAGCATCCTTAATTTTGCAACGGCTTTGGCTGCTTTGTTTGAACAGAATCTCAGATTTTTCAGCTGAAATATTTGCTTGAGCAACATACAAGGACTGCTGAGATCCACTTTGGAACTTTCGTCGCTGGACTTGCCGCACCAAATTCCAAAGTATTCGAAGGTTCCCAACCTAGCGCCTTGGATAATAATCAAAGGAGGCAAAGCCATTGACAGGATCGAGCGCCAACCGTCGGAGTTTTGGCGCCACAAAGTGGCGTAGCACTTCCTTTGAATTCCGGCCAAGCATTTCAAACTTGATAAGTGACCCCAGCATACAATTTGATGGGAACTTGAAGTTTGCCAAACAGATTAATATCAAGAAGGTCAGATTGGCTGCAAGGTCTACTGATAGGGATTTGATGTAAACGACGATATGTTCGACGGTGTCGGTGGATCGCAGCATTCCACAAGCGACTCATACTACTCTTTTGTAGGAAAGAAACTGCAAGAGGGTACTCGGCGTATATCCAAGCCTTTCGACTCTTTCACCAATAATGGCGTCGTCTTCCCCGCAGAAGTCGGCGGTAGATTGGCCAGTGAGCATCGCTCGTGAACTAACTCTCATGATTCGTCAATCCGGCTGACTAGATTCCCTACTTGCTCCGTGGCATAGAGGCCATTCATCTGTCTCGCCCCGATAACGGACCCACATAGGCGCCAGTTGAACTACAGCAAACTTGGCCCGATGTGATTCGCTGAGAGACGTACTCATCGACTATACAGGAAATTCCCACCGATTCAGTTGTAGTTTAGTGGTTCCTTGTGTGCGCTGCCCCCTACAGAGAAAAGCCCCCGAATCACGGAGACATTATGAGGGTAAATGGTAGCTCCGTAATCTATTTTCTGCAATATAAGTGCACAGTTCAAGCCTTCGACCCTCCTAGATTCGACCGAAGACAGGTCCTACTCTACTATAATTACCAAGAATGCGATTATCCTCATTGATCCCCTTTACACAAGCATTCTTCGACTCCTCACCACAATACAGCGCATCCGCAGGGGACATTAAGTCTTATGCTCCCCATTCGTTTGTACACCCGGGAGTCCTACTCAACACGGTCCAGCTTGACTTTATGCGTGCAAAAGTTATCTCTGGCGCACAACCATGGCAGGTGCCTACGACGCGATGCTAGGAGATTCTCTTGTCGCTCAGTCACGCACTCCATCTCCGCATCCCGTCATTGGATGTGGAGAGGATTTGAACATTGGATGCGTGGATGAGACACAAGATGCACTCGCGGCGTACGGGAATGCGTTGGCGTGGTACGTAAGTCGGGACGGCAAATACGCGAAGAAGGCGATATCCTATTTCAACGCGTGGGCTGGTACGATCCAGGGCCACGCAAACTCGAGTGCGCCGCTCCAGACGGGATTCGCGGGCACGTCCTGGGCGAAAGGCGCAGAAATTATCCGTCACACGTATACAGGTAAGTCTATCTGGATTGCCCTCCCATTTCTAATCAGAAACCAAGGCTGGGGTGCAGACGATATTGCCAAGTTTGAGACAATGCTTCGCGACGTCTATCTTTCCAGAGTCATAGATGGCTCTAGTAGTGGCAGCCAGGAATTAGGTTGGTCGGTTTGTGGATTTTGAGCTGTCGGTTCACTCGGACTTCTAGTCATGATGGAAGCCACACAGAGTATCTCTGTCTTTCTCAACGATCGAGCCAGCTACGACAAGGCGATGAACAAGTACCTCGGTCGTATACCTGCTTATATTTACCTCGCCACGGACGGTGCATATTGGCAAGGACAAATTGGGTTCGTCAATGGGATTGTGCAAGAGACATGTCGTGACTTTGCCCATACGGGTTATGGCATTGCGGCGATTGGACACATAGCGGAGACGTCGCGCATCCAAGGCACGGATCTCTATGTGGGCGAAGTCGGTACACGGCTGCGCTATGCACTGGAATTTCATTCGCTCTATGAGTTGGGTGCCGCTGTCCCAAGTTGGCTATGCGAGGGCAAGTTGACGTTAGGTTTGGGACCCATCACCGAGATTGGACTCAATGCGATGAAAACGAGACTTGGGTATACGATGCCAACAACTCAAATTCTGACGCAGATGCAACGTCCAGCTAGTACAACCTCGCTTCTCGGATGGGAGACGCTCACACATGCAGAAAACCCGGAGTAGAAATGGTTTAAATGTGTATATACCTTTATCTAATGTCGTAATCTCCATCATTAGTACCACCGCTTTCGAGCGGGGTCGACAAGCCTTCGACAGTCGGATCCTAGGAGCTCCCTTGAGGATCAAAAGAGCCTATGCCTCGCGAACGAGTTTGCCCTTGGCTGCACGGAGCTGTTCCGCGGTTGTGATGCCCTGCGCCTCCAAACCTCGATAATTCACCGTATCCCCTCCAAGGATCTCCCTTGCTTCGGCGTCGGTAATACCCTTGAAAAGAGCCTTGACAGCGCTGTACATTGCATCGTTTATTTTCGCTGGCGAAACATCTGGGGGATCCTGAGGAAGGTTGCTGACGATGATTCGCTCGCTAGGAGGTATCGAATTGAGCGCATCTTTGTCAAATCCGTACATTGGGGATCGCTTTTCGAGCGCAGCGCGGTTCGTTTCTGTCATGAGGAAGACTGTGTTCTCGAGGTGATGCGGGGTGATCATTTTCAGATCACTGTCCTCTATTCTGAACATCTTGTCGATCGAAGAACTACTGTTACCACAGCAGCAGCAGCCTTCGAGGCCTAGAATGTGCGGTCAGTCTTGTAGCAAACAGACAAAAAGCCGACCTCTCACAGGGTGCACAGGGCTCGCATAGACTGAATACCGCGAGACAGCAGTAGCACAAGACGCCGAAAATTTCTGCCATAGACAGGAAAGTAGGGCGCGACGATCTAAGACAGCCTCTTTTTATGCTCAGGCCATTGCCCGCCGGCTGTCAACCCGTCAGTCCGAGCGCCCGTGGGGAATAGTCCCGCGTTCTGAGGGCTAAGGCTTATTAGCGCTCGAAACTCTCAGCCAAATGAAATGGCAGAGGCTCAGGGAGCGGCTGAGCCATCTTTGGACCCAACCGCTACCAGCTTGCGTGCACGCGCTCAGTGAGGCTACGCGTTTCTTTACTCAGAGAATCGTCTCAGATATCCAGGGACATACCCGGGATATCCTATCATGGAACAGCCGCTCTCAATTAACAATACCCGCCTTCCCGTCGAGCTGCTGGGAGACATCTTTCATCGGCTGGTTGAAGACGACGACAATGAGGTTGCAGACTCTAAACTCGACAATATTCTTCTCGTATGTAAAATATGGAGAGACGCAGCACTTAGCTTCACAGATTTGTGGTCAGAGCTCTATATTTGCCTCGATCGCAGATTGGGACAAGACGAACATTATTGGCTTAGATATACAAAAACGAGGCTCAAGCGGGCGGGACCTACACAGCTCCTCGGCATACACTTTACTTTCAATTATCCCAATCGGTGGGCTTATGCCCCGAGTATGAAAGGGTCTTCTCACTTCCAACAGCTGATATACACCTCACGGGTCCTCAAGGTGTCACTGCGGCACGATGGCGGAGTTTCGAATACCATGCACCCTCTGACGGGGAAGCAGCATCGCATTACGACTCTTCAACTTCCCGACTCCTCACCTTCGGGACCTCCATGTTATTTCCGTCCACCTCGACTCTTTGTTTCCATACACTCCACGACTCACAAATGTGACCCTGTCCGACTGCAGTCCACCCTGCCTTCCCTTCATCAAAACAGTCAAGATCCTCGATTTGCTTGTGGGAAATCGAGGACGGCGTCCTGTGTTTCTCTATCTCTGTGACGCATCCAGCGTGACGGAGTTCAAGTTGACTTGCTGGCCAGACTTTATTGTTGCCCCGCACTGCGTCCTTCAATCTCTGGTCGAATTCAAATTTACAGGTCGCCTCGCAATCCAAAGCCTCGAACGATTTGCAGCGCCAAATCTTCGACGCTTGACACTCCTCGTCGACTCCGGTAGTTCCTATCCTGCCTTTGCCCAATGTACGGGCGTCAACTTTGAACGGCTAGAGTACTTCCATTTCGGGTGGCCGCATCGGATCGAGGATGCGAGCATCCGAGAATACCTCGATGCTGCGCAAATCCTGCTCAAAAAGCTTTCCCAGCTGCAGACACTGAGCTTTGAGAGAAATTCCATAGCGGAACTTGCTCTGAAATTGCTCGTAGACGAGGACGCGGATCTATTCCCTGCGCCACCACGGGAGGGACATCTGAGCCTCATGCTCGACGGCGCGTCTTGCCCGATTGGATACGGTTCATCAAGGAGACAAAGTATCGACGAGTTTAGGCAGATGGCTGACCTTGACGTGGAGAAAAGCTGGGGATTTTGTACCGAAAATGCAAAAGTTCGCTAGATTTTTAAGTGGAATATGGAATGCGATATGTTGTTCGTGGATGTGGGAACCCGTCGCAGACCTGTCAAGCTCGCTTAGAAGTTGTGAGTGTTATTAGATGAGTGACATACGCCCAGGATTACTCTTCCAATAATGTTGATATGATTTCCTCCTCGTGCATCTTTCTGCAAGATTCGATAACACGCTCCAAACCCTCTCCGTCCATCACGCTCTCAAGATTCATAATGGTGAAGCCCGAGCGGTGATCGGTGATTCGGTCCTAGATAGAATTGAGGGTCTGTGGATGATATAGTCCCAGCACTGACCTGTACGTAGTTGTATGTTCGAATCTTGTCACTACGGTCCATTCCTTTTACGAGCGTACGCCTGGTTTTGCGGTTCTCTTCTGCCTCTTGACGAAGTTTGAGATCAAACAATCGCGATCGTAGAATCTTCCACGCATACGCTTTATTCTACGTCCTTGTCAGATGTTGATTAGCTTGATACACGACATGCCCTACCGCGTGCTGACTCCGACTATCTTGCATGGACACAGTGATTCCGGTTGGAATATGTGTAAGTCTTACGGCCGACTCGGTCTTGTTGACATGCTACCATGGTGTTAGAAAACCAAAGGAGAGGAACCTCTGGCGTACCTGGCCACCAGCCCCTCTTGCGCGCATCACCTCCACCTTGACGTCCTTTTCATCGACAAAGAACGTTGCAGCGCTGGTTTCGGCGGGCTTTTCCTCCATCAGAGGAAGGACCTAAACAGATGTCAGTTCCTGTTAACTACGACGCTAACCACAAACCACAACGGCAGCGGCGCTGGTGTGCATCCTCCCGCTCGTTTCTGTAGCCGGAACTCGCTGTACTCTATGCACGCCGTTTTCCCATCGAAGCGAATCGTATGCTCCCCGCCCCTCGACCTCAAAAACAACCTCCTTGAATGCATCCTTGCCGCTCATACTCGCACTAATGGACTGTGATAAGACATTCGTCTTCCATCCACGCCCAAGTCCACGACCACCTTCTTCGGCACCACGTGCGGATATGTCTGCTCCCCACGCGTCGACATAGCGTGTGTACATCCTGAAGAGGTCTGCAGCAAAGAGTCCTGCTTCTTCCCCTCCAGCTCCAGCTTTGATCTCCACTACAGCTCCATTCTCTGCAGTTTGCGACTTGGGGATCAAGAGCTTTGGAAAGACCTCCTGGATGAGTGAATCGACTGAGCTCTGTGATGCAGCGAGCTCTTCTTCAGCCATCGAACGTAATACTTCGTCAGGATCTTCCATGAGCTGTATGGCTCCCTTGATGGACTCCATATTTTCCGTATACGTCTTCCAGGCGGCAACCAGCGGCTCGAGTTCCTTGATTGTTTTCGAGGCTTTGATTTTGTCAATGCGATTCACATGCTCAGAATACTCGGCATCATTAGGGGTTTCTAACTACTAAATCCCAGGCGTGTGAGAATCGAGGGCACCAGCGAATCAAGTACGGACCTGAGCAACCAGTTGTTGATGCAACTTGACTCTTTTTTCCACTAGTTGTACAATACGATTGCTCTTCGCAGAAGCAGCTTCGACCTGAGCGAGATGAGCTGCATTTGTGGTTCTACTTGTTGTTGCCGTGCGTGAAAAGTTTCGACGGTGGTGAATGAAGGTAGAAGAGGGTATCCGTAGGGGCGTAACATGCTTATACGGAGCGTCATAATGTTTATTGGCGTTACGGAGGCATTGTCGTATCATTAGAATCGAAGAAGGCGGATCCAAGTTCACACAGCTAGCCTCCTGATACAACCACTCCGACTCTCGACGCAATCCTAACCTCTAACAACCAGAAAATGTTCCGGAACTTCCATCTTGTCGTAAGGTCCAAGTGAAACAGACCGAGCCCATTGACCATTGGGAAGTCGTGTAAACTCCCGGATCACCTGAGGGTGTAAGAATTCATTGTGCAGAGTGAAGCCAACTTGAAGACGTACCGACCAAACTTTGGTACCAAAGCCGCATTGCCGTAGATTTGGAGAACATTCAGCGACAAGAGAAAGGATGATCTCGTTGGTAGGGAGGACTGGGGATGCAACCGAGCTGCCAATGGTACTGATGTGGAAGTACTCCAACCGTCGAAGGCTAGACAGAGAGTATAGTTGTGGATTCTATTTGGCTGGAATATCAGTGCTGCCTTCTAGAAAGACGAGCCACATACAGTCCAGATATCTGCGGAGTATATTCTTGTAAAGAATAACTTTCGTAACCGTGGAAGCCCCTGGCATATCACTTCCAGAGTATAATCGTCGACGGGTATCCGGAGTATTCCAAGAGCCTGCAGAGAACGTGCGTGACAACTGATGAGAGCCATTGCCACTGAGAGGCAAGGGTCGGACTCCTGCTGAGTGTTGGCTCGGGGCTCGGTGTTACTGTAGAGATTAAACTCTTCCAAAGGAGCGTCGTGAAGCAGTTTCTCTATTTTCTGTTGGCCCCACACAGAAAAGCCCGGAGGGCAGGTCATGGTCAAACGCTTGAGGCTTCTGAACAGACCATGCTTATTGACTTCGGTAGCAAAGTGAAGCCAATTCTAGATTCATTAGAATATTTGGAATTAAGATACCAACTCCACGTACAAACCTCTGTGACACGCCTTCTAAGGAGAGCGCCTCGATCCCAGCGCAGTGTTGGAGGACGAATGTTATGGCTTCGTGCGTAAAGTTGGAACAGTTTGTGAGAAATATCCCTTTTAAAGACACGAGATGATTGGCCATCTCTCGCAAAAGTTCATCTGTAATTAGACTGTCACTCTGAGAGAATGTTAGCTTCACCAGGACACTTTCAGTGCCTACCTTGCATATAATAGACAATGTTCGCAACGAATGGCCGGTAAATGAGCACCACCTGGGTAGCAGACGGATAATTTGACTATCCGGCATAATCAATGTGAGCCTTTCCAGGTTTTTGAAGCCTAGCAAAGTCGAAGGAGTAAAATAGCCCTTTGGGTTGGCGTTGATTTCCAGATCCTTGAGTTGCTGGCGTCGCAAAATGTGAAGTATCTCGTCGGAGATTGTGCCATCGCGCGTCCACCTACAGGACCGAAGGTTTATGCAGTTCCTAAGTCCATTTGGGACCATTTCATCTAGTTCTCCCCATACACGCGTCTGTGGGAGCACTCCCAAGTCTTGATATCCTCTCTTAGCCTATTCGGAGGTATTCACAGAATGTACTCGCCAATTCTCTCTACGAAAGCTGCGAGCTCGGGATGCTGAGATAGCGTTGCAAATACCAAATACACTAAAATCGGTGAGGCGGCGATTTGCTGTTACTCGAAACCATGTATATGCCCTACCTTTTGATCTCCAATCCCTGTTCTTGCTTCAGAATTGACATTCTGAACAGTCAAATGACTCACGCTTCCCAGTGAACGATCCTCAAGTTCTGATACAACAACCGAGTGGCGACATGACGAAACTCGTGATTGACGAGACAGCATTGAGCGAGATGGCCTGGTCTGAAACCTTGAAGAAATTCAAGTATCGGGCGGAGCAGATCATATGGCACCTTATTAATCAACGACATGGTCGGCTCCAAGTGAGGCCTTGGCTGGCCATAGATAAACCGATAGCTCTAACTTATCTGATAGAACGAATAAAACCCTATTCGAAATCCAGACTTTTTACCATCCACGCATCTTGATCATCACACATAGCCAAGCCAGCAACCTCCATCCAACTGTGCAAGCTATCATGATACCCACCAGCTTGTTAGTATCTAGATCCTACACAAATTCAGGTCTCTGGTAGGAATGACGTCTGTTATCATACCTTCCAACCAAACAGGTCTATCATGTCCTCGCCAGTTTGTATAAGACAGGCCCCTGATTGGATTGATTCCGGAGAGCAATTTAGATGCAAGCGCGCTATAAGATGCAAGTCAGAACTCAAAAGCACGTAAAAGTGTCACATACAAGCTTCGTTGATGATAAGCAATCGGGCGGCTGGTTTAATTGGAGCACACCACGCAATCGCTTGAAGCCTGATAACAAATCAGCAGTAGCCCACAGATCATGCGAGTTCGTGCCATTTAGGGACGGAGAGAGAAACCAATCCAGAGAATTGGGTGATGATGGACAACACAGTGGATACCAAGCTGGTGCAGGTCAGAGATATTCTAGTGCTTATCCTGAGAACTCACGATACACTGAGACCCATCTCGGGTGTGAATGTCGCAAAGATGATACCCACGCTCTACGTGACCTCAGCTCCTCGAGACCTGGAGAGGTCTTTGTGCACTCACCTCACCCAAACTCTGGACTGCAAAAGTACTGAGCGCAAACTCGAAGAATATCCGCGGAGACGTAGTCAATCCGGCCACAAGGTTTGCCAGCAATGCTAGGAGCTGTGCGTACTTTAGGCAATGGGATAATCGTAGACGAAACTACTCACGATGTTCGCAATGAATGTAAACGGTGTCTCAACTAGCGTGGTGACGAGCGTAAATGTCGCCGTCGAATAGGCAGCACTGGATTGATACTCGTGGAAGAAGACGTCCCGTTCCGCCGGAAAGATGGCAACAGAGTTTAAAAGACCGATGAACTGATAAAGGTAAGTATCCAAAAGAGCCACCGTACAAGAATACATACTGGAACCGCTCCAAGGAGTTGCTGAAAGAATCCGATTCGGTCTTGCCCACCTAGAGACAATGGGACACCCGTTACAGCCTATAGGTAGTGAAACACACCTGTCGGCCCTTTGCTCAAGCGTTGGAAGTAAAGAAGATAAAGGGCACCCATGAGCGGGCTTTGCTGAATGCGAACCCAGAACACTAAGTGGAGTGAGTATCGGCAGTATTCTCAATCAAACCACTGACCAGGCTGCTGTCGCCACCTTTACGCATTTAAGGAAATCAAAGTCACTATCTCAACAACTTTGACTCACATATTTCGGAAAGCTCTCTCCAAGAGGACTGGACCGGCGATCCACATGGGCGTGAGGCGACTCTCTTTGGCAAGTCGCATTGGGCGGCTAGTATCGGCAGAGTCGTCGCCCTCTATCCGGCCCGCAAGTTTCATCTTCTCCTCTTCAGACACCCAGTATTCGACAAGCCTGTTCACGCGATCACGCGAGACTGATTCAAACTCTGGACGATTGTCGACAGAGATGATGTCGAGCAGAAAGTCGGCAGGGTTGAAGTATGCAGGAATAGTGTAGCCTTGGGCCGTAAACGTGCCTTCGACTTGCTTTCGTGGTCCTGCATAGACTGTGCGACCACCCTTGGCCAGTACAACGACGTTATCGAGAAGCTTGAATAGGGTGAACATCCGCGGCTGGTAGAGTATCAAGGATTACGTACGTGATAAATGTCACTTCGTGGTTGATGTAGCGTTACTATGGGAGATGAGCACTTTCACGAGAAAAATGTCTTGGCTCACAGCTACGCTTCGTGAGTCCAGGAACCGCAACAGAAGTAGATCACTCACATCACAGTCCTCCCACTATCTGCAATCGATTTTAGGCCAAGCATGACATTCTGCAAATGTCAATGTCGAATATACTCCCGAGAATTACCTACATTTGCAGTGGCAGCATCCAATCCAGACGTCACCTCGTCTGTGTCCCAGTGAGTAGCCAAAATCGGCAAGAATCGACAAAAAGGACGCACCAACAATGAGAACAGCAGGGTCGTTTAACATTTCTACTGCGAGACTGAGCCGTCTCTTCTCCCCACCGGAAATACCTTTGAGTAGCGGTCCTCCGACAAGATTATCCGCACAATCTTCGAGCCCAAGCATTGTAATGACCTGTTCTGCGCGCGCGAGCTTGCTACGCCTCGACATTGTGCGCGGCAAGCGCAGGATGGCGGCATAGCGGAGCGTTTCTCGGACCTGAATGACGACACACACATAAACGGTATCAGTCGAGCCCAGTGAGCGATAAACAATGATTCGCACCGTCAAAGCTGGGAGGTGATAATCGTCCTCCTGTTGGACAAAGGAGACGATATCGCTATCGTTTCGTGAAAGCGTCTTGCCATTGAATAGGATAGATCCTTCTCGATCAAACCGCGCAAAAGGACCGGCCTTCATCGACCGCGCTGCGAGGAGTTGGAGCATACTCGACTTGCCAGCACCAGAAGGACCCTAAACATTAAAAATGATTCATATGGCGAACTCCGGATAACACGATGAGAGATATCCCAGGTAGGAGAAAGGGCGATGGAAGGGAAAGGACATACCATAATAGCCGTAATCTGGCCAGATGGACAGCTAAATGTGATATCATGTAATATTTGCTTTTTCTTCTCTTTCATAAGGAGTCGTGCCGGTCGGATCCATGTCAAGCCAACGTTCTTGACAACAACGTCAACCCGCTGACGTGCGATGTCCATATCACTCTCTGGCAATGTTTCCTTGCCAGCTGTTCCTCCAACTTTGACAGCATGCTTGACACCACCAGGTTTCCAGACCTACGGACCCATATAGTCTCAGTATCAGTCACGCGGGGTCAGTAGAGAACGCACCGCAAGAAGAACACCAGCAAGAGCATTGAAACCCATTACAACGCCGAATAGCGGTACAAAATATCGCCACAGTGGATCCGATGCCTTGATTTGCAAGCCGGCCAAGACCTGATCACCTGTGCATTGGTTGAGGGCGATTCCAGAGACACCTTCGCACTTGAATGTACGGCCACGGAACTGGGATATCGCAACGAGCCTGAATCCGTACCAGTATATCGAGATGTACCGAATCCAGAGGACATAGTCAGGAGGACGAATGATCGCATATCCAGCGGATAAGAAGAAGAATATGCTGGTACCGTTAGCCATTAATGACGAGCTCGCGAGTTCTCGAACTACAGAGGCAGAAACGAGAGCAAATGCGACGGAGCCGAGCTGGACCAGTATCGAGGAGGCTATGAGGACGAAAATGTTCTTGGCGAGGGAATCTGTACGCATTCCGACCATAAAGTAAACGATGACGCTGAAGAGTGCCGGGAAAACGACGTTGATCGAGAGGGTGGAGAGCACCTCGCTCACGAGCCAGGGGATGACTTTATAGAGGTGATCAGCACGCTCTCGGTCAAAAACCACCAGTTCGTTGCAGTATCGGTAGATGGAGTAGACGGTACTGAGATAGAAATAGGCGGCCATGTATTGGAAACAGAGCGTCTAAGAAAAAATTCAGCGGAGATATCTTGCTATAGATCGTAAGCCTTGCCTTCAGACTTTGGATATCCGCAGGACTCTGTTCAATGTGAGTGATTGCTCATACTTTGCAACGGTGATCGCACCTCGCCTAGTCGGAAATAGGACCATCCTAGGACCACACCGATGAGAATGGCTTGCACAGCATACCCCAGCGTTTGACCATGGTTTCGTAGTGTATTCTTATTTGCTCTAGCTATGGTCAGTAGAGAATTCCAGCAGGAGCATACACGCACCTGCTTAAGAGTGTCAGAGTCTGCGACACCATACCTGGCCTACGGAGCGCAGGGTCCCCATCCTTTGACGAAAAGAATCTCTTGAGACTCTGATTTGCCGCAGTCGGCTCTGGAGTTGCCACTCTAGACTCCTTCTCCCTCCTCGTCCACCGTTTCGACTTATCCGCACTGTACTTGGCCCCATTTTCTTTCCACGCAGTGACAAGACGTTCGACACGGGCTTTACTCGCCTCGCGCTTTTCATCTTCTCCAATCTCGACGCTCGAAATGTCAATCAGAAAGTCGAGTGGATTGACCCCGGTATCGGGCTCGAGACCGTGCGAGGCAAACCAGGGTAGACATTGCGAGGTCAAGCCAGAATAAACGACGGAGCCTTTGGACAGGACGAGGAGTCTGGTGAAGAGGGCGAATGCGTCTGAGCGGGGTTGATGGAGCGATAAAATAATGGTCCTATTTCGTTTTGCGAGTTCTGACAGCGTCAGAAGTAATTGATATGCCTGAGACAAGTCAGATGAGCAAATATACGTATCTAAAACACTTGCCGTGAACGCATCAAGACCACTTGTTGGCTCGTCGAGTACGATCACAGATGGAAGTGCGACCAAGATGCACGCAATGGTGACACGCCGTCGTTCTCCGCCACTGATACCCTTTCGAATGTTTCCGAATCCTCCAATCACTGTATCTGCAGCGTCTGTGAGACCGAGTTCCTCTAGAGTTTGGTTCACAATTGCCGTCCGGGTTCGGTGGTCAATGGTCGATGGAAGTCGAAGCTCTGCAGCATAGTGTAGAGTTTCTCGAACTATGAACATGTCAACCAAAGTCATTAGAGGCGACTAGATATACCTGTCAAGTTTGGCAAGAGGTAGTCATTTTGAGGGACAAAGCCAATTTTGTCCTTCATCTGCTGAGCGCTCAGCAACTCGGGGTTCTCCGCCGAGAGTGACGTTGGAGCGAAAGAAAGCTCTCTGAAAAAAAGGTCAGATATGCCAATCAAGTCGATGAGTGAGCGTACCCTTTCCTCACAGGGAGGTTTGCCAGTCTCCCTACAATGGCGCTGAGAAGTGTAGTCTTGCCCTAGAGATGACATCAATCAAAGTTCGAGATTGTTGGTATGTGTACTGTACCGATCCAGAGCCGCCAATTCTACGACGCGAGATCAGAATTAAAATGTCCGAAACGCCCGGTCGCACTCACATTGCCAGGACTTCGCCGCTCCCACAATTGACATCCACGTCTCGTAGAATTGTCTCAGAAAGATAACTCGTGTCGTTTCTCTTGGAGAAGATTGCGGGGTAAGGGATCGGGACAGGGAGGGGGAGATATCTCTTTGGACGAGGTACACCAATCGTGTAACCCTTGATAAATAAGTCGAATGCTGGCGGTGGTGGCAGCGTTAGCGAGTCGAGGACGCTCCCTCGTCGTATTTCTTTTTCGTTCAACTGCTCGACATTATTCCCGTCTCTTCTTTAATAGGTTCTCGTTCAATCCTAGTCGGTTCATTCTCCACTGTCGCGAATAGGATTGTCGATGCACGACGAGACGCTGGCGGAGCTGGCTCGACTGCAGACTCTGGCTGCTCGAGCTTTATCTCCGCCCTCTCGTGGACAGATTCAGACATTTCAGTATCCGACGGTCCAAGTCGACGACAAATCGCTGTCGCTGTCGGGGGTAAAGTGATGAGAAAGACTCGGACCTTTTAGTGACCCCAATCTGAATTGAATAGTCTGGCCGCCGTCGATCGTTCCCATTCACTCGGATCGATCGCGTCTATATAGTCTGACACAAGAGGACGGTCGCAGGAGGTCAACACAAGCAAGTCCCTAGAGATACGAGCGTGCTTAAACGAGGACAGTGTAAGCAAGTAAACTTGCAACTCTATTGACGTAATGTAATTAAATGAATCTAATTGTGCAGCCAGATCAGACGCTCGTCTGACGCACGCCCATGAAAATTTTAGACAATGGGGCTATTCAAACCTGTCAGTAGAGGTAAAACGAAGTGATCAAAAGCACACGTACACAATCTCCTTTGCCGGCGTATACTTGATGGACGCATGGTTCGTGACGCCGTTGATGCGGTGGTACGCATTCAAGTTTTTGTGGAGCGTAATCTGGAACAACGACGCGCTTCCTTGACGAGAGGCAATGGTGGACCAGGCGAGGAAGAAGACCCAGACGCGGTACCAGCGCTCGCCATAGGCAGCGATGACCTTGTCCTTGTTCGACACCCAGTTCTTGTACCAGCGCCAGATTGTTGCCGAGTAGTGGACGCCCAAGACGTCAATGTTCTTGACCTCCCATCCGTTGTTTTCCAACTATACAAAATGGTGAGCTCAACCGCGACGTGGCCATTGAATGAATCGAACTTACTTGACCGATGACCCAGTTCAAAGCGCAGCTTGCATCTGCACCAGGGAAGACATACTTGTTCATGAACAAGCCCCAGATCAGGTCCTCATATTGCCATACCGAGCGGATACCGGCGACTTGGAGCAGGAAGACACCATCATCGTCCAGAAGCTCGTACACCTGACGCAGGAATTGACCATATCGACGAATACCAACGTGCTAATACAAAGCGGTAAGCTCCGGTTACGGATACGTGGCGTACCGGGAAAGGGAAGGGGGAACCGCATGCTTACCTCTGCCATCTCAAGCGAGACAATCTTGGTGAACGATCCCGGTCCATCTTTGACATCACGGAAGTCCTTGCAGAGAATGCGTGCCTGTGCGGGGTCGACGCCATTGGCCTTGATGCGGGCGTTTCCGAATGCGGTCTGGTTGCGAGAGAGAGTGACACCGGTAGCATCGACACCATAGTTCTTTGCGGCAAATGCGACGAGGGTGCCCCATCCGCAACCAATGTCCAACAGACGGTCACCGGGCTTGAGACCGAGCTTTTCGCAGACGACGGTGAGCTTGTTGTCCTGGAGTTGTTCGAGAGTTTCTTCCTTTTCGAGGTCGAGAACAATGCCGCAGGTGTAGATCATGCGAGGGCCAAGGAACCTGACTTCTGTCAGACGGGCCACGGCAAGTAAAGGGTGTTTGACTTACCAGCCGTAAAAGTCGTTACCTCTGTCATAGTGATCGCGAACTTGCTCCTCGTCTTGGTTTTGAGAGTGGACAATGACCTCTGGGATGAGGTTGAACAGGACATATTTGAAGAGCTCGGGGGTCATCTGGAACGAGGCCCAGTCGTGACGTTGTTCCATAATCTCGAGAACATCACCTTTGGAGTAAGATTAGACACATTTAGACGCGTCAAAGTTCGCGAAACGTACCCTTAAAGTCGATTTTTCCATCAAAGTAGGCGTCGTGGAAGACTTGCATGGGAATCTTGTTCTTGCCGTGATAGTCCTTTTTGAGTTCGACGTCTTTGATGTCGATATACTCTTCAATGTCCTTTCCGGGGAGGGGGACGCGCTCGTTGACGCGTGCACCAATTCTGGACATGAGCATCCAGTAGGCGATTGTGACGGGGACACCTGTGATCAAGACGAGAGACCAGTAGGTGTAGAAACCGCCGCGACTGACGATTGGGAGGATGCGCTTGAGGACCCAGGGGACACCGAGGACGAGGGCAGCGAGATGGTAGTTTGAAAAGGACGAGCTGCCCTCTGCAAGACCCAGAATGGGCGCATTGGCGAGCGTGGGCGTCTTTGTGGGCACGACTGGGCGGGACATGGTCGAGTCCAAGCTGGGAGTCTACGGGCATTTCGACAAACAAAAACCTGGCGTCGTACCATACCACCTTTGACCAGGTTCCGCTCAATTTACTGCTCGCTTCCGTAACTGTCAACGTGGAAGTGTCGGATTCGATGGCCCTGCACAATCCACTCCCGCCCAGGGATCCCGCGCTCGACAGCAAAAATGCAGCAAATATTCTCCACGACGGTCCAGAGGCAAATACTACATTCCGTTCATCCCTCAGGATAGACATGAAACAGCTCGTCTCCGTCGGCAAAGTAGGCCACTCTCTCCACGCGAATTCTGGGCCGCGTTTGACGGCGTCGAACAGATGAGCATCAGTCCGTCGAGCAGGGAGATTGCATTGGCCTCGTAGGTCATCTATACATCTTCTAAATCAATAAAATAATGTCCAGGCGTGCGGGACTCTACATCATCGACCTCGACAATCCTCTCAACGTCCCCGCCTTTCTTCCTCAGGGTGGCATGTTCGTATTCTACCCTCCTTTGACATTTCTGACGCTGGAATCAGGTGGGAAATTGCAGACGTCCAATGGAATCCACACCCGAGTTGGTCGCAGTATATTCTCTCCACGTCGGGCGAAAAGCTGCAAGTATCCCTTGAATTTCTGATTAATCGCACTCAACTTGCTCAGTCTCGTCTGGAACCTCGAGTCGACCTCTAAGACACACATTGAGCGCACGCTCCAGTCTCACTTTCGAGCTATCACAGTGCGTCTCTGGCCTATCCAGTATTTCTCTAACACATCAATAGGACATTAACTGGCACTACTCGATACCCTCTCGAGTCGCGACATGTGCCATAGATTCTTGGGTCTGGCTATGGGATCTGCGAACTGCCGCACCTACCACCAAGATGAAGCCAACAATGGGTTTGTTTCTTGTATCGTGGTCGATGAAAGCTCATATGAATAGGTCTCTCTGCCTTTAATGGTAACTAACACGCTCCGACTAGCACGAGCTCAATGACTGTAGAATCCGCAACTCAGGTCAAGTGGAACCACAAGGACCCGCATGTCCTTGCAACCTCTCATGACAAGGATGTCTTAATCTGGGACGACCGGGTACGTCGGCTCCTACCAACCTTTTCAGTGTTGACCATGTACAGAAAGGCTCCATGCCCGTAAACATTATTCGTGCACACGATTCGACCATCTATGGTATAAACTGGTCTCGTATCGAGCGCAACGAAATCACCACGTGCTCACTCGACAAGTCTATCAAGACGTGGGACGCGTTTGCGGACCCATCCAACGAGCCCATACGCACCATCCGAACAGACTACCCAGTCTGGCGCGCACGGAATTTGCCGTTTGGAAGGGGTATCCTTGCGCAGCCGCATAGAGGCCGATTGATGCTGGACATGTACAGTGCAGACCAACTCGATGCGCCCGTGCACCAGTTTGGGGGGTTCACGGACGTGGTCACAGAGTCTGTGTGGCGAATACGCGGAGGATACAATGCGAATTACGGCAAGTAAACGGTCTCGCTTCACGACTGCCCACTGACGATGTACAGATGACAGAGAATTCCAGCTCATTACTTGGGACAGAAGTGCCGTGCTTCGATTCTTCCCCGTCGATACGAGTATCCTTCAGGTGATTCCTCTACTCACCCTTCGATCACATTCTCACCATGTTTTCGTCCAACAGAAAGTTAACTTTCAAATTGGTATCCCAATGAAAACAAAGAGCCGCGAGAGCTCCTCCGAGCTCATCTGCTACCGAGACAAACTTCAAGAACCGAACAGCGACCACGCCATTACCGCACCAACGCACCAAAGCGGCGTACTGAAAAGCGTGCGCGCACCGCTCTCAAAGACGAAATCGCGCATCTACCATCAACTCCACCGGGAACGGCAGATACGCTCACAATCGGATCGACGTCGCCTGTGAACCATTTCATCAAGCCGCCGAATTATAGCGGTGGATTTAGCGCGAGTGTGAGCACCGTTGGATCTGCGAATACAAAGGTCGCCGAGACTCCCGTCCAGACGACTCCTGGTGGTGGTGTAGCTGCTTTGGCACCAATCGTGACAGGTGCTTCTGGTAAGGGCGCTAGTGCAGGAGGGCCGATGACAATGGGAAAGGGACACGGAAGAGCCGCTCGTCCACAGGTCGATCCTCTTACGTGGTATTCAGTCGTGGAAGAGGAAGATAGGAAACGAAGTACGAGCGTTGGCTCTGCTGGTGCGCGGAGACGTTCTGCGAGTCAACGACGCACAGATTCCGGGTCGGCTAGTACGCGTCGGAATGAAACGAGGGCGCGTAGTGTGGGTCACATACAGGATAGCGAATTGGAGACGCAGGACGAGCCTCAGACGCTCAAAGACGAGTACGCTTCATCTCGTATTGGTACGTGTACTCATCTTGCATAGGATCACGCAAGCTGCATCAAAATTTAGTTCTTCAAAGCTCAAAATTGTCGAGGTGAGTTGGTCAACCATTGGGATACGTTTGCTGAATGAAGCACACTAGATCAACCTGACCGCTGGTTCACGAAAATGCAACATTGAGATGCACCGGCCGACGGGGTTATTCCTGCGGGTTCTCTTTAGCTTTCCGGATGCATACCCAGGCAGCGTGCGACCGACCATTGACATTGATCCCAACCGCAAGATTACTCCACGCAAACGCGCCGTCGTCCTCCGTGAACTACGCAAAATCTGTGCACAGAACACTCTCTGCATCGAACCATGTATCCGCTTCTTGTTGGGTTTGCCCTCGCATAGCGGTGGTGTTGGTGGTATCGGTGTACAAAAGCCGTTTTCATTGGAATCAGACTCGGAGGAGGAAGATGTGCAAGTGGATGAGGTTCCGGATATGGAAACCGGTGGTGCGCCCAAGATTCAGCAGAATCAACCGCCGAGAGAACGGACGGCGCACGCAGTATTTTCGATGAATGGTGCGTAATCTAGAACTCTTGGGAGTATACTGATTTATCATAGGCATGCTGGTTCGCATCGTCACAAACGACTCTGCGCGTCCCAAACCCGGCGCGTCGCCTACGACGAATCTATCTGCCCCTGAAAAGACGAGCCATCTTGGGGATCTCCCACGAGCTTTACGAGGTCTTGCCAAGTTGGCCAAACAGCTGCCAGTGGTTGCGGACAACGACCCTAACGCAGCAGAGTCGACCTATGATTTTGCCGATGTATTTTCTACGCAACCAGGGGTATGCTTGCTCTCCAAACGAATGGCCAATGCTTATGTGGATGTAGGTCCGGCATACGAGCACAAATATCCTTGGTCCCATGTGGAATAATCAAGGGCAGCCATTCAAAGCGCGCTCGAAAGATAGAGTCACGGTGCTCATCCAACCGTTCCCGAATCCAGACCCAGATGAATTCGACCCTGTTCTTGCCGGCAAATTTTCGTACACGACAAAAGATCCTCCGAGTTTTGCATCACCAACGCTTTGGCGGCTGCATCATATGGGAGAGATGACTACCGGCGTCTTTTAATGTCGTTGTCATCACTACTGAAGAGCCAGACTCTTTCTGGGGGTGCAGCGAGAGAAGACGGCCCTGTGGAGCGAGGGATCCAGAAAATGTGAGTCTACCACCTCTATATGAGACTGCTTCTGACATGTATAGATATCACAATCTCGTTCAGCGGCGGAATTTACAGATGCTAGCAATGTTCTCGATTGCGAATCTGTTGGCCGAACAAGTCATGGAGACTGAAAGTCGTAAGTTCCACGTCGTCCAAGATTCAGTCATGACCTTTTATTAGAGAAAGAAGCGGCGATGACAAACTCGACTCCAGCTCACAGTGAAAGCCACACGTATGCACTCAGCTCGACGCTCGATTATTTCAGCCTCCGACCACGAAGCGAAGCTCCGCGCCCCCCATCACCTGCGACTACACGAAGTCCCTCCCCGGAGACCACGGCGGCCCCTGCGGTGACCCCGCCGCCAAACAACTCCCTTGGTACCATCGCGTCGAAAGCCGGTGCCATATCCAGCGTCCTTTTGCCACTCTTCTTCACGGGCACATCCGAAGGCAGTGATTATTCCCACAAGAGCCGTGGCTCTGACCCACCCACGCCGGTTTCATCAGATGTACCCGGCTCAATCCCTGTCCCACAGAAGGGATCCCTGCTCCGTGGCTCTGCGCGATCGCCTAGGAAGAGGAGAGGAAGAGTGATGCGTCGCTTCCTGTAAATCTTGGCTCAGGATCTGGTGGGGCGTCGGGTGGGAGTGGAGGAACGGGATCGTTGGGGCGGTTGGCTGTTGGAGCCAAGCCCAAGCGAGCAGCATCGACGTTTGTCCCTACTCCTGGTACAGTACAAAAGACAACAATCACGTTTGCGCTGGTGGGGACTCCGAAGAGACATGTCACGTCTGCAATACCGCAGGATAGATGGCGGCGAGAGGGCAAGATACCTGTCCCGATTGCGCGACCCTATCTTCTTCCTCCACAACCTGGGTAAAATCAAGATCTTTATCTTTCTTGGTGCTGATTCTTTGTATAGGCAACGGAAAGGACTTTCCGACGCCGCGCGCACTCGGTATATTTTCCACATTCGGTTCTATGCGGAGCTCCTCTTTCGTGCCGGGTTACTCGAAGCAAGAAATGAGGTTCTAATAATCACGAATCGAGCCCCCCTCGAGATCCTTGCGGCCGACGTCGAGAACAAGCGTCTGGGTGAGCCCTTATCCTCAACCCTATCCTCTTACTTATAGCCTCTAGTCATAGAGACTGTGTGCCCGCGATGTTCGACCACGCTATCGGGCAAAGAAGATGAGCAGGCCGGGGGTGCCGATTGTCCGAGGTGCCGTGGCGGACAAGCAACCAAGAAGCTCATTCCAAACTGCACATTCTGTCGCCTTCCAGTCCGAGGTACGTACTGCTGGGCAGTGAGAGGATATGACCTGACATTTTCTAGGCTTATCTCGGACTTGCCTGCGCTGCTGCCACGTAACTCACGTCAAATGCTGGGATCAACGTCCCAAGGATGTTTGCCTCACTGGGTGTGGATGTAAGTGTCCACGCAATGTCTCCTTCAACGTGTCGACTATTGGTGATGGTGCTCAACCATATATTGTATAATTAATATAAATCAATTCATTGTCATCCCAGGTCCCTTGCCCAGTTTCGCGAACAATAGGCGGCTTGCTTCCGGTCGCCCGATTGTGCGCCACGGAGTTTGGGAAACCCATAAAATGGCATGAGAATATTCCACGTGTCTGAACCCTCTCCCTCCCAACCTCTCCTCTCGTGACTCCTGCACCGAGACTTTCTCGCATCTCCTCCCGCCCCGCTCACGATTACGAAGTTACGACCTTTGAGTCAGCTCATTCTCAAGCAGCTCACTACACGCTCACTGTATCCTCAAACAACCTTTGCCGACTCATTCTAACCTCCATCTAATCACCATGGCCCCGTCTGTAGCACAAAGATTATGTGTCATATTCTTTGCAGCAGTATCTCTCTACCACCTACTTTTCTATACCCATGTCCGGGCTGTAGCTCTTCCAGAGCTAGGGAACCCACACTACTCCAGTCGTTCCAGGACGTCGGGAAGCGCGCCGAATGGAGTACAGATTGCACGGACACGCCGATACCAACGCCTACTGTCGCCGAGCAAGGAAGCAGCCAACCGGGAGACAGCGGAGCAGTGACCATTACTGTGACCGTCTTCGTACCCGCGACGACTTCTAGGACATCTACGTTCACGAGGAGTAGCTCCAACGTCTCGAGTAGCGCATCGGTATCTGGTGTCAGCTCTGCGAGCACGACGTCCTCGTCCAGCGTAGCCACGCCGACACAAACACCATCCGCCACCGCCGGTCAACAAGCGCAGCAATTGAACCTTGCATACGTAGGCATACAAGTTACCGACTCTTGTACCGGTGAGTGATCTTGAGCGTTCCGTGGTGAATTTGTATACTGAGTCTCCCATCTGCAATAGCTGGACAGCGAGCCTGTATTAACAACATGCTCGCAGAGTGCATCGCTTCTTCAAGCGGAGATACGCCCAAATGGGTAACCCAAGCTTGTCCTGTCACCCCTTCGAATGAGGGCATGACCTGTGCAGCAGTACCATTTGTATCTTCTCCTTCGCCTTCCACGACGTCCAGCGCGCCAACCTCGACACCAACAGGCCTTGCTGGGTACCAGCCCATTCCGTTGAGCAACTCGGTGGCGATAGGATGCTTCGCCAAAAATGACATTGCTCAGCGCTTTTCTAGTGCCGGAGTACAAGGTGCAAACGGGGGGATGTTCCCATCTGGATTCCACAGCGGCGCCATAGGGCAGCTCCAGTTCCGACTGAAGGGCACTGTCGGGCTTGCTTTGATAGCGGGCTTGGTATTATGGTAGACTCAAACATCATGCTGGAAATATGACCATAAACTGTATGTCATCTATGCCCTCTTTACTTTGTGAGCGCCTTTAGGCGTGTACGATTTGTCGAAAGGTGAGTGATATTCGGCCCTCTTTAACTTTGGGCTCTTTCGGGATCTCATGCTGTCACGCAATGAGTGTGGACTTGCGCTTTGCAACTTCCGACTCACTTTCCAGTTCTCCTGGGTATCGCCTTGCATGACCAGTAAGCTCCCATTGGCCAACACCCAGCGCGTCGCGTCAGCATCCACTTTTTTCTCCCCTTTAGAAATGTGTGGATGCATGACAAACGTCCTCTTAGCTCCCAAAGAAAGGGACGCAATCACCTAATGGGGGTGAGTCTCAACCTTTAGCCATCCCTCTACTAACCTGGTTATCCTTTGTATCTCTATGCTTTCCAATATGCACACTCCCGTTTTGATACCAATTAAGCATGATATGATCGAACCCTACACCTAGAGCTTCCGAAACTCGATTCTGGATCTCGATGAGGAGTGGCGGATACGGATGGTTCATTTGGACCGAATGTCCAGAGTACCGAGCTGTCAAGTCGGGAGAAGTTACATATCCCGCGATGGAACGGCTTTGAATGTAGCCTTTGCCATACATGGTGAGCGTTGGTCGGTACCCTAGCCAGTTTCAGTTATAGAGAACATGGAGTAGTAGATAGTACAGGTTTCGAGCTCGCACAGACGCTGATACCAACTATTCGCTCTTTCTTCATCAACAAACTGTGTCTCAAGTCAGCGACTGTTATACATGGTGCTGGTTCTCACATCTGCTTGATAATAGACATCCGCTCCTGGAAGATTGGGTATCCTGTATTGTTGAGCCCAATCTGAATCGATGTCGACATTGCTATTTGGCAGCTTGAGCAACGCTGGAGAGTTATCATGCTGTTTCTAAGGCAGATTCAGACAAATGGAAATGTATATAACACATCGTGACCTGTGTTTTGATGCTCAAAGCTGAGACCTCTTGCTTTGGCTTCTTTGCGGATATTCCAGACGTAAGTGGACTGTTGGCTCGTCGTTTTCTTGATTGATCCATTGTTCACTTCACCCTCAAATTTCAACTCTCGAATATCGGAGGGACGAGAATGAGGGCGGGGTCAAGTTTGGAGTTGGTCAGCGTCTCCGATCACGGGCAGCTCTCTACCGGAGATCTCAATGGCCTCGTTGTTGAATACCGATTGAGTAATCATAAAACAGATGAAGTTGCAAACTAATGATTCGGTCCGAGTCGCGTGGTCAAGCAGAGCTCATAGTTCTCATCATCACGTCATTCCGAGCATGGACCATTGTTGATCTCTGGATGCTCAAATGAATGCTAGCGTCCTGTACGTCCGAAATCCCAGGTATAGGAGCCAGCTGCACATCGAGAATAGTTCGTCGGAAAGAGAGAAAGTAGCGGGAAGTCAATGTAGCCGAGATAAGATACTCAGATTGGTTGAAGAGAAGCTGGAGCCCCATGGGTGTGAGGAGGAAAACCAGGACGGTGCCAAGGCGAAAGAGCATTAGCATCGACCGAAGTAGCCTGTCAGCCAAGACTTGAAAAGAAGGAAAGCACATACGACATAGTACTGTGTCCCATCGTAAAGTCGTTGGAGGATTGCTCTAGATGATTTGTGACCATCAACTAAAACTTGATAATATCCGTATGCGTGGTACAGCATTGCTATGAATATTACGGACTCAAGGATAATCTATCAAAGGTGAGCACAGCCGAGCTGAGAACAGGGAAGCGTACCGGGCAAATATAAGTGATAGCCAGCGGAGCGGTGCGATAGTTAAGAATGACACAGCTGCGTATCAGAGATGACCATCTCATGGGTGGAATCACGTGATGGAGCGTGTAAACCTGGCAGGCGACCATAATGGCAGTGATGGCAATTAGGCTGGCTATGAGGAAACGTCGCACACTTGGCGAAGCTGAATAGTCAACACATAGTCTCATGGTGAAGATTGCTAAGGGCAAGTTACCAAGGTCACGCGAAGGAAGCTACTCCTCACTCATGGAGAAAATGCTTTGGATCATCGAGCAGATGATAATGGCACCAAAGGATGTCCGGCATCTAGTTCTAGGTCAGTCTAATCACTAAAGCACCAGCGGCGTTATTGACCCCTATTAAATTGGTTAGATAAGTCTCTCATTGATCTACGGTTGCTTACTAGACTCGAGGAAGGGGGCTGCCAGCTTTGAATCATCACTGGCGCGGGGTGAGAAGAGAGTTAATGCGCTTCGAATCACAACAATCTTACTGTTTCCCATTAAGGATCCTCCGACAATGGGCAAATATTGTCCCTGCAAAGGCGTACCCATATCTCACCATCTAGATACCCAACAATGGCTTACACACTTATTAGAATATAAATGAATTTGACTACTTCTCCGTTCCTAGACCAAAGAAGTTCGATTTCATCTGCCACAGTGAGCAGAAAGTCGTATGCCCAGACGGATAAAGCCGCTGCTGACATATATCGACATACTCCAAATTGGAAGAGGAGTTGCACCCAGTCTGAGGACATTTTTCACAGTTGAAGTTACGAGACAATCCCGACGCTTTTCAGCCACGGCAACCCGTGGGTGACCAATCGGAAAGGATGCCAGAACCTGGAATATCTCGAATTAGTCTTTTCGACATCCGACCTCTGAGCGCCGCAAATAGTCGAGGCGACGGAGTTGTTTGAATACCGCCAGGCAGGGCTGGGGGATCGAATCGTCTTCTAGGTCCGTATCCTCGGTTCGATCCACTAGGATGGTACCTTGGCTAATAGCCTCGCATTGCGGAGGCAAGGCAAAGCAAGGTACAGGCACGGTCGTGTCCAAGATTGTCAATCACTTAAAGTGGATTAATGCACCGCGTTTGAGATAGCTCACATAATACACCAGTTTATAATGAGCGACTACATAGACAGAGTTATACAAACGAGCGGGACCCGCTAGCAAGTACTTGTCGCAGCGACCGTCGGAGTGGTGTACGCTCCTCCAGCATCACCAAGACACTCAGCTAGGATGATCAAGTCAGTGAAATTGCACGAGTAGGTAGAACGCAGACGTACCAACGGTGACAAGCTTGAGGTTGTTCTGCTTAGCCCATTTGATCAGCCACGGAACAAGGGTGTTGACCGTGGTCGAATAAACTTCATGCATCAGAGGGATATGTCCAAGTCCACCCGCACCGGCAGCGGTAAACCTGGCCTCGCTTTGTGCTGGAGTGAGTCCATTCCAATCTCCCGAGTCAACGTCGTCCGTGATAACACGGTAGCCAAGCGTCCTCATCGTGCTCAAGACGTTTCCCCCAGTAGCTAGATACGGAGGGCGCATGTACGTCGGCTAAAGGCATAAGATGGTAAGGACGCGAGAATACACTCATGACAGTGAACATGCCTTCTTTCCAATGATCGTTCTAAGCGCGCCTTCGAGCTTTTGCATCTGGATTGTGAGATCTGCCGTGCTCAAAGACCCAAAGTTGGATGGGTGGCTCCACGAATGAGAGGCGATTTGATGACCAGAGTTGTACGCAGATTTGATGGCACCGGCTTGGTTATGAATACAACCTAGTACAGGATGAGCCTATTTGCTATTCCTTGTGGAATTCGTCCGCACCATACAAAGTACCAGTGACGAAGAAGGTCGCCTTTGCTCCGCCTGCGTTAAGCGTGTTCACAAGCGTTTGAGTTAGCTGAGATGGACCGTCATCGAAAGCCAAAGCAAGCATTCCAGACGACGAGCACTTGGTAATGACTTGTCCGGCGGCTGGACCTGCGCGCTTGAATGCCTCGAGCGGGCTAGGAACGGGGTTTGCAAATGCCCCAAGAACGAGAGACACAGGGAGAATGAATGATATAAAGCGCATGATACTGGAACGAGGGTAAAATGAACCAGTGAGCAAGGGACTAAGAAAGATCCAGGAGAGTATACAGATCTTCTTGTCCTAGAACCAACGCTAGAAGGGTGTCTTTAAATAGTGAACATCTCGCGTGATAATAAAGTTCGCTCGCAGCTTATACTGGTAGCTCGAGTCAATTTCCGAACTTTGTGCGCAAATCTCCCTGTCGCAAGGGCCAGATTGACGTTGGCATCGGGAAGCCGCTCACATGACAGCAAGTATACCTGATGATATTGGATTTACGAATGATACCACGTCAGCGAAGTGTCACGCTTCGTTCAGGAGCCTGCGGAGACGCGACGACCGGGCCTCGGTCCGCAAAAGTATTAAGCGGGAACCACAGGAATATTTTTGCCGTTTGAAAATTGTTTCAAAGTCATTCGTAAAATGTGGTACGACGACAGAGTGTGTCGAGTTTATGGCCGTCAGGAGTAAGTGCATGAACAACGATGTCTTCGAGCAGCATACGTCGGGTTATTGTCTCCTTTTAGTTTTGTGTACCCAAATTGCCCCTGCCTTTGAGCAGCCCAATGTACTCTGCAGGTACGCCCAAAATAGAGCGATCAAGTCGGCCTCTTGGACAACCAAATGATTGAATCTGGCCTCAAGTTTCCGCCCAGGGACAGGGTTTCGATGTACGTACCTATTGTGGGAGCTTGACGCCGTCTCTCGTATTGGCGATACCTGTCGTGTGCTCGAGACTCGCCGTGCTGTACACACGTCTTTACGCCTCATAGAGACTATCTGGCAGAATACGACGAATTTTATAGATCGTTTGTAGAACTAATTCGTCGATTTTACTTCTGGACGGCCTTGGTTGTGAGCGGCGACACCAAGACTTATTGTTGGTGTCTCTGGTGTTCTCTATACCATACTTGTACCAGGCATGATTGGAGTGCATGATAGAGCTTCAACGGATGCACTCACTCATGAAATTGGGAAAACAATGAGCCGACTTTCGACGCCGGCTATTCTCAGTTTATATACCACGAGTTGAGAGTATGGCTTTGGCTAGCGCTGACACTAGCCAAGCGACACCAAAGAAGGTACCATTCTGATTTGCAAATGACATGAATGAGCTATCGCGACTGGGTTCACAGCATTCCGAGCTCAGCAGCTGCGCGTGGCGGCGACAGTTGGGGTGGTATAAGCTCCTCCAGCATCCCCAAGACATTCAGCTGTGAACCAAGTCAGCGGTCGAGTTTCAGGTGATGGAACAAAGACTGACCGACGGTGACAAGCCTGAGTTTGTTTTGCTTGGCCCAGTTGATCAACCATGGGACAAGTGTGTTGACCGTATTTGCATAGACTTCATGCATGAGAGGAATGTGACCAAGTCCGCCTGCACCGGCTTGGGAGAACCTGGCTTGGCTTTGGGCCGGGCTCAAACCATTCCAGTCCCCACTGTCAATGTCGTCCGTGATGACACGGTATCCAAGTGACCTCATCGTCGGAAGTACATTTCCACCTGTCGCGAGGTACGGAGGGCGCATGTACGTGGGCTGGAACGAGTCAGCGAGTGTCCATTTGCCAGAGGATAACGGGTTACCTTCTTTCCAATGATTGCGTTTAGGGCACCCTCGAGCTTCTGCATCTGGTTTTTGAGATCTGATGCACTCAAAGACCCAAAGTTGGACGGGTGGCTCCACGAGTGAGACGCAATTTGGTGGCCAGAATTGTAGGCGGATTTGACGGCAGCGGCTTGGTTATGAATGCAACCTAGAACGGGGTGAGTGCGCGTGCCATTGGTTGTATCGCTCGTGCGCACCATACAAGGTGCCAGTGACGAAGAAAGTCGCCTTTGCTCCTGCCGCGTTAAGCGTGTTCACCAGTTTTTGGGTGTACTGATAGGGACCATCATCGAAAGCCAAAGCAAGCATCCCAGACGACGAGCACTTGGTAATGACTTGTCCGGCGGCTGGACCTGCGCGCTTGAATGCCTCGAGCGGGCTAGGAACGGGATTGGCAAATGCCCCGAGAACGAGAGATGCAGGGAGAATGAACGACGTAAAGCGCATGATGCTGGAGCGACCGTAACCACAAGGGGATCTGGAAAGATGACCTTGCTCCTCCGAGTCGAAGGGTGACATACTATATATCCGGTTTCACATTTTCACGTGCCATAATGTGATTTTATCCACGCAAATACGATATTTACTTGTTGGCTGAGTTCCGAGTATCGAGCGCGAGTCTCGCCGCTCGGAAATCCCCTGTCCAAGTTGACATGAGGCGATGTCAGCAGAGACTGTTATACATCAGGACCCCTGAGTGGCCTAGCGAGTGTTCCAATTGGACGCGAAGAGTGTACGGAGACGACAACCGGACTTCTGGCGAACGATCGGCGCAGTTACGGCCCGCAAAGGCGAAAAGTGTTGACTATTGTAATCGAGTTGACACTGGAAACCGGAAAATTATAGACACTGCCTTTTGAGTTGTAGCAAGAGTAGCGAATTGTCAAATGTAGTTTGGGTCAAGCTTCGGGACAAACATCCAGCAACTTCGAAATCCAACCGCGGCAAACTTGATGACATAAAATAGCACGGTTTGAGAACTACTGCACCTCTTACTGGCAGGAAATGACATCACACATCCCACTCCGGTCACGTTAAACGTAGAAACTGTTCATAAACGAGTGAATGAATGGATATATAATGAACTCATCCAGTCACTTTGGTCAACAAGAACTCGTCGCAGCGACGGTAGGCGTAGTATAAGCCCCTCCAGCATCTCCGAGGCATTCAGCTAGCAGACGCAATCAGCAGTTTCTCTCAAAGGCACCAACGGACTTACCGACAGTGACGAGCCTGAGGTTATTTTGCTTCGCCCAATTGATCAACCATGGAACGAGAGTATTGACGGTGGACGCATACACCTCATGCATAAGCGGAATGTGCCCTTGGCCACCAGCACCAGCTTGCGTGAACCTGGCTTGACTCTGTGCGGCACTCAAGCCATTCCAGTCTCCCGAATCAACATCGTCAGTGATAACGCGGTAGCCAAGCGTCCTCATCGTGCTCAAGACGTTTCCCCCAGTAGCTAGATACGGAGGGCGCATGTACGTCGGCTAAAGGCATAAGATGGTAAGGACGCGAGAATACACTCATGACAGTGAACGTACCTTCTTTCCAATGATCGTCCTAAGCGCGCCTTCGAGCCTTTGCATCTGGGTTGTGAGATCTGCCGTGCTCAAAGACCCAAAGTTGGACGGGTGGCTCCACGAATGAGAGGCGATTTGGTGGCCAGAGTTGTAGGCTGCTTTGACGGCAGCAGCCTGGTTATGAATGCAACCTAGCGCAAAGTGAGCACATTTGTCATTAATATGGTGGCTGCACGTACCATATAAAGTGCCAGTGACAAAAAACGTCGCTTTTGCTCCTGCGGCGTTTAGCGTGTTCACAAGCGTTTGAGTGTACTGATAGGGACCATCATCGAAGGCCAAAGCAAGCATCCCAGACGACGAGCACTTGGTAATGACTTGTCCGGCGGCTGGACCTGCGCGCTTGAATGCCTCGAGCGGACTCGGGACTGGAGTTGCCAATGCACCGACAACCAGCGACACGGGAAGAATGAATGACGTGAAATGCATGATGTAAATGTCGTCTCGATAGTCTCGTCACCTGTAAGAGAAACTTGGTAAAGCTCCTCTGAGTTTGACCTTGGAGGGAGCAGCCGCGCTTTATAGGTCTCTGTCCATTTCACATGTCACCAAAACAACGCTCGAACTATACCTCCCAATTCTATTTCGAGGTAACATTCCGATTATCTGGCGTAAATCTTGCCGTCGTAGCGCACCTGCTGGCAAATGGGGTGTAGCTGAAGTGCTTGTAGGATCCTTCGACATTTCCAAATGTAAATGGATGCGCAGCTGCGAAGTGTCGACCAAATTGACGCGCTTCGTGTGGGGTGACAACGGAGCTTCGATGGAAGCACCGACGGTAAGAACGGGCCGCTAGGCGGCGAATCTAACCAAGTAACGTCAGTTGTTACAGAGGATCTCCTAGGGTGAATGCAAGTTTTTGCGAAATAATTTATAGAGGCAGAACCCTAGGACGACTGCTACACAAAGCTCGCTCCAACCGTACTGCCGCTTGGGACTAGGAAGTTGGTGGATGGGATCAAACCGGCCGATGTTCTGGGTCCAGTGATCACACTAGGATTCGTGTTTGGCAACGTCCAGGTCCCTCCGATATTCCACGAGTTCCCCGACTGGCTGACCGCGCTACCGAGGTTTGAATTCGGGTTGTTCTTCACCGCCAGATTGGCTTTGAGAACACTTGGGGAAGAAGTGACTTTGAACCCCGCGCTGGTATGATTCCAAGCTGTGCAGTCGATGAACGTGATCTTGCCTGGATTCTTATTGTCAACGAAGCCAGTCACGGCGTTCGAGAATGCCATTGTATTGTTGAAAATGTGATTTCCTGCAACGCCGTTTCCTCCTGCCTGCACATGGTCAGATGAGATACGGCAGGTATCAATTCAACTGTACCTTCCAACCATTTCCATCACCCACGAAATCGGCTGGAATAGCATAAGCCATACTCTAGGGGAGCGATCCCGACTCACTGAAGCCCCATCTATTGAAGCCATTACCCCAAGCGACGCTGTTCTCGACGTAGATTGGAGAGGCAAACTGAGTGAGTAATTAGCAATACTGGACTAGCCTATCTGATTATTCCTCACCTCCCAGGCTACAAGTGAAAGAGACGAACTAAATTAGCCTCTTGTTCCGCGCTCAGTCATTTACTCACCATCGAATCCGTCGTCGGCGTTGTTCCAGAGACGTGCCCCTCGCACGACATTACCGACACCCGACCCCTCTTTGATGGCTAGTCCATCCGCGGACTCGCCGTTCTTACGGGGATCTCGGTTCCCATAAGAATCTAGGTTGATCACCTGGTTATACGAAGCTGTTCCCTGAATCTGAAGTCCAGATTCGTAGTTGTCCCTGTCAAGCACGGTTAGCGAAACTCTCGACGCCCGTAGGATATCCTACCTGGTGATCAAGTTACGATAGATGTTGTTGCTGGAATCTCTAGCGTAAAGGCCATAGGCACCATGGATAATCTCTAGACCTTCAATGATCCAATAGTTGGCACCCTCAATATGAATAGCCCCCCTGTCGGCGTTGGGCAGGCTGGCACCTAATGCGGCGGGGGTATAGGGCATATTCTCTCCGTCTATGACTACCTTCTCTCCATTATAATTCTTGAGGGTGATGGGAGAAGCCGCGGTTCCTGACTTGGTGATCTGAATGTTTTTTGTTGGCGCATATGTTCCCGCTCGAAGGAAGATGGTATCACCAGCGACCGCTTTATTCACAGCGGCTTGGATAGTCAACAGTGGCGCGGACGTCGAGGTCCCAGAGTTGGAGTCGGAGCCACTAGGTGAAACGTAGATGAAGATGGCGCGTTTCTCGATGCTGTTGCGCAATGTCAGACCCTAGCAGACTAAAGTAAACATCATACTTGGCAGGAGCATCATAAACAGATCCGACAATGCCCATGATGTCTTTGAGCTCGACTTTTGGAGTAGCCGAGTGCTGGAGGGGGGAGGCTTTATAGCTAGGAGAGGACTTACGCTCGTGGACTGCCTTTGCAGCGGACCGTAGGGCTGCAACTTCTTGATAAATCGGCCCGTCAGAATAAATGGATACGACGTAGACGATCGCCGAAATGTAAAGGCGTGACGCTGGCGACATCGAAGATAAACCGTAACGGCCCCCTAAATGATGTGAACGACGTGAGAACCAATACTAAAGAGCGCACCTTTTGATGCCGGGGATTCTTTGCTTGTTATCCGGCATCGGTTGCGGGGGTTTGCCAAGCCAAAGCATAGCGTAACAGGAGGCCGCGCGAGGTATGTAGACTTCTTGCTGCTGCTATGGCTGATCTCCCACGGATAGCCCCGAAAGCATCAGTCAGAGGGGTATCTTCCGGTTGGATCGTCGGGCAAATCAAAGATGAGCGTTCGATCACGCACAAGTGCACATTGCAGAGGATTGGTGAACACAAGGGGGGTCTCTGGTCGTAATAAGAGCCACGACTGGTTTCCTGCCAGTTCGAATGACATCCGCTCTGAGACTGATTGTTTCCCAATCTTAATTCGAATTACAAGTATACTTATCACGGTGTGAGTGACTCGAGTGTCTGTATTTCAGCGTCATGCAAATGGGGATATGATTTCAGACTGGCAAGGTGGAGGACAACCTGTGAGACTACTTGCGCACAACAGTTTGTATTCGAGACTCGAACCTTATCATTGTTCTGATACAGATACACAGTACATGAGAGCTAGAGGAGAGGGCAAATAACTGGTAAATCACAACGTTTGGTCCTCCATAATGACATCCTTCAACATTGCGCGACCTCGCAGAATTGCGGTACCCGATGCAACCTTGGAGCGACGAGATACAGACGGTGTCTTTTCAATCACTACTTTCCTCTTCTTCCGAGGAGAGGGTGAGAGTAAAAGAGAGGTGTCTGGCTCGTTCTCCTTTTCCATCGTTGCCGCCGTTCGCTTTCGTTTCAAGCCATTGGCAGGACGAAGAGGTAATAAAGGTAGTTGAACCTGTTTTCGCTGTTCCTGTAGAGGATGTAAAGCGACGTTTGGCGGTTGATGCTGTCGTGGTTGCTGCTGCTGAACGTATTCAGGGTCGTGCATGAGATGTGCATCCTTGGGGAGTTTGTACATCCAGTCCTCGCGTCCCATCAGCCCGAAAGACTCTTGGAGGAGCTTGGTTCCGTCGAGGATGCCGCGAGAGCCGATGATGATGAGTTTTGAACGTGCACGAGTGAAAGAGACGTTTAGTCGGCGCCAATCTTTCAAAAGTTCACCAATCTGTATGCAAGTGAGCCAAAATTCTCGGCCAAATAGAAGGACGCACGTTATTCGAATCGTTGGAGCGAACCATGGAAATGATAATACAATCCTTATCACGGCCTTGCGAGCGGTCGGCAGTAAGGATTTCGACTCCGCGATGGTCGTCGAGCATATGTGAGAGGAGTTTGACTTGCTGTCGGTAGAGTGAAATAACACCGATTTGTGATTCTTGAACTCCTCCGTGCAGAAGAGCCTTGACGGTCTACGCATGATATCAGAAGAGGTTTGAAATTATCATTGAACGCGCACCTGCTGAAGAATGGCTGCCTCTGTCGTATTCTGTACCAAGTTCCCGACCCTGGATTCTTTCGCCGGTACAGAGTCGGTGTCCACAAAAACAACATGTCGACTGCCCTTGGGTCACTATCTAGGCTTCGTTGCCGACGCAAAACTTCTCGGAAAATGTTCTTTTCAGCCATGTCAACGGGTATGTAATACCGCTCTCTTTCTTTCACACACCGACGGTCTAGGAGCTGGTGCAGACCCAAATGCACAACAGTGAAGTTGCCACCAGTTCGCATTACACGTATTGTAGTATCGGAATTATGATGTCAAAGGGCGCTGATTAGTTTACCCCTTACTCTCACTTCTCCTCAGAATACAATACAGTTTAGTTTTGCCCGTTCTTTCTTTTCTCGCTAATCCGGCTTCGATTCTTTCATTTGTCAACTCGCGACTGCCGCCTGGCTGCAATTTGGATGACAAGCGCCGTCCACTGATCTTGGAACAAACCTTCACGATGTCAGTCCGAAACTCGACCAAGACAAAGGAATGGCATGTGCCTACGGGATCATCGTGGATTTCGTCTTCTAAACAGCGTTCAACAAGCAAGAAACGTCAAGCATACGACGCGGCCAACGTCGGTCTGGATGTAGTGGCCAACATATCCGAGGGATCAGATGTACTCGCTCCCCTCAAGGCAGCTTGTCGAACCACCAAGTCGATTCTCGAAGTTGTACAGGCAAGTTGGCGAACCTGCCGGGGCTGCATCTAACGGATTCAATAGGCAACAGAGAGTAATCAAGAGGAATGGATTGATCTAGCCGGACGTTTGAAGGAATACATGTCCGCGCTCGAGAAACAAATCACCCTATTGGAGGCATATCCTGAGGAAGACATCGCCGTCGACGAGGCATTCACTCAGCCGCTGATCCACTATGTCAAGTACGTAACACTCCAAATGTGTTTCAGTAGGCTGACTGATGTAGATTTCTCGAAAACACGCACGATACAATCGTCGACCTGAAGGAGAAGCCCAACCGCAGCAAACTCAGCTTCTTTAAAGCGTTCAGTAAAATGAAAATTGACGCAGAAGAGATTCTCAAACTCAATCGAGACATCGAGGACCGGCATAGACAGTTCATGGTGCGAGCCTCATCAGCCTTGTTCACAGTACTCACCATTGACAAAGGATGCCTTGGGACTTTTTACAGCCTTACGTATGCAAAACGTCGAGAGGAATACTAAAGTCACCAAAGGGAACGTGGAGACCATTCTTACAGACGGTAAGCTGAAATTTGGGATGAGACGCTTACTAAACATTCGAAGTCGACGCAAATGCTATACTACAGCTACCGCAAGTAGCTTTCGTCGCATCCTCAGTCCACAGAACCTGTCTGACAGGAACACGCGAGGCTGTTCTTCAGACTATTTACCGCTGGGCTAACGATGATGCGTCGGACAAGCCGATATTTTGGCTGTGTGATATCGCCGGCTCTGGAAAGTCTACAGTCGCCATGTCTGCAGCAGAGTCTTGGAGGAAGGAAGGAGTGCTAGGAGGCCAATTCTTCTTCTCTATTGCAAGCAACGATGGATCTACCACGGACAAGTTCTGCTCTACAATAGCAAGAGACCTGGTTGACTACATACCTATGCTTGCGCCACACATCGCCGGAGCTGTGAAGCGACATCCATCGCTCATGCGAAGCTCTCTTGAAGAACAGTTCCAGAAGCTCGTCATCGATTCCATCCATCATAGTCAAGGACGCGTCATTCTCGTCATCGACGCTCTTGACGAATGTAAATTTGGATCACAGAGAAGAGAGCTTGTCGAAATTCTTTCTACAGCTGTTCAAGGAACAAATAAACTCAAGATATTCATGACGAGTCGACCAGACCCTGTGACCCAAGCAGTCTTGGGGCCACTTTCAATCAAGTCCAAGGTGGAGGATCGCCTACACGATGTCCATCATCGTGATAACATCAATGATATTGCGAAGTACATACACAAGGAGCTAAACGACGTACTACCGGAGGCCAAGAGGCTGAGATTGGTTGAGAAAGCCAATGGATTATTCATTTGGGCAAGCACCGCATGTCGAATGCTCAATAGCGAGACTACATTAGACTTGCCCGAAAGCATCTATGATCGCCTGATCTCAGTGGACCAGACTGGAGAGATAGACGACGTTTATAAGCTCGTTTTCGAGCGTGTGGACCCGAGATCCTATCCAGCTATGTCCAACATACTCGCTTTGCTGCTTGCAGCATTCGAGCCACTCAGTATCGATGATGTGGACAACATCTTCAAGAATCTTGGGCTCAAGTGGAGTTCCAGGGCACTAGTAGAGAACCTAGGAAGTGTGCTCAGTGTAGACCCAAGTACAAGCTTGATCCAATTCCGCCATCCTACCCTCGTCGAATACCTTCGACGGTGTTCCCTCGCCTCAGCTCCCGACAAACCCAACACACTCCATCTCGACGTGACTAAGGCGCATGGTCAGGCCGCATCATGGTGTCTCAAACGACTCATGTCGCGGACTGATGGTCTCAAGTTTAATATATGTCAACTTGAGTCATCTTTCTATCTAAATAGAGAGGTTCCAAAGCTCGATGCTAGAGTATCGAGTTTCATTTCAAGACAACTTCGATATGCCAGCTCTCATTGGTTGTTCCACGCGGCAGAAACCGATGACGATTGGCGATCCATGATCAAGAAGGAAGTCCAACAGATTATTCAAGTTCCACACGTGCTATACTGGATGGAGGTTATGAGCTTCACCGGAGGAGTGCCACGAGCAATAGCTGGTCTTCGAGCTATTAGAGGCCACGCAGGAGTAAGTCGCCGATCCAAACAAACGCAACACTTACACCACAGATAGTCTGCAACATGGGATCAAGCTAGCGTGGACCAGATCCGGCGGTTTATGATGACATTTTCGGTACCGATCCAAGAGAGCGCTCCACATATTTACATTTCTGCATTACCATTTGCCCCTACAAAGTCCATATTGCATATCGAGGGGGCAAAAAGATATAGAAACCTTCTTCGCGTAGCAGAAGGGCTCGAGGAGATGTATTCTGGGCTCCCAAGTAGTCTTCGAGGTCATGAAGGCATGGTCACCGCTGTTGGATTCTCGCCAGACGGCTCACAGATTGTGTCTGGCTCGTCCGACAAGACAATTCGATTGTGGGAAGCGGCAACTGGTCAGGCTGTGGGAGAGCCACTCCGAGGTCATGAATGGTGGGTCATGGCCGTCGGATTCTCGCCAGACGGCTCACATATTGTGTCTGGCTCGTCCGACAACACAATTCGATTGTGGGACGCGGTAACTGGTCAGGCTGTGGGAGAGCCACTCCGAGGTCATGAATCCGTGGTCACGGCCATTGGATTCTCGCCAGACGGCTCACAGATTGTGTCTGGCTCGAGCGACAGACAATTCGATTGTGGGACGTGGCAACTGGTCAGGCTGTGGGAGAGCCACTCCGAGGTCATGAATCCGGGGTCAGGGCCGTCGGATTCTCGCCAGACGGCTCACAGATTGTGTCTGGCTCGGACGACAAGACAATTCGATTGTGGGACGCGGAAACTGGTCAGGCTGTGGGAGAGCCACTACGAGGTCATGAAGGTTGGATCAACGCCGTCGGATTCTCGCCAGACGGCTCACAGATTGTGTCTGGCTCGGACGACAAGACAATTCGATTGTGGGACGCGGCAACTGGTCAGGCTGTGGGAGAGCCACTCCGAGGTCATGAATCCGGAGTCAGTGCCGTCGGATTCTCGCCAGACGGCACACAGATTGTGTCTGGCTCGTACGACAAGACAGTTCGATTGTGGGACGCGGCAACTGGTCAGGCTGTGGGAGAGCCACTCCGAGGTCATGAAGACGTGGTCGCGGCCGTCGGATTCTCGCCAGACGGCTCACAGATTGTGTCTGGCTCGTACGACAAGACAATTCGGTTGTGGAACGCGGCAACTGGTCAGGCTGTGGGAGAGCCACTCCGAAGTCATGAAGGTTGGATCAACGCCGTCGGATTCTCACCAGACGGCTCACAGATTGTGTCTGGCTCGTACGACAAGACAATTCGATTGTGGGACGCGGCAACTGGTCAGGCTGTGGGAGAGCCACTCCGAGGTCATGAAGACGCGGTCACGGCCGTCGGATTCTCGCCAGACGGCTCACAGATTGTGTCTGGCTCGTACGACAAGACAATTCGATTGTGGGACGCGGCAACTGGTCAGGCTGTGGGAGAGCCACTCCGAGGTCATGAATCCGGGGTCACAGCCGTCGGATTCTCGCCAGACGGCTCACATATTGTGTCTGGCTCGTACGACAAGACAATTCAATTGTGGGACGCGGCAACTGGTCAGGCGGTGGGAGAGCCATTCCGAGGTCATGAAGATTGGGTCACGGCCGTCGGATTCTCGCCAGACGGCTCACAGATTGTGTCTGGCTCGGACGACAAGACACTTCGATTGTGGGACGCGGCAACTGGTCAGGCTGTGGGAGAGCCACTCCGAGGTCATGAATCCGGAGTCAGGGCCGTCGGATTCTCGCCAGACGGCTCACAGATTGTGTCTGGCTCGTCCGACAACACAATTCGATTGTGGGACGCGGTAACTGGTCAGGCTGTGGGAAAGCCACTCCGAGGTCATGAAGGTTGGATCAACGCCGTCGGATTCTCACCAGACGGCTCACAGATTGTGTCTGGCTCGTACGACAAGACAATTCGATTGTGGGACGCGGCAACTGGTCAGGCTGTGGGAGAGCCACTCCGAGGTCATGAATCCGGGGTCACGGCTGTCGGATTCTCGCCAGACGGCACACAGATTGTGTCTGGCTCGGAAGACAAGACAATTCGATTTTGGGACGCGGAAACTCGTCAGGCTGTGGGAGAGCCACTCCGAGGTCCTGAAGGTTGGGTCAACGCCATCGGATTCTCGCCAGACGGCCCACAGATTGTTTCTGGCTCATATGGCAACACGACCCGATTATGGAATACAGAAACTGGTAAGTTTAACTCAGCTCGTCTTTGAGATCGTGACGCGACCCGATAAATAGCATTAGGTGCAAAAGCGAGTACCTTCGACCAGGATGATACAGAGTTTGTATATTCAGATCTTAGCAAAGATCTACAGGGCACTCCGCCTAGAATCATTGTGCCTGGTTTCAACCAGTGCTCACTTTCTCTCGATGGCTGGGTGCATTCTTCCGGCAAACGTCTCTTCTGGGTACCTCCAGACAATCGACGGGGACTAAAGTATCCGTACCGCCTGACAATTCCGACCAGCGCTCCATTCCGTGTGACGAAACTTGATTTCACTAATTTCCAATGTGGCTCCTCTTGGACAAAGGTTCGAACAGATGTCCAGTAGTAACCTCCTATGATTCTTATCGCTCAAATGTATTTCATCTTCACATGCCGACAAGTAAAGAGTCTTAGGGTCGCGAGCCCATGGTACTCTCAGCCGCTTTATAATCCCTATGATCCCTCAGCAAAAGCCGAAATCATGCATTCTTGATGCTCACCAGCCATTTGCGGTGGTTATTATTGTATCGAGGAATAGTTGTGGAGGCCGAGGTGATACCTCTAGCCCTCCCACTCCTTGGCCTGGGAGGTGTCGGTATTTGACAGAAGAGCGTGCACATACAGAGCTCAATGCCGCGTTTAGGGCTATTGGGATCTCCATTGACCGCCCTGCAGGTACAAATAAGGACGATGGCCATTGGCACGCAGCATACACTTATCGAGGCTAGATCTGACCTTGTTCTCTCAGTAAGATGCGCAGCGACTGAATAGCCCGGCTGAGGGCTGAGGCTGTCGATTCCGAGGTTCGCCCCGAAGGAGCATCTGTTGCGGATATAAGGATCGTCCACTGAGCAGGGTGATCATTACACTATGCCACTTACATCAAACAGTACGTGCTCACAAGGCTCAAGTTCCAGTCTAGTATTTGACGCAGTATATATCCTAGGACCTGATGGAGGGGTAGGTTGATGTCCGCAGTTCCAGATGAAAACTTGTGTTTGTTCATAGTTTCCATCGATTGTCACCGAAGATGTCTACCTTGTACCGCTTCATATTGGGCGGTTCTACTCTGGACGTTATGTTATATGCACCATCAAGGCAGGGAGAACACGAAGGGGGAAAACCGTTTGTACGACGCGACCAGTGCAGAACTTCCTGTTTCCGCATCCTCGTTCAAAGGTTCACCACCGGACTTGTGATCCTCTTGAATATTGGGCTACTGGTGGTCACCATCTTCGAGCTCATGGGCCTTGGTAGAATAAGCTGGGGCGTTGGCATGCTTCCCTTCCTCCCTGTTACGATGTTCGGCATTGGCGTGCTGGATTGTAGGAGGGGGGAGGTTTTTACAGCTAAGAGAGGACTTACGCTCGTGGACTGCCTTTGTGGCGGGCCGTAGAGGCTGTAACTTCTTGATAAATCGGTCCGTCAGAATAAATGGATACGACGTAGACGATCGCCGAAAGGTAAAGGCGTGACGCTGGCGACATCGAAGATAAACCGTAACGGCCCCCTAAATGACGTGAACGACGTGAGAACCAATACTAAAGAGCGCACCTTTTGATGCCGGGGATTCTTTGCTTATTATCCGGCATCGGTTGCGGGGTTTGCCAAGCCAAAGACTAGCATAATAGGAGGCCGCGCGAGGTATGTAGACCTCTTGCTGCTGCTATGGCTGATATCCCACGAATAGCCCCGAAAGCATCAGCCAGAGGGGCATCTTCCGGTTGGATCGTCGGGCAAATCAAAGATGAGCGTTCAACTACGCACAAGTGCACATTGTAGAGGGTTGGTGAACACAAGGGGGGGGGTCTGGTCGTAATAAGAGCCACGACTGGTTTCCTGCCAGTTCGAATGACATCCGCTGAGACTACTTGCGCACAACAGTTTGTATTCGAGACTCGAACCTTATCATTGTTCTGATACAGATACACAGTACATGAGAGCTAGAGGAGAGGGCAAATAACCGGTAAATCACAACGTTTGGTCCTCCATAATGACATCCTTCAACATTGCGCGACCTCGCAGAATTGCGGTACCCGATGCAACCTTGGAGCGACGAGATACAGACAATGTCTTTTCAATCACTACTTTCCTCTTCTTCCGAGGAGAGGGTGAGAGTAAAAGAGAGGTGTCTGGCTCGTTCTCCTTTTCCATCGTTGCCGCCGTTCGCTTTCGTTTCAAGCCATTGGCAGGACGAAGAGGTAATAAAGGCAGTTGAACCTGTTTTCGCTGTTCCTGTAGAGGATGTAAAGCGACGTTTGGCGGTTGATGCTGTCGTGGTTGCTGCTGCTGAACGTATTCAGGGTTGTGCATGAGATGTGCATCCTTGGGGAGTTTGTACATCCAGTCCTCGCGTCCCATCAGCTCGAAAAACTCTTGGAGGAGCTTGGTTCCGTCAAGGGTGCCGCGAGAGCCGATGATGATGAGTTTTGAACGTGCACGAGTGAAAGAGACGTTTAGTCGGCGCCAATCTTTCAGAAGTTCGCCAATCTGTATGCAAGTGAGCCAAAATTCTCGGCCAAATAGAAGGACGCACGTTATTCGAATCGTTGGAGCGAACCATGGAAATGATAATACAATCCTTATCACGGCCTTGCGAGCGGTCGGCAGTAAGGATTTCGACTCCGCGATGGTCGTCGAGCATATGTGAGAGGAGTTTAACTTGCTGTCGGTAGAGTGAAATAACACCGATTTGTGATTCTTGAACTCCTCCGTGCAGAAGAGCCTTGACGGTCTACACATGACATCAGAAGAGGTTTGAAATTATCATTGAACGCGCACCTGCTGAAGAATGGCTGCCTCTGTCGTATTCTGTACCAAGTCGCCGACCTTGGATTCTTTCGCCGGTACAGAGTCGGTGTCCACAAAAACAACATGTCGACTGTCATCATCAGTCATCAGGCCATAGGTGCAAAGTGCCAAATACTCACTTAGCGTCCACCAAATCGCGAATCCAACATGAAGTACCAGTGCAAGTAACCTTTCCATGTTGATGTGTTTGCTCCATCGCTCGCGGAAGGTCGATAGTCAAGGACCGCTTCGCGACCTCCTCATTTCCACACTTGAGTCTGTTCTCATAGATGAGAGCATTTGACACTTTCATTACGTCCTCGTTCATTCGATACTGCTCTTGGAGCTCAACAACGGCCTCTGGATGTGCTTCGCTGAGGCGACGGAAGAGCGAGACGTCGAGACCTCCTTTGCGCGCTTGCACGCTCTTGACAAGAGGTGGAAGCTGGAAGTGATCGCCGACGAGAACAAACTTGTCCGCAAAGCGGAGTGGACCAAGACAAGTGGGCAGTGTGATTTGGGACGCTTCATCAACGATACAGACGTCAAATCTTCGCCTGCTGAACAGAGTACTATCCGGACATAAGCCATTTTGGCAGATCAAAGTTGAAGCCAACTTACTGGTCGATGGATAGGCAGGTAGTCGCGACGACTTGTGGGGAGAGCAGTTGTCTTTCGAGCTCTCCGACGGATGTCGGACGCGGTCGCGCAGCCAGCGTCATTTTGTGAACAGCAGGGTGCACCTGATACCAAACTGAGTTTTAAAAACACATAGAGGTTAGAGAAAAGCCATACCCTATCGGAATTGCCAAGACGCAAGACATCAAAATCGACATCCAGCAGCTTCATGAGGATTGTATCGACAGCAGAGTGGGTATACGAAGTCAAGAGGACCGATTTGCCTCTCCTGACGAGCTCCTTGATAATTTCTGCAATCGTCGTCGTTTTCCCCGTCCCAGGCATACCAAGTAGAATGGCATAGTCCTCCGCTGCGAGCACCTTTTTCATCGCGAGACGCTGACTAGCGTTGAGAGCGGCAGCGTTGACCACCGTCTTGTCCGTCTCCAGCTCTTTGAACCTTGGTGGCTTGAGATCTACGACCGACTCCAACCTTCGCTTATCACCATCCTTGAAGAACAGCTGGGCAAGATTGTTTCGGATCCGGCTGATACCTGCCGAGACTTCGTCACGGTCGAGACGGAAAACGATACCGCTGTCGACCTTTGTACGAAGTCCAAATTCCTCGACGTCGTGATTCCTTGAGATGAGCTTGGCGAGATCCAATTCTCGCTCCACGCCAACGGTGATTTGTTCCGGTTCGAGAGCGAGAACATAGCCGCGAGAATAGGCAAGTAGATCCGGCTCGACGGAGACAGTAATGGCATCACCTCTGGATATATGTCCATTGATGAGCGAGGCACTGTCTTTGGGATCGAGTCCAGACGAGGATTGAGGAGTTCGCCGTCGTCGGAATGTGTATGTCCAGGGGTAGACTTTGGATCCGCTCTGCATCTGAATCGACTGCTGCTGTTGCTTTGCACGTTCGTCAGCAAGATGAGCCGAGGACGGCCCCACAAGTTCCATATTAGCCAAACATCTGCCTGTCTTTTCCCGCTGTTCCGCCCCCATCGTCCACAGCTCTTTTCTGAATTTGATCATTTCTTGTTCTTCAAGCGAGATGAGCGCCTCCCAGTCTTTGAAGAACGCGCATTGAGGAGGTGTTAAGTGCCCTGTCCTGTCACGGTAGATTTCGGCAATCTCGCTGGTAGTATCTTCGACGTTCTCGACGGCCTAGACGTGGGTGAGTGATCGAGTTCATGAGGAGATCAGATAACATACCTTGCGATAGAGCATACAACCGTCTACGACATAGCAACGACGGCACGTTCTCTCGTCGTCCTCGGTCGGAGGAAGGAATGGTAGAGGCTCGCCACCAGACTTGGCGGCAAGCGCAGTCCGCTTGTGCATGTAGGCGACCATGTTGTTGCGGCTCTGTATCAAAGCGCGCAATTCGTTTCTCGCCGCTGACACACGAATCAACTCCTCCGATTGGGTATAGTAGAGGAGTCCCGCGGGAACTTGAGTGCCTGCGAGGACAATAGTTAGGCAAGGGCTACGAAAAAAATGGGCGGCTTACCATATCTCTCCTCCATGAGCACCGTGTAGAGCATCGTCTGTGCACGATGTTCCATTGAACTTTTCGAGGTGCCCGTCTTGATTTCAAACGGCATATCCATCACCATCCGGTTGGCGTCCTTGCCATGCTCGCTTTCCTCGAGAACAACCCGGAGGCTTGCGTCGAGTTTGCCCTTGATTCCGTACCGGGGAGACCATATGTCCTCTTCAGTCGCATGCAGTCCACAGATAGCTAGGAGCGCCTTTTGGCCCTTGGGCGCATGAGAGTCGGACAGTATGGCGTTTGCTCGAGGTTTCTGATTTACCCCAGTGCCAATGTATCGTCGACTAAACTCTCGCAGCCCCTGAGCGCGTTTGCCAATTTCGGCCTTTGCGACGTCGACGTTGACGTCGAGCTGGACGAGCGAGTCCATGTTAGCCCGGAGAAGACGGTCCGTGGCTTCGTGAATGAACGTGTCATCCCATTTCCCAGTCTGGAGACACGCCTGCATGATTTCATGCAGAATCGTGCCCCATATGAGGACTGGAGTTGGCTTGGATGCCGTCGAGAGGAGCGTGGAGATGTGGGGTCTCCGTTGACAGTACGACGCATTGGCGATGGCTGTCGCAGTAACGAGGAGGTCGGGATGAAGAACGATAAAGTGTTGTTGTACAGTGATAGTGATGGTGGATTTGTATTCGAGATCCTGAGCTGCTGGTACAAAGTTGCCAATAACATTGATCACGTCGCCTGAACACGAAGAAATCAGCATTATTCTACCACTGGGTCACTTTCCATACCAGGAGAAATGTCGGTGTACGCCCAATCGGCTTGGAGGATCACCTGGTGGAGGTCCTTTGACTTTTCGCCAAAAGCTACCAGTAGCACCTGACGTGCATAAATACTCAGGTAAACATTATTTATGAGTACGCTTCATACCTTTTCGCGTCTTGCCGCCGTTGGAAGCTCGACGCTGTGGACAACACAACGCGTGTGTGGGCTGACGGGATGCCGCACTGGCCTTTCCGACGCGTTTTTACCCTCCAAAATTGGTTTAATCTGTAATTAAAGTCGTTAGCACTCTTAAAAACGCGATTGACGCGTGAATTTACCTCGACGGTGTCATTGTGTGTCAACATTTCCTCGTCAAGGTCGTCATCCCAGCTCCAGTCTTCTGCGCCATCGAGTAGCTGGGTGATCTCTTTATTCATTGTGCACTGTGTCGCCTGCGTTGGCGCGCTTGTCGAGGCGATGGCGGGGGTTGGCGGTGGTTGGGTGTGACGGGCCGGCTGTGACGCGTCCATTGCGTTTAGAAGAGAAAGGAGAAAGTCATCTTCGGCTTTGTTCATGGTGTTGGCAAGTGGCGGGGAGATGGAAGGGGTCAAAGCTGGGTCAGGTGACTGCCCAAACAAACAACTCGTTTTGTCCTGAATATTCGGAAATTCCCTAGACCACGATTAATGGTAGTATATCTACAAAGTTTTCATATTCTAAAGCACCCATAGCAATCCTAATCCAGGATACTTGGGACCATGATTATTTATACTGATAAAGCATTCGACTAACTTACTATTGTGTGACTTGTAAAATTTTCCTAATGAAAATGATTGCCGACGTGACTCATTGAAGTCCTCCCCACCATCGGAGTTGTTCGCTCCAGACTTGGCCACTCCCTCTTCCCCGTCTTTTTTTTCTTCTTCTCCTCCTCGAGCTCTACGCAGAGCATCCATAAAAACTTCACTATGCTTGCTATTCGACGAGTCACTCAGCGAGCAAGCGTCGCCTTCACAGCAGCAACTGCCCGTCGATTCCCAGTTGGTTCGACCGTGCGACTGCTCACCACGACCAGTGCGCAGACAGACAGAGTGAGATTGCACTTCTTCTCCTGTCTCTTACTTCTTTTTTGCTGACAGTTGGCCGCACAACGTTTAATAGGAAACGATTAGTCGTTTGCTCTACTCTATCGGCACCAAACGCGAAGTAGAGCGCTACCTGCGCATCTTCTCTGCCTCTTCGCATCCCTCGCAACCTGCAAAGTTTGCCGTCATCAAGGTTGGAGGCGCCGTGCTCGACCAACTCGACGAGCTCGCCCTATCGCTCTCGTTCCTCTACCGCGTCGGACTCTACCCAGTCGTCCTCCACGGTGCTGGTCCACAACTCAACGAAATTATCGAGTCGGAGGGTGTCACGCCTGACTATATAGACGGAATCCGAATCACCGACGCTCGCACGCTGGGCATCGCCCGACGAGTCTTTCTCGAGGAAAACCTCAAACTCGTCACGGCCCTCGAAAAGCTGGGGACACGAGCGAGACCAATCACCAGCGGTGTCTTTACTGCAGACTATCTCGACAAGGAAAAATACGGTCTCGTCGGAAAAATCACCAGAGTTGATAAGAGACCCCTAGAGGCTTCGATCCGTGCGGGCGCGCTCCCCATCCTCACCTCGCTTGCCGAGAGCACAGAGGGCCAGATTCTCAATGTCAACGCCGACATTGCGGCGGGCGAGTTGGCCAAGGAGCTCGAGCCCATGAAGATTGTCTACTTAAACGAAAAAGGTGGCCTCTTCCATGGTGTCACTGGACAGCGACTCGACGTCATCAATCTCGACGAAGAGTATGCGGGGCTGATGAAGGAGCCATGGGTCAAATACGGCACCAAGCTCAAGCTCCGCGAAATCAAAGAGCTGCTCGACCATCTCCCGCGTTCATCGAGTGTCGCCATTATCAAAGCAGACTCGCTCCAAAAGGAGCTCTTTACAGACTCTGGAGATGGCACACTTATTCGACGAGGATACAAGCTGTTCAAGCACGACTCGATCGAGGCTGTCGGTCCTGATCGGATTCGACAGGTCATCCATGACAGGGACCCAGAGGTTCAGAATGGTACTCAGAGCGTCTCGGGCGTCCTCAATGACCTGAAGAAGACGCCTTACACCATTTACGGCGACGAACCCTTCGACGTCGTTGCCATTGTCTCCCATCCACCAGGAGAGATTCCTGTCATGACCAAGTTCTTGCCATCCAAGAACGGCAGTCTCAACAGCGTCACAGACAATGTCTTCAACTCGATCAAGAAGGACCACCGCAAGTTGTTCTGGACGGCACCTGCAGAGGATGAAAACCGTGCATGGCACTTTGAACGTGCAGACGGAAGCTTTACCCGTGCCGGCAAAAGTCTCTTCTGGTACGGTATCCACGACGTGGACGAGGTCGAACGCGCGGTCAAGGAGATGGAAGCCAAGGGGCGTATCGAGCGTCCGTATCTCCCTGTAGGGCCCTCTGTCCCTCCTCATCGTCTGGCCTCTTCCACCGCCACCACGGGTGCCCGCTCCTACTCGACGTTTACGCGCGGTGCGCTGACGCAGAAGAAGGCGCCTGGATCTACGCGTGGGTATGCCACTGCAGTAGAATCGACCACAGAGAAGAAAAGAGTTGCTCTTATCGGTGCACGAGGATACACTGGCCAAGCGCTCGTCTCGCTTCTTGATGGCCACCCTCATCTCTCCCTCTCTCACGTGTCGTCGAGGCAGTTGGCTGGACTCCCTCTAGAGGGCTACTCCAAATCCCCTGTCACTTACTCCAACTTTTCCGTTGAAGACGTCGAAAAGATGGAAAAGGAGGGCGAGGTCGACGCGTGGGTCATGGCGCTACCAAATGGCGTTTGCAAGCCCTTTGTTGATGCAGTAGACAAAGGATCCAAGGGACGAACTGATGGGAAAAAGGGCGTTATCGTGGACCTGAGCGCAGACTATCGATTCGAAAAGCAGTGGACGTATGGTCTTCCTGGTGAGAAGCATGTATAACTGTGTCTAAGAGATGAAATATTGATAGAGATTTGCACTTGCCATCAGAGCTCTACTCGCGTTCGGAAATTCGTAGCTCGACCCGCATTTCGAATCCTGGCTGCTACGCAACGTCCATTCAACTCCTCCTCGCGCCTCTCCTTCCATACGTAGACTTGCGTGCTCCTCCCACCGTATTTGGTGTATCTGGATACAGCGGGGCTGGGACAGTCGCCGGTCAGACAGATCCAGACGGTCGCCCGACGACAACGCCAAAGGTGCCTCCGGATAGCCTACACGGTGGAATCCGACCATACTCGCTCACGGATCACATTCATGAGCGCGAGGCGAGCGTACACCTCTCATCGCTCCTCACGCTCTCCCCATCTTCCTCGGACCCAGCTGCGCCCGTGTCTGGGTTGGATGTCGAGACGGGACCTGGTGCGGAAGATGCGCTCGTGCGTTCGGGTGGACCGCTCAAGCTCTCTTTTATCCCGGTCGTCGCGCCGTGGTTCAGCGGAATTCTCTCTACGGCAAGTGTGCCGCTCAAGGATGGTATCAAGATTACGGCGCGTGACGTGCGTGCGTTGTATGAGGGGATGTACAAGGATGAGAGGGGCGTCAAGTTGTTGGCGAACGTGCCGGATATCAAGGAAATTATGAACCAGCATGGTTGGGTGTTTGGCGGGTGCCAGGTTCATAGTTCTGGACAACGTGTGGTTGTCGTGGTGAGTGGTCTTTATAGTCGTGAGAGCAAAAGTTGACCGCACTCTAGGGTGGTTTGGATAATCTGCTCAAAGGCGCTGCCACCCAGTGCTTGCAGGTGAGATATCAACATCCTTCTCACAGCGTTCGGCTCACTGTGTCTTAGAACCTAAACCTCGCTCTTGGCTACGACGAGTTTGCGGGGATCCCTTTGCCATAGCCCGCAATTTGGACGTCAAAAGTACCATAAAGTGTGTCTGTAGAAATGGTGTTTCCAAACTTCAATATTTTTCCGCTGATGCGATTGAGAAATTTCATTGCATCGTCGAATACAAAGTATGAATTAGATGTCTGATCATCAAAACTCAAATCTTTCGCAAGGGAGATCCTTGAATAGTAGAACGTTCGGCCGGCGCACCTCCTCCAATGTGGCTATCACCTGTTCCTCGAATGTGACCCCAAGGAAATCGGTCAAAGGCACACACCATAGGAGGAAACACGATGAAGAGCGCACACAATCTGGTTGAATATAGTGCGACATCCTGAGACCCGAGACCACTTATGATCCCACGACACTGGGTACCAGCACTCTACTGCCATTGGCCGTAGCCCCCGTCCACAAGTCGAGGAAGATCATCCATCCAACACTTAGCATAATGGCCCATTCCACACCACGTGCATGGCACAGCGATTATTGTGTTGAGGTACTGAATATCAAACCGAGGATACCGGATGTTATGAGATACTGGGAATGACCACGGAAAATGTCGTGGAAACTGAAGATTCTTGATATCAGGACATAGGTTCCAGATCGATTTATGCGATACTGAACCCCTGGAATGTTCATGCCCGCTCCAGAAACATGTAACGAGCCGCCTTCCATTGGCATTGAGGAATCTGCATACATATTCCGTTGTTCCTGGGTTTACCTTCATGCGCAAGCTGAGGTGCTTCTAACGGATCCGTATCGAAGAATAGCGGGACATGTATAGCATTCAGTAGGATATCTTGCCAACTTTCGATAAGGAGATGGATCGTTCGAGGCATGGGTTGGGTGAGGTCAGCTCAAAGTTTCGAATCAAGGCAGACAAAATAGTTCAATCAGGAACATTGATAGAGTGAACAATGATACATCAAAATTCGAAACTTATGCTTGGTTTACTTGGTGGTTTGCCTTGCCGTCGCCTCTCTAAGCTCGCTACTACGACATCTTCGAATGTCAGCCCGCGTGTATCGATCAAGTGCACGCCATGCAGGCTAGCACGATGACGTGTGCACATAAAGCGGCTGAGTGGTCCAGAGTCGGCACTCCTATACGGGGCGGCAAATAGCGCAGTGTACCAACAGCCCATCGCGATTGTCTGTACCCCGGCTTTAACCAGATTAGGTAGATGGTCCACGTATTGAACGTTGGAATGAGCTGGTCCACACATTGAGCAAAAGGGCCGGACGCCAGTTGGCCGCTCCGTGTCGAGTCGAATGTGTTGGATGGGATGGCCAGATGGCGGTTGGATCCATTGAAAATCCCAAGGAAGTTGAAAACTCTTAGCGTTGGGACACTTTTCCCAGATCGAATTTTGCGTCCGAACCCCCATAGTCCCCTCCAGAAGAATGTGATAAGTTCGGACCCATTGATATCAAGAAAGTCGAATAAGTACTTGCGAGAGTCCGAGGTTGCAATTGTATGCATACTCAGATGCCGAAGATTGGGAATACGAGGAATGGTGTAGCCTGCTTGGAGCTGGGCGAATATTTTCAAGGTCGTCACGTTCTCTAGCGGTATAGATGGTAACAATTTCGTCGTTAGCCTCGAGTACCCGTCCAAAATCGTGAGCGGTATGTTGGCTTTGGCTACTAGATCAACCACCTTCTCGCTCGATTCGATGACAACCCTGAGGTTGGCGAGTCGCGATGGTGAGTCGAAAAGCAGCTCCAGAGAGCTGGTTCCGCCCATGTCCAAGATTTGTAAATTCCATTCCGCCTGCAGAGGATCCGTCTCGATGATGGACGACCAGGCGTGCTTTTCGGAGTCCCTACGTATTTTAGGTGATTCTATACATCTAGAGCAGTCGCAGGGAGCAAGTCGCATGCGCCATGCTAGCCGCAAAGCCACCGACGGTATATGGCCACCTCTAACGTGACCGGTGCATATGTATCGATAGTGAAATTGACTTAGAAACACATTCCATGACATACAAACTCTTCTTAGTCTGTTTCGGACGCGCTCCGATTCCCAATATGGACCTTCATCGCTGTATCGATGAACGTCCACAAAGGAATGATTGTCGAATGGATCCGTGTCGAAGAATAAAGGAACGCCAATGGCATAGCTCAGTATATCTTGCCAGCATTCCACGGGCAAGTGAGCTATACGATATTCGTCGGTCATGATCGGGATCAAGTCTAGCAAAGTGTACGGGCTGCGCGTAAAGAAGACACATGTTCCTACCAAGGGTTTCAAATTATCTAAAACCGAGACTAGCATTTGCTATCCTACGCAGCTTCCCCTCTCGGCATTCCTCCAGCAGAGAGACTGCGGCATCTTCAAAGGAATATCCTAGTGTGTCAATGTACGTAATGCCATAGCTCGCAAGATAGTGCAATAGACAGATTGGCCCGTAAATTGTCTTGGACCATTTCCTACGGAGAATTGCTACGAAACAAGGATCCTATCCATTAACTTCTAGGTACCAGCGGATGCAGTCATAGTCCGTATTGAGCAAGGTGTCGAATAGAAAATGTGTTGTAACCGAGGAAATTTGGGGAGCTGATACATCAGATAGTAGAGGTAGTGACGCTCCTCAAACCGAGATCTCTTGAGCTATCAATCGGAAATCGAATGTTCCCCTGAAGTAAAGTGGGTAAAGCGAGCCGGGGTAAATTCGTTCGTGCCCATCCTCTACTCGTTGAAGTGCCCTCGCATTACTTTGAGATTTGCCATTCGAGAGGCGCATCTCAAGATTTCTTCCAAGGAGTGCGCGGCACCTTCATCCAGTATTGTGTTCTCCATATCAGTTGAGGGTGATCCACAAGTGGGCCTCGTCCGCCGCAAGCAAGCACTATGCTGGACTAGATATCATCCCCTAGTGCAGTGTCAGGCGGTCTTGCTTGTCCGCTCGAACGCGTATTGCAGCCGCGAGGGCCTATACATAGGCGAATCGCCGTTCGCAGTGCTCGGGGAGGGATGTGACCGCATATTACGCCACCAATTGGGATGTAGAGATAGCCGAAGCGTTTCAGGAAGATGTTCTGAGACGTGCAAACGCGTCTGAGGTTGTTTCTGATTTGTTCCGACGCCAAATATGGGGCCTCGTCGCCATATTGACGTGCAATCGTGATTGGGTAATTCTCTACAGGATCTGTATCAAATAATGGGAGGAGTCATTTACAATATTCAAGAATCGCTCAACTGGGAATGGGCAACGACGGCCATGGTTTGGTCCAGAGTGTTTATTGCCCGTTTGGCAAATAAATCTTTACCAGGGAAGTCATCTAGAACTAGGTTCCATTATCTCACGCATCCTGTAAAGAAGCCCTTTGATACTCGTCTTTCCCTCCAAAGCCAGTCGATCCTTCCTGGACGAGGGCTCGGGCTCAAAGGCGTCGCTTTTTCCACATCAGTCGAAGCGTACAATCATACCGAAACTCACAGGAGAGCGGCATGATCCTCCATTAGGGTATCGACGTAGTGCAAAATGCACCTCGCCGGTGGCCGGTTGCACAAATCGTGCTCTCTGCTCAAAATTTCGGCTGTATTCTGAGTAAAGTACTCCATATTGCTACTTTGTCCGTATGGAACGACGAAGGAGTGAACGTCCCCAGGGAGGCGATCCAGAGCTCTGCAGAAGAGGGCTTGGTATTTACCGAGCCGACTATGCTCTGTCAAGGCGTATCCACGATCTATGTAGAGTTGATTCCACTCGTTGGTCATGTAAGCAAGAGTTGTTTGGGCCACCGATATTCCTCGAAAGGTCGTTTGTGGATAGAGCGAGACGATGAAATCAGCGGAGATGTAATTCATCACCACGCTCAGACCAGAGCACATGATGGGCTCCACGATCTCATCCTGTGAGCTTTGTCGAACGTCTACTTTTCGTCCGTTTCGTTCGAGGTATGTCGTACTCGCTAGGCAAGTTGTTTGCGCGTTGTCGTCATCGTCGTCCACAAAATACGTCGATGTAATTGTATAGCCCTCGGTCACCAAAAATTCGACCAGCCCTTCACTATCGTTTGGGCAATACAGGTTCAGGTCCTTCGGCGTCCAGTGGGTGGGAAATCCTTCAAGAAACCAAAGTGCCGAGGACCCCCCAATAACTGCGGGTGCTTCACGCATTGCCTTGAGAAGTCTGGAGGGATCGGCATAGGGAGCAATAAGTTTGTTGAGTCGCTGGATAATTTGGGGTTGGCGAAACCGCCTGGTGGAGCGGCAGACTTGGGTAAAGGAGATCACGTCTGGAACCGATAGGTTATCCAGAATGAGCAAGATTATTTCATCTGGAAGCCGGTTCCCTGCAAACGGGTTAGAGGAGACGAGTTGTGCCCTGTAATCTCTCAATGCTATTGCCAATGTGTGGTCCTTGAGCATGTGGATTGGGTACTTTTCCACTAGTTCCCTCAGGGCCGAGTACTATCAAGTTGTCAGTTCGTGTTACTTTATTGCAGCCAACTCGCCATTTGTGCCTCTGCATCGTGGGTCATTTCAGCAGCTATGAGACCTTTGTTGGTTTCTAGTTAAGCATATGTTGCCGAAGGCCTCTTGTTCACGCTGACGGTTAGTATAAAGGCTAAGGATCGAGAACTGGTGCGAACTACGTCGCAGGCAGGATGACCCAGACGTTGAGAAGAATATAGTGATCTCAGTTTGTAACCTGTGGACAGGCAGCGTCAAGGTCAGGGTCAAGTTCCATCTTCGACACGACCATGTCGCACATGACAGAGCAAGAACGGCGCGACGAGGTAGATAATTGCACCCTGTAACTTTGAAACGCATCTGATCGAGTTCAGGTCGCTCATTTCATGAAGATCGTCACGGCGTTTAGGCAATACGAAGCCTACGCGATTTCCGCGAATACTCGTCGGCGACGCGACTTTTATCGTCTTCCAAAGGAGGATAAGGAGATTCTTGACTCACTGGGATGGAGGAAACAACTGGATATGGTAGACGAGCTCATTCACGAGAATGCAAAGGTCCTCGAGCGAATCGTCGCGAATCCTGCAATCTTTATGGACCAAGAGGAGCTTGCACTAGCAGAGAATAGTCAGTCATTAGTCGCTAATCAGGATTGCTTTCTAATGTCACGGTCGCAGACAATCACGACGTCCGCGATAGCCATGGGATGGACCATATGCACTCACATGGAGATGGAGCCCATAGCCATTCTCACTCATCGCACTCGCATTCTCATGGTTCACACGAGACGTCTCGACGACAGCAAGTATCTGCAACGGATATGGACAAAGTCAGGAGCACTCTCAAACAGATTGTCCGAGACTGGAGCGAGGAGGTTTGTCTTCCTATTGCAGATCTGTCAACGGTTCTCAACTGCACCCTAGGGCAAGGCAGAACGTGATGTGACCTACAAGCCGATGATCGATGCCCTGCTAGAGCACTTTCCCGATCAAGGGACATGGCCAGAGAAAAAGGTGTTGATTCCGGGAGCTGGGTTGGCTCGACTTGGCTGGGAACTAGCATTCCTCGGTTCGTTTATGAGGATCTGTAAAGTTCGTGCACTGAGAAATCCCAGGGTTTGAAACTCAATGCAACGAGTTTTCTCACTTTATGCTCCTCCCGTCATACTTTATTCTGAACGAGTACGTTGTCTTCGACTGCAAGGTGATTCATGCTGACTGCGTTTGCAGAACAAAGGATGTCAACCAGCATACAATCTATCCTCATATCCACACCTTTTCGAATGCTATGAGTGCCAAATCTATGATGAGAGGCATTTCTTTTCCAGATGTGTCGCCCTCATCGCTACCACGTTCCTCGAGATTTTCCATGGTTGCTGGTGAGTCACCCAATGGAGACATTTGCCGACTCTGACGAGGCTAGGGGACTTTGAGGAGCTGTTCGGCCCCAAAGAGGATCCAGAGGAGGACGAGACTGAGCAGTGGGATGCCGTTCTGACCTGTTTCTTCATTGATACAGTGAGTTCTAGCATCTTCCGAATTTCCATTATTGATATTTCGATCACTAGGCCAAAAACATTGTGAATTATCTCCGGATCATCCATCGTATTCTCACCCCAGGGGGGATATGGATCAACTGTGGACCTCTATTATGGCATTTTGAAAACTCGGAAGATATCTCGATAGAACTTTCCTTGGAGGAAGTCAAGGAGTTGGCCGCAAAAATTGGGTTTGAGCTCAAGGTAAGTTTACTCGTACCTGCTGTGCAATTGACTGAGCCTGGCAGGATCAACGCACGATAGACACGAGTTATGTTGGGGACGAGGGGTCGATGCTGTCCTATGTATACAAAACGGCCTTCTGGACTGCAACCAAAGTCGCAAAGTAATCATAAGCATGCATGAAACGACGTCAGATGTGACTCCCGTATGGAAGCCGACGGCAGGACTAAATGCGAGCTTCAGCAATTGGCTCGGAGGAATCGTCCGGTCCTTTCGGTAGACTGGTTTGTCGAATGTCTGAATTGCAATTGCTAATACAATCATCCATAGGAGCCGTGTGTGACTTAGCAAGGGGGAAAGATTTGCACCTCTGGAGGCCTAGCTTGTGGGCAAGCCTGCTAATCAGTTCTTGTTTCCCATTTACTCTTCCTGGCGCACAGTGATTGACCGTTTAACCTCGGGTTATACATGAAGGAACGCTGCTATAACAGCTCTATATATGCATTAATATCGTTACATGGAGGCGCAAGGTAGGATAACAGAGCCCATGATATGAGCGCGGTTCGCTTCGTTCAACACTGCGAAGACGACCAGGATTCACTTCTCTTAGTATTCATGACTTCAGTTCAAAATAAGTACAAACGAAATATGTCTTATGAGACAACTTTCCATCTTCTTCAAATATTACGTGGCAAGAATACTTCATCTACCAATCATTGAACTATGTCATTTGATTGGCATCACAATCTCATAACTAGCTCGCTAATTAATGGATGCGGCTTAAAAGGATCCAATTTATGAACTAGTCTGCGCCTATTTCAACTCGGATTCATTCTGAAATCGGCATACACTTTCCGAGCTCGTGTCGACGCTGATTGTGGATAGCGGTCTCAGATGGACTGCAGGATAAGTCGATCCCGCCTTCCGAATTATACTAGCACCAGGTATAGCATTTTGCGGCATTTTCTGCGTATCGATAAGTATTTGGCGAAATGTGAGAAACCAGCGTGAGGTGATGGTGCTTCGGAGAGCGTATACGAGGTTATACAGCAAAAGGATAAGTGTCTGTGGTGTTTCCCAGTACTATGACTTTGATTCAGGTCTCCTGGTAAGAGGCGAGCAGCTGTAAGCACGTACGATAACACAGAGTGAGATTTGGAGGCTCAAGGCAAACTAGGTATATTAGTCGATGAAGGATAGAGAGCACAAGACTCACAACGTAATACCAGAACCCATCAATATACATGGTTCTTAGTATAGTCGTCGCTGACGACTCGCTAATCAGCTTGCGTTATTGACGATAGATAATAGCGTGGTAAAACGTGAAAAAGGCAATGACTGACTCATGCATATACGAAATATCGTGTTGAAATACATCGTTCCTGTATCATCTCAGTAGTCTCGAAAGTAAGGAGGGAAGATTGAACGGCGTACGGACAGAGGTGACGAGCATAGTTGCTGTCAGGATGATGGCTGCTATGTTAGACGCTGCAATAATGACGGCCAATAAGAGCCTTATTCTCAGATGCCTTATAAATGCGGTGTACAATCGCATCGTGAATATGGCTGCTAGTCGTTAATGTCCGCGTGATTGAAAGGTAAATGTAGACGCAGTGGTGGTCATAATGGATCCTATGGAGTGGCAGGTTAGGACCAGAACGAAATTTCGTGAGCATCTACATTATTTGAGTCTCGGAAGCGCGGGACTGGTCGAAAGTGTCAACTCTACAGTGGCATTAGATGAATACTCAGCTAAAAGGTGTATACTTACGCTAGCCGACATGGAACCTCTGAGGATAGGATTGAAATCTAGAAGGGCCCACTTGGCTTCGGGTTCTTTGACAACACATACTACTCACCTATGATATGGACCATAAGGCCAACTATGGGCAAGTATCGATTCTTTCAACATGACTTCAGCTCTTCCGTGCTATCTCAGATTGGATCTATTTCTACGTACGGTAAGGTAAAGCGCCTTGACAAGCGGGCCTCCTCTTGTCCACAGCAGCGCGACCTCTGAGTCGAGCGTAATCAACATATCGTATAGCCATATGACGAACCCAGCAATAAGCGTGTACTCGGAGGCTCTTATATGTAGAGTTATCGTTGCTAGAGTTGCCAGTCCAGCCGCGCTCCCCAAGGAATCCACGTCGTAACCGTGAGCCCATAGTCATATATACCACCTACCCATGCTGAAATCCTAGTTTAGACCTTCGGTGCATTGGTAATTGCCTTCTTCCACGCCATTATCTACCATCAATAGTGCAAGCTCATTGACGAGTCATCAACAACGGCCTTATTACGGAACTTGTATATCGATGGTTTCGAAAACTGGGGAGATATATCGATAGAACCTTCCTTGGAGGAAGTCAAGGAGTTGGCCGCAAAAATTGGATTTGAGCTCAGGGTAAGTTTACTGGTACCTGCTGCGCAATTAACGGAGCCTGGCAGGACCAACGCACGGTAGACACGAGTTATGTTGGAGACGAGGGATCGATGCTGTCCAATGTATACAAAATGGCCTTCTGGACTACAACCAAAGTCGCACAAATAGTCACAAGCACGTATGAAACGACGTCAGATGTAATTCCTGTATGGAAGCCGCCGGTACGACTAAATGCGAGCTCCAAGCGATTAGCTCGTCGGAATCGTCCAGGCCTTCCGGTCGATTCGCTCGTTTGCGGGCTGATCGCATCAAGCCCCATTATCGATTGCACGGCAAAAAAGGGTTATGTAGCTAGGTTTGTGTGTGAAGCAATTAGATAATCTAGCCAACGGTCGAACGGACCCACGCCTGGTGAGCGTACTCTTTGGACGAGGAATCTAAGGGAAATCCACCAGATCATCTTGCAGGAGTTACGCACCTCTCAGTAACCAACCTCTGAGGATAATCGGTCAGAAATTCGATCGTGAAGACTTTTGAGCCCGCCACTCCTCCACGCGCCTCTCAAATTGTTTTGTTACGCACCATGCGGCTCTCAGGCTCGGCGACACAACACCTGACTTTTCGTTGGAATATCGGCTAAGATTTCGCACGCCGGCCGCAGCTGGCTACACGCCTGGAACACGCGTTTTCCAGCCAGCTATCAAATTCAAACATGTCGAAAGCGCTCGAATGACGACAAAGTTGCAATGATCGTCGGCGAGGACAGAATTACGAAGCAACTCTGAGAGCGGATGAGCCCCACTTTGGGAGATGAGACGGCGGGTGGAGGTTGAGCTTAAGCGTTTTGCACCCGTGGGAGCTTTCCAACTCTATTCTCATTTTGTTTTACCACTTGTTAGCCAGCATGACGCCGCCTTCTCTCCCAGCCTCATCACCTCCTGCCGGTCGTATAAGTAGGCGTTGCCGGGTGTTGTGGTGTTTGGCCCAAGTCCCTCTCCTCCTTGGTCTCTTCCTCGTCTAGATCTACTTTTTCTCTCTTCCCACCTTCGTTCTTCACGAACTGTCACGACCTTGACGATGGCCTCTACGGTGAGCTCCAGTCTCGACCGCGTCCTCGTCGAACCTCGACTGACTGCTTACTGTTTGTGTTTTCGATCTCGTCCGACGATGAAAGCAGCAATCTACCTCGACTCTTCACGTCGGTTCTATTCTCAAGACGCTATCGACTGCAGCTCCCGTTGATGCTGCACAAACTGACCGCCAACAAGCAGCTCGTCAGCTTGCTGGTCTGGACCCCAAACGTTTTCTCGCCAACCTGCAAGCAGCCGTGAATCGTTCACCTCAAGCAATCGTCGCCCTTAAAGCAGGTGAGAACCTCCACCGATCCAGTCCTTATTCATTTCATAGTTTGCATACCTCCCACCTCCCATGACAGATAAGATTGTCCACTGCTTCCCTGTTCCTCTCCTATTCATTTGCCTTGCCTCGCACCCGACCTCGCGGTTGGGCGGTTAAGCGACAGTGTATCAAGCGTGTTTTCTTTACTGACATTGCATTTCCATTTACAGACATGTACGAATTGGAAAGCATTTTTTACAAGCTTTCGAGGGCCGGCCACGACGTTTCCGCCGCTCAGCGCGATTTTTTGATGCTGAAGCAGTTTGTCGCGCAATTGGCGGCAGTGGAACAGCGTCGTCCTCCACCCCTTCCTCTCCCATCGTCTTCCACGACCTCGCGGTCTCAACGACCAGCCCAGCACCATCGGTCATCCTCGCTGCCCACGCCTGGACCTGTCTCAAAGGAACAGTATGCTACACGACCTTTTGGGTCGTACCAAGGCAGTGAACGACGATACAAGGCAAAGGATTCGCCGCCAACTTCCTCACGGTCTTATCATCCAGACGCTCGATATGCACACCCGCCGACCGCCCAGGGATTCACGCAAGGGTCCTCTGGAGCTTCTTTCGCTCCCTCGTCCACCTCGTCTTCGTCCACTTCGTCATCATCGTCTGCCTCGAGATATTCACCGACTGTAAATGTGCTCTCCCCCATTCCAAGTCGGCTTGTCAAATCACGAAGAATGTCCGCACCGGCGGTCGTACCGTGCGCGAAAAAGGTGCACTTTGCATCGCATGCGACCGTGTACACCTATAGATTGCCAGGTGCTTCTGGCCGAGACGTTGATGAGCCCTCCTCGCGGCCTTCATACGTTCCCCGTGCGGAAGGGTTCTTTGCCCCTGATGGACGGTAAGTGACATTTCTGGCTTAGAGCGAGTGGACGCTGACAGGGATTCGTGTGATTACAGTCCTCGATTCTGAACATGCCCAGCAATATATACATACACACACACACACACATTCAACAAACCTATGCACACCCTCATTTATCGCGCTACCCCCAATATTGTACATTATGATCCGGCCCACCACCACCACCACCCATATTTTTTCCACCATGCCGCCGACCCCAACGCGCTTGGTCGCAGCTGCCACCACTATCATGACCACTTAATGGAACCGCTAGGTCGGTTCTCGTTCCCGTCTTGCTTTGCATGGACTCCTCGCGTTGTAGCTGTGCTCCCGATTAAAGGTTGAGCCGGCCATTCACGAGTCTGACGTCGGATTGCGAGCGACGGCCAGTTGGTTTCGACGACTTTTTTGTCTTGACGACCTGGGACGACGGCAGACGACGGTGTCACCACTCGACGGGAGCAATCCTTTGTAGAGTCCTATTTGGCGGTAGAACCATTATTCCTCGCCTGGATGGCTTTGATGGAAGATGGACCGGGGCCCAAAAATAGGACGAAGGATGGGTCATGCCGTTGTCCCAGAGATATTACTGCCTGTGCAGTACTGTATATTAACGATACTGAGCAGCCCCCGTTGTGCTCACCGAGTGTTTTCGTTCTTAGATTGTTTTGGCTGCTCTGCAGCTATAGAGACTATGGAATATAGCGCGAATTTGTTATGACCGATTGATGGGCCAGAAGGGCCTAGACACTGCGAGTTGCTACCATCTCCAAGACAGCCATGGAATATCGAGCCGTCCGTGGCCAATTCAACTGCGGCCGGCCCAGCCTCAGACAGGTTTGAACTTGAACCACATTTGGGCGGTTGCTACTTGGATCCTTCCTCTCTCCTCCTAAGCGCAGGTCGTCTTTTTTAATTTCTAGGAAAATATTCCCTACGTCTCTCGTTTATTCTCCACTACGCTCAGCCACTAGCTACACCCGCCAGCGGGTTCCAACACTCTACATCTACAAATGGCCACACGCTCTTCTGGACTCGATTTCAGCGACAGACGGACACCCATGGACGCACTCGCTGCCCATCCCGATGTCATGGCCCGTGCGCCTCCAAGCTCATCAACCCTCCAACGCAACAAGACGGAGCGAGTCAGATTGCAGGGCCTGATGCGCACGGGGACAAATAATTCAACGGATAACGGTGCACCTCCTCCGAGCAAGATGCGCGACGAAACTTTGATGGACAAGTGGCATACCTGGCTCATCAATGGCGGAAGGGCTTGGCTCGTCTTTGCGGCCTATATCTTCCTCCATGTACTCGTATTCATCATGGGATTCATGCACTACCAGCTCAAGGATAACCAAAAGGTCGTCCGGAGCATCGTTGGACTTGGTTTCCGTGAGTGGTCTAGATTCCCTTGGCGATGCCGACTTCTGCGCCGGCGGCGGCTTCTTGCTGTGCTCATTTGGATGCTGACTTTTTTGGTTTCGACAGCATTTGCACGTACGGCCGCGCTCGTTCTTCACGTCGACGTCGTCTTTATCCTCTTCCCCATCTGCCGCAACTTTATCTCGCTCCTCCGCCAGACTCCCCTCAACTATTTCATCCCCTTTGACGATAACATCAAGTTTCACATTGCGACAGCATGGTCCATCGTCTTTTTCTCTGCCGTCCATATCATTGCGCACATGTACAACTTTACCGTGCTCGCCATTGTCCTCTCAAAGGGCACGACCACAAACCCCGTCGTTCAATTCCTCATCCTCAACTTTGCCACCGGTACGGGCATGACGGGCTGGATCATGACGGCCGCGCTCGGTGTCATGGTCTGGTTCGCCGTTGAGAAACGCCGTCGCCGCCCGAATGGTGGTTTCGAAAAGTTTTGGTACTGGCACCATCTCTTCATCGTCTTTTTCATCTGCTGGCAACTCCACGGCATGTTCTGCATGATCAAGCCAGATAATGGCGTCTGCAGCTATAATGTCGTCGGTGTCTTTTGGCGCTATTGGCTCCCCGGTGGTCTGGTCTACATTGGCGAGCGCATCATGCGTGAAGTTCGTTCTCGACATATCACCTATGTCTCCAAGGTCATCCAGCACCCGAGCAAGGTCATGGAGATTCAGATCAAAAAGGAAAAGACAAAGACGCGTGCTGGACAGTACATCTTCCTCTGCTGCCCAGAGGTCTCGTACTGGCAATGGCACCCATTCACTCTTACGAGTGCCCCCGAAGAGGACTACATCTCGGTTCACATTCGTATCGTTGGAGACTTTACGACGGCCTTGTCCAAGGCTCTTGGATGTGATTTCGAATCAAAGGGTGAAAAGGGAGACAAGGGCAAGGATGGCGCCGTCGTCGTTCCACCTCCAATCAACCGCATCCTGCCTCGTGTCATGGTCGACGGTCCGTTTGGCTCTGCTAGTGAAGATTTCCTCAACGTGAGTTTTTTCTTGCACGCCTTGGTCTACTTGAATACTCACAAAACGCAGTACGAGACGGTCCTCCTCGTCGGAGCTGGTATTGGTGTCACACCCTTTGCCTCAATTCTGAAGAGCATCTGGTACCGAATGAACAACTTTAACCAATCGAGCCCCACGCGTCTCTCCAAAGTTTACTTTGTCTGGGTCATTCGCGATTTCGGCACGGCAGAATGGTTCCACTCGCTCTTGCACGCGATTGAAGAACAAGATACGCAGAACCGAATCGAGATTAGCATCTACCTGACGGCCAAGCTCAAAGAAGATGACGCGACGAATATCATGGTGTCCGATGTGGGTGCGGAACGTGATGCGATTACGAGTTTGCGCGCGCCGACGCATTTCGGAAGGCCGAATTGGGATCGCATCTTTAGTGGATTGGCGGATAAGCACCCTGATACCGACGTTGGTGTCTTTTTCTGTGGTCCGGTCATGTTGAGCAATACGTTGCATTCGATGAGCGTCAAGTATTCGAGCGCAAAAGGGAGTCGGTTCTTCTATGGCAAAGGTGAGTTCCCGATTCAAAAAAAGATGGTATTCTCAGGTGGCTGATGGTTGCTGTTTACAGAAAACTTTTAAACGACCGTTGCCCCCTTGTCCCTCTCCTCGATATCCCCTCCTTCTCTCTCCTATTGTTGTCGCTGTCCGCGGCCACTCGCGTGGTCCGTCGGTCCTTGTTGGATTTCTTTCGCGGTGTTATGCTGAATATAAACGTTTGTGGACGACTTTTATTATACACGTTTTGGATGGCTCTGATTTCTTGAACTTGTCTTGGGTTGAGGTGCCCGGTTTGTAGATGAGTGCGTTGGGGAGACAAGCTATGCATCAATGAATGGTATAAGTGATATCAATATTGTCGTCTTTTATCAAGCACAGCTATAAGGCGACGGGTTGGCTAGTGTCTTAATGACCGATCATCTACTTTCTATTGATATCTAGTCATTGTGGGCGAAGCATTATCATACTTCTATCACTGGTACTCGACGCGCAGTCGTGTCGTATTAGACATCGAACATACCCCTCTCAAAGGCTACTTTACATCTTTGACTGAGTTACTGGCATATGTAACCTCGTCAGCCGCCATTCTCATGTGGCGAGCAGGCTCGAATAATGACCGTCTTCTACAGGGGTCTGGCGTGATCCGCACATGAGAGAGAAAAGGATGATCAGAACGCAAGGAGCAGGATTCAGGAGAAAGCTCGACTCGAATTTGAACCGCGCGACGACAGAGTGTATGTACACGCGTGAGATGAAGACTAGGGAGAGAAAAAGGATATCCACGTTCTGAATAAGAATAGCTCGTTAAGGAGACGCTACCTTGCCCAAATTAGCCAAATGGACAACTCGTAAGAGAGGTGTCCAAGGCGAATGTATCTGGAGAAGGAGCCCCTTAGTTGGCGCCCGCAAGGTTGATGCCGAGTGCGGCGAGGATGGGACCGACGAGGTCGGTGATGGGCGTGAGCAAGGGCGTAAGGTCGCCGACGAGACCTCCGAGCGTAGTGGTCAGGAGGTTGAGAACGGCGCTGTATTCGTCATCAGCATAATGATGGGGGGAAAACAACGAGTGGGACGTACATGACGGTCTGGATAACGGCAGCTGCAGCTGGGTCGGTGTTACCGATCAAAGTGGCAACCTTTGTGAGGATGTCGACGATGTCAGTCTCGATAACCTTGAGGATACCAGCGACATCTTGGATCGTGAGGTTGGCAACGTTGACGACACCGTTTGCCGTCGACGTAGCGGCACCGACGACACCATTGACGGTGGAGGTAGCGGTGCCAGCGACGTTGTTGACGGTCGATGGGACTGAACCGACGATGCCAAAGACGTTTCCGACGGCATTGAGACCGGCTTTGGCTGTGGCGGTAGTAATGTCCGAAACGAGCTTGTTGAGGAGTGGGAGGACCTTGGCGACAATGGTGGTAACGTCACTCGTAGTGTCATCGAGGATTGCCTCTACAGACGGGATGTGAGTATGATGGGGACAACTCGAAGAGGCAAAGGCACGTACTGATTTGGGTGATGAGAGCATCTACGTCCACCTTGAGGCTGACTACGACGCCTGCAACACACGCGTTGACTGCGACGGCGTTATCGTGGCGGCGGGTGACTTCAACTTCGGCATCGACCTCTACACTTGGGACAGAGACCGCTCTGTCAGCCGAGACGAGGTCATCATGGCGGACAGCGAGTCCGTTCCGGGAAGGAGGAGCCGGGAAGGGAGCGGCAAGAACGGTGGAGATGGCAGCGAAAGCAGCGAGGATTCCGAATGCGCGCATGGTTGTTAGTTGGTAGATAATTCCTTTTGATAGGGGTTCGTGAGTGTAACGAATGTGGTTGTTTTGCAAAGAGCGTGTGTAGACGACGAAGAAGCGTGCGTCGGGAGGCTTTGAGAGTCGGCCTGGTGGGCTTGGGTTCGAGAGACGAGGAGCTGAACAGATGGTTGGGTTTCAAAGAGGTGGATCGAGGGGAGGTTATATACCGCTCGGAGTGGCCGGCTCCACGACGAGAAGCAGCGACGACCGGGTGGGCGTGAAACAGCGGCGAAGCATGCGAGAAATACAATCGCATGTTCTAAAAGCGTATGTATTCACCATTGGTTTGCTTTGCCTTCTTGCTCATCCATTGTAAGCCGCGGGACCGGCGGTTGCCATCGGAATTTGGCATACAGATTCCTCGGCAGACAGACGTCTGTCTCGCACGCTAGACGGGCGACCTTCGGTAAACCTCTGACATCTGAGCTGCGAATCCCTTTGGCGCTCCACTTTGGCTCGAGCTAGAAGTCGGTTAAAGCGAGCGGAGGTCGACGGTTTAGGTGGCTAACCATAGTCGCTGTTCTATACTTGCTGCTTTCGTACGTCTCGCTCGGCTTGCATAGCCGTTGTTCGCTCGGACAGACGGCGAACGAGCGAGCAGCAACACTCTTGAAACATATAATCTTGATATTATACAATTACTATCTCCCATGGATAATTTTACATAATTCTTGAGACACTTTGGGCGGCGTTGGTGCGCGGAGCCGGAAATGGCAAGGACGAGAAGCGTGACCGCACTTGTCTTCGTCCATCATGAACGCATACCCAAGCTCGTCGTCTTCAATTTCAAAAGAAGCACACGAATGCCAATCGCATGAAGAAGAGGAAGACTTGCAATTGACACCCACGGCAAAGCACGTCCAAAGTGGCTCAGAAGCAACTTGTCACGAAGACAATGCCGAGAGCGGAGAAGCCCAGAATGACGACGAAATGAGAGAGAAGAAGGATGAAATAGACGGGGAGACTGACAAGCCCGCACAAGGAAACACAAACTCGTTGAAGAAAGCAGAGACATCCGCACCGACGCTCGACACGGATCGTATGGCGCGTGATTACAGTGAAGAACACGCAAGAGATGTAGAATATGAGACTGGTTTGTCCCCCCTCGACGATATACAAGCAGCACTCGAATACTGACAAGTGGCTACCCTCTTCTAGCAATCACAGGTACCTCGTTTGGTATTCACGGCAACACAAAGAGTTTAATCGCTTGTTTCAGACGCGTTTTACAAATTGATGGCAACTGGTTTGTCTTGGAGCAAAACGGGGACACAAGCAATCTTGAACGCGCAACTCGACGAGCTTCACAAGTCTATGAACAGAATTCGCAGCATCGAACTCGAACAAGGTGAGATCTGCCTCTCACCCTCATCCTCGCTCAAAACACTTACAGAGGAAAGACGCGTCAAGCTCGAAAAGGCATACGCAAGCTTCAAACAAGTCGTCGACTCGCTCTTGTAGCTCAGTATCCGTACTATGTTGTAATGCTAGCTGACAAAATAATCGTCCGTTCTACTTCGAGCAGCACGTCTCGCATTGATTGCACTGAATAAACTACACCTCGCCATCCCACCAGCGTCCCCTCTATTATATCCAGAACTAGAACAAACCAGCGAGATCCGCAAACGGATCCTTTTGCTGGCCTTGCGCCGTCGTCGCTTGTGCAGGCGCAGGCGCAGGCGCTGAAGTAGTCGCAGTCAGAGGCGCCGTTCTTCCTAGCGTATTAGGCTGGGTCCCCGCTGTACCTGCCAGCTGCTGCAACGAAGGCGTCCCGCTCCTTGATCCACTCGCTCCTGTATTTCCACGGAGCTGAGACTGCGGTGTACCAGGGAGCATAATAGCACCTCCCATGGGCGTCTGGTATCCTTGTTGCTGTTGTTGAGGGGGAGACGATTGGAAAAGCGACTGCGGTGCTTGTTGTTGTTGTTGGTACGCATTCATCCCCATCCCCATCATATTGGCATTGGGTTGCATGCCAAACGATGAAGGGTTATATCCCATCGCAGGACGCGGATGTGCCATTCCACCTCCGAATGCTGGCTGAGCCTGCGGCGGCGGCGCTGCGTTGAACATGCTCATAATGTCCGCATTGGACGGTCGAGATGCACCGCTTGCATTTGGATTTGGGTTATTCGGGACTGCCGGTGCCGTTTGACTCGATGGACCAAATAGACCCGCTAGGTCGTCTCCAGCACCTCCAGGTCCAGTTGCAACCGTAGCTGGTGCCTCGGTCTCATCACCCAACAAGTCTATGAGAGATGAAGGTTGTGCAGGTGCGCCGCTAATAAGGAATGAGTTGGTATGTTACGCTGTGCGGACCTAAGGACGCACGCTAGTTCCGGAGGAACTGGGTTCGCACCCGCCTCATAGTCTCCACGTTTAAATGCTTCGTAACGCTGAATGACATTGTTGATCTGGTCGTTGATTTGCAAAAAGGCAGCTTTAGAGGATATATCAGTGACTTGCGCCTGACTGGATAGCCAAAGTACACACATAATGAATCCGGATCATGTGCCTCTGCGTCGGATATCCAACCTTGAATCTTTGGAGTCGCGGCGGATATCGACGTGGCTACTTGCTGCGGCAACGCCTCTCAATACGTGGTCACCACAAGTAAATTTGGCAAACTTACGTCGTACACATCACCCTGAACAAACGTCTCTCCGCGCACCTTGTCGACATTGTCCAGCATTTCGTTGAGCAGAATGACTTTGGCCTCGACTTTGTTCAGCTCTTTTAGCGTCTGCGCCTTGTAGTCTGGTTTGGCTTCTGGCTCCTACGGGAGAGGTAAATGGTGGAATATATCATGATGGCGAGACGTACGGCTCCGGCCAGAATCTTCATCAGCTCTTGTGCTGCGGCGAGATCTTTTGGCGTCCCTCGTCGTAATAGCTCTTGCAGTTTCTGGAAGATTGAGAATACGGAAGTGAGGAAATCAATGGACGTACTGCAGACTGCGCTTCTCGATCTTCATTCTCCAGCTCCTCGGGAGATTTGAGGTTTTCCTTTTGACATGAATACAAAACCTGAGAAACAGTTCATGACATACGACATTTGTGACATTATTCGATCGCGGTAAGTCTCTAAATCGGTATCCTGGAGGGAATGAGCCCGGATGAGTTGATGATGGGTTCACTTACCCTTGTACTGAAGCAGACGATGCATTTCTCGAATGTTTGTGAGATCATCCTTCCATCTACTGGTGGCACAAATGCCCTCCTTCCACGAATGGATGAGTTCCAAGATGCGCTGCATGACTGGACCAGGAAACGGTGGTGGACGCTCTGGGAAGCGCCGGACGAGCTCGTTGAGGAATTCCTTTGTGGAGACTTGGAGATGGATTGGATATCCACAAGACTGGACGAGCGAGTCGATGAGCGCGAGTGCGAGGAGAGAGACGTGTGGATTTCGATTGTTGACCATGCGAACGGCAGCCATTGTAGCTTCTCTTGGACTGTTACAAGTGCATAAATGATCAACATTGGCGTCGTGGAATAGTCTGTCTATCCCAAATTGACGTACGTGTTTGCCTTTTTCTTGTTGATGAGCTCCGCGAGCTCGACGTGGATCTGATACGGAGGTTCAGAGAGAGATGGATCGCATGAACGATGAACGAGTGCTTCTACGGGCGACACGCCCATCCATCCACTGCCGACAGACATCGCGCCCGGCCATCCGCCTCCTAGTGGCGGCGACTGCGAGCCAGACGATCCAGCGCCGCCCATGACTTGTCGTTGATGTGACACGTTGAATCCTGTCGGCGGTGGCGGCATTTTGCGCTAGGTGGCGGGAAAATCGGTGGGAAAAGGCGGCGCAAAGGGTTGGCGCGTTATTTGCCTCTTGCCTCGACAACAATATTTCACAAATGGGATGCAGTGAAGGTCATACGGTATGCTGTTAGTGTCCTCTTCGTGTTTATAATCACCAAACGCAAGCAGACAACGCGCCGCAGGACATTTCAGACTCGACTAGACACAGCAGGCAAAAATACCCAGAAGATGCATCAGCCAATGGCTAGAATCGTCAATATACACCCATTTTTCGATCTAGAATGCAGTGAACCTCTAAATTCGTTACCAACTCCGCGCCACGGATGTCTGCCTCTTCGACCGACGAGCAAACACCACGGCTAGGAGCGGTGTATCCTCGCGCCCATTGGTTCAGGTCCCGACACGAGGTCAAGTCCGACTTACCCCTAGAGGCAAACAAAGCCTGTGCTCATGTGAAGACGCGAACCAACCGTTGCGACATATAAACCGACCCCCCAAAGCGGTTACTTTGTTCATTCGTTCCTCGTCTCCATGGACGAAGCATCTAGTCGACAGTCTGACGAAAAGCAACGTGAGTGAACGCCCGACTCGTCTCCTCGTTTCCTGACACTTTCCAGCATGGTATCGAAATTCTTGGGTCGTTGCGTACTGGGAAATCGAAGATTATGCCATGGACATCTATGAGGACGCACTCAAGCCGCTCGCAGTCCTCATGGCGGTCACTCTCTGCTGGGGACTCTTCGTCTGTCTCGGCTCTGGGATTGTAGTCCTGGGTCATGTCCTTCTTCGCACGCTCATCTTCCATCACGAGCAGCTGACGGGGCTCAACAACGCTCAACTCCTCTACACTTTTAGATTGTCAATTCTTGGTGGACTCTTCGCCTCGTTCATCTGCATCCCACTCCTTGAGTTGACTTCACGACGGAAACTCGGTTTCTTCCGGTTTTCTCTGGCCTATATTAGTACGGCTTTCGTCTTGAGCGCATACGGTGCGCTTTCTGGGTGCCTGGGAAGTACAATGCTCAACGCTCTCGTAGTAGATTCCGCTCTTTACCTAAAACCTGTCGGCGCCCTCGCCGCAGGCGCTATGGGCGGAGTCGTCTGCAGCCCATTACTCACCGCCATCGTCCTGATCTCGCGTCGATCCGAGCCTCGCCCATAATTTATTTTTCCCTGGGACGTATTCATTGTATATAGAACAAAAAAAAAGAACATCGTAGAACTGGGCCTAAGGCCATTCACCACCTTCACCCAGCAACCTTGGAGAAAGCCACGACTGGCCTTTTGCCCCAAGGACTGCCAATGCCTCTCGTTTTCCCCATCTTTGACGCAAGGTCCACATCTTTGCGAAGAGATGAATTTTCGTTCATCAGGCTGCTCTCAGGCATGCCCATCGCTCATCATAGATGAGCCAGTTCCAATCGATGGCCCATTCTGGATCCGTCCAGGGGCCATCTTTGATCTAGAGGATGGATTGGGCGCCATAGAGGACTAGATGGCGCTTGCCGTCGCCAGTTTCCTAGGTGGTTCAGAGGCTACTCTCGTGCCTGGCCTCGGAGTGGCTAAGCGGAGGGGTTTGAGGTTGTTGAGAACCTATTTCGCGGGTTTCTTGAATTCGGCCCCTCCCTACTTAGCCCTACGGGCCACGCAGACGCATTAGTTCTTTACTATCTTTTACTGCTTCTGGCTCTATTTCATGCATAAAGCGCGTCGTCGCGAGTTCTACAATCGAATGTACCTTGCCGATTACAGGAGATCCCAGCTGGGATATCTCTATGCTTCCTGCACCTTTTGATATGTTTCTCTGTTTCCGTTTCCTCAGAGGATTGAGGGTGAAGGCGTGGCCTATTGATATCTGCGAGCTTCACTGATATGTAATGCGACCGGAAGTAGGGGACCCAAACACCCAGGCGTCAGTAGTACTATGATGGTAGCCGAGGCTCTTCAGTCGTTAGACGCTGTTTCTTTGACTTCTCAACTTCCAAACTCCTCTCTGCTGTTCCCCGAACGGCCTCTGATCTCGGGTCTCGTTGCGAGCGGTCCTCCTCACCCCCCTCGTTTCTCACCTTTCCCTTGGCCCTGGCGCTTTCCATCCACTCGTTGTATCGTCCAGGTCTGTAGTAACCGACTCTGCGGCGACCTTGACGTCTTGTCGCGGCGTTGAAGCCCATGAGAGGTGAGCATTCGCTAGTCTGTCCTAAAATCACACAATTGCGTGACGAACGGCGGCAGAGACGGCGTCGGGATGTGAGCTAATCACCATCTTGTGGTAGGCGTCACGTTTCTGCAAGGCTCTGCGCGGTTTGGTAGTGGCAGCACCGACGCCCAACTTCCATGAACCCTTACGAATGGTGTCCAAACTGCCACGCACGCAAGCTCATAGGGCCTGATAAAACCTACAAGAGTCCTGAAATAGGTCAGTAGAGCCAAGGGAGAGGAACACGTACATACCCTGTCTTTGCCCCGATTGAAAGTGACGCCTTTGATGTAGCATTGGAATATCCCCCAGATTTTCTGATGTTGGAGATCGTCGAGATCCCGGTTGAGACAAGAACGTCCTTGTCAAGTCTCAGCGAGTCCGGCTGGAACTGTCGCGTAGTATCCTCTTTGCCCTCCGTCTTGTATTCGTCCTGGGTTCTTTGTGCCAATGATGTTTGCGGACGATCCTGAGTTGGATCGTCATCCTTCTCGAGTTGTCTGCTGGAGGTCGAGAGATCAGTGTAAACCTTGTTCGGTATCCATGGAATAGAACAAGCTGACGAGGTGCTTATATACTCGAGAATAAACGTGTCAGCGGACGATAATTAGTTTTGTGTACAATGATGGATGATTTCGCAAGGTAACAGCGAGTTGGCCGCCCTTCGGAGGACCCGCAGGCGCGATACGCGGCCGAGAACATGATTAATAGAGTAAATGTGAGAAATAGACTCACTAACTCCGAAGAGACGCGTCGGATGTCACGGCTGAGCGTGTCCTGACGTGTGGGCCGTCAACTTGTGGGTCGAGCGTCAGCAACGAGCTGCTTCGGGGTGCATAGGAGATAATTATTGGACTCCAATGACCTCAATGAACTGTCTGCGTCCTCTCTAGATGACCAAAGCCAGGGGTCCCCGGCAAGCTGGCTTTCATGTCGCCCAAGAACATCATTCAGGAAATCTATCTGTGTCATTTTCATTTCTGATGGGACACGCTCATATCGATCAAATAAAGAATTACCAGTCCAGTGCAAAGCCAAATTGGATCACGTCATCGGAAAACCAAACCTTGGACAGCACCAGACTAAACTTTTCCTCCAATGGTCATCAATTGCCCCCATATTCTCCACCTTTGGCGTAAAAGCTATATCTTTCCGAAGAGATGAACTTGATTCATCAACCTGTTCTCAGGCATGTCCATCACCCGATCATAGATGAGCCAATCCCAATCAATAGCCCACTCTGGATTCGTCCAAAAGATATCTTTCATCTCGAGGATGGACTGGACGTCATAAAGTGTTGGGTGACGCTTGTTGTCGCTAGCTTTCTCGAACTCGTTCAGAGGCCGCTTTCGTGCCTCGGAGTGGCTAAGCGGAGGGAGCTTGAGGCTGTTGAGGACCTTTTCATCAGGTCCAGCTTCGACTACATCACTCGACCCCTCCCCGACTTGGCCCCCAAGGTAATGCAGAGCCGAGCACTGAACGCGGTCTTCCCGAAACTTGGCATGTAGCGAGGACAAGGTAGTCTCCGCATTTGATCTAGGTGCGAAACTTGTCCTCGCGAGCTTCTCCATTGGATCTAGCTCGCCAATGTGCGATGAGCTGATACTAGTAGGGGTTATTGTTGGAACCTCCTCTTGCTTTCTACGCCTCTTGATACACTTCTCCGTCTCATTTTGCTCAAAGGGCAGTTTGTCATCCGCACTGCCGATATCGTCGCGGCAGCGCTTTCGAGCTGGCCTTCCAAGGGTCCGAACAGTCTGTTCTGGTGCATATTCCACATTTCTGGTTTCCCCAACAACTTGTATTCCACCTATTTCTGGGCCTGCCCACGCCTTTGCCTGGAGGCTTTTCGCTGCGGTGAGATGGACGAGTCAGCGGGCTGGCAACCAATGTCTCACAATTCCTCACCTGTACCTTGATTTCGAGCCTCTTCGGCCTCTCGGATATCCTGGATTAGAAGGCGTCGCGACTTTGCCCTGTGTAGGTCTCCCACTGGACAAGGAGCCCCACTCTCGCTTTCAGCCGTGTTACTTTCAGTGGGTTTGATCTCATTTTTGATCTTTTTGTCGGCAGGCGTGTCTCGCGCACTGCGTTCGCCGCGAGTCTGCTCCCTTTGGCTGGCAGGTGCACAAGCCGACTCTTTGGGAGTCATGGCGAGATATTTGCCACTATAGGACATGCTATAGCAATTTTCTTCGGAGAAAATACCTGGTGGAGAGCTGTAAAGGGTGCGAGCGACGGCCGGACTGGTGGTCGATAAGCAAGTTGTGTTGGTGGGGATACCTCCCAACTATGAGCACCTTGCCATGTATACCTCCTTTGCACAGAGTTGCTCTAGCATATTTTCTTGCTTATATGGATGAATAGACGCGTATTGCAACCCTATCATCCCGTATAGCCGCGGTTCGTTCGTTCACGCATGATTCTCGAGGACATTGTTCCCAGTTCTTCAGTAGGCTCACATTAAACAGATAAGCGCCCTCCTATCTTGAACTCATCCACGTTCGATCCCTAAGTGCGGCCTTCCCGAAAATGAGTCCCGACGCTCTGCTCTTGCCTGCGGTACTTCTGAAGCAGCAAAAGTTTGAGCTTGAGACTGTTCATAAACTCTTACAGAAACGGTGCGCCCCACACAGGAGACTGACATGCAGAGAACTCACACCCAGCGCGTCTATAGCTACAAATTAGAAGAGAGAACGCAAGTAACATTCTATTTGAGCTATTACTCTCGCTGATCTGCCTTAGCCTTCAAGGTCTCGAGGTTCTTCTTGCCGGTCATCAAAAGAACTTTGACGAGAGCAAGAGTATTGGCCTCCTCAAGCCTATATTAGATCAACTCGAGGAAGGTATACCCCTCGTATTCATAATATTACATGGCAATGATAGGTGTGCAGAGATAGCGGCGCGTCGTGAGGCTCTCCAGGCACTTGCCAAAGAAATCCAGCCGGAGAAAGAGTCACTCTCCTCACTCAGTATCGAGGAAGAAGAGTACGAGATCTCACTTGGAATCACAACCCTCGAAGAGGCGGTCGAGTCGTATAATGAATTTATCAAAGCGGGTGACGCAGCCGAGCTCGCGAGATCAGAACTCGAGAGCTGGTATAGTACCGCGGAGAAGAATACCGACTCCGTCGCTGAGCGGTTTGCTCGCGGCAAGCTTCCACCAGTTGGTGAGTGTTCCCTATCGTACAGCCGATAAAGCTAAGAGAGCCAATATAGATATTAAGTATCGCAAGGCCACAGTTAAACACCAGGAAAATGTCTATGCTGCTCGCATATGGCTAGAAAAGGAACTACCGGTTAGCCAAATCAAACGTCCCGAGAGTGGTGCTGAATCCCATGCAGGAGATTATGAGTGAGCATGAGGAGCGCCTCAATCAGACCTGGACCATGTCAAAACATGCTATTATGGCACTTCAGTATGTCGTCCGAGAAGCCATAAGGCACGAGCCCATATTTTCAATAGTCGTATGACACAGTCTCTCAATCACGGCCACTCTATATGTTCATCGGGTATCGAAAAGTTCTCACCAGTGGCTGCAAGAGCCAATCTTGAACAACGAAAGGACGAAAGTCTGGAGCACCAGGCGATTCGACCGGCGGTCTACCATAATTACGCTCTCAAAGGAGTGGAATCACCGGTTATCTTTGGTGCAGACCTTGGTGTGATCGGCAAGCGGCTCGAAACCTTGGTTGAGTTTCTACTGGAGCAAATGCCGGCAAGTAATATGCTCATATCGTACACAAGCCTCATGGTTTCGCCACAGTCACATGAACATTTCTTACAAATCAAATGGAAGGAAGCGTTTGAAATGGAGAAAGAGAGCAAAGGATTTGCAACTCTGATGCGTAAACAGGTTTGGTCGCCATCAGATTTGGCCATGCTACTCACTGTGAGGTAATTCTCTTTGAATGGTGATTTCTAATCTGTCCTAGCATGAGTTTCTACAATACTCGCCTTTGTTCCCTCTCCGGCCAGGCGAAGCCGAACGCTTCAGGCAACGTACGTCCTTGAGCTACGGTCGATTTATTAATACACTGATTCTCTTTATAGTGGCAATACCCCGGGCTCGTTTGAGTATCATGATAGATGACTATCCAGAAGACGAACCATTCACTCCTGTGCGACGTCACGAGATTATGCTCAAGCTCCTGACCATTCAAGAACCTCCGCCTGCAGAAATTTTCACTCAGATAGAAGTATGCACCTTATGTTTCTGTTACGTACCTTTGATTCACCCTTTGCAGGATACGGCTTCGATCATGGCCCAGTTCCGCTCCAAGTGGGATTTCAAGAATAAGAGGCCATGGAGAGACGGTATTAAATGTATTGGCTACGAGAACGGGACCGCTATCTTGCGGAGAGAGAATGGCGCACCCGTCAACGCCGACGAAGAGGAGGCGGTATAGATTTTGGTTCATCAAGCTTTTTGTTGATTACGAAAGTGAAAGCGAATATTGCCAGAATCGAATCCGCAATCACGTAGTTCGACACTTGGACCCTCTTTCCTCCGGCAGCGAGGTGTACTACCGAACGTTCATTGCACCGTTCATACTGCTCGAGAAGCAAGCGTATGGTTGCATGAAGGCTCGGAGGAGTGAATGAGGCTGATGTCAGCAAAGTGAAGGCAATGCTGGGTTATAAGAAAGTCGTTACACTTAGTTTGCTCAAACAAGTGCATAGCTCCTTTCCTTTGGCATGTGGTGAACGACTTATGGACTCCCTCATTGCCCGAGCTGATGCGCTTGGCCCACCTCGCAAGGGAAAGCATAATCTAAAATCGCAAAACGGAACAAAAATCAAACCTGAAAATACCGCTCATGACCCAACGCTCGCCTCTGTCTCCGCGAACACTCGTGTACCAAAGAGTTTATCTAATAACCTAGATACAGACGTTAAGGAGAGAAAAAAAGCGGCGAGAACGGGGAGATATGGTCATATACAGGATCTCAAGCTGCGTGCGCACCTCAGTAAGATGGACCAAGGCCACAAGGAGTGGCAGGAAAAGATGAAAGACGTGGAAATGCTCAACGTCGGCGAGTCTGGAGGTCTCCAAGCGGAGGGAGAACTGGAAAGGACGTGGAAAGTTACGCAGGCGGAGATTAAAAGCGCTGTGAGCCTTGAAGACGCACAAAGTCGCGCCGAATGGAAGCTGGACGGTGGTCCGTACGCTTGCCGTTACAGTAGGAATGGAAGGTCAGTAGCTAGCTATCAAGAGGACGGATTTCTAAACCTAATTGAAGGCATGTTGCCATCGCGGGCAGAAAAGGCCATGTCGCGACCTTTGATTGGCAAACAGCCACGATACACGCAGAGTTGCAACTAAAAGAGACGTGCAGAGATATCACGTTCCTCCAGGATCACACCATGTTTGCAGTCGCTCAGGCAAAATACGTCTTCATGTACGATATCAACGGTGTCGAGCTCCACCGACTATCGTCGCATACTGAACCAACAAGGCTTGAATATCTTCCGTACCACTTCCTCCTCACTTCCGTATCCCAATCTGGCTTCCTCAAATATCAAGACATCTCTACGGGACAGACGATTGTCGAGCACCGTACAAAGTTAGGCACCTGTCGAACCATGTGTCAGAATCCTTGGAATGCCGTCATTCATCTCGGACATCAGAACGGGACTGTTACGCTATGGACACCCAACAGTTCGACGCCTCATGTCCGCCTTCTTGCTCACATGGGTGAAGTCACTGGAGTTGCAGTGGATGGGAGCAGCTCTGGTCGGTATATGGCCACCAGTGGCGCAGACGGTCGCGTGAAAGTATGGGACTGTCGAAACTGGAAAGGCTGCCTGCGACAATGGAACGTGCGAACGCACCCAACCAGTGGCGTGAGAGGTGCTCAACTTGATTGGAGTCAGAACGGTATGCTAGCGGTGGGATCTGCTAGTGGCGTTAATATCTTCAAGCAGCCAGTCATCACGTCTTACCACGCTCCGCTCGCCAACCCGCCGTTGTACATGACCCACCCGACTCCTCGCTCCCATATTGCCTCCCTTCGATTCGTTCCACACCGCGATCTACTAGCCGTATCTCATTCATCTACATCCACTAGCCCAGGAGCAGTGTCCCACGACCACTTTATCTCTACCATTATCATCCCAGGAAGTGGGAACCCCAACTACGACACGACAGAGGGCGGCGATCCAAACGAGGGTGGCAAAGGCAGAAGGGAACGAGAGGTTCGAAGCTTGCTTGAAAAGTTGGAACCAGGCACTATAACCATGGACCCAGAAATGCTGGGTGGGATGAGGGAGGCGTCGAAAGTGGACGAAACGTTGGTGCACCGGAAACAGTCTCGATTGCAACGTCTAAAGGAAACTGGCAAGGCGGACGAAAGCGAGGTTCCTGGAGATGAAGAGGCAGAGGATGAGGAAAATGCGTCGGGACCACTAGATAAGAAACGCAAGAAAAAGATGAGGGGCAAGGACAGGAGCATGAAGCGATATCTACGCAAGAAAAGGAAGAACGTGATTGACGTCGCAACGGTATGATGGCTTCACTTTGCGTTGGGCATAAATTTACATTCATAGGTTTCCATCCGAGCTAAACTTGACAAGCAGCGGCAAGAGATTAAAAAGGCTCGCGAGTCTGCTGCAAAAAAGGCGGCCGGTGAAGACGTTACTGAGAGAAAGTCTGCGCTGGATCGGTTTAAAGTCTGATGTATATTTATGACTTCAGTATCCAAAGCCGCTTACAGATTACTAAACGCCAGGTGGACGGCATCCCTGGAAAGCTCAATCCCACGATCCCGACAGATCTGCTCCAGTTCACCCACTGGGACTGGAATGATCGGAGGTAGTTCGATAGCCGCTGGAGCGCTAGCGATTGGTTCGACGGCTGTCACTCCTTGTGATTCGACAGTCGTTGGTATGGAGTCTTCCTCCCACCCAGCCGTTGGAGTATAATGAGGGAAGCGTTTGTCGAGTCGTAGATGACGCAGCCCCGGGAATATCTCCGCGTCAGTCTTGAAGGCATCAACGAGGTCACCTAGTGGAAGACCTGTCGCAATGACGAGCCTGCTCGAAATCTCGCCCATGGCGAGTATCTCCCATTTGACCATGTGTTCAATAAGAAACTCTTCGAGGTATGGCAGTCTGCGATGGAGGGCGTCTGATCGTTGGCTCCAGCCTTCTTCGCGTGACGGAGGGATCTCGTCTCCCCAGTTTCCACATGCAGAGATGAGGAGTCGCTTAAGGGAGGGAAAGAGATGTAGGATCCTTGGTACATGGGCAGAGTAAACGCTGGTGCAGTCGATGAGCTGTAGACAAGTGAGATGAAGGTTTGGGTTCCACTTCCGTTGATTATTATTGTCCCATATTTTTCCGTCGAATCGTAGTGAGCGTCGGATCGTGAGGGATTCCAGGGTGGTAAAGTTGGAGCGGATAGAATCAAATACCTGTTCTGGAATAGATTCGTTGGCGATATCCAAGCGTCGGAGGGCTCTTCGTCTGCGAGGGGGCATCTCTGTGAGCGCCGCTAGGATGCCATTGCTCATTGCAGAGGGCCATGATGGCCATACCGAATGGAAGATCCCCCTTGAATAGACTCCGAACGACTCGAGACTCTCCCAGGGAATACAGTTGATTAGGGTCTGGAGATGTTCTGTAGGCGTCAGAATAGCACGGCTCTCCGAGGGGAAATAGAGGTGCAATGATGTTACTTGAGGTGTCAGGGGAAGAATCTTGTGGATGAGATGTATGAAATCTTGCTTCTCCTCCTCTTCTTCGACGGTGGGCAGCGGGAAGACGATCCTGAGGATGCGAACGAAGCGGCCGTACTTGGAGATGACAGGGAGATGGACATCTCGGAGTTGTATATAATCGCCGTTGATGTTGACCTCGTGGTACAGAAAGGGCGTACACATGTTATAGAAGTCCCGAGACACACTGCAGATCGTTAGTCGTGGGGTGAGGCAGAGAACCGACGTACGCTCGTAGACGAATAAAGTCCATTCCTACTTGTGGTGGAATGGCCGACGGCGGAATGAGATGGGTCGGAGTGGCATTACTGGGAACCTCTTCGTTTGCGGCTTCAAGCGTCCACCAGTTTGTGTACCGCATGGGCGTTATCCACGCCTCTGAATGATCGTGGATGGTAGTAGCTGGGCGTAGATATTCGATGACATCCATCAGGATCTCGGGAGGGAGTGCCCAAGCGCTTGGAGACATGACTGCTAGGAGTGGCTATTGCTGTATGTTGCGATATATCAATGTATTGCAGCTCCTGTGCTGGATATTGAGACTAGACGGCGCTGTGTGTGTATGTGGTTGGGATCAACCCGCGACACGTTGACCCGGACCACAACTGCCATTGGCCTCTAAATCTTTTACAATCCACTCCGCTTTCACCAAAGATGTGGAATTCTGGCAGTTCTCGCTCTCCACCACCGCTCCAGCATCCAATCCCGACACATCCTCACTACATTCCAGAGCCACCGGATACACCAGTCAGCATAGCAGGCTCTGAACCTCAGGGTTACATGCGCTTTTCATCAGAATCCTCGCGTCCACCACTCGACTCGTTTGCGCAACCAGCGCAGCTCCAAAATCCATACGGTCAGACGTCTGGAATCCAGCAACACCCTGGAGGCGCTGGAACTGGATACAGAGCAGCTAATCAGAACCAATACGGTGCTTATCCGCAGCCTCCAAACGTCTACGGCGCAGCGCCAGGTTTTGGCGGAGTCCCCTGGGGTGTCAACGATGCCACGGCGCAAATTGGCATGCAATTGGGGCGAAATGCAGTACAAGCCGGTCAGGAATACGTCGAGAAAAACTTCGGGTCATACATGCTGCCCAAGCGGATGCTCAAGTCACACTTCAACGTGTCCAATTCATACGTCCTCTTAAAGCTCAAACTATTATTATTTCCGTGGAGACACAAGGGATGGAAGAGGAGGGAGATACAAGGGAGCGACCAGGACGCGTCGGGCTCATCTGGTGCGTTGACGGAATATGCAGAAATGGTTTGGCTAACGTGGTCACAAGGCGCAGGTGTCAAGTATGCTCCTCCTCGAGAAGATGTCAATTCTCCAGATTTATACATTCCGACGATGGCCCTCGTCACCTACATTCTCCTCTCTGCACTCAGAGCGGGACTCGACTCCAAATTTCATCCGGAAGTTCTCGCCGCAAAGATGAGCAAAGCAATCACCATCATCGTTCTGGAATGCGTGTTCATCAAACTCGGCTGTTACACACTGGGTACGCATCTCTTCTGTCCCGTTCTGGATTTCTGCTTACTGGCCTCAGCGGTTGAAGGGAAAAGTCAGCTTCCAGATATCATCGCGTATGTTGGATACAAATTTGTCGCCTCGACCGTCCTCCTGGTCTTGAGTATCATTGGCTTCCGAGCGTCCCTCTACTGGGGCATATTCCTATACCTCTTCTGCGCCAATGGCTTCTTTTTGGTAAGTGAATATGCACAATCAACCCATGATCTGATCTGACATGTCGCAGTTGCGGTCTCTGAGGGCGCTCGTCCTCCCATCCAACTCTTCCGCCAGCGCGAGTCGGCAGCACGATTCTCAGCGAAACTATCGACTCATGTTTCTTTTCAGCGTCGCAGCGCTGCAAGTACCTGGGATGTGGTTCCTCAGTTGAGGCGTTTTGCCGAAACCCGCCGTTGGGATCTGATGAGGTTTACATCGGGTGACGGAATGCTAATTTATTGTTCTCTTACTCGATCAGATAGATAATATGATCATACATCGATCGCCAAAAATTGTTCGAGCCCAACTGAGGAAAAAGTCAGGACCAGCATTCTGACCATCGCTAGCGAGGAGCCTGGCTCATTATGGTCCTTTTAAGAGGATAGAGGGCATCTGTTACGCTCATACTTAACTCTACTTCAGCATGCCTACGGACAATCACAACGAAATGGTCAGCCTTTCCAATTCGAGCGATCTCGTTGCTAAGTTTGCTTAGCTTTTATCTCTTCGGGAATTCGTAGAGAAGTACCCAGTTCAAGAGCTCCAAGACAGCGAACTACGACAGGCTCTGCAAAGTTATAAGCAAAGACCCGAAACAAGCAATCCGTTTGGAGGCAATGTCCTCCCCGAAGACGCCATATTCATCATACTCGACTATCTCCCCATCCAAGATGCCATCTCATTCACACAAACCTGTCGAGCGGCAAGACGCTTCCACCAGGCGCACTTTACGCATCGCGTCAACAAGCTCCTCGTGCCATACGTCGATCCCGAAAAAATGCACACTTTTATGCGAGATACAGGATCAATCATCTCTGGCTCATCCGCACTGTGGCTCCTCGCGAGCTTTCCGACGAACTGGCGTCCCAACGACCTGGACGTATACTGCCCGCTCAATGCCACCCCTAAAGCCATCGAATTCTTCGTATCAGAAGGATATCAGGTCGTCTCTGAATACGAGCCAAGTAATTACACGCAACGTCAGCTCCACTCGCTGGCCCGCATCACTAAACTTGCGCGCGGTGAGGAGCAGAGGATCGACCTTCTCGAAAGCAAAACACACAATTCATTTCATCCTATTACTGTCTTCCATACTACAGTGGTCATGAACTTCATTTCCGCTGATTTTATCGTCTCCCTCTATCCGAAAGCCACTCTAAGCCATGTTGGCGCATCGAGTTACGCTCACCCAGCAAAACCAAGGCAATACCAAGAGCGTGGGTATAGCATTGACGGTCATGAAGTCTGGTCATGGCTCTTCTGCCCTGCCCTGCGGCGACAAACGAGCGATTCGTATTGCTTAGCCTTGCCATACAGACAAAATAGGCACCTTGGCGATGTGGAGAGCGGGGAATGGGAGTTCGTGCATAAGAATGGTACGCATGCGCTATGTCCTCCGCACTCTGCAGGGGATAAGAGCTGTGACCAACTTCTCATTCGACGCATTTCTCGGAACGTGGTATTTCTGCTGTAAGTTGGTCTTCTTGCCATTTCCCTGCTTGCACTCATCTCTCTCTATAGTCGTCAAAGGCCTGAACGGCTTTCTCGCATGCCTGGATTTTTCATGCCACCACTAGAGCGTTACTTGCAGAAGAACATGGACTCGATCGTAGACTACTTCCGATCTGGATTGAGGGCAGACCCTTCACGCTACGCCTGTTCGTTCCTTGAGTTCATCTTTCGTCTCTTGAATGTACTTAGGTCATGAAACTAGATTCAATTAGGCTTATATTAAAGCGATTACGCTATGGTGAGTGTTGAATGTTCGGTGACAAGTGGGTCCCATCCTGTTTCTACCTCGTGTGAGCAGCGCTCAAGTTGCCGAAACACTGGGGCACTTTTCCTGAATTCTTTCAATCAAGGAGCGCCCAACGTTACGTCCTAGCTTATATAATGGCATCAAACGACAGAGACAACATGGTGTGGACTTATATTACACAACGACTAGCCAGCTCAAGTTCTCCAGAAAGGTGCTCTGAGAGACCTAGTAGATCATTTCCCTATCGAAACACTTGAGGAACGAGACCTCGTGATTGCCCTCCAAAGATATAAGTCGAAGCTCCTTGTCTCAATCCATTCTCTAACAACCGCCTACCTAACGATACAATATCCCTGATTCTCGAACAACTTTCGGTTCGTGATATCATCTCGTTCAGCCAAGTCTGCCGCTCGACAAGGCGGTTCTACCGGTCCTCCCTTGCTCACCTCGTCAAAAAGTTCATCTCACCATACATCTCACCTCCCAAACTATTCTTGCTAATGCGCAAAACTTGGTCGGTTTTGTCCGGCTCATCAGTCCTGTGGCTTCTCGATGGATTTCCAACTCGTTGGACGCCCAAAGATCTCGACGTTTATTGTCCGCTGGGAAGTCGAGAGTATGTTGTGAAATTTTGGAAGCACGAAGGCTACACTGTGACATATCATGGCAATGTTTACGTCAATCCGGAATACCCTCACAGGGGCCGCCAAATGTCTTCACTCCGAACTATTACAAAGTTGGAGCGTGGGAAACAGAGGATAGACGTTCTGGAAAGCAGGAGTTCATCAGCCGTGGAGCCAATACATTTCTTTCATTCGACCGTGGTGATGAATTTCATCTCGGCCGATTTCATCGTCTCTCTATCCCTCTACAACATTTAAACATTGCGGAGCGACCCAGGCTCTGTCATCCGAAGAATTGGATCGTACAGAATGCTACCAGAGTCGCGGTTTCATCATTGGGACCCAATTCGGTTATGTTGACATATTCTGTCCCAGATTGGTGCGGTCAACTGGAGACTCATATTCACTGGTCGCCCCATACACCACCAACTTGCAGGCAGTTGGAGATATAGAGGGCGGGAGTTGGTGTTTAGAGTCTTCGACAAATGACCATCGCCTGTGTCCATCACATTCTCGTGACGAAGAGAGCACAGGATGCGTTTTTGCTGAGAGTATCCGGCGCGTAAGGAATTACCTGGTGCCGGAGAAGTACGTATTTTGCGTTTCTACACAAAATAATACTGAAAATACTATCACAGTGACCTTGAAACACACGACATGGCAGTGGAGATTGCACGAGGGCGTATTGCGGCGGGGACAGGGTTGCAATAATAGAACCAGATCAACCTGCCATCACATTAAGCACATTTTACGCACCACGAATATCCTATGCGTACACCCCGAATCTGTTAGCGGAGGTGGCGCAGAGCCAACTGTTTCTCGAATCATCGTGTTTACCTCGTTTAGCTGACTTAATATATGTGACGAATCGTAGCTCTTTATTTCAGCATTACTGTTCGACGTTTTACACGAGAAGATATGTCAATGCGACTGCTGAGGCCACCACCGACCCAATGGCACATGAGAGCATATTCGCTCCATTTGGTGTGGACGTAGCGGTAGAAGTAGCGGTCGACGAATGGTGATCAGGTATGCTCGTGTTCTCCGAAGTAGTGCCCGTGCATGTTAGGTTGTTCGGGACCGAGGCATTCGTCCTCAAAACAATGTCCGAGCACTATGTAGTAAGGTGAATTTCCTCATAAAATGCCAGACCTGTGAATAAGCTCACCTGGAACAGCGGGCTATCGCCTCCAACGTACTGTACGAGTAGCGTTGCATTTGCTCCATCAACCGCCTCAGTATAGTTGCCAGATGCAATATCAATGTCTCGGCAAACGTCTTTGCCACTGATCCTGAACCAATTCTCGACTGGATTACGAGGCTGTCCGTTGGCTTGGGTCGTAAAACTGGTAATGTTCGACGGCGACTCGGCAAACGAGATCATCACGAGGACTGTGATAGGACGGGAATTAGCATTGGTTCGAGTCGAGGCGAGGTGTAAGGGGGGACAATTGTGTGGCGCTTGGCGCAGCGAAAATGCCTCTACTCACTATTCGCGTCGTGGGAGGACTGGAGCGCAATCTTTGAATCACCGATAGGGAAAGGTGTTCGTGCCGTTACATTGTTGAACCCGCCTAGGATAAAAATGAGAACCATTGTGAAGACCGGAGTAAACGTTCGTACCGCATGGTGCTTGATCTTCAATGTCCTGTATCGGTGATCAGTATAGAATAAGATATGAGTGCGAGTATTTACGTGTTCGAAACCGCGCGTGGGCGGGTAGACAAGGGAGAAGTGAGCAAAGGTCGAGCCTGTGTGAGAAGTCAAGATGAGGCCGTGTAAGATAGTAGGTAACAACTGACCGAAAAGTGCGGCAGCAGTGAATAGAGATGCAAGGACCATTACGGACACACGGAAGGTTGGAGGGAAAGCCGGAGGGGACTCACGTACTCTGGCACGAAAGTGGCAGACCCTTTATACAAATGCCAAGAGAAAGATACGGCATTGCGGTGAAATTCTGGAGGAAAGACTGGGGATCTCGAGCCGTCTCTTGTCGAGCGTGGCGAGTACGGACTGCTGGCTCGTCGGATTAACCATCCGCATGTCTGGCATTTGGAATCAAAATGTACTCGAATTGCTCTCTAGAGGGTCCCATCGGAGGTATCTGTCGGATTTCGGACGAGGAATCGTGTTCTGCACCCGAGTTCCAGCACATAGCAGAAAGGCCTCATCGCCAAGACCCACAATTTGGGCCGTCAACCACGTGTATCTGGCATTGATATTGTCATGTGATCCGAAAATCACTTGCTTCTAGGTCCCTTGCTCCGATTTTGCGGTACTTTCACACACGAATTGGGTAGAAAGGACGTTGTGAAGTATGCTATTGAGCAGCGTGAAGTTTACATATTGAGATTTGAGCAACTCCAAGCGCGATCATGTCAGGGATACTGCATTCGAGCGGAGTCATCGTCAAAATGCCGTATATATCGAGCCTAGAAAGTTGCCCATAATAAATTAACCAGATGGAAGCTTCGAATACACCTCAGGACCACAAGCCATACACCGTAGGACGTCGAATATCCTTTGGGGTGTGCCTTTCGGGGTAGCAGTGTACACGCAACGCCGTGTTGAGCGCATTTCCTCTTGATCCAAAACCCTTCCCATGGCGTAAGACCTTGTACGTCAATGGAAAGGCGACGCGGTCGCCAATGCTCTGCGACGTCGTAGAGCAGTTGCATCGTATTTGACCCGTTGCGCCCACATACCGGATCCAAGGTGAGCGTCAAATGCTCTATAGGATGTCCGTAAGGTGCTCACGGCGGAACATTGGGGAACCGTCAACAACGGTCCAATATCTCCTTGAGGGAGGCCGGGGTACAACCTAGGAGGCGGACCTTTGGAAGTGCCTCCCAAAAGGTCGGTCCTTCAATATCAGGATACAGATCATAGTATCTTAGACCGAAAGCAGATATAAGCTGGTGACGATGTTCCCTTTCTAGTTGGGGATTATGGCAGAAAGTTTTGGTCCACAAGTGTCGTAAGGAGGGGAAGTAGAAAACCGGGGGTTGGAAATGTAAGAATGCAGCACAAATAGCTCGAGGCGATGGAGAGTGAATGCTCCGCCATTGTCGCATCCAGTGCAAGGGCGTGGATTGATGGAAATACTATTCTCAAGGAGAATACTCTCGCAACGTCGGACCGTTCGGATGAGGGGCAAAAGGAAAGTGTTGTGATTCGATTGGAGAATTCATATGACTGCCAGAATTTGGCAAAGTCGAAAAGTGCGACATGGCTTACTTCATCATGGACACGCGAAACAAGCTGAGTAGGCGTGGTTGACACCGACTTGTTACCGTCGAAGACAAGTATCGGACTTGCTTCGAGAATTTGGTGCCATATACGACATACACGTTGCAGGTCCTTCCACCTCTGGAGCTGTGGACTGCCCGTTTTCAAGTCGGCGAGTCGCATTTGAGTCGGCAGAGTATCGAGGTTGCCCAAATCGTATGTTTCCAGGCATGCCAGCCCAAAATAAAAGAGTATCCTCACCCAGAGCTCGAACGGGAGAGAAGGGGGTCCCTTAGGTAGGGTATAATCGTCCATTCTTGTAAGGGGAACCTGTCCCATCGAGATCTCCCCAATAATGGAGTCGTAGCTCCTGCTAGACACGATAGGAGCCATTTCATCTCGTACCATATCCCGCAAAGGGGCCGTCAGTATTGGGGGGTTGTCAAGAGAAGGAATAAAGGGATCTTGGTAAGAGTATCACGGATATATGTCGCAAAATCTAGTCTTAGTTTGAGCACGACCGTTGTCCACCATAGCTGTGACAGAAGCGAGAAATGAGATTGCGACTATAGAGGAAAGGTAGAACAAGGTACCTTTGTCATTCCATAGCACCCATGCAAAGTGCTACCAAAAAACATAGCAGAAGTTGTAGAGTCATTGTGGCTGATCATCGGCCCTCTAAATATGGACATCTCTGATTTCTATTGCCTGACCGCTTACCACCTCTCAATGAAACAAAGTCATTGACAATGCGAAGGAGCTTCAGCTCACCTGAGCGTAGTTCGACCCGAAAGGGTTACAGGGGTATTTGTAATTCGTCATCTAAGTAGATGAGATATCTCGTATTTGTTTTAAATACAAAGATATGATTCTTGCAGCTACAGTTTCGACTGCATAGATCAGGACAAATACCCGCCCTGTGGGGCATTCACACTCATGAGTATCGGGTGGTGCCGATACTGAGGAAGTAAATGGTACCATACAGGCTATTCTCAAGATATGTGATCTCAGCTTGATACAAGTACTCTACATCACCGGCTATCGTGAGCAACGGTCAAGTCCTCATCACTCAACTCTCCCCTTTCCCTTCAGGAATTCCTGTCCACCGTTCGATGTCTCTCCTTTGTTCCCTTGTCGTCACATCGACATTGGTTTCTATGTCCAAACGTGTATGTGCATGTGTACTTATACGTCTATATATTTTGACTAAACATGGGATATATTCTGGATTCAATAAGAGCCCGCCTCGATGCAATCGAGCGGCCTAATGAAAACAACCCGACCAATGCCCCTAAGCAGACCGGAATGGCTCTAATTGCCCCCATTCCGAGAGCTGAATACCATAAAGTCCTGTTTTGGTACCCTGGTCAGGTAAACCTGGCCGGTTGGTCGAAAATTGTTGAAAGGGCACCGACGAGGGGGAAAGGAAGGTAAATTAGGAGCGATTTTGGTCGTCAGATTACCATCTTATGTATAATGTACACCACAAAGGGAAATAAAGTCGGATATGGTGCACCGTCTTGTCGGCACGAGGTGTGGGCCTGGGAGGCTCCAGCCCCGAAGGAATCCTAGCGAAACAATTGGCGTAAACGGAGCTTTAACCGGGTCAACCGACCGGCCTCGCTCGGATGCTGTGGCCACAGTGTCGATGGAAGGACCAAGCTGGCCAACTTGCTCAGGCCGTAATGAACTGGTCGGAGAGACATGAACCATCTGATGACAATCATGCCTACATTGAAGGCTGTAGAGTAGTGCTCTTTGCAGGATTTGGGCGGCAGTGGCGTCCACGCGACACCACGGGCTATACACTTTTTCTTGATCCAAAATATCTCCCATGGCGTAAGACCCTGCTTATCAATAGACAGACGTTGCAGAGGCCATTGATCCAAGATTTCACAGAGGGTCCGCATTGTATCAGACGGATTACTCCATGGAATAGGGTCCAGGATGAGGGTCAAATGCACGATGGGATGTCCGCGGGATGGGAATGACCTCCCTGATCCGAGACATCGAGCACTTGTCATAATTTCCTTGAGAGAACCGGGTTTTGTAGCAATTAGGCGGACGTTTGGAAATGCCTCCCAGAAGTTTGGTCCGTCAATATGGTGAGCTAAATGGTAGTAGCTCAAACCAAGACCAGATATGAGCTGTTGACGATGATCCCTTTCCAGTTGAGTATTATGGCAATAAGTCTTGGCCCATAGGTGCCGTAAAGAAGGGAAACTGAAAGCGGGCGGGTTATGAATGTAGGAATGCAATATAAAGAGCTGGAGGTGGTTGAGTCTGAAGGTTCCGCCACTTTCGCATTTGATATGGCTCAGTCGTAGGACCAACAGGTGGGGAAAGCCTGTTTCGAGTCTTGTCCACAGATCCTGGACCTTGCATAGCGTGTCTAGGGATAGGTTGCGAATATTTGGAAGTGATCTACCCAACAAGAGAATTTTCGTGACACCTGACGGTTCAAGTGATGGGAAAGCAAACGAAAGTGTTGTGATTTGCCTAAAGACGTCGGCAGGTCGCTGAAAAGTGGTGAACTCAAGGATCGCAGCATCATTTCCTTCGATGTGAACACGTGAAACCAACTGATTATGTGGTTTTAGCACTGGCTTGTTACCATCAAAAACAAGCATAGTCCTTGTCCATGTCTCGAGGATTCGATACCACATACGGCATACACATCGCAGGTCCTTCCAGTTCTGGAGTTGTGGATTGCCCGTTCTCCAGTCGGTCAGTCGCAGCTGAACTGGGAGAGTGTCGAGGTTGTCCATATCATAGGGGTCTAGAGCTGTCAGGCCAACGTAGAAGAGTATCTCGACCCAGATCTCAAACGGTAGCGACGTTACTGAGTTAGATGTGGCCTGTATGACTCTAGCGTCCTCTGTATGCCACCTTACCCATCCCGGAGCATCTTCCTCATCGAAGCCGTTGAGTCTCAGGGGCCTACTGAGGGTAGTTTCATCCGATGTAAAGCCCTGCAACAAGGTGGGCATTTCCGTTAGAGATCGATTACTCTCGAACTCAAGACCCGCTATATAGTCTTGCTCCAGCAGCGCAGCCTCCTAGGGATAAGCACAATCTAAGCCGCACTGTGCCACGTGTTAAAGTGTAAGAGTAAAAATACTGTTAGGGGAACTTTATCATTAACTGAGCGAGACAGCACATAGATCAGCGTAGGCGCTGGCCGCCTCCTGGACTTTACCGGGTTAAAGCCGAGACAGATCGGAGTCATGTATTCTGGATTCTGCAGCCTCGCCAGTCTCGGAGGGTTCGTTCGCGCTCTGCCTGTGTGGGTGTGAGATGGTGAAGATGGCAAATAAACAAGGCATTTTAAATTCATAGGGTGGGTGTAGAAATTGTAACAGAAGGAAATTGAAAGTTGTCAAGTTAATACGGCCAGCAGACGTCCCAGCCTTTGATCCTAGGCTCGGTAGACAAGTACATCTCTGCTCTCTCCAGGTATTTACTACTTGACCATTCGCCACCCATCCCGGATATTTGCGCTGACAAGAACCAGATAGAGAAGTTCCTCAACTTGGATGCCGAGCAGTCCGAGACTGGGTCTGGAAGAGCGGTAGGGTAGCATGTTTCGACAAGGGTATTGAATGGCTGCAGCGGGAGGAACCTCGAGCACTGGACCCGGATCGAGAGAAGTGCAGGAAAGAACGACAGGCATGACTTGTCGTTCTTGCGAGATTCAGAAAAGGCATTGAGTATCAGCACACTCATAGATCCGTGATTATAAATTGGAAAGATATTAAGAGTCGTGAGCTGAGGGCAGACTTGGGCGACTTCACCGAGTGTAATGAATTTCGGTGGCTTGGGTCGCCGGGCATGAAAGCCACGGGGTGCGTCAAACGCAAGTCCGCAGTGGGTAATTGTTGGATGGTATTCCAAAAAGGTGATTAACTGGTGCTTCTGGGGGTACGGACTCCTCACGATCAATGTCGTTAGATATGGGAGGACAGCGGTGGACGAGGGATCAAAACGAGATATAGTTGCGGAGGGATATTCGATGATCAAGGTCTTCAGGTTTTGAACTGAGATTTTTGAGCCTAAATACGATGAGAATTCCAGTCTTCTCGACTTGAATTCGATGTCCAATGTCTCCAAATAAGGGCAGTGTGCCATGAAACCGTCATGGTAGAGATTCGATCGTGACTTATTGAAGTAACGGATACGGATTGACTTGAGCAGGGCTGGCTGGTTCGCGTTCATATAATGAAAGAGTCGGATGTTGGTAAGTTCGAGAGAAATGAAGGGACTGGATGGTGAATAAATATCCATGAGGTAAAAGGAGTGGAAGTGACCGGGATCCGTGTGTAAGCAAAGACGCATATATGGGACTGTTATGGAGTTGATGATTGAGACAACGTGGGCTCTTCTTGTGTTTGGTTTGAAATTGATGGATACAGTGTGTATGTCTGGATAGATCGAGAAGAGCGTACTAGCTACGTCTGGGTCAGGGGTCCATTTTGGACGGCGTCTAAGGAACGCAGAATCGTCCGAAAAGAGGACGTTTACAAGCAAATCCTTTGTTCTCGCCCTCATCTCTGCCCAGTAGTTACGCATCGCGTCGACGCTTGTGCCGATAGGCACGTGGATTGTCATCCATAGCGCAGGGACCCCGAGGGATACTGATCGCCACTGATGGCAGACGTGGGAAATGGATCTGGATTCGTCGAATCGACCAGATGGTGACGCCAACCGAAAAATTCTGCTCCACAATTCGAAAGGTAAGGCGTGGAAAGCAGAATTCTCCATAGAGTGATGAACGGAGCCTAGAGGCAGTTTATAATTCTACAGATACGGGATCCTGGTAATCCAGAACTCTTAGTGACTTGGATTAGTAGGGGTCGGTCCAAGGTTTGACGCCACTCTTCGACCTGGATCTCCCGAATGAACGTGGTTCAATGAGATAACATACACTAGAAGAGCATAATTTGAGTGGTGAGGACATGCAGAGTGGGTAATTAGACATGAGAAAAGTGAAATGACCTCGACGACGCGACGACAATGTTGCACTTAGACATTACCGGAAAGACAATCCTCCACCTTCTTCAATAGTTCCAAGCGCTCTTGTTCGATGAGATCTGGCTCCTTCGGAGACATCATGCCCATCTTAATCAAGACCGTATTGGCCTCTCTCCACGTTGCGCTAGCCGCATCGGAAGAGTCGATGGCCTCGTATAGCCCACGATTGATGAGCGCCCGCGTGAGGGCAGCTTGGGTGCCCCTCACTTCGACATCCACCGTGCATAGACCCTGCATGTGAGAGGCAAGGTTAAAGGCAATTTGAAGTTCGGTACTAATCGACCAGCGAATTCGATTCGTCTCCTCCGTTGAACACTCGCTTTGGATCAGCCTCTTGACCTCACCAATGCGAAGCGGCGTCAGCTTGCCAAGTATGGCAGACATGGTCTCTGAACCGCAAAAGTCGTACGAGCCCGGAGAAAGCGTTTTTATATAGTATTCGTGCGCGACCGTAGACGGTACTTTGCTATAGGCTTGGTAAACTTGCGTGTCTGGACTCTTGCTCATGAGAATGACCTCGAAGGCGCGCTCCATCATCGTGATTTGTTCACGTGGATCATCCAACGTCGAGCTGAGCTGCAGAAGCGCAATGCTATAGCATGCTCCGATGGATGGGTCAAAGTCGAGGGGAATTCCTTCGCTTCGAGTCTCTGGTAGTCGAGACTCTAGCCGTAGAGCATCGCAAGCTTCCAAGCAAATGGCCCTCATCTCCATCCCCTGAAACTCCTTGACCTTGCAACTCTCCATGTGCACTGCAAATATCACCGAGCAAAGTGCGTCAATGACTACGGCGGTGTGCAACTCGGGAGCGTTTCCGTCGGGATGTTTTTCCTTTATACGATTGAGGAGTTGCCTTGTCTTCTTGACTGCGTCGGATGCCGCAAGTAGCGAGGCTTCATTCTTTGCCGTGTTTGCGAGAGCCAGAGAGTAGGCCGTAAACAGAGCCGTATAAAGGGTATCTGCCTTTTGGTCCATGGGATACTGTCGCATATACTCTTGCATCGAGTCTACTCCTGCCGTTATGGCAGTCAAGGCCTCTGAGTATAACCCCGACTGTGATGCATATTCACAGTATTTGGTCTGCGCCCATATGAAACGTAGATGTGCACCCTGGACCTGTTCCTCCTTCGCATTAACATCTTTGCGTAGGATCTTCAGATGAGCATCTGACAACCGAACAACATTTCTCCCTTCATCCGCAGCCTCTTTGTAGAGATGTTCTCTGTCGAGAGCCTGTGCGAGAGCCTGTGTCGTGACGATGAGCGCGCCGAGATGAAGTGGAAAATGCGTAGTGAAACCAGACTTTGCGCTCTGGAGCATCCGCAAAATCTCGCCATTTTTGGTCAGGTCCGGCTGTTTCGCGTCTTCGTTTATATGTAGTTCTAGAAGAATGTTTGCGAGGAGAAACTCTCCCATGACCCGTAGTTGCGACGAGGTCGCTACGCAAGGCTGGGGTACATGAGCGTGTGGATCTGAAAGCCGAGTCTTGCAGAGTTCGAGAGCTTCATTGAGTCGCTTTGCCTCCCATAGCTCGATTACGTGCTTCCACAACCCGTCGGAGATGACATCCAGCTCTTCATACGCCACCGTTGCAGGTAGCTCATAAGATACATGAGCTGCGTTTATTGCCTGGGTCTGATGTAACCCTCGAGTTGAACACAGATTTGGTTGTGTTGCCTTTCGAACTCGAGAGGCAGATAATACAAGGCGCGCTGATTCGGAGGATGCATTTGGGATGTGTTGTCAGGTAGTTCCACTTGCTTTGCAAACGAGTCGACTCACATTGTGCTTGACGCAAGGCAGTAAACCTTTTCCCGCCATGCGCGGTTCGAGCCTGAGAGGATGCCGCGGCCCTTATACCAATTAATTTTGTAGAAGTCCCGCTTACTAGACAAAAGTAGGCTTTCGCACGGCATCCTGCCATAATTGTCACAGGGCTGGGACGAACGGCGGTAGTGCCACCGTTAACCACCTACAGTGTCCATAATAATGTTCCAACGAGCTATCTATGGAACTTTGCTATCCAGATAACATTCGCCACTTGAATGGCTGGTCGCAATTGCCAAATTTGAACACTCCCTCGTCAGGTCAATTCGGTAAATTCACGCCGAAGAGTAAACCAAATGTCTCAATACTCATAAAATGACTTGGGTGGCTCCAGTTTTTGGTACCCGTGACCATCAGTCAAGTTCCGTTGCGGGTCGCAAGCCCTGCCGGTGTCTTAGAAGGCGCTCAGTGCTAAAGACCGCTTGGAGGTAGCTCTCTGAGAAATCACCATCATTGGACGTCAGTAAAGCGGGTGGATGACGCCTCGGATCTTTGTCCTCAGTTGGCCCTCGCCGCCAGGCGCCAGCAACCCCGAGTTCCGAACGGCAAAGCGAGTTAGTTTGCGTCTTCTCAGGGATATACAAGTGCTATTAGCCCTGGCACGTGCCAGTGTGTGCGGCGGGTAATGGATTTTGCAGAGTCGAGGCGAAGGCGGCACTCACACTGGAACGGATCAATGTTCAATCGTATATCAGTCCACCGTTTAGCTTGCCCACGATGCAAGCTTTCTCCTCTCCACGTCTCTCTGAGCCTCTCGACGGACATTTCCTTGCGGAAGACGACTTGGCACGACTCTGGCACGATTATCAGACCTGCATAAATGCCCTCATCCACCCATGAAACGACAACCGCGGTCACGGTAGCTCTTGGATCCGACTCGGCTGAAAAGGACAGCAAAGTGGCAAAGCTGGAAGACGAGAAAGCCGGATTAGAACGTGTCGATGTCAACGAATCCCCAAGCCGAACGCTCGCATCTCAGGATCAGGAAAAGCCCACCACAGTAAGCCGACAAATCTCACTGGACTCTCTCGCTCACGAGATGGTTTGCAGCATGCTTCCGAAAGGAGTATGATGAAGTCTATCACAATCGTAGCTGCATGCACGGGCACCATGGTCCTCAACGTACGTCCATCCCTTTGCCCATGCGAGGCGGCCCTCATTACCACAACAGGTAAGCTCGGTGACAGGAATTAGCATGGCAATCCCGACCATTGCTCGAGAACTCGAAATGGAAAATGATCAGATTCCCTGGATTGTCTCCGCATTCGCCCTCTCGTCTGGCTGCATGCTCCTCCTATTCGGTAGACTGGCCGACCTTTACGGGCGTAAACTCGTATGGCTCATAGGCTCACTTTGGATCGTGGTCATCTCGATTGCGTGTTCGTTTGCCAAAACCGGTGTACAGCTCATTGTGCTGCGAGCGATGCACGGCATGGGCCCAGCGGCGATGATACCTGCGGCTCTAGGAATTCTCGCTCATGCATTCCCACCCTCGCGAGCACGGAGCACGGCATTTGCGACCTTTTCAGCTGGTGCGCCTCTCGGAGGAGCAATCGGTACCGTCTTTGGTGGGATGATGGCTGAATATGCGTCGTACGTATGTTCTACCCCGACTGTGTGCTATAATTGACCGTTATTAGGTGGCGGGGTGTGTTTACTTTACGGCTGCGCTCGGCGCGGTCGTCTGCGTCGCGGGCTTTTTAGCCATTGACAGGGATCCCCACACTGCCAAGACGGATAAACGCGTAGATTGGATCGGGCAGCGCTTGTTACGACAGGCCTAGTGCTACTCACATTTGCACTCAGTGACGGCCCAGCAAGTGGATGGTCGTCGCCGCTCATCCTCAGCCTGCTCATCGGTGGTGTCGCCCTCATCGTTTGCTTCCTTCTCTGGGAACGGTATCTGATCAACTCGACCTCGTTTCCACCCCTCATGCCGTTGGATATTTGGACGCGTGCACACGGACGGTTCGCGGCAATGCTTGCTGTTGCATTCCTCGAGTGGGCATGCTTTACGACGTTGACGCTCTGGGCAATGCTCTACTATCAGAACTATCAACACCTATCTCCAATACAAACCATGGTTCGGTTCTTGCCGATGCCGGTCACTGGGGTGATCTGCAATGTCGTCGTTGCACTGACTGTTGGAGCAATCAACGGCGCCTATCTTTTGGGTAAGTCTGATGTTGGCATTATACAACGTGGTACTGATGAATGATAGCCCTGGGAACAACGGCTACGTCTCTGTCAGCGTTACTCTTTGCACTCATCAACCCATCCGCGCCATACTGGGCATTCGGATTCCCAGCAGCCGTGATTTGTGTGGTTGGCGCAGATTTCGTGTTTGCGTGCGGGACCCTGTTCATCGCCAAGACGGCCTATCAGTCCGAACAATCCGTGGCCGGCGCGCTCTTCCAGACTGTCACTGCATTAGGAACGAGCCTTGGACTCGCGATTACGACGATTGCAGACTCTGTGGGCGCGAGTGCAGAGGCCAGAAGAATGGGTGTGGTGCTTGCGCACGATGCCACCGCGGCTCAAATTCCACCCAACGTGCTCCTCCGGGGTCTGCGATCAGCTCAGTTTGCTTCATTTAGCTTTGGAATCTGTGGGTTGCTGGTAGTGGTACTGTTCCTACATGGGATTGGGATCGTTGGGACCCGGAGAACAAAAGCCGTCGTCGCTCCTGAAGAGGCAGGCGACGTGACAGGCACGAAAGAGTAGGTTTAATGTATATTATAATGTGTAAAGATTTCGCAAAGACGCTTCTACGAAGCTGCCGGCGATTCGCGTGAAATGAACAAGAGCTGGGGAGCACGAGTTCTTGTTCAGGGCTGCCAGCTCCACATTTGAAAGAGGTCTGATTATACTCTTCAGGCACAAACGTAGGTCCGTCGTGACCGGGGGCGGCATTGGGAGGTCGGCGGGCCGGTTACACATTAAGCTGGGAGAATTAATTCCCAAGAGCCAAGGGCAAATCTGTTCAGGTTACAATTGTACTAAACAGGGCTCTGTCACGCGCGGGAGCATTCGAAGGTGCGATATTCACGGGCCGCATCTCCTCGCGGGCCGGGCTGGGGAGAATACTCCGTAGATAAAATCTGGGCGAAATGGAGAAGATTGTTAACTCGCTCTTTGCCCCGCACCTTTCCCCTCGTGCTCTCCTCATCCCGCTTTGTGGAGACTTCCGTCATGGTTTGGAATCCAATCGCTCAGACTCTGCATGTGTTCCAAGATATTAAAGCCAACCCGCGCTACTACTGGTAAGATGTACCGTTTTAGGTTCTTCTTCTCTTACTAACTCGTCTTAGGATGGCTGCCAGTGCTTGCTGGGGAGGCATGCTGTAGGTCCCATAGCTAAGCTTTCACATGACTGTCTGACGTCGATAGTTTCGGATGGGACTCTGGTCTTATTGGAGGGATTGTGAGCTGCCAATGCTTTCCATCTGACCATACTGACGCTTTATTTAGCTCCCTCGCCCAGCGTTCAAGAATGCGTTTGGATTGACGAATAATCCGACGGCCTGGGCAAACATCTCTGGTTGGATAGTCTCTGTTCTCCAAGCCGGTTGCTTCTTTGTATGTTTCGTCTTCTTTGCTTCGATGACGGCCTCGTCTCACCCGAGCTTGTTCCTCATCAGGGTGCTATGAGTGCTGCCTGGGTTTCCGAGAGATTTGGTCGTAGAGGGGCTCTTTTCATTGCTGCTTTCTGGTGAGATTTTTCTGCTTTGTCACAAGTCTCTCCCCCCCGACATCATCGCTGATGCTGTGAGCAGGTTCCATTTAGGCTCGCTTCTCCAAACGACGGCAAAGACGGGTAGCCAATCGGAAGAGTCGGCGCTCATCCAACTCTATGTCGGTCGTGCAGTCGGTGGCTTTGGTGTCGGCATGGTCTCCGTCGTCGTCCCTACCTATGTCTCCGAGTCGTCGCCTAAACATATTCGTGGCCGTCTCACGGGCATGTACCAGCTCTTCATCGTCATTGGCATCGCCCTCTCCTTCTGGGTCAACTACGGCATGCTCGTCCAGATTGGCGACACAGATATTCATAACGAGCGCATCTGGCGTGTTCCGTTTGCTCTCCAGCATATTCCCGGAGTTCTCCTCGTTCTCACGATGATTCCGGAGAAGGAATCACCGCGATGGCTCGGCGAAAAGGGTCGCTGGGAGGATGCAAAGAAGGTCATTGCCCGTCTGTCACAAAAGTCGGTCGATCATCCGGATGTCGTTAATGAGGTCGATGATATCCGAGCCGATCTCGAGAAGAATGTCAAGCTCAGCTTTGTCGAACAATTCCGCCAGGCGACCAGCAGCGGCAAGATGTTCTATCGTTGCTCCATTCCGGCTATCATGTGCGTCTGATATTGTCTTTCAATGCCTGATTTTGACCCCTTTTGGCAGGATGTTCTGGCAGCAATGGACTGGTGTCAACTCGATGAACTATTATTCCCCCGTCATCTTCCAAGAGCTCGGTCTTAGCGGTGGTCGTGCTACTCTCCTTGGAACGGGTATCTATGGTATCGTCAAGATTGTCATGACTGTTGCCGTCCTCTCGCTCGGTATGGAACAGTACGGTCGCAAGGCTCTCCTCGTTTGGGGTGGTGTTGGCCAATCGCTCCCGTGCGTAGTCTCTTTTACTGTATCCTTATATCTGTCTTACCCCCCCTTGTCTAGCATGTTCTACATTGCCGGCTACCGCCACATCCGTCAAGGCTCGCCCAAGATTGATGGCGCATCCTATGTAGCCATTGTCATGATCTACCTCTACGTCACATTCTACAGCTTCGGGTGGTCCGTCGCTCCCTGGCCCGCCATGTCCGAGTCGGTGCCCAACCAGCTTCGTTCGCTGACCATGTCGATTGGTCTCATGTCCAACTGGCTCTTCAACTTTACCATTTCCAAGATTACGCCCATTCTCCTCAACAACATTCGCTGGGGCACATACCTCCTCTTCGCCTGCACCACCATGTCTGCCGTCCTCTGGGCCGTCTTCTTCTTGCCCGAGACCGGAGGATATGCCATCGAGGACATTCACCAGCTTTGGGAGGGCAACTTGCTCAAGCAGTCTATGCGCGACAACAAGTACCTCTTTACGACGTACAACAACCGTGCGGCGGGTGCCGTCGACGCAGACGATATCGAACATCATAAGCGCCATATTTCCAACGAAAAGGCAACGGATTCGTCGAGCAAGGAGTCTGAAGACCGGATTGAAAAGGTCCGCGAGGTGTAGACCAGCCTGGGCTTGATTTCTACGTTTCGTAATGGAAGGACGGGTTGTTGCTTCGTCTTGTGTACATTGTAATATGCCAATGCAATTACTCTCGCATTCCAACGTTGATATTGAGTGGCGAGTGAGACCTTGAACCTCGACGCCATTTGGCCATTTCTCAGACAACGTGGATAGCAGTGCATTCACGTTGAGATAAATGTACGTGAAATGATCCCCAAATACACGTTTATCCTTGCCCAACTCTTTCACGACGCCCGTGGGTGTTTCTGTTGCAAAACAAAGGAGCATCACAATTGGAATTACCCGTCTATTTGGACTTGTCTGGAGTTTCGTTGGATTCCCTTCAACCTAGACTGTCTCGTCGTGCTCCGCGGCAGGCAAGACCCGCTTTGATTCGTGTTATCCTGCAGAGAAGAGTGCTGATTATCGTGTCCGTAGTCGTCTTCTCTCGTTGCCAGACGCCCCAGAGTCGTAGATTTATTGATTCGACTTTGCCCGTCGACGACGACGAACAGCGACGACCAAGGGCGCCAATTCTGTTCTCTCGCTTCGATTTAGAACACTAGCTCACGAATACAACCAACTTATCAAGGCTCACGACGACAGCGAGAACACAGACAACGACGACACGACGCCCAACGAGGTGCAGCGACGAGTAGAGGCGTAGACAATGCTCGTCAAGACTCTAGAAATCGGATGGCACGAGGCGAAACCAATCTACTCTTGTGACTTTCAGCGAAGGTCGATTCGCACTCCCTCTGGCACCGTCGCCCACAAGTTTGCCACCGCGGGCGCAGACACGTTTGTACGGGTAAGTCTCTTACGTTGTCTTGTCATGCTCGCCTATGCGGGCTCAGGCTCCTGGGCGCGGTTGGCTGACTCTCCTCTTCTGCAACGTACGCGCAAGTAGATATGGCTCATTCACCCAACGGATCCCACTGCGAGTGGCACGGGCGATAAAGGTCCCAAAGCGGAATACCTCAGCACGCTCGCAAAGCACACTGGCGCAGTCAATGTCGTTCGGTGGAATCCCAGTGGTATGTTCTCTATTTTACATCAACTCTCTTCTTCTCCATCTTCTTTTGTTCGGCCGTCTGCATTTTGCTCACCGGTTTCGGCCCCAGGCGATCTATTGGCGTCTGCCGCGGATGATGGACTCTTGATCATTTGGACAAGAGACGACAAGGCTCAGGGCAGCGTATGGGGGCGAGACCCTAAAGAAGCCGCACACGATAAGGAGACGTGGAAACAGCTGCGGACGTTTCGGTGCGTTGAATGGAACTCGGTCCTCCTCCTGAGGCTGACTTTGGAAAATGAAAAGCGTGTCAGAAAAGGAGACGTACGACCTTGCGTGGTCACCCACGGGTGAATACATACTCGCTGGCAGTACCGACAATACAGCGCGCATCTACTCTGTCGAAGGTGGGGCCTGCGTTCGCGAGATTGCAGACCACTCCCATTATGTGCAAGGGGTGGCATGGGACCCCATGAATGAGTATATTGCGACCCAGTCTTCGGACCGGAGCATCAAGCTTTATACGATTACCTCCAAGCATGGAGCATTGGAGACCCACCCGGTCGGCAGCCATTCAAAGATGGTGATTCGTGGATCGAGAGGGCATTCGAGGAGTAACAGTACGGCGAGTCGTGCCGGCAAGAATAACGGAACCCATTCGAGAGCACCAAGCGTCACTCGGCCGTCACCGTCACCCGCCATCAATACGTCTACCAATCGAGGCAGAGGACATGTACGCAGGAGCAGTGTATCGAGTGAGGCAAGCAGCGTGAGCATGGCACCGAGCTATTCAGGACGAGATATACGAGACAGCATCTCGATTCCTACCAGCGGCACCACCACCGCGATGGATGCACCACTTACACCTGCGACGAGCGTGACCAGTGGTGTTGGTGGAATGTTTTTGCCACCCACCTCGACGCCTGCTTCTGCAAGGGATGCAAGTGTCACGCCTGTCAAGGATCCGACGAGCTATCGTGAACCTCGGACGGCGACGACGTCGAGACGTTCCAGCTTTAGTGGAAGTCAGGCACCTGGAAGCCCGGCCAGTTTTCGTGGTCGCGGAATGATGGACGATAGGTACGCCGTTGACACTGTTGAGGATACGCAACTTATGAGGCCAAATCTAGGGACACTCGCTCGAGTTATGGTCGCTCACCGTCACCGATGCCGCCACTTCCTGCTATTCGCACTCCAGCTGCAGCGAGCATGAACCTGACAGCGTCGCGGTTGTACGGAGACGAAAACTTTACATCCTTCTTCCGCCGGCTCAGCTTTTCACCGGATGGTAATCTACTCTTCACGCCTGCGGGCTGGTTTGAAGACAATAGCGTTTCGGTGCATCCCGGAAAGGATGAGGACGTGGCGCTGGAGAATGAGAGAAAGAATGAAGCAGTGCGCGAAGCAACGTCGAGCTCGTGCGTCTATGTCTACTCCAAAGCCAACTTTTCCAAGTCACCTATTGCGGTATACCCTGGTCATCGTCGCGCAGTCGTCTGCGTCAAGTTTTCCAATGTGCTCTACGAACTCCGACCGGATATAAATGGTGGTGGGAGCTCGACGCCTGCTCCTCCGGTGACGATTACGCTCGAGCCTGGAAAGGAGGACGTTGTGGATACGTCGACGTTGATGAATGCGCCGGTCACGGAAAAGATTGGAAACCTTGCTGGTGCTAGTGGAACATCGCGCAAGGAACTTTCGCTGCCGAGTCCTGCGCTCACCGCTGCGGACACACCTTTGCAGACACCCAAAACTCCCGAGTGCGACGCCTCCGTTGACGCCGGCGCTGGAAGGAGCAGAGCAAGGTGCCAATGGCGCTACAGCCACGACGTCTTCGGTCTTTCAGTTACCGTATCGGATGATGTTTGCGGTGGCGACACACGATACCGTTGCGATTCATGATACTCAGCAAGCCGGACCGATTTGTATTTTGAGCAAGTTGCACTATGATAGCTTTACGGATATGGCCTGGTACGTTTTGCGTTGTTGGTGTCGGTTGCATGGCTAATCACCAAAACAGGTCGCATGATGGGCATATTCTAACCCTCGTATCATCTGATGGCTATTGCACAGTGATTGTATTTGACGAGAACATGGCGACGTATTCAATTCAGCAACGTGATTTGCAGCTCAAGTCGGTCACCTTGGCCCATTCACATTCCGTCGTCAATCCTGCTGTACACAGTACCCCGACGCATGGATCTACATCCATGTTGTCTGCTTCATCATCTACGCCATTACCTGCTTCTACCAGCGGTGGACTGGGGCCTGGATCGCCACTCGTTCACCCGCCACCCTCGCCGTTTGTCCCACCTCACGCGCCCTCTCCAGCGGTATCACTCAAGGAACTACCTGGCCCATCTGCGCATGCACATGGATATGGAGGAGCACCTTCGCTCAAGCGGACTGCGTCGACGTTTGACCCGCCCTTGACGCCAGCAGCGAGTGTCGTTGGAGGAGGTGATGGGGATACTGCGATGAGCACCACTGGTGGTGGGAATGGGACGGAGAGTGAGCAAGAGAGGGAGCGGGGGGATGAAGGACCTGCGAAGAAGCGACGACGGATCGAGTTGCAGCATCATGGTGCGGCTGTATGACATGGTTTTTTATTCTTCTTGATTCTTGATGTACATGGTGTTTTTGCTCTAGTACCGACCAATTTTGCATCAAACGTGTATCCGGGCCGAGCGAGTTGGCCAGTGAGCCCTCGAATTTTACAAAGGATTGACGTGCCCGACGTTTCCGACAGGACAGACGACCGGTTATATCCATTCGCCGCCTCGTGCTCATTGGATGGGTGGTGGCAGTTTGTGGCTTATCAGGTCAGTTTCTCGAGGCCATTTGCTGATGGATGAAACGGACTAGCTTTTGCTCCTTGGAATCTCTGCACACGATTTGGGCGCTCGGAGTACGTTTGGCCGTTATCCACCTCGTTCTCGGCTCTGCCCGTTTATTTGTAGGCGAGTAAGCGACGACTCGTGGCAAGGCCCCCTCCCCCATGTGTCTGTTATTGAACTTTACGGGTTCATATAAGCTCATCGTTGTCTCACGCAGGGCTGGGCTTTCTTCCTTCTCCCTCTGGAGGGCAACTTGAACGCTGACGCTTGGACAGAATACTGTAGTATAATTTGGCCTAATCGCAGGAGATGAACAATGCCACGATCCCTGTACCAGAGACGAGTGGCACGTCCAATGCGACTATAATGGCTTGTAATGCCATTAGTATCGCTGCATGTGCTTCTACACTTGCACTCTACTTTACCCTCTTGTCAACTTCAAAGTACAGACGGCTTATGCGACGCACCAGTCTCGTCCTCGCTGCGTGCATGGCCTCATCTGACCTTGTGTTGCACGTACGTCTTTCCTTATTCTTCCTCTAAGATTTTCTGCTGATCAAGGCGCTTTGGTATTGTGCGTCTAGTGTGCGAATCTCGCTGGATATGGGCCACTCCCTGAAGGGTTTCTATGTGCCTGGGTCGGAGGATTCTTATTCGCTGGACCTTCAATGCTCTCCATATTCTACTCGTGCTGTATTGCGCTCAACTCGCAACTCGCCTTTGTCTTGCATCGACGACCATCTGCGCGTGCGCTGAAATATTATGTCGTCTTGCCGTTTATCTTAATGATGATCATCTGTATGTGTGCCATTTCGCGGGTGTTTGACGTGCAGAACTGACAAAGCCAGCTTGTTCGGCTCTCGCCACGGGCTCCTTTGGATACGATCAATCGTGGGGCTATTGCTGGTACAACACCGTCAATGTTCCACCAGACCTCGTTCTCATTCGTATCATTTTCACATACTCACTCCCTACTTTGCTCTGCATCCTCTACTTGGTCTTTGCTACCATCACCATCACCTTTGCCGTCTTTGGCAAGTATGGGCCCTTTCGATACCGAGACGGTTCTCCCTCGCCATCTTCTCCACGGAGACCCTCTACTGAGAGAGCTGTGGGGGATTCTGCGCGCAGAAACGCTCCCAAACCCAGTCCTCCTCCCGTGGCGACCTCTGGAGGCGCAAAGCCAACCGCAGATCCGACAAGGGTTGACGATGCAGGATGTGATAAGGGGCCTAATGAGAGACCCTCGATCGCCGGAAGCCCTCTCTACCCGATCAATGTCTACCCACCGACTTCGCCCGGTGTCACACCTGACACGGACGTCGACGCACGCTCATCGGAACACCACACTTTTCCACCCCTCTCCGTCTTTGCACTCCAACAGGACGGCAAAATACTACGCGCACCACACAAAGGCAGTCAACGAGGGTTGCTGGCAATGCTAATCAAGAGCAAGATGGCGACTGCTCATTCTCAGGATGCTTCTTATATCAAAGAGGCCAAGCACGCTCCAGAGGACACAAAGGATAGTGCAAGCGTACGCGTAGGAGGAGCACCAAAGACGTCGATGAAGGATGTTGTGGTACGGCAGCTGACATTCCGCTTGATCGGTACGCCCAACTCATTTGTCACGCATACTTACCGAGGATGAAAAATAGGGTACATCGTCGCACCCATCTTGTGCCTTCTCCCCGGAATCATCCTCGACCTCGTCGCCAAAGTCTTTCCAAAACTCGTCGTCCCGAGCTCGCTAAACGGACTCCTCGACGGTTTAAACGGCCTCATTGGCCTCTTCAACTCTATCCTCATGCTCTCTGACCCGTCTCTCCTCGCCGTATGGAACGACGTGCGTGTCCGGTCAGCTAGACAGTTTAATCCCATTCGACGCGTCCTGGGTTTGGGTTCGCGGAATGGCGAGCGGATTGAAGAGGCAGCTGAAGCCGTGGATGACTCTCAGAGGCAGGCAGAGGCAAGAGTTGCAGTCGACAACTCGATATTTGCGAGGACACGTCGGGATGAAGAAGAGGGAGAAGAGTATGAGGAGGCAAAGGCCGAAGACGCAAACGAGAGTCTCCAGGTCAATGTCGAAGAACATAAACGGGGCCGCTCGCCTTTTGCGAAAAGAGGTCGACCACGAGCACCGTTGCAGGTCCATGTCCAAGTCAACGTTACGCAGCGCGTAATGAAGCGGCAGTCTCGTGTCGAGCTTATGGAGAACTGGTTATCCGGACTATGATACGACTTGATTTCCGATCAATGCTATAGGGGGAAAGAAATGTACGTCTATAAGTCACAAACCTATAAAGATGCGAAATAAACTTAGAGCGCCCTGCCCGTATGCTGACGAGGAGAGTCTCCTTCATGTTCCTCGTCGATTCTATCCTGCCGAACCGTACGATATGCTCCGTTTCCTGTGCTTCCGCCCCGCGAGAGCATAGAATGTTCCGTGGGTGACCGACTATCATTCTCACTTCGCATATCCCACCAGTCCAGGCCCTTTGATTGCTGGTGCTGATGATATGCGCTTTTCCCACCGGAATGAGCCAATGGTTCGTTTTGATTTGGAGTATTGCCGACAGCCGCGAGGTCCTCTGCGGGGAGATGAACCGCCAAGTCGACGCCATCGTCGCCAAAGACGGTCTGTGTCTGTGTGACCGTTACTTGTGCTGGACGCCATTTGACAGAAGCTTGCGTGCGCCCAATCGAATGTCGTCTCGCATGCCCGCCAGAACTAATATCTACAACACCTTCTCGTTCGGTGGTCGTGGCTGCGGTAGCAGTCGAAGATGGTACCCAGTCGTACTCGTCCTCACCCTTGTACCTTCCGATAAACGGGTTTGCACTCCGTGGGCTCGCGAGGTGGTCCAGTTGAATGTCGCGTGTCGTATTGTTGTTCACCATCCGTGGACGGCTTGTCAGATCCATGGTCGGAATCGTCGTTTGCTGTGCGTTGGCCGCCTTGAAGTAGACACCGCGCAGGGACAGGATGAGTCGGTTACACGCAAGCGAGCAGAGCGGAATGTTGAGACTAAACGAAACAGAGGTTAGGGCACCGTTTCATGCGACGATGCGGGTACACACTTTGCATCCGCGACCGGCTGATAAAGCTGAGAAACGGATCAGCGGCTTGGTCTGATACAGCGGCAAAAATTTGGACATACAACCGGGACCATGGTTGCGGTGATCATGAATACAAGTACGGCTGAAAATGTGTGAGTGCCTGTTTAACCATCTGCCGAGGCGGCTAACCGGTAATGGCGGCATAGTAGAGCGCACCGCTGGGAACGCGTCAACACAACGTTTGATCACGATCAGAGAGAAACCTACTCGCGAATGAGGACCGTGAGGACCGGCGTTTGACTGCGAAACTTCTTTCCCCAGGCTTTTACAATGACCATGGCGAAAATGACCGTCTGCAATCACGAGGTTAGCAGGCTTGGACAAGAGTCGTCCAGAAAACGTACATCGATAGCTAATGCCATTGTGAACAAGCTGAATAATTCACTTGGCGGTGACCGTTTGCATACTGTCAAGCTGCGTGGTGCTGCCAGAACATTGAGCAAATTGTGGCGTGATCCCGGCAATCATTTGCACCTACCAGGGGTGACGAGTGGTATAGTCGGCTACGGAAGATTCAGTCAGTGATGAGTCGTTCCTTTGGGAATTTCAAACATACCAGAGGCGGCACCCCACGAATGGCAATAGCGGACGGCAGGCCAATTGCAAAGATGGCAATGAGGATCCACATGACTTTTCGTGAACCATTGTACAATGCCCAAACACGGAGCATGAGCAACACGTCGACAATGGCGATATTGATCTACAGCTGCTGTCAGCGGCGCGTCTCAGGGGTGGTGGTCGAAACGACGGACCAGGCCGCTCCAGGCGGTGAATTGAATGGCAATACTGCAACTGTATGGTGTTCAATAGGTCGATTAGTCTCTTTCAGATTGACATACGCCTGAGACGAGGGTCAGCGAGCGAGGTGAGTCGCGGTTTCCAACCTACAGCTTGGGTTGGTCGGGCGTATGCCATTGCCCAAATCCTCACGAACACGCTCGCTAATGGCCAATAACGATTCTTCGTGTGCCATTAGCCACCATTGCCCCGCCTGCCTGAGCGTCGGACGTACCAGGAACCACAAAACTTTGGCGACTGAGAACGCCGGCTTCGTCTGCCAGACGTATCGAACCTCGTCCGCACTAATGACAGACCTATTAGCATGAAAATGTTGATTTTGGTTGATGGCACTCACAATGTGAGCAGGAAATCGTAGAGAAGTAGAGTAGCCATCGACTGGGTGAGCTAGAAGCAAGACGATGCCGTTAGCCAGCGCCGTATGAGATGTGGTGACATAGAACGTACATATCTTCCATCAATTCTACGGGCGTGGTAGAACTGGAACTGCTCCAAGGTCACTCCAAGTGCATTGAGTCCTGCTTGCTGCTCCGGTGAGAGCGTCGTAGTCATGATTACGCCGAAGCAGTCTTTCCAGACGTCTCAAAGAGAATAAAGAAGGGGTATGTGAGGAGAGGGGAATGGTGGAGAGGGAGAGAGAAAGGTGAAGGCGACGTCTGGGGCTGGAACACCAAAGTTGGAAGCCGACAGAGTCTCTGGTGATACCGTGGCGTGAATTGGCGTAGAGATTGAGTGTCCAAGGGCCGTGTTCACACGACAGCCCGTTGCAAATGGCATCCGAAGCCTATAAAGCAGCAGTTTGACCCTGTTTTTTGCCTTTTGATCCTCAGTTACCACTGCGCCCTCCGACTTTTCCGCGGGGTCGGCAGCCAAGCCGTACTCTGTTCTCGGTTCATCGACGGTTCAACCAGCTCTCAGAGATCAAGGGCGACTCCCAGACCAAATGAGAGGATCTCACAAGCGAAGTGTTTGCCCATGAGACTTTGCGAAGCTTCTGATCGTACCTCGAGACCATGATTTAGACAATAAGGTTCGTGGCCGTGTGCATCGCGATGAGCTCATGGATGTATCGAACGAACCGAGCCCAGCTAAGTGCACCCTTCCACGCGCAAACGGTGACAGATGTGGGGACTAAAAGGTAGGTGATTAGCAGTCATGCTACTGTCATACTTGACATTTGTCGCGGAAGCATCGGGAAACAAATAGAGAACGACGCCTATTCGCTCCGCGGTTGTGTCGCTGAACAGGGTCGCCTCCCAGAACAGAGAACTACCGAGCCAAAGGTGATGAGAACTGCTTCCGATCATTCAATGTCTTGTCTCGTGCGAACTTTGCCCAAGGAGCCATCTGGGTAGTTATCAATCGAATTGATACGAAAAAGGGGGAGTGGTACATACCTCTTACACTTCACGGTAGATGAGCTCCAGTTGAGCACCTTGATCCGAGAACACCCTCCGCCATGTATCCAGTGGGAGGTCGTCCCAAGCTTGCGCGGCCGGGCCATTGTCGGTCTTCAAAGGCACGCTGGAAATACGCACCATGCGCAAGTTAGGACTGCTTTCAGGGGTGAGGTGCCGGAAGTGGTCTGCCCAGAGCTGCTCGCGGAGATGCAACGTTAATGGCGCATCGGCATCCGGCCATGGGTTGTGAAACGGCACTTCGTACACTTCCAACGACCTACTTGGCAAAACAAATGCGTGAGTGCGCGTGGTGGGTTGTGTAATACGATGAGCTGCCGTATATTTGGGAATAGGTCGTTTGATGGCATAGTGATTCCTAAATTGACTTCTGCAAAGCGCCTGCCCATTGTCGTGCCTTGGGCGTTATAGACTTTGATCGTCGTCAGCTTGGATCCGTGGCTTCCCCAGAATGAGTGCAGCGCAAGGGCTGGACTCAACGTGCCGAGATGGACAGTGTCGAGACTTGGAAGGTTCCATCGAGAGAGATACCTTCCAAACTCGATAGAGATGAGGGGAGCTTGGTTCCCGAGGTCGAGGACGCGAAGATATGGAAGCGAGACGGGTGGTTTGTGGGTGACTGCCAACGTTCCGACATTCGGAGGCAGTTGGAGGATGACAAGATTGGATAGGTGGGGGATGTGACGAAAGAATGTCGATGCAGGGTACCCATCCAGGGCATGATGGCCTACGACGAGTTGAAGGTTGGGACAATGGTTCGCCAGCGCAGACCGGAGGGATAGGTCGATCAGGTCGAGCATCCGAGCGTCTTCAAATGAGACGGAGCCTCGGAAGAAGACGAGCTCGGCGCAGTATTCGATGACGTCGGTGAGTTGTCTCTGGAACGCGCTTATGGATCGGCTATCCAAGAGGTCTGTATCCTCTTCACTAATGCTGAACTCTAGACGACGGACAAATTTGCGGACCCAAGGAAGCCTCTTGAGTGTCTTTACGCATCCATGGAGCTTTGAGGGATCGCGAATAATGATGGAGCGATAAAAATGTTCGGCCGTCATCTGGAACCAATCTCTGCAGACGAGGATGAGGGACAGCCGCAAATATGCCTGTTGATCGCGAAATTGAGGGTTCTCCAAGAGCATGAACCCATTTGATTCCTCGCCCGCTATCTGTCTTCTCGCCAATTCGAGCTTTGTCTGCTCTTCTGACCCTGGATGCGTCCTTTGGATCCATTCATGGATGTCACACTCTCCTTGGAAATAGGTAGCATGCGCAAAGACTTCCTTCCAGAGTTCTGGCGGGAGCCAGAGTGCAGTCATTAATGTGGCGGAGAAGAAGATGGAGTGGATGCTCCGTGTGAAGATATATACTATAGGTAATTGTAAATATACGCGCATAGAGAATGCGTGAGTATGATCTACTGCCTGGCCTTTGTCCAAATCTCGGAGGATGTCCATGAGCATATACGAGTCTCTTAACGCGTTCTGCTTGCGCTTTTACATTTTCTGAATATTCTGAGAATATCCATCCGGCGTCTGGGCGGTCCCCGGGGTCTGCAATCGGCGTCAATGGGCGCGTCCAACGCGGTGGGACAAACAACGAGCAACTCGTTCTCTCCCACATTCCTCTGCCCCTCGTCCCCCACAGCGCCGGCGCAGAAATACTCTAAACGCCATGGCATACGTATTCAAGCGTGGTCAGTATCATCCTCCGTCTTGCCACATCTCTCCGCTTTGCCGTCCTCACGCGTCTTTTTGCCCTCATTTCTCGTGTCAACGCGTGTATCTGACCCTCTTACGTCTTATATCTTGTTATCGTGCATGATCTACAGATGGGTACGTCTAGACGCGTCGAGCGCGCGCAGAGCCCTTAGCGACGCGTGACTAATCACTGCCCATAGACGCAAAGAGCGAGTCCAATTCGACAAGGTAAGTTACCAATGCTCTTCATACGGGCTCTCGGATTTTTTGATCAATTTACTGACTCCGCTTTCAGATCACCGCCCGTATCAACAAACTCTGCTACGGCCTTGATCCGGATCATGTAGACCCTATCGAGTGCGTATTCAGACTACTCTCGTCAATTGGCAACCGACAAACGGCGCTAACCCTTTCCTCTTTGCTCAGAATCACTAAAAAGGTCATCGCGGGCGTGTATAACGGAGTCACCACTGTCGAACTCGACAATCTTGCATCCGAGACCGCGGCATATCTCACTACAAAGCACCCTGACTATGCCATCCTGGCCGCTCGTATCGCCATCTCGAATCTGCACAAAGAAACCAAGAAGAACTTTAGCGCTGTCATTGAGGACCTCTATAAGCATGTCAACGACTCTTTTTGATCCTATAAGCTAACCAGATTTCAGATACGTCAATCCCAAGAATGGCAAGCCTGCCGGGATGATCAGCAAAGAGGTCTACGAGATAGTCATGGCTAATGCTGAATTATTCGACTCGACCATCATCTACGATCGTGATTTTCACTACAATTAGTGCGTTGTGATGAATAATCGACCTTATTTGAGGCTGACATGATGCTAGCTTCGGCTTCAAGACGCTGGAGAGGTCCTACCTTCTCCGTATCAATGGTCGTGTTGCCGAGCGTCCTCAGCACATGCTTATGCGTGTCGCTGTCGGCATTCATGGACGAGATGTGGACCGTGTCGTCGAAACGTGCGTCTTTCCCCTTGCTCAGTAATTCTATTCTCATCTGCTCATAGCTATAACCTCATGTCCGAGCGTTACTTTACGCACGCGTCACCAACGCTCTTCAATGCTGGTACTCCACACCCACAACTCTCGTCTTGTTTCCTCGTGACGATGAAAGACGACTCCATTGAAGGCATTTACGACACCCTCAAGACGTGCGCAATGATCTCCAAGACGGCCGGTGGAATCGGGCTGAACATTCATTGCATTCGTGCAACGGGGTACGTCCCTAGCCTTGTTCAGACCGCTCCTACTCATAGTTATTATAGCTCTTACATTGCTGGAACGAATGGCTACTCCAATGGCATCGTTCCCATGCTCCGTGCTTACGATGCGACTGCCCGCTATGTCGATCAAGGTGGCAACAAGCGTCCTGGTGCCTTCGCCATTTATATTGAGCCGTGGCACGCGGACATCTTCGAGTTCCTTGACCTCCGCAAGAATCACGGAAAGGAAGAGGTCCGTGCTAGAGACCTGTTCTACGCTTTATGGATTCCAGACCTCTTGTGAGTAATATACCTCCGTAATAGGGTCATTCTAATGGTGTCAAAGTATGAAGCGAGCTGAATCCGACGGGGATTGGTCGCTCTTCTGCCCCAATGAAGCACCCGGACTTCACGAGGTATATGGAGACGAGTTTGAGGAGTTGTACACTCGATATGAACGCGAAGGACGGGCAAGGAAGACAATCAAGGCCCAGAAGCTCTTCTTTGCTGTCATGGAGGCACAAATCGAGACTGGCGGTCCATTCATGCTCTACAAGGACGCTGCAAACCGCAAGTCCAACCAGCAGAATCTCGGCACCATCAAGTCGTCCAATCTCTGCACGGAGATTATCGAATACTCTTCCCCAGACGAGGTTGCCGTCTGCAACCTTGCGTCTCTTGCATTGCCCACCTTTGTCAAGGACGGCGCCTACGACTTCCAGAAGCTGCACGACGTTACAAAGGTCGTCGCATTCAACCTTAACCGCATCATCGACGTCAATTACTATCCCGTTCCCGAGGCGAGGAAGAGTAATATGCGTCATCGTCCCATCGGAATCGGTGTTCAAGGTCTTGCTGATACATTCATGGCGCTTAGGATGCCTTTCGACTCTGTCCAAGCCAAGGAACTCAACATTCAAATCTTCGAGACGATCTACCATGCAGCCTGCGAGGCGTCTGCCGAAATGGCCGAGATGATGGGCCCCTACGAAACTTTTGAAGGTAGTCCCGCAAGCGAGGGCAAGCTTCAGTACGACCTTTGGGGTGTTCAGCCCACAGGTCTCTGGGACTGGGACTCCCTCAAGGAAAAGATTGCAGCGCACGGTATGAGGAACTCGCTCCTGCTTGCACCAATGCCTACTGCAAGTACGTCCCAGATCTTGGGAAATAACGAGTGCTTCGAGCCATACACGAGGTGAGTCGCCACTGAGATCTAAGCCTGAACGATCTAATTCTTATTCAGCAACATCTACACTCGTCGAGTTCTCGCAGGGGAGTTCCAGATTGTGTGCCCCTGGCTCCTTCGTGAACTTGTCGACCTCAAATTGTGGAACGATGAGATGAAGAATATGATCATTGCTCACGGTGGATCGATTCAGAAGATTCCAGGTATCCCTGACGATGTCAAAGCCATCTACAAGACTGTCTGGGAGATCAGCCAGAAGAAAGTTATCGATCTCGCCGCCGACCGTGGCGCATTCATCTGCCAGAGTCAAAGCTTGAACGTCCATCTTCAGAATCCTAGCGTTGGTCAACTGGTAAGTGAGCGTGAACCCCCTTCGCAAAGGCTAAATCTTCTTTCTAGACGAGTATGCACTTCTACGGATGGAAGAAGGGTCTCAAGACTGGAATGTACTACCTCCGCACGCGTCCGGCGGCTCAAGCCATCCAGTTTACAGTGGATCAATCCATCCTGAACAAGGCAAAGGAAGCCAATGGCATTACTCCTTCTACACCTACCAGATCCATCAAGTCTCCAGTTACTCCGAGCTCGCCAATGACTCTACCTCTCAATGCCCCCAGACGTTCGACCTCGAATGGGCCTCCAGTATCTTATATGGACAAGAAACGTGCCAGCGGCCTTATGAGCCCGACATCTTCGAGTGGCCAAACTCCAGAGCCGACACCCATTGTTGAGGGACAAGAACCCGTTCTCCCACCCAGTGGATCTACTGATACCACGACGGCAGTTGGCACTGCTGCGGCTGTCGCTGCTCCTAGCGTGTCCTTCGATGGCACCGACAATGAGAGCAAGGCTGCAAAGGCCGCCAAGGAGGACCCAGAGTTTGCTGCTGCTCTCGCCAGACAGCGTGAGCGTGAGCTCGAAGAGGCCAAGCTCCTGTGCTCCATTGAGAACAAGGAGGCTTGCCTGATGTGCTCTGGCTAAATATGCTTGATAACTCTTAGTTGTATCTCGGACTGCGATGTTTGTTTGTCTCACCAAATCTCACCTTCCAACGTTCCATGCCCTGTAATCTGATTGCTAGTTTGTATGCCAATGCGAAGTTGCGTTCCGCACACACGAAGAACTCTTCACTTTTCGGTGAAGTTGGTCACCTTTTCACCCACGCCCTTCCTGAGTGTCCCGGTTTGGACCCGTCTCCAGCCATCATGACTTTGAACGTATTGTTAAAGTGGATAAGGCGGCATGTGTCCGCAGAAGGAAGACTCGGACGACAATTTTCGACGTTGGCGCTGTGCCCTGGCACTGCGAGACTTCTGTAGTGTGCTTAGAGTTTCCATTTCATGCCCGTAACTGAAGTATATGAATTCTAGACGAAAACTCTCAGTCGAACGAGCCTGCCAATACTCCACCTGCCGTCAACGAGCCGTTCAACATCACCTGCCGTCTCCGCGGAGTATACATCAAAGCATAGCAATCAAGGCCACACATAGCTCTCATCAACCACCGCTACTGATCTCGTCGTCGCCAGGCAGGGCGCCTGCTAGGATGATTATGGTCAAGGGGGAATGGGCGCAACTTTGGAAACATGTCATTAGACTATGGGTGGATAACAAGGTCGAAGAGGCTATGGAACTCTGTAAGTCCCGCCTTGAGGACCCATTTGCACACGTCCCCCAGCCCTGCATTGCAACCGCTTCCGAATTACGGGCAATGGGTGACTATCTCTACGCAAATCTCCTTATGCACTTGCATATTCGTGATGGCGCTCCATATCTCGACTCCACAAAGAACGCCGGATCTCAGCCTATTTCGAGCGTATGCCAGTGTTTCACCAAACATAGCGCACGAGTACTATGTCACACACCTCGATTGGGCGTTTCTTCCTTGGCAGAGATGAAATACGCTACCGACATCCTCGGCGAGTTGACGCCCCTCCACATAAAAGAACGGCAGCCTGCACGCTCCCAATGTAAATGGTCAAGAGACTGGCAGAGATGATGCTCGCCGGCTGATTTCGATGGAGATAGATCGCATGTTTCACCTCGCTGCTCACATGCGTACCAAGGCAGTTGTAGAGGTCGAGAGGAGAGAGGCTCAAATTACCCTAGCCACTGCACTCACCAACCGCGGCTTATATGAAGCACTTGACTCCCCAAAAGGGCAGTTACAACGTGGAGTGAAGCAATAGCGAGTCTGGACAAGGCAATGCTAGGTCCTAACGAATATGACCTGGTGGAGCAGGAACGGGTAGAGTTGTTGGAAAAGCTGCATGGATATGTATCTAAATACCGCCAGAATCATTATAGTCTTTCTGTTTCTCGGATCGCTCTGCTTCACCTGCTACTCTTGTGTAGTCATCACTTATCCTATACACAACCTCATCCATGCAAATTCACTCCATTCATCATTCGTGTCTTGAAAGCGACGTCCAAAAGACGAGAGGACAGCAGGTCGATAAAGTATTGGCTGTTCTCGGTGGAGGCTTGTTACTCGTGGGGGGTTCACAAAATGTAACTTCGAGGTGCGAATAGACACAAGACCGAAATGTTCATCCGCTCGACTAAAATTTTCTCTGAAAGACTGTTTGGAGAGATTCAATGTCCATAATTTCGAGGGCTACAAATGTCCAAAGCAAGCAAGATATCAAGTGGGACGCATGGTATCATTAACAACATGTTTAGGGCCAATCAAGGGCGATATCCTTGGAGGCTTTCAAAATTGTTAGCCGTTGAAATCAGAACTAGCAGAGAACTTACAGGAACCTTGCGAATACCATCTGCCCGTTGGTAAATCCGGTCTGGCAGCTAGAAGAGTACATCAGCCATTGCTTTCTCTTTAGCTCTTGACAAACCTGTCGAAAGTAAAGTCCATATAATTCTGATAACGTGTTCAGATATCGCACTAGCAGCACTATATGAAGGCACTTACATGGATAGAGTCAACACCCCAGCTATTCGGGCAACTATCCTTCCCTGCCGGACATCCGTACGAAGGAGTTCGTTGCATCGGAGTGTCATTGACGGCATCGCCAATGCCACTGCATGACAACCCCTCGAAGACGTCAAACAGACCAATCTTTAAAGTGAATCAGCCCTTGATACAGGCTCTATCAGCATGTACAACAAACAGAATACGTACCCAATGTCCCACTACGTGTGTCAGCCACTTGCCCTGGTTGTAATTGGTTTCTGCTACGACCAAGAGTAAGCAATTAAGTGACTATCTGGCACGGTTGATTCACGCACATCCTCCAGGCATTGTCGTATGCTTGATGACAACGCCGTCTAGCTTAGGATTCTTGTAATAGTCCCAGGGCCACGGTCCACCGTACCCAAGTGTAGACGTTCCGACTGAATAAACGTTGAGTGTCCGTTTTCCGCCGGCGTACAGGGCATTCTTCATCTGTATTTCTGCTTGGGAGCCTTTTGTCGCACCGCTGTACCATGTGGATTGCCAGTTCCGCGAAACGCTCTGAAGGTAGAAGGAGATTCCTGTACCAGCAAAGTGAGAGTTGAGAGCAGAAACAGCTTGGAGAGATCAGTGACAACGATCCGAGATACGGAAATGGATTTACCAGCATTGATTCGTGCCTGTGGACATTCCCACTGGTGGCGGTGCCCCATAGCGAAGAGTAGATGACATGCCAGGCTTCGATAAAGTTATTTAAAAGATCATTTTGCTTGGTAATAAGGGGACATACCAATCGGAATAGGGTTCAGGCGAGCATCGTCGTCCGCTCTGGATGTGCTGTTCATGGAAGAGACTTCTTGTTGGATACGATGCACCTCAGATCCATCAACGTGCATCCCACATTGGCTGAGAATGAAGTAAGAAGGCGTGTCCCGTGGGCAGGTTCAGCTGACCGGTTCTCCGTATCCGAAGAAGTGGCTGATGCCAGCCAGAACGAGATGATGAAGGCAAAGAGGAGTGGCAGATGCATCTTTACCGAAGATTTCTGCTGCTCTGGCCAGATATTTATAGCCCGTGTGCCAAGCTGAATGGGATAGGGTGTTTGGAGCGAGCACCGCAAAAATGAAATGCGGCCAATTCTGCGTGCCAGCGCAAAGTGTGAGGCTTATCGTGATCACAATGCCTCCTCATGGCAATGAGTTTCTAGTTATTGCGTTTTCAGCATCCGCCAACTATCCTGGGATGGCTGGTAGTTGAGATCATGCTAGCGAATGGTACATGGCAAAGGCTACGATCGGGCATGCCAGTCCACAATTCCGAGGAAAAGCTATGCATTCTTCAGAGAATTGTGTCAGTGATAAGCGCGGCTCAGTAGGGCTGGACTATCTCAAGTTCGTGTCCGAGAGGCTCGCTTGGAATATCCCCAACAGACGCCGGAGCGGAAATGTATCACAGCCTTAGATTCTGTCGGGTATTAGGCGCAGGTTTGCCTACCGTGACAGATGTATCCGTCTCAGGACGTCCATGCGTCTGCATGCACCGCCAAAAGCAAGGACTCAATTGTCCATATCAAGATCTGCAAAGAAAATTGCCTGGAACAGTTCAAAGTCCATCATTATTAAGATAATGTCCAAATGTCCGAGCGAGCATCATTCAAATGGAGAGCACAATCCGCAACGTTCTTCGAGACAAAGCAAAGCTAGTAGATGCCTCGGTATCCTTGGAGGCTGCCAAGGTCGGTTAGAAAGCGGCTTGAAGCTATAAAATGGAACCTACAAGAACCTACCGAGCACCATCTGCCCGGAGGTAAATCCAGTTTGGCAACTGTAAGGTAAATGTTTAGCCGTCGCTCCTCTATCCAACTTGACAGACCTGTCATATGTGTAATCCATGTAATTCTATGGGCAAGGTTAGCGGAGGTATATTGCGCCGAATGTGTGGGTAACTGACATGGATAGAGTCGAATCCAGGACTATTTGGGCAGCTATCCTTACCAGTAGGACAACCATACGAAGGAGTCCGTTGCATTGGAGTGTCATTGACGATGTCGCCAATGCCGGTGCAGGAATTACCCTCAAAGACATGGTATAGGCCGATCTGGAAAATAATTCAGGTCGGTACTCGGAAAGGTTACAGAATGCATACCCAATGTCCCACCGCATGCGTGAGTATCTTGCCTTGATTGTAGTTTGTTTCAGCTAAGACAAGGTTAGCGAATACATACACCATAGAACTACGCACATCCTCCTGGCATCGTTGTGTGCTTGATAACGACACCGTCCTGTCTAGGAGCCTTATTATAGTCCCAGGGGAAGGTCGAATATCCCAGTGAAGACGTCATTCCGACTGAATAAACGTTAAGCGTGGCCCTTGTTCCGACGTAAAGGGTCGATTTCATCTGGCTAGCGGCTTGCGAGCCTGGGCCAGCACTGTACCATGCAGACTGCCAATGCCTTGAGGTGCTCTGAAGGTAAAAGGATATGCCAGTGCCGGCAAAATGAGAGTTTAGAGCAGAGATAGCTTGATCCAAGTCAATAGTTGCCATGAAACACAGGGATGGTGACCTACCGGCATTGATTCGCTGTTGGGGGACGTTTCCACCACCAACACCCCACGGGAAAGTGTAGATAACGTGCCAAGCTTTGAAGTGGTTATAGAAGAGTATCATCGGATAACTGGGGTACCTACCAATGGCAATAGGAGCCAGCCGAGCATTGTCGTCTGTCCTCAAGGTGCTGTTCATGGAGGCAATCTGCTCTTGAACAAGACGGGCGTCCTCGATGCTGATTTCTGTCTCGCATTTTCTGGAACTACGTAAGCGAACACCCCGGTGGGCACACACTACTGACCGCTGCTCGGGGGTTTGGGTGGCCACTACGAGCCAGAAAGATATGAGAAACGAAAGGAGAATTGTGAGACGCATCGTGATCTGGTGTTCTCTGCTGTTGCCTTGGCCATCCTCTTTATATCCAGTATGCCATGCCAAGAGACACTGGGTGTTTTGCACTGCATGATATGAGGCCGGCCGATCCTGGCTGCCAGCACAAGAAGAGAGGAAACGCCACGAGTAGAGCTCTCAATGGACTCTCAACGGGAGTGAACCGTTCTTTATGATTGTTTGAATCTAACTAGAGCCTCTGTAGAGAGTGTAAAGATGAGTTTTGGGTCAGACGCGTCGGTCGGGCATGCCACTTCATGAGCTCCGAGGAGAAGCTATGCGCTATTGAGAAAGACTGAATGCGTAATAGGCGCTGCCCAGTAGGATTTGACTTCCTCAAGAGTCTTCTCCGGCCGGCTCAATGGTGATTACCCCTCGAGGCGGCGACATCACAATGGGCCACACAGACGTCGCCAGTTACCGTATAAGGGATACTTGGAGGTCTAAGTGGACCCATGGAATACAATGGATTGTGTCGCTGCGGGTGCCCAGGTTCACCGCACACACTGAAAATCTGGTGTTCCGTCAGTATAATTTTAGTTATTCAAAAGCACATTTGTACATCGACTACCATCGTAAGCCGGACAAAGGCAATCGTATGGCTCTGACAATGTCGTTAAGAAGTGAAGGCTCGCTAAAGAACAGCCACTCACGTGTCTTTATTCATCTTGCTGGTTATATTGTGCCTGGTCCACCGTGAAAAGATCCGCCCGGCAGCATGAAGGGGAGAATGACCCTTGGGCAGTGTCGATACTGGAAGCGGTGTCCAAGCTGTACGATTTTGATTGCACGCAAGTTGAATGCGCTTGGTTTCCCAAAGTGCAAGGCCTCGTGCATCCATCGAAAGTCTACGCAGATTCGGTTGTGTGCGGAGCACGTGGAGAATTCGCTCCATTGTCTCGTACTCGTTCTTGCTGGAGTCTGCGTCGAGGTAGATGACCAGGTACTCGAATGGATGATCAGTTGGAAGGGGATTCTCGAGTAGCCTGAGACGGGCAGATGAAACGGCGAGTATGCACAAAGCCGGCATCGCCTTCCAAAATGCGGCCGGATCTCGTGAAATTGAGGAAGAGTCGTGGGCCAAAAATTCAGGATCGAGCACGGAAATGAGCTGAGCACGATGAGCGTCATGGAGGAGATGCATGTATGGGCAATTCTGGAGGAAGAAATGTGGAATGGAAGGGAAGTAGTAGTTTCCGAGTGAAATGGATATGTCCTGTAGCTCGAGTAACTCGAGTCGAAGTAGCCACGTTCCTCTGTCTTGATACCACATAGTCGAAGGGCGGTAAGACCAGGAAAGCCCTCCTGAAGTTGCTGCCAGAAGGAAGGTACGAAACAGCCTGCGCTGATGGATAGGTTCCGCACCGTTGGCAGTGCATGACCAAGAGAGAGGACATTGGACACCGTTTCCCCTCGCGACGTAAATACAGAGAGCGTCACAAGGTGACTGACGACTCCCGCCAACTCTACCGACTTGAAGAAGCGTTTGAAGTGCGTGTGATCGTCACGAATGTGGGCCCATGACGCAAAGTCCATTGGAAGGGCGATATCCGCGACATCATCTCCAAAGGCTTTGAAGGGTACCCACGTGGCTTCAAAGGACCAAGTGCGACAAACGAGTCGAAGCTCCAGCCACTTGGATATTCGGAGGTGTCCACTATTCCATCCAATGAGCCTCCTCTGTTCCGCAAGCAAGTTGACGTCTTCGAGGTCATAGAATGTCATAATATCAGTGGCGAGATGCCAGAGGACTTCAAGCCATTCATCGCGCCGAAGTGGCGGTGAAGAGGTGGAAGACCGTGGGCTCATTGGCAAAGAGTGATGGGTGCAGGCGCTCCGGGAATAAGAGTCCTGTTACGCACGAGTGTTAGCCTGAATGGAAAGAATATCGTAGTAAGACTCTGAAATACCGAAGCAGGGTGACTCTTATATTGGTTTAGGAAGTGACGGTCGAAAGGGTTCCGAGGTATCTGTGCCGCCTCAGAACTTCAGAAGATGGACGCCAAGCGTAGCACCTGTGTTTACTGATAAATTGGTGCCTTGGCATATCCTTCTGCTCCGCGTGGGCGTGTAGCGATGTCGTGTAGCCCGGTAATTTGAAGCGCATTCTAGCGGACTTGGCCTACTTGAAACCGCTGAAACGGAATATACGGAGAGATAGGTATTGTAATCTTCTTTGGCCAGGCGTCGCCTTATGCGCTTTGGTCTTATTGACATTGTTGACATTGGAAGACGAAAATTCGTGCCGGGAAAACGTTGCTACTATTCATTGTCGAAGCGGTTGTTCGATCAAGATGCTTGGACAAGCATCAATTGATAGCCGGCTGGCCCCTTGAGTTGTGGTGGAGATTAAGCTGCGCTCGTTGGACGTCAATATGACTAGATATTCAGTCGAGTGCTTTATGTGCATCATTGCTCTTCATTAGCTTGTTCAACTTGCTTGGGTGGACGGGCTTGATAATTATCGCGCTCTAATCCCACCTAGTGAGAGCTTATCCTGTCGATGAAAGAGTATCTCTATGATTCAGTCAGTTTCTACAGGCTGTAAGTCATTATGATTCATTGAGAACACTGTCATACTAACGATGTGGTACCGACTAATGACCTAAACACCTTCTACTCTAAGAAGATCTCGTTCGAATTGCTCCATCACGGTCAATACTTGATCAATATGCGCAAATGTGAGGCTCTCCTGCCGACTGTGCGCGAGGGCTTGCGCAGTCTTGACGGCGTTTTTGATCTGCCGTCCATTGACATTCTTGGTCCTCAAAATCTCCCACTCCTTCTCCTCAATGGCACCCACAGCATCCACCTTTGCCAAGAATGCTTTCCAAATTGTACCCTTTGTGGCCTCGTCGAGCTCGTTGTAGTGCAACGCAATGTGAATGCGACTTGCGAAAGCTGGATCAAACGTTTTGACGCGATTGGTGGTCAAGAAGAGGATTCCGGCAAAATATTCCAGTTGGCGAAGGAATATAGCGACGAGAGCGTTGCGTTCGAGATCATGGACGGAGCGTTCTTCCAAGAAGACGTCGGCCTCGTCGATGAGGACAACTGCATTCCACGTATGTCCAATGTCAAAGATCTGCGATAGCATTGCATCGAGAGAATGGGAGTTGGTACCCAAGTCGCCCGCACCGACAACGTACAAGGGCTTGCGAGATCTAGAAATGATCAACAAAGGTAAACTAGTAATTTTTCTGGCCACTCACGCTCGCTTGTAGCCTCTGCAGACATTGTCTTGCCGACTCCTGGTGGGCCAAATAGACTGCGCGGATGAGAATGAAGAAAGAGGAGAGCGAGATAACTCACTTGACAACGAGGCCTCTTCCCTTTCCAACCACGAAATCGTCGAAAGCTCCTTTCCTCTTATCACCATGGGTTTCGACCAACGACTTGATGAGCGACTTCTTTTCAGCCGGAAGGACCAGATTATCAAACGCCTCATCGCTCCAGACAATCTTCTCGACGAGATCAACGCAGAATGTGGCCCATTCCTTGTCCTCTAGTGAGAATCCATAGAGGATTGGAGTGGCCAGTACATAGTCGTCTTCCGTGAGTCCACGTTCATCCACCGCCTGTGTATCGCTGTTCATAGTCTCATCGATGTCGTCGCCGTCGTATTCGCTTCGAAGCGCTCGGTCGGGAACTGGGACGCCGGAGTGAGGGTTGATCCGCCGATAAGTGGCTTTGTCGATAATACTACGCCCTTTGAACTGAGCTAATGAGTGGGTCGGCTTTCAATGGTATCAGTACACTCACATAATGTTTCACACCTCCAATGTACCCAACACCATTATAGGTGACGTGGTGCATTCCATCGTACGAAGCCCACTTTTTCCCCCTAGAGATGAGCATCCGACGAACTTGTTCTTTACGTGGGTGGTATTCCATTGGAAAGCATCGGAAAGAGTTGATTTTGCGAGTTCCTTTGAATTCTTGGATGATTGTGCTCTGGGTCGCTCTGCCAAATGGGCCTCGACTAGAATCGCTAGTCTCCGTGGGTGTCCTCCCGTAGGATTCCAGATACTCGCAGGAGAGTGCATAGTAACAAGATTCGTTATAGTTCTGATGTTTGGTCGCCTCGCGAAGAATGACGGCACGAGGTTGGCCAGTGAGACTGTCTGCGATGTAAAATTCGCGTCCAGGGATCAGTATCGCTCGGAGGTTATCGAATGATATTACACCGTTGGCTATCTGCGCGTCAACAGCAGCGAGATAAGTTGAATACTCGGTCCTTAGAAAGTCGAGAAGAAGATCGAGCTGCTGAATGACAGAGTCGTCCGAATCTTCTGGTGTCTTTGCGTCCAAATTGTCGAGGTATTCGAGGAGAATATAGTAATATGGGAGGAAACTATCCGGGATGACCTATAATGGCGTTGGTATATAGTGTACGAGCTGTATGGGTATTTACCTCGGGTTCGTCTACATAGCTATATATAACAGTCGAGTCGTTGATGGCCTTATTCAGGGCGTCTCGAAGCTGTTTACTCTTGATGACAATGTAGCGCGTATATTTGGCAGAGTTGACCTGATATCGTTTTTTGACCAAAAAGCAGTAATCATGGTAAGGGCTCCTCTCCTTGTCTAAGCGTCAAGAAGAGAAGTACAACTAGGTTATATCCTCACCGAGTCTTCATGCTTTGGTTCATAGGGAGCACTGTCCCGAAGGTCCCATGTACACTTCTCCTCGTTAAAGATTTCGTCTACGTGGACGAATTCAGCCTTGGTTCCGGCTGGGTCGTCCTCTACAGGAGCGGACTCGCGTGGTGGAGCGTCGGCGCGACGTGCAACTCGCCTTGTACGAGGCATGAGTGGTGAGGTCTCTAAAGGTATTATGCCCGCTTCAAAGAGCCGCCCCCTATATAGCTTTGATACTTGAACTCGTCAGATCAGATACAGGAACGCCCAATGGAGATGGGGCCGGTTGTTAGTTTGGCGCCGGCATTCAGCCAATCCTCTTGCGTGCTGGGATTTTTGAGTCTGTTACGAACGCCAGGAGACACAGGGATCCATGTCCGGATAGCTCTCTTCAAAAGGGGGCCAACTTCTGAGAGAATTGAGCCAGAGTATGAACCAAACCCTGGGCGCTAGCGTACCATTCACAGTCTGTCGTCTTTTGGTGATGGTGGCGCAGATAAAGACTTCTGAAGCATGAGACCCAACAAAATACATTCAACAAAACTGGCGTGACTCGAATGGTCGGGGAGCTTGCTCCTGGTATTGAAAATGGTGAAAGGATGAGAAATGAGATTCAAAGTGGCCAACCGAACCCGTGTCTTGGAAGTTGCGGGATGTAGGGTTCTGGTCGCTGGTGCTGACGACAGATTCGTACCCGAAATGTGAAAAAGAGCAATTTTAATTTATTTGCTACATTGTCGTCCCCTCGTTTGATAGCTAGGTGGCGCCTTGGGTAATGGTGGAGGCCAAGGTTAGAGCGCGTCGAACGTTGACAAATACGACGAAAGAAGGGAAATATTGATTCTACTGCTGAGTAATGGCAAGGCAACATCCCGTATTAGATCTCATCTCGGAATAAATGAGTGAATGAATTCTTTTAATGTCGAAAATGTGATTGGCTGGCCACAGGGACCGAAGACCGTGAGGGTGCACGGCCGACTGAGTTGGGTGACCACTTTGCTGGCGGCTTATCTTGGCTCCTGACCACGTCAATACGTATAGCTCGTCCACTTCCTGGAGGGTTCTCACTTGGTCTCTGCTAAAAGCCCCGTCTGGAGAATTCTTTGGATTGATTGTCCCAGAAGTCGCCCGGCTGTTATCCTCGCTAGTCCAGCACTATACTTGTCATTCCAACTGCTCTCCATTGTTATTAGCGCTGATTACATCCCTCTATCATGAGCGAAGAAGGCGACGCGGGCTGCAATTCGGTCATTGGCGATGACTACAACTATCACCAGCTACGGATAGCCTCCATTTTCATCATCATGGCATCTTCTGGTATTGGCGCCTTTTTCCCTCTCATTGCCAAACGCACGCTCCGCTTGCCAGCCTCGGTCTACGAGTACGTCCATCCAGCTGGAAGTAAACATAACTAACCCTCTTCAGTTTTGCCAAATACTTTGGTTCTGGTGTCATTATCGCCACGGCGTTTATTCATCTCCTCACCCCCGGATTCGAAGCATTGGGTTCGCCCTGCCTACACGGCATTTGGACCGTCTACGTACGTCTTTGACATTCCTATATTCACTAGTAATTCATATTATATTCGTAGCCCTGGCCAGCTGCCATCTCAATGGCCTCTGTCTTTTTCATCTTTTTCATCGAGCTCTTTGCCTTTCGATGGGGAACCGCCCGTCTCAAGGCCCAAGCAGATGCGCCAGGAATCATCAATTCGGTCAATGCCTACGACGCCCATGGACACGCTCATGGCGGTGAGGGTATGCATGCCGCCCATGGTCCAGAGCCTGAACTCGCCTCGGGTGTGCAAATGAGCGGCGTGCACCAGCATGGAGATAACAAAGTACGACCGGCGGTTGAAAAGGTACAGCCGACGCACCAACATTCTCATGCGCACCAAATCTCCCTCCTCGACCATCCACTCGCCCAAGCAATCTCCATTCTCATCCTCGAATTCGGCGTCCTCTTTCACTCGTTTATCATCGGCATGACCCTCGCCGTCTCCACGGAATTCATCGTCATCCTCGTCGTCTTGACCTTTCACCAACTCTTCGAAGGCCTCGGTCTCGGTACCCGACTCGCACACCTCCAGTGGTTTGAACGTCGTGCACCACGAGCGAAATCAAGCGATGTGGAAGAAGGATCGAGCAGAGGCTCCGAAGATGAACATATCATCCACCCAAAGCTCCCGTTCATCTGGGCCGTTTTCCCCTGGATCGGCGCGGGCGTCTACTCTCTCTCAACACCACTTGGTATCGCTATCGGTCTCGCGGTAAAGGCGACGTATGCGCCCGAGAGCGCTACGGCCAGCATCGTCTCTGGTGTCTTTGATTCGTTTAGCAGTGGTATCCTACTCTACACCGGTCTCGTCGAGTTGCTTGCGCATGAATTCTTGTTTAGCAAGACGATGCGCGAAAAGCCCACGGGCGAGGTCGTCTATGCGGGTGCATGCGTCGTCCTCGGCGCTGGACTCATGGCTCTACTTGGAAGATGGGCATGAAAATATATCAAAACGTAGCATAGATCTCCTCGTAGTTTCTGTATGTAGGATACGTATACGATGCTATAACTTGGACCTGACCGCCCGTCTCTGAATGATACCGAGGGCGCTCGTACGATGTCCACACGGTCATTCTTCGTCATTTCAAGTCGCAAAACGCGCACTTGTCGCGACTCGACGCGGCCTTGCATCCTTTTCCCCGTGAGCAACAGCCTACATGCCAAAATCGCGTCTAATTCTCGTTTTCAGCCCACTTTATAGTACTAACGTTGTAACAAAAAGACCATTTCATCACACCGTGCCCCAGCGAGCCGCCGCTACAGAACACCCGTTTTCCATCCACAACCTCGGCACACCGCGTCCTAAAATCACCAACTCTCGCGAAGAGCGTATGCGCAAGGAATCTGTTCAACTATGGCGTCGCGTAAGCGACCTCTGGCAGAGTAAAACTTACGACGAAGCGATTGCGCTCTGTCGCAAACAACTTGCCGACCCCTTTGCGCACGTCCCTGAGCCGAGATGTGGGACGGTGGATGAGTTGCGTACGATGGGACATTTTCTCCTTGGGCGTCTCCTTGTCGAGGTCTACAACGCGTCGTATTTGGATCTCGATCCAGCGATGGAAGACGAGGCGCTTGAGCAGGTTAGACTTGCGAAACGTGGGTTGGAATTGTATTACCCTGATGCATTGGTGCTTCAAGCCAAGGCTGTTGGATGTCTTGCTGGTATCTTGGAGGATCGAGGGTCGCTCGTCGACGCTGCGGAGGAGTATCGGACTCTTATTCGTCTGAATAAGCGTATATTGCAGCAAGAGATGGTCAGTCGAGTGAAGAGTGGTGGGGATGCGCTGTCCGGTTTGCTCGATGCGCTTCGGCGGCTAGCAATGTGCGCATCTAGACTTGGTCACAGTCGTACAGCGCTCGCGGCGGCTCAGGAAGCGATGGAGGTCCTCAGAAAGTGCAATGCGCACAAGAGCAACGACCCACGTGTGACGACCATTCTACTCGAGACGATTCTAGAGCAGGCGCGGTATACCCTCGAGAGTGGTGGGGATACAAATCATGCTCTCAAGGATATTAGTGCCGCCATCGAGATTCTCGACAAGGTTGGAGTCGCATTGACTTCGGAGCCAGATAGGTATTACGCCGTCATGGCCAGATATGCCAGCCAATTGGCAGTCTTTGCCCGTAAACTCGTGCAAACGGGTGTCCCCGAGTTGATGGAACACGGCGGTAGCCTCTTTGAGACGGTCGCCTCTACATTTCACAATGTAATACAATTACCAGAGGATCGCGAAGGATTACCTGATCGAGTCCACACCGTCTATTGCTTACAATACGCCCAGGCGATCGTCCACTATTCTCACAGCTTTGGTTACACGGGCGACGAATACGACGTTGCCGTCCTTGACCGTGCACTCGAAATGGTCCTCATGTCCGCATACACCGACGTCCCACCTTCTATCCGCGAGCAACAACACGTCTCCTCACCAGACGCCCACGCCTATTACTTGACCGAATTCGAATGGCCCACCCTCGATATCCCACAGAGCCTCCTGGCGCTGACGATTCTGAACATGGAAATGACGAAGCGAATCGATACGCTCAAATCGACTAGTTTCTCCTTGCGACGTGGGTTTTCGAGGCACGAGACCGAGGTTGTCCGCGCCGAGATTCAGCGTGCGTTTATACTTGCCGAGTCTGTGCAGGCTAGGACGACGAGTGAGGAGATACGAAGAGAAGTTACTGTTCAAAGAGCGACTACGCTCTATAATCGAGGAAAGCTCGAGTTGCGATCGTCCAGGTCGACGGCAAAGGCGACGTGGGCTCAAGCGCGAGAGTTGGTAGAGGCGTCGGGGAAATGTTTGGATGTGGAAAAGGAGCGAGAACGGATATACTTGCTCAAGACCCTGCACGAGTGTTTGGCCGCGGTGCCCTAGTCGAGGATTCTAAGTTATTCCTGATGTAATGCTAGATCTTACGAGGGTAATTTGCCATGCGGTTGATCAGATCAAAGGAATATATTAGTCGAGAGGAGGTAACGACCAAAGATACAGGGGCTGGCGATTGGGTGTGGAAATAATCGAGCAAATCCTTACGTAAAGACAGAAAAGGGGATTATAGCATAGAGTCTGAAGATGCGAGCACGGGAGGATTGCAATACTGGCTTGGGAGTGTAGGGGTTCGCGAGGCCCTCATGAGGAGGAGTACTTGGATGAGGATGAGGTGGTAGTCGGGATCGAGAAGATGGCGAGTGATGTGACTCGTACAGTCCCCCTGGAATGCCGAGTTGGAAGCTTGATTAGAATGGTATACCTGCGAAAATCTGCAAGAGCGGGGTTAGTCTAGAGAAGGTACTGGCGCGAACCTACGTACCGTACTTGATGCAGGATGTAAAGGTGTTCTCTCAATAGTCAAAGTGCACCCTTACGCAAGCTTTGCCACCGTTCGAGAGACAGATGACACATCTGTTGTTGTCGTCTACGAGTTGATCGAACGGGTCCTCCTTTTGTCCATCTGGACGCGGCGTACGAGTGTTCCACCAGTTTGACTTGAGAATGTCCATGATGATAGTGCGTAGGTGTTGAGCGTATTTGTTTGGGTGATGAGCGACAGCGAACCAGATCCAATGGTGATTGACGTCGCCCGCATGGGGCCGAGTAGGGACACCAACTGGGACTGGAACTGGGTTCTGGGCGGGAAACCCTCCCCGGAGCCGCTCTCTGGATGAATCCATCTCATCTGGAAAGGCATCGGCAGCATCCTTGAGATGAGTGTGAATCGAGGACATGATAAAGAGGAGAGGAGTTAGGCTGTAATAAAAACCTTGAGAACTTGGTTGGTGATGTAAACTTGGCCAGGAAGAGCCCCTCTTATATAGGCAACGAGGTCGGACAGTAAGGTCGAACTGTGAGGCTGAGCAGGACCCGCCTCTTCATGACAGTCTCCGAGGCGGTCAAGGCAGCTTCTAGTTCATCTGCAGGCCCGAATGCACCGGGAGAGTACGTTAGAAGTGCGGTTGTTGATCATGAACCGGGTCTGAATGACTAGACAATAAAATCCCCCCGCCTCTTCGAGTTTCGAACCAGAGCTGACCAGCAGAATAAGGAAGACTGATTGACAGTGTTATGCCTGACAGTGGTAGCCAGTTCATTTCAGGATTGATCGTGTTGAATAACGCGATGGCGTCAGAATCGCAGCTTGTGCGACGACAAGAGTCTACGTGTCGTTTCTGAATTTTTGCCTATGATTTCCAGCCTGTGACCGCCTCGAAGAATGGCCGACGGTCCATGGTTTGACGATGACGGTTGCCGACATGATCTGACAGAGTGTGACACGGGTTAATTGATGCTCGTTCCATTTGCTGTTATTTGCAGAGTGTTCTGTTCGGGGCCTGCGGATGGATAGGAGCCAAGGTTGCAACATTGGAGTGGACCCGCGTTTCATGCCCGTCGCGCCAAGAGGCTGCAGAGTATTATACAGCTATAAATATAAATGAATAAATGAATAAATGAATAAATGAATAAATGTCGAGGCTCGTTTGGGTGGCTGACTCTCAATCCAACCAGCAGAGGAGGGACGGGCCATGAAGGAGGCGGCAATATAGGCTGAGTGGGAATGAGAATGTCTCGAGAATCTTCGATGAGAACATAGCAGCTGACGTGCGGCTCTGGCGGGCGGTTTCCTCTGAGAGACTGACGAACACACGACTTGGAGGGGGCTCGCGTGAGCGACGGTTCAGACCGCCTCATGAACCCAGCCTTCAACGTGAACTAAACATTCCTTGACCCATGGTGGGTCTTTGATGGACCTACCGTGCTCGGTTGGGGGACTCGGCCACTGGCGGCGTTTCCGGGGGGACAAAAAGTACCCAGGTGATTGCAATCCTCGCTCTTTTATCCTATCAGCTGCCCGTTTAGACAGCCATCGCGCCCCTTGACATATAACCAGCCTTGAGGCTGCGCCCTGGACAGTACTTCCTCACTTGACCTGGGCCATACCATACCCATGGATCCCAGTTGCCAATTTCCACAGTCTGATTCAATTTCCAGGAGCTCGCGAACAGAAACCACTGTGTCCAGTCTACACAGCTTACAGCTTGCAACGTACCCACACGATAGCAACAGCTTTACCGACATAGATAACGGTTATCTACGGTTGTATTCGTTCGCTCCCTGAATACTTCCTCACATCCGCATGCCCCCTAGCGGTGATCCACTCTCTTTATCTGTCACTCAATGAGCTTGACCGAATTCGACTGGCTTAAATTAGACATGTCCAGAGACCATTTAGATGCATTGAATTGGTGGTCTTGCCGTGTTTCCTCGCGATAAGAGGTTTGCCGGGGACTGTACGCTTAGATGACTATCGTGTGTACTTTCGAGACGGCCCAGAAGATGAGTAAGCATCTACGTAGATACCAACAAGTCATGAGAGATCCTAGTGTGACGTGGGAGGGAGTGAAACGGGTGCATCTGCTGCAAGAGATTGGCCTCGGCGCGCTTTTGTACGCGCCGTAAGTGTGTGTAATCTTACTAGAATAATCGTTCAGGATGGGATGTGATTGCGGATCAAATCAAGGTATAATCAACTGATCTACAAGGGGAGGAAGAAGCCGATGGCCGATGGGTAGCCACTGTCCACGTGCGTCCTGGAATAGGTACTTCGTAGTTCAAAGACGTCGATGGGGTTTACAAACTCGCACAAAGAGTCCAAGGGCACGAGATTGAGGAGTTTGGTATGGCCCTTTGGTAGATGCATTGGGGTATAAGGCCGAGATAACGTGAATGTAGATAGATGAGTCCGTAATTGCATGATAATAGTGGTTGCTGCGGCCGTGACGATGATGGTTGTATGATATGTCCAGTGCAGTCACCGTGGATTGCCGGTTTAGAGAAACTTGAGTAGATAAGCGTACTTGATATGCCGGCGAGCTTTGAGTGGGCGGACTTTGCGGTGGGATTAATCACGGAAACGAAGATACGCGCGCATTGGACTTACAGCACGAGTGTGCGAATCATGTGAACTCGACGGTCACTGCTGATTGTATGCAAAGTGTCGCTTTAGGCAAGCGATGCCGTCTTCAGATCCACAGATGGAGCATTTGCCCCCTCTGTCTACGAGCAGACCGAATAGACGTTCTGCATCTGGGGAGTGTGCATCTTCGTCCCACCATTGTGTTCTAAGGATATCCATGCTAGCGTTGCGGAGGAATTCAGCATACTTGCCCGACTGACGGCGGAAGGCGATCCAGAGCCACCTAGCGTTGTTGTCGTTAGGGTGAGTGCGAGTAGGATGGCCAATGTCGACAGGCTCTGCGTTATGATTGGAGAATCCTGTCATCGCCCGCATTGCCGATGAATCAATGCCCTCTGGAAAGGGAGAGAATTCGGGGGCGGCTTCAGAGTGTTCGTGGACTGAAGCCATCTGGAAGAGAACAGAGAGTTGGAAGAGAGACTGAGATGTAGAAGAGGACCTGTGTTGCTGAGAAGACGACGTCCGTCCAAAATCATGGAAAGCCCTCCTTTATAGAGGTCAGGAGGGCGGCGAGGGCAAACTCAGAAGTCTGAGGATGACCTGCCTCATCATCGTCATGCTATGTGAGGCGGATTAGACAGCTGCGAGTCGTCTCGGGATCGAATTCACGGGAGACGGTTCACCGCGGGGCTGAATGCTAATGCATCTGGCTGGTTCAGTCGCAAACTTGAATCACCTGTCCTGTCGATCATCCATATTAGGTAACCACCGCTGCCTGGGTGAATTCTTCGCCACAGCGAGTTCACTTTGTGTCCAATCAGGACAGACACCCTTCTCCAGACCGATCGATCAGGGACGTTGTGATTCGATGTAACGCATTTCGCCTCAGACTTTTTGATATCCACCCTCTGGACGTTGCTATGTGATCGGGTTGAGACCGTGGTGGAATAATGAGCGACTCAACCTGGTGTCCTGTTCAATTCGGGCATATTTGATGCCGTCTCTAGTCAAGACTGATGGATGGAAGAGCCAAAGCATTGGACACCACCTTGATCCAACTCGACGTTCATCGCACAAAGAGTGGCGATGCTGTGGAGTGAAGAATATATGTCAAAATTCTCGGACAGTCTGTTTTTCAAATCAGGAGGCTCAAGATAAACGAACAAGCAAAGAGGCGGCTTGATCGATTGTATTACGCTGGTTGCTGGCGAGAATGACACAAAGGCGCTGTCAATGAAATACAATAGTTGCTCTAGAACTCGTCAGCAGGCTGTTTATGAGGCTGGTATTACCCAACAAACTTTGGGGTCAATCCGCTGCGTAAGCGAGCGGAGAGTTCACCTTCGTGGTCCAGCCTATTAACGTGAACCGTTTTAGTTCTCTTAATGTGTGTTTTGAGCCCGCTATGCACGACTAGAAGTCTGGACGCTCCAATCGTACAAGGGAAACGAAGGTCAGGGCTGGCGAGAGACTAATACCCAAAGGTATGGAAGGACTTGCTTGCGTTTTTATGTCTTTGAACAGTCTGCGCTGGCAGTTATTGCCATCTTCAGACAGGCCACCAGCCTCAAGGCGACGCTTTTTTACCAACGTGCCAGGCCTTCCTCTGTCACGCTGGCTTAGTCTATGCGCATGGATTCAAGTTGCTGGATATTCACAGACCCCACAAGGCGGGAGTTTATGGACAGGATAAAGTCCTAAGTCTTCACTGATGGAAAGCGCAAGGTTTTCAAAACTACGATACGCTTCTCTTGTTGATGTTACTCGGAGACAATTCGAAGAAACCTCAGAGATTGTTCAAGCTCTCCGCCAATGACGGATGCGCCCAAACCACATCCCTCAAGACTCAAATAAGGCATATTTAAATTATCTACAAGGGGAAGAAGAAGGCGATGGGCCGATGGGTAGCTATTGTCCACGTGCGTCCTCGAACAGGTGCTTCATAGTTCAAAGATGTCGATGGGGTTTACAAACTCGCACGAAGAGTCCAAGGGTGCGAGCTTGGGGATCGGTATGGGCCCTCGGTATAGACATAGGGAGTTGTAAGGCCTAGGTAAGGTGAACATAGATTGAAGAGTTCGTATTGCGTGATGACAGTGGTTGCTGCGGCTGTGACGATGAGGGTTGTATGATATGTGCAATGCAGTCACCATGGATTGCCAATTTAGCGAAATTTGAGTTGATTAGGGTATTTGATTAGGGTATTTGATCTACCGGTGAGCTTCATAAGGGGGGGCTTTGCGGTGGGATTAATCATGGAGATGAAGATACGAGCGTATTGTACTTACAGTACCAATGTGCCAATCATGTGAGCCCGACGTTCATTGTGGGTTGTATGCAAAGTGATGTTTTAGACAAGTTGTGCCGTTTTCAGATCCACAGATGGTGCATTTGCCCTCCCTGTCCAAGAGTTGACCGAATAGACGTTCTGCATCCGGGAAGTGTGCATTTTCGTCCCACCATTGCGTCCTGAGGATACCCGCGCTAACTGTGCGGAGGTATTCAGCATCCTTGGTCGACTGGCGGCGGAAAGCTCGCGAGAGCCACCTAGTGTTGTGGTCATTAGGGTGATGGCGAGTAGGATGGCCAATAGGGCCTGTTTCTGTGCCGTGGTTGGAGAATTCTACTCTTGCACGCATCGCCGCTGGATTCATGCCCTCTGGAAAGGGTGGGAATGCTGGAGCGCCTTCGAGGTGTTGGTGGACTGAGGACATGTGAACGAGGACGGAGTTTGAAGAGAAGGTGAGTTGTAGGAGAGGACTCGGGTTGTAGAGAAGGCGACGAGCGTCTGAGAATCATGGAACTGGTCCTTTATGTAGCTCAAGAGGTAGGCGGTGAGGGCAAACTCAGGAGTAGGAGGATAACCCGCCTCGTCATTGTGCTATGCGAAGCGGATGAAGCGGTTGTATGATTGGTCTGCGGGTTCGAATGAACGGGAGACGATTCGCCGCAGTGTTGAATGCCAATGGGCCTGGTTGGATTCTGAGCTCGAGTCATCTGCCTTTTCAATCATGCAGGTTAGTCAAATGACGGCCGACTGGTTGGATCCTTTGCCACAGCGAGTTCCGTCCGGCCGATCATGTCTTCTTGACAGGCGCCTTCACCACAGCGACATATTCAGTCAGGAACGCTTGAGTGATCGGTACAAATCATTACGCACCAAAAATTTTGATAGCCATCCTCCAACCGTCTCAAATCCGTTGCTACTTGATCGATTCGAGACAGCAAATGTGATCGTGGTCAACCTAACCAGGCGTTTTGTTCAATTCAAGTAGTTTTCCAGACGTTTGGCGCCGTGTGTTGTCAAGACTGGTGGATGAAAGGGCCAAGGTGGACAGTGACTATTTTGGACACAACCGTGACTTACGATGTTCATCGCATCAAGAGACGGCTATACTACGGAGACAGAAATAAACTGAATATACACCAGTGCTCTCAAGGAGTCTATTTCCCGAGTCAAGGCGCTGAGGCGGAACGAACAAGCAAAAGAGGCGGCTTTTATCGACTATATTACGCTGTTTGGCAGCAAGGATGATGCATAATACTGCCAATAAAATCTATTAACCGCTCAGGAATCTTGTCAGGAGGCTGTTATGGAGGCTGGCATAAACAAGCGACTGGAAAGGGCAACCCCATGGCCCAGCCTACTACCTTAAACGGGAAATTCACGTCTTCCGATGTGAATTTGAGACCTGCTGTGCACGAATGGGAGCCTGGACCCCCCAAATCGTTCGGGGGGAAGGGTGAAGCTGACGGGGAGCTGGTATCTAAAGGTATGGAAGGTGTCCCTTCACGCTTTATATCTTTGAACAGTCTGCCAGGCAGCTATTATCATCTCCAGATGAGCCAGGGGCCTCGAGATGCCACTTTTTACCAACATGCGAGGACTTCCTTCAAGCTGGCTCACTCCATCCCATCCAGCCGCTAAATATTCGCAAACTCGTCAAGGCCGGGGTCCATGGACAGGTAAGACTCCTGAGCCTTCACGAATGGAAACGAAAGGCGTTCGAGATAATGGTAAACTGCGACTCGGATAGACTGACTATTCTAGGAAGCCCCAGAGATTATTCAAACTCTCCGCCAAGGACGGATGCGCCCAAACCGCATCCCTCAAGACCTCCCATCTCAGATTCCCCATCATGGCCGTTTGTACAATAGCCATGACTTCTCCACCCTCTACACCTAGACAGCTGAACCCGAGAATCATCCCGGTATCTGCATTAATGACTGCCTTCATTAACCCCCTACTCTCATCCGTCTCCAACGCACGTGCCACGTAATTCATTGGCATTTTGGCCGTCTTGATTGTTGCGTTGGGATACTTGGTGCGTGCCTCGTATTCATGAAGACCAACGTGACCGAGCTGAGGATCCGTGTATGCGACGTATGGAACGAGACGGTCGGTGATGGTTGCCGGTTTTGCAGACGGGTTAGAGGAGTTTGTGATCAAGTTTGTTTGAAGAATGCGAAAGTCGTCATAGGAGATATGCGTAAATGCCGGAGGGCCTTTGACGTCGCCAAGCGCATATATCCCTGGTACGTTTGTCTCTAACTTGTCATTACACAGAATATATCCCTTCTTTCCGTCAAACTTGATGCCAGCGGCCGGGAGATTGAGAGATTCGACATTGGGAACGCGTCCGGACGCGAAGAGGATGTGTGAACCTGACAGATTGAGATCTCCGGTTGGTGCCTTGATAGAGATGTGAATCTGGCCAGATGCGTAGGATGCCGAGTGCGCCGCTGCTTCCAAGTGCACCGTGATTCCATCCTCTCGAACAATCTCCAGTAGAGCGGAGGTGATGTCTGGGTCCTCGCGAGGCATGAGATGCTTCCCGCGTTGGATAATTGTCACTTCGGCTCCCAGTCTACATCCTAGTCAATCATACAGGAAGAAAACGACCAATAAGCGTGTACTGACCTGCGGAACAGTTGCCCAAATTCCAAACCAATGTAGCCACCGCCCACAACCAAGAGATGACTAGGAACCTCTCCGAGCTCCATGATTGATGTAGAATCACGAATGCGCTCCTTTGGAACGGTTTCAATCCCAGATAAATTCGGACTGGCCGGTCTCTCGCCCGTATTTATACAGATCACGTCTCCTGTAATCGTCTCCTCCTTTCCATCTCCCATCTTGACCTTGATCGTCTTCGAATCGACGAAGCTGCCTTCCCCCATGAACAAGTCGACGCCGGCATCCTTGACGCGATTCTCGTTGCGCGTACGCGAGTCGGTGACGATGTTCCTCTTCCTCTCGCGCACCTTTGCCATATCCACGCTTACTTCGTTCTGGCTGTTGCCTTCAAGCGTCTTGGCCGCTATGCCATCACTTGGAGTATGAACGCCATAGTCTTGACCGCGTCGAGCAAGGTATGCGACGCGACCGCTGGCGATCATGGTCTTTGTAGGTGTGCATCCCTCGTTGACACAACATCCTCCGACATGCGCTCGCTCTATGAGTGCCGTCTTCTTGCCTGCTTTTGCAAAGGCAGTCGAGAGGGGCGTCCCAGCTTGACCTGAGCCAATGATAATGTAATCAAAGTGCTTAGACATTGGTTTGGTGGTGAATCGTGCAGTAGTTGGTCGGTGGTGGTTTAAACAGGTTGAGACCCTGAAAGAGGACAAGCGGTTGGGGGCAAGCTTGAAGGATACGACTCCTCTCATGTAGATCAAGAGGATGCCAACATTATTTATACCAAATGACCACCTACTCCATCTTCGGCGGCTTATGGCGCCCGCTGCGCTGTTGATTGGTTGAAATCGAGTGGCACTCGGCGATAGTGGGGCCGAGGAAACGAAGTAGAGTGGCAACACCTCATGTTACATCTTTCCACACGGTAGCAAGCACGACAAGAGCGCCTAATCCAAGACACGTCCAGCTCGTGATCCGTTCTAACTTTCCCACTTTCGCTTCGTCCCAAACGGCATTTCGGCGAACTCTTGACCTCGGGCTCTCTCCTTGCTCCAACATTTCGATATCGAATTCTTCCCCTGGCCTCGTGCCGTCTCTGCCTATCAGCAACCAGTGCAGAACACAGGCGAGTACTACGCCTCCATCAAGTCCCTGAACGGGTAACAGATTGAAAAAGGCGAGACTCAAGCTGAGACGTGCAGTATAATCCAAGAACCGCCCGAACATGAGCGGTAGGTGGACGCGCATCAAATTGGGAAGTGATATGGGCGGGAAGAGATAGGTCCGCGGTTGGAGATACCCCACCGTCACCTGATTCAGTACGTCTACGGTTGGTCCTTTATAGACAATCAGCCTTGTCGGTATCCGCGGTAGTGTCTTGACTTCATTGGGACCAGCAAAATGATTGGTGATTGAATCGGGCACGCTAGATGACCGTGATGTGGAGCGCATCCAGGGTGGTTCCTCGAACTCGATTCGCAGGAGCCGTTCGGATGCATCAAGTGTTGGGTTTATATGCGGTCGTACGCAAGCATATGTCGTAGAGTCGCCGTCCGGGCGGAGACACACCACATGACATCGCGCGCCGTAAGCCGAAGATGTCGCGGTCGTATTTATAGCGGATGGATTTGATCCTTCTTGTCCTCGCGAAAGTCTGTGTTGATACGTAAAGAGTGGCAAAGGATCAAGACACCGACGGGCAGTAGTATTGGTTACAGTAGCTGCTTCTCGGGTGGAAAAGCATGAGCCCGTCGAGTTGGCAGTGGCTGCGGAGCAGCACGCCGTCGGTTGCTCTAAGGCCTGTTAACAGGAGTCGATGCAATTAAAGTTGACTTACGATGATGCCAAGACTCTGGAACGCACCATCCAGAGTCTTCTTGAATCCCCTTCACTTCTTGCTCTACAGACCTCGTGAGGTGACTATACCACCGGTGCATCCCAGTCGGGGATGACTGTCCGACTAGGCCCGTTCCACCAAGTCGTAGGTCGTCAATTTTGGTAACCACACTCCCAACGGGTATATAATCTACTAGAGGAGAATCCAGAGAAACGTCTACCACAACGAGTCCGCGCAGTTGCATATTCCGATATCCTAGCAATGACCAGATTCTGGATGGCCTGGACTGATCCCATGCAGAAGGAATCGTAGGAGGCTTCGTACAGTCGCTCGTCGGTTTGCAATTATCTTCGCCAAAGGGCGAGTTGGAAGAGTTAGTCGAGAATGAAGCAAACGGGAACATTCCCAGAATGGCGGAGAGTGTAGAAGAGCCAAAAAGAACAAGGACACCCCAGGTAATGATGTTATGCCACGCCCCGGCAGTTGCGATGCGTAGACGGGCAGCATTGGGGAGGGTCCCGACGGATGAAGGAGAGAGGGAGACGAAGAATGTCGGAATGGCGATGTGGAGATGGAAACCGGTCGAAGTGACGCGAACAGACTCTCTGTGGAAAGGTAAGAGCGGGACATGGATAGTGGCGTACGTACAAGGTCGCCGTGATTCCATGTCCAATCTCGTGAACAACGCCAGTGAGGCATAGAACCAAGAGAATTATTGGGAGATCTGAGAGTGGAACAGTGACTCCTGGGATCTAAAGGACTGTTAGCAGTAGCATCCACTTGAGCATGGACGTACCAATGCGTGTAGCCCGGCACCATCACTTTCCGTTTGAGGGAGGGGTGAATCCCGCTTGTGCAAACCTTTCTTCTGTGTATCGCCCCTCCCTAGCCATGCTAGCATCCTCCATATCACACCAAAGGCGCTCCATGTAAGGAGCACCATGCCGACAGTCAATAGACCGATTGACACCGCAGCCCCGACGGTGTAGAATACATGGAGTGCCTTTCTCAGACGAGCGCGTAACGTGTGACTGGATGCTGCATTTGTCTCGCCTCCAAAGGCAAAGACGAAAGATGGTGCGAAGAGCGAGTTCCACCGTTTCGTCTCGTACTTGAGCCATAGTAGGCCAATGTCTAGAGTAGAACTAGACCAAGATATATGGTCATAGAAAACTTGGCGTCGTTTGATGGCATGGCGTGGATTGAGCGTTAGGGGAAGCGAAGATGTGCTAGGCCAGTATCGTACGCGCAGATAGCGGATACCGTATAGGAGTGACCACGGGAATAAAATGGAGAGGAAGAGATTTATGAGTGACATGGTAACGACGAGTTCCACGCGTCTACGGCAGGTCGACTGTCAAAGGTTTGCATCCAAACCTTTCATAGATGAGTCCAGGAGCTTTATAATGTGTATGATGACGGAGAAGCTGTGTTATTTCGAGCACGGAGAAAATAGTTGGTGTGGTCAAAAGTCAAGAGACAAATTGGGTGTAGCGTAGATACCCAGAATGGATTACATATAAATAAATCTTATCGTGGTGGAAATTGCTAGTGTCGAGTCAGATGGAGACTCTTCGGTGCCACTGTAGCAACTTGGATCCAACCATATAACCAGCCATCATGACTTTGGATATCCATATGTTTATCAAGGACAAGGGAGGTGATCCGGAGGTCATTCGGGAGTCCCAGCGGAAACGCGGCCACAGCGTCGAGGTGGTGGACGAAGTGATCGCGATGTATGAAGAATGGGTCAAGCGTAAGTCGTTTCGGTATTCTCATGGCGCCCAAGAAACTGATTATGTGGCGACTACTGCATAATTTCGCTGCGATGAACGTGATCTCGTACTCCTGTGACTCGAACAGAATATTTCCAGCTTGGCGAGATTAACAAGAAGATAAACGCTGTTCAGAAGGAAATTACAGCGAAGAAAAAGGTAGGATGCCTTTCTTTCCAAGGCTAGCCACTCAACGTATTCTAGGCCAAGGAAGACGCATCCGAGTTTATGGGTCAAAAGGTCGTGCTAGATACACAGCAAAAGGAGCAACAAAAGGTTGTTGCGGACGCAGAGATAGCGATGAAGATTAAAGCGGGTGGAATTGGCAATCTCATTTACAAAGATGTGCCAGTCAGCGATAACGAGGTCAGTGACCGGTGGATTAGGGATGAAAAAGGATGGTTGAACTTGGTTACTAGGATAACAACGAGATCATCCGAAAGTGGGCTCCGCAAGATCATACCGGCGAAACACCGAATACCATCCCAGACTGTCTTGCCCACCACGAAGTCATGCTCCGACTCGGAGCAGTTGACCTCGAGCGAGGTGCCAACGTCGCGGGTCATCGTGGTTACTACCTCACCGGACCTGGCGTCCGGCTTAATCAGGCGTTGATCAACTATGGGCTCGATTTTTTGGAGAAGCGAAACTTTTTGTTGATGCAGCCACCGTTCTTTATGCATAAAGATGCAATGGCAAGGACGGCCCAGCTTGACGAGTTTGACGAGGCGCTGTACAAGGTCGGCAAAGTCGAGCTGTGTGGACGATACTAACCTCAACTGCATAGGTCTCAGGAGACGAAATTGACAAGTATCTCATCGCTACGTCGGAGCAACCTATCTCTGCCTATCATATGAACGAGTGGTTCGAAGCACCAGCAAAGGATCTCCCACTGAGGTGAATATGCCATTGGCTTCTAAAACTTGATCTGAGAGTGACAGGTACGGTGGCTATTCGACTTGCTTCCGGAAGGAGGCGGGTTCTAGTGGTCGAGACGTATGGGGCATCTTCCGAGTACACCAGTTTGAAAAGGTGGAACAGGTAAGACGCTGTCGTTGAGTGGATGTAGACACTGATCATCTGTAGTTTTGCATCACTGAGCCCGAAAAATCTTGGGAAATGTTTGAGGAGATGGTCGGCAATTCAGAGGCATTTTACCAGTCGCTTGGTCTGCCATATCGTCTGGTTGCGATTGTGTCTGGTGCTTTGAACCTTGCGGCGGCGAAAAAGTATGACCTCGAGGCGTGGTTCCCGTACCAGCAAGCGTACAAGGAGCTGGTCTCTACCAGCAACTGCACTGATTACCGTACGTGTGTTGCTTTTCAAAGTTGTCTCTCAATCTTTTTCCAGAGTCGCGCAAGCTCGAGGTGCGATGTGGCCTGAAGAAGACGGGCGATACGAAAAAGGTGTATGTGCACATGCTCAACGGCACGCTTTGTGCTACTGAGCGGGCACTCTGCTGCCTTGTGGAGAATTACCAGACGCCCGAGGTGAGGATGACAACTGGTTGAGGATGAGTACTCACCCACCACAGGGACTGAGAATCCCCGAAGTGCTACAGCCGTATATGGGTGGAAAGGACTTTTTGCCGTTTATTCGGGAACTTCCAAAGAACTATCAGCGCAAAAAGTAGCTAGTTGTATGAAATTCAAACTCCGCCACGCGTGACCACGACACGCCAAACAAACACGGCACTCTGTATTCCTTGTACTCGACCGTAACCCCGCGTCTGGCTGCCCTGCGCGCACAGCTGCTGGCTGTTGTACTACCATGTCCTACGATGGAAGACGATACGACGACGAGGGCTCAGAATCGAGCTATGGCAGGCACTATGCCTCGCCCTCCACCGCGGCGCCGACCCAACTCATGAGTCCCACGCAAGCTCCCTCTGTTACGCGTTATTCTGCGTCTCTCAGCGGCGACTGTAAGTCTTTCCTTTCCTCGACGCGCTTTTTGGCCATTTTAGAGTGCTCACGACAAAACACGCGTGTCTTGTTCACCTCGGAATCACGCTTTACGCCCACTTGTATCGCGTCCTTTACTCTTCTTACTGCTCGAAACACGGCCCGACATGTCTCGGAATACGTCGCAACATGGTCTTGTCGACTGCAGGTGAGCCCATTTGCACACGGCCATTCGTGACGGCGACTGACCGATATATGCTACCCAGCAAATTCAATTATTCGCTCTGTAGACGATAACGACTCGGTTGCCAGCATGGACGTAGATCGTGTCGGTTTTACACCCAGAACATCGGTCGCGCTCACAGACACAGACGCCGACCAAGAACAGTACCAACACTATGGTAACTCGTATAGACATAGAGATGAAGATGTGTGGAGAGGAGCACGACGTAGAGAGCATGCTCCTCTCTGACCGAGATCATGACCAGTACGACGACGAGGGAATGGGTTCCGAGCAGCGATACTCGGAACAATATGGGAGCGAAGACATGGAGTCGGAAGATGGCTATGGGATCGTCAACCAGCCTGAATGGTCCCACGTCTTGACCGTCGACGAAATTTTGAACAGACGGCAGCGCCTCTCCACCGTCATTGAAGGCTCCAGTATTGGTAGCCGTTCCCGAGCTGCCTCTTCGGGCCAACTCTCACCCGGAGTACGCTCGGAAGATGTTCCTCCTGTCCCTCCAATCCCCTCCATCTATCACCAACGCGCCGCAACAATGACAGACGACCACTCGCCCGCCCCCAGTGTGCGCTCGTTCCATTCTCGAGCCAGCACAGATCCTGGTATTCCTGTTGCTTCAGCATCTTCTGCAAAATCGACTGCCTCGTCGGTGCGCCAGCGCATCGCAGCGTTCGAAGAGCGATCAGCGAGCCCAGCACTAGCTCACGGCGTACGACCGGGCTCTCCTGGTGGAACTCATGGCCTCGGGTTAGGCCTCGGTCTTCGCACATCCGCTCCCAATACGCTCTTTTCCCAAAATGTTGGGAGTATGCTCTCCACCCCCTTTTCACCTGCTCAATCTATGCCATCTACGTCTCCTCAGAATGCTCAAGCTCCACCTACATTTCCACGACCAAGCAGCTATCATTCTTCTCAAGGTTCCGTTTCAGGTCCCAGGGATCGATCGGCTAGTCCGGTCAAGGCGCCATCCATCAAGTCTTATGCATCTTCAGAGGGTGGGCCATACTCGGTTTCATGGAATTAGGCTGACCCCATTGTGTAGCTCCATCGTTCAATTTGCCATCCTATGCATCCTCACCCAACATTTTACCACAACAGACTGCATCATCGGACAATGTCGGCATTCGTGCAACATCGGCTCTTATTCAATCCGTCTCAGAGGACTTGCTGCGCACACATCAACAGCACGAGGCAGAGGCGTCGACTTATCAACCACAAACAGGCTATGTTCAGCGGATTCTCCAGTCGTATGGTCCCACTGAGCAAGGAAGTGGGCTCTTTGATGTGAGAAGGCGTCAGAGCCACCGTCGAGCTAGTGCTGGGCACGAGAAGACTTCTTCTAATGGCCACGAGACGGATTTACGCGGCTCTGGTTCTGGTTCTGGAGATGGAAACAGGTCTGCGCCATCTCAAGGTAGCCGTGGTCCACGCAGTGAAGCCAGTGGAGATGGATCTTTCCAAGTGGACAAAAGTGAACAAGGACCGATGAGTCCAACTATCGAAGAGGTGTGTTTGCCCAACCCGCTTTGATTGCTGCTAACGCTATATGCAGCCCCTTCGCGTTGGCACGCTCTGGTACCTCCACGTTCATACAGGTGATGAACACTTCCGATGGATCAAGTGCAAGGCTGTTCTCTTCAAATCGCAACTTCAACTCACATGGGTAGAGGCCGGAGGCGGCAAGGCGATTATTGGACTCGACTTGCTCAACTGTCACGAAGTTCGTTCGGTACCATCTCCGTCGCATGCGTCGGCATGGGACGACATTGGCAACGTCGCCGCCCGTGCGCAGGCTCTGGAAGAAGGCCCCGATTCCCGTATCGACGAGATTTGCCCCTTCCAGATGCTATACGAAGATGGAGTTGAGCGTCTAGGTGCTGGTAGTCCGAGAGAGCGCGTACGATGGGTTGCTGCTATATGGTAAGCGCATTCATAATATTCTGCACAGGAATCTAACAGTTTCCAGGGATGCCTTGAATCGTGCTTCGATTGTACCCAGCCGATCGAGCTCTCCTGCGCCTTCTCTCGCCACGATACCCTCTCAGAGAAGCTCACAGAGGAGCAGTGGAAGCAGCAGCCGCCATGGTTCTGCCTCGACTGTCTTCATCCCGGCTGATGAGGATATACCGGACATTGGAAGCACAATCTCGTCTCTGACCAGAAGCTCGTTCCGCTCAGGACCGCGTAGTTCGCAGAGCGGCTCGAGTCTCTCTGGCGGTCGACCTCGCTCGATTGATGACAATTCGATTCGATCATATGGTCGAGACTTGCTTTCACCTTCAGATGCACGTATCGAGATTGCTCCCAGCCGAAGTTCGTCGCTCCGCCGTACAACCTCGATGACGGATCTCGACGAGTCTGCCAGCGCTGCCACCCCCTCGGAAATCTCGGATCGCCCTGAGTCTCAGAGTGTCTTTTCGCCATATCGAGCACCGTCTACCGTCGAAAGCCATGGAGTCCCTCACACCATCGCATCGACCTCCTCGGGCTCGACGAGGTCAGTCTCTCCAAGTCGACCACTGCCCGGTGTTCCTCCTCTGTCTTCGATTCCTAGCATGCCTTCGTTGCGATCGGAGAGTACGACGAGCTCGGGAAGTCGATTCAAGACGGCAGGGAGTATCACGGCCTCTGCCATCAGCAAGTTTGAGACGGCCTCATCTGCCAGTGGCACGGGACGATTCGACAGCGCGGCCAGTACTATGCAGGCACCTACTCGATCCACGGGCACGGCTGTTCCAGTTGGCGGACGTCCTCGCTCTGCGACCAGTCCAGCTCCGGCTATTCCTCGCCCTTCGTCCGCTCACGGCTCTGTGACCTCGAGTACATCGTTCCTCACGGCACCTTCGAAGACGGGCTCTAAGACACCCGTGCCTAGCGATAATGGCAAGTACCTCAGTCCAGCCGACTCTGGACCTGTCCGCCGTGCTCGGAAAGGCAAGGCTAGCTCGGTGTACTCGTTGTCGAGTATCAATGAGCAAGAGAGACATCGTCTTGCTGCCGAGGACTCGTCCACGGTCGACGAGTATGGTTCAATCTTGGAGTCGCCTGCTCCGAGCGTGTCGAGCATCGGAACGCCAAAGTCGCCGCCAGCTGCTGGGTTGCCTCGTTTGCAGCTCCGTGGCCCCGACTCTGCCAGCCTGCTTGGTGATAGTCACATTGGTGGAACCTGGACCTCTGGATCGAGTTCTTCGGGGTCTGGTACAGGAAGTGCTAGGTCATATGCGACGCCCCGCACGCCCTCAAGGCTCACCAAAATTGTGGAGATGCCGACAGGCTCTAGTGCGACTTCGCTCGTTCGTGCTCTCCCAGGCGTACGTCCGCGATCTGCTCGATTCCTCACACCGAAACCGTCGAGCACTTCACCGTCGTACGTAACGGCAGACGAAAAGGAGAATCAACCCGAAGAGTCTTCGTCCGAGTCGTGGGTCACTGCTTCTGAAAAGGCATCACCGAGCAAGCGCACATCCTCGACGTCGGTACCCCTTACCGTCACGCAAGATGCGACGCTCGATGGAGATGACAGAAGTGAGACTGTGCCCAGTGAAGTGATGTCGCTTCAGACGAATGGTAGTGATGGCGACGATCCGTTTGGTCGTGGCGCGAGGCTCTCCAGAGCCGATTCGTATTTCACCAGCACGAGCGCCGGTCTGAATCGTACGCGTTCTATTGGCGGTGACTCGACATACAGCACCATTGCGTATGATATCTGCATCGGTTCGGATGTGTCTGACATTACGCCCTTGACGGTGACGAGCGCAGAAACGATTAGGAGCAGCGAGAAGAGTCCAACGCCCCAACCTTCACCGTTGACTGCTTCGCCATATGTCAGTGCTCCGGAGCCGCAGACGCCCGTCAGCAGCATTGGTTCTATCCCCACGATGCTCTCCGATTCGATTTACGCCACGGCTGATCGACCAGACACGTCTAGCGAGTACTCGACCGCCAATCGCTGGTCGAGCTCGGAGTACAGCACGGTTCCACTCGCTTCGTCTCGTCACTCACCGCTACCCACCGTTTCGCCGACGCCATCTGCATCCATCCCGCCGCTTCCGAGCAGCGTACATCAGTCGCCGACGCCCATCTCTTCGCGACCCATTTCTGTACCTCCTCAAGCAACGCCTAGTCGTCATTCGCCAACCCCAGTTTCATCGCGCCCAATGTCAGTCGTGCACCAGATCACTCCGAGCCATCATACTCCCACTCCAATGTCGTCGCGCCCGGTCTCTGTCGCTGCGATGCAGAGCCCAAGCCAGCATACGCCTTCACCTGTATCGTCGCGTCCAATCTCAGTGGCCGCAATGCAAAGTCCGAGTCAGCATACGCCCTCACCAGCGTCGTCGCGCCCGATATCCGTCGCCGTCATGCAGGATCCAAGTCATCATTCTCAGTCGCCAACATCATCACGACCAATCTCCATCGTCCAGCAGCCTTCGCCAAGCGTCCAGCCGTCCCCGAATGTCTTCTCCAAGTCACCATCACTGTCAGTTCACGGAACTCCAACGCCATCGGTCATCCCCAGCATACCAGATGGCGAGAGCGAAATTTCATCAGAAGAGTTGTCGTCAGAAAGCAGCGTGACGCCTACTCAATCACGTACTATGTCCCTTGCGAGTCGTTCGATGCTCTCCACACCAGTATCTACCCCACGACGAGCCTCTTCTCCTCGCTCGGTAACCAGCAAGACATCGTCGGTCCCAAAGTCGACTACGGTTTCCTCAGTATCAACACTCAGCTCGACCACTGTTTCGAGTGTGACTGCCTCGCCATTGCCCACCCCAATGTCAACTTCGTCACGATCACTCAGTAGCGTGACGAGCTCGGCACGGACTCCTGCGTCTTTCTTGATGCCACCAGCTCCAGCTCCTAGCTCGACCCGAAGCACCAAGTCCCGGCCCGTCTCTGAGCTTTCATGGGCGCCGAGCTCTGCAGACTCGATGGACTCGAGTCAATTCGCGTATACGCCCTCGGCCATGTCGAGCGCCTTACCACACGAGGACGACGGTAGCTCGATTTTGCGACCGTCCGTCAATTCGCTTAGCGATTTGGGTCAGTATGAGATTGTGTTAGTGGACTCCAGCGAGGGTACATCTACTACGACACCGACGAGCAAGACGAGGAGTATCACCATACAGTCGACGCCATCGAAAATGAGCACTATGCTCACTCCCTCTTCTCTTGCGCGCTCGAGCTCCATTGCGTCTGTCTCTTCGCTGCGGTCGAGTATCTTCCTCCCTTCGCGATCGTCATCGATTCGAAGTGTAGCGCCAACGCCATCGGTTAGTGAACTTTCACTGGTTATGTTTGATGTATGCTGATTCTTGCGAAGGAGGTGAGCGATGCTGCGACTCCCCGAAGCCCGACAGTCAGTGTTACGATGACCCCGGCTCAAAGCTTCCATCCGTCGTTCCGAGACGATCTTTCGACCATTCCATCTGAGGATGAGGAGCTTGCGGCTGCTGCCTCGGCGCCCATGGAGATTATCACTCACGACGTCAACCGTCTTTTAGAGTATCTGGACGGCGTGGATAGGCAGCGCATAGCGGAACACGACGATGTCAAAGACCAACTTGACCGTGTTGAAGATGAGCTGAAGAAGCTCGCAGACTTTGTCAAGCAAGAGGCGGAAAAGCCACCGCGCGTCATCTTTGCACCAAAGAGTCCCGAGCCCGTGGAATCAACGGAAGACGTGATCGTTCACTCGGCACCGAAACCAGCAGTCGTCCTTCTCGATTTGCCCGAGTCGCCGCTCCGTTTGAGCTCTGGTAGCGTGACAGAGTCGGTTGCATGGCTCTCCAGTCCGTCAACCATGTCCACGATCCTTCCAGTGTCTTTCAAAGACTCGTCGCATGCACCATCTTTGAGACAAGCTGCGTCCTCTATCGCTCCTTCGACAGTGACACGATCCTCGTTGCACCCAGGTTCGCATCTAGACGCAGCATCGGGCCTTCACTCCCTCCCAGCCCCGTCTACTCCTGGTCAAGGATCCGCTATCGACCATCTCTCAGCTATACACTCTTTGCCAGCTCCTTCAACGCCAGGCAGAGCGTCTGTACTTGACAATGTTTCTGCAGTGCACTCCCTCCCTGTCCCTTCCACTCCTGGTCGGGCGTCTGTACTCGACGATGCATCCGCAGTCCACTCTCTCCCTGTGCCTTCTACACCTGGTCAAGCGTCTGTACTCGACGATGCATCTGAAGTGCACTCTCTTCCCGCACCTTCCACCCCCGGTCGGGCATCTGCACTTGACGAAGTATCTGGCATTCACTCTCTGCCGCCACCTTCTACTCCTGGGGTCATCTCCCACCAGGATATAGAGTCGGAGGCCCACTCGCTTCCACCGCCGTCGTCTCCTGGGTCGTCGTCCTCTAAGAGCTCTGTCTCCGAAGCACCATCTTCTCTTACCAAGACAGAATCTCTTGCGCCATCTGACTCGATCTCGCAGCGCTCTCTGTCGATTCGAGCGACCGAGTCTGAGCCGCTCTCTCCAGTTCCATCAGAGGCGTCAACGATCCGCGATGTGATGTCGGTTTCCCAGTCCGATGCAGGCACGCCGAGATCGATGAGCCTTTTGAACGTTCCTCCTCCATCAGAGGGCTCGAGTCCAAGTGTGGCATCCGCATCTTCCGCGCACACGCCGCTCACTACTCCTCCGAGGACTCGCGGCAATACTCCAGACATTGATATTGTGTCTGCTTCGGGACGAGGTTCACCTGCGCGTTCCGATATCACCCTTCGACAGGGTGTATCAAATGCCCAGCTCCGGGACATGCTCAACGATCTGCGTAGGCAGACCGATAAGCTCATGGATCAGCAAAATCGTGCAAATGAGGCCATCGAGGAGCTCCAAAACCGACCCATCCAGCTTCCACCTCTTCCTCCCGTTCAACCTACTCCAAGGCGATCTCCGTATGCCGACTTGTTGTCACAGATAGCGGATACGTTGAAGAGCATTGTTGAAGCTGGAACCCGCGAGGTGCCGCCAGAGAGCGAAGACGAAGTGTCTGTTTCCGGAACAGAAGACACTGGTGCGACGACAGACATGGCGAACCTTCAGAACAGGCTACGAGACGTTCTTGGTATGCCTCTGCCACCCCGCAATGTTATCCCTTCGTCTATGGGTGCTCCCACTGCAACCCGAGCAGCACCAATCGTCACTATGCATGATGACGCCGCGTCGGAAGCATCCACCGCGCCATCTGCGACTCTGTTCGCACAGCACATTGCCGACTTTCCTCGTATTCGCCGTCCAGTTCCACGCCGCGGTCGGCTTGCACGCAGCCCGAGCCCAAGCATCAGGCATGTCGATCGGCCTGGAACCGCCCCACCTCCTCCTCAACCCATCTGGGGACGCCCACGTAGTATGTACCGGACGCCTTCACCCCGCAGACAGCGGCCTAGGGAAGTTGAGGAGCCCATGACGATGCAGGATGTGCGAGAAGATGAAACACCATCCCAACGACCTCTGTCGCTCGTAGTTCAGGATGCAGGCCCAGATCTTGACATGCTCAAGCTTGTGCAAGAACGACGTCGTCAACGTAGAGGCGGAGACGGAATATTTGACCCTATGGGTGATCAAGTCGTTGAGCCCGTGTTGGTAAGTGACCCATGCCCAACATCATCCCCCTGTCACTGAATTGACCGCTATCAGGAGAGTCCTCCACGCCCTGATAGTGCTCCGATCGACTTTATTATGCCAGAGGAGCCAATCACACGCGCATGGTACAACAAGCGACCAGGAAGAGAAGGCCATGAAATGACCATGGTAAGCGAGGTCATTGTGGGTTGACGTTTCTATACTGACAAACCTTCAAGGCGGATCCAATGCGTGAAGCGTCCCCTGAACCCGAGCCATCTCCACCTAGTACTCCAGTTGCATCTCGTCAGCAAGCTCGACGCCCCTCCATTCCTCTCGGCGAATTGCCTTCCACAGCGTCCTATGCGGAGATGTTGGCCTTGCTCAGGGTGTGTATCGTTATTCTCCGAAGGGATTCTTCTAAACTCCAACCGTAGCAAAATGAATTAATGCAACGTCACCAAAACGAGCAACAAAACGAGCTTGTGCGCTATCTTCACGACCTCAATGGCTGGTTAGCACGCGACGTGAACAATCGACAATTGGAATTACAAGGTGTGGAAGATCGTATTACTCATCTCCAGAACGCACTTGGAGCGCGCCCATACTACCATCCAGGTATGCTCTTAATGTTCCATCCTATGCAGCTCACAACCATGTTTTCCCAGGTCCTGAGCAGTTTGTTCCCCCGCAGGAACCTGTTGTGCCCATGTATCCACCGCGCAGCGCCGTTCCTCACATGCCTGTTCATGGATTTGGGTCACCGACGCGAGAGATGCTGCCACGCTTGGGATATATTCCACCTCCTACCGCGTCTGCATATCCACAGTACATGCCAGGACCTTATCCTCGCCCAACGAGAATCGGATCCCCTGGCTCTCCCCCTCCTATCATCCCTACACGTCCGGTATCACGGCCAAGGGGTCCCATCATCGAAGTTCGTGGTGCTCCTGCCTCGACTTATCAAGCTCCGTCGCGACGACCCGGCACACGCAGTCCAAGCCCAGAGCATACGATGCAGCCTCCAGTCACTGTCGCTGTGGCAGACCCTGAAAATGCGCCGCACCGCCCGCCAGGAGTACGCAGCCACCTGCAAACGTGATCAACATCTACCCCAACTCTTCGCCGTCTCGTGGCCGTCGGGAGGATTCTTCGCCTTCTCGTCGACCTGGTAGATCCTATCGCGATGATTCCCGCTCACCTCGTCGACACTCTCGTTCTCCGACGAGAGTTGGCTCCCCACGAATCGTCCACACAGTATCCCATCGTCGTGGTTCACGATCGCTTTCCCCTGTACCTGTGGTTATCGACAACGCAGGTCACTCGAGGCCCTCACGCTCGTCGAGGCGTGGAGAGACTGTTGTCATCAGAGAAGATAGGAGTCGCAGCAGAAGTAGGAGTCGAAGCCGTAGCCGTAGCCCCATTGTTGTGACCGGTCCTCCCGCGAGCTCGCGTTCCCGTCGTCCTCGCTCCGAGAAACGGACGGTTATAGTCCAGGCGCCATCTCGCGACTCACGCAGTCGTAGTCGTACTCCAAGTCCGATCATAATGCCCGCACCCAGCAGTCGTGGACGTTCACGAGCCCGAACCCCGCACATCATTATGGAACCAGGTAGTGAGCGTCGTTCTAGGTCTCGTTCGCCACGAATCATTATGCAGCCATCTACTCGGCGTCGCTCCAGGTCTCGTTCACCTCGGGTCATTATGCAACCATCCAGTCGGCGTCGTTCCAGATCCCGGTCGCCTCAAGTGATCATCGAGGGCGACAGGTCGCGATCTCGCTCGCCCCATCGTCGCCGACTTGTGCGGACTCACCGTTCGCGCTCACGCTCTAGGTCACCGATCATCGTGCAACAGGCACCCTCCCGCCGTAGCCACAGTCCCAGAGTCGTTGTGGCACCTTCTGCGCCATCACGCCATGATTCACAACCGATTATCATTGAGGGAGGAGGGTCCAGACAGGAGTCTCAACCTATTATCATTCCAGAGCGTCCGGAGTCTACCCGTCCGATCATTGTTGGAGAACATGGGAGCACACGTAGCCGTGGCTTCCTCGGTCGTCTATTTGGTGGTGGCCGCCAAACCCCGCAGGTCATTATGACGGGCAGCAGACGATCGAGATCTCCAGAGCGCGTACTGGCAAAGGATCCTCCCATGTCGCAACCAATCATTGTGACGGATACTGGACGCCGTTCTCGCTCCCGTTCACCGAGACGCCACTATAGTCGCCGTTCGCGGAGCCCACAAGTGATAGTGACAGAATCTCGCAGACGTCGCTCTCGTTCTCGATCTTACTCTCCTCGCAAGAGATCCAGATCACCGATTAGGATCGTCCAAGATAGGTCGTCTCGCTCACCGAGACGCAGACTGGAGAGCCGTCGCCACTACTCCAGATCTCCTCGTCGCTACTCCCGGTCACCATCTCGACGTCACTATCGATCTCCGACCCGACGCCGCTCTCAATCTCCGGGCGGACGCTATTCCCGATCACCACCTCGCCGTCACCGAGGCTCGTATGGAGATCGTGAAGATCGTGACTATGGACGACGGTCTCGCTCGCATTCACCAAGACGAATCAGCCGTTCACCTACCAGAAGGAGCAGGTCCCTTACGAGACGCAGCCTCTCTCCGAGTCGTGGCGGTAGATCTCACTATACGCGATCAGAAGCACCTGTCATGGACTTTGACCCCCAGCATCGTGGAGGTCGCTCCCGCCGTGACTACAGCCCGACTCAATACAACCCAGGAACGAGTCGAAGGGAGCAGCCCCGCTCAAGGAGATCCCCTGATCGTGATAGCCGGTCACCGAGCTATCGTCGTCGCGAGCATGGTGGAAGATCCCGCCCAGAGTATGAAGACTATGATCCTCGGGACAGACCAGACTCACGTCGCCTCACTCGGCTGCCTTCTCCGAGCCATACAAGGTTCACTCGTCTCTCAGGTGCTGGTTCCCGAAGTCGCTCGCCCTTATCCCCTACAGCGTCGCGTGCGCCGGTCACTCATAGGACTGATGCGCAGAGTCCACCGGTCACCGTTTTTGTGCCAGGAGATGAGGCTCAGACACCCATAATTCAAGTGCCGACGAGAAGAGGGGTTCGTAGAGTTCTTATTCCACTGGTAGATATACTAACGCATTTTCAGGAGCCGCTATCTACGATTCATGAAGGGAGCCAGAGGGTGCGTTATACCCTCGTCCTTACGTTCACCGACTCACACTTTCCTTTAGACTACGAGTCCCAGTGTCATTCAAGTTCCTGCTTCCCGAGCCCATACTCCAGCTCATACGACTCTACGTGTCGCTTCGCCTGGCGCCCAATCAGTTAGCCCGTCCATCATTCAGCTCCCAACCGGAGAATATGCCCGTCGTGCCACGCCACAAATGTTGCGTGTTACTACACCACGAGCGGAGACTCCAGCAGCAGCGACCATTATACGTGTTCCCAGTGCAACGCCCTCTACTCGTCCTCAGCTTCTTCGTATCGGAACGCCCAAGCCAGCAGAACCCGCGTTTGTGGCGGAACCCAGGCCACGCACGCCACCGCCACCGCCGGCTCAAACGACCTATATCCAACTCCCCGGTCAACCTCTTCCTCCTCAACGAACACATACTGTTCGCGTCGGTGCCGCCACCCCAGTTTTGCAATCGCCTCCTGCCCCACCATCAGTAGAGCCCCAGTTACCAGCGCCTGCTATTATCCAATTGCCGGGTCAAGTGCAAGAGCCACAGAGATCGAGGACTATTCGCGTTGGTACTCCTGCTAGAGCAGAATTTGGGTATCCAATTCCAACCTCACCTGGAGCACCTTCAGTCATCCAGGTCGCAGGAGCTCCTGGATCACCTACACATCGAACTGTTCGCGTTGCATCTCCGTCATCGCCGACATTCCCCGAGCCAACGATCATAAGGCTTCCTGATGGTCAGGAGCGTCCATTGACACGAACACAAATGCTGCGCGTCGGGTCGCCTTCAGCAGCACCACCAGTTTCCCCATCCATCATACAGCTACCAGGAGGTGCTCACGAGCCTCGGCCACCAACACGAGGTCAGACTGTTCGAGTCGGCACACCAATGGCGGCGCCGATTAGTCCCACGGTCATTCAGCTTCCGTCTGGTCAAGAGCCACCGCGTCCGCCAACAAGAGGTCAAACAGTGCGTGTAGGTGGTTCGACGCCGGCACCTGCTCCTGTAGGCCCTTCGATCATCACGCTTCCGTCTGGTCAAGAGCCACCACGTCCACCTACAAGAAGTCAAACTGTTCGCGTAGGTGCGGCGATGCCTGCACCGGCACCGGCACCTGTAGGCCCCTCAATCATTAGGCTTCCATCTGCTCAGGATCAAGTTCGATCGCCTACTCGTGCCCAGACGGTACGAGTTGCTCCTGGTGCTACTCCTGCTCCCATTGCTGCTCCACCTCCCTCTGTGATCAAGCTTCCTGGTGGTCAAGAGGATGGGCTTCCAAGACCGCCAACAAGATCACAAACAGTGCGTGTCGGTGCACCCATCGTTCCTCCTGCGTCTCCTTCGATCATCCAGCTGCCCCCTGGCACTCATGATTTTGGAATTCCACGTCCGCCAACAAGGTCTCAGACCGTTCGCGTCGCTTCACCTACGCCTGCGCCAATTGCGCCATCTGTCATCCAATTGGCAGGTGGTCGCGATGTACCAGAGAGAGCTCCTACTTCGCAGCTCGTAAGAGTTGCCGGTGGTGTAGTCCCTCAACCTCCCGTTATTCCTCTCAGTCCACCTCCACCAACAGAGCAGATCATTCGCATTCCTGGAACTCCGTCGGTACCCCAGCCACCCGTCACGGTGAGAGTAGGCGGTCAACAGCTTCGCCGAACCCCCACACCTCCTCCACTCCCACCACCGACAATGATTCAACTGCCCGGCGACGCCACAAGAACAGTCAAGTCACCGATGGTTCGTGTAGCTGCATCATCTGCACCAACTCCTGTTCCACAGCCGCCCTCCCACATCATTCAGCTTCCAAGCTCTCCAACTCCCGGTTCGACTGCTCCCGCTTTCGTCCGGGTACCCGAGGGTGTCATGGGAGGGTTGACGGCAGTCCCCGGCGCTCCAGGAACGCCTGGTGTGGTTAGAGTAGAGCGCCGCGAAAGGACACCCACCGTCATCCAAGTCGGATCGCCAGGACCAGCGAGCAGACTCGTACGTGCCACTGCCTCTCCTACACCAGTGGTCCCCGGCTTTGTTCGACGTGGAGCTGCTGCCACCCCTGGTCTGCCACCAGTCCATGAGGTTGTTCGGGTCGAGTCTTATACTCCTGTTCCTGGTGCATCGCGAACGTCTCTCGATCGACCTCCATCTGAAGGTGTCTACCCGGATCGTCATTCACTCTCGCTTGTCTCGGTTGGTCACCCAAGCATTGTGTCACCCGTTCCGTCAATGTCTCGTCTCCAGAGAGGGCTTTCCATCGCCGACACTCTTGATAACATGGTCCGCGAGGAAGATGAGGAAGCACAACGTCGTCAGCGTCGTCGAGGTGCAGGCGGCATTCCCGTAGAGACATTCGACATGTTCGAGGATCGTGAACAGCAGCGTCAACGCCAGTTTGAACAGTTCATCGAGGAGCAGCGGGCTGAAAATGCTCGCCTTCGTGAAACGCTGGCAGAGATGATTCCCAAGAGTGCTACTCGTGAAGGCGGGTTCATTATTGAGGACGCTGCTGCTGCTGGACTCGAGAAGGGCTCCCGCGGAAGCGTGTCAGATATCAGCCTTCGCGATAGCGAGCTCCGTCGTGATTTGGACAATGAGCGGGCGCGTGTGCGTGAACTCGAGGCTGAGTTGGCCAAGATGCGGGAGCAATTGGAGGAAGAGCGGGCTCGCAAAGAAAGCAACGTTCAAGACAAGTGCGCCGAAATGCACGACGCCGTCAATGCTCATCATGACGAGATTCGTGTTCACCTTGGCGAGCTTACCAACCGCATGGCTGAGTGCAAGGAGGACAATGCGCGCAGGGATGCAGCCGACGAGGAGCGCCGCCGCGAGAAGGAGCAACGCCGTGCCGATAAGGAAGCCCAGCAGATGCAACTACAAGACATGCTCGCAAAAATGATGGCAGACCAGGCCGAGGATCGTCGAATCGCTGAGGAGGAGCGACGTCGTGCAGCCGAACGCCCAGGTTTGTTATTCACAATGGATGCGACTCTTGCTGACCTGAATTCAGGACTTGAAGAGGTTATTGCTCAACTGCGCCAACAAAACGAAGAGCAGCAACGTCTGTTGGTCACCCTCATGGATGGTGCGTACAAGAAGCCAAATGTAAACCTCTCTAACCAATATCCAGAGTACCGCAATACCGCTACTCAGCAAAACGCCGACACGATTGAAGCTGTCCGCGCCGCTGTAGCTACCCATGTTCCGATGGATATCCAGGGTGTACGTATCGGACAAGCATGGTCTGCATCTTGTGGCTAACGTCTCGGCAGCACTTGAACGACTTCAGCAAATCCCTTGCTGAAGAAGTCCGCCTCTTGCTTCGTGAGGTTGGCAAGTTGCGCGAGGAGAAGCGCAACATACAGTATGAGATTGGTTGTATGCTTTGCTTGAAGAGCAAGTATGGACCAGGTGGCGAATTTGATCCCGAATGGTAAGAACAGTTTTGTTGATTTTCATGGGTCTGACAGTGTCTTGTAGGCGTCCTTCGACTGGCCCTTATGCGAACGGACCTCCTATGCCTGACGCGCCTGCTGGTGAACCGGCTGCTCCTCCAGAACCTGATCGACCTACGACAGCACCTCCTGCCTGGCGAACAATCCAGCAAAAGCGAAAGCCCGGTCGAAAGCGTGAACAAGCCGCTGCACCACCCCCGCCCGCACCGATGCCCGTCCCAACTGTCCCGTCTGTTCCTGCCCCGCCCCCAATGACCGTTCCGATTTCTCACATCCCCCCGTCTGCTATGGCACCACCTTCAGCGATGCCTCCGCCGTCGGCGATGCCGGCTCCGTCTATGATGGACCACGCATCCCGTCAGCAGTCGTGGTACGCTTGGCAACGTGAGTACTAGGGTTTGGCGTAGATTATACCTTGCTAACAACTCTGCAGCCGATCCTCGTTATGTTCCTTCGTCTCCTTCAAGTGCACCAATGTATGAAGTTCCAGACTCTCGACCGCTCGGCTTCTTTGGCCCACGGTCCCCGCGTGATTCTGCGATATGATTTCTCTAGACTTTTCGTGCCATGCTTCCCTCAATCTGCCTCGGAATCTGTTGACTGTGCTTTCATTTGTATGATTTGTGTCTCTGTCTCTAATAGAGCCTATTTTGTCTCAATTGCCGCTTTATCCGTTTACCCCGCGCTTGATTCAGGAATTCAATAGCGCCGACTGTTTGATCCGACCTCAGCTTATTCTCTTCCATCATAATGGACGCGGGGTCTGAGTTCTGCGTGGGCTGTTATACCGCTTGCAGTAAGTCCCTTTAAAATGGTGAACCTGTAACGTGCTGAAACACTGCTAGTCGTGTTCTGCACGGTGTCGCTTCAGACCTACTTGTTTGGCAGTGAGTCTAGGTCGAAGGGACACGGAAAGTGCTAATTCGAATTGAAATCTCTTCAATCTCGTCGAATTATCCCTTCGGTACTTGGATCTGATGACGACAAATGTGAAGCACGGTGTGATGGCTGCTGCGGTAGCTCTGGACAGCGCGGGTGCTGCAATTGCTCATGCTTCAGCATTGAAGATGATGCGTTTGATGAGCCGCCTTCAAAGACGCCCAGCAAGACGCCGAATGTGGAGCAACCATCTGCCAAGGACAATATGGCGATCCCAAAATGACGTTAAACCAGTTACATAACCCGCACAGGCGCTACATATAATCTACTATACGGTGTTATTTAGATGCCTTCTTGGAGTGGAGAGTCCTCGCTATAGATGGACATTGTCTTGAATGAGTCGGAAGGTGTAGGCGCAAGTTTGGTAGCAATGACGTTCTGCATGCGCGCATGTTCGAGTTCGAGTTCGTCTTTGATTCGTTGGTAGTCTGAATATCTGTTTGTCAGTGCTCTACTCTCACTTTCCCTTCAAGTATTCCCGTACCGTCTCGTTCTCGCTTGGCTGCTTGGATCGTCTCCATACGTTGTGCGTGCTGGTTCTGTGCAATCGTTTGAAGTGAAGAGAGAAGGTTCTGCATGTTTTGTGCCTTCTTCTCCCGTCTGCGTGCTTTCTCCTTTTCTTCTTCTTCCTCTAACATCTGGCGACGAGCCGCACGGGCTTTACATTCATCCGTCGTATCGATGAGACTCTGAAGTTCGGATTTAAGGGAATTATGAGTTTCTTCCAGGTGCACTTTGAGTTCGCCAGAGGTGGTCGGTTCCATCTTGAACTGCGCCTCTTCAGTGCTGGAGAGTGCAACTACAGCAATGCGAGCATCGTTTGTGACACTACCGACGGAAATCATCGAATATACACTTTCATTCGTTTACCCGCTCGAACTTGTGGCATTCCGTCAGGTCAGCGCTTTGCCATCTGGCCTATTCCAACGTTTACTGATACAGTCGCTGTATTCTCTGGCAAATCAATGTGGTTATAAATGGTATCTAGGTGTCTAGGCTGTTCAAATATCTGATAGACACATCGCCCGAGTTACAACTCAGAATCGAGCTCATTCATGACGGGCTCCTTCTTCATCATCGCGGCTCACCGGCTGCACTACAAGCCAATGTCCTCATGAGTCACGTTCTGGCACGTCGGCACGCATGGGAGAACTTGGACCCTCGATGGACGTGGGACGAGGAATGCGCGGATACGAGCAACACACAGTATGAAGTCTGCGATGGAATATGGGCGCATAGCTTTGATCGGATTGGGAACGGTCCGTTTACTGGTCTCAAGTATTGCGAGCTCGCCCCTCCATCCCAATCCCAGAGGTTCACTGCTGATGCCACCGATATAAACTCGCCATGGGAACACACAATTCATAATCTGGGTATGAATGCCACCGATTTCTCATTTAATGCATACCATGACGTGCATATTCTGGTAGAGCCCATTCACGACAAGTACGTCCCCGTCTGGCAGACGTACTCCATTTAAAGATTGAACTCCTTCTCTAGTACCGCCCGCCGGATGCACTTTCGGCAGATGTCGACCAATGGGGTTCACCCGGACGCTGCGGCACCATATCTTGACATTTTTGCCAAAGACTGTAGCGTGTGGGGAGAATGTCAAACAATAGCATACCAAAACAGGGTGCTTACACTGTTTAGCGAATGGGATGGAGAGTCGAGAAAATGTGCTGTCATGGTCATCGACTGGAGGCTTTCAAAGGCGGTATTGGTGGGTTCTGTCCACAAACGCGGGCGCTCATATGTATCATGCTCATTCTTCCATCAAGCCATTCACAGTCGTCGGGGATGCGGCCCTCGTGTCGAGCCACAGAATTCTGCTTCTTCATCTACCCGATACCCAACATGGACCCTGCGTGGACCTTCACTCCCTCGCCACGGAATCGTCAGCTGGTACTATCCTATGCCGCTTCCATCTTCCTTTCCCATTCCCAATCCGCTTTGGATACCTCTTTACCCACCCTGGGTCACGATTCGGAGAGGACCAGCGCTCCAGGTCTCTCTTCGGAGGAACAGGCGAGGAAGGATGGAAGAGTACCGTACAAAACCACAGTCCTGTCACTCAGGCCAAGCTCTTTATAACCGACCCCAGGGTGGAGATTGTTGGGTGCATGCTACGCGGGACGGAAAGGAATGAATCAATATTCATGGTCCTTTCTATTGGAAGAATGGTCAAATTATATAACGCGCGTACGAGAGCAGCAAGCGAGCCGACACGACACGGTGAAGCAGCGGCAGATGGGAACAGATACGACACGGTGGATGTAAAGCGTCCATCTGCAGGCGAAGCTTTGCGAACGGAAGATAAATCGGCATCACAAATCCAAGGGACACACGGCAATTATGCCGAAAATGACCAAGACCAAACTCCACCTGGGCCTACAAGCCCAGAATGTGCCTTTTCATGGCACGAATGGGGTCCCGATTCTTCACGTTGCTTACCGCCATATTCAGTTTTCAATGCCGGCTTCCGGTCTACAGCAGGATCGCGGATTGCAATATGGGATATGTGGACGACGACGGACAGGATCGCTAGGTTGGCAGTGCTCGACTTCAATCCTCTCCCTATTCGACGGGCCGAGACAAAGGAGCGGATGGAACGAGCGAGCACGGGCTCGCAAGAGAGAAAGCGAAAGACCAAGGCTGATGCAAAGGCGTATGCAAGTCAAACAATAGAGGCGGTGGAAAACGAAACAGACACAAATAGCCCTGTGAAAAGTCAGGCTATTGAGAACCCGGGTCTAGTAATCACGGATCGGCTTGTAGCCAGAACCGTGACTGCACCAACCGTGACTAGACTCTGGGGCTGGAGTATGGACGTTGAGACGCGACTGCCCTACCGTATATTTACGCTTCGGTGGGATTTTGACTACCGTAGTGTGTTTCTAGATAATACGACAATTATCGGTAGAAGGGTGCGTATCTGTCTCTTCGTTTATCTTTGATTCGTCGTGACTTGAGACTGACGCTGATTCACAGGAGCAATCGTACCATTTTTACTCTTTTCTCCCGCGCTTTGGCGAGCTGGATAAGACGCCTCTGCTAGGGACAAAACCGACGCTCTTACCTCCGCTAGACTTGGTAAACCTACAACTGTCCACTGAAAATAATGGCGAAGATCTAGAAAGTGTCCCTGATGAAGAGGGTGAAGTCCCAGATCCGGCGGATGATGGCAGCGAAGTCGAAGTGCAGGAGGATACAGACAATGATGCGAGTGAACAGACTGCGAAGGTCGCATACGCTCTTGTTGGAGATCAGTTTATCGAGGTTGACATTGACGGTATTGGACTAGAGCTGGTCGATATGGATCCTGCGCAGGATATATTCGAGCCAGGCACGAGCGAACAGCAGTAATCATTAGACAGACTGGTATTATTATATTTGAAATGAATGGAACGAACCATTGTACGAGACGCTCCTTTATACAGATCTACTCGCGGTTCATGTCTGCGTGCCAGATCCGTGGAGGCTGACCCTGTCATGATTGCCACCACATATCGTTGCCTCACCAAGGTTCCGAGATAAGTGGTTCTCTCTTACCTACACCCATGTTTGATTCCCCAGCGCCGTATCGTAAGCAAAGCGAAGCGCCGTCGCCCCTGCTTCAACCTTAAACTTCACGTCATACGCTCGCTGAAAGATGGAGAGGAAACTGCGGCCATGCGAGCATCGTTTGTGACACTCCCAATGGAGACCATCGAATATACACTCTTGTTTGTTTATCCGCTTGAGCTTGTAGCCCTCCGTCAGGTCAGCGCTTTGCCGTCCTACCTAATCTAAGGTCCACTAACACATTCAACATGTTCTGCGAAACAAATGGGAACCATCAATAATGCTCAGGTGTCCAAGTTGTTCAAAGATCTGATAGACGCGTCGCCCGAGCTGCAACTCAGAATCGAGCTCATTCACGATGGGCTCCTCCTTCACCATCGCGGCTCGCCTACTCCATTACCGGCTAATGTCCTCCTGAATCACGTTCTCGCGCGTCGACGCGCATGGGAGAACCTGGACCCTCGATGGATATGGGACGAGGACTGCCCGGACACGGAAAGCGCACAATTTGAAATCTGCGATGGAATATGGGCGCATAGCTCTAATCATATTGGGGATGGCTCGTTTATCGGGCTAAAGTACCGCGAACTCGCTCCTCCTCCATCCCAGTCCCAGGATGTCACTCCTGATGATATGAACATGCCATGGGAACACACTATTGACCATTTGGGTATGAATGCCACCGATTTCTCATTCAACGCATACCATGACGCGCAAATTTTGATGGAATCCCTTTACGACAAGTGAGTCCATCATTTTATGCATTTGGGCTCTATTTGACGGATGGCCACTACATAGCACGGTACGGCGCATGCACTTTCGTCGAATATCAACCAATGAGGTTCACCCTGACGCTGCGGCGCCATACTTCGATATTTTTGCGAAAGACTGCAGCGTGTGGGCTGGATGCCAAACGATAGCATACCAGAATAGGGTGCTCATGATGTTCAGCGATTGGAACGGGGACTTGAGAACGTCTGCTGCTATGGTCATCGACTGGAAGCTCTCAAAGGCGGTATTGGTAAGCATTGCCTATGTATACATATGTTTAAATGCGTCGTATTGATCAGGAGTTCAAGCCATTCACACCCGTCACAGACGCGGCTTTCGTATCGAGTCACAGGATTCTATTGCTACATCTGGGTGATGGCCAGCATGGGCCCTACGTGGATCTTCACACTCTTGCCCCAGATTCCGCGAATCGCACCATACTATGTCGCTTTCATTTTCCTTCTTCACTACAGGCCTTTAACGGGTGGTTTTTCACTCATCCTGGGTCACGCTTCGGGGAAGACCAGTACTCCAACGCCCTCTTTGGAGCGACTCGACAGAATGGACGAGACGAGGAAGGTTGGAAGGTACCCGTACACAACCACAGTCCTGTCACTCAAGCCAAGCTCTTTATAACCGACCCCAGAGTGGAGATTGTTGGCTGCATGCTATCTGGAGGAGACGAAGACGAAGAAATATTCCTGGCCCTCTCGGTTGGACGAATGGTTAAACTATATAACGCACGGGCGCGGCCGGAAGACGACTCGATGGGAAAAGATGAAGAAGAGACTGATCGAAAGATAGATGACCTGAAACAGGATACTGGGTGCCAACCTACAGATTTAGGGTCGCAAGAAGACAGCAAAGCAACACCCGAAAGCCAAGGGACACATGCGGATGATGATATTAGCCAGAGCGAACCGTGCTCTCAATCCGTGATTCCAGAATGCTCCTTATCGTTTCTATGGGATGAATGGGGCCCCGATTCTTCGCGTTGCTTGCCCTCGCGTAGAATCTTCAACGCGGGTTTTCGGTCCACGGCTGGATCACGAATGATGGTCTGGGATGTCGGAAACGATACCTAGAGGAGTCAATCTGGCGGTGCTCGACTTTAACCCTCTCCCAATTCGACGAGCCGAAGCGAAGAAGTGGATGAAGCTAGCGATCTCGCACCCGCAAGAAAAGGCAGGAAACATAGAAGCCGACACAAGTAGTACCACGAGTCGGGACACTGGATGGGTGGAAGGCGATACAAACATCAGCGGAGAAGACGCTGTTGGACCCGTCACAAAACCCGGGATGAACAGTAATCAGACCATCCAGGAACCCAACATAGTCATCACCGATCGACTTGTGGTCAGGACCGTAACCGCACCAACGGTAACTCACCTCCCCGGGTGGAGCACAGACATTGAGACGCGATTGCCCTACCGTATTTTTACGCTGCGGTGGGACTTTGATTTAAATATCGTGGGCATGAATGATACGACGATTATCTGCAGAGGGGTGCGTGTTTGTCTCTTTCTCCGTCACAACTTGAATGGATGCATAGGACTCATCTTATCAATTTTTCTCGTTTCTTCCGCATTTTGACGAGCCAGAGGAGACAGTACCCCTGTTAGGGACAAGGCCGACATTTCTTTTCCCGCTAGACTTGGTGAACCTGCAAGGGTTTACCGGGAGTAATAATGAAGAATTGGAGAATGATTGGGGTGAGGATGCGCATGAACAGACCGCGCAGTTCGCAGCGACTCTCATTGGAGGTCAGCTCGTTGACGTAAATGTTGAAAGTATTGGACTGGAACTGCTCGACATGGATCCTCTGCAGGATCCTGCCCAGGCACATGCGAACAGCAGCAACCATTAGACAGACTGGTGTATTGTATCTGAATTGAATGAACTGGGCCCTTTTAGTATGCTCGTGGTTTATGTCTGCGATAGTGGTCAATGTCTGCGGGTGATATTTAGACCCTGCCATGACGGTCACGCGGCCATGTTACCTCACCGAGCTCCCGGCCGAAATCTTAGAAGAGATTCTATCCTACCTACATCCATGTTTAATCGCCCAGTGCCGAATCGTAAGCAAAGCAAAGCGTGGTCGCCCATGGTTCAGCTCTGATATCGCACCCCAAGCTGAATCGTGCTCTCAAGCTCATTGTGGAAAGTTCTATTGAGCTACAGCTACGTATAGAGCTCGGCATAGACGGATATATCATGGAGTGGCCACTGCCCGCCGTCATCTCTGCCCACGAGATGCTCAAAGTCGTACAGAAAAGGCGCCTTGCTTTCGAAACGGGCACACCATTCACTACTTGGACCTTGGACGCGCCCCAGCAAAGTCAATACGAGGTTTGTCCCTTTTCCTAGGCTTTATTCCACTTAAAGTGACTGAATATTGACGTGTACTATTCCAATGCGAAACAGATAAGCAATGGTGTGCTCGGATATGGAATACTACCGAGCTCAAGTGGATACAATGGAATCAGATACGAAAACCTCTATCCTACATCCAAAAGTAAAAGAGAGGATGCAAATCACAATAAAGAGCCTGGGAAAGAAATCATCTTGGGCGATGGACTGACCCCACGTGTGGCCGACTTTTCATTTAGCTTTGACGACAACCTCCAAGTCCTTGTCAGTGTTTTGAGCCCCGAGTACGTCATATGCCTTCTCATTTACAATTGAAGGTGACTGAAGCGCTACAGCGAGACGCGAACTATATACTTTCGAACTATCGACACCAATGAGCCACATCCACAGGCCGCATCGACCCAGATTGTTTTGAAACCCCGAGATGGAATCTTGCGAACGCGATGTTTGACACTTCTCAGTCATTCCCATATCTCGTTTGCGTTGTATGCTTCGAACGCGCCCGTTTTGCACGTCATCTATAACTGGCGTACAGGCGATTACGCCCTGGTAAGCAACTCGTGGCTTCCTTACGGTCTGTATACTAACGAAAATGGAAAGCCGTATCAAAACGTCGATGATATCGCATTCCTTAACGAGCACTTCGCACTTCTTCTCCTCAATTCAACGGATTACATTGGCTTATCAGTGTACAACCTCGATAGGAAGCAGGTAATCCGTCGACTTAAGCTGCCTTTCCGCTCTGTTCTGCGCTCGGCGTATTTCATCACTGGTCCGCCAAAACGCGCGCGGTCACCATCCAATGGAAAGGAAAATCCATTTGAATCAATGACCTTTGATCCCAAAGTTGAAGTTATAGGGCTTCAATTGACGGCTACCAACGAGGGGCCACGGGGATATCACGCATACGGAGTGATAAGTATTGATGGCCTCCTTAGGAAAATGCGATCACCTTCCGATATAAATCTTGATATAGACCAGCATGACGCTTATATGCGGCAATCATCGGCGCCTACTGCCGAGCAAGGCTTGGAGGGTGTAGACATACAGTGGGATGAGTGGGGCCCACCAGTCATGCGATGGTTTGACGATGGTGATATATTCGATGCAAGTTTTCGGTCCATATCTGGTTCGCGTTTTCTCGTGCGACAGCGGCGCAAAGACAAGAGTGGTGCTCTATCACGACGGCGAAATGTTGTCTGCATCTTGGAATTCAACCTTCGCTCCGAGGTGCGCAGTGGTTATATACACTCTAGGGATAATGAAGCGACGGCATATAATGAAGCAAGGACCGTCGGCACCAAGGTTGTTCGCGCCGAGACCGTAATAAAGATCAATGAAGGGGGAACAGGGCACGCTTTCAATGTCTTATCGTCGCTTCCATATCGAGTGATCGACCTTCCTTCTATTCCATCGGAGCCTTATTACGATTACTATCTTGACGGAAATACCGTCCTTGGACGAGATGTGAGTCGGATCATTATGGCCCTGTTTACTCTGACAAGAGTAGGATACGAGATATGACATTTATTCTTTCTGTCCGTCCGGTGTACGTCAATTGGAAGACAATGGAGACTAATGTAATCGTCGAGTTCATCCTACATAACTTCATGGAGAAGAGTGATCAATGGAAGAAATACATTAGATGTACAGGGTTCAATCCCCGACTTGAACTTCGCCATGCCCGTCGGGCCCTCGTATCTCACCGAGGTTCCCGTCGAAGTCGTGGAGAATATTTTCTCCTATCTACACCCTTGTGAAATAGTTCAATGTCGCATTGTGAGAGCTGGTACGGTGTCATCAAGTCGAGACTTAGCCAGTTCACAGCTCTGTAGCGCATTGAAATCAATTGTAGACACGTCGATAGAGCTTCAGCTTCGAATCGAGCTAGGGATCGATGGCTATCTTCTCAACTCATCACCGCCGATACCAGCTTGCGAGATGCTAGCCTTAGTTCTAGAACGGCGAACAAGATTCCAGCAAGGAGACCATGTTTCCAAGTATAGGTTAGAAACTCAATTCCATGGTCAATATGAGGTTCGTCTTCGGTCTATATCCGCATTCCTGTGCTCAGTCGTCCAAAGATCAGCAACGGCTTCTTCGCCTATGGTATCAACCCAAAGTCGCCCGGGGTGTTCAACGGTATAAAATATTTCCCGTTGACATCGGAAACATGTAGGACGGATAGAACGAGAGAACGGTTGGAATTCACAGATCTCGGCATCGACCTGACCGATTTTTCGTTCAGTGTTGACGACGACTTGCAAGTCTTGGTCGAGAAAGTAAATCTTGAGGCGTCAGTACCAATATATATTGATATACTCTGTCTAAATTCCAGTAGCCGGACGCGTACGATTTATTTCCGAACAATTTCGACCAACGAAGCGCATCCGCTTGCTGGTTCACCGCAGTTAGTTCTACGGCTTGAGGATTTCAACCTCGAAGAGCAATGTTATACTCTCCTTTCTCATGACCATATTGGCTTCGGCTTCTACAACTGGGACGTAGTGGGACACGAATGTGCGCAGATCATCTATAATTGGCGAACCGCTGAACATATCTTAGTAGGTCTGAATTTGATTCAGGGGCTAGTTCTTACTCTTTTCAGCCATACTCCCCGGTGTCTGATGCTCTTTTCCTCAGTAAGGAATGGGCAGCTCTTCTCATCAACCAGAGCGATTTTGTCGGGATATCTCTCATCAATCTCAAAGATGGGTGTACTCTGCAAAAGTTTCGCCTCCCATTTCGGAAGCCTGTCAGCTCCTGCTTCTTTATTACGAGCACGCCAAAACGCTTCCGACCACCAACGAAAAGCGATCCTTTCCGTTGCCTCACACAGGATCCAAAAGTTCAGATCCTAGGCATCGTCGTCACGCCAATATCAGGAAACGGGATCGAAGACGACATACATATCGTTGTAAGCGCACAGCGCCTTTTTACCAAACTGGAGCAGGTCCAGACCTCGACATCACCGCCAGAGTTTGTTGAATGGGAAGACTGGGGCCCTCAGACGACTCGTTGGTTCGGATTTAGCGAGGTCTCTGAAGCGAGTTTTCGTTCCATCTCCGGATCACGTCTTTTGGGCAAGTTAACGCCTATCAGAACGGACGAAGTTTGGCAGAGAGAGCTGCTTCTGATCTTTGATTTTAATATGCGAGCTGTCCGTCGATATAGCTCAACGGCTACTAGTACAGAGGACACCTCGTTCAAGGTGTTCAAAACGTACACCAGTGATAGCGAGTTACTTAATGCGGGTGGTTCTGGAATTGACGTCGTCTCGTCGCTGTCATGCTTTGCGACCGCCACAACTATCACTGCAAAGGACTACTTTGATTTTTTCCTCGAGGATCATGCCATCATTGGGAAAGCAGTGGGTAGCTTTTACTACACGTAACCCTACGTGAGCTCATCACCTACAGCATTTCGGATATGACCTCTTCTCCTTTTATCCGAGTACGAGCGAATAAAGCTCTAGACCTTTACAGATGCACGTTATCTCTCGGAAGTCACCTCTATACTTTAGTAATGGAGTGAAATCCCCTGACTTGATCCCTCGACTCCATCTCCAACCATGTCCCACATCCTCCCTGCACGGAGCCAGCGATAGGATGCCCATCCGCGGCTCGCTTTGGCAAAAATAGCTCGCCAAGCTCTGAATCCGCAGACAATAACTCCACATCAGTTCCAAACTCTACCATATCTATCGGCAAACAAACGAGGGAGTCTATCCAGAGGCAAGCACGAGCCCCTCTCTCCATATACCCACCCGTTCGGCGTCCCGACAACAAGAAAGGAAAAACAGTATTATAACGGAACACTTCCCGTCTTCTTAGGTGTTTCTGTGCTCGAGCCTGGTGGGGTTTAGTCCCTACATACGAGACAGAATCCGCAATATTTCTTCTAGAAAAAAGGTTCTATATCCTAGTTTGACGATCCATAGAGACACGAGTGATCAATGTATGATACGAAAGAGCTGTTCATAGTTCAATCCCCGACTTGAACCTCGCCATGCCAGTCGGGCCCTCGTATCTCACCGAGGTTCCCGTCGAACTCGTTGAGAATATCCTCTTCTATCTGCACCCTTGTGAGATAGCTCAATGTCGTATCGTGAGAGCCGCATAGAGGGTCACGAAGCCGAGACTTAGCCAGTTCGCAGCTCTGTAGCGGGTTGAAATCAATTGTAGACACGTCTATTGAACTTCAGCTTCGAATCGAACTGGGAATCGATGGCTTTCTTCTCAACTCATTACCGCTGATACCGGCTCGCGAAATGCTAGCCTTAGTTCTAGAACGGCGAACAAGATTCCAGCAAGGAGACCATGTTTCCAAGTATAGGTTAGAAACTCAATTCCATGGTCAATATGAGGTTCGTCTTCGGTCTATATCCGCATTCCTGTGCTCAGTCGTCCAAAGATCAGCAACGGCGTCTTCGCCTATGGTATCAATCCAAAGTCATCAGATGTATTCAGCGGCATAAAATATGTCCCGCTGACGTCGGAAATATTTAGGGAAAAAGGAACGAGAGAAAAGTTGGAATTCACAGATCTTGGCGTCGACCTGACCGATTTTTCGTTCAGTGTTGACGACGACTTGCAAGTCTTGGTCGAGAAAGCGGACACTGAGGCGTCAGTATCGATATCCGTTGATATACCTTGTCTAAATCCCAGTAGCCGGACGCGTACGATTTATTTCCGAACAATTTCGACCAACGAACCCCATCCGCTTGCTGGTTTGCCGCAGTTAGTTCTAGAACTTGATGATTTCGACCTCGGCGCACAGTGTTATACTCTCCTCTCTCATGACCATCTCAGTATTGGCCTTTATAACTGGGACGTAGTAGGACACGAATGCGCCCATATTATCTATAATTGGCGCACAGCTGAACACATTTTAGTAAGTCTGCATTCTATTAAGAGGTTGATTCTTATGCTCCTAGCCATATTCTCTGGTGTGCGATGCCCATTTTCTCAACAAAGAATTAGTGGCTCTTCTCATCAACCAGAGCGATTTTGTCGGTATATCTCTCCTTAATCTCACCGATGGACGTACTGTACAAAAGTTCAGCCTACCATTTCGGAAGCCTGTCCGTTCCTGCTTGTTCATGGCGGGCACGCCCAAACGCCACCGAACACAGACGAAGAAGGAACCATTCCGTTGTCTCACGCAAGATCCAAAAGTCCAGATCATAGGCATTGCTATGACGCCCGTCTCGGGAAATGGGATTGAGCACGACGTACATGTGGTCATAAGCGCCTCCCACCTTTGATCCAAACTGGACAATGTCCAGGTTCCATCAGAGCATATGGAATGGGAAGATTGGGGCCCTCAGGCAACTCGCTGGTTCGGATTCGATGACGTCTCTCAAGCGAGCCTCTCCGGATCACGTCTTTTAGGCAAATCACGGCCTAGGATAACGGATGAGGTTTGGCGGGGGGAGCAGCTCTTGATCTTTGATTTCAACATGCGGGCCCTCCGTCGACATGCATCATCAGCCACCGCCAAGGAGGGCTCCTCGTTTAGAGCGTTCAGAACTTACACTGGTGATAGCGAGCTACTTGATGCAGGTAGGTCTGGAATTGATATAGTCTCATCTCTGTCGTGCGTTGCGACCACCATTAACATCAATGCACTGGGCTACTCCGAGTTTTTGCTGGAGGACCATGTAATTATTGGAGAAGCGGTGGGTAGTCTTTATCAGATGCAGATCTATGGGAACTCAACACCTAAAGGATTTCGGATACGACGTCTTTTCGTTTTATCCGAGTACGAGCGGATAAAATCTTGGTCAGATGTACGTTATCTCCTCCTCAAAATTAGATAAGAACCCTGAATCCATCTCCAACCTTGGTCTCCTTGCCTACTTTCATGATTATTGTCACCCAATTCCATTCTGATCGTTACTTCAAAATGCCGAAGCCCACGATGCTTACACCGGAGAGAACAGAAGCGAGTCAAATGTAGACATTCGATTAAGGAAAGATATAGTTATTTGGAAGTCGGTCTTGAAGCTCCTTGTCACTAAGCCAGTGAAGGGGTCCGATGCCGCCATCTCTGTTCGTCTCGAACAAAGATAGCTCCCAAAACACCAAATCCACGACTCGAATAACCGTAGCCTTGGTCTCAAGACCTACCATATCCATCGACAAAACAAACGAGAGCACGCGGTCGGTCTACAGAGGCAAACAGTCCCCGTTCGCACGCACGAGTGCACCTCTGCAAATGCCGTCCGTTCCGCGTCCCGACAAGACAAATAGGCGAGGACAAAGGCGAGGCAAACGGACCTGACGAGCCCATGGTTCCCATTGACATCTCCGATCTCTATACCACCCCCATATGGCAACTCATACCGCATATCCAAAATAGAACACACAAAAAAAACGACAATAGCCACTCCTAAAATGGAACTCCTATTTCAACCAACAGACACGACAAGACTCAAAGTGGGACGACAAAAAGCTGGTTTGGGTGTGATAAACAACATGCAGTTTGATTTGCGCAAAAAGACACCGCTTCAATACAGGGAGCTGTACGAGGTTTGGGAACAGAGAAAGAGAGAGACCGAGTCGAGAGTGGCCAAGAAATGTCAAAGTCGTGTGCGTAACCCTCGAGACGGGAAAACGCGCACGACCCGTTGATACGCGAGCCGCGGCCAACGCAGCGGCGACGCTAGAGCGTAAATAGCCAGGGGAAATGAGACGATGGAGGGGATAGAGAGACACACGAGTCGCACAATGTCGGCACAATGGGCACAAAGGTTGGTGGGGTTTGGGTGTTACCTGATATCGACAATCAACAAAAAAGGGAGAGGTAGAAGTGTAGGTGAGAGAGGAGCTGGGGATGGGGAGGGGAGAGATCCGATGAAATTCTGTAGGTTTTGGGGTTAGGATAGCGATGCTGGAGGGGTTAATGATGATAATGATGATGATGGTAATGGATTGATGATTGGGTGATGCAAGGCCAAAAAAAAGTGTACGGTATGCGAAAGAAGAACAGGTAACGGCGCAGCTACTACGCTCCCCCTCTTACTCTCAAAGATAGAGAGCATTAGGAAGAGAGGCAACCGCGCTCAATGTCCATGTGTGTCGGCTTTCGAGTTGGTTGGATACATAAGAGAGGGCCCCCCACGCGGCCCGCGCAATGCGCCAGTTTCGTCAAAAGGTGTGTCGTGAAAACAAGGGAAAGTTGGCGTTTGAGAAATGGTTCGTCATCGTCGTTCATCAAGAAAGGAACGTGTAAGTCGTGAGTATCATCCATTTCGAGTCCATTGCGCGGGACCGTGTTGGGGGGGACTGGTGGGTTCTTCGAGCTCTATCCACTTTGCCTTGATGGAGGGGTCGGGATAGGAATAGTTGAGGTCTTGAGCCTTGAGGAACCGTAAGCACCGTCCCCGCCGCGTCCATGGACGAGCGTAAACGGGTTTAGAATCATCGACGCCTCGGGTAAGGTTGCTCCGTCATGAACGGAACTACCTGAGGCGCTCGGGCGCGGTAGACGGGTGTCGTATCGCCTTCTCGGTACTGGGTTTGGACAACGGCAACCTTGACAGCCTGAGCGTAGACACTGTCGATACGTCGGGGCATGTCAATCCCGTCCCAGTCATTCAAGACGACATTCTTTGCTTTTGTCATGGGGCTCGCATGATATTCATCTCTCATCTCTTGCTCGCGACGCGACAAGAGCTTCTTGGGACGTGCCTGGACGCTGTGACTTCGGCTGCGATGAGAGACTGGGGACGCATGCGTGCTGGTCGTGCTCGTAGACGGGGTATAGGGTTGAGAATGAGCCGAATGTCCAGCGTCGGATCCAGTCAGCATCGTCGAGCCTCCCTGACCAAGGTTGACGTTCGACTTGCGGTTCTCCTTCTTGCCCTTGACGAGGTAAACAGGGTATTGGATGGCCTTGGAAAGCGACTTGGTCAACGAATTGGACCGCGCGCGAACACGCCCCATAAACGAGTCGTCCTTGTCCTTCTTTCTCCCTCGCTCTTCCTCCCCTCCGAGCTTGACGACCGATGTCTGTGAGGGACGCGACATGGCAGAGCCGAGGTAATATGTCGAAGGATTGGGCGCATCGCTCATCCCACGACCACGTCGGGGCAGTTGCTGTTGCTGCGGCGGATCTGGCTGACTTGTGTGCGAGTTCCAAGTATCACAGTGACTTGAACCAGTCGAGGCCGAGCTCGGAGAAATGTCTTGTGTCGACGCGGATGCATTTCGATGATGAGATAATTTGCGCTGACGCTCCGCGCTCCAGTCTTGCGACGACGTAGAGGCGTGGCGTTGGTGCTTTGAAGGGGTCACCGCTACGGGGAAAGCGACAGCTTGAGGGGTCGTAGCATTGGAAGCATATCGTTGATTTGGATAGGGATTAGAGGCAGTCGGGGTTTCGGGGAAAACGCCTTGGACCGTTCGCGCAGAGCCCGGAAGAGTGGTGGATGGAACCGAGGCAGAAGCGCTATGATGACGTCCGAGACTTGCACTTGAGATGACAAAGTGATCCGCGGCACCGCCAGACTTGGAATACTGATGGCCCTGGACGACCGTCTTGGACGACGACGCGCGACTGTCGAGCCTTTGTTGGCCCGTGGCCTTTGACCAAGTTTCTGGTTGGTGTTGCGACGGTGCATCCCGATACTGATGGAAAAACGATACGAGTCAGCCGAAGCGAGACGAGACCAGGCAGCAGCAGCCACAAACTTACAATCGCTGTTTGACGAAAACGAGATCGCGAGGAGCCGGATGGATCATCGGTGGTGGGAGTCTGATAAGGCAATCATGTCAGTTGTTACTCGGGCTTTGGAGAGAAGGGGAGACGGACCTGGATGACCTGGGGCTCACTGCCAGGTGTCCATTGGAAATGTTGTTGGACATCTCCTCGTTCATCTGCGACGTGACTGGCTTGCGTCTCGGGTGGGACGCCGAGGACGGTCTGCCATCAGTGGTCGCGCTTCGGCCTAGGCTGGAAGACTTTTGGCCAGCAGAGACAGAGGCGGGAGACGGGCGGTGTTCTCGTTCTGTTAATTTTGCGAGGGATTGTTGCTTGTATCGTTGGGCTTCCTAGAGAACGCGGCGTCAGTCATGGTCCGATGACCAGGCAGGCAGGTGGGTTCGGACGATGTGAGGCTGGGGAGCGTGTGGCTGAGGTCGTCACAAAATATCGCTACTTACTGTTGGCTGATAAGGCGCAGAAATATACTCTCTCTCCTGTTCTGGTCGTGACGGTAACGGTTTCGAGAGGACCTGGACGCTGGAGCGGGTGTGGGCGTGCTGGGGAAATAAAACACGAAATTCCATGAATAAATCAGACCAAAAGGTGGGCGCAGAGGACTCGTGAGCGAGAGATGGGGAAATCCAGTTTCCGACGACTTACCTGAGCCTTTTGGGCCACACGAGGATCCTGATAATCTGCGCTGTGGCCGTGTCTGTGATGAGGCCTGGATGGGACGTGGGCATGCGTCCCAGAGTTGGTGGGGCCGTTTGGGTGAGGCGCGCCAAACGTGAGCGGCACGGCACTCGTCGCGGTTGCAGGGGGCATATTTTCAGCGTATTCTCTCGTCTACGTCGCGTTCGCTGGTCGAGTTTTACTTTTGGGCCGGGGGGCGATTTAGCAGGGCGAGCTCGGCCTCGTTGCCGTCGAGAGATTGCAGGAATAGCAGTCAAATAATCCGACTTAGAACGTTGTCTGATGCTCCCAGAATTAATGAGTGAACAAACGGCACTACGACATAAAATGTCGCGGGGGCCAAGTGAGTACACCCACCTTTACCCACTCGGGTTTGCGAAATTCCTCGCGACTTAGGGTAAAGAATTCAACCTTGATTTTGTTCATTGTGTATTGTCCACACGCACACAGCCGCGCGCCTTTGGCCCATCAAATCCCGTCGTCGCTCTTTGCAGGGCTGCTCATTAGCCAGCTCCTGTGTCCGCAAAATAGCAAGGATATTCCGGAGATTCTACCCTTCATATTGTCACAAGGCGCCGTCCGCCTATCCATGTCAATTAATGTCCCGCGGTAAGCGATGGGAGGATAACGGGGGACGAATATCAAAGATGAAACACCAACTGTTGCCACAAATCGTCTCCAAGATACTGGGTCCAGCGCCCCGGGAATCCGTATAGGGGCTGTGCCATTCTCCGATTTGTGGAGAGCGCGGCAGTTGGGCGGAAACACCTGGTCACCTCGCGACTCGACTCGATCTGTATGCCGGAGAGAGAGCTCGCCGGTCAAACGGCGAGTGACACCACGTCTGAAGAACGAGGCCTGTCCAAGCCGGAAAAAGGAGTGCAGAGCGCCCAAGATCCAGGGATCGCAGGTAGCCGTATAGCAGGGACACCACCATCCAAATACTCGAATTTCTTGACCCTGCCGGATACGCTGCGCCTCGTTGTCGTCGTCCCATGTCCTTTGCACTTGTTGGTTTGCAGGCATTCGGGACTCGCCGTGCTGGGACAGTCACCCACGAAATGATTGGTAAGCGACGCCCTCTTCTTTGTTCAGCCCAAACAACCGTCCCAAGCCACATTGCTCCATCAGCCCAAAGCGAGCCCAGACCGCGCCACGTCAATCGCCACCAATAGTCTCTGAATCATACGATCCTTGTTATTTTTCAGCGCTTCGATTAGTGGACAGTCATCCTCTTTGCCACCACTGTGGTCAAGCAGATCAGGCCACCTCTCCCCTGGTGCTTGCACGTCTCCAAATCGCGTTCATCAAGTTTTTTTTGGCTACTTTAATTGCTTTTTAACCCTGCTAGGGAGCGTAAAACGCGGCCAAAAGTACTCAGTGGTCATGGTCGGGAAGAGAAACCGCTGGACCATTGGGGATTCAAACCTTATCCTCGGGATAATAGTGTAACCATGGATAAATTTGCAGAACAAGTCGCTACATTACTGACAAAGGAAAGGATACATCTTTACCAAAATGATCCCAGTAGTCAATTGAGTTGTGCTCCTCCAGTGACACCAGTGTATCATCTACAAACTTTATACGCGGTGAAATAAAGAGAAAGTGATTCACAAAGCAGCGTACAAATACACTTTCACTCAGGTTCATACCGCCCCAGTACGGGATACACGAATAGGAAAATGCTTGCGACCCGTCAAGATGGTGGAAAAAAGAAGGCGCTTTGGCTGTCCGCAGATGTTGTGAACCACACCATTCGCACGGCTTCCTGACCCACGGCACTATGGCTAAATGGATCCGGAGGTGCTCAAGAGGGTGCTTTGCTGGAGGAGCCCCCAAGTCTGTATCCCTGGGGAGTTGAAGAAATGTAACCGAGGGTAACAAGTCCCAGATGAGAGCGTTGGACATGGGCTCGGATGGAGGCAGATGGCATGTCCAGCAGAATGTGATCAGTTGCCCCCCAGTTGTCTCAAGCCATTTGAATATATTCCTATGATGGAAGTACCTCCCAGAGGCAATGGCGAGGTGACGGAGAGTCGGTATGTGTCGTGGTAGAGAAGGCCATTGCGAGTCTAATGCAATATTGAGCGTGCTGAGCCGTGTATAATTCGCTGCAGATTGATACATATTACCCGTGTAGAAAAAGAGATCTCGTAGCCTCTCTGGATTAATTGGCGGATTCTGTAGAATGTTGTCGCTGATGATACACCAAAGCGAGGCCAATTCTGCAGAAAATAAAGTTTCCGTAATTTGATAGAGGTCACTATCAGCTTCTACTACTTCAACACGCAGTATTCGGATTCGTCAACTGGAGAGTGCCTCCATCTGGAGAAACGAACCAAAGGCAGTATAAGTACGTGTCGAACTTTCACACCGCCGACAGCTACATGGCGATATTTCGACCCGGTATGCCATCCTCAGAGCTTCTAGTGGGACGAAGGCATCTGGAATGTCACGAATAGCTATAGCGGTGAGCCATCGGAGCGAGATATGCATTCCAGGAGGAACAAACTCTCCTTAGCACATTACGAGTGCGTTCAGACTCCCAGTATGGTCGCTCGTCGTTGTACGAGGCAAGCGCTTGGACCCCACACAACGTTAGCGGGTCTGCGTCGAGAAAGATAGGGACGTGTATAGCTTCTTGAAGAATATGATGCCAAATTTCTGTTGATGCTCGTTCGCTAGGGCGGATATGGGCCATTGCTCGAAATGGATGAGGGCTAAGAGGTGTGGTCAATGTATCTTTTGCTACTCATGCCAGCAATTTGAAAATTTACTTCGATATTTCAGTGGGTAGTACATGGGATTATAGAAAGACGATACCCTCCCAAGCCACGATACTCCGTCGCCAGTGAATGAGATTAGAGGGGGAACCTTCCCTGATTGGAATTCATCGGAAGTTGAATTAGTAGTTACCCAAGCGTGCTCATCGTGTGGGGTCTATCGCTGGATTAGCAGAGTCCTTAGGAGACTGCTGTATGACGATTCAATTCATCAGCGGCAGATGGGCAAAAATGTACTCCGTAGTCATTACTTGGGACAAGAAACTGCTATCCCACAGGATATAAACTCTGCCTCACGGATAACAGTCTAACTGTGGATAAATTTGTAGCTATGTCACTGGTAATGGAAAGGACAGAATGTGATGATAAGGATAATGATACCAGGTGGGGTTTGGAACGTGCTTCTCCAGTGACACCAGCGTATCATCTACAAACTTTATATGCGGTGAAATGGAGAGAAAGTGACCCATATAGCACTGCAGGTATCCTCTTCTATTCGGATCCATCACAGCGTTCCAAGTCGGAGTATACGAATAGGAAAATGCCTGGGATCCGTCAGAATGGTAGAGGAAAGAAGGAAATTTGGCGCGACATGCATGTTTCGAGTCGCACCATGTACAATTCATCCCCCAGAGAAGAGGTAGTATAGTTAAATGAATACGGAGATGCTCGATAGGGTGCTTTGATGGAGGAGCCCCCAAGTCCGTATGATTCGGAAGTTGAAGATATGTAACCGAAGGCAGCAAGTCCCAGATGAGAGCGTTGGACATGGGCTCGGATGGAGGCAGATTACATGTCCAGCAGAATGTAATCAATTGCCTCCCAATCGTCTCAAGCCATTTTAATATATTCTTATGGTGGGGATGCTCCCCAGAGGCGATGGCGAGATGACGGAGAGTCGGTATGTGTTGTGGTGGAGAAAGCCATTGCTCGCCTAGTGCTATATTGAGCGTGCTAATTCTTGTATACTCCGCCACAGATTGGGATATAGGTCCCATGTAGAAAGAGAGACCTCGGATCCTCTCTGGAGCGATTGGTGGATTCAGCTGAAGGTCGTCGCTGATGATACACCGAAGCGAGGCCAATTCTGCAGAAAATAAGGTTCTCGCGATTTCATACATCGCGCTATAGAGGGTCAATACTTGAACGCGCAGTATCCGGATTCGCCAACTGGAGAATGACTCCGCTTCGAGAAACGAAGCAAAGTCGTAATAAAAGAGTCTCCATTTTCGGCACACATTACATGGACAAGGCGATATTTCGACCCTGTATGCGAGCCTTAGAGCTTCCAGTGCGACGTGACCATGCACGATGTCACGAAGGGCAACATACCGGTGAGCCATTGGTGCAAGATATGTATTCCAGGAGGAACATACTCTCCTTAGCGCATTAAGAGTACGTTGAGACTCCCAGTATGGTCTCTCGTTGCTGTACTCGGCAAGCGGTTGCGGTCCGAGCAATGGAACTGGGTCTGGATCGAGAAAGATAGGGACGTGTATAGCCTCTTGAAGAATCTGGTGCCAAATCTCTGCTGATGCTCGGTCGCTGGAGCGGATGAGCGCCATCCTCTGGCAAACCCCGAGTAAATAAGGGTCAAGGAGTGCGGGCCAAACGCTCTACCCGCGTGTACCAGGGAGATTCAGTAACCGGCCACAGTAGTTAGAAACACCCGAATTTCCTTGCTGGAAACATTTTATTCATCTACCAGCTATGCAACTCGTAAATAAAGCCCTTAATCACTCATGGTAAAGCTGACTACATAGATTCTATAGCTGGACAAGTAATAACATGTTTATATATCCAATAAAGCTCTTGAGAAACCTCCTTCCCGTGTGATTCTCGATCCTCGCGGCGAATCTTCAAACTAGTCGTCAAAGTAGAGGCTTGCCCCAGGGAACCTTTTCTTGATAATCTCCCATAGCCAGTGGAACGGGGTACCGAACGTTATGTCCGTTGATGCAGTTGAACCAACTCCACTAGTCAGGAGAGCGACGTATCGGCCTTGGGCGTCCACTATTATAGATCCACTGTCCCCTCGTGCGGAGAATGGGCTAAGCTGGCCTCTGTAGAGTTTTGAAAACGGGTTGGATTTGTTGTCATAGCTATGGATAGCCGCTTGCGTGGATTTTTGCTCGGCCATCCCATAATAGTGGCAGATATGAGACTCGTACTTGGAGAAATTTCCAATGGTGGTGTTCGTGGCGGCACCACGTTTGATGACGTGACAGATATTGTCGCCTTCAGAGTTCTGATACTTGTTGCTCATCCTGTCTGCGAAAAAAATACCCTTCAGCTTCAAGAGACGGTTCCCCGGGTAGTGGAATTCTGGTCTGCGGTTTTTAAGAGGGGGATCTACTAGGGAGGCAAACGTGCCAGGTTCAATCTCTGGACCTTTAGTGTATGCTGTTAGATTGGATACCTGCAGCAGGACGGACCAGCACACACCCAGGTCGAGAACGTTGCCCCCGAAATTTGCAAATTTCCTCTTGTCCAGCTCAATAACGCACAGGTCTTTTGTATAACCGTCTGGTGGTGTCGCAGTGCTAATGGGTGGCGCCCAGACTACATGCCCGATAACCCGATCCAAGGGATTGAACCATTTGCTCTTGACTTGAACATAGAAATCCTTGAGCGCGATGATCTTCGTTCGTGTCTTCTCCAATTCGTTCTGTTGTTCCTTGAGCTCGTTCAGTACAGTCTGATCTGTAAAGTCATCTTCTTGCGACCGTGTTGCCAATATCGAAATCGCGTTTTCCATAATGGGAATCGTCCGATTATGAGCGCCAATTTGACCTTGGATGTAATCAAGAAGATCGTCGAACTCCCTCGACCCTAGAACAACAACTTTCTTCTTCGGTGCAGCTTTGTAGCCATCAGAATCGCCTCATCATCCCAAGGAAAAGGACGTACAATTTGAGTAATCGTATTCTTTGTTCCCCTCCTCCAAGGGGAAAAGGACGTGACGGGCGGTGAAGCCATAATACTTATCTTGCCACCGAAAGAATGCACCGAGTGTTCCCTGACGATTGAGTGATTTCAAACCGGCAATAGGCAGACCGAGTGCAGTAGTTAATGGATCGATAACATCCTTGAGCGGGCTCACGTTCGACACCGGCGAGTATAGTGGTGGACCGTCCAGAATACTTGTTATCCCTTCGCGGAACGCAATGTCGATGTCCAAAATCTCGTATCTTTTGAGAAGATCTTCAATCTCGTTGGAGCAGTTAAAAGCAACTTGTCCTGTAAGAGTATCTGGTACCACTCCTATCCAGATTGTAACTGGAGTGGTGTAACGTTTTCCATGCTCGTGGAAAGCAATTTCAAACTCGTCAATATCAGTATGTTCTTCACCCTTCTCGTCATCGTGAGTCGCGTTGACTTCGGGGGTCTTATCGCTCTGGTCGCTTTCGTCGCTCTCGAAGCTTTCGTCCTCCTCAGGCTCCTCAATCCAGCTAAATCGGACCAGGTCGACAGTGGAGTACTGAATGTTTCTCTCCTTAAGGAGCCGAACAATCTTTAATCGTGTATCAGTCTGGAGGGATGTGCATCAATATCGTCACGTACTTCAGACGCAACCGTAGCCCAAGTATTGTTTTGATCGAGTTGAGGGTGTTCATCAACGGTAAGAAGCTGCATCTCGCGAGGTTGATTGCCAGGTGACGGTGGGATGTATTTGTCGATCGAATTCCTGTAGATCAACTTTGGCCCGCGTAGATTCGGACCACGAATCCCGAAATAGTAAAGATATGCCTCCAGCTTTGAGGGGTCATGGGGAGAACTGGCGACGGAGTCGGCATCTTCGTTACTGAGAGGTTCCACATATTCTGGATATCCGGATCGAAAACCCGCGTACGCTTTGATAGAGAGCGCGTGGCAGTCTTGGTCAAATTCTTCGCTCATCACGTAAGCCTCTAGGTCGGTGATCTGTGGTTCATCTAGAAAACGAACGGATCAGTATAAACAGGAGCGATCACTAATTAAGAATTCACCTGTGGCGGATAGAGACATTCTTCTCTGATGATGCGTCGCTAAGTAGGTGGGTTGAGCGAAGTTGGCGAAGCGGTAGAGGATAGAAAACAAGAACAATGTCTCGCTCCACAGTTCACCACGCTTTGTGATGACCGCATTGTATAAATATACCATGCGAAAATCATTGGCACATACAAAGGAATGGAGCTTTCCCGGTTTGCAGTCAGCTACTCCTTTAAAGTGCTGCTAGCGCCTCGGACTCTTCCTTCATGAGCATGGGCAAACAAGCTCGGATGAGGCTCCTCGGCAGCCGTCGGTAGGACTCCTCCCTCAGGTGCGTGGGCTTAACCACTACGCATATAGATTGGAGAGATTGAACAAGAGACCCGTGTGTCGTTGATACGCGGAACTCATCCAAAGGCATGCAAATGAACTCTTCAGACGAATGAGGTTAACCCGTCCATAGACCAGGCAGAGCGAGATATGTTTGAGCAACCCAGCCAGAGAGAGAACCCCGCTCAATTGACGTGAGGAGGGGGCTAACGCTTACCTTTAAGGGCTTCCGGGGACGACTCCTGTCCTATCTCTGGCGGGAAGTTCATCGCCTTGGTGGCAATAAGCAGTGATTGAGTGTCTTCAGCATATGCGAAGGTCGCCTGTGGGTTCGAATTTGAATTTGGATTGGATCGAGGTCACTCTTGATCTCATTTTCCAGAGAACAGATGAAGAACGGGTTCCTTCAACCTCAAGCTTACTGCTTGCCAACATAGTGTCTTGGGCAGTGATGGGTTGGGCGAGCGCCGGCGGTTCATTAACGCGAGTAGATTGTGATTGAGTGAGCCTGATGGTATCGAAATCAACCTTTGCGTTGTATTTCGATGGGGCCCTTATCGTGAAGACCTGCGCAAGCGGACGGGTGTCGACACGCTCTGCACTCTGCGTGTTGGGGGCACTCTGAATATGAGGGCGCTTGAGGGTGCTGTAGAACTGAGATATATACTGAGAGGGGGCTTTTTCGAGGCTCGGATCGACCGGTATTTGCCTGGGGGTCGGAATGACGTTTGAGTTGGGCGGAGATAATTGACGCCTGTTAGCCATGATATATAAGAGCTGGTATGAACTGTTACTATGCTTGAATAACTGTTTGTCGCGGTGTTGCAAAAGGCGTGAGGGTGGACTGATTGCCAAGTTGGGACGACGTGTTTACGCCCACCGGTACCATCAGATGAATGTGCGGTATCGCTTTCAAAGGCTCTCGTATATCGTATGGCAAGTATAATAATGCAATAATTCAAGTAATATACAATAATCATCGCGAGAAGAGCTGATTTGAGAAGCGTTTACTACTCTTCGTGCTCGCTCTCGACTCTGGCCGAGCAAGTATTGTCGGGACGTAAGACTTCGCAAGCCCGTCTGCAGACGTCGCGTCCGGGTAATACGACAACGACGTGACCGAATTATTCGCAGAGTGGGACTGCAAATTGCTCGCTGATCGCGAATGCGAATTCGATAACGATGGGTAAATCGTATGCGGTTGTTTTTGTTGTCGCTGCTCACGCATCTGTTGCAACGCTGCTTCATACGACGTTGCAGCGCCTCCAAGGATTGAGTTGGACAAGGAGATGGAGCGAGGTCTTGTCCCTGTCCCTGACCCTACCACTCCATCTCCATCCGACACGAGTGATTCCGATGCATGCCGATCCGAGCCTTGAGTGCTACCGCCGAGCCTTGGGGCACCACTCCAGTTTGTCAACGATGCATGAGACGACGACGCGCTTCGAGTTCTTCCGAACCCAAACTCGGCTGCGCCAGGCCGTGGACGTTGTCCAAAGCCTTGGTAATGGGTTTGGCTATCGATCGATCCTCGTCCTCCTTCGTACTCGGCGTGACTTGCAATACTCGCAGATGCGCCATCGTTCGCACTCGACCTTCCGCTCGCGTTTCGGCCAGTAGATGCGTTGCCAACTCCAAATGTGAGTCCAATCGTCGACGACGAATCCGCTGCGCCTGTATATTCTTGTCCATAGGATGCATAAGGATGATTCGAGTGTGCAGAAGCGTATGGGTGGGTCACGGGGTCATTTCCAACGCCGCCGGCGATGCTATACGGATGCGCATGCACGACGTTTCCCGTGCTAGGGCTTGTAAACCCAATATCTCGCACAGGAGAACTAGACGATAGTGAAGAATTTTTCCGAAATTGCGACGCATAGGCTTGTGCGGGTGTCGCGGCAGTAGTAGCAGCTATCACCGCCGGAGGAGGAACAGCCGGTAACGGCTTGTTGATACTCGACATCGAACTTGAGCGTGAGTGGATGGTTTGGTGGTGGATATGTCGGCTTTGGGGTGCCAAATGGATTGACTGCCGGAGGTATTTGGAATGTCTGAGAGATGGAATTGGAAGTTTGATGGTTCATGAGTGTAGAGTTTGTATACGAAGTCGAAACAGGCGATCTTGTCGGCGACCCCTTTACAGGGATTTGGAAGGGGGCAGTTGGTGCGGGAGGAGCAGTCGACGGATCTACAATAAGAACGTCAGAAAGAGTTCAAATCAATCCCTTTAACCAGTTCACGCACCTTGCAACTTGTACCCAGGCATCCCATACGCCGTCATCGATTCGAGTGCTCCCGACTTGTAGGCATGGTACAAGCGCGGGACGACTGGCTCCTTTCGATCTTCCAAATACGTCCCTCGCTCATCTGTCGGCTGTGTATTCCGTCGAACGTTGATCTTGCTCCCAGCATCCGCCACAAGCGCCGAGCCGTTATCACGGACTTTGGCTAAAAACCCCGCCACGCCATGGTACTTTGGTCGCGCCCCGGCATTTTCCCATTTATTGCCCACGACGCTGACACTGGTTTGTCTCCTCGCCTTGGCTTGCCTCCATCCTGCTCCACCAAAGATGCTCGTCACGCTGCTGGATGTAGGAGGCTGTTCTGTCTGTTGGCGACGATAGCGGCGCATGAAGAAGACGAAGAGGATCAAAAGGAGTGCTACGCCAATCACAGCAGCAAATACGGCGCCAATAATTGCACCCTTGGATGGTCCAGACCTTGAACTCTCAAAAGCTGACACCGGGATGGAGGAAGAGCTCGAGGAGGCGCTGGTGTCGACGTTGTTTGGTGGAGTGGTAGGGGGAGAGTTAGCCGGGAGAGTGACCCTAATATATCCAGTCAGTGTCAGGAACCGTCGCGAATAAGCGGCGTGGGAAGTTTGTCGACCTACGTGAGTCTGTCAACGACGAGCAGTGTCCCATCCGTGTCGTCGTGTGAAATCTCGAGTGTGTGCTCTTTGTCAAGCGAAAGCGAGTCGGTTGTCCATAGCGCGACGTTGGAGGCAAAGGTTGGCGTGGTGCCGGTCGTACATGTTCCAACGTGACGCCCGTCGAGATGTACAGTGAATTTGGCTTGGTTGGGCGACGAAGATGCGTAGTAAGTCACAGACGAGCCTGCATTTGGTCGTAGTGTGAGCAGCTTTTGGAGGTTTGGAAGGCATATGCTATTCTCACCATTGAATTTGAGTGTAAAAGAATCGCCGTGTGTCGCGGACGAACTAGCAGAGCCGCCATAGTAGCTTGCATTTCTCCCATCGACCAGTCGATCTCCCCTTGTCATCCAAGCGCCAGCATATACAATATCTGTATCGATATTGTCGATAATACGTTGATTTGAAACTGCAGAAGATGATGTCTGTCTCCTTTGGTGAACCATCCCCGCCGCCAGTGCCACACCGATTGAGTGGAAGCAAAGGACGGCGAGGACGAGGTGCCGTAGTGACATCTAACAATTTGGCGAATAAAAACTGCCAAACAGTCGCTGCAGAACGAGACGAGGAGAGAGCGAGTCCAAGGTGTGAGAGGAATGCTGTGATGGGACCATAGCCGTCTTCGAGGAGCGCGTGCACTGCTTGTTCGCATCCAATCGTGGGCAAAAGAGATGTCGAATCTCAGTTACGGCGCGCAGAAGCTACAGAAGGGTGTGAAGCGCGAGCTCTGCCGCCAAACCTGCAGTGTCTTGCAGATATTTTGTTATCACTATACAAAGATTAGAAGTTATCAGTGAGCCAAGTAATAAAATGGCTAAACTGGCAATTATTGTTGGGCGTAGAGTTCGATTGCCTCTATTTGGCCGCTACCAAGTCGGCGAGTTGTGACGTCGACGTCTTGGATTCTGCCACTTCTCAAGCATTATACTCCAGTACTTATCATTATGAGCCAGACAGCGCTCCTTGGTGGTTTAGGTGCGTTTATCAAGTACTACAGAGTGAAATGGATGCTGAAAGGCCACATTCTTATTTTAGCTAGTGCACTATGTCTCGTACGTCGCAGATAAACGTCATTTCTGTCATCTCACAACGGTTAAAAAAAGTCGCTCATGTGGCCATACTGCTACCAGAGTATGTGTAGTCTCTACAGTATTCACATCTAACACGTGCACAGAGCAGTGGGGAATAGGAGGATTCGCGTCCTGTCCATGCTATCACCCAATCTGTGGTCGCGTAGGCCACCTCGACTGTGGGTGGGTAGGCGAGAATGACCACGAGTTTTTTGGGTCACAAGAAGAACAAGAAATCGCCGCAGAAGAGGAGCGAAGACGTCGACAAGCGTGGGCAGACAACATTGTCGCCAAACGCGAGCAAGACAGATTGCGAAACGCCATGGCAAACCAGTACAAACGTCTACACAATCATGTCGCTGCCGGACGTGATGGAGTCCTCGTGCATGGGAGGGAGAGGGTGATGGGTGTCGTCGGTGGGCTTAGGCCACACCGTAGCGGACCAGGAGTTGCAACAGTCACAGTCGAAGAAGTCGACCCAGCAAGAAAGAAGAATATTGCGCTCGGAGTGGGCGAGCGTAATCTGGACGACATTGTAGGCGGAAGCAAACTGCGCGAGCCCAAGCGAGGTTCTGTCCTCTTCGATGGGCCAGGTGGTGTAGATGAGCCCACAGCGTCGAGATATGGGAGTATCAATCAGAATAAGCGACGCTCCATTCGGTCAAGTCAGTACTCTGGTATAGGAGGAACTACTTCGTCCGTCGACACTCGACGCGATCCTCCGAGAATAGGAGCTACACTCGTCGTACCAGGTGATGGAACGGAGGATACACAGCTCAACAGGGGTGTTATCACCCCTCAAACGGTCATTTTGGGCACTCGGCCCAATGCACCACAGAGGCCTATCCAGGAACAATACACGGGAACCAAACCCATGGTACTCAGTCCTACAACAGACAACTCGCTTCACATACCCGAGGGAACTAGCCCACGAGATCGATGATCAAATATACCCAGGAGAAGAATTGTATGTATGATGGAGCTATCAATTATTATGGCATTGCTTATTTCCACGAACCCTCAGAATTGTGTGTTCCTCTCCATTCCCTCCTTCGGCGGCAAGAATGATAGAATGTCATAGTGGTGATCCTAGAAATAGTCAACCAGCGTAAAGATGTCGAGCCAGGACGTACCTTTCGACCAATGAGCGTAGTGGAATTCATATAAACGTGCTTGTACTTCCACGGGATCTTGCTTGTCGCCACCCTAAAAGGCAAGCACGAGAGAACCCTGAGCGTCGGCAAGCCTGCCGTGCCCTTCAATAACGATGGCTTGGTGTATACATAGGAGGTGCCCGTTTCTCCTTCCATTACCTTTCCATTACGTGCGACGGATCGCGGGTTAAAATCGAACATGAGCAGTCGCCATTCCTTATATTGTACCATCCAACTGGGAGTGGGCGGACCAGTGAGCGACTGTGCTATCTTCTTCTCTCCTACAAATGCATCCGAAAAGCCATACACCACCATACGCGAGCCGTACGTTGACCGGACGGAAGCGCGTAAGAGATCGTGTCCATAGAGCCAACGGGTCGCTTTGATACCCCACTGTCTCCACTTGAGTACTTTAGGGCCTGGATCCCCCCACTCCTCCTCGAATTCAGACTTGGGCGTGCATGCACGGAGGACAAGTCCAGACGAAATGACGACACGGAAAGTGTCATTGTCGTATTTTAGCTCCAGGACGATAATGTCGTTGTCTGGGTCTGGTTTGAGCGAGCTGTTCACACCTGGGGGTGCCTGTGAGCCGTAATGGTCGGAGGGATGTGTGAGAAAGATGGCATAGTCGATTGGTTGACTTATTCGTTGCAGCGGAAGATTCAGTTGGTGTGTGATTGCCCGTTCAGAGAATGAATAGATGACAACGTATGCGGGGTTCCCGTCTCTGAGCAGCATGAGATGGTCGCGAGGCAGGAATGCAGCGTCAATGGCCTGAATGTGACTCTACAAGAGACATGAGACGCGATCATCAAAGGAGACTCACATACCATGAGCACTTCACCCGTTTTCCAGTCAAGCGCGGTAATATTACCCCGGTGTCTCGAGCGATTAAACACAAGCACAAGCCGGTTCTCGTAAAGGAGGACCTCACATCTTTGGAGCTCTTGCTCGCTACGATCAGGTAGCTCGATAATGGAACGGGCAGCCATGGGATGTGGTTCATTGGTCGATATGGTTCGTAGGTGCAATCTTCCCGACCCGGACTGTCTGTTGTCGTTAGCCCATGTATATGACAGACTTAACCCACTCACTCGCATACGACCGGCTCGACTAGAACTTGGAGATCACACGCAGGTAAGAAGGCAAAGTCGCTCACACTGACATCCAACTCCGCCGTTCGTCCAAGCACCGTTGGCACCTCGGGCGTGGATGACGCAGCGTCCTTCTTCAGGCGAGGCGTGTTCATATCCACATATGTTATGGATTTGAACGCGTACGTGTCGATCACGTTGGCGGTATGAGCCCATGTATTGTCGCATATCTAGAACAAACGGTCAAACAAGAACGCATTTCGATAACCCACCGCACCTCAAACATGAAAGTGACATTGTTCCAGCAATCATATCGCCATGTTTGGAGTGGCTTGAGCACGTTCATCGCTCGCCGAGATGCTAGTAGCGCATCATAAAGCTCTCTGGTCACCAGTCCGCCGTTGGCGTGATTGCTCGATTGATGAAGTAAAAATCCATCAGCTGCGGCCTCTATACGCAGTTGGAGCTCAATAGATCCGTCAATCAGTGCGCAAAATTGACGCGACAACTAGAGATTTCATTAGGCGCGGATATCGGTGACTGCGAAACGCGTACTATTCTCAGTGAGGAGAGCTTAATGGCTTCTATGTGGCATAATATTTGCTCCAGGAGCTCAATCGGAAGGTTGGTCAAATACATTGTGGCGAGGAGTCAACTCGCAGTTACCACCAGACGCCGAGCATTTGAGCAATGTATCGACCGGAGCAAGCCGCTGATATCACGAATAGAACTATACTACATATTGTTGCTTAAATCACATTTGCTGGTCGAAGGGGGTGCTTGTCCATCTGTAACTCTAAGTCGCCTTCTCTCCAGGGAAGAAAGGAGAAAACATCATAATAATGATCCTGTAGTGCGTGAGCTCGAGCGAAAAGGTGGCAAAGCTCACGTACTCGTCGCGCAAAGAGGGTACTCCCGTTCATGTAAATGTGGTGGTAATCCCAATTCTTGGGGCTTGTCGTGACACGAAAGGGTAGTGCCGAAAGCACCTTTCTGGTGTGGGGCCGGTCACTGTCCCAGAGAGTAGGCTCTGTATACACGAATGACTGGTCCCCATGAATAGAGTTTCCCCCCATATCTCGCCGTATTGCACGGGGATTGAAGTCAAATAGCAGTATTCGACCCCCCTGTAGTGTCGGCCAGTCGTCTCGCGACCAGGGGTATTGAAGGGAAGTATCGTCTCCCTGGAAGGAATTTGGTCGCCCAAATGCCAGAAACCGTGAGCCATAAGTCGACCGAACAGAGGTGCGCATCAGGCTATAAGGCGTGAACCAGCGGGTCGCGTTTATTCCCCAATGGCGCCACCTGAGAACCTTGGGAGTTCCCGGCTCATCTTGTTCGAGTTCGTATTCAGTCTTGGGAATACAAGCCTTCAGGAGGCGTCCGATTGAGATTGCCACACGGAAAAGGCCGGAATCTGGGGCAGTTAAACGAAGTTCCATGAGAATGATGTCCGTCTCTGGATCCGTTTTGAGCAATTTGTTCACACTGGTTGGCGCGTTGGAGCCATAATGGTTCGAAGGATGGGTCAGAAGAATCCCAAAGCTGATTGGTCGGTCCAACGGCAACTGCAGAACATGCGTCACGCTTCCCTCGCGGAACGAATAGACTGAGAACCGAGCAGGTCCCTCCGCGTCGGCGTCGTATAGCAGCAACATCTGATCATGAGGAAGAAAAGCGGCATCTATGGCAGGTCGATAATCCTACAGTCCATTAGATCGATACGAAAGGTTTCTTACACTCACCAGGAGGTTCTCTCCCGTCTTCCAGTCCCACACCGAAACACCACCTAGTTCTCCAGCATGACGCGTCCAGCGAAGATATGTGAGTGCGATTCGGCTCTCATATAGTAACATATCACATCCTCGGTGCTCTTGCGTAGTTCGGTCAGGTACGTCGATAATAGGCCTGGCAGCCAACGGATGCGGTTGGTCTGAAGATATTGAGCGGAAGTGAAGTCTTGCATGACTAGCAAGCACCATGAGCGACCAATGTCTTGTAGAGAGAAGAGGACTCACCCGTCTTCAATGGATTCGAGGAGGACCTGAAGGTCACAACCCACCATGAATGTAAAATCGATAATCTCAACGCTGAGATTGCTGTGATCTATGCCTGGTCGGGGCAACGGTAATGGTTCTGGGAAACAATGCACATCCTTGCCTTGGGAAGGCAAAGGAGCCAGATGAATATAGTTCAGAGCCCGAAAACTCCGTGTAGGAGCGCGCAAGGTGTGTCCCCATGTACTATCACAAATCTATGGTTGAAGAATCAGTCGGATCTTCTACTAAATGCTGTGCTCTTACTTCGAATGCGAGTTCGTCGTTAAATGGACAGCCATAGCGAAGTATCTGACGGGGAACTAGTCTCCTTGAGCGCTTTCTCATGCCTCGAAGTGCGTCCAATAGCTCTTTGGCGGTGATACCGCCTGAACTACGAGTTGAGGACCGCTGAAGGATATATCCATCTGCGTATGCCTCTATACGAAGTTGTAATGCTGTTGATTCATCGACCAAACTTCGAAATTGCCGTGAGAGCTAGCAGATTCGGTTAGACGCTGAACTATTCTTCATAGTATGCCCACTTGTCTGGCAGCAAGAATCTCTAGAGGTTCAAGATATCCCACAATCTCTTCCAAAAGCTCTACCGGTAGGCGTGGAAACTCCATATGGCGTGGTCGGGTTCAAGTTGGCTTATGGTTGGAAAACTATAGTACATCGGGCCTCTATTAATCGAGGTCTTTGATATCACGATGAGAAATTACAACCCCAGTATCGACATTACACTTGCCTTTGTCTGCGTCCCTGACAGCCCTCTTGCTGTTGGTCCCGCTATTGGTGCACCCTGTTCTGTTGGTCCCGGTGTCTTACTGGATGCTTCACCGTCCGCTATTCGCAAGATTTTCCGAGTTTCTTGACCTTTTCAGCTATTTGATGAGCTGCCATGACCTTCTCTCCAACGTCGTATAGCGTCCAAACTGTTTGTCCATCGGCCGGAAGATGAAGCGGAATTTTTCATCATGGGGTGCATGATTACCTTCTGTTGGTACGGAATCGGAGCAGCGACTGAGACCGATGGAAGGAGTGCGACGAAGACCGTCGAGAGGGTGGCAATCGTCGAGATGTGCATAATCGGTCGGGAAGAAAACTGAAATGAACGTCAGAGTCAGAAGGGAACAATTTCCGGGTAGGTACAGAGCAAAAGCCCGAATAAGAGATCGAGAGACGAATGAAACTTCGGTGGCGCCAGGTCGGAACAAGAATGTAGAAAGTGATCCTGAGACAAAGTGGGTCTGTCTGAAGTGAATCTTCCATCGTCCAAGGTAGGTTTTACACCGATGACCTCGGCCAAACCAACTCAAGCGACTCCGACATTCGTCCATACGCATCGTATAAACGCCATGAGGTCCTGTATCCAGATGTGAACGAAATCCGTAGAGGTAGAGTTGCAAAGCTATATATGCGTCCCTCTAGAGTTGGGCCTGACCGAAGAAGCAATTGTACCAGTGCACTACTTCAGCCGCTTCTGTTTGGATGGCTTGGTTGTGTCCTCCAGAGGTGCTAGAGCCCGTTAAGATGATGTTAACGGCGCTTTCGCCGTGTTCATTCAGCGCGTTAGATGCAAACCGCGCAGGTTTACCATGTTATCTGGCAATGTGGGAAACGCCTTTATCTGATATCGAGAAGGAAACCTCAGCTACTTGGGAAGAAAGGTCTCAGGATAATGAGCGGGACTAATCGTTCTGATGTTGCTTTGACTGCGAAAGCGCCTACTCGTGGTGGTTGAGACTGGTCGGCTTCACGCTTCAACTCCACCACATCTGAGTGCCACCCATGCCATCGAACAAAAACCCTGCGAGCTGTGAATAGAGGCAGCTGTACTTCTTTCCCCCTCCTTGCAACGTACAGGCCTGCGAATTCTGCCAGATTCTGCGTTTACACGTTGACTATGAATTTGTGGATGATCTCAAGGCAAAGGTAGCCTCAAATTTCGATCAAATAAAATGCTATATCTCATTTTTCACTAAGTAGTTGATGCAACGATGTTAGAATCACCCGGCGGACGACTCGGAGACGCATATTGAGCAGAGCCTGCTATCCTTGACGACTCCATCGTTTCAAATGGACAAATTGGATTATAGAGTAGGTTTCTGCATCTCACTTTCATTAACAGTTGGCAAACAATACGCACAAAAGCTACGGGTGCGCCTTGCTAAATTGACGGAAGATGATCGTAACTTGGGCAGGTTTATTCGGATCTCAGTCTTCTCCACTCATTTGCCGCAAGCACAAACCCTGATGGGTGTCTACAGCGAAATTCTGCTTCTTACTCCTCAATCCCAACATGATTCATTCAGTCTACGTGCTTTGTGAGGTGAAGTCTCCACCGAGAGGATGAGAATAAAATAGCATTCTAGTCATCCGCCCATCTTCCGTATGCGCTGCTCCTTCGTTCGTTCATTCCCTCGGCTTCAAATGATTTCCGGCCTCTAAGATGGACACAAGAACCAATATATGTCGCTTAAAAGTGCTATTATCACCGTCTCGCTTGCGCAAGTGATCGATCGAGACTGGAGCTCAGCGTCAATTTGCCACACCCAAAGACGAGACAGGGATGTCTATAAAAGGGGCATGCCTGTCTCTCGCACTTGCTCTCTACTCCCTTCTTCTACCTCTTCCCTTCAGATGAGCTTTATTTGGCCAGCACCGAGAACCTTCGATGCAACTGTGGAGGAGAACCCCGCTGGGACCAAAACCGGATACGCTCGCGTCGATGAGGTTTACGACGAAGCGAAACGCACCTGGACCCTGCGTGATAGTGCACCATACGAACCAAAAGCAACTAATGTAGTGAGTCAGTCTCTTAACCTCGAGATTGTTCTGAACGATTTTCAGGAAGAGAAAGGCCCCTATCATGATCATTGTTTTCTACTCAAGCATCGCTATGAGATTGCCTCTACAACCCCTAAAATATCTATCGTCATCCAGAGTACAGCGCTCCGTGACACAATTCACAACGCCGCCAACGACAATGACCTCATTAACCTCTACACAGGCGCACCCGAGGTATCAATTTTTGTTTTGCGTTTATCTTGACCAGCTGACCAGCATAAGATTCCACCGGAGAAAATCCTTCCATATTACTATATTCTCTCAGATGCGCTTGACAAGGCAAGTGTCAAAGCATCGCGAGATGGCAACGATCTCGCCATCAAGCAGCTAGCAGTCTTCCTCGACTTCCTGAGGAGCGAATTTGCAAGTTACTTTTCGACAATCGAAGCACAACTCGCCAATATGGAGATCTCCTTTGAGTATCTGCGATCAATCCTTATCCCTGGACGCGAATTCTACACTACAGACTCTCTCACCGGTTTGCCCCGCATTGTGACCCTGCAGGATGTCATGAAGCATCAAAGCAATGGGATGTGGTTCTACCAATTAAAATTCGAGTACCTCGAAACATATGCCAACTTTGATTCAGAGAACGCTTCCATGATTCGCGGGCGCTTTGGTCGGGCATCTCTTTCGACTGTCCTCAATGAATATAGGGGCCCTTGCAAGATTCACTCCTTTCAGTACTTTCCACTGGAGTATCACGCTATGAAGGACGATATCCGTCGTGCTCTTATTACTCGAGGTAAGAAGTGGGCCAGTTACGATGGCTTGCATCATGTCACGTATAATGGCATTGGATATAAAGGTCAAGCCAAGCAATATGTGAGTTTATTCTCTGCTCTCATGTACGTTGATGACATTTTCTCTAGTTGAAAGGACGGGCCATTATCGACAAGTCTACCTTTCGTCGAATCAACCATGGTGGTCCAGTCCCCGATAAAGCGTATATGAATGAGTACGACGCTGTGCGAGACGAGAAAGAGAGGGAAGCTGACGGAAAGACCCGTGACGAAAATGGGTTGACCGACGACGATTATGTGCTCGCGACCCCTCTTCTCTACGGCTTCGCCTTGGGGAATAAGCAATGGGCCGCATTCAATGTCGAACTCGTCGAAGAGATTGTGTGGAACGACGAAGCGTTTGCCAACCTCGTCTTACCTCCTGAGAAGAAGTCTCTAATCCAAGCATTGGTCGAGGCTCACAGTAGCAAAACCCAGAGCACCTTCGATGACTTTATCGCCGGTAAAGGCCAAGGTCTTGTGATCAAGTAAGGCACCTACCTCCCTCCTGATTCTGATCTCATTCCTACTTCAGCCTATTCGGCCCGCCGGGGGTCGGAAAGACAATGTCCGCGGAGGCAACGAGCGAGCGTAAGTTCTATCATGTATCGCTACCACATCTAAACCGCATTAGATCTTCGCAAGCCTTTATACGTCGTAGGAGCTGGTGATCTTGGGACAAATGCCGCCAGTCTCGACGCCAAACTGTCTCAAATCTTTGACATTGGACACTCTTGGAACGCGGTGGTTCTCATCGACGAAGCCGACGTCTTCTTGGAGGAACGATCTGTGCACGACTTGGATCGTAACGCGCTCGTCGCCGTCTTCCTTCGTCAGCTCGAGTACTTTGCTGGCATTCTCTTCTTGACCACCAATCGCGTCAAGACGTTTGACCCAGCTTTTGCTAGTCGTATCCACGTCGCACTGCGCTACAACGATCTCGATGGGGGCACCAAGGATGCAATCTGGAAGGCGTTCCTCGGCAAGGTCAGAGTCGCTGATACGTTGGGAGAAAAAGAATGGGAGATATTGAAGACGAAGAATGTCAATGGACGACAGATCAAGAATGCGGTCAAGACGGCTCAAGCGCTTGCGCATAACCAACGAGAGAATCTCACATTCAAGCATATCAATCACGTTTTGGAGATGATGGAGCAGTTTGAAAGGGACTTAGAGACGATTAAAGGTATATAGAAGGCGATTTGTGAGGATAACTCTGCTGAACAATACTCAAGTTTCCGCGATATCTGCTGCATCGCCTCAAGACGACCTTCCGAAGAGACGAACTAAGCGTTCTAAAATGTATGATGACTGGGATGAGGAAGAGGTGCAATGGGGAGGCACCTACGGAATGGCCCCTATTAACTTTGGATACCACTAGGACGGAGCAGATGCTCAGTAAAATGTATCCACAACACCCTATGCATGACTTCATAGACACGTGAACGTATAAAATGACATTCATAAGTGATGCCTACCTACACTCGTTAGCAATAGAGCTACCCTTCGAAGATAGAATCCAGGGGTACCGAACTATGCGGCCGGACGAATAGGGTACCACGCCTTGAATACCATATTCGGATCATACTTCTTCTTGATCTCCTGGAGGCGAGGATAATTTCGACCGTAAAGGGCCGCAGCCGCGTCCGAACTTTGAGGGTTCCCGATTTCTACGAGTTGTTAGTACTGTCTACGATGTACAATGTAACCGGAGGGGAAAGCGACATAAAGGCGCAGAGATGGTGAAAGACCGACATACCATTGTTCCCGTAACCGGTATCATCTTCTTCAACTTTCGCCTTTACGCTTCCGAAGGCTCCCTCGCAGAACATTTTCATCGCCGTCAACCTCGCCTTCGCGTCCTTGCTCGCTCCGACCGAATCCCCCTTCCAGGTGATCAGCAGAGTGACGAGTGGTCGTTTGACACGCATTCGGTAGGCAGTCGCATCTGCTGGAATACTGCTTTGCTTGTTGAGGTTGTAGTACTCCCATAGAAGAACCATCACTGGTTCGGAATCTAGTTTGGCTTCGGGAGCGACTATATCATTGGTGGCAGAGTCCGGATGGGCGGCGTTAAGAGAAGGCGTGGAGGTAGCGATGGTGGAGGAAGGAGCATTGGCGGTTTCAATGAGCTTGTTGAACACTGCTAGTCCCACATCGGCCGGCACCACAGTTCGCGTGACGCCGTTGAGGTGGTAGTTGATCCCATAAGGAATACCATCGTTTTGCATCGCATTAAGCTTTTCGTACGGGATCATCGTTGCAAGGTTTGCCACCGGGCCTAGATGATTATTAGTAACGTTGACGCAAGATGAAGGAGAGCGTACCAAGATCTAACAGCTTTTTGAATCTATTTTTGCCCTCGTCCTCCTCTCCGTTGTAGAAGATAAAGACGGCGACTTCCGGACCACCAGAGCGCCCTCTGGTGGCGGTCACAAGCATGGCACCTTCATCGGAACTCGCACCTGTATACCAGCCTTCGATCGCCTCAATAACCTCTCCGAATCTCGGCGCAGGGTAAATGAGGGCCCGGCGTAAACAGTGGTGCGTTGGGGATGGAGCTTGTACACAAACTCGGTGACACAGCCAAAGTTGCATCCACCACCGCGTATTCCCCAAAAGAGGTCTGAGTTTGTAGTATCGTTGACGGTGAGAATGGATCCATCAGCCGTGACGATGGTCGCTCCGAGTAAGTTATCGACAACCATTCCGTGTGCGCCGGTGAGGAAGCCATATCCACCTCCGAGCGTGAGACTAGAGGATTGAGCGTTGGAAATTCATCCCGTGGCGGCGGTTAATGAACTCACCCTCCTATTCCAGTATGATTGACGGTACCACCGACCGTCGCAAGACCATACTTGATCGCTTCTGCGTCAACGGCGGCCCAATTACATCCTCCGCCGGCATAGCATCTTTTGTTTTCGACGTCAACTCTCGCGGTGTTCAAATACCTCGACAAGTCGATCACAATCCCACCGTCGCTACTGCTGGCGCCGCTGGTACTGTGTCCACCGCCGCGAACAACAAATTGTATTGGTGGAGATTGAGAAGTGGCGAATTTGATGACGAGCGAGACATCTGATGCCGATTTGACAAAGGCGACGAGGCCAGCGGGCTTTTGGGCGTTGGAAGCGAAACGCGCGAGGGAGGTATCATAATCCGGATCAGATGGAATCACAAGGTCCCCGGTGAATCCAGCATCAAGGAGAGAGGTCTTCCAATGAGCCATGTCGATTTTCGGTGGCGAATGCAGCAGCTAGTTGAGAGGGATAAGTGACTTTACGATGAACCACGGAGAGCAACGTCCTTTTTTATATCTTTTGATTCATCAGCACACTCAAAGCGGGGAAGCTGCCGACGGCCGGAATCTGTGAGCGCCTGTGGTCGCAGTCGTAAACGCTCGTCCGCATGGCTCTGAAGCTAGGCACCCATTCAAACATTTATAAGCATCAGAGCTGCGAGTTCGGCCACCAGGCTGTCTCCGAATCGTTCGGAGCGTGAATTTTTTCCGAGCTGATGTACCAAAGTTGACTAATCGCGCCTCTAGCTTCTGTGATTCGGCATCATAGCGCTTCACAGAGTCTATCTCATATAGATTGTGGTCAATGATGACGGCCACCGAGGCTGAACCACCCACGGCCAATGTACACTGCCTTCTTCCTGCATCCCCACTTAGGTGGACTATTATTAACGGTCAGACTCTAACGTACCCGAAAATTCGACGGGGAAAGCAGTCGTTTAGACGCAGTCACCGAGCCCTTTATGCCAGGTCTGATTGGCCTAAGTATTTCGATGATTGAGGATCACCGCCGATGACCGGTCCAGCACAAGGATACTTCAAACCAAACAGTGAAAGTATTAGTCTATAGTTTCGAGTACAATAATAATCGTTTGCTATCGGATGTTGAAGCCCTGGCCTGCAGCGGCTAATAGGCCACCGAGGATATAAACTGATATCAGTGAGCGTTTCAAAAATCTCCACTAGACATGTAAGAAGGGGCCAACTGGTCACTAAATATATACATGGAAATCTTAAATAACCCCTTATTCTCCAGTTATGCCCTTGGACAGTCTAACAGGGAGGCTATACAAGCGAGAGATTAATCTCTCCTCTTTATCTTGGATGTTTTGAATCAATAAAGGTGATCCCTCGCTGGTTCACTTCCTACGTTTATGCTCACTTAGACTGCGCATTCGAGGGCTCTGACAGTACTCTTGTCGTATCATGTCACGAGGGCACGGAGCATTTCGTACGAGAGAACCTGTGAGCCCACCCAGGGTGTTTCGCTCGACGCGACTTGGGATGGCACGGGGTATTTTAGAAGCCTGAGGAAGTCACCCATCCATCCTTGACACTGAGGCTCCTCAATTGTTCCTTTTAGCAGGTAGGGCTTCGTCTGAGCGGGAAATTCGGGCTTACCCTAGCTAGAGGTCGTCTCCTCGCTGTAACCGCTGTCGTTATCTGTACGCGTCGCACAAGGACATGATTTCTATATTTTTTGCATGTCATATAGTGGTTAGAGTCATGCATCGTTCCAGGGTGTGGATGGTGGCAGTAGGATGAGGGCTTGTCGCCGCGCTCATCCTCGACTTCTCAGCTTGGCCGCACTCAGCTCAGACGAGCTAAAAATAGTATCTCTTCATCTCTGGGCACTTCATACTATCTCAGGATGCACTCCTCTTGTTGAAGCGATGCGCACGCTTTGGCCTGAAAAAGTCACCCCCGAGGGGCCTAAAGTTCCGAATCAACTCCTAAACGCACAGGAAGTGCGCATTCCGCTTCCATCCGACGCTTCAGCAGCCCTTCGTGGCCAGGCCTCTAGGAAGTAGGTCCATTCCAACGTTATCAGCCGACCTCCAGCGCCCATCGCCGACCACCTCTGCGATCGGTTTTGACCATTATCTGGGCCACCGCGCTTCCAGAGGTTATCGGATTGGACCCAACGTCAATTTTTTCGGCTTGGCATGTTTACGCGCTGGTGGCCGATCCCCCCTTCTACCGTGGGCCAGCATTGCCATTACTCGCCAGAACTTGGTTTTCGACTATGGAGGATACCAGTAAATTTCAATATGTTATAATTCAAGATGATAGTTGGCAGTTGATAGCGTGATGTCGACAATGCGGGATGAAAGACAGCCTCACCCCCTGGCTCCTGGCTCCTGGCAATCAGGGCTGCGCATACAAATCCCAGCACATTCACTCACAAGCGAGCAGTGTCTAAACACGAGGTTTGTGGCAGTTTCTTCTCTCACCACAGTCCATTCAAGGCTACAGGCGTCTCTGATAGGGGATTTTCGTATAAAAGCCCTTGGAAGTCTGCAAATACTTCCTTGCACATCGTCGCTCTACGATCATGCGCTTCACGTCTCCTTTTCTTTGGCTTATTTGCACTCACCTTCGCCCTCGCTGCGCCTCTCGCGAACGAGACCGCTGCAGATGGAGACGTAGAACATCGGTAAGTCTTCGAGTTTAAAAACCGCTCATTAAATAGTGACGATTGCCAGTGGCTGCAAGAACTCGCTCACTGTAGAAGAGGCCAACGACGTTCAGACTCGCTTCGCTGCCGACCTTGCCAAGGCAAACATTGGTGATCTCGAACCCAACTCTACGCGCACGGCACCGGTCAAAGTTGGTGAGTACGTTACATGACTTTCCCACTTTTACTCATACTCTCCAGTCTGGCACATTATCTATCCGTATCTATGGTCTGGGGGATATCTTTCCAACAGTGATGTACAGAGATGTACGTGCTGTGCTTATTGCTTCAGAAAAAATCGCTGCTGACCATGTTTCATTAGCCATCAGCTACCTGAATTCGCACTACTCTGGCACGGGTATCCAATTCACACTTACTAGAATCACGCGCACACGGAACTACAACTGGTACTACTATGCCAACGATGGAAACGCCTATCAAACTGCCATGAAGAATGCTCTTCGCCAAGGTGGTCGTGACACGCTCAACGTCTATACCGTCAACTTTGGGGATGATACCCTCGGCTATGCTACCTGGCCATGGAACTATGCGGGCAACCCACGCAATGACGGTGTGGTCATCAAGTATAACACCGTTCCTGGCGGGAGTAAGTGGCCGTAGGGTCGTCGTCCGAACAGGTGCTGATTCATTTGACAGGCAGCAGCAACTACAACCAGGGCAAGACGCTCACCCACGAGGTTGGGCATTGGCTCGGTCTCTTCCACGTCTTCCAGGGACAATCCTGCAGCGGTATTTGGGCATCCCTATTCACATAGATGCAGTGGACTGACAGGAGATGCCAGGAAATGGTGACTACGTTGTGGACACTCCTCCACAGCGCACCCCGACGTACGGCTGCCCCACCTACAAAGATTCTTGCCCCGGTGGAGGACCCGACTCCATCCATGTACGTTACACATCGACAAATATTCGACTGGATACTAAACTATTTCACAGAATTTCATGGACTACAGTTATGATAGGTTAGTGACCCCTAATCTAACATTTCTGTTCTGACTCACTCCGTACAGGTGCATGTATCAATTCACCTACTGGCAAGCATATCGCGCTCGACAAGCGTGCGTAGTCTGGATTTCCCTCGATTCAATAAGCTAACCTATTGTCTAGCGCTGCCATCTACCGTGGACTCTGAGCTCTTTGGTCATTGGTAAACCTGTGAAGAATACGGCGAGATATAAATAGTTTCACGGACAATCGAATATCCATTGCTATCAACATATTTACCAAACGATGGCGTGAAAGTTGTTGATTCTGACGACTCACCTGAGCTGAGCAAAGAGAGCATGTCTGAAATAAGGTCTATCGACAGATGTATGACAGGGAACCTCTGTCCCACGTCTCAGAGCTACCTGTTTCCAACAACAACCTTTGATTCTGCTTCTTGACATCTGTCTTGACCCTTCCACGATGCTATTGTCATCAGGAGGCAGCAATATGAGTGGAAAGATTCTCAAAAAGAGGGGTAAACCTCGAACTATACCGCCTTTGTCAAAGCCGCCACTCCCTTTCGACATATGGCATGACGTTCTTGGCCACCTTGCATTACATATGATGTCGATGTATAACCTCGACGATATGCACACGTTTCCAGCGGATAGAAGGCGCCTCGGATGGGATGGTGGGCGACTCCGCGTCAGGCAATGGCTCGAACTACGTCGCATATGTCGTGCGTGGTACACCGATGGCTCATGGATTCCTTACAAGACCTTTTGACTCTGTAGAGGACGTTGCGTCCTTAAAGACCCAAGTTCACTGGGTTCATCTCGATGGAATGAACGGCGCAATGGCCGTTTTCGCCAAATTCATCATGCAGTCCCTCAAAACTTCAGCGGACATAACCACTCTTTCAGTAAATACCACCTCTTCGACTTTGATTCATGAAGTCTTCAACATTGGACGCCAACTTCCCATGCTCAGACACCTCTCCATTGCCGCCGCGTGTTCCATTTCATCGTTTTGGGCACGGCTGGAGAATACTTTTCCCAATATTGTCGTATTACGACTCTCCTCTATACGCGCCGAGGCTGAAGACGTATTCTCGTTGGGTCGATTGGAGTTACTTGAGGTCAGGGACCTTACCACGAGTCTCAATAGAGTCAAACTTCCGTCTCTTCGGCATTTATTCATCCATAATTCCCCCCGCTTGATCGTATCAATCCACAACGAGTTACGCTTCCAGCTCACTACGATTCTCTACAGCGAGTACCCAGGCCAATTTTCCTCCTCTGTCTACATGACTTCTATAGATACATGGTGGGACGCTGGAGATCTGAAGTTACTCGAGACCTCGGACTACGACTTGGCTACCTGTAGTCGAAAGATTATTTCACTAGCGGCAAACCACCCACTAGAGCATCTCGTCGTTAACCTTCACCTTGACTTTCGCCGGAATTCGTACCGAACCACGGCGTCTCTTCTCCACGCCCTAGGTGGGTATCCAAGGCTGCGTCGCCTATCGGTCGATGTTCAAGGCTTGACGTCCTTTGAGAGGATGCGATTACGCCTGACCTGTTCTCTGCGCGGTATCGCTTGGACACCACTTCCGCAGGTACCGAATCCATCTCCGCGTTCGTTTGTCGACACTGGGCGCGCAATCATAGATAGATGGCTCGAACATCACCGTCTGAAACGGAGCATTGATGGCTAATGTATGCCTATGTGTCGAGTAATATGTCGGGTAGGCGTTATGGCCCAACCATTGGCAATTGTTGTACAAATTGTGACTTCTTGAGATTATATCGTGCTATCTAAGACTTTAGATTCATGTGTCTGTCGATGGACGCTAAGCGCCCGTGAATTACCCAAGCAGCTCGGATTGCGCAATCGCATCGAGCTTGAACTCCTCCAAATCTGCACCGGCAGGCCTCAGACATACAGCCTAGGCTACAAGACCGCAATGCTCTCTATTCCGACTGAAAATCGATATAGAACTCGTTATAGTCAGCCTGCAAGCAAAAACAGGCCCAGAATAAAGACGAAAATTCTGTCTAATCAACTAGAATGGCCCAATGACATTTCTATGCGTCTTTCTACTCACTTTGAATATTCGTAGCTGCTGGACACTGCGCTGCGACGTCTTTTTTGCACCGGTCGAGAGTCATGGTCGGCTTTTTGGAGCGCCTTGCACACCCAAAATCGGACGAGTGGTCCCGGTCGCTTTCGGAACGGAACTCCGCATTTCGTAAATTTCCCTATCTTCAGCCCGAAGCATGCGGTCTCGTGGGCTTGGGGTTCTCCCAGCTAGAACTGTCTCCTAGCAATCTTTGAAGCGATAATACCTCAAGAATCCTTCGGAGGAACTCTGATAAGAGATTTGGTCGTCAAATCTCATCTTTTCGTGATTTGTGAATCGCCGCAGAGGGCAATATGGAGGTCAATTAGGAGGTCCGGCGGACATCAAGTGGCTTCGACAGATCCCTGGGGCGTGATTAGACTAAACCAATTTGGAAATACAAGCTCCCTAGGAGGTTGTAGCTATCCACGCTCATTGGAGGATTCGGAACTCGTAATCGAGAAGTCGCAGCGTGACCGGTGCACGAGGACAATAGGAGCATACCCAGCGGGAAAGGCATAAATATGGAGCTCTCTGGACCGTCTTCAAGTGCAACTTTTCTCCCCGTCTATCGCCATGCTCTCAGTTTTGCCCTCGTCCCACTCACACCCAAAGCGGCTCTTCAGACGCAAGTCTACCAAGACGTCGCAAAAGACGCCAAAGGCTACACTAAAGGCGGATTTCTCATCATTCGTTGAGAGGTATCCCGATTATGCTCAGACGACCGCCCTCGACCGACTTCGAGACGTCGAATTTGCCCGACTCGATGGATCTAAAGAGGTCTATGTCGATTATATGGGTGGCTGTCTTTGGCCGAAGAGCCTTGTCACCAACCACGCCGACCTGCTCAAAACTGGTCTTTTCGGGAACACCCACTCTGATAGCCCTTGGTACGCCTCGAACGCGTCACTTTCGAGTTATTCGCTAATTTAGATTCAGCGCAACTCGATCGGATCATCACATTGCCGCAGCTCGTGCTGCCGTCCTCGACTTCTTCGACGCCCCCTCATCTGACTATGCCTGCATCTTCACTGCGAATGCCACTGGAGCTCTCAAGCTTGTTGGAGAGAGCTTCCCATTCGGGCCATCGAGTCAACTCGTCATTCCCGCCGACTGTCACAATAGCGTCAACGGCATTCGTCGTTTCGCAGAAAATGCTGGCTCAAAGGTACATTACCTTGGGAGCACTCCTCATGGCGGCTTTGACGAAGCCGAGGCTTTGGTGTGTCAGACCTGGTTTCGCGGTGTATCGACTAACTGGCACTCAGACTATCCTGCGATCTCCCGGGAATTCATCCAGCACACCGTCTCTGTTCATCGTCACTGGTCAATCAAATATAACGGGCATTCGCCCGTCACTCTCCGTATTAGCAGATGCCAAAGCAGCGGGCTTCTCCACGCTCATCGACGCCGCGGCGCTTGCCTCCTCCGTGCGCATCTCTCTTCAGCAAACGCCCAATGCAGATGCCATGGTGGTCAGTTTCTACAAAATGTTTGGTTATCCGACAGGAGTTGGTGCGCTAGTAGCGAAAAAGTCGTTCCTTGCGACCCTGGAGAGACGCTGGTTCAGCGGGGGAAGCGTCGATTTCGTTCAAGCTCCAGGGAAATTGACGCTACACGCCAAAGACGTCACTGCACGGTTCGAGGTGAGCTTCTTTCGATGCATAGACTTCGTCACTGACATCATCCAGGAGGGTACATTGAACTACAGCTCGCTCTCTGCCATCGCCCCAGGTCTCCAGTTTCTCACGACATATATGCCCTACATGATGCTCAGGCTTCCTTCGCTCCACCACTATCTCCATACCGCCCTCGAAACCCTTGTTTACCCTGGTACTCAAACGCCGCTCGTCCGTGTCCACACGCGGCTCAGAGACATGCCTCTCAGTCGCTCGATAACGACGGCATCGAAAGAGTCCACCGAGTCCACATCAAAGCGATCCGGCTCTCCGCTCCAATGGGCAAAGCTTGCTAGTTCATCGCGCACCAGCTCATTCCTAGGAGCTTTGAACCGTCGGTTCTCCTCACCGTTACCCAGCCCACCTCTTTCCCCATCCTCGCCACGCTCAGAATCATCCCTTGAAGCCGTCACCCGTAGCAAGGGAACGCCTGGCCAAGGATATGTGGTGTCATGCACATTTTATCGAAGCACCGGCGAAGTCATTCCACTCTCGCATGTTTCGAAACTCGCTTCGATCGCCGGTATCTCGCTGCGGACTGGATGCGTTTGTAACCCTGGTGGATCCGCGGCGCTCCGTGGGCAAGTCATCCAAGAGAGAATGGAGGAACTGTCCAAATTCGATGAGGAAACTGTCGAGCTCAAGCAGATTTGCCAACTTGTCGGCGGACTCAGTAGCGCTGGTGTCGTGCGCTTGAGTCTCGGTATGGCGAGCAACTTTGAAGACGTGTGGAGAGTCGTGCAGTGGGCACGCACGCTTCTGGACGAAGCAGAGCGAGATAAGAGGATTCAAGATCTGCTCAACTGATCGATGATTCGGTTTGTACTGCCTTTGTAGCCGTGTTAAAGCCTGAATGTAATTCTGAAACTTGCAATTCTTGGTCCACAAACGTGAGTGCGGTGACAAGGTGGTGAAGAGCCTTTCGATCAAATTCACCATCGTCTGCAATATCCTCCGCGACTTGAAGAGCTTAAAACGACGCAAAAAACCTGCAAATTAATTAGAATGAGTCAAGAGGATTCCAGAGAGTCCAAGTTCCAGATGGAACGTATTCCTTCTGAAGTTCTGGAAGACATCTTTCATCTTACCTCCCCAAATGGCTCTATCCAAGACTCTTTGCCTCTATCCCATGTCTGTCGTACATGGAGATTGGTCTCGCTCAGCCAAAGAGTGCTCTGGCTCACGGTCCGAGTGAAACTTGGAGTTGACCTCGCCATGGTTCGGAGGTACTGGAGCGCTATGAAGAATCGAACCAGGGGTGCAGGAGTGACCATTGACATATTGGACTTGATCAGTGACACGCGCCTCATCGACTGGTGGCGCCAAGCATACCCGATCCTTTTCAGACTCTTCAAGAACATTGATGCAGTATCCATCACGCTTCTTCCTATCAAAAAGCCCATATATATTCTTGAGACTCTCAGGCACATTCCTTTGCCCTATCACACGTTGATAATCCACTGTCCCTCCACCAAGCCACCCGAAGGTACCACAATGGAGGTGTCCGTTGCGGATATATGCGCCATGTCACCCGAAATAAAGCGCGTCGAGCTCTACAACATGTGCTTCTACCTCTCTCCCAGGCTCGACCGCCTTCTAATTGAGGAGTTGGTCATTCAAGTACCGGCCTTCGAGACCAAGCGCTCATTCATCGACGCGATTCTTATTCAATGCCCGCTGCTGCGTGTTCTCGAGGTGCGAGATGGGGACAAACCAGAGGATACGTACTTTGGACAACCCTTGGGCACTCCTAACCCTCCGGAGAACCTCGAATCGTTCGTGGTGGACCGAGCACCGCACATAATCTACTCTTATGGACTAAATAAACCTCGCGTCTTGCCTCGGCTCACGAAGCTTCTCGTCCACCGCCCCGACAGAGATCGTAGCAGGATGATCGCCTTTGTTCGAGCGAATCCAACCATTGTCGAATGCGGATTTACATTCGCTTGGGAGGTGGCAGACTATGAACACACGGTGGATTGGCTCACGCTCAAGGATCTCGCAGGCGTAGCACCGCAGATTAAAACGTTACACATCTACGCAAAGTATTGCGGCTATGACGTTGTTATTCTCCTCGACGACTTCAACACCCAACGTACCCAAAATCCCCTCTCATTCTTCCCCAATTTGGTTACCCTTCGCCTCGACACCGTCCCTTTTCTCTCCAAGGTACTTTTCGAGGATGTGGTTCAAGCGTGCTACCCCATAGCCCTTCCCGGCGCAGACGTCACTTCCTCACGGTTTTCACTCAAAGAACTCTCCGTAACATTCAAGGACAACGCGAGGGAGAACGAAAAGACGGAATGGCTTGCAAGTAGTTATCTTGAGAAGGCTGAGATATACAAACTCCAGGCAGGATCGGCCTGGCACGTTTCTTGGTAGTCGTACGACGATAGATGTACACGTATATATCACTTGATAGCTCTATCCGATACTATATGCACAAACTTAGACACGATCATAAACTGTTTGGGCTGGCTCGAATAGAAAAGTTTGTATTCAAAAGTATAATCGAAGTGGTGCATATTTCTCTCTGACTCTTTGAAAATCACGCTGTCTGTCCTTGCTTTCTTCCTACATACTTGTCCCTTGATCAAGTAGCTTAGAGACCACGATAGATCCATGCCCTTTTCAGAGTCAGTGCTTATTGTGAGGAAAAAGAAGGAAATATACAATTGGCGAGCGCGGACGCCTTGCCGATAGGTGAACAGATATTTGCACCTTAAGAATGATAAGTAACTGACGTAAAGGATGTTCCATGGAGACTAACCAATCGTAGGTCATGTCCATGAAGTTCTATGAAAGGTCGGCGTGAATGGCTACAAGACATCAAGAATTTTGCAACGTACACGAATAGAGTCCGGGCCTCCTCCAGGGCAGGTGTTCTTGAAGTTGGGGCAGCCGAATGATGCAGTCAGCTGAGGAGGTGTATCCAAGACATAATCTCCTGGCCCTATCATTATAAAATGTGAGCTCATGAGTACATATGTGCCGGAAGATGTTACCGCCACAGGAATTTCCTTGGAACACATGGTATAGACCCAACCAGTGACCTACATGGTGCACAAGTGTTTTACCCTGACTATAGTTTGGTTCGCCTGCAACATTGACCAACGATCAGATAGACCGTGGTCGATATGGCCAGAGTGGCTTACCTCCACCAGGAACGGTGCGATACCTAATAACCACACCATCCCTGTTCAAATTTGCTGCAACGTTCCAAGGCCAGGTAGCATACCCGCGCTCAGGATTGCCACCCAGATTGACTGAGTAGACGTTGAGTGTCCGGCGTGTGCCACGGTGAAGTAAATTCTTCATGGAAGTATCCAGAGGATTTCCTTGGCTGGCCAAGAAAAACCAAGACGGGTTCCATGTGCGTGTAATGTTGCCAAGATAGAATTGTATGCCTATGCTCGAGTAGTAGGTGTTCAAGGCACTGATAGCTACAAAAGAACAATAGGTGAGCAATAAATTTGCTTATAGCGAAGTTAGTACGCACAGGCCAGCACCTGGCCATTGGAGAGAGCCCCAGGTGCCGTTGCAGAAGGAGCGATGATATGCCATTCTGCAACGGAGTGTGAGACAAATATCTGAAGGATATGAATACACTAACCGACACGAATAGGAGCTGTTCTCGAAGAATCAGAGAGGAAATCAGGGAGATCCGCTCTGGCAAGTTCAGACTCAATGCGAGCCTCAATCTCACTAGCCTCCTCCGCGGTCAGCGTATTGTTGCAACCACTAGTGGATGTTAGCCAGTGAAAATAGTCTATTATGATGACAGACTGAGCCTCTACATCTCCATCCGTAGTTGTTTCATTTGCCAGAGGCGCAGCAACTGCAAAAGGGAGCGCGAGTAAGCTGAGGAAAAGAGACAAAAACCGCATATTTTTGGAGTAAAGAGGCGCAGGGAGAACGCAGTGTACTCCGCTGTGAGCCTTTATACATAGAGGAAACCTTCCCAATACTCTAGAGGGTAATGGGCACAGGGCTGCCCAGATGCCTCGTGAACAGAATACAACCACTTCTGAAGTGAATATGTTGGTACCCTTGCACAGCTTTGATTGCCAGGAACCAGCAGGTCAGAATACGATTATCCTAAATCCCGGGCGATACTACACATCAATTGCTACCTATCGAGTATATATTCATCAAGCTGACTTCTCCCAGAGCCTTCTTCTTCATTGGTGGCTCTCATAATGCGGGAGCACTGGCCTGCTCTAGAACAGGGGGGTTCGGCCACAATTGCATTGGCGCCTCGCCCCTGCCAAGACATTTTGCCCAGCCTAGCTGGCGCTGGAGACAGGGTTCGGAACCGACGATCTGTCAAGGCGAAAAGAAGGTTATAGCATAGGACTAGCACCGTCTCCCTGGTCATTTAGGGCTGCTATAACGTATGAAAGGTGCATTTTATACAGATTTGCTGTATTATATGCTTATTTCGGAGAGTTAGGCCACTCGGGTATGCCTTTCTGAGCTTCTTGCCCGTGAGGGGAGCGCGAGGCATATCCTGGTTGGAAGACATCATGGAATTTCCGTGCTCAAAGGCAGCTCGCTTGAGTAGGTCTGAGGAAGCGCAGCACCACTGTGCGTTCAGCCGCGAGTCACGCCCCTAATTATTCTGTCTCAGTTACATTGAAGGAAAGGAGACTCGTTTTAGGAATTACATAATAGACTATGGAGAGTTTGGCGCACATCGTGCGCTCGTGATCGCTCCATTGCCTCACCTACCAATGAACGGACATGCCTGGTTCTATTGCTGGCTTTGCTGGCAAAGAATATGGTCTTGGAATATTCCTGAATAAATTTCTTTAGATGAGCCTAATGGATGTATGGAAAGAAGAGGGGTGGTCACCCTAAGGAAGGCCGAATTCATCGGCCATCTATCATCTTTTCGCGGCGAATATGCCACGAGTAGGTTTACCTGGCGGATAGTATTTGTTATGCAACCAATGAAGGCTGTATGACTCGGTCGGCGATATGTGTTGGCTCATGCCTGCCTGCAATACTCAGGTGGTGCACTCGTGCTGGAAAGTCCACATATGCAATATTTAACATTTTATTGTCCAAGATACTAAGATAGCCTGGTTTCCGGGCCTTTCTCCTTGTTCCTCGCCTTCAGCCAAGTGTTCAGAGACCACGATAGACCCAGGCCCTTTGCAAAGTTAGTGCATCATCGGGAGGAGGAAGCAGAACACGTACGCCTGGCGAGCACGGTAGCCTTGCCCTGAAGTGAATCGATTCATGCACCTTCAGCGGGGTGAGTAAACCATCAAAAGAATGTAAAAGCTCAAACCTATCATAGCTGTAGTCCATGTAGTTCTGTAATGGGATAAATAAGACGCAAGCTGTTGGGTATTCATAACGTACGTGAATAGAATCAGGGCCTCCGCCTGGGCAGGTATCCTTGAATGCGGGGCAACCGACTGTTTCAGTGAGCTGAGGAGGAGTGTCTTGAACGTAGTCTCCACGGCCTAGCGTATCGCATAAGCGGACAGGGGAAGAGCGAGTAGGAGGAAGAAGTACCAGTGCAGGAGTTTCCTTGGAAGACGTGGTAAAGACCAAGCCAGTGACCGACTTCGTGCGTAAGTGTCTTGCCCTGGTTGTAGTTTGTGCTGCCTATTCATTCTTTAATCGAACGACCGCAAAACGGAGCTAAGGCACCACTTACTTCCGCCAGGGATGGTGGTGTACTTGATGACCACACCATCATCGCGCGGACGAATGCGGTAGTTCCACGGCCAGGTGGCATACCCAAGCGTGCGGGGGGTAAGCCTGACGGAGTAGATATTGAGCGTCTCGCGGCCACCAACGTGAAGGGCGTTCTTCATCGCTGTCTGATAGGCATTTCCGTAGTCTGCATAGTTGAACCAGTTATAGTTTCGAGTACGCCTGATTGCACCGAGAGTGAACCGGATGCCGGTGCCAGCGTAGTGCGAGTTCATGGCATTGATGGCTGTATAGTGGACGAGAATTAGCTCTAGAGCCACATATAGAAGGGAAATTAATTGGCACTCACATCTCCGGACGTCGAAATCTGACAGATATCCGCTTGACCAGGGCCAGAAGGACCCGTGGACGACATGCCATACTTCGCAGCATCAGCAAAGTTATTTTCCATCAGTATCTTAGCACTCACCGACACGAATAGGAGCAGTACGCGTGGAATTGGAGTTAAAGTCAGGAACATCGGCCTTGGCCAGTTCGGTGTCGAGGCGAGTCTGAACCTCGTTGGCCTCATCTGCGGTCAAAGTATTGACGCAACCACTGAAAATGTTCAGAATTGGCGGGCTACTTCCAAACAACCCACCGAGTTTCAACGTCCCCATCCGCAGTCGTTTCATTCGCGAGAGGAGCTGCAATTGCGAATGGAAGCGCAAGCAAGCCGAGGAAGAGAGATGCAAAGCGCATTTTCTGAAATTTGGGACTTGCAAATAAACTAAGAAATGATTCTCCTACGAGCCTTTATACGGTTTGTGAGATGCTTAGCCCAGTCTTGGGTTAAATGCTGGGCTTAGGGTTGCCGTAAACCTCTTCCAGCTACTTTATTCACTTTTGAGTGAATTCTTCGATCATACTTGAACAGCTCTGATTGCCAGGAACCAGGACGCTACGGTTCAATTTCTACTCTTGAACACGACTTGTCAATTGTGGCCTATCATCCCAAGAAAGAATCAAGCCAGCGTGTTTTAAGAATGTCATTTATGTTTTTCTAGTTTGCGAAATGCTGGAATGTTGGCCTGCAATGAGATACGGGGTCGGCCACCAGCGCGTAAACACGCCAAGCCCCGTTTATGATATTCTCTCCAAACTGATAAGCTTTTGAGGCGCTGTTCGGAACCGACGCTATGCCAGTAATAAGCTTGGCGAAGAGCCATGAGATGACCATTGGTCCACCATTGTGGTCATTGAGGGCTGCTAAGGCGTTTCCTCGATTGAAAGGGCGTTTATTCTGTGTTCAGGATTACGCCTCGGAGTTCAGGCCTCTCGGGGATGGCTGCGAGGCCAGCCTTGGATCAAGCAGAGGTATCGCCAGAGTGGGGAGATTGAAACGATTTGACACGAGATGCCAGGAGTCGAGAGATGCGGGAATTTGATGGATTTTAAGAGACTGCACGACTCGTTTTGGTGGTCGAAGCTGAGCAGCGCGACTCCAACCTAAACTGTACCACCGTACCCTCTAAAATCCTCCACTCTGAGAATTAAACGACATGATTCCTGCAAGATTGATGTGTTATTTGTGTGAAGTGGAGATGTTCATTTGGACGCCCAGTACCCAGGACGCCGCAGACGCCAAAATGGGTCTCGAATCCGAGTGCGTTTTTCTGACATATTCGAGTATCTACATGAGGCCCCCTCGATTCTGTACTGAAAGTGGCCATGGAAAGGAGTCTCATTGGCACGAAGGCCGCAAGTCTCTCGATGAGATGATGTCCCGAAGACCGCTGACCGTCAAAGGGTCATCCCGAGATAGATATAAATCTTTCGATTCGCTTCCAAGTTTCCAATATCATCCCACTCATTTTATCACTGTGCAGGATATCTCCCTTATTCACTCGTCGGCCAGTGGGCCTATGCGGCCCCTGGATGTCCTCATACAGGAAGAATATACTACTTGTATAGATCCTTTTCCAGAGTCCCATGTTGGTTCAGGCTTATTGGCATGGTGATGTCTCAAGCCCCTCGAATTGATAGCCAAGCATAGCTAAGTGAGCATGAGCGTATCAATGAAATAAATCCGCCATTTTTTTCACTCTTCCGCTATGTTGGAACTTCCGGCTCGCCAGCCAGGCTGTAGTAAGCAGCGAAGCGTCTCTCAATCTCCTCGACTTCTTCGTCAGAAGGCTCGTTTCCGCACCGACTTTGAATTCGATTAGATCTTTATATCAGCGAACCAATGAGCTCACCGTATCTGATAAGTACCTAACTCTTCGTCGTCTACGAGCGTGGCAGCGACGAATGCTGCACATCCGGCGATAATCCAGATTACAGAGAGAAGTTGCATATTTGCGAGAAGGAAAGCGGTTGTGTGGGCATTCCAGGATTATATAATGATCAGAGTCCAGCTGGCAAATAGCGCATTGCAAGGGCTTCTGCATGAAATTATTTACCAAAGGCCACGTCATCTGCCAGCGAGAGACCTCGTGTCATCGAGGACGTCGGTTAGGCTACATGTGGCTGGTACCAAACTTGGTCTCGACCGCTATCCTCTTAGGTGACGTGCGGCGATGGAGAAATTCTATCTGCGGAGCCACCATTGTCGTGGATAATGAAGCATTTCTGAGATTGACATCATTCTCTTATGAATAACGACGCGGACGACAGGATGACCCAGCCACGCACATAGCATCCTCTTGTCGTGTGTGTGAATGGGCTCCAGGGGAACTCAAATGCTCCACACGACGTTTCTTCTTCACTTCGTGTGATGCTTTGTGTCTTGTCACACGACAAAAGCGTGAGATGCTGCGTTCAGAGTACCCGCCTCGCATCAATATTCTCTTTTATGGCGCTGTCTGAACCCTCGCATACATGGACTCGTGTTCACGGATCAAAATGCAATCCTTATGGCAGTGAGTCTGACCATCTGTCAACTGTTACCCTCATTTTCATCCAGTGCGCCATGCAGACGGCTATTCGGTTCCGTGACCTACGAAGGTTCCCGACCAGGGGCCTTAAGAAGCCGCGTTAAACAATGACCAGGATCTCAGACACCTTTCCTTCGTCTCTTCTTTCCTCTTTGAAACTTTAAACGGCCTGGTGCCACCTGTGGGTTGCATCTACCTCTTCCATCCACGATCCTGATCAATTTCTAGTCTTTATTCAGCACCACTCTCATCCAAATGCGTGCCTACGTTTTTGTAACGCTCTCGGCTCTTCTCGCGACTCTATGTATTCAAGACGTCGTCGCTGCCCCGCTGCCGATGCCCACCGGTTCAGGACACGGCCAAGGAGGCAACATTTTCAGCGGCACCGTCGAGACAGCATGGAAAGCAGCGAGTCTCCACAAATCCGGTGAACAAGCGAAAGCCAACATAGAACACGGTGCGCGCGTTCGGGGTCAGATTCTCGCAAACCAGGCCGCACGACAAGCTCAGCATGAGCGAGAAAAGGCCGCAAAGGTGAAGGCGGATGCAGATGCGGCGAAAAGAATGCACGAACTTTTGCAGGAATCGAGAAATGCGTTCAAGGACAAGGGTTCGCCGCTTCTCAAAAAGCATGATCGGAGAAGCTACGTTCCAGGACACTCCTTCGAAGAGCTCGATTGAGATCTTTCCGTTCAACTAGTGTCATGAATACACACTCACGCATTTGGCGAGCCTACAAGTAAAAATTCCCCTTGGGATGAGTCTTATTAAAAGGTCGAGAGCAGCAGTCTTTCTTGATTAGACTAGAAAAGTACCATACAGCCTCGACAGCTTTAAAGGACACTGGCTTCTAGGATCCCCTTTTGGTATCGAGATGCCAGATCCCATTCTTGACTTCCTTCTCAATCTTCCCGACCAACCCAACGACATTAGAGCCCATCTCCTGAATGGCATCTCCAAACTTGGCCTTGAAAAGGTGAATGCCCCCTCCCAAAGCTTTATGGGAGACTGGATACGATCAGCACGGTATTCGCAAAGAAAAACCCGACTCACTCCATACTGCAGCTCTGGCCCATTGCTTGGCACGATCAAGTTTGTCAAGGACACAAAAAGTGTTAGCGATCACCAAGCACTTTAGTGCTGCCTCCGTGTCGTTATACGGAATCCTATTGCTCGCAATTGGAATTTCATGCTTCACGGCATCGTCATTGATGCCTTTGTCGAGAACGTCAATCCCCATATATTCGATAGAGGCCATCTCCTCTTTAATCGCCTCATATGCCGCCCTTGAGTTCTGCTTGCGCATTCCTTGTACTTGAAGAAGCTCGGAGAGGCGATGGTGCGCGGCACTGCGCAGAGGCTGAACGCGCGGACCCGTCGAAGGATATGTCGCGTCCATCTTTGATACCATAGCCCTAACGGTAGGCAAAGATGTCGATGTGCGATCTTCCAGTAGCTTCTGCCGTTTCTTCGATGTGCCAACCCCAGCCTCCCGATCCTCGACGCACAGAGAGCAGTCACACGTCGGGAACCACTTCTTCAACGTATTTGCTCGTTCGTGATATGGTTCATTGGCGTAGATGTACGAGATTGTGATTTCATCTCCGGCTCGAATCTGGGTGAGGGCTCGAATGACTATGGCGTCACCAAAAAAGTGGCGAGTGGCGTTTGCATCACAAGAGTGATTGAAATAGGAAGGTAGAAGATAAATCACTGTTGATTTCCCGTCATTGAGAGGAGACGGCTTCTCCTGTTTGGACTCGGTCTTGTTGGCTGCGTTCTCCGGGGAGCAACCAAACCAGTTGAGCGAACACACAGCCTCAACTCGATTGGTATCGATAAATACGGGTGGACTCAAGGGGTCATTTTCGTCAAAGTAGTCGTTGATGTCAGGATTCGAGGGCTGGTGTCGCTCTCCACCGTAAAGCTGGCAGAAATCGTTATTAATTTGCTTGGAATCCATGAGCTTCATCATCAAGTTCTGAATAAGGGTATAGTGGCCACCTGACTGAATCTCGTTGGCATGAAAGTTGAGTGCTATCAGAATGCCTTCCTGATTGTTCGGGGGTCCATTGGCAATGGCCTTTGAAACAAGCTGGTAGGTCATCAGAGCGTGAATATAATGTAGGAAAGGTGCCAATAAATACCAAAAGTTCTCCGACCTCGATGTCTCTGGTAGCGAGGATTCCACGTCCACCACCTCTATTTGGTACTGGTGCAACTTTGACTGGTCCGACAAAGTCGGAGATGTCAAAGGATAATACAGACTTGGCTCTAAGTGTCTGATCGTAAAGCTCCTCCCAACGATAGACGCCCGTCTGCTGCTCCTGAAGCCTGTCGACGCATTTTTGTATCCCTGTCTTTGCGTCGACGAGGTTCTCATCTACTCCAAGACATCCTTCATAGTATTGCTTTGCCGCATCGTAGCGGCCGCTGGCATATTCTGCCTGAGCAGAACGGTACAATCCCTTGAGTTTGTCCGCAGTTGAGAGATTATCAGAGGAAAGAACGGAGTTGAGATCTCTGAGACTTGCACTGTAGTGACCTAAGCGAATACGCGCCAGGGAACGATTCAACCGCAATGCGGTCGAGGTGGGGTCCAGTTGCAGCCCTCGTGAGTAAGCAACAACAGCCGCCCAGTACTCTTGTCTCTTGAAGTGACTATCTCCGAGAGTCTTCCATCCAGACGAGGTCCGCGTATGAAGTGGATGCTTGCGACTTCCGCTCGACCACTTGATACCTTTGAGGAGAGGATCGTCGGGATGAAGGACGACAAGGTCAGAAGGTGAATCGATTCGGACGTAGATTTGAGACCCAGCTAGTGCCATTTTCACCATAGGCTCACGGATGGCCAAGACCGTGTACAACGGAAATAGCGTATCCAGCTCGCCCACTAGCCTCGAAAGTGCCAGGAAAGTTGTATAATGAAACGAGATGGGGCCATGCATTGGCGTCCTCGACTCCAAACGTTACACAGACAACTCGACCTGCGTTCCGCGTTAGTACCTGTTGCTACAGGTTATCAGACGTACTTGGACGCGCGATTACACGGCACAATAGATATCGTCCCTAGAAGACCCTCAGTGAAAGGTGGCGAGGTGTATGTATGATAGACTATACGTATACCGAGTTCGAACGTGCATTTCCTTGAGAACGACTAGTAATAAGCCGGGGTTGAATGCCTTTTGATATTGATAAACTCACTGGGCTTCAAATTCTTCAAAGGTTGGGATGAGGAAAAGCTCTCCTGGCCCATGAAAGTTGTCCGGATTTCATGATTTTGTCCAGTCTTTTGTTCGGCATCCCACTTGTCCCTTCTTCTCTCAAGTTCTGAAACCAGTGCATCCGGTGAAACATAAGGCAGCGGAAATGGTGGCGCCGTCTTCTCTACCTCGGCCCTTGCTTTCGCAGAGTCGAGCATTTTGAGTAGTTGGTCATCGATTGAAGTATCGTGAAATTTCGTATTTTTCGCCATCTGAGCCATATTGTCTTTCGGGGATGAGTTGGTAGAGTCCAACCCTTTTTGTGGAGGGTCTTGTCAAATTTCAGCCAACGTGGTACATTAAACAGCACGACCTGAGCAGTTTATTACTAAACCTAAAATCAACAGAACTACTACGCTCGTTCCGACTCGATTTTGCTCAGAAACTCTGCGAGCACAGGTCCCAGAACGCGGATAATATCTGAATGAGTGCGTTTAAACATGGGGATCCCACCTCCAATTGTTTTCTCAGACACTGTAACCAGTTAGCTAAATAACCACCGCGACGAGAGCTCACTCACTCCAAATGGCCGCTCGGAACCAGCTCATTGCACGGTTTGGACATCCCAGAAGAACGAACATTCCAAATATCATCAGACATTGCATATCGGGTTCGCCGAACGTGTTTGGTATTCGTCGTGTAGAGATGGGTAGCGTTGGTAGATGAGAGTGATCAGAGACTTCTGTGATACCCTTTTCAGTAACCTCTACTCCGAGCCACTCAAGCGACTGAATCTCCTTTTCAATGGCTTCAGTAGCCGCGGCCTTGCTCACAAATTCGTGCGCCATCTGCTGTAACCGATGGGAGAATGCATGGTACGCAGTCGAAAGCTCCGGTCTCACTCTCTCCTGAGATGAATAGGTGGATACCATCTTTTGGAGAGCATCTCGTGCCTGGGGGAGAGGTGTAGCGGCGTTTCGCACGGCTTTGCTGAGCGATTCTCTAGCCGAACGGCGGTTGGAGCCAGCCAACCGGTCATCGATGCAAAGTTGGCAATCACATTGGTCAAACCAGGGTTTCAGATTTTTCTCCCGGCTAGCGTAGGATGCGTGACTGCAATAAGAAATGGTGATCTCCTCGTCCTGTTTGATTGACTGTGTGGCTCGTATCACCATGAGATCGCTGAAAAACTGGTGGCCTGCATTCGGAATACACGAGTGATTGAAGTATGAGGCGAGGAGATATAAACCAGTCCCCTTCTCCGTCATGGGAGAGTCGCCGCCGTCGTCGTCGTCGTCTGGCCCGAACTTTCTTTTCAGAGCCGCAGTACCTGTGCGAAAGCCAAACCAATTGGTGGAGCATATAGATTCAATATGCCCAAAGTCCACGAGGAAAGGGGGAGAGTATGGTCCTCGACGTCAAAGTGATCGTTGGTGACTTGCTCGCTCTTGACGCCGTTGTTGCGCGAGTAAAGCTGGAAAAACCCGCGGGTGAGGCTTTCTTCCGCCACCAACATTGGCACGAGCTTTTGAATGAGATCATATCTCGACTGAGTTTCCATTGCATTGGTGAGAAAGTTGAATGACCAGAAAGAGGATGCCGCCGTTGGCTGATCCACCGCTGCAGCTATGGGCTTGAGGACCATCTATGAAGAGCTTGTCAGCGTTTGTATCATGTGAATGAGTAAGGATCTACCAGGAGCTCGCCAGCATCGATATCCTGTGTCGCAAATACACCTCGTCCTCCACCTCGAGATGACCTTGGTGCAACTTTAATCGGACCCACATAATCAGCCACCTCACATGCACCAAGCGAGGCAGAGCGAGACACCGCGTCAAACATGGACGCCCAATCAAAGTCACCCAGCGATTGCTCGCAAAGTCGTTGCGTGCATTTGGAGACTCCCGCCACGGCTTCTTCGAGCGATGGGTTGAGCGATAGACAGCGTTCATACAGCGCCTTTGCTTCTGCAAAACGCTCCAGTCCATAATGGGCCTGAGCAGAACGATAGAGTGCTTTGACCTCCTCGCCATCACCCAAACAGCTCGAAGACAGAATCGTTTGAAGATCCCTGAGACTCGCTTCATAATGCTTCAACCGGAGTCTCGCCAAGGACCTATTGAGGCGTATGGTGACGTTTTCGCGATTGAGGTGCAAGGCGTTCGAGTAGGCGACGACCGCCGCAAAGTACTGCTGACTGCGAAAGTGTTTATCTCCAATCTCCTTCCACCCCACAGTTGCGTGATTCAAGAGAGGGTGTTGACGGACGCCAGTCGCCCAGCGGACACCACTCAGCAGGGGGTCGCCGGGCTTGAGGAGGACGATATCGGATGGGGAATCGATGCGGATGTGTGAGTGTGATGCCCCCAATGCCATCTTGGACATGGGTTCGCGGATGGCGATGATGCTATTCTCGGGAAACATGGTGTCGAGTTCGTCTCCGAAAGCAGCGTGGGTACCTGGAAAGTTGTAAATGGAGACAACTTGAGCCCATCCGTCTGGATCTTCAACCCCCAAAGTCACACATACAAGTCGACCTCGGTGCACGGTTTAGCAGTTGTAATAGCGGCAGCGTGTAATCGACTCACTTGCGGGGCCCACGGTTCGGCATAACAACAAGCGCCCCTAATCGACATTAGCCAAATTCCGATTTCACTAAGGACTCACGGTATATCTTACTCTGATCTGCATTTCTCTCAAGAGAACTGAGCAGCGTCAGAGAAATCTTTAGGGATTCTTCCAACGTACTTGGTTTGAGGTTTTGAAGCGGCGTGCTAGAGTAGAAGCCCTCATGGCCAATGTAGGTGAGCCGCATATTCTTTTTATGAGATTTACTCGTCAATTCATCCATCAACTCTTTCCGTTGAAACTCCAGCTGCATTCGTAACAAGAAAGGCGGAGTGTATGGCATAGGCACAGGCGGCATTTGCTTTTCAGCTGCCGCCTTGTCCTTTGCAGCCTTGACGACCGCAATCATATCGTCAACAGTGTTGAAACGCTGCATATGCGCCGGAGTGATGGACGTTGGGATGGTGGCCCGTAACCTTTGAGCGCGCGGAGCCTGGCGGTTTACGCCCACCTCATGGCATCCTTAGGTGGGCTATCCCCTTGGAATACATTTTATTAGCACGAGATGATCGATACATACACTACGCAAACGCATGAGACCCCACTTCACAAGCCGAAAGAGAGAAGAACTGACGGACACAGCTACTTGTTTCCGTCGTTGGAAAGCGGAGGCAACGTAAAAGGTAAAGGCGCAGAAGGCGGCTGGTCTATATCCATCGATTCACCCTTTTCACCCTTGGGCGTCACTCCAACGAGGGGTGCCAACGGCTGCGGACTCATGATATTCGAGCCCTTTTCTCTCCTAGGAGGCTGGAGTATCGCGTGTATCGACGACGACGAAGGTGGTCGAGGCGCAGGCGAGATCGAAGGTCGCGGCGGAGCAGTCGGAGGTCTTGGAAGAACAGGAGACGTAGACACCATTCGTGGGAGGATCGTTGACGCCGACGTTGACGTCGCCGTAGATGCAGAAGGAAGTGGTGGCGTAATCTTTGACCCGCCCAACGTCGAACTCGCCGCCGTGACCGCTGGAGACGATGTTGCGGAATAGGGACGCGGCGCGACAGTTGAAGTCGTCGAACGTGGTCCAGCACTCCATGGGTTGAAGCCAGGCGGGTTCAGTGAGCTCGTCGGCGAATGGCTTGCTGCTTCGGCATGTGAGCCAGGTACATCGACTCCTTCGTTGGCAGGAGATTGCCGGGTTCCCGTCACTGGATGCGCATAGCGTCCCATCGTGGACGGAGCTGCTGGAAGGGTAGGCGGCGGCGAACTGCGACGAGGATGATTGGGTGGAGAATATCCTGGACCCGATCCATATGCATAACGTGACGCATGAGAATCACGCGTGGTTGTAGGATACTGTCCAGCCGCCGCCGATCCGGAGAGACTTGAGATTGACATCATCCCTCCGGGCTGCGACTGCGAATAGAGCTTGTCCTTTTCTCTATCCCTCGCTCGCTCTCTATCCCGCATCCTCTCCGTCTCCTCCCTGTCACTCCACGAGTCGCGTCTGCGCGCCGAGGCCGAGGTTGTCTGTCCAGACGGATACCCAGACTGCGAAAGCGAAGGATGAAGTCCAGCTGACGGCTGCGCATCCTCCTCATAACCACTTCGTTTCCAATTCGCATCTTCTTGTCGATTGCGCTTCGAAGATGTCGTCGTACTCCCTCGACTCTTCGACTCGCCCCTATACGCACCGCCAGTGGAGATTCCTTCGCGGTACTGCGCAGGAGGCGTCTGAGGAGGTGGCGCCATGGTGCTATGACCGTGATTGTGGATCACATGCGCGTGACTCGAACCGGACGCGGGTGCTCCCCCAGGTGCAGAGGATCCATGCGTGTGCGAATGCGAATGATGGTGGACTTGCATTGTATGTGTATGTGAGTGACTATGCCCCTCCGCCCTCTGTCGACTCGAATGCGTATGTCCAACACTCTGAGAATGCGCATGACCGTGCGACGACTGGTGGTGATAATGTGATATAGAATGCGAATGGACACGACCCGTGGGTGGCATATGCCCCGCCGCAACAGCAACAGCGGCACCAGCACTGGTTTGCGGAACATAAGACGAGTTGGGAGCTACAACACCCATCCCAACGGCATTGGCAGCGCTCGAGTATGTCTTTTCCCTTGAAAGACTTGAGTCACGCTCGCGACGGACTGGCTCTATCGAGAGACTTGGATGTTGCGAATGATGAGAAGTAGTTCCTCCCACGGTACTAGACGCTGGTGCCGGGTGATGGTGATGGTGATGATGGTGGTGATGCTTGTTCCCAGCACTAGAGGATGGAAGCGTACTCGGGGCTGGAGGGAGAACAGGCATCCCCGCCGAGATACCACTCGACAGGTTCTCTGGAGGTCGCTGCATATTCTGGAGCCCTAGCCCAGGTGACGGATATGAATTCGAGTCTGCCGGTTGGCGATGCTGTGGGCCTGTAGGCGTATTGTAGGCAGACGAGGGGAGTTGTCCAAAGTTGTGCGTATGATGCTTCCTCGATTCACGCTCGCGTCCGCTTCCGTTCATGCCAGGAGGCCTTTGCGTTCCGTGTCCAGGATAACCTTGATATCCTCCACTATGATCAACATACTGAGGCTCTCGGCTCGGATCGGTATCATAGCCAGCAGCGGACGATGGGTTTAATGAGTACCGTGGATACTCATTACCACCTGCGGCTACTCCAGGAGCATTGGAAGCGTTAGAGAGTGGAGCTCCCGACGATGCGCCAGGGGGGAGACCTTGGAGGCCAGCGTCGGGCTCGGTGAATCCACGTTTATAAGAGCGTAGTAGGTCAAGATCGTCTTGGATATCAAATTCGCCAAGTTGAGATAGTGAAGGCATAGCCTGTTGGGCACTCTTCCCATTGGAGCCAGCGGCGACGCCATTGGTTGTCGCAGACTTGGATCCCTTTGTCGCGTCGATACCATTCGAAGTTGTGGCGACCAAGTTGGGGAGGCGGGCATACGGATGCTTGAGCGCGACGCTCACAATCGTCTTCATGCTTGGGCGAACAGGCTCGCGTGACGAGGGTCGTGGTGGCTCAGAGGGAAACGAGTTGAGGGTACTTCGGAAAGGATCCAAGAGTGCTCTTCGCTCCCGTTCGACTCTGCGACGCTTGCGAGATGTTTCGGTGATCAATTCCGCTTGGACTTCGTCTTTCGTGACCTATAATGGCGTGAGATTTAAGAAAAGGAGACCAAATAACGACTTGCCATCCACCAGCTCCATATTCCATCCTCATCGCATTTCCGCACGGCGACTGCCAACTCCATGTCCTTTTTTCGCCTCTTTTCCGCAAGGACTATGCGTTTATCCCGCCGTTTTTCGAGTTCGGAAATGGTATGTAGCATCTCCGGATGGGTTCCTGTATCAAGGCATGAGATATGTGGTGATTACACGGTCCTGGCATACCATTTTGGATCATCTGCTCCTCCTTTCCGAGCTCGTCCATTTTGTCTTGATAGATGCGCTGGCGAAGGAGAGCAAACTTGAGCTCTAGGATGGCGAGAGCGTCGAGGGCCGGTTGTCTGTCAGCAGATTGGAGGTCCTCGCCATCTCCTTCCTCTTCTGCGTTTTCGTCGTCGTCGTCCTGATGTTCGTCTTCTTGACCATCTGGGAGGAGCGCAGACGGGAGGACGGCAGATGGAGGGGGTTCGACTTTGACGAGGGGAATGGTCATTTTTTCAATCGCCTTTTCGTCTTCCTCGTCTTCGTCTGATTTTTCTCCCTCAGATTTTTCTTGATCCTCTGCCTCTTCCTCACTGTTAGCCTTTGTGGCATTTTCCATTGGGTCGTCTGTCTATATGAGCTAGCGTCTTGAAGAAATGTTAGACAGACCTTCTAAAGCGGCATGCTCGTCTTCGTCTTCTGCCGGTACCTCGTCCTGCGCGTCGGCGTGTTGGTCGGCATCCTGAGATGCACGCGACGTCTTTCCCGTCTGAACGACTTGGTCGTCTGGATTGCTCGCCTGCTCGGCCTCGTCGTCGTCTGTATTCTCATCTTCGTCTGTCGAAGCCTTTGCTTTCTTGTAATTCTTCTTTTTGGCCCATTCCCACATGGGCGCAGGAATGACGCCTCTTCCGAGTCCTGATCTGCCTACACCGCGTCCTCGCATCGATGCTGCGCTCGTCTGTCTCGTTGCGCGGCCACCAGGACGGACTGGTCTAGTGTTGCTGGCAAATCCACCATGCTCGTCGTCTTCTCTCTTCCTCTTCCTCCTCTTCCTCCTCCTTTTCTTCTTCTGACGGCACGGGACTGAGCTCTGACCCGTCTTCGTCGTCGGCTGGACTGTTTGAATGGAGCTTGTTGCTACTGCTGCTCCCACTCGCCGCGTTTGCTTTCTTCTTCGACGTCTTTTTAGAGTGAGAATTAGATGAATTAGCAAGCGAATGCGTGCGGGAATGCGTCGTCGTCTGCGCAGCAGCGGCAGAGGCAGCAGATGTGGACTTGCGATGCGTCAGCGCTGCTGGGCGTGAGTTGCTCGCTGAACTCGATGGTTTTCCTCGTCCTGCGCCTGTTGTGCCTGCTGTCCCGCGCCGTGCATTCGTTGGCTTGGAGGGCGAGGGCACCGGCGACGGCGACGGCGTTGGATCAGACAAATCGTCGCTGAATTCTTCAGACATTCCGTCAAGCTGCGTCGTGGATTTGTGACTTGGCCAGCAATCAACAGACGACAGTCAATGGTAGGGTCTAAGGTGCAAGCCACTCGTGACCGCCAATAAACTATGATACATACGCAAATACACCATAATGATAGATTTATTGTTCCTCAGTCCCTTCACCCGCTGCCTCTTTCATCAACTCATCCCACAGTCCCTTGGGCATAAACCGGGCCTCGAGGTACTGTCGGACCAGCACATGCAACCGGAAGAATGCACCGCACTCTTCGTCGAGCAAACTTTCCATCGCCTTTCTCGTCGGACTTGCCATGTACCGACCAGCGAGGACCGGAAACCCGCGTGTCCCTGCATTTCGTGGTTGGAGCAATTGGTTGACAGCCTTGGAGTGCAGTCGATTGTCCACATCGGAAGAGGAGAGCGCAAAGGCTGCCCAGGACATGGAGTCGGAAATGGTGATTGAGTCTTCGAGGCCAGTCGACGTCAACCACGTCGCGTCCACGTAGCGGCGTTGAAGTCGTGGGATGACGGCCATTTCCTTTTGCACCTTTTCTCGAATCTTGATCTTGCATACCTCGTCCACACTCTGCTCGGATGTGCCTTTCGAGTCTGTCGACGTAGATGCAATCTGTTTTGACAAAAGGGTCAAATACGACGCCCTCGCAGCTGCATCTGCCTTTTTCTTTTGCCCATCTGACAGGTCGGCGTAAAGCGCGTGTTTAGAGGCACCAACGTCGATGTCCATGAGTGGCGAACCGAGGGAGAATCGATGGGCATGCCACCGGAGTTGGACGACCAGAGGTTGGATCAACGAAACGGCTCCAAACGACGAAGTCGTCGCTACGGACTCGCGCTAACGGAATTCAGTAGAGTTCGTAACGGACAATAATGACTCACTGTATCGAGATCGCGAATAGAAACCAAGACATCTCGGCCCGCCAGTGCGACCAGACGAGCAATCGCGTCGGTGCTTTCTTCTGCTGATTGCTCCATGTAGTTGAAGAGGAGGGATGTTCCAACGGTGCGTGATCGCTCTATATCTGCTGCTTTCATCTATCTGGGTATTAGTAGTCATCCACGCTGACAAAGCACCCTCACAATACGCTTGGAGATGGAGAGTCCATACGGGACAACCTTGAGACACGCTGCCGCTTGACCTAGTTCGCAGACCATGGTATAATTGACTAGTTGGCGCAGCTCTGTACTGATGTACCGTCCAGCAAGAATGCCTGCATTCGTTGCTGGGATCTGGAGAAAGATTAGCGCACAAACAAAATTCAGAGGATAGATTGTTTACATCTATAATGATTCTATTAAGGGGAATGCCGACTCCTTGAAATGCTTGATGGAGACGGATCACCTTTGACATTCATTAGGACTGGAACCTTTGGGGCATGAAGCTTACATTATCAACCATCTGCACAGCATTGTTGGATAGTCGAGGGTCGACCGGTACATGAAGGTAACCGGTCGATGGGAGCCTATCCAGTGCGTCTAGACCGACGAGAGCAATCTAAAGATTCGTCATTCCCACTACAGAACTTGGCGAGAATCAACGTACAAATACCTGGAGAGCGTGATAGATTCGACGCTCTCGGATTCCCGACTCATACTTTGCCTTTTCTCCAAACGGATATTTGATACACGCGCTCCGGCAAGCGAACCACATATGGTAGAGAACAGTACCAGACTTTCTCTTGACCGCACCAATAGAATTGGAAGGAGAAAACGGAGCTGGTTCACCGGAAAGCAGCTGTAGGATCGAGGGAATAGATATGATACAGTCGTCAGGTTTATCCTCTGATAAATCTGGGATGGTTGGTCAGATTATGATAAATCAAGCAGCTTAAACCGCACCGTCCGTATCGAGTGAATAGCCTACGAGCCGTTTGCCACCCACGCGCAACGCACCATGAATGTCGTTTTCGTCCGGTAATACGGGTCGAACGGGTTCCGGCTCTTCTTGAACCATCTGAGCAGATGAATCAAGGCTTTCGTTGGAGGAAGGCGTGGCGGACGTGTGTTGCTTCTTGGTGGCTCGAGACGTCAACCCGCTGAGCCGCTTGGACAATTTGGCAGAGGCATCGCTCGCACTCGACGCAGCAGAACGCTTCCGCTTGACACCCTTCTTGGACGAACCTCTCATATCGACCACAGCCGTGCGTAGCGTATCCGCCGACCTAGGCAAAAGGGACGAGGCACGGTGGCGAAGGAGGATAATCCGGCTCGCTCCCGCGTTTGCAACTTGTCCTTTCCGGGATCCTCTTTCTCTGGATATCGATTCTCCGACGAAACGTGCACTGCCGAATCGTTGCTTGGACTGGAGAAAGAGGTGGATCTTCTTCTTTCGGACAAGCCGTGTTTTAGCTGCTGATCCCCATCGCTCGGACGGATTCTGGTCGTCGACAATGAGGACATGGTCCGTTTGCGTGGTGGATCCGTCGAGGCCAGCGGGGGTGTTTGTTGCGTCGGTGCAGAGGGAACGAGGGCGAGTTTGGGGCTCGGGGAAGCGACGAGATTGAAAAAGGTGGAAAACATTTGGATGATGGCGGGCATTGTGAAAAAAGCAAAAAGGACGTCTGGGGGATTTGTCAAGCACCACGGGTTATGTTGCGGGCGACTCGTTTGCAGCGTGCGGCCGGCACGTGCATCCTGCTATGCGCGGGCTGAAGGGCTATGGAGACTTTTATGCGTATTACGAGGCTTGTTATGATTTGTCGGCGCAGATAATGACGTCCTGCGAGAAACTCTGCACTCGGTTGAGCGAGCAGAGGTCTATTGATAGTCTAGAATCGACTCAATAAGAGCACGTAAGAATAGCAAAGTGTAATATACATACCAAGTTGTCGAATAGCGGCATTTAAGTCATCACGGGCTTCTAATTAGAACAGCAGCGGATTCAAACTCTAAACAGAGTCGCAGAAAGAAAACCCTAGACAACTCATTTGCACTATTCGTTCATGATGGGTACTCTGATAGCCACGTAGATGTGGCAGCTTGGAAGTTGGTCCCGACCACGTCAACCCAAGGCCTAGTCGACGTCTCCAGCTAACGTAGACGCAAATGGAGGTTCTCATGCGACCCCCAAACGCTCCATCTTCTCGCCTTTTTGCTCACCAGTCTCCGTCGCCCGCCACTGGGGACCCCGTAGCCAAACATTCGCGGGATGAATCCCAAAAAAGACACGTTTTTGATATGATCACCTCTGAACTCATGAAGATTGGCGCAATTCCACTCTCTCGGTTCACGACGGAGGACAATCCCCAGGAGCAGCCTTACGACGACGAAGAGACAAAGATGAAAATCGACAATCTCGACGAAAGGAATGTCCCCAACGGGAAACAAGAGCAGCAGGCCGTGGCGAAAATCTACGAAGCCTGCATGCGCACTTTTGAGAGCAGCGACGCAATAAGCTTTGATTTTACTCACGAGGGTGATATTCATTCCAAAGGTATGCTGCTTGACTCGTGCCCTTCCTCAAGTTTGTTGCTGACGTCGCGTCAGCTCTTCAATGCATTTTGACTATCACTCGACCTGACGGCCACAAACGCTCCTATACGTCCGGCGCATTTTCTTCCATTACAAAAGATGAAGCAAAGGCTCTCGTTGCTTCAAGTGCGCTCAACATGGGGGTGATCGACTTTATTAAGTATGGCGATATTACATTGAAAGGCAAAATCATCAACAATCCAAAATTGACACAGGATGCTGCAGACACTCAGCTACGACTTCGCGCGGAAGATGGTAAAGGTATCTCGTTCTCAGACCAGAGAGAGACTACCATCGACGATCCAAACGTCAAGGCAATTTCAGACTGCTGTATCGAATGGCGTGCGGGGAAGGTCAAGCCAGTATATGTACACTTTTCAGAACCAACGGTTTTAACGAAACGTGAGCGTAAACGCTGTAATATCACCTGTGCTAAACCATCGTAGCGACTGGAAAGAAGAGGCAAACGCTCGGACCGACAGACGAAGAGCTTCTCGCTCTCAAACAAGGCTGTGCTCTGCGCATCTCTATCACCCAGCACACGAGTCGCGTTTACTCTGTCCATCACATCTACCGCACTCGAGCAGAAGCAAAAGCTGCTGTCGCTGCAATGGCTATTGCACAGGGAGTCCTTGATTTCATCAAGTTTGCGAATGGCCAAACCTCGCCTACTGTCGTGATCCGTGAACTTGAAGGGGATGGCGCAAACGAGGAACTCAATCGAGAAATCATTGCCGAGACAAGCAAGGTCGAAAAGGATATTGAAATTGAAGCGTCTGCCGTCAACGTGACCCTCAAAAAGCACCAAATCCCTCTCGACGTGATGACTCTCTCAGCATTTGCAAACGCTTTGCCGAAACCGTTTCCAGAGACACCAGGATTAAAGCCCGTCGGGGATGAAAACCCCGTGGGATGGCTCAACGCCGCTGTTCAGAGCGCTCGTGGAAGTAAGATGACCATTACATGGACCTATCTCTCCAACGCAAAACTCTCTAGTATGTCGTCATTCAATTGATCAAGCTAGTAACTCACAGTTGTAGTGCACGGGTGTCTTGTTCGGCTCAACCTTCCTCGTCGCGAACACAGTCGTTCGTACCTCGTTGAACCTCAGTTTACCAAACGAGGCGACGCCAAAGCCGCCGTTGCATTGCTCGCCATCTCTCAAAATATCGGTGGATGGATCCACGAGGCTACTACCTCTGTGGAGAACCTCCTCACGCCCGAAATGCGCACCAAAGCGGCCACTCTTATTGCTCCGCTCTATCACGAGTGCACTAAGGCTGGTATCCCAAAGCAACCTATATATGAGTACGCATACGAAGACGGAGGTGAGCAATGTCTTGTCCTCGTCGCATAGCTTACTTATCATCTTCTCTCTAGCCGTGGGTTGCACCCTTCGAGTCAAGTTTAGTCCAACATTGTCAAAAGCATACACCGTTCCAATACAGTATCGCACCAAGCCAGACGCCCGGTTCGCAGTCATTTTGCAAGCTCGTCACGAAGGCGTTCTCGAATTTATCCGCTTCAAAGGCCAAGATCCTCCACCTGGATACAATCCAGACGTGCCCTTTGATTACAAGATGGCGAAAAAGGTTGAAGAGGCGCAAAAGCGGGGGGAGGACCAGCTCATGGCAAAAGAGATCCCAGCTGCAGACGAAATGGCCGTACAGCCAGAGACCATTCCAGGAGGACATATTCCTGGTCGGGGTCGCGGGAACCGGCGTCGAACGAAAGCTATGATGCGACCAAGACCCGAAGGTGGTCCGCAAAAGGCCTGGATGCGCGACCAGACCGTGCATGAAAGACATGATCCGTCGCAAGCCCGCATTTCACAATCTTCGTCTAGTGAGAGTCCAGCACAATCACATGCGTTTGGTGTGAGGCCTCCACCGGAATCGATGGAGGAAGGCGAGGTCGAAATGGCAGATGCCTTTTACGATTATGGGCAGCCCTGGTATGACGGCGCACATGAAGGTCTTTCGTCCTCATTTCCCTACCCGGCGTTTGCTCCACCACCTTCGGTCCATGTCGACATGTCTCAGCATTACCCTGCTCACAGCTTGCCAAGAGGCCCTTTCGGGACATCTGGGCCGTTTCCGTACCATGCCGGCCATAATACAAATACAACCGCGAGAATGGCCTTTGATTTCGACTGGTCACAGCCTAATGTAGCTTACCATCCTCCCTTTCCGGCTGGTTCTTCTCTGCCTACCCTCGTCAACCCAGAATTTTTCTATGCACAAGGGAGTCACCGTGCCGAAGCCGATTGTCCCGATAGCGCCGCATATATAAAGGCAGGGATGTCGAGACCCCGAGTAGACCCCAAGCAGCCTACTCGAGGTCGGACAAGCAACTTGCAAGGCCTAAAAACCGACAAACAGGGTGTTGAAGAGACAGCTTCTCACTACCCGCCCCATGGGCGTCAACATGCCATCCCCAAGAGAGCAAACGAGGTGCCTAGTAGGTCCGTTGGGGCGGATCACTCAGCGATCCATGACGGTGAAGCACTAGCCACTGTTGGGAGGTCGTCTAGTAATAGAAGTGGGCCATCTCAACTGAGTAAGTAACCCCTAATTCGTGACCGACGTACTCAGGGCAGTGATTTCAGCCTCGCGCACCAAACGTGTAGAAGACAATTCGACTGGTTCGGCGTTCGACAAGGCTACCGCTACAAGCAATTCGGAGCCTAGTAAAAAAGGTGTCAGGTCCCCTCCTTCTGGGTCCTCGGTGGAGCCTGGCAGATATGAGGTTGAACTGCAAGGTCGGTCATTGTCAGTTGGTCTGATTGGCAGTGGTAAACTGACATAATGTCTGGACAATTACATCGCGTTTTGACCTCATTTATGCGCCTATACATCGTTGAAACACACAATGCTGACTGCTGGATTGTGATCGGATGCAGCATTATCGTGATGCAATGGGCTCTGGCGAGCCCATTGTTTGGTCAGTGAGAAATCTGGCGATATTCCGTCACCGTTATCCTCAACAAGGAGAAGTTCTCAGTTCCTACGCTATTTGGGAGCATACGGGAAGGGCATGAGGTGATGGCTCGTAAGGTCCTAAGTCGAGCTGTACGTAGCACACCGGTAGAGTGAAGTCTCGTTTAAATAGCTCATTTTGTGTCAGTCGAACATTCATCAATCAACCAGCATGAGGTTGACACGGCCGCCGGGCTACTTAGCAGTATAAAAACCATTTAAAGCCAACTAGCCAACGTCGACCCTCCTTGCTTTCGGATCTTTGCCCCCGCGTAGTCAAACTGCCTCGGATTACTGAACAAGATTTAAATGGTAGGTGATGGCCTTTGATGACCAAGACGCTCAAAGTGCTGTTACTAGCTACGCAAGCCGAAGCCACCATTGGTAACGAGCACAACAGTCCAGACGATCGGACGCGCTCAGTGAGTCGTTGGAACTGGGGCTGGGTTGCGGGTTAGGAACTGACGCCACTGCCCCACGTTTTTTCAAACCAACCAGCAGGACCCCGGATCTATGTCCGCCAGAGATGCGAGCAAAAGTCCGACTCAAACTGTCGTTGAAATTCCAGATAAATATCCTACAACATGTTCCTCATCGCAAAGTCGTAAGCCACTTCCTTCGACTCTGGCGGTGGAAAATTAGACGCTGATGCCCTCTTCTGTAGCCCAAAACCGGGTTACTCAGCGCCTAAAATTGCCTGTTGAGCTGTGGAGTATGATATTCGAGTGCTATGTGATGCTTGATTGCCCAGTGTGCGTCCTGCTACTCGTCTGTCGAGATTGGAACCGTATCTGCCACGATACACCGAGGATCTGGAGGAGAATCCTCCTTTCGGCGGATACCACACCAAATTCTCTACGTGCTGGTAGCGTCCATACTTGCACATCCAAAAAGGCCGTCAACGACACGCTCAAGTACGCTGGCGCCAGTTTACTCGAAGTCACACTCGTCGTGGGCCCAAATGACGAGAATGCGCCCACCCCAGAGGCCAGAAGTGAATTCTTCCACCTGGTCAAACCCCACCTCCCAAAGGTCACGTTCTTGTGTGGTATCGTTAACCCTCGCATGACACTTGACCTAGTCAAGCGTTCCCTCGCTGGGGTTTTCGATGAAGGCAATCTAAAGAGCCTTGAATCGCTTATGATCGCATCAGCCTACCCAATTGGTTCGCTTTACGAGCCGCTAAAGGAGATGATCGACGCGATTGACAACTCGTCTGAAAAACTCCGAAGCGTCTATCTGGAGAACGTTAATCGAGACTTTCTCGTTAGCGTTTCGGAGCGAACCTTCTGGACTCGTCTGGTCCGTATCACCGTTCGCCACGAGTTTGATGCCATTGACGCCACTTGCTTTGCCGGGTGTACGGCATTGGAGTTTTTGTCATACTCTGGTGAACTCGCCTACGCCGAAACAAACTTTAAGCGCAAAGTCGAATATCCAACGCTTAAATGGCTCAAAGTCGGCCTTATCACTATGAACGCCCTCAGTATGCTCAAGCTTCCCGTTCTCCACACTTTGGTCATCGATAGCGTTCGAAACGAATACCCAGACGCACCCCCTCCTCCACACTCAATCGTCCTTCCGCAGCTCAAGGTCTTCCACCTGCTCACAGTAATGCCGACCGCGGCAGCGATCCGGGCCCCGAAGCTCGAGACATTCCACCTGAGCATTCAAACCGTGAAACAAACCGATGCCGACAACGTCCTTCGCGCAATCTTCGACGGCTCAGAGGGCATGCTTCAACCAAAGCATCTATCCATCTCAGCACCAGCGCACGACAAACACCTTCTCAACGTGCTCAAATTACAACCAAACTTGATCTCACTCTCCCTCGACCAACAAGCCCAATACAGCAAATCCTTCTTTCGCGAGCTCACACCGTCGACCCGACACTCCCGTTCGTTCTTTGGCGCAGGGAGCATCAAGCCGGCTAAACCGGTGCTCATGCCGAAACTGAGAAGCCTGACGATGGATATGCAACGGATTAGCGCGGCTCCAGGCATGATGCAGCTTGTTCCAGATGGGAACAAGAGTCTGATCCGGACGCTGATCAAGCAACGTAAAGAAGCGACCACATGCGAGGCGTTGCTTCGAGTCGCGTGCCGATGGAAACCCAATGAGCCAAGCGAAGAGTTCATCCACCCTACTATGTGTCTGACGTGCATCGAGGCGCACATTCAAACCGAGGGTCACAATACCCAGGCGGAGTAATCACTGGTCTTGGTATGTAACTATTATTATTGGTAAGTGCGGGCTGCGAGAGGAGGAAAACTGAAAGCTTCGTATCAATACGGTCTAGGCCGTATGGGCATGAGGCTAGCAGTGGTCTACCCTCTCTGATACGTTATAACTTTGACCAGCTGACGCTCTGTATATAGATAAATTATTTAAAGTTCTGTTCTCTTCCTTCCCCTTCTAGCATCTTCTAGTATCTCGAGCATCACTCTTCGCATACAGTTCACTTTGACGTCCTGTATTCACCCAAGCTCCGTTCTTGATCCCACGGACATTGAACGGGAACGAAGGTATGTCTTACCCCACATTCTATCCCAAAGTTCCCCCGTGTGTTGGCATCTTCCTACGCCGGCCATTGCCGTTATCCAACATTGATATTGGATGACTGTGATGGAAGGTGCAGTAAGGTGTGGAATCGAACACTGACCTATCTTGCAGCTTCATGTGGTATGCGGTCGTGTCTCTGCTATTCATTTGCCTCGCCTTTGCACTTTCCTCATGGCGCTTCGTTGTATCGCTATCGTTGCCCCTTCACCAACCTCCTGTCACTTGTGCCTTGTGCTTTGGTCATTTGACTAATGGCTCTACCTCCCATCAGCTTCAGATAGACCCTATGTTCCCCTACAGTCTATCAACACGTTTAACACATTGTCTTCTCTCCTCCTAATCGAGTTCTCTTCTTTATCGTTCTTTCTTTGGTCACTGAGATACCCAAATTGAGACGGATCGGGGGCTGGTCATGAATGGTTTTATGACCGCCGTTTCGCCTCAATTGAGTGGGGTTTCGCCAGTTATAATGCAGAGCCTCTACGAATAGCAATTAATACCCCGGGGACTATGCCGACCTCTGACTTGCGCCCATCATGCGTCCGTGCCAGGAATAGTCGCGCGGCAGCACAGATGGAACAGTTAGCTTGACGACGACAACGCCGCCAGATGTCGGCTCCGGTTGCTATATACAGATGTCTACTCGCGCGACCGACTCTCCGCTTCCAACAGTAACGGTTGCGGGCGGGAAACGAATCGCGCTGACATCCAGCGTCAGGTCAGAGATGACATCAATACAGTGAATTACTGGTCCATTGGGCTGTCAGCTTAGCCGCAGCCTGGCAGCATATTGTATGACTGATCGCGATCACTCCATACATAAGCACCGCACAGGCTCCATGTGATCGAGTCGTGAATAAATCAGAATGTACCATTAAGCTCAAACTTTTGCATAATTCTGTTCGAACCCCTATGCCCTGCAAAACCCTTCGCCACCATCATCAACCCCAACTGGAAGGAATGACATTATCTCAAACGTTGTTTCCTTTGATGAGCGTCAGCTTATTGTGACATTATGATGGCAACAAACCTGCTGTCGGAGGATAGCCGTCGAGTAGAGTTGTGTGTACTGAGCCTGCCATGCTTTTCGACTGACCATCGCGCGAAATGGCAACGCCGTCTCAACGTCCACAAGTCTGCTTTCGACACTGAATATGGTGCATGTCGTCGGCTTGTCACAGGAAAGGTACACCCAGTCGTCCGAGTCGTCCGGTAGCGGATCCCCTCTTATGATTGGTCGAGGATTGAAGTCGAGAACAGTCAGGACGTCGCTTGACACCTCTTGGGGGTAACCAAAGCCTCGACAAGTCGTCCAATCGGTCGTAATCCTGTCCGGGGGCCCACGGAGGGCAACGCGCGCACCGTGGACAGAGCGTTCTCCGGAATGCGAAAACATATTTTGCGGGAGAATTCGAGTGCCATCTCTTCCCCATGTGTCCCATTTCACGATATTATGCCCATATATGTCGTACTCTTTATTCTGGGAGCCATTAGTTGCGTCGAGGGCTTGCTGAAGAGCTCTGCAGGAGAGCACGAAATACATTGTGTCCATCCAAGTATCCCATCCAGCTGTCTCGATTACGATGATGGAGAGAGATTCATCAGATGCAAACATTCCTCCCAACTTCGCAGGCGACGGGGTCATTTGGCTTTCTTGTGGTCCGCCAAAGATGACACCACATGGTAAACTTGGGAATGGCGTTTCGATCCGGTATGTAATTTGACCATTGACCAACGAGAAGACAGCCAGTCCAAGACTACCGATCCCGCTTGGTCTGGTGTCCTGTGGATTTTCCCAGTCTACGAATAGCAGAACCAAGTCGTCTGAAATGAATGCAGCGTCCAAGCAGCAAGCATTAGGCTAGAATATCAAGTGAGCTTCGCCCATTCTTTGGTGAAGTACGTACCCGCATCACCTCGGATGTCTGCCAGTTCCAAATCCGAACGGAACCCATTCTACAATCTAGTGCGATCCATAAGTGACCGCATTGTACCAGATGCTTTCCACGTAAGTGGAGTGATGCAGTCTCGTTAGGCAGCACCACGTGTGCTTTATCTTCGACGATGGGTGAACTTGCTTTGGGATGATCTTCGCCGGTGCTGAGTGTTTTGAAATACACTCTGTACCTGTCTCATATTCGTGAGTTCCTCAAAGCTGGAAACGACGTAGAGAAAGCGTACATATTCTCTTTCACCTCCAAGAGTACGAGTAGGTTATCAGGCGCCGAAAAGGTCAAGTCGCGGATCGTGATTGAGGTTTCCAGTGAGCTTGGTGCCATAGATTGGGCAGATTTTGGCGCCAATTCTTCGCATCTTATAGTAGTCGGCCATTCAGAGTTTGAGCCGTAATCTGACCATACAAATACACCGTCTGTGAACTACCGCAATTCGTCAATCCATAGTTACTCTGCGTCGCGGGAGCGAGGAACTTGCCTCGTATCTTCCATCATCTCCTGGATATTGCAATGTCCACATTGACTCTGGTTGAAGCGTATCTCGAGCGTATCGCAGACGCTTGGCCTTGTCCAGCAGGACTGACAAGTTCTGAGGCAGAAAGTTCATCTCTGATTGAGGACGTAGTACGAGTCCGTCGATAGCCAGTTCTATGTGAATACGCAATGCGACAGAGGCCTCGATGATACCACAAAACAAGTGAGATACCTATCAGATAAGTCAATGGAAGTCAAATCATGCGACGTGCGCTCACTTGTCGACATTTTGCTATTTCTAGAGGAGGTAAAAACGATAGTATATATTCGAGTAGCTCGTTGGGGAGTTGGCTGAGAGACATGATGTAGTCGGGTCCAAAGTAACAGGATGTTTCAACTTCTGAGATAACAAAGAGGATGATACTTCTAAGCACGACAACGGATCATTGAATTGCAGTGTGATACTTTCCATCCACCTATATCGTCTTTCCGAGCCGGTTGATGAACATATATGCTGTCACACAGGGATTGACCGCCATGTAGATCAGTTTGGAGTATATTTCGCATAGATTTCCGATTCAGATTCCTGTTAAGCAACGAAGTATGTAGCAACACGGAATTGAACCGAAGATCTCGATTCCCTTCGCATCGATGATTATGCACCACAACTCGACGCTTAATCAACAGGCAAGTATCAGAACTAAGCCCATTAACTAGGGCTACACTACTCACTTGCCAATTTGGAAGCCTTATGAACAGGGTTCATGACGCTCGACCAATAATGCATGCGGTTGCCATTCGGGCAAGCTAACACCTTACAGCACAGAATGTAGAAGGTTCATAAAATTGGACATAATGTTTAGCCCGTATCAGAATCGATTATCCCATATGGCCATCTACGTATCTAGTCCAAGTCCTCGAGCGAACGAGACTCCAACTCGCCTTCGGTCCACCCAATATCGCGTCTATGGTGCCGACCACTGCGCTGTTGAGAAATTCTCTGCTGGTTAAGCACCGTTAAAATCCGGCTAGGCTGTTGTACAGGCATCGATGGCTGCCTCGGTGGCGGAATGAATGCAGGTCGTTGTTGTGCATTATGATGGGCAGCGGCTGCTTGCTGAAGTTTTGTTGAGTGTGCTTGTGTACTTGCATGCGCCCGTGAGTTGGCCATGGCCTGATGAACAACGGCATGCATCCTCATCCCTGGTGCTTGATGTTGCTGCGCCGCCGTACTTCCATCATTTTGATCTTTGAGTCTCATACCGAGATCCACAGCGTGGCCAGCGAGGTCGCCACCTTTGCCTTTCATCGCAGCACGTACGGCACTCCAAGCGGGGATCGGCACTGGCGCTGCGAAGGTACTAGAGAGGGTGATGACCAGAGAAATCGTTGAGAATGTGATTGTATGCATGGCAGAATAGACTGAAAGGGCGATATCCGTTCAGACCGAGCGGATGGGTCGCAAGGTGAGCACTCACAAAGGGGCTCTCGACCGGTCGAACAATGGAGAGAAAGAAAGAAAGTAAGAGGTGGAGGAGCCAGTCCTGAGGAGTTGTCGGTGGGCGAACCGCGGTTAAATATGCCAGAACCTGATCCTGGAAACAAGAGCACGAGAATAAAGCTCTGTATTTAATGACACTGACATGTTCCCCGGATCCTAATAGAGTCTTACAGTCTGTGTTTCAAGAGACTTTGATGGTTGCATGGAAAACCTGCCGCGCTGAGAGGACGTCGTCGAAAGTTTCAGGGTCCATGCACTGCCCATTCGTACAGCATGAAGGAAGTTCACCTCAGATGAGTAGAGAGGTCATCCCATGTGGATACCATCGGGTGGTAAGCGAAAGCGGTTCCGTCACGGCAAGCAGGGTGGCATCTGACGAGCATTATTTTCTTCTCATAGATTTGAAGTAGATAATATGCAGGCGGTTTAAGAGACTCGTCAACACCTCTGAGCTGGTTTTATTTGATACACGCCTCTTCTACAATCTACTTTGCCTCCGAGTCTCGGGTATTCGACGTCTGCTGTGTTTGGTTGATCAAATTGCCATGGAAAGCTATATAATTGCCACAGAATGGACCCTCACACTGTGAGAGATAACGTGCGAACTCACATTGTCTATCTGTTCGCCACCACCTATCGTCTTCAGATCCTCATTCTCCTGGGGAGAAGATGGTGGATGCATGATATACCGCACTCAATCCCTGTTCGAAACGCGCACTGATGTGCATTCGACGGAGAGCAATGTCTGCCGCACTCCGTACTCTCACGCGGCTCACTCCGGGTCGCTAGAGAAAAGAAGGAATTTCACGATCCCAACTGTTCTATTCCTTCGAGCTGAGACTGTGTTCAAAGCGTACGAACATTGACCGCCGCCAGAGTCTCCTTTCTTTTTCACTTTCTGTCGTGGCGTGCGATGGTGACGTTGGTGCGGGGTGAAGACCAGTCGATTCGAGTGCAAATTCCAAGGATCCACGGAGCGTGAGATGGGATTTCGATCTATATGGACGTCCCCCTCCCTTCTCCACGTCGTGGGGACCAGCTCAGAAGTTGGTCTATTTGGCCAAGTCGCATCTTGCAGGACAAACCGCGGAGAAAGATATAAACACATACAATGTTTCCCTCGTGCTCGGGATGATCCTCCCGTCCGGCCACCCGAGCATCTAGTCCAACTATTGAGGCAGTCGTGTAATGGGGAGGACGTCGTCTCGGATTCAGGTCCATACAGCGTACGGAGAAGTCAAATTCCCGTGTGAGTGACGTGGTCGTTGTCATCGAGTAAGCGAAGAACGATTCCATCCTGTGAAAGGCACTGCAGCAGTAAAACATTAGGTGCGATTCTTCTGACTGATTCCAAGTTAAGAAGTCTCATCTTTCACGTCGAAAACGCTTCATCTTGACAGAGAACGGGATAATCTTGACTCGTTGCCTCCTGGATTGTGCTCGCCTCTCCGAATCTCGCTGCATTTGATTCAGTGACTCAATACAAAAAGTTTACAGCATTATCCTCGATATCCAGGCAGGAAAAAACCGGTAATTCCCATCGTGGAAGGGTTTGAGAGAGGACGTGGGCCCTTGGGTACAGAATCTAGATCTATAATGCTCGACAATGACTGGTTATGTACACGACAAAGTACAAGAGTCTAAAACAGACAGTATGCAAACTCGACTCGAGGATGTAAAACAGAACCGACACGCGCCGGTGGAAAGGGAGGGAATCACTTGACGAATCCATCACCACCCCGCCACGGATGCATCTCCACCCACTCCTCCTTTGCACCATTCTCTCCACTCACCACCACCTCTTTATCACACTCGTCAACGTGATCTCCCTCAGCCTCATTCCACACATCCTCCTCTTCTTCAAGCGGAGGTTGTGGACGAATGATGCGACCCATCTCATCCCTCTTCACACGCGTCCCGACGTGCACTGGACTCGGAGCTGCATGTCCACCGCGGGTCTTCCCTCGTTGTCGTGGGGTTGGAGCGGATGCCACAATACCAATTTCATCAATGGACCCTCGGGTATGCAACTCTCTCGAGCCAAGGCCAGGTTCAAAGTGAACAGAAGATTGCGCGCCATACGATACGTCCTCCTTTCTGGCTCTGCGTTTCCTCTTCTCGCACCGTGGATGGTGGTGGTGGTGATGTGGGTTGCCTGTGGTGGGTGGAGGACGACGAGGAGACTTGGGAGCGCGCCGCGCATCCTCCTTTTCGTCTGCACGTCGTGAGAGTGTGTGTGCGGTGTAAACAGACATTTGCGTCGGGAATCCGTTGACAGTCCGTCGTCCCTCCCAATCAGCGCTGACGACCCCCACACGTCCCTCCTCTTCATCTCCTCGTGCGCGACGGATCGTGCTCGTCCTGTGCGGACCATCTCTCGACACACTGTACGTTGTACAATACTCGGCCCCGACGGTCTCCTTGTTACAGTAGCATGCCTCGCATTCGCAATCTTCCTCCTCGTCGAGCTCGATCTCGGTATTCGGGTCGTAATCCCGTGGTATAGCTGCACCTCGTAGATGGAGGACCAATCTGGAGACACTAGTAGACACGAGGCCGAATTCGAGATAGGTAGACGTGTACCAATACGATTCGTCTGCAAAAGTAAACTATCCACCGAGTCAGAGACAGTCCTATGGACACAACAAGTGGGGCACGTACGGTAAATGCGGTCCAGAGCCGCAAGCCGACAACGACGATGAAATAGGTAAAGCCGTCTGCGTAGAGCGTGCGCAGGATGGGAGTAGCGGTCATCGCAGCGGCGACACCCGTGCGCGTAATGATGCATTTCGATCGCTTTGGTTCAGCTTTGTTGTCGCCTCGAGCTAATGGTGGCGCCTGTGAACTGCTCGTATTGCCAGCAATCATAGTCGGAGACGTCGGATCAGGCGATGTCAAACCCGCGACGAGGTTTTCCGTCGTCGTCGTGGCGTCTTGGTTGGAATCGGTGCGGAAGAGGTTTGTGCGTCGCTTGAAGGTTGGGAGGGTAATGTTTGGTCGGAGTGTACGGAGGTTGAGGAGCGGGTGGAGTGCGATAGTGTATTGTTTTGCGTGGTAAATGGTCAACGCAACCAAGTAGACTTCGCAGAGGACGGGTGGAAAATAGGCGAGGGCGAGTTGTTTTGATGGGGTGGCAACGCAAAGGTGAACCTCTTTTACATAGGCCACCGAGGCTATATGAATCATTAGCAGGATGCGCAGAGAATACAAGGGACGTACGCCAGAGGTTGTGGACGATGACAGACGACATGATGATGGTGAGGCCATGGGTGATGATAAAGACGGCGTAGAGACTATAGGATACCCATGGCGTAGTCGTGTAGAGTGCGCGAACTCGAAGGACCAAAAGCCATGTCGCCGCAACGAGTGCAAATGCCTGGCCGACCAGTTGGGAAAGGATGACGAGTTTGCACCTATATTTCCTATTAGGACCATTAGCCATGTGAGTGTGATCAACGTACATCTATAAACTGTCAGGAAATGCAGAAAAGCAGAGCATGGAACATACGTTGGTGGAGAGATTTGTATGAAAACCGGCGAGATCTAGAAAGAATAAACAGGAATATTCGTTGATTTCTACAGTCAAACATACGGTACATGCCCAACAGCAAGCAGGGCACGGGGAAATACCGATTCTATGTCGAACGATGAGATCAGCGGTCTCGTCTTCTCACTAGAACTCACGATAAAGTACAGAGACTTGACGAGAGAACATCTCGAGGGCCATATCAGTCGAATTTCGTCGCCCATCGTGAGCAGCATGTCAAACAGGAGCACCGTTCCGCCCGCAGCGCACGTATATGTCCCCGCACGGATATGCTCCATGCTTTCGACGAATGTTGCGCTCGACATTAGCACCGTCCGCGTCTCCGCTTTTGCTCCCGAAGCACACACGCGGTGGTGTCGGACCCTGCGTCAAACTCGAGGCGTGTAACCCGACGGATCCTATGCGCAGAAAATGTTCCAGAAAAAAAAAAAAACCAAGAGCCAAATCGCGTCGTGGTTGGGGCCAAAAGACGGATGGTGCAAATTGATAAAGTGCAGCGGAGCCGGTATCAGGTTCAATGGAGCTCAGGGTGCCGGGTGTGGGAGTTTGCCCCGTTCGAATATCATATTTTCATCTCAGCCATCGCAAGCTAGAATCCCTATCTTTCAAATTACAACAAGTACAATGCCAGATCGTCTATGTCGATGCAAGCTCCACGTACAATGCATTTGTACGCGGCTCAAAGCGTCGCTTGTCCAGCGGCAAATTTGCCGCATCGCTCCCGTCTTCCAGATTACATACACGCCCAATGCTCTTGTTACGAAACTTGGTCGCAAGGTACTGCTTGGCCAGTGGTCCCTTTTTGCTCTCCAGCTCTGAAAGGACTTTAAAAATGGCGACAAGGCGTGGAATTACACGTACCGATGGAGCGCGTATGCTCGAGCGTGTCGTCCTTGACCAGCGCAATGATATAGTCCTGACTCTGCAACACGATAGACACCTTGAGCGATTTCCCATCGCTCCCCGTCGCCTTTTGGATCGCATCCCGTAGTCGGCATCGCATGGGCTGCAGCTCCCAGACTTCTCCAGACTTGGTGACAGAGTTCCTGCTCGGGTCGAGCGTCTTGATCCAAAACTCGGGAATGTCTTCGTCCTCGTCGTCTGCGTACCCAATCATCTCGACGATGTCGCTAAACCTTTGCTGAGGATCGAGCACTGGGGGGGAATGAGGACCGGGGGGATATGAAGCGACCAGATTACCCACAGTATTTCTTGACTTCTGAATCGTCCTTGTCCATATGCACGACAGCAATTGTAACCTTTGCGTCTTGCAAAGGTAAGTACAGTGCCGACACAGGCTAAATACCTACCAAGTGGGCCCGACTCTCGTAGTTCCTGGTCATTGTACCAGTGAGTAGACAATTTGAATACTGAAAACCGTCTCACCTCCATCTTTTGGAGAAAGTTCATCATCGCCTCTTCCACTTTTTGGACACCAGACGGATCTTCGACGATTTGGGCAAATTCATTAGTCCATTTCTTGTCGTCTGCCATGTCCATCTTGCTCGGAAGGAGATCGTAAATTTGTTGCAGACCCTCAAACGTCGTCTGCACCAATCTGGTCACATCCTTTTGTAATCCTGCATAGTCCTTTTTCATCGCATCTTTTAACCTCTCTTCTTCTCCCTCTTCTGGGGGCTATCGACAATGTTAGTACTGCGATGGGAGCGCGCCCAACACCGAGGGCTCACCTTGAATTCGTTTAACTGTTCATTCAGTTCGAGGATGGCCTTGGCACGTTGCTGATGCTGCAACGGCTGGAGTGCGTCGAGGACATTGTTCTCACTGGGAGGCTTGAACTGCATCTCCAAGTTTGACACGGACTGGACGAGGCGTTGAACCCTACGATCAACAAGATCAGACCCAAATACATTAATAAACAATGATTAGATTTACTTTTCCTTGTCCTTGCTCACATGCACGTCTTGAGCGATGTCTGTCGCGCGCTTGGATACAACTCGGACGGCGCGTGCATTGGTCGTGTTGTTCGTTTTGATCGAGTTGAATACGCCCTTGATTAGCTGTGGTGCTCCCATCGTCGTGACTTGTGAGTTGGGCGTTGGAAGAAATCAAGGGTGGCAGTCGGCGTCAAGTGGGCGCAGCAGCGCCTCGTCTTATTTTGCATCCCAGCTATCTAGATAAAGTCCACAGCCAACATTTACAGGGCTACCAGAATGTTTATGTGACTTTCTGCTCCCAGCCCTAACGATACGCCGGCAACCCAGCACAAGGTGGTGGGCATAGGCATCTTGGAACCGCCAGATGCGCTATAATACACAGATATACTCTTTAAGCTGTTATTGGACCGTCATTTGACTTTCCCAAGTCCTAATTCGTCGAGTTCGGATCGGTGGAGAGTTCCATGTGTACGTTGTTCATCATAGTTTAGTAATTATTGACTCAATTAGATATTTAAAATCGTCTCAAACCGAAAAAAGGATCCTATTGGGGATCCTGGGGCAGCTCAGGCAAGTCGACAGCGGAGCCTCTGGCCAATGAACTATCTGAGTTCTATTCCATAGCCCAGTGATAGTTTAAAGTACCACACTGTTGTATAGTACGTCCGACTGCACTTTGCTGCGATTGTATTCAGACCTCGTCAGACCTATCCATTATATCCCTTCAGGGGTGCGCAGTATGCCGACACAGCAAACCGCTACGCTCTCCTTGTCGATTGGTAACCAATAGAGGTGGCCAATGTCATCATCTTGCCCCCGGGCTCTATAAAGGCAAACTCCCAGCCGCTCAAAGTGCAGATCCAATTGAGAAGATCCGAGTTGAGCTAGAGATGACATTTTGGCTTCCAAACTTGGCTCTTTGATGGAAGTGGCTTGGGTCTAGGCTCGTCTACAGCGCCCGAAAGGTCCAGCGCTAGTCGGGCGAGACAGCACATACCACGCCGTGAATGATACGAAGGAGATGTCTGGTTTGTGAAAGGATACCTCAAGACGTTGCTTGCCTACCTGCTGATACCGTCCACCGCTTCCATCCCTAATGTTCGTGCCTAGTCTTCTCGAGACGGCGCACACAGACGCCAGGTAATCAAAGGCTGGAAGTCTATCTGTTGATGCTGTTTGTTTGCAAGGGCTATTACTGCGTGAAATCACACCGTTTCTTTAATACCCCCCTCTGTCCAGAGAGAAGACTTGGTTAGCCAAAACCGAGAAGAGTTACACGAAGACTGCGGGAGGTAGCCAGATTTGCATTGTACAAAGGCCCTCAATGCCTTGACCTCCAACCTCACAAGCTGTTCTCGGAATTAGCGAGTGAGATAGCGATTTGCCGCAAGATTTCTCCTACCAGCGATTCAAAGAGGTATTAAAAAGCCATTTCCTTTTACCATTCATGCCCTCGTAGCTCACCCTTGCACCTCCCACCTGGTGGCTGGCGGCTGGCGGCGGCTGGCTTCCACTGTGAGCACAAAGATTGTGCTAATGCGCAATGAAGACACTTCAGGAACATATAGTTCACGCCTTGTATTGGTTCGACCGACCAACGTGTATCCATACCATGCCGACGATGTCTCAGAGCTGACTCGAATCCATTGTCCAGAATCACTATAGATCATCATCAGATATATCTCCTGTGACAGCCAGGATCAACATACTTGCCTCGGCGTCAGTCTCTCAAGACGGTTTTTTTGGGTCGTCCCACGTGCGGAATCTCGAGACATCTTCTATATCCAGAAACCTTCCTAAAGAGACATACCTCCTATTCAGCACCCAAACTGCGTCTTGATCCCTTAGCGAACCTCGTTGATGGTTGGATTCGGGCCACATATCCTCAAATGTATGCGCCTTGCCGACTTTAGCGACTCATAGGACAGTACTGAATTCGTTTGAATCGTCGCGCTGGTTGGAAATGACATACCTGGACGTCGCCACCCGTAATTAGCAGCCGCCGGCGGACAGCTAAAGACCGCGTCGCCAGAGGAGAATCGCTTCTGTGGGCTTCTTTGATCCCGGGAAGACACGTTTTGTCCGTTGGTATCGGTTTAACGATAGCTGGGAGTAGGACGACAGCGTCCCGATAGAGTCCCGCCTCAGCTTTGGCCTGCCTCGAGCCCGTAATCGTCAACACCAAGGCAAGCTTCGTGATATGGGCTGCAATATTGGAATTTAGACGAAGAGTCGTGACTACTCAACCTCACCAACTTAGCTAGATAGTTGGAATGACGACACATTCCCGGACATGATTATAAAGCATTGAAATGAGTCATTTCAATCACAGGCGACGTGACACGTAGCGGATGATTTGGGCAGATGGAAGCACCCTAGGTGGCTGACCTCGGTTTTGACCCGCATCGTCCTTTCGATACACGGGTAGGCCAGTTTGGTTATAAACCCTCGCACAAAGCTCGGAGGATTGGCAAAATCATCTGCTTACCTTCTCGTCCCACTATCAACTCTGCCTCCTAGCTATGATACGCGACTGTATCTGTGGTGAATGCCCATGTTGCATGGGTCGTCGATCTGCCAGCAAAGCACCATCCCACTTCCTCGACCAGAGATCCCCTTTTGACGGTGAGCTGCCGCTTTGCTTCAAACGGTCCCAACCTTTTCCACTGGTGTTGTAGACATGAAACAGGATATGCTAAATAAAAGCGTTAGGGAAAGATTATATCGACGAGTTTATAGACAACTACGAACCGTCGCAGCGTCAAGACCCTCCACAGTAAGTCCCGTGCGCTGATCCCTTTCCGACCCAATTAGACCGTCATACAACTATTCTTACCGTAAAATGTGCGCTCATGACCTCTAGTGACGGGTCTCTGCGACAGGAATCTCAAGGATTGGCACCGTCGCCGCCACAGCTCGATACCGACAACGACTCCCTCGATACATCTGCTGAGGCAGCGAACATTCGGCTGAATACAGGAAGGCGAGCTTTACGAAGAATATGGCATGCGACTCGCCGCACAGCTCGACTCGTCCTCGCCCCGTTAGCTGCTACCCGACCCAATCAGGCAAATGTCAACGAGCCCGCGCATCCAAGATTATTCAGACGAGTGCTACGTACTCTGCGCATTCGAAGGTGACGTAAAGGAGGGGGGTGGGCTCTTGCGGGTTGGCACGGCCCCCTCCACTCGTCTACGTCCTGAGCAGATGGACTGGTATGGAACAGTTGCAGTTCGTACGGCTCCACTGTCACCTCCTCCAGTGCATCCACTCGTTTCGGCTCAAGACAATCTACTATCCGCACATACCCGCCCACTTTGTCCGCAACGGATATTGGCCAGTCTCGTTGACGGCGACTCTTTGGCTGATGCACTGCTCTGCATTATTAGTACAAGCCAGCTTACTTTAATGGCCACGGATGGGCCGGCAGGGACTTTGTGCAGCCTCTCTTGTGCGGGTTGACCGCCCCCAACAGCAGTCTTCGTAAAGCAAGAGGCTGCTGCTCATGCCGATGCCTTCCCGTTCAATTAAAACCTGTTTATAATTAAAGGGAGGGGAACTCAGATCCCCTGGGTCTACACTCGCCATCACACTTCAGCTCGAATACGCCCTGCTCGCTGGAGAACATAGAAAATCTCACCTCTTACTACCTTTAGCCCTTCATTATATCTAGATGAGCCGTCACGGATGCTGCACTTGTCGTCGTGATGTGCAGGATGGGTTTCCGGGGCAGACTGCAGTGCCCGCTTGGTCGCACCAGGCCGAGTTACCCAAACGACCTGGCGAACGGTGTGAGTGCCGCTTCCCATCTTCCGTTATTTGGATTCTTCGAGGCATCGAGCTCCGCATCGCAAAGAACAGAAGATCTGGACGGGGATATTCCTAGAGCTTGGCCGATTGCTCCGGGACTCAGCTATTTATCGTGGCCTAGGTGAACCCTATTACTGATTGATTTGTAGATAGCTGCTCCACACACTTTGCTGGCGCACGACTGCCTATATTCATCTGTCCCACTTGCCGTACTGAATGTCCTGGGCCTTCCGCTATGATGGATCAATCAAACACTTCTAATCAGGACAAATCTCCCCCTGCAGCTGTCACCTACGCAGCTTCAACGCAATCCCACGTCCGACCAACCTCAACGGAGGAGAAAAGTTGGAGTAGAAGGATGGGCAAATTCCTTCGAGGAGTCTGTACAATGGTCTGGCACACATTGTACCGTCGCTTTCGTCGACCCAGCGCCACCTCGCCCCCGACTCCCCCCGCCCCTGTTCTGTGCTAACGTACGCACAAACTCAGTCTGCAGTTTATTAGATGCGACCAAACCCACTCCAGTAGGATTGGCTATATGGGCGCAGAGCGCCAACAAAAGTATACATGATATGCACAAACATTCAACGATCTGCTATGGCTATAGGTTTACGGTTATTCATCAATCCTCATCACCACCAGAGTTCGTTATCGATCCGCTATGCTACTTCACGCGCCCCTTGCTCTTCATATCACTCCCAAAGATTCTATATAAATTAGTTTACCCTGACGATCGTTCGAACTGCTCCTTTAAGTTCACAGAGTGGCCGTGATCTGGGGATCCGCAGCGCCGACAGTCTCCCGAGCGCGCTCGATAGTAGTTTATGCATGTACTGCTAAAACCTAAAAAGTTTGAGCAATTCGCTCCAATATGGAATATTCTTCGGCTCCCATCACTCTCGCAGCGGCTGGAACTTTCAACGTAAGAGACTTACCGCGCGCTGAAGAACAACGAGAAGAAAAACAAGGAGGCTATTCAGTTTCCTCTCGGACAGGTTTCTTACCTGCCTTTATCTCTTTCCTCATCTCTTGAGGATGGGCCGCAACTTTAGAGTATAAAGCCTGGATGCTTGTCGGAGGTGTATTCTTTAAGTTCCCTGCTCCGGTACGAGCTGGGATATACTGGATGTACCACTAGTGTTGTAACGCTAGTCACGCACGTACTTCACCAACGTTCGTCGAAAAGCTAAAGCCTCAATGGATACCTGTAGAGCACATAGTATGCTAGAGTCTTTCGTGAAACCCCAGTTTCTGACAATTTCGTAGCACCATCGCCTGTAATGCCGCATTGGAACGAACAACCGCATATCGATCCGCTCACCCGTGGTAGAGAAGGTGCGGTATCCATTCCATTGGATATCATTTCCTCGAGATTTGGTCCCCATATTGACCTGCTGCCAGGACCCACGTTACTATCTGTTGGCCCCCCCGGTTAGCCTCATCACTGTCGACGCTCTGATGAGAACTAATACCCAGATAGCCCAATTAGCCCCTCCGGTTCCACCATCTTTCATTTCACAGATTCTCGCGTCCATCAGACGACGCTGGAGATCGCTCTGGATGGTTGCGGCCTGGATTCTCTTAACCTGGATCCTTACGACCCATAAGCATTCTTAGTGCCTCGATTCATTCAAACTTACGATGGGAATTTTCGGATTCCAGATATTCTCGTGCCTTTACTACGCTACGTTGCCTTTGTTATCTCTATTACCAGTGTTTCTATAATTATAGTATGTGAGGTCAGATAATTGTCAGTTGTGAACAACGAGCCCACCTTGCTTTGTGTTCGTTTCGCAGTGTCTCTCTACTGACTGGATGGTCAGCTTCCACTGCGGCGTAAGGGCGTGATGTATAGCCTAGAGTTCTCTGAGACCAAATCATAAATGCGCCTAAGTTGCAGCCGGTTTCTCCGCCCAGGTCACGGGGATTCAATCCATATTCTGCCAGTACATGGCCGTACCGCACAAATCTTGCCCTTGATTAGTTTGTAGGGAGTCAGATCCATGGCTCGTTATTGACCCCAAGCGTTGGGAATCTCATTGCGAGGGAATCGTGCCGAGTTGGACGAATATTGTCATCTATCCTCAACTATTCTCCTTCCTTATACAATAATTAGCCCTTAATCATGCTTATAGATGACATGGGGACTGCGTTTGGGTAACACCATGGTGTGGTTGGAGTTCAAGGTTAGGTGAGACAAGACGGATGCGTTGCCGAAGTCGGGTTCGCTAATGAAATTTCTCATCCTTTCTGATCATAGATGACCACAGGCATTATATACTCTAATAGCGCTCATGCACTTTGGACCTCTCTCTCTCCGAACCAACATTTGAAGAATTGCGCTAACAGGTTCTCCACTCTGAAACCTGTTTCTAGAATCCTATGGCATAGTGAAGATGATGATGTTGATAATCTGTATTCCCGCCTCGGTTCCGCTCGGCTGGTAAGAACTACCGACTGCCAGTTTGTCTTCAGCTGACTTCTTACAAAGTGATCCACGAGGCTGTATATGGTCATTAATTCCAACCAGCGTGTCCTAGACAAGGAAAACCGCTTCAATTCACTGTTTCAACACGCACTTTACGCTTGTTTCAAAGTATGTGAGGCTACAAGATGACATGGCGTATGCATCCAGGATATTTCTCGTGAAAAGACCCGAGCAATCCTTCAAATGTATTGACCAAGCCCGACTGCCTCTGGTGGCGCCGACTATTCGAGTCGTGGATGGGCGTAGACTAGCTCATAGTTTGAGCCCACCTTGGAGGCTAACGAGCTCTGCTGAATCCGCGAGCGTCTTAGGAGCGAGGCCTATATTCGCTTGAAAGAGTATTTATATGTATTTGTTGGTAATTCGCCACTTGACCTTCTCGCTTGGGCTTTGAGAGGTCCAATGCATGCGAGTCTTGGTTCCAACATGAGTTGCGTACAATCTCATTATCCATTAAACCAGTGCCGAGAAACAGTCCTGTTGATTCCCGAGTGGGCGCATTCCAGGCGCGCCAGAACTTGTCTCTGACCAACATCAGGTTCAATCTCTCGCTGGCGACACCACCGTATTTTCGGCCACGATATCACAAATTTGGCGACTTTACATCAATTATATCTTGAGAATTGGTCCAACGGCTTCGCACCACAGTCGCGACGATTGGCGCCAACCATCATCCGCTCATCTGGACGCGTAACCGTTGCATAAATGGCGTCCTCTACATCATATACCACTCTAATCAGTACGTAGTGTACACTTTCTAAACATCATGACATTGACGCCCATGGTCAGCCCGTGCCACCGACTCGGATAACGACGACCAGTCACAGCTCTACGACATCGTTGATAAGGTCAAAAGTGGAGGAGCTGATGGGTACGCTCTGACTCCCTGTCTTCAGCTCTGTTTGATCCAGCGTTAGTGCGATTCAAGCAGCCAACGCAATCAAAGAGCGCTTGGGATTCCCCGAAACCAACACTAGACGTCGAGTTTTAAACATACTTGACACACTCATTATCGAATGTGGTTCGGATTTTCACAAGGCGCTTATCCAAAACGGATTCTTCGTCAGTCTCGCCGATGTCAGTCAGCACTTGGTATACCTAGAACAAAGTACTCACTCATTTAGATACATGATAAAGAAATTGAGGAACTCATACCACAACACGTTGCCAGGTGGAGGGCTGAGATGGGAGCCGAGTATGAAACGGCACTCGAGCAGGCCTTTTCCAAAAGGGGACAAACCAGCGGCACAGAAGAGCCGCAACAACCTAGGAAGGCCGAAGGAGTAGCACGTCGCATGGTGGGTGGCATGGGTCAGGTAATCGACCCCTTCTGACGACAGACGTCCGGTGTTCACATCTCGTTCCGCTATATATAGTTCAACATCAAGCCCATCAAGCCACTCGTACCGTTTCTTACAGTGCCTTATCTCCGAGCCCGACAAACGCTCGAGCAGGCAAGAGATGCTGCAACCTTCCATATGCAAAGCATGTTTCTTGCTCGTCAAGCTCTTCACCTCGTCGTTCTCCTGAATGATTCGCTCAACGAGGATATCACGGACGAGCAGGAGGACGAACGAATCGACCTAGAGGAGTAAGTAATACGCTCAACGCGCTGACTTCCTGACGGCGTATCCAGTGAAATTGATGCTCTACGAGAGGCAATAACTGCGTGGATGACTGAGACGGACGACATTAGCGAGTGTGCTGCAAGAATTGCGCTGATCAAGGAGCAATACGAGACATTCTTCAAGTCACGCTTCTATTTCGTGAGTAACGACACAGTACATAGGACTAACATTAATGTATTGTAGCAAAACACCCGCCGCATCCAAGATGACAAAGTGTATAAAAAGTTACTAGCATACGACCAGCGAGTGCTCAGAATCCAAGGAATGTCCATCATGCGCGACCCGGACGCAGATAGAGACGAAGGTGGAGCGTACATCGAAAGCGTCAAGAGCAGTCCGGCCCCGAATATACAAGAACCAGTCATGGAAGAGGCTCAAAAGACTGTTATCACATCAGTCGTTGAAGAGACCTCGACAGCAGCAGCACTTGCCGCAGAACCGCCTCCACCGGCTCAGGAAGTCGCAGCCTCTACGTCTGCAGGTGGTGGAACGTCCATGCAGGATGACATTGAGCGAGCACGTCAATTCCGTAGCCAACAAGGTGAAGGAAGCTCTAGCACCCAGACCTTCGCCTGTCCCGTACCCGGATGCGGTCGTTCCTTCGACAAGCAATATCTTCTGAGACGTGAGTGACTGCTGGTAATGACTGCTCTTATCTCACTTTGTATAGACCACATTCGCGAGCACGACGATCGACCTTACCGCTGTCCAATGCGTGGTTGTGACCGACGCTTCGCAACCCCAACAGACCAGCGTGTGCACGAAGCACTTCATCGTATCAAAAACATGGGCATCGTTCCCAACATGCCGGCGTTTGCCCCGCCAATCGCGCAGACGACACAATCTGCCCCCCCAGCAGCCGAAACAACGGTAGCTGCAGAGGCGGCGGAGGAAGTCAAGTCTGAAGGCAAGCCCGAGGATGTGAAGTCTGAAGGTGGCGACATGCCAGAGAGTGAGCGTCCAGAGGGGCAGCCAGACAAGGGCAAAGGACCAGAGGATGAATCGCCTGAAGATACGCAAGCAGGTAAAGGCAAGGGAAAGGATAGTGGTGGAGATCAAGACGTGATTCCGGCAGCGACAGATGAGGAGGAGAGAATGTTTACAGAAGAGGAGATGCTCCGAGTGGCCCTCGAGGAGTCTCGAAAAGACCAGCAGCAGGACCCCAACCAAGGCACCTCTGGAGCTGATCAACAGAATGCGTAAATATTCCTCTCCATCCGTCGAGTCGTGGCTAGCGCTTGATGTACAGGCCCAGAAATCTGTAACGGCGTCAATATACGGCCATTTTCAATGAATATTTCTCATACAAGACGTGTCCATCCCTTTTTGTCTCGTGAGATGCAGCGCCTTGCAAGTACGTTGGACTCCGCGCCTCCAGCCCAGCAGAGCATCAAAACTCGGCGGCTCATTCAGGGCTTGATGCCAACGTTCTGAGGCACGCATATCTGTAAAATATGTTGAGGAAGACATCTTTAGCCGCGTCCGTAATCACTCGGTCCGGACAAGACGAGCATCAACTTCAAGAAATTCCACGAACCGAATCGCCGACGGGGATAGATGTGAATGAGCTCCCAAACAAATATCAAGATTGTATTTACATGTTTTTAGTACGCAATCATTGTCTAATCATTGTAGATACGCTTCCCCCGGCAGTTCAAACGGCAATGTCCTCTTGGATAAAGAATGCCAACGGTCTGGCTCTTATAGTATGTTTGCACATCCCAGTAAGACAATTATGCCTGACACAGTGCCAGATGACTCTCTTCGCCGCTGTTCAAATAGTCGTTATTCAGATTTTGCCGCCCTTGGTAGATCCGGATGGAGTATCGAAGAACAGCACGCTATGGAAGACGACGCGTTGGTTTGTCTATGCCGGAATCCTTTTCCATCTTGGTGGGGCCGGTTCGTCCATGGCGACAATTTTGCAGGCCGCACACCTTCCAAGTATGTATTGATCTAACTTCGACCGTGTTTCTTAGTGCTTCTAGGCCGAGGACTTACTATGGCACTGGAACAACCTGACTCCCTCCCTCATCGCGTATATCAAAAAGGGGCAAACATACCCGTTGAACTCTTGGTGGATATCGCGGAGTATGATCTACTTTGTTCATGGGGATTACAACGCCGCTGGAATGCTTGCGCAGTGCACATGGTATTTTGTTTCTACCTTGGCTTCATCTGCTCCTTTATCTCGCTTACGCTGTGGGTCTGGGCTGCAGAGGTCGAGCTTGGAATAGCTCCGGCAGCTCTCCTATTGCCTCTAGCAGTTGTAGCAGGCTCTACCGCTCACTATGTACTAATCGGCTAATGGAAGGATACAGGATTTACCAAATGTGGATATAAAAGTCTAATTTAGCCATGATTATTCCTACTCAGAGTAGCCTTGTTCATGCAATATCATGATCACCCAATTCTTTATACTCGTATCCGGCAGTAACGACAGCTTGAATGCCCAAAAGTCTGCGCAGTTGGATGGCCTTCTTGCCCGCTTGTCTTTCGAGTCGGTGCTCCTTGATTGAGGATATCGGAGCGAAGGGCCACCTCTTTAGGGCCACTTTCCGCTGGATGATATCGTCCAGCCTTGCCATCAATCTCCGACGGATGGTAGCGACTCGCTCAAGCCCATGGGCGAAAGCTGGTGCAACAAGGTCCGAATCGTTCAAGTTCAAAACGATTTGGAGCTCGCGACGAAGCTGGCTCCTCCTCGACGCTCGGTCGATCCCGTTCGTAGAGGTGATCAGGATCCTCATCCAGGGTGGAGAGGTCGCAATAATCCACGTAGCAACAGTAGTAAGTGGGCATTCATTGCTCATCAATTGCGAGGGACCCCGCCGGCAGAGGTAATCCAGAAAAGGCGAGGATGCGATCTCCTTGGTCGTTGTCACGACCAGGCTGAACAGTTCTGTGGGACATTCGAACCACGTAATACACGAGATTGTGCGGGAGAGGTGAAGAGTCAGCTCAGATGACATGGCATCGACAAAGCTCGCTCTAGCTGCGGGCAAAGGACAAAGGGGGAAGGTGCTGGAAATTTTGCAACTTCCATTGGTTACCATGGTGCTCCAAGATGGTAGCTTGTCGCGTCTCTTCTCGTTGCAAAGGACGAAACGCAGCTTCTCCAGGAGACCCATGCGTGCGACCTTCATTTCCGCTGTCATCAGTCGCTTGACAGCGTATTCGTAGAATATGTTGTGCATGTTGCGCATCTCGGGCGTCTCGATCATCGGCGACCACACATGGTCCTGGCTGGTCGGAGTCTTCAAAGGAGTTTGGGGTCGCGCTATCGACAAACCGAAGTTTTGGGCCTCTTGGACGCGTCCAGTGACTGGTCTTGTGATAGAGTAAACGCGCTTGCGTACTCTGTTGAAGAGATTACCGGGGCTTGCCATCGGCTCCGCTGTGTTGGACGTTTCAGAAGGCGAATTCACACTCATTGGGTCTGTTATAGAACCATACAAGATCAGAAATCGAAGTGCAGAGGTTGTGAGGGCTCGAACGTACCAGTGAGAGACGGTTGGGTCGAAGGTGCGTTCCGGCCACTTTGTAGATTTCATTGCAGTCTGATACGAAGGCAAATGCATGTTAGCGAAAGAACGATAGAATGATTTATTATATCCGGGACTAGTCAGCTACGAACAAAAACACGATAGGGAACAGGGTGAGCGGGACAAGCGGTACGAGGGAGGCAAATACTGCCCTTGATTCCGTTATATAGATCCATATGCACAGAGAGATAACAATAAAGAGGCTTCCGATTAGGAAGGAAAGGAGCATATGGAAACCGATCCATTCGAATTTGCTTGAGAGCCCAAAGGCTCGCAAAAGTGCCGTCTCATTGTCTTCTTTCAAAAGATTTATATTGCGGTCGTCGATAGATCCACCCATGAGGACGTGTCGGGGTAGTGAATCCCCGTCTGTGATTGCCAAACTCCGTGCGGTGATAGACGCGGTCGCCACTATATTGACAATGGCGACGGCTGAAGCTGTGCCAGAGTTAGCTGAGTAGCTGATAGCATATGTTACTCTCACCTGCTCCTCCAAGGTCAACGAAGACGCCGGCGTACATGAACCATTTGAGTGCTCTTGTGGTAGCATTTTGAGGCAGCTCGCCGGCTTGAACGACAACCTGGATGAGCGTTACTTGGACACCAGCGAGAAGAGCCAGCTACAGATCAATGAGCGAGTCGTCGAGTCGTCGAATCCACATGAATTTCAACGCACTATGACAGCAAGTGAATTGGCTCCTTTTGTCCACGAGGTAAGCGAGGCAGTGACAGCGGTAGGCAGTCTATCTATATCAAGAGTTATAAGTGCGAAGTGACATTCTAGAGGGGCGATTACTTGCAATCCTGGGCAAGGCGTGCAATTTCTGTGTCATTCTCTTCCAAGTTGGAGGCAGTATCGAGCCTACGATCTCGAACAGATCTCTTTGTGTCTTCTATTTGCTCAGGAGAGGTGGCAAATGATCTGTTCACTGGCGAAGTGATTCTCGTAGGTTGCGGCGACGAAGAAGCCATGACTTTGAGTGTAATTAGATGATCGAATATCTCCTTTTCTCGTTTCCAGATTCTCTGTTTATCTTCGTTGGACGCCTGGCTCGCCCGTCCCGAGCAACCTGCCGAAATTGACGCCGGTTCCAAGTTAGGAGCAAACAACCACCACGGTACCTAGCGGGTGCATCGATTCCAAAGGTCAATGTGAATTTCGAGGAGCAAGTTTTTTGACTTTACAACTTGAACCCCACCATTGCGACCACTACGGCGCACGAGCTCAATCCAAGGCTCTCAGCAACGCAAAACGCTCACTTAGGTTATTCAACTCGACTCTTTAATCAATCCTTTCTCAATATTGCACGCCACTCTCTCAATTCCGGCTCGCTAGCCATCTTGTGAATGCGACTGACTGCTATTGCTCGCCATAATATCATAAAATGCCTCTTTCAAACGAATTATGGCGGCGTCAACTCGATGATCATCTCGACGTGTACGTGCGGCGCCATATCGCACAGGACGCAATGGAGTATTCAGCAGCTGAGATGGAGACGGTGGATGAAGATCACCGGCATAAAACTAGATCTAATGAGCTCTAGATCTTCAAAGAACACCTCAATCCGGTCTCAGAACTCACATCCTTTGCCCTATTTGAACAATCCGGTCCGCTCGAAACGTTCATAGAGCGTAGTAACGTTCAAAAAGATCTCTCAGAGGGTAATTCTGCACTCTCGACCGAGAAGTGGCAGACCTCGAAGATTGTCATGGACTACCTTAAAGGTATTGTCAACCTAAACTCCTTGAAGAATGAGAAGTCCGAGAGAACATCGCAGCTGTGGAATATAGAAAGTTGGTAAACTCACTCTTTGCGCTCATGGTCGTTGATCCTTCTCAGTACCGCCCACGTCGACTCGATTTGTACAACCCTTACTCAGTCAGGTTGCAATGAGGGAAACGCCTTTTGACTGCGACAACAATATAGTGGATTACTCAAGTCAAGGATCTAGTCATAGCAATCAGCGCGGTCGAAAGTCTCAATTAGCAAGTACATTGGCCATCCCCAATGTGTCTTGTCTCTTCAAGACATTCCCCACCGAGGAAGAGATTCCTCTATCCGATTTTGATCGGATGGCTCTCACGTACGTCCATTTACACTGACTTCAAGTTGCTGAATTGCACCCAGTGAACCTCGTTTGCGTATCTCGCGGGAGGATACTACCTCGGTTCTCTCTTTGGTGAAGAGTATTCCTTTCTCTGCCGCTGTTCCCAAGGAAGATGTCCTGCGATCGACTCGCACTATCTCGTTCAACGATAACGATGGCTTGATGGAAGGCATCCTTCCTTTCACACCCCCACTATTTCCTCGAAAGGAGAAATCCCTTTCAATAATCCAGAGAACGGGAAACTCACTCAAATCTGACATCGCCCCTCTTCTCTCCCCGGTAAGAACACAGGATAACTCAGAGATGAATATGCAGACGCAGATGATGGAATTAATTGATGGGTTTGGTTTGCATTTCCCTCTCGCTGGTTCTCCGCTGACTAGCCGGATCTGCAGAAATGCCGTCGCCTACTCCAACAATTGTGTATGGAACCTCTGAAAATGACACTGGTAACTTTGCTTCAGAAGAGAATGAACATGGAGAGTTCCCAAGTTCGCCCTCGATCGGCACCAATATCCTCGCCAAGTTGCTCGATGGTAGAATAGGTTGGTTTTAAAGCTGCGTTTGAAGTGAAGAGTTCAAAACTGAACTCTATAGAAAAGGTGCTTCTGCCGCGAACAGAAGAATTACCATCTCTCCAGACTCGTACAACAACGTCATACCACTTCACAGACCAGAGGTAGAGTCAATATATAGTCATGAGCCGTGCTCTGAGTAGTTCATAGCTTTGTGACGACACTCACTGGGGTCCTCGAAGGCGGAATGGATGTCCCTTTGCCCTCGTCTCCCCGTCTCCCAGGGCAAGCAGACCACGAAAGGGTATCCGAGGTATTATGCTCAGATATAGCTCGCTCCTTGGATTCCCTGGGTGGAGGGATGACGAGCATGGACGTCTATTCGCTCATCTCAGGGGAAACACTTGAGGATCAAGAGAGCTCGATACTCTTACCAGGTTCGCTCTTTTCCCGATATCTGGTCTAAAATTCATCAACCAACAGTCCCAAATCTCACGTTATCCCACGAATCGGCCCGCAAGGGTCGACTGTTGCCGCAGGTTTTGGCAGATCTACGGTTCCTGCCGCTAGATGTGCCTTTGGGCCCCTCCCATCCTTCGATCAAACCTTCTTGTTTCTTGGAGCCGACCGGAAGTGTTGTATCACTCGCATTGTCGCTTTCTTGGCAGTACGTATTGTTCTCCTCACGTTCGTCTCGTACTGATGGAGGCGGCAAGGCCTTTCTACTACAAAGGCAACTTTTTCTCAGACGAAACTGTGTGCATGGTCGACCAGCTGCTATCCTCAACCGGTGACGGTGAAGCGCGCCATCTCTTAGACGCATATGCCTCACTTTCCGGCGTTTCTAGTCCAGAAACCTGGCCAGAGTATCTGCTCGATAACGAATTTAGCTTTCACGAATGGCCAGATGATCGCATTTTGCTCAGTCGACGCGAGCAAATTTCACAGAACGCCCTTGGTATTCCTGGAGTCTCCAGAAAGACAAGCCGGACGGTCACTGACGGTGCGCGAATTCCTTGTCGTACATATACCCCTTCTGAGGTAGCTTTGGCCAGGTATTTCTCGCCCCAGTAGTCCACCTGCAGCGTTTCCACCGCCTCCAGAGCTTCCGTTCCCATCGCCGTTTAGAAGGTCAGAAATCCGTGTAGATGGTGTTATAGAAGCGGAGAGCGGGACATCTCGTGGCGTCCAATCTGACGGCGGGTCTCCGCATATTCAACCATTTGCACCGGGTGATGGTCATATTGCGAGTATATCTACTCCAAATAATTTCTCGCTGTTCGTGGATGAGTCACCTCGAACGGAGCAAAGAGAAATTATCAACACTCCCCCGACCTGGTCCAGTCGTGCGTCGCTGCACCAGTATCTCGCTCAGCGTGGAGTTGTCACTCAAGCTGATCGAGGTGAAACGGGTAGCTTGGAGCCTGGAGAAGGCGACTCTCTCCGTCACAACGATCCAAATGATGCACATTCGCTCGAGACCAACGCCTCAGCAAAAGAGATGCCACTTTTGTCTGCGTTTCTCAGCACCAATATCGCGCTTCCAAAAGTATGGACGGTGCCAAGTGACTCCCATCGCTATCTCTGTTCCATCCACACCGTTCAGCGCCGCGCGCTTGCTCAAAGCCTAAAGGAGGAGTGCAATGTTGACCTCTACGAGCTCTCTAATATGATTCATCCGGATATTGTCGTTGACTCGCACAGCGCCGTCCTCTTCATAACCTTGAGCGACATTCCTAGCACCCTCGACACCTTGACCTCGGAGATCAGTGAGCTGGCATATGGATTCAGTCGTATACTGGTTATTCTAGAATCTTTCCCAGCTGATCGCGCCCAATTCTCTACCGAGAGATGGAAAGACGGGCACTGGGCGCAGTTAACAATGTTCACAAAGACGATCAGCGAAACGTGCTTGAAGCTCAAGAACAAAGTCAACATCAAACTAGGGCTACTCGACCATGACGAGCATTTGGAAAGGTCTGAGGAAACCTCTAGTGGACAAGCCTTGGGCGATACTTCGGTTGAATTTGTCATCTCATTAGCTATAGAGGACAGCGCGAGGTTCGTTCGAATCTTTGGAGACTATTCAGCAGGATTGGTCACTCCTCTGGAGCGAGCTAAGCTCGGCGGTGCGCGGGTCTGGCTAGATACAGTTGTAGAGTACCCTCACTGAGCCTATTGGATTCTTATTGACTTTCATTATAGCAAGAAGAAGTCGCATCATGCATACTCGGTCGGTACCGCGGGATGAACGTCTTTACGGCTCTCGCCATTGCTTCGGTGACCCCCCTCAGCAACTTCGTTGCTATGAGCTCACAGGAAAAGCTGCATAGCTTTGGTACACTTGTCGGGAATGAACGGATGGTGCGCACTCAAGCTGTTTTCTCGAAGACTGCTCAGTATGTGCCAGATTCTTTTTGACAAGACCTATAGACGCGCAGTGGGTGATACGTAACTGTAAGAGAATTACACTTCGGACATGAGCGAATTCATCCTATAGCGCAATGCTCAGTAGTGTCATCATGGAAGAGAAAGGGATAGCGAATAATGGCTCCCTGTATCCGCATTGCTACATTGATCTTGACTTATGCGACCGGTTTCATCACTCATGCGTACAGTTTCGATGTGCTATCTAGTCGAAATGAAGGCTCATATAGAAGTTTGTGATCACACTATCATAAAATGAGGAGTAAGACAAGTTACAGGACGGTAGAGTTAGTTGGGTGAATTGTACATAGCATCTTACATAGCGTTATATGATCACCAGTGGAGAGAGGCAAAGGAGAGGCGACGCGAGAGGGGTAAGACGTTCTGGTATGGGAGGGGCTGTCGCTCAAGTTGAATAAACGACAGCGGCCAGGGATGCTGTAGGGACTAGGTGGGTTATATGAGTCGGCTTTAGCGAGTGAAAGGGCTACAGGGGTGTTACAGAATGGGAGGTGGTGGAGGCGCGTGACTCCGAAACGGAGTACCAAGTCGTAGAAAGGAGGGGGGGTGACCAATTCTTATGGTCTCCTACTTGACGTGCTCGGATTTGCATTCTGGCGACAGATGTGGCAAATGTTATTCTCGGCGTAGATTTCCGTGAGATTCTCGGCGGCATAGTGGCAACTGAAGAACGCAAAAGGAAGTTGTTGCGTCGTCCTTACCCTCACAACTTCTACCATGGCTGGGCGAACTCGTTCGGAAAGAGGAAGGAAGGTTGAAGTGTAACCCGAATTGGAGAAGGATATGGGTGGCAGATTTCTTTCGCGTGACCTGCTAGTATTAGACCAGGGTAGAGTGACGCCCTGGGTGGTGAAGCTTGACGGGAGGTCTTCTCTGCTATGCAGATTGTGAATGCTCATAGGAGCTCGGCCTCCATCAAGGAGATGCCGCACGGTACGCATCTGAGGTGCAGTCGAGGCGCTGTTGGACCAGAGCAGGTCATCCTCCAATTTGACAACAAGGCGAAGGAGATTTGGGAGAATACCACGTTTCTTGATTGCCTTGTAAAACGTGTCGCTTGGTTGCTTGGTGAGGGTGACCTTCAGCGTCTCAATCTGAGGCAGGCGCCTGTAAATCTCCTCGTACTGCTTATCGTGAATAGGCGCATGTAGTTCGAGATTAATAGGCGTCCATATACCCTCTCCGCCGTGGAAGATACTCGATACGATGCTATCGGCATCAGCGCGTTTCAGTGCGGTGACTTTGAGGCACAATGTATGCAGTTCGGGGGCTGATATAGCATTGATTTCGGAGTGAGAGGTTACGGCATGGAGAACCTGGAGGCTTGGCAGGCTAATGGAGTGTTCCGGGAGATGTGGGAGATGTCCCTCGTTAGGAAGGGCGGATTGGATCACGAGGTGCCGCAGTTTGGGCATGTGAAGCTCCTGGAGACCTGACATCGCAATCTCGCCGACACGCAGGGACCGGAGGTTTCTCAGGGAAACTCTGGACTGGGATATAGTTTCGCCTATGAGGACATGAGCGATGCAAGTAAATTAAAGGAAATAGGTGCGAACTAGCACATCCCTCCATCTCATTGACGTCCATGTCGTCTGGGTCGAGGATTCCAAGGGGCCCACCGCGATTAGGGGGTTCCAAGGCATACGAAGGATGTCCAAGGAGCTTGTTTGAGATATCCAAGTGCTCGAGGTGCTCGCATCCTTCGAAGATGGTGACATGGAAGGGTCTAGAGTTACCCTTGATGGTGATCTTGCGCAACTTGCGCCAAATCTTGTATTCTCTGGCCGCTAGTATGAAGTCACGGGTCATATTTCCGAGATAAAGTGATCTTAACTTGACCGTCGTGCGTTCTAGCTGGTCCAGAAGAGGATGGAAGACCTCAAAGAGACCTGGGATGGGCAATGCCGAGGTGATCATCAGAGACTCCAGGGCCGGAAAGGCCGTAGAGTCGTTGAAAAGGCCATGAAAGGAATCTTTGATGACGTGAAGGGGAGTGTCGGGGTTGATGATGAGGCAAAGGAAGGAAATCTGGCTCGAGCGTGACATAAGCATCTGGAACCTTGCCCTCCTAAACTCTGGAGTGGGAGAAGACTCGTTAATACGGCCGACGACTAGAGTGGCCTCGAGCGGTGAGTTGCGAGCGCGCTGGATGCACGTCTGCAGGAACTTTTCGGTTGCACAGGCCATGGTACTACCCGCTTTGAGACTCGGAGGCATCGAATCCAAGGAAATCAAGATACGGCGCCAGAGTCGGGGTGTATTCTTGATAACTTCATTCAGGGTGCGACATGCCGTCATGAGTAGCGTCAAGGGAAGGTCCATGAGATGATATTCGTCCAAAATCATCGCCAGGATCTCGACGGGCATGGTCAACAGGTTGAGCGATGCTCGCCTGGCCCGAGCAGTGGCACATCTTCGAGGATGGTCGAAACCTTTGGCAAGTGTATATCGTCAGCGACGAGGCTCAAGTGCAGGCGGTAGGGCTCTCGAATACTCACAGGAGGGGTGTGGTATAGGAAGGGCTTTGGTATTCATGGTCTCGACGTGGAGTTCATGACCAGTACCGCTAGTCTCGACTTTGGGCGTGCGGTCTGCCTTTCGTTTTGAAGGAGGGGTTGATTGCTCAGCGTTCATGGGTCGCTGGAAATTTCGACGTTTTCTTTGTGGGGTTTAAATTCGTTATGATCATAGCTCGGGTTCAACGTGCAAGTTTCGGGCTGGCCACTAACTGGGGTCCGCCCACGAGGATGGATTGAATTGCTGTCGCTGGGAGGGTGGAGCAGAGGGCAGCCATCACTTGCTGGTCAACTTGGAGAGAATGACACGCATCATAACGAGGGCATCTCATGGGGGTGACAAATGTCAGCACGTCAGCACGAGTAGACAGTTCTCTCCAGATCACAGCATTGCGTTTCGGGCAAGGCCCCGTGAAGAGACTGGCGGGTGCCCAACTCATCTTGCACCCATCCATGTCCACAATGTCTAGCAATCAGGCAAAGGCTGAGATTAAGTCCTTGCAGTACTCTTCTAATACTAGAACTCGTTTGTCACGCAAGCGCGGTCAAGAATATGACGCAGCTAGCATTGGCAACATCACTGGGAATGCATCTGAGCCGTCGGACATAGTCTCTACTGCCAACGCAGCCCAGATTGCGATGGAATCAATCATCGAAACCCTCCGAGTTCGTCAGCTGCCTCTGCTGTAGCTATCTGACCCATAAACTAGACCATCCGCGACAATCAAGTCCAATGCACGGCTATCACTCGACGACTTGAAGGGTACAAATCTGCCATCAGGAATTATATGGGCTCTTTGGGCAACTCTCATCTGGAAGAACCAGGCATAACCGAGCCATTCAGAGGACCACTCGCACGATATATCAAGTATGTACAATCTCAGGCCATTTTGTTAAATATTGAGCCATGCAGATTTCTTGACGATTTTCATCGCATGCTTGTCAATCTCCAGCACAAACGACCTCGTTACGCTCTAATTCTAAGGATCCGCAAGGTAAAAGTCGATACGGAAGAACTCCGTAAATTCAGTCAAGATATTGAGCCCTGCACAAGCAATTCATGGTGTGAATGCCGTCAGTCTTGTTCGCAAGCTAATTGCAGATATAGGACACACTCGACCTGTGTATTGCGTCCCTAACCCGCACCCTCGAGCATAGTCACGCTCCCACTAAGAATGCTTCAGTAAATGACCCTCAAGAAGGTGAGCCCGATCTGAGGTACAGGAACCCGCCTGACGCCCAAATAGACGCAGCCGCCATACTCCAATTGCCAACTATAGGGTTCGTTGCATCATCGGTTCATAATACCTGCCTCAAAGGAACACGCGAAGCCGTTCTCCAGACAATCTGGAAATGGGCCGAAGACGATGCAGAAGGAAAGCCGATCTTCTGGCTCTGCGATATAGCTGGATCCGGAAAATCTACAGTTTCAATGTCTGTAATGGAATCATGGCGTAAGAAAGGGACGCTAGGCGCTCACTTCTTCTTCTCCATGACAAGCAATGAAGGATCCACCACGGATAGGTTTTGTTCTACGATAGCCAGAAAGCTCGTAGACTACATACCCGAACTTGCGCCACGCGTAGCCGAGGCGGTAAAACAGAACCCGTCGGTCCTGCGAAGTCCCTTGGGGGAGCAGTTTCAAACCCTTGTCGCGCGCCCGCTCCGACATTTGACGCAGCCTGTGATCATCGTCATAGACGGCGTAGACGAATGCAAATCAGGAGCGCAGCGAAGGAAACTCCTCGAGGCGCTTGCGGCGACAGCGCGCGAGTGCAGCAATCTCAAGATATTCATAACCAGCCGTCCAGATCCAGTCGTTCAAGGTGCCTTGGAGCCTTACTCTGTTAAAGCGAGGCTGGAAGATCGCCTCCCCAACTTCGATAATCGAACCAATGACGACGATATCGCGCTCTACGTACACAGGTCACTCAATGGAGTCCTCACCGAGAGCCAGAGACAGCGAATAGTCAACAAAGCTAATGGACTATTCATTTGGGCGAGCACCGCTTGTAGAATGCTCACCAACAAGAGCGACTTGGCTCGCCCTGAAAGCGCATACCAGCGTATGATCTCCATGGAGCGGAACGGAGTCATAGATGATCTATATAGCCTCATCTTGGAGCACGTGGAGCCCGGAGTTTATGCAGATATGTACAAGATGCTCTCGTTACTTCTCGTTGCATTCGAACCACTCACCGTCCATGATGTCGACGACATCCTCAGGCACGCTGCAGTGCACAGGGCCGCAAAGACACTGGTTCAGAACCTCACGAGCGTACTTACCGAGGATGGAACCACGCAACTGATCCGGTTCCGCCATCCGACCTTTGTCGAGTACCTTCGACGCTGCTCAGTCCTCCCAGGCCTCGAAAAGCGTAAAGATGTCCCTATCAATCTTCGAGATGCGCACGGTCAGGCTGCATCATGGTGTTTCAAACATCTTAGATCGCAGACTGGAGGTCTCAAGTTCAATATATGTCAAATCGAGTCATCATTTCATCTTAATCGGGAGATTCTGGATCTCGAAACCAGAATATCCAAGTTCATCTCAAGAGGACTTCAATACGCTAGCACGCATTGGCCATTTCATCTAGCAGAAACTGACAAGGAGTGGCGAGCCACGCTCAAGAGTGAGCTAGGGAGTACTCTTCAATGTCCATACATTCTATACTGGATGGAGGTCCTGAGCTTGACCGGAGGAGTGCCACGGGCAATCCAGGGTCTTCGGGATATTACCCGTCACAAAGATGTAAGTCCGATATTCGGATTTGACTCAGTTTTCTTACACAAATCATAGATTGAGGAGCACAGGAACGATATAATCGAAATTCGTCGTCTTATGACAACTTTTGCTGTGCCAATACAGGACAGTGCTCCACAGATCTACATCTCGGCACTGCCTTTCGTGCCCACAGCGTCAAAGCTACATATCGAGGGTCTAAAGATGTACACCGGTACCCTCAGCGTGACTCACGGACTTGAAGAACAGTACAGGCGACCACCTGAAGTTCTTCGTGGCCACGAAGACTCGGTCAGGGGCATTGCATTCTCGCCGGACGGCTCGAGAATTGTTTCAGGATCTGCGGATAACACGATTCGGCTATGGGATGCGGAGACAGGGCGGCCGATAGGAGACCCACTTCGAGGCCATGAGGACTCAATATTAGCCATCGCTTATTCGCCAGATGGCTCACGAATAGTCTCTGGCTCATCAGACAGGATGATCAGATTGTGGGACGCAGATACAGGACAACCGTTGGGAGAGCCACTCCAAGGTCATAGAAACTGGGTCAGCTCTGTCGCGTTTTCGCCAGATGGATTAAATATCGTCTCCGGTTCGTGGGATAGCACTGTCAGACTATGGGACGTAGAAACGGGCCAGCCGCTAGGACAGCCGATCCGAGGTCACGAAGAGTGGGTCACATGTGTAGCCTTTTCACCAAATGGATCGCGTATCGTCTCTAGCTCGTGGGATAAGACGATTCGCCTATGGGACGTGGAAACATGCCATCCATTGGGAGAACCACTGCGAGGTCACGAACACTGGGTCAACACCGTCGCATTCTCACCAGATGGGTTACGCCTTGTTTCTGGTTCGTGGGATATGACACTACGGATATGGGACGCGGAGACCGGTCAGCAGCTGGGAGACCCCCTCATAGGCCATGAGGACGATATAAACGTGGTAATATTCTCACCAGATGGCTCACGCATCATCTCCGGCTCTTTGGACGCTACGATCCGAGTGTGGGATGCAGAAACCGGGAAGCAAGTAGGAAGTGCCCTCAGAGGTCATCAAGATTCGGTCGCATCCCTCGCATTCTCGCCCGATGCATCACACTTTGCCTCTGGATCTTCGGATGCCACTATCCGCTTTTGGGACGCCAACACAGCCCAGTCATTGGGAATCTCACAACACGGCCACCAAGGTCCAGTACATACCGTCGCCTTCTCGCGGGATGGCTCTCAAATAGCCTCCGGCTCCTCCGACGGAACAATCAAGCTATGGAATGCAACTACTGGCAACCCATCAGGAGATTCATTGAGGGGTCATGAAAATGGCGTTAAAAACGTCGTATTCTCCCCGGATGGAACGATTGTGGTTTCGAGTTCAGCAGATGGTACGATTCGTCTATGGGATGTACAGACCGGTCACCAACTTGGAACGTCATTCCGAGGTCACCACGGTTCAGTCAATGCCCTAGCAATGTCACCTGATGGCTCCTCTATTGTCTCCGGCTCCATAGACAAAACAATCCGACTATGGAATTCTACCACTGGCCAGCTATTGGGAGGGCCACTCCTGGGTCACCAAGCCTCTGTTAATGCAGTAGCGTACTCGCCAGATGGCTCAAGAGTTGTCTCTGGCTCTAAAGACAAGACAATTAGGTTATGGAATGCGACCAATGGTCAATCGTTGGGAGACCCACTTCGAGGTCACAAGGAGCAGATTAATGCGCTAGCATTCTCTCCGGATGGCTCAAAAATTGCTTCTGGCTCACAAGATGCAACAGTTCGACTATGGGATGCAACCACTGGTCAGCCGCTGGGAGACCCACTACTGGGCCACGAAGCTTCAATCTTGGCCATAGCTTTTTCACCATATGGCTCGCGGATCATCTCTGGCTCAGCGGACAAGACTATTCGAATATGGGATGGGATCGATAGTCAAGTGCTTCGGGGCCATCAGCACGCCGTTAATTCTGTGATATATTCACCTGATGGATTATATATTCTCTCCGGCTCATCAGATATGACGATTCGGCTATGGGAGGCTGAAACCTGCCGAGCGGCAGATCTCACGCTCCTTGATTGCGAGTCGGGGTTTGGTGACGACATACTACCACCACAATCTGCGCGAAGCACCTCCGTCTCAATGGATAATTGGAATGGAATGTTGAATTCTGACACGGGTGAGTGGAGATGGTTCGTTTTGATAAATCTCATCTCAACTCCAGGTCATCCGCTCAGTGAACTCGATATCCCTGCTCAACCTTGCGATCCCCTCAAGAACGAGAAGCCACAAAGAATTTTACTCCGAAAACTCGTGCCTGGATTCAGAAAGTGTTATCTCACAAGCGACGGCTGGGTGAAATCAGCGGGCAAGTATCTCTTCTGGGTACCGGATGATAATCGGCATGGGTTGCAATACTTCCATCGCCTGACGATGCCAACATATAGTTCGCTGCGAGCTACTAAACTGGATTTTTCCAGGTTTCATTGTGGACAATCATGGATAAATGTTAGGGGATGCAACGACGAATGAGGTATTTGGTCTCTTCTCCACCCATTTCTAGGTATTATGCACCCGTTCCCGCGTTCAATTTCACTGGTCCTCTTTGATGCTCGTTCTCTTCTTTCTCACTGCCTCTAATACTTCCTCTGTCTGCTTGAGTTCACTCCCCTACAATTTGTCAAATCCCGTCCGCACCATGATTCTGCCCATGTAACGTGTTCAGTATGTTGGGTCGCTTTCTGTCAGCCTCATAGGTAGCCTTGATATAGATACTGTAAGAAACCTCAATAATCACTATTTCATTTGTTGCAATTTCTTTATTAAGGCTACGACAAGAACCTCATCTCAGTATAGTGGCGAAAGGATGGAACGTCGGCTTCTCAAAGTGGTACATGTGAGTCATAATTCACTCCTCTTTGAGTAGTACCCAAAGAGGAGTTATCTGTAGTAGAGATCACTTAATTCTATATAAATGATCAACTGGGCGCATATTGACATGTAGCGACGACAAACGGAACACATTCTTCGTTCGGACTCACACCTAGAAATCTCTACAACCGGATAGGTCGTAATATTTGGGGTCTCCTAAGCCCATTGAAGCACTGGGGCAAATCAGGACAACTCTCTAAACAGAAATGTTAGCGTTCTCTCTCCGCCGGGAATTTCTCGAACTGCATGCAGCTGGAGATAACTCTCGGCAACGTGCTCACCACTCTCTTGATACAACATACTTGATGTAGACAGTTCAATATCGGTTAACCGTTGGAAGGTGATCATCGCCGACCGGTACCACCCGCGTTTGTCCTCCGAGATTCACCTTAATGTTTGCCGGATTGTCCGTAGGCGCTAGCGAACGACTCAAATATGCGCTCCTACGACACCCATTGCAAATGTTATTCTCGGCGTAGATCTCCTCCAGATGCTCGTCACTGTACTTGCAACAGAGGAAGGAGAATTCAAGCCCTTGTTGAGCCCTCACGCGCGCAACCTCACACATGGAGGGACGGACTCGTTCGGAGAGACAGAGTTGCGTCAAGTCTCCACCAATCAGACCTCCTTCGTCGGTTTCGAACCGATTGATCCCGCCTATAATCGGATTCAGCACAGTATCTCTCCCACTGCGCTGCGACTGATTTCCACTAGTGAGGGTATGCTCATGGAGAGGTAGATATCTCACTATGCGAGTCGAAGGTGCTGCTGACGTCGAAGAGGGATCTTCATTGGGGCCTTCGTTGGTGTGGCTTGGGACCGGCCGCCGGGGAAACACAACCGTTAGGCTAATAAGATTCTGAAGTATACCACGCTTCTTGATGGCGTTGTAGAAAATCTCGCTCGGTTTTCCCGGCAGCGTAATCGCCAACCTCTCGACCGTAGGTAGGCGTTTATAAAGCGTCTTGTAATGATTTTCGTGGATCCTTGCATTTATGTTTAAAGACTTGGGAGTCCACATACCCTCCTTGCCATGGAAGATGCCCAACACAGCAGAATCGGCGTCTTGGCGTTCGAGAGAGGAGATTTCGAGGGATAAAGAACGCAAAAGTGGTGCGGAGATAGAATTCACCTCAGAATTCCAGGCTCTGACGTGGAGGACCTGGAGGCTTGGAAGATGAATGGAATGTGGCGCCAAGGGTGGTTGGCGCTCGTCTTGAGGAAGAGCTGAATGAATCACCAGTGATTCCAAATTATGGGCTTGGAGCTCCTGGAGACTGTGGATTGCAACCGCTCCAATTTCAAGCGACAGCAGCTTCGTCAATACGACTTTGCGCTGAGGGTGGACGGGCAGGTATGTACCTGTAAAAATTATGATCAATATAGAAATCATGGAGATAGAAAGGATCACGGACTACCGCTTCCCTCAGTTGCATCACTGTCTATTTCGTCGGAGATCCCAAGTAGGCCATTGCGAAGAGGAGGTTGCAAAGCGGAGGATGAATGCGTGACCAATTCATTGGACATGGTCAAGGATTGAAGATCTATGCATCCCTCAAACGCAGTAGCATGAAGAGGGGAATCGTCTCCGTGGATGGTGATGCTATTCAGCCTGCGCCAGAACTTGTACTCTCTAGCGGCTAGAATAAAGTGCTGGTTCACCTCGTGAAAGGAGACTGATTTGAGTTTGGTAGAAGTGCGCTCGAGCTGGTCTAAAAGGGGCCGAAGCACATCCAAGAGAGCAAGTTGTAGATCAGATGAGACAATCACCAAAGAGCTTATCTCAGGGAATGAAGTAGAGGGATTGAAGAGATCGAGAAAGGAGTCTTTGACGACCTGAAGGGACGTATAGGGCTCGATTGTGAGGCCAAGCGACGAGATATTCTCCGAGAAAGACATGAACACCTTGAATCTCGACCTTCTGACCTCGGCCGGCGGAGAAGATCTGTCACGACCCCCTACAACGAACGTCACCTCGAGTGGCGAGCCCCGTGCGCGGTTGATACAAGTCTTTAAGAAGCTCTCAGTTGAGCAGACCATAGTTCTACCCGCTTTGAGACTGGGAGGGATAGCACCGAGGGAAATGAGAATGCGACGCCACAGTCGTGGTGCACCCTTGATAACCTCGTTAAATGTACGGCATACCGTCATAAGTGGTATCAATGGAAGGTCCATATGATGACATTTGTCGAATATCATCACGAGGATTTCCATTGGTAGTGTGAACAGGTTGGTCTCGCAGCGAGAGCCTTGAAAGCGAGAATGCACGTTTTGTCTGGGGTATTTTTGTACGGGATCATCTGGTAGAACACATTATATTAGCCATCAGGCCTAAGCACTGACAAGGCGCCGCGTCTGAAAGTGCGTACAGAGATCCTGCGGTGTCTGATAGGTTGCCGAATCTAATGGCTCTGTTTGGGTCTCGTCGTGCATGCCGTTGACTTGAGAGTCGAACAAGGTACCCACTTTGCGCTGGGACGACGCGTCGGCGGTGTCGACAAGGTCGACGACCCGTGGACGTGTCGCACAGTGGTCGTTGATAACGGTCGTGGATGCAGTTACACTCGAGGAGACCGGGTGTGATTCGGTATTGAAGGAGACGCTAGCCTGGTTGGCCATTCGGATAATGGAAGAAAGAGCGGTGGCAAATTTTAGTAGATGATTGTGAGTGAGCAGGTCTTAGTCTTATATACTGTTTCTGTTGAGATATGTGGAGGCGCGACATTGCGGGTTAATGCCGTCGTGTGCAGGTTCAAACCTGCGACCAAGGTCCAATTCACAAACTCGGGTAAGGATTTGATAAGGAAAGCGGAATGTAATTTTGTTTATTTATTTTGCGAATTTTCGGGACAAAATATGCTTTGTGGACAGGTCCCCACTGGTGCGCTTGTCGGCCTAGTGGGACTACCAATAGCGTCTGGCATTGACGCTTCTTTACCCACAGAGCAACAATACTGCTTGGAGCGTTTTGCGATCAGTTTACGCAGTACTGGGGATTCAAAGACACCATTTACAACTAACCCTTACGCCGCACATCGACGAGGCCGCTTGTTTCGAGCTGTGAGTACTATCTTATATTTTATTCAGAAGCATCTCGTATCAGGATGCTAGTGGACTACGGCTGTCTATAGTTAGACCTTACGATTGGCCATTTTTTTATTTATTTAATGAGGATGGAAAGCTGGAGGATGGGTTGATCGAGCGCCCTTGCTGGTTGATCTGGCGAGGGTGGCAATGGTGCGGCGGGTCTGAGGGTTATTGATCCTCAGTGTTCCAGCTGTATCCCGGATATATCGAATGAGCAAGTGTGGATGCGGGTCAAGCTGGCGATAACTCTTTGTCTCCTCCACGTCTTTCCGCCGACCGCAGACGAACCCCCTATCAAAATTCACTCGATTCGCCATTGCATAGGGCTGATTCATAGAGCACCCACCAAAATCTGAACCAACTACGCGATTCAGGTAGGCAGCCATTGCATGGTCCATTCTCAGTTGATTCCCATCATGATAAACCGCGCATTCCTTTCGCTCTCGCCCATTCCTTGCCTGCCAATCACTCGCGCCCGCACCCCCTATGACGGATAGCATACGCAGTATTCACAGACTGCTGACTGCGGTTGGCGGGACAACAAAGAGTATATGCCAAGGAAAAGAGATATTACATGCTGAAAGCTACCTTTTCCACGCCAAAGACAGGTCCAACGTGCTGTAGCTCATTGGCTGTCAGACAGGGGATGACAGGAGACGGCGACCCGAGCCAAACGTTGATATATTATGTCAATTTCATGGGCTTCGAGTTTGTCATACATAGCTCGAGAGAATACACACATACGGAGCAGTCTATCAGCAGCACTTTACAGAAACTGCCTCAGGGAAAGGGGTAGATATGGGAGGCTATTCAAATTAAAAAGTTGGCTCTTTTTGATTGCATGAGCGCCTGGAAATGACCCTTGACAGTCTTGAATGTCCATCAATACTGTCTATTCAATGCTTTCCGCATGGTCGCTGGTATTAGCTCCCACCTGGCGATTGCGTTCGGTCTTGGCCATCGAAAGCCTGCCCGTCCGCGCGAATGACGCATCCAAGGACGCACTCACAGGAGGATCTTCGGAAACATCCTTCTCGGCGTAAATCTCTGTGAGATTCTCTGAGCTATACTTGCAACAAAGGAGCGCAAATTCGAGTTTCTGCTGAGCCCTTACTCGCGCAACCTCACGCATGGACGGCCGAACTTGGTCGGACAGAGGATCGGGCACCGATCTGTTTCCACTCGACCCGCCCCCGCTGCCATTGAGCCTGTTGGCGCCTCGTGCTATGAGGTTCGACACGGCGCTTCCCCCGGATTTCCACGGCTTGCGTGATCCAGTCGCCAGAGGTTCGGATTGACTGAGGGGAGGGTACCTTACAGTACGCATCTGAGATGGAGTCGAGGTCGAAGCAGCGTTAGCTGGTGTTGGTGGGGAAGGAGCGTCAAAATCGATGGTAAAGCGAAGGAGCTTCGGGAGGATACCACGCTTCTTGAGTGTCTTGTAAAATGTCTCGCTTGGTTTATCGCCGAGTGTAACCGTCAAGGTCTCTAGATCGGGAAGGCGCCGATAAAGCGTCTCGTAGTGCTTGTCATGAATAGGCGCGTTGATGCTGAGAGTCTTGGGTGTCCACATTCCCTCGTCGCCGTGGAAGATGCTCGACACAACCCGGTCGGCGTCAGCACGCTTGAGCACAGAGACCTGGAGACATAGCGTATGGAGTTCGGGTGCGGAAATGGCGAGAATCTCAGAATGAGAGGCTGCGACGTGGAATACCTGGAGGTTTGGGAGGCGAATTGAATGTGCTGGGACAGGCTCCTGACGTGCGCTGTCCGGAAGTGCCGACTGAATCACGAGGAACTTGACGTTGGGAATTTGTAGTTCCTGAAGGCCAGACATTGCGATAGCCCCAACGCGGAGCCACTGGACCTTTGTCAAGGGAACGTTACGCTCGGGATGCACGGGGATGTGTTCACCTAGGAGAGAGTGAGTTACAAGAAGAGAAGGATGAGATAAGAAGTACTTTTGGATTCGGATACTGCGTCGGCGTCCATTTCATCTGGGTCTGGGATACCAAGCGGCCCACGACGAAGAGGAGGATGCAAGGCAGACGAGGGATGTACAAGAAGCTCGCTTGATATAGATAGGAACTCCAGATTCTTGCATCCCTCGAATGCTGTAACGTGAAGGGGCGAATACTCTCCCTTGATCGTGATCCTGCATAACTTCCGCCAAAACTTGTACTCTCTGGCCGCTAGAATGAACTCTTCAGTCACATTCTCGAAGTATACTGATCGGAGCTTGACTGTCGTCCGCTCGAGCTGGTCGAGAAGAGGGCGAAAGACTTTGAGGAGGCCAGGAACGGGGATCGCAGAGTATATCATCAGCGATTCCAAAGCTGGGAAGGTCGCAGAGGCGTTGAAGAGGTCGTGAAAGGAATCCTTAATGACGGGAAGAGGGGTGTTGGGGTTGATGATGAGGCAGAGGAAGGAAATCTGACTCGATCGTGACATGAGCATCTGGAACCTTGCCCTCCTGAGCTCTGGCGTGGGAGAAGACTCGTCAATACGACCAACGACGAAGGTGGCTTCAAGCGGCGAGTTGTGAGCGCGCTGGATGCACGTCTGCAGGAACTTTTCGGTCGCACAGGCCATAGTACTGCCCGTTCTGAGGCTTTGGGGCATCTGGTCCAAGGAAATCAGAATACGTCGCCAGAGTCGCGGCGTATTCTTGATGACCTCGTTCAGGTCGCGACATACCGTCATGAGTAGCGTCAAGGGAAGGTCCATGCGAATATACTCGTTGAGTATCATCGCTAGAAGCTCAATTGGGAGCCTTAATAGAGGGGGCTTCGGGGGTATGACATTGAGGACCGCCATTGAGGAATGTAGACGTTTAGATTAAGCGTTTAACCAGATGAGAAAGTTAAGAGTGGGTTTGGAGGCGATTTGTCACAACTGACGAGCCCAGGAGGAGGTGGGGGGGAGGAGGGAATGAATTATCGTTGCGGGTTGGGTTGGTGAGAATGGCACAAGACAAGGCAAGTCGAGGCCACGGGTTGATGGGAAAACTCGGCGGATTATATAATTTTGGGCATGAATTCTGAGGTTGCCCTTGCGCCGCAAACCCCGCGGCGGCCATTTCAGATGCCATGATTGAAGTTTGAATGCGTGTCATCTCAACTGCGTGTGTGAGTCCTCGTGTACGTCCAACCTGGCAGAGACTGGGCAGTCACCCAGCCCATCTTGGAGTCCCCCGCCATTACCATGTCGTCCAACAGGAGACCTACAACTGGAATAGGGGGTGTAAATGAATCTCCTACAGCTGACGCGTACTCTTCACGGAAACGTGGTTCGGTATATGGCCTCTCCGGCGTCCCTCTCGATGTTCTAGCGAGTCCATCAGAGGCTTCAGATATGCTCTCCCCTCTCAGGGCAGCTAATCGACTCATAGAATCGATTCTCGAGGCTATTCAGGTTGGTAGGACATATCTAATATTGCATTCTGACGCGTAAAGTAGGAAATCAATGATAATGAACCCGAATGGACGGAACTTGCACACCATCTCGAAGGGTATTGGTCCGATATCGAGAACAGGATTGAATCGTTCAAAGACTATTCCTCAGAACAAGGGCCATCGACGACGCTTTCAGGCGGCCCTTCACCGTATATGTCGAGTATGTACTTATTCGCGGCATCTTAATCAGAAAATTAAGCAATACAGATTTCTCAAGGATCTTCACGTTAAAATCGCCAATCTTAGGCATAAACGCAGGGCCCCAGTGGACCTATTTACCAAACGACGCAGAATGAAGATTGACCCAGAACTCGTATTCGAATTCGGTCGAAATATTGACGACCAGCATGGGAAATTCATGGTATGGAGATCACTATTCTCGCTAGCTACCATTAACTGGAGTTATAGGAGGCGATCAGTCTCTATACCCCACACTGCTTTCATCCTTTGAAAGAATGTCTCAATAATACCAAGTCCAAGGCGATGAATAATCTCACACAAGGTGCGTCGTGGCCATGGACCATGAAAGTTTGCTAAAGTTCTGAAGGCGAAGCAAGTGCCATATTGCAGCTACCAATGGCAGCATTTTCGGTTTCTTCGGTCCACAGAACTTGTCTTCAAGGGACGCGTGAAGCTGTGCTTCAGACCATCTGGAGGTGGGCTCGCGATGATAGCGCAGAGAAACCGATATTCTGGCTCTGTGATATAGCCGGTGCGGGCAAGTCCACAGTCGCAATGTCCGCAATAGAAGCATGGCAAAATCAAGGAACCCTAGGGGCACACTACTTCTTCTCGATGACCAGTTGCGAAGGATCCAGTGTGGACAAGTTCTGCTCGACCATCGCAAGACGTCTGGTCGAGCACATACCCGAACTTGCGCCACGAATTGCCCAGGCTGCTAAGCAGAACCCATCGGTCATGCGGTGCCCATTGAGCGAGCAATTTCAAACGCTCGTCACTAGCTCGCTTCATTATTGGTCTCACCCCGTGATCATTGTCATAGACGGCATTGATGAGTGCAAATCTGGTGCACAGCGGAAGAAACTCCTAAACACGCTTGCGATGGCTGCTCGCGAGTGCAGCAGACTCAAGATACTCATCACCAGTCGCCCAGACCCTGTGATTGAGGGGATCTTACAGCCGATCTCGATTAAATCAAAACTAGATATTGGCCCTCACGACTTCAATCATGGTACCGACGATGACACTGCGCTCTATATAAATCGATCTCTAACTGGCGTGCTACCCGAGGACAAGAGACAATTACTGTCTCAAAAGTCTCATGGGCTATTCATTTGGGCGAGTATCGCTTGCCAAATCATCAACGAGAATACAGCGGATTCTTCGAGCATATGCGAGCGCTTGATCGCAATGGACGGGAGTGGCAATATAGAAGACCTATACGACCTTGTTTTCGAGACCACCGATCCAGGCTTCCACTCGACGATGCGTGCTATGCTAGCGCTCCTGCTTGCATTATTCGAACCGCTCACATCCAACGATATGAACGATCTCTTCAAGTATGCCGGAGTCCACGGAAGCATTGACTCACTCGTACGGAAACTTCGAAGCGTAGTTTTCCAGGACCGCGAGACCGGTGTAATCCAATTTCGTCATTCGACCTTCGTCGAATATCTTGGACGTCGCTGCACCGCTCCACCTATCAATCGTCACGACAAGCTATTTATCGATGTTACGAACGCACATGGTCGTATCGCGTCATGGTGCCTCAAAGGCCTCAAGGAGAATCTCAGATTCAACATATGCAATCTCGAGTCGTCATTCTACCTAAATCACCAGGTTCCAGACATCCATGAGAGGGTATCAAATTTCATTACGAGCAAACTCCGATACTCCAGCCTCCATTGGGCATTTCATTTCGCGGAAACCAACAGCGGCTGGCAACGCAGGTTGCATAGCGAGTTGGGAAACATTCTTAGACACCCATTCGCTCTATATTGGATGGAGACCCTTAGCCTGACTATGGGAGTTTCACAAGTAGTCTCCGGTCTAAGAGCTGTTATATGCCACGCCGAGGCAAGTCATCTGTTGTTCGATATGACCACAACTAATAATGAAATAAGCTTAATGATGATATAAAACGCCGCTTGATAGATATTCGACGGTTTCTGACGACGTTTTCGACTCCGATTCAGGACAGCGCTCCACATATCTACATCTCAGCACTTCCTTTCACTCCCACAAAGTCGATGCTCCATGTTGAGGGTAAAAAGGTGTATCGAAATACCCTTACCGTGACTCAGGGTCTTCAAGAAGACTACAGTGGTCCACCCGAAACGCTTCATGGCCACGAGGATTCGGTCAGAGGTATCTCATTCTCAGCAGATGGCTCGATGTTTGTCTCCGGGTCCGCGGATACTACAATTCGACTTTGGGATGCAGACACAGGTCAGCCAGTAGGTGAGCCAATCCGAGGTCACACAGACTCCGTTTTGGCTATTGCCTTCTCGCCAGATGGCTCGAAAATTGCCTCTGGCTCATCCGATCAGACGATTCGAGTGTGGGATGTAGAGTCAGGGCAAATAATAGGAGAACCGCTTCAAGGCCATGAGCACCGAGTCAGTTCGCTAGCTTTCTCACCTGATGGATCACGAATCGTCTCCGGCTCATGGGATTTCACCGTCCGACTATGGGATGCAGACCTGGGGGCGCCAGTCGGGGAGCCACTTCGAGGTCACGAAGAATGGGTGACGTCCGTCGCATTCTCACCGAATGGATTACTCGTTGCATCCAGCTCCTGGGATAAAACAATTCGACTGTGGGAGGCAGAAACTGGCCAACCCGCCGGTGAACCACTACGCGGCCACGAGAGTTGGGTCAATTCTGTCGCATTCTCGCCTGATGGATCCAAACTTGTCACAACTTCATGGGATATGACAATACGACTATGGAACGTGAAGACTGGGATGCAGCTGGGAACCGCATTCGAAGGTCACGAAGACGATGTAAATGTAGCAGTGTTCTCGCCAGACGGGTCAAGGATTATCTCCGGCTCGTTGGACAGCACAATTAGAGTGTGGGATCCGGCCAACAGCAAGCAGGTAGGAAGCGCACTTCAAGGCCATCACGACTCGATCATGACCATCGCATTTTCGCCAGACGGCTCAACATTTGCCTCTGGATCCTCTGATGGCACCATTCGATTGTGGGATGCCAAGGAAATTCAACCGGTAGGAACGCCGTGCCAAGGTCATGGTGATTCAGTCCAGGCCGTCGCATTCTCGCCGAGCGGGGACCTGATAGCATCCTGCTCTTCCGACGAGACGATTAGACTCTGGGACGCAACTACTGGCCGACAGGTGGGCGAGCCACTACGAGGGCACGAAAGGGGGTGTTGATGCAATTGCATTCTCCCCCGATGGCTCTCTCCTCGCTTCGGGCTCAGTTGATGCTGAAATTCGACTGTGGGATGTAAGGGCCCACCAGCAATTGACAACACCACTTCGCGGTCATCACGATTCAGTCAACGCTGTCGCATTCTCTCCAGACGGCTCGCTTATTCTTTCTGGCTCAGCGGACAATACGCTCCGACTTTGGGACGTAAACACTGGTCAGGAATTGGGAGAACCCTTCCTAGGCCACAAGGGAGCAATCCGTGCCGTCGCATTTTCCCCAGATGGCTCGCGAGTTGTCTCTGGCTCCGACGACGAAACATTAAGGCTTTGGAACGTGAACAGTGGTCAACCTCTGGGTCCTCCGATTCGGGGTCATGAGGGCTCCGTCCGAGCTGTCGGATTCTCGCCAGACGGCTCACGGATCGTCTCTGGCTCTTTCGATCGAACGATTCGATTGTGGAATGTGGAAACTGGACAGCCGTTAGGAAAATCGCTCGAAGGACATGAAGATTTGGTTCATTCCCTGGCATTCTCACCCGACGGGCTGAGAATCGTCTCTGCCTCTGAAGACAAGACTCTTCGATTTTGGGATGTGCGTAATTTTCAACAGGTGGGAGAACCCCTTCTAGGTCACCAGAATGCAGTCAATTCCGTGGCATTTTCCCCAGATGGTATACTTGTCGTCTCCGGCTCATCCGACAAGACCATTCGACTGTGGAACGTCAACACTGGTCGGCAGTCACAAGAGATGCTCCTTGATCATGATCAGCCCATTGAAGCTAAAAAAATATCCCCAGAAACTCTAGGAAGGCTCCCTGACTCGAATGATGAATTGGAACTCGGTGAGTAATGACTGTTTATCACTACCTCTGTTCTTTCCCCGTCCTGACCATAGATACAATCACCTCAGGTCATTCGCAGAGTGAAGGGAACGAATTCGCCGACTCAAATACCGACCTTCGACCCGCGAACAGCACGTCGCCATGTATTTCATTACGCACCATTGCACCTGGATTTGGAGAGGGGATTCTTATGCCAGATGGTTGGGTGAAGTCATCCGGTAAATATCTCTTCTGGGTACCACCTGAGAACCGGCATGGGCTACAGCACTCACCCCGACTGACAATACCAATAAATGGCCCCCTCCGAGCGACCCGCCTGGACTTTACCAGGTTTCGTTGTGGCTCATCTTGGACCAACGTTCGACAGATTACCGATCACTGAAAATCCGCTTTGTTGCTCGTATTATTTAATGCAGAATGATATTGAAAAATGAGATCCTGTGGGAGAAGGCTCAGTTCCCAGTCTGTAGCCAGACGATCGCTGTCCATACATAACTCCTGGCTGCGGCGATGCGTCGTCCGTATCGTTAAGGTACGTGTGGTTTCGTGTCGTCGTGTTTCCTTGCTTGCTTGTGGTTATGTTTTGATCTTATAATAGTATCTATTTCTCATCAGGGCTCCATGTAAGGCGGTCCTCAGGCGAGGCAGGTGTGGGTGTGGAGTGGCCTTGGGTGGAATGGCGGTATAATACTATCTCCCTAATGCGTCGTAGCTTTCCCTATCCACCCAGTTGAGAACAACCGATAATTTTCGACTGCTATACTCTGATCTTGTCTCTTGGCTGGTCGTGCATTGCATCTTGGTTCTTCCCCTTGCGATTTCTCATTGTGTTTGGGTGGGTGGGTAACGCGAGATTAGTGACTCGTTTCGCTCTTTCGCGCGTATCTCTAAGCCGCTGCTATACGCTTGCAGTGGTGAAGAGAGACTTCAGGCTCTTCGCCACTCGTCTTGGGGCGGCAGGATATCGCTAACAGTTGCGTATCTATTAGCTTATATGTACATCTGGCGGAACTACCCGTCCTCCTTTCTCGCGCAGCCCATTGAGACCTTCGGTCACGTCTTAAGCAGAGGTTGAGAACGGTGAGACAAGATAAGCGTAGTGCTTACAATTGGAGTAATTCAGTGTCTGTTTGGGCTTCTTGAGACGTGATTTATTTGATGACGCGAATCTCATAAATGTGGCTATACTTCCCATCTTTTCGGGCGCTCAGAAGGTAGATGTATAGCCCATACAACTCAAAGGTTATCCAGAAGTGTAATGGGCTACTCATTAGAGCAGGAAGGAAAGAATAAACTCGAATTCATGGAGGAATCTTGTTGAAGAGGCATGAAATACGGTGAACGCAGAACAGGGGTTAAGTAGCCATATGTCCTGATAATTGAGGAAAAGATGATGCAAAGGGAAAGTGGATTATGTAAATTGTGAAATAAAATGCAAGAGACGCAACATCGATGAGATGGAAGAGTTCAACCAAATTATTAATACCAGGGCGCAAGAGAATTGAATCAAGTCGTATAGCCTCTCTACGACTCGAACCAATACCCAAGAGGTCGAAATCTTCGAGCTAACTCCGTCTCAACGAGCATAATCTCGTGTGCCAGAGGGCAACCTGGCGCGGCGGGTTGTAGAGGTGACTGTCCTGCGCTTACTAATCCGGTTCCAATATCCATATCTGTACCAGGCGCGACAAGTACACGCAGGCCCGACGCTCTTCCCAACCTGCATACGGCGGATATACCACGGGGATATTGAGACGATGGAGGGAAACAAAGCTTGATTTCCAGGTGAAAAAGCTTCTTGAGCAGCCTGCAGTTCCAAAACGTCCTGTAGAACACCTCGCTTGGTCGGCTGTAGAGTGCCACCCTCAACGTTTCGATATCTTCGATAACCGTAAAAACGTGCTCGTAAACGTCGTAACTGGCTGCCAAGTTCAGGCTTATTACTTTGGGTTTCCACATATCCTTTTCGCCGTGAAAGATTTGCATCACAACGGCGTCCGCGTTGGTACTGCGGTGAACTTGAAGACACAGCGTATGGAGGACAGGTGCCGAGATGGCAATGATCTGGGAATGCAACGACGCGATTCGAAGGACTTTGAGCCGTGGAAGGTTCATGGAATGTCGGTTCGGTATGGCTTCCGTATTGCCGTCGATAGTGCAGCCGATGGTGAGTTCTTTAAGACCTTCAAAGCTGAAGACTTGCAGAGACTTCATAGTAACCGCGCCGATGCAGAGCGATTGGAGCCGTGATTCATGAGCTGCTGAGCATTCCGCTTGAATAAATCATCACAAGGAGTAGAGAATGAGGGAAGACGTACCGACGTTTGCGATCGCATTATGTCTATTCCCATGAATCGGAGCGATTGGCCCCTTTGGGAGCAAGTGAACCTCCCCCGACACGAAAAGCTCTTTGAGGTCCTTACACCCATTAAAAATGGTGGCGCAAAGTCGAAGATGCTCGCCCTGAAGTATGATCCTATGTAATTTACGCCAAAACGTGGATATACTCGCGTTGTGGATTAATCTTTCCCCAACATTGTCGAATTCCACAGATCGAAGTTTATGTGAAGTCTGCTCCAGCCGCGCAAGGAGCGCCCTGAAGTCTTCAAGGAGGCCCAGAAAAGGATATGCCGATGCGATAATCAGCGAATCCAGAGCTGGAAAGACCGTGGAGTCGTTGAAGAGGCCTCGGAAGGATTCCTTAATGACGTGAATGGGCGTGCCGGGTTTGATGATGATACAGAGGAGGGTGATCTGGCTCGAATGGGACATGAGCATCCCGAACCTTGCTCTCCTAACCTCTGGCGTCGGAGAGGACTCGTCGATAGGGCCAACGACGAAGGTTGCCTCAAGTGGCGAGTTGCGCGCACGCTCGATACAAGTCTTCAAAATATTTTCCGTACCACAGGCCACATTACCTCCTTGTTTAACACTTGGGGGGATGTGGTCGACGGAAACAAGGACCCGGCGCCAGAAGCGTGGGGTGTTCATGATCACCGCGTTTACCCACTTGGACGTCAGCTTGAGCTGCATCAGCGAGTGGTTGCTTTGGTGGCACTCGTCAAGGATCATGAGAAGGATCTCAAGTGACAAGGGCCGGGGCATTGGCGCGATGCCGTGAGAAGGGGTGAGACTCGTGGATAGAGTGTGGCCATCCGTATCTAATCTCGATCAACAGCTGCTCGGGATGTGCCGTGGTCACACGCACCATTAATAAGCAGAGCCCGCCGGAGACTGTCTTCGCCTCTTCCCAAGAAAAAGTGCTCCTCCGCGCTGGATTTCGACGTATCCGAGTCATGATTTCGGTGCTTCTGCTGGGTATGCGTTCCCGTAATGCCACCGCGGACTGCAGTATTGGACACGGACTCTTGGTTCCGAGAAATGCCCAACGTCTCAACTCGTAGTCTCGAGCAGCGCGCCCTGTTCGCACTACCGTCTAATTTTGGAGTGCTCTGTTTCCCTTTGGACATTGCAGATACTATCGAGATCACTTGCTCAATTTGAAGGATGTTGGCGGGAGGAAGGTGGGAGAAGCTGGCTCCAAGGTGCTTCCTTGTTCACCGTGAGGGGGGGAGAGCTGGGGCTGCTAGTTGAGAAGTGGGTTCAATTAGACCACTCTTATAGGATCAGGTGATCGACGTCTGACGATGGCTTCCTCTCTGTCTCCTCGGCTTGTTCAGTCTGGTTAGCTCCTTTATCCGCCGGGACATTCTCCTTTCAAACACAGTCAGTGTGGACACAGTCTCAATTCACTCGGCGTTATGAAACGCCAGAACGCGCAAAGGGCAGCCGAGCAGCGAAGTGTTTTATCATATATTGTCGCAGATATCAGGCATACATATAGTATACATACACATTCGATCTTGAATCTTTGTCTCACTGAAAGTGCAAATGAGACGGTTTTAGGATTGGATTTGCATGGCCTGCGAGGGCTGAGCTGCATTGGAACGGCGCCGCTCTTTTTACGGGGAGAATGTCTAAGCTTAAGTGTCAGCATGTTTCCTCCGCCGAGAGTTCCTCAGGCCGCAGCCGGCTTGAGGCGACCCTCGGCAATGAGCTCACCAATCCCCAGATACTGTGTCCTTTTATCATCCGGGTAGGTTTATTCCGCCGCTTTCAGATGGTTGCTTTCAACAGATTGCGGTTCTTCTCCAACGTTCGTCTTGACGCTCGGATGGGCTTCGTTCAAATGCGTGCCCGCGGGCTCGACTCTGCCGTTCAAGTATGCGCTTTTACGACATGCATTGCAGATATTATTCTCGGCGTAGATCTCCTCCAACTGTTCAGCGCCATACTTGCAGGCAAGGAGCGCGAATTCGAGATGTTGATTCGCTCTCACGCGAGCGACGTCGCGCATCGCCGGACGAACTTGTTCAGACAAAAGAGGCGGAGTCGGCTTGCTACCCAACAAGGTTGACACCGTACCTCCCCCGCCTCGCCAAAATTTGTATGATCCAGATAACGCGAGCTCGCCTTCAGTAAGGGGACCATACCTCACGGTACGCATCTGAGGAGTCGAGGTCGACGCTCCGTTTGCTGGCGTCGGTGTCGGAAGAGCGTAGAAATCGAGCGTCAAGCGAAGGAGATGAGGCAGTATACCGCGCTTCTTGAGTGTCTTGTAAAACGTCTCGCTTGGTTTATCGCCGAGTGTAACCGTCAAGGTCTCTAGATCGGGAAGGCGCCGATAAAGCGTCTCGTAATGCTTGTCGTGAATAGGTGCGTTGATGCTGAGAGTCTTGGGTGTCCACATTCCCTCGTCGCCGTGGAAGATGCTCGACACAACCCGGTCGGCGTCAGCACGCTTGAGCACAGAGACCTGGAGACATAGCGTATGGAGTTCGGGTGCGGAAATGGCGATGATCTCGGAATGAGAGGCTGCGACGTGGAATACCTGGAGGTTTGGGAGGCGAATGGAATGTGCTGGAACCGGTGTCTGACGTGCGCTGTCCGGAAGTGCCGACTGAATCACGAGGAACTTGACGTTGGGAATTTGTAGTTCCTGGAGGCCAGACATTGCGATAGCCCCAACGCGAAGCCACTGGACCTTTGTCAAGGGAACCTTGCGCTCAGGATGTACAGGCAGGTATTGACCTGATAGAGGATTAGCAAAACGGAGAAATAGGTCAGACAGAAAAAAACATACTTTCGCATCCCGATGCCGCCTCAACTTCCATTTCATTGGAGTCGGAGATCCCCAGTGGCCCCCCACGAAGAGGCGGGTTCAAGGCACACGAGGGGTGCACAAGAAGCTCGCTTGATATAGATAAGAACTCCAGATCGTCGCATCCCTCGAATGTCGTAATATGAATAGGCGAATACTCGCCCTTGATCGTAACTCTGCGCAATTTGCGCCAAAACCTGTACTCTCTGGCAGCTAGGATGAATTCGCGGGTCACATTCTCGAAGTAGACGGATCGGAGCTTGACCGTAGTCCGCTCGAGCTGGTCGAGGAGAGGATGGAAGACTTCGAGGAGGCCAGGAACGGGAAAAGCAGAGGCAATCATCAAAGACTCCAAAGCTGGGAACGCCGTGGGATCATCGAAAAGGCCGTGGAATGATTCTTTAATGACCTGGAGGGGAGTGTCAGGGTTTATGATGAGGCAAAGGAACGAGATCTGGCTCGAGCGTGACATGAGCATGCGGAATCTCTCCCTCCTAAACTCGGGCGTTGGGGAAGACTCGTCAATGCGCCCCACGACAAAGGTGGCTTCGAGCGGCGAATTGCGAGCGCGCTGGATGCACGTCTGCAGGAACTTTTCTGTCGCACAGGCCATGGTACTACCCGCTTTGAGACTCGGAGGCATCGAATCCAAGGAAATCAAGATACGGCGCCAAAGTCGGGGCGTCGTTTTGATAACCTCGTTCATGGTGCGGCATACGGTCATGAGTAGCGTCAAAGGGAGATCCATAAGATGATATTCGTCCAGTATTATTGCTAGAATTTCGACCGGAAGCGCCAACAGAGTGAGAATGACGCGCCGGGTCATCGAACGACGATAAGCGATGGCAACATTCGCTTTATCCGTAATTAAAGAGCCCGTAATAGGTTCGGTCTTGAAGTACATTGCAATTTCACTGGGCATCCCGAGGTGAGCTGAGTTTCTTCGCGCGACAAGTGTACGGGTAGAGTGAAAAGAGATGACGAACGAGCAGCGAGATCTTGCGATATATAGGTGTTTGAAGCCAATAGACTGCGACTAATCTGCCAGCTTGGCTGGTTAAACGGTGCGGTTCAAAACCCGCAATGTCAGCTCCACGGCCAACATCAGGCAGGCCCAAAAAAAAAATAGATAGATAATTGCATGAATGAATAAATCTACATCTGTGGAGTAGACGAAGTCTCCTATCCATCGAGGAAAAGAGTCGCACACCGGGCTTGTTGCACTTCCGCTGCAGAGACGCTCGCTCGTCCCTCAGAGACTGGGGAGCGCACTCAGCGTCTTCGCGTCATGACACTCTGCGTTGGTATGGTTGGCATTCGCTACGACCTAGCGCTTAGAGCCAGAAGCGGTAGGGTCTAGGAGCTGGCCGGGTTGTTAGTCTCGAGTGCCACCTTAGGACAGCCTCTAGATCCGCGAATTGCTTTCAGTCTGATTCAGTCAACGTTATTTGTGTCAGCGATGTCCTGGTTAACACTGTTGATGCAAATCCAACTCGGCATTCAAGGCACTTTTGGAATTTGCAGCACAATCAGTCTGGAGAGTTTCGAAAGGGCCCCGTCACATAGCTCGTTTCTCCACTCGTGAAGCTGGACACAGGATGGTGCCCTTGGATTCTAATATCGATGCTTACTCGACAGATAACTACTGCAGTCTTGGATGTACTTGAAAAGTCGACAAGAGGGTTCAGTCAGCTTCCTAGTTGACATGGCCATCGTTGATCTATCACGCGGGAGTGACAATAGACCAGCAGCCTAGCCTGGATTGATTCCTTGGACGATATCATCAGTTTCCACCTGATTACCGAAAATTTCAAGGCTCATTACCGGAAGCTGAGGCTGACGGTTTGGAGCCTCGGATATACTTCTCAGCCAGCCTGCGCGTCCGTTCCAAATAAGGCAAACGCGTAGACCAACCTCATCTTTCGGCAATGGGTTTCGAAGTTGGCGCAATTGTCGGGATCTGAGCGGTCTAGAGAACTAAGTGTTCGACAAAGACCTCGCGTGCGAGCAGTGATTGTTATATTGTCTGGACGCATAATACACGTCTCCAGAGGATATGGATGAGTGGCAGAGAACCGACGACGCGACATTTCTTCGCCTTCTGATCAAGAATTCGCTGCATCTATGATACGGAGATCATGTATAGAAGGTACTCGTCACGTTTTAACCTGGTCCAACTCAGACGACTGCCTGAGAAACTTTAGAATCCAGCATATTCACATATGGAGGTATTATATCAGGAAAGACAGCGTCAGACGTAAGGCCATGGCCATCAGGACCGAAGAGATCATGCCTTGGTGTTACGGAACGCGGTGAAGTGTATGCAGAAAGAGTAATAGTTAACATAGTGACTCACATGGGCCACATTGAGAAGCTGACGCGCCACCATAGACTGGTCCGCTCGACAGTAGCGGACCATACGGTGTGTTACGGAACGCGGTGAAATCTATGCAGAAAGAGTAAGAATTGACACAGTGACTCACATGGGCCACGTCGAGAAGCTGACGCGCCACCATAGACGGGTCCGCTCGACGGTAGCGGACCATCCGGTGTCGCATATGGCCGACGACCTCTCGCTACGGTACGGAACCGAAGTAAATAGAATGTTAATTATGGGTAGGGTTAGGGTCGACGAGGATTCGACGTCGAAACCTCGTCATCCGTCCGCTACTCCGCACCAGCCAATCGTCTCTCATCCCCTATGCCCTCTGCTCGCTGACTCTTATATCCGTTTGGTATCCGTAGATATTGCCAATGACTCGATAGGGGTCTCGAAACAGTATATAAGGACCGATTTCCGCGTGTACATTTCGCTAGTTCTGAATCTGCTCTCATTCCGTTCTAACACCCTCGCAAACTCCCGCTTAGTAATATATTAACTACGTAAGTTGTACTTTCCCACTCGGGCCTCCCACTTGTCAGACGAACCGCCGCGCGATTCGTAACACGGTGTCGCATATGGCCGACGACCTCTCGCTACCGTACGGAACCAAAATAAATAAAATTTGAATTCTGGACAGGGTTAGGTTTGACGAGGATTGGACGTCGACACCTCGTCATCCGTCCGCTACTCCGCACCAGCCAATCGCCTTCGGTCCCCTATGCCCTCTGCTCACTGACTCCAATATCCGCTTAGTATACGCATATATACCAATGACTCGATATGGGCCTCGAAACAGTATATAAGAACCGATTCTCGCGTGCATTTCGCTAGTTCTGAATCTGCTTCCGTTCCGCTCTAACGCCCACGCAAGCTCTCGCTTAGTAGTATATTAACTACGTGAGTTGTACATTCCCACTCGGACCTTCCACCTGTCAGACGAACTGCCTCGCAATTCGTAACACTTGGTCGATGCAGGGGATGAATGTCCTTGCCAGTTTTTATCGTGCCTAGACAAGGGAACACAAGGCTCAGTCGGTGCGGAGGTCAACCGAATCAATAAAAGTACCTAGACAAGGGAACACAAGGCTGTCTAGGTGTAAGATAACAGAATAGACAAATATCCTCCACTTTACCTCAGTCGGTGCGAAGGTCAACCGGATGAGGCAAATACGAACAAACACCGCCACCCTCTTCTCCGGGTTGACGAATGCATTCCTCCATGATCGCTGCATCATAGTTAAGCATTGCTTCAGTGATTCCTCTCAGTAGTTTCGGGGCTATGAGTTCACTAGAATTGCTGCATGAATTTAGTACACTTCTTGGACGCATAGATGGCGTGCACTCAAATTCTGCTCCAGCAGAATTGCCTAGTATGTCCTAAACTCTCTTTGACACGATCTATAGATGCACAGCAGGGAATACTTTGGGCAAATGTATATTCAGTCGTACGTACATGTAGGGCCAAGGAGTTTGTAGAGTCAATCTGTGCTCAAGGTCCGGAGAGTTGAAATGGTTACCTTGTCCAGTACATCCATGACGAGCACACCGAGTCACGCACACGTCTCATCACACTCAATACAGAGATAGAGAGATTGATGGCAATTGAGGCCTGACCAATGTATTAAAATCGACGTGACATATGTGCCATACGTACTTGGCTTGGTGATCACATTTCCCACTGACCCAAACCTGTCTTCCGATGCTCGCATCCACACCGTTGATCTTGACCGTAATCTCTTCCCGGAAGCGCCTTACTGGGTTTGCTCGGGTTGTTCGCATCCATGATCTTCCGACAATTTTTGCAGATATTTTTCTCCACGTAAATGACCTCCAAATATTCGCCACGGTACAAGCAACGCAGAGATGCAAACGGGAGTCCCTGGTTTGCCCTCACCAGCGCAGTCGTATGGAGGAGGGGCCCAACTTGTTCGGACATAGAAGGAAATTTCCGCCTTCTCCCACCTCTCCCGTCTTCTTCGCTCTCGAGTGGGTTGGTCCCAATAGTCATCCAGTTTGACATGGTATCCGTAGCCTGGGCAGGCTCAGGTGATGTCGTGTCTGAAGCGAGAGGATAGCGTATTATACGCGTCTGGGGTCCATTTGACATCCAAGGGAAGTCATCTACATACCAGCCTGGTCGTGTAGTGAACAGCGGAGTATCGAAGTCGATCGTGAGATGACGAAGATTCGGCAACATCCCACGCTTTTCGAGCGCCTTGTAGAACGTATTGTGCGGTTTTTCCCCAAGAATGATTGTAAGCGTTTCGATCTGCGGGAGTTTTCTGTAAAGCGGCGCATACTGCTTGTCGTGGATGTAACCATCGATGCTCAGGGTCTTGGGCACCCACATTCCCTCTTTTCCATGAAAGATGCGCGACACAACCCGGTCCGCTTCGGCACGCTTGAGGTCAGAAATCTCAAGATGTAGCGTGTGCATATGAGGCGCAGAGATGGCGATGATATCGGAATGAGAGGCTCCGACGTGGAAGACTTCAAGATTCGGGAGGGGAATGGAATGTGCTGGGACAGGCGCCTGATGTGCGCTGTCCGGAAGAGCCGACCGAATCACGAGGAACTTGACGTTGGAAATCTGGAGCTCCTGCAGACCAGACATCGCGATAGCCCCGACGCGAAGCCACTGTACCTGTGTCAAGGGAACCTTGCGCTTGGGATGCACGGGCAGGTATTCACCTGCGGGTGAGTTAACACGAAGGAGAAGAAAATAACAATAGCAGTTTACTCTTGCATTCGTCCGTCGGATCAAAGTCCGTTTCATTCGAATCCCGGATTCCAAGCGGTCCATGACGAAGTGGTGGAGCTAATGCAGACGAGGAATGAACGAGAAGCTCGCTTGATATAGATAAGAACTCCAGATCGTCGCATCCCTCGAATGCCGTGACGTGAATAGGCGAATACTCGCCCTTGATCGTAACCCTGCGCAGCTTACGCCAGAACTTGTACTCTCTGGCGGTTAAGATGAATTTTGGGTCACATTCTCGAAGTAGACGGATCGGAGCTTGACCGTCGTCCGCTCGAGCTGGTCGAGAAGAGGATGAAAGACATCGAGGAGGCCGGGAACGGGGAAAGCCGAAGCGATCATCAATGATTCCAAAGCTGGAAACGACGTGGAATCATCGAAAAGGCCGTGGAAGGATTCTTTAATGACCTGGAGGGGAGTGTCGGGGTTTATGATGATGCGGAGGAGGGAGATGTGCTGAGAGTGGGACATGAGTATCTGGAAGGTATCAACCATGAACTCGAGCGTCGGAGAGGACTCTTCAACGCTCTCCACGACGAAGGTGGCCTCTAGTGGCGAGGTGCGTGCGCGCTTGACGCAAGTTTCAAAGCGACTCTGAGTGGTGCAGACGATTGTACTTCCTGTCTGGAGATCAGAAGGCGTCGTCGTGTCACAGGAAAGCAGAATGCGCCGCCAGAGTCGTGGCGTATTCTTGACGTGCTTGTTCATTGCACGACACACAAGCATTAATATCGATAATGGAAGATCCATCATGTGATATTCTTCCAAGATCATCGCCAGGATCTCGACCGGCAGGGATAGCAGGTGGAGCATGCGAGTTGCGCCCTGCGCAGTAGATTGTGCGGTTTTTGCGATGTGGACGGGTTTCTGGGTTTCTGGCTCTGTCAAGTAGTTCGCAAGCAGTCAGTCGTCGTGCTGAAGTGCGAACCGAGGAGAGTGACGGGGAGGGTACCACGACGGATTGCTCACGCGATGTTTTTTGTATGCCTGATACCCCCGTGCTAGTTGAGTGGACTTGTAATTCACTACCACTTTTAGCGGCTTCGGCGTTTTGTGCGCCGTCGACCTTGGGCTTCGTTGAGCGCATTTTTCGTTTCGAGCCACGGGTATCGTCTCGTGTAGGGGTGAGTTTCGCTCTCATGGGCTGCTCATGAGCTATGATGGACGATTCGGTATTATGAGCCATGGCTGGTAGCTTGTAAATCAGAATCGAGGTAAGTTCCAAGAGCTGGCGGAGCAGTGAGAGGCTGACTTAAGAACAGTCGCAAATATTGGAATAGATGCCAAACTGTCCAAACCCCTGACAGACCAGCGGAGGTTGGTAATTATGGGGTCTGCGGGTTCGGTTGGAGAGACTGACAGCGAAGAGACGAGACAGGGCATAGGGCAGAGGTCGGACATATGGTGAAGGTCTTCTTTCGGGCGCTCGGAACGCGAAATACTGCCGTTATACGCTATTAAGAGCGCCGTGGCGCCGGGAACTGACAGTTGGGGACAGTCAGGGTGTTCTATTGTTGATATTTGAATGCACAGCTGTTTAATATATCCGAATGCGATTGCTCCTCCTGTCCTTAGGTATGTAAAAGAAATTCTGGCAGTGTCTCTCCCCAACTTTGGACCTCGCCTCCACCACAATGTCGTCGAGGAAAACTCGCAAAGCTCAGGACCTGATCATACATGATTCCTCTCCTACTAGAAGACGTTCATCACGGAAGCGCAATCAAGCACAAGATGTATCCAGCATCACCGGTGATGTTGTAAGGATAGAAAGGGCCTCAAATATACTCTTCCATCTCGAGGCAGCATCTAGAACTATCAAATCTATACTCGACGTGTTCCAGGCGAGTTGAACAAACTAAGCTCCAGTCCCCTAATCTATATGAACCAGGTTACCGAAGACAATCAAGAACAGTGGAAGGATTTCATGCGGCACCTGGAAGATTATATCTCTACGATTGAGAACCTAATCGAATGGTTTGAAAGGGATTCTCCAGAGGCGATGAGCGTGACCGACGCATTTAGCCAACCACTGGTTCATTATGTCAAGTGCGTACACCTAGATAAATCGATTCTATATCCTGACCAACCCAGACATCTCGAAGAGCTTCGTTGTGTCATCATGAACCAACAGCATAAAAGAAGTCGCAATGGCCCGGCTACGCGAAGTCGTAAAGCAAATTTCGATCAGTCCGGGATACGTAGACTCTGGAGAGACATTGAGGGCGAGTATCAGCGGTTCACGGTACTGGTATCGCTATTTTTATACGAAATCTGAATATGGGAGCAGGAAGCAGCTTACACAGGGTATAAAGTTCATAAATTTGAACGGAGTGTCAAGTCTCCCAAACCTATGTCCGAAATCTCTCAGACCTCAGGTAACCTCGATCCAAGGTACGGGAAACTCGCTGAACCCTTCTAGTTAACGCAAGTTCCATATGTCAGCTGCCAGTGGTATCGTCTTTTATACCTTCCATCCATAGAACCTGTCTTGAGGGAACGCGGCAAGATATCCTTCGGAGGATCCAGCACTGGGGCAGTAACGATAGCTCGGATAAACCGATATTCTGGCTCTGTGATATTCCTGGGTCAGGCAAGTCTACAGTCGCAATGTCCGCAATCAAAGCGTGGCAGGAACAAGGAACTTTGGGAGCCCATTTCTTTTTCTCTATGACCAGCAGCGAAAGGTCTGACACAGAGAAGTTTTGCTCTACCATAGCGAGTCATCTAGTCTACTATATCCCCGAACTTGTGCCATCCATTACCGAAGCCGTGGAGCAGAACCCCTATGTCATGCAACGTCCGTTGACGGAGCAGTTTCAGACGCTCGTCACCAGACCGCTTCGCCATTGGTCGAAGCCTATAGTCATTGTGATAGACGGTGTTGACGAGTGCAAGTCTGGAGCCCAGCGAAATAAACTGCTCGAGACGCTTGCGATGGCCGCTGGCGAATCCAGGCTCCTCAAGATATTTATTACCAGTCGCCCAGACCCCCTAATCGAACAGGTTCTGCAGCCATTCTCGATCAAGGTGAAGTTGGAAGAGCAACTTCACGATTCCGATAGTCGTGCCAAGGTCGATGACATTGCACTCTATGTACGTCACTCCCTGCATGAAGTGTTACCAGAGGACAAGAGACAATGTCTCGTTGAAAAGGCGGGAGGGTCGTTTGTTTGGGCGAACACGGCTTGTATGCTCATTGAAGAAACCAAGTTGGAGCCGGCGAGTATATACGATCTTCTGATCTCAGTAGACAAACGCGGCGATACAGAAGATATATACGACATTGTTCTCGAAAGAACAGACCGAAATTTTCACTCGACCATGTGCAGCATGCTCGCTGTCCTCCTCGCCGCTTTCGAGCCGCTGACTACCAGAGATTTGAACGACCTCTTCAAGCACACTGGAGTCCAGCAGACTGCCGACATACTAGTACGGAGCCTTCAAAGTGTACTCTCCCTTAACCGGATAACAAACGTGATTCAATTTCGTCATCCGACCTTTGTGGAGTACCTTGAGCATCGTTTCACTGTTCCACCCATCAACAACCAGCTCAAATTCTTTATCGACATTGCCAATGCACATGGCCAGCTCTCATCTTGGAGTCTCAAGCACCTCAAGTCGCCAACGGAAGGCCTCAGGTTTAATATATGTAATATTAAGTCGTCATTCTACCTGAACAGACAGATCCCAGACCTCGAGGCCAGAATATCCAAATTCATTCCGAGAGCCCTTCGATATGCCAGCTCTCATTTGCTGTTTCATTATAAGGAAACGGACAGTAATTGGCGGCGCGAATTGAACAGTGAACTGGCTGACATCCTCAAACATCCATACGTTCTATACTGGATGGAGATCCTCAGCTTTACTGCGGGAGTCTCAAGAGCAATCTCCGGTCTTAGAGCCGTTTTACGTCACGGCGAGGTAAGCGTCCCTTCGTTTTTACATCATTATTGCTAAGTAATGGCGAAGACTAGTCTGGATGTAAGAAACCGCATGATGGATATCCGACGATTCATGACAACGTTTTCGGTGCCGATTCAGGACAGCGCTCCACATATCTATATTTCGGCGCTCCCGTTTACTCCCACCAGCTCAATACTCCACAAGGAAGGCCTAAATCTGTATCCAAATACCCTCACAATAACTCGCGGTCTCGACGCGGAGTACGCCGGATTACCGGAGGTACTTCACGGCCACGAAGATTCAGTCAGCGGCATCGCTTTCTCACCAGACGGTTCAAAGCTTGCATCTAGCTCTTACGATGCGACAATTCGGCTCTGGGATACAGACACTGGCCGACCCTTACAAGAGCCAATCCGAGGTCATGAAGACTCGATCTACACGCTTGCATTTTCTCCAGATGGATCGCGGATTGTCTCTGGCTCATCTGACAGGACGATCCGACTATGGGATGCGGAGACCGGAAAGCCATTGGGGGTGCCACTCCGAGGCCATAAACACTGGATCAGTTCAGTCGCATTTTCACCAGACGGGTCACAACTCGTATCTGGCTCGTGGGACACTACTATTCGCGTTTGGGACGCAGGCACAGGTGCGCCACTTGGAGAGCCGCTGCAAGGCCACGAAGAAAGGGTGACTTGTGTCGTATTCTCTCCAAATGGGATGTATATGGCCTCCAGCTCCTGGGATACGACGGTTCGAATATGGGATGCAAAAACTGGCCACCTTCTTGGCCAGCCACTGCGCGGCCATGAAGGCTGGATCAACTCTGTCGCATATTCACCAGACGGATCCAGACTCGTCACGGCATCATGGGATATGACTATGCGTATATGGGATGCAGAAACTGGCCAGCAGCTGGGAGAGCCTCTCCGAGGTCATAAAGACGATGTAAACGTTGCAGTATTCTCGTCAGATGGCTCGTGCATTATATCCGGCTCTTTGGACACCACAATTCGAGTGTGGGATGGAAATAATGGTAAGCAAATAGGACGTGCACACCGGGGTCATCAAGACTCAGTCGGAGCCCTTGCGTTCTCTCCGGACTGTTCGAGATTTGCCTCTGGATCATCGGACAACAGCATTCGATTCTGGGACGCCAAATCTGCTCGACCTTCGGGAAAGCCAATGCAAGGCCATTCCAATTCTGTACTCGCCGTCGCATTCTCGCCAGACGGATCTCGGATTGTTTCCGGTTCCTCTGACGAGACGATCAGACTCTGGCATAAAGACTCTGGCCAGGCGTTAGGTATCCCACTCCACGGTCATGAAAGCGATGTCTGCGTTGTCGCGTTCTCACCAGATGGCTCCATAATTGTCTCCAGTTCGGACGACAAGACTGTTCGATCGTGGGATGCGACTACTGGACAACCTTTGGGAGAGCCACTAAGGGGTCACGGAGACTACGTGAGGACATTTGCCTTCTCTCCCGATGGTTCCAGAATCGTCTCCGGCTCATGGGACAAGACGATTCGCCTGTGGGACCTAAACACTGGCCAGCCGTTGGGCGAACCATTCATAGGCCATGAAGATTCGGTTTGTGCCGTAGCGTTCTCTCCAGATGGCTCAAAAATTGTCTCTGGCTCGGAGGACAAGACGCTTCGACTGTGGGCGGCGCATACTGGTCAGGGTCTTGGCCCCCCAATTCGAGGTCACGAAGGCGCAGTAATGGCCGTTTCATTCTCTCCTGATGGCTCACGCATCGTATCCGGTTCTTTCGATAGGACAATTCGATGGTGGGATGCAGCCACTGGACAACCATTGGGAGAGCCACTCCTTGCTCATGAGGACAAGATCCACGCTATCGCCTTCTCATCAGATGGCTTGAGAATTGCTTCTGGCTCAGAAGACAAGACGATTAGACTTTGGAATGCGTGTGATGGTCGATTGATGGGAAGGCCACTCCAAGGCCATCTGCATGGAGTCAATTCTGTGGCCTTCTCACCCGACGGCAAGTATATAGTATCTGGATCGTCAGACAGAACGGTTCGACTATGGGATGCTGAAAGGTGGCTGGAGCTGCTTTTCTCGTCGTCATTCTCGCTTGGTCAACGTTTCCGTTTAATCCTCGATTGTTTTCTTGTCCGTCACGACACGTCCTAGGTTTACTCTTAAGTGGGGGGCCTTCCAGGCGAGGCAGGCGTGGGCGGGAGTGGCTCTGGGTGGGATGGTGGGCCAACATCTCACGCTCACGCTCACGCCTGCAGAGCATCACCTAGGGCGCGGTGGGTGGGTCGACGAATTTTCAGCCTTTTGGGGGCCACGCTACGCCCGTGCTGTCGGCAGCGGGCTTGCGTTGATGTTGGTTGGCGGAGCCTTTCGTTTGCGGCTCTTGCCACCTCCACCCGCACCTCCATTTTTCGATTTCATATTTCGTCGTTTGTCAATTAATTCTTTCCAATATATTCTCTATCTATACTGTTTTCCTTCTAAGTTCTATTCCTGGAGCTCCCATTCCTCGCTCGCTCTCGCAGCATGGCGAGACCTTCTGGTCTCCAACCAGCTGCTTTTCTCGTCGTCATTCTCGCTTGGTCAACGTTTCCGTTTAATCCTCGATTGTTTTCTTGTCCGTCACGACACGTCCTAGGTTTACTCTTAAGTGGGGGGCCTTCCAGGCGAGGCAGGCTCCCAGTTTTGCGTTTTTCGCATCTTCCTGCCTTCGCCTGGGCCTTTCCGCTGTTAAGCGCCCCCAATTTTGCCCGGTGAAGGTATCTATTCATAGCCGTTTATCCTTCCATTGTACATTTGCCGCGTGGTATTCGATTATTCCGCCTGTGTTCCTCCAGTATAACTTGAAGCTCTCTGAAGACCAACGTCCCATCTTCTTCACAATCTCCACATCCACGCCACTCAGCAGGAATGCCGTCGTTCCACCAATTCGGAAACAGTGCCCGGTAAAACTTCCTGAACCCGCTGGGCTCCACACCTCGTTGCACATCTTCATGAATTGTGCCTTTGTCATTGTCGTTCTCTCGCCGTTCCGGCTCTTGAATTCACACAGCATCGCCCGAGCGTCTCCAATTCTTGACTTTGCTAGGTGTCGCTCGATGGCTCTTGACGGGTTAAGCTTGTTCCTTTGCTCGACCAGTTCGATTGTCGCTCCTCTGTTCCCAGTCGTCTTCGTCCATGGCAGGTAGAGACTTGATGCCGCCGCCCTTCCATTGCCGTCTCGCCTCGTCACTGTCCAATGGTGTCGTTTCGGGTATCGATCCGTTTCCTTCGTTTCTGGTGACGCTGGCAGGAGCTCGCCCAATCTACATAGGCCACACCATGCCGTCATCGCTATCGCTAGCGCCGCTACCTCTTCCGCCGATCCTTCGTACCACTTTCCGATTAGTCTCTCCATCATCTCCGAGGTCACCGGCCGTCTTAGTTCCTTCGGTTCCTTTCTTCTCGGCCACATCCTCTCGATGCCTCGGATTATTCTGCTCGTGTTTGTAGGTTCGATGAATTCCATCCCGTTGTCTTTGTGCCACGATTTTATGCTCGATAGTTTTTTCCGTGCTGTGCCCGGTCCGGTTACACCTGCGCCGTCCGCTATGAATAAGCTCACTATCTCCGGTCGGCTTGGCAGGGCTTTTCCGATGGGACCCCGATCCTTCGGCAAACGTTTCAATTTCTTCACGTAGCCGCTATATCCTTTCCGCGTTTGCTCTGTGAGACCATGATTCAGCGCCGTTGTAAGCTTCTCCTCTGCCTGGTGCCGGCGTTCCTCTGTCGACTCGGTTCTGATCGTCTGTTTTAGTAGGTTTCCGATATCTTTCTCGTTCTTGTCTGCCCTCGACACCTTCCTCTGCCTCTCGCCATTCGCTCGCTTGCTTGCGGCTTTTTCTTTTCGATCTTCTTCTCATTTCTTTTCGCCGTTCTCGGCTTCGTTTGATCTCTTTCTGTTTTCTCGCCATCTGGTAGCTTCGCCTAATTATCATCTGGCGTGGCTTTGTCCAACTTTCATCTTTTGCGTCCTCATCTCTCTCGGGTTCCTTGTTCGTCCAGTCTCTTCTCACCATCGATTCTCATCCTAGGCTCTTCGTACATAACCGACCAATGACCTTGGGAATCTCCCCAGCTTCCTCTGAGTGTATCCGGGCGGCTCTACCCCCCTCGATGGCCCGTCGGCTGGGTTTTCTTCCGACCGCACATATGTCAGTGTCAGGTATGCCTCTGCTCGCACTAGCCGGTGTAGAATTCGCCCGAGAACCTCGTTTTGCGCCTCGTTTCTCGATAACCGCTTCTTCCAGCCGCCAATTACGCCCTGGTTATCTGTGCAAATCTCTATGTGCGTCCTTTCCGCTTCTGGCCGTTGCAGTATGAACTCGACTGCTAGCTCGACCGCCGCAAATTCTGCCCATCCAATCTCTCGTTCTGCGCCATCGCCCTCCCTCGTTCTCCAGTCACTTTCCAACCTGAATTTGTCGTATTCATCATCGATCACGACGCCCAGTCCCCATCCGTCGACGCGTCTGTGTAGATCCGGTACTTGCAGTTTGGTTCGCGTTGTGTACATAGCTGAATCTTTATCTCCGGCTTCTCGAGCGTTTCCTTCCACCATCTGAGGTCGCACTTCGCCTTCTCCGGCATGTTCCACTTGATATACTTCGAGTGCTGGTTCGGTAGGCCCATTTTCGCTACCGTCGCCCATAAAGCTCTCGTGTGCGTTCGTCCTTCAGGAATTATCATTCCTAGGTGCGCCAGCTTCCCGCATAATGACTGCAGCCTTTCCCCGGACGTCTTCCTTCCTTCTTCCAACACCTCCTGTACCAATGCTAGGTTCTTCTTCCGCTTTGACTCGCTGACACTGACTGCACGTTCTTGCCAATGCCAGTCAAAGCCGACGTACGTCGTGATGTTGGCGAAGTCGTGCACCTTGTCCGGCGGAAAGGGGATTCCCAGCTCCTCCCCAAGCTCCAATATTTTCGCTATTCCCATTCCATATATCCATTCCTCCCCGTCTCTCCGTACTGGAAGTCGTCGGATCATCAGGTCGTCTACCCAGTATATGATCGTTCCGAGCTCTTTCCGTGTGCAGATTTCTACGAACGCTCTGTTCGGTAGTTCGAATATGCCAACGGATGATTTTGCGCCAAACTTTGCCGCCTTGTCGATCCAGAATTTCCCGTTCCATTCGACTACTCCGTATCTCCAATCCTCTGGACGTATAGGGCAGTTTCTGAACGCCGCTTCCCAGTCTATCGTTGCACCTTGTGCTCCATCTGGCGAGGTCACGATGAGCTCTATCATCTCTGCCAGTCCTCCCCAGTTCGTTCCGAGGTTCTCGATATTCGTTTGTGCGTTTACTGATTGTTGTTCATCTTCGTAGGCGAATGATAGGTGTTCAATTACGCGTTTTCCCCTTCCACTCGCCTTGTCGACCGTTCCAAGTGGGTTTGCCACAAATGCGCCCAGCCTTTTCTCGACTTCCTCGCGTGTATGTGGGCCGTCATATCGATTTGCTGCAACCTCTTTTTCTATATGATCTTCTATCACTTTGGGGTGCTCGACCGCTGACCTCAGGTGTGGGTATACTCGTGTTTCGTCAATTGCCAACTGGCACTGCATATTGAAGCCGTTCTTAAGTCCATCTATGAGCGTCGCATGCTCCTCCAAAATATCAAGATATTTAAGCGCTTCCTCCCACTTCTTGGCCTGTAGCGGGGTCACTGGCTCTGGTTGTCTTCCATTCGTGTCAGTTTTGTCCGCGCTTGCATGATTGGGCACTGTGGCTGGCTGATAGGCATCCCGTGCATACGTGCTTTCCATTTGCACAACGGCTCGCCGAACATCCTTTGGCCGTGTTGAATGACCAGCAGAAGGACGTTCCATCGAAAAGCGTCCAGTCCCCTTTGGCATTCTTTTTGACGTTGACGTCTGCGCCATCGATTTGGCGTCTTGCGCCCTCGCCTTTGTTTCCTCTCCTGATCCTCTCTGCCCTCCATCCTTCCTGCCGTCCGTTTTCCCATTTGACAGGCTCGCCGAGCTTCCCATACTCGCCCCACTCCTTTCGACTCGATTCTCCAGCGCGTCAAGCCGGTCGACATATCCGACGTTTACCCTCATCTCTGCCCGCATCAGTGCCTTCTCGTCGTTCGGATCTGGCACAAGTCTCGCGCCAGCCTTCGGGTTTGGGATGCATCGTTGGATTGTCTCGATTGCTAGTTCGCGGAGCACGGGCCATTCGTTCTTCGATATCACCTTACTGTGATATAAGTTGTTCCAGAACGACTTCCAGAACTTGGCAACATCCGGCCAGTTGCTCTTCATCAGACTGTAGTGCCGCTTGATCGCTGCGATCCCTTCGTCGAGTGGAATCGACTTGTCACTCTTCTCGTACACCGGGTGTTCGAGTACCCCGTTTTCTGTAGCTAATTCTGTATGCATCTTGTCGTTTCAAGAACTCGTCTGTGAGGAAAGTGAGGGGGACGGGGTGCCTTCCTTCGGCGAAGGCCTCCATTAACTTCCGTGGGATCGAACCAATCTCGTCGATTTCGTTGTCAACTTCTGTATATATGTCAATATTATTTTTTCGATTACTCGGTTAGCCGCGCGACGAGTAGTGCGTCCAGTCATCTCGTCTGCCTTTGGCAGCTGCTGTTCGGTCTCCTCGGTCTCTTCCTTGATAGGTACGTAGATGTAGCCTTTCCACTTCGACTTTGGGATTGGCTCGCCGCTCGGTTTCCTCTCCTCCGCCTCTTCTCCTTTGGGCACTTTGCCCGTCTCTTCCTGGCTTCCTTCGCTCTCGTTTTCGTCGTTTTCATCAGCCATGATGTGATGCTTCTTCTCGCTGTCCTCGCCCTGTACGGCTTCCTCGCTGCCGCTCAACTCGCTATCCTCGCTTCGCGTGGCCATTTCTGTCGCTACTTGTGCTCTTCCTTCTGCTTCCGAGCCGTCCATATTGTCCTCCTCTCCTTCTTCCGCCCTTTCCTCCTCCGGCTCTGGCGGTCCTTCAATGCCCTCCAGCAACTTGTCGATCGCGCGCGTCCGTTCGTCGACTTCGCGCTCCGCCTGCTTCTTCTTCTCCTTCGGTTTGTCCTTTCCTTTGGTCGTCTTTACGGCGATACCCATCTCGCCAAGTCCCAGGGGGTCGTCCCCGCCACTTCCAAACTTGACAAACGTTGTTGTATCTGCGCTCGCGTAAGTCTCCAATCCATCTTTTCTTGATTCTCGGCGTTCCCAGTCCTTCGGTTGGACGCTCGCGCGCTCTTGGTAGCTCTCGGCCCATGCGATCGTTCCTCTGGCTCAGTCTCTCGGCCTCGTGCCGGTTTTCCATCGCGTTCGTCTATCCTTTCTCTGTCTGCCGGTTCTCGCTCCGGGTCTCATCGTGGCACTGTACTGCCCGCTCAAGTCTAGCAGCCCTGCCTCAGCTGCGCTCGCTGGCTCGTGCCAGTTTCGTCGGTCTCAGTCTCTTCCTCCTCTCCCTCCGATTCCCGTTCTTGGGATTTTTTGGCTTTGGGGAGGAGGGGTCTGCCTTCGGCTTTGGCACGACCTCGTGGACGCGACACGTCATCTCGATGTATACGTATCTTGGAACTACGCTCGATTGCGTACAACGATTGCCATTGTCGAGTCTGGTCCTCCCAGCTCGACTTACGCTCCGTGCGTGCTGGCTCACGTCGCCTCGCCGGTCCTCTCGGCTCGAGTTCTCCCGCTCTTGCTACACACTGTAGCCATCTAGTACCTTGCGGTACAGCTCGTTCTTTCCCTGGGCATGTCTCTCCTGCCCCTCCCGTCCTCCAGGCTTGCCATGGTAGTCGGCTATCTCTGGCCTCGGCGCCTGACTTGTCCGCGTTTCCTCCGTGGCGCTCTATACTGTCCAACCCGGTTCTGATCGCTCGATCGCTTGTCTTGGCTCTGCCGGCCTCCAGCCGACTGCCATCTGACCCTTCGCTCGCGCCGATGTGAGTTTGATCTTTCCTTTCTCGCCCTTGCCCTTCTTCTTCTTGTTCTTCTTCTCGCCCTTCCCTTTTTTCTTCCGCTTTTTTGCTTCTGTCGCAGACGATGATGATGACTCTGATGCGGACGAAGATTCGCTACCAGACGATTGTGATTCGTCCGATTCACTTCCGGACTCGCTGCTGTCCTCATCGCTTGTCGTCTCGTTCTCGCCGGTTTCGTCGACATCCATCTTCTCCATCTCCTTGCGTGCCTTGTCTGCCGCGGCTAATTCTATCTTCTCTTCGATGCTCTCGGCGAGCTCCTTATTCTTTTCGAGTCTTTTGAGGATCTCCTTCCTCTCCGCTGCCGCCTCGACCGCTTGCTGACGCGCTTTTTTGCTGCTGTCAACCGCAAGCTCCGCAAGCTTGTCGTTGATCTTCCTGCTTTCCGTCGTGTCCTGGTTGATTGCAGCCTGGAGGCGTGCAATGCCGTCCTGGTACGTCTTTCGGATTTTTGCGGCATGCCTCTTCTTTGCTGCTTCCAGCGCAGCCTTGGATCTTTCTTTTCTCGACTCGCTGCTTCTTTTCGACGATTTCGACCTTGCACTCTTGCCCTTGGTCGTTTTTGATTTTTGACTTTTCACCATCTTTGACGTGCTTATTGTCTGCTTTTCTCGGCTGATTCAGGTTGTCTTCTGGTTGTTCTTTCGACGAATTTTCAGCCTTTTGGGGGCCACGCTACGCCCGTGCTGTCGGCAGCGGGCTTGCGTTGATGTTGGTTGGCGGAGCCTTTCGTTTGCGGCTCTTGCCACCTCCACCCGCACCTCCATTTTTCGATTTCATATTTCGTCGTTTGTCAATTAATTCTTTCCAATATATTCTCTATCTATACTGTTTTCCTTCTAAGTTCTATTCCTGGAGCTCCCATTCCTCGCTCGCTCTCGCAGCATGGCGAGACCTTCTGGTCTCCAACCAGGATCCACTGCTAGACCATGATGTAATAGTCAATAACGCAATATCCTCTGTAGGAAACTCAGGTAATGATTTGGGACTAGGTGAGGAAACAGTCGCCTATGGCATATTACTCGGCACTGACGAGTCATACTTTGCGACATTAGGGCGCTCACAGTCCGAATCCGAGGATATCTCTCACGTGACAGGTATCTTGCTACGAACCTCTGTGCCAGGGTTCGGACAATGTTTCCTCATGAAAGATGGCTGGGTGAAGTCATCTGGCAAACATCTGTTTTGGATACCGCCTGACAATCGGCATGGCTTACAGTACCCACACCTTCTAACGATACCAACGAGTGGCTCTCTGCGAGCAACCAGACTGAATCTGACCAAGTTTTGTTGTGGGCCATCGTGGGCCAGCGTTCGACGGTTTATCAATCAATGAATGTTCTCCTTTGTTACTTTCATCAACATGCATATTATTTATATCCCCCTGCACCGAGTTGACAAAGGCCTCGTAAAGTAAGCTGACTTGGGACAAAAAGAGTCCGATCTGCGCAGCCATTCTGAGCTACCATCATTAGATTTGCTCCTGGTAGTACGGTTGGAGCTGTAAAGCATATCGTCCAACTCAGCGAGGTCGGTGTATCTGTTGGCTACCCCCACAATAGACATTGAGGATATTATCGTTGGAATATGTGGTCTGCGTAGTGACTGAGGACGCTCGCGTGACTGGTTGATTGGCGAGTTAGACTTGTGTGAGTAAGGAACGCCAAAATCTGGTCATCTAGCACTGAAACTCGGCATTCCCCAGCACACCTTGGGCACCGTAAGTATGTTAAGTACTGTGGCGGCGATAGAGATTGCAAGGAAACCAGTTATGACGGAGCTCGAGAAACTCCCGAGCCGTACTCATAAGCTGCTAGCCGGTTCAACTCATAGATACATAGAGGAGCCCGTTTGATTTCTCCGTGGTGATGCTGGTTTGAAGCCTCCTTTATATTCCCTGTGCGCTGTTCAGCCATCGGTTCCGCTGCCCGTCTCAGTGCTATCGACTCGAGATCTCCAGGTCACTGACCTAGGTGTAATTATAAGGAGCCGATCTATCGCGGGGTTGTTTTTGCCACTAAATTAGGGATGCGAAGCAACTCAACTCGATTTGAGATGGCACCAACAATATATTGGATATGAGCTAGCACAATACATGGAGAATAAGGACAAGACATGAGGTAACGAATACAATAGCTACATCGTCCAGCACATCTTTAAGACATATACAAAATTATCAGAGGAAGGTGAAAGAGTCGAATCAAGTCACTCCATGCTTCTCCAGCTCGAAGTAGCATCTGACAGGACGAAACGTCCGACCTAGTTCCCTATCCATCCGCGCAATCTCATGCATTAAGGGGCATGCAGATTGTTCATATCTTAACCCACAACCGGTGTCCAGTGTCGTGCCAGACATGAGCAGCCGTTGGAGGTTTGACCTTTGACTCTTTTTCCACTCACATACGGCCGATATCCCATCAGGGTATAGAGGTGATGGAGGAAGATGAAGTTCAATCTGGAGGTGAACGAGCTCCTTGAGAAGATTGTAGCTCTTTAGTGCACCATAGAATGCGTCGCTTGGCGCATCGTATAGTGTAATCCGCAACGTTTCAACATCTGGGGTACTCTTGAAAAGCGCTTCGTATAGCTCGTTGCTAACGACGAGGTCGAGGCTGAGGATTTTGGGTCCCCACAAGCGCACTGCATCATGGAAGACATTCGATAGAATGGCATATGTGTCGCTACCATCGGGCATTCCAAGACACAACGTGCGTAGATTGGGCGCTTTTATGCCGGTCATGTGCGGATGTAATGACCTAGCGTGCAGGATCTCAAGGCTCGAAAGGTCGATGGACTGATGGGTTGGGACGGGGTCTCTGAGATCATGGAGAATGGAGCCGACTACTAGTCTGTAGAGATAGCGAGGGTCCAAAGCTTGCAGACAAGCTATGGTAATAGCGTCCACGCGGAGCGACCGAACTCGCACCGTGCCCGTACAATGAGCTATTCCATATTCCGAGAGAAGAAGATTAGTATGGTGCATTAAGAACAAGGAAAGGCGTACCAATTTGTCCGACTGGAATGCATAGACTAAGGGGTCCACCATGGCCACGAAGATTGAACGCAGACTCTGGCCGCGCAGATCGCACTCCGGATATCGAGAGATGCTCCAGCTCCTCGCACTCCCTAAACGCAGTCACATCCAGGGGTAGGTCCGAGCCACAAACGACAATTCTGCGTAGTCTGCGCCAGAATACGAAGTCACTTGCTGCTTGAACGAAGTCGGATGAGACGTTCTCCAAGGTCAAGGAAGTGAGATTGACCGCTGTGTGGCCGAACCGGTTGAAGAGTGGTTGAAAGGCGGTATAGACGGGCGGATTTGACCAATCGAAGCGAACCACCAAGGATGCGAGCTTCGGAAACTTTGCGCTTCGCGCGGGGAATGCCCCTCGCACAAGCTTGGGTGTCGTCCTTGGCCTGATAGTGATGTAGAGCTGCGAGAAGGATTCCGAGTGTGACATGAACCGCTCAAACAACAGTTTACTTCGTCGTTCGGGACTGGGATAGTTCGTTTGCAAGGGCCCAACGACGAGAGTGGCATCGACCATAGAGCTGCCGGCGCGTGCGATGCACATATCGAGCATCTCTGGCGATACACATGTCATGGTGCTCGAATATTTCGTATCGACCGGAGCTTCGCTGGCTGAAACCAAGATGCGACGCCAGAACCATGGTGCCTCGGTGATGCGGCGGTTGAAAGCCTGACACGAATGCCTCAGTGGTGTTAGAGAGACATCCATTCTGTAGCACATGTCGAGTATCATCGCGATGATGTCGGTTGGGAGGTCCAGTAGCCCTAATGAGGGTTGACGAGAGGGGGGTGGGGCCGAGGCGACTATTCGACGATATAATGTCGTATCTAATCAATGAATTAGTCGGCCGAGATGCTCCCGGATCAGCCGCACCATTGGTTGGGGTTCGCCAGCGGAGACTGGCTGAGCCATTACTCGGGTTTCGGGAACGCCATGAGCCGAGTCCCTCCTGACTATTCATTCTGCCGCTGAGTAGGATGCTCGACGGATCGTCAAGTGGGCAACTGCGTGGTCGAGGTTGACCTCAAGGACGGTGGGTGAAGGGTCCAAGGAGCGTTTACCACAAAGGCTCGTTGGCAAGCGGTGATCTTATAGGTGATCGAGGACTGTCTGAGACTGCCAATTCGCTCGGCATCAATGGCACTCTCCCAACCTTATTGACCCCTGTTCTCCGTTTTCTAACCCGCATTTAGTACCAGCCGTAACTAGGTGGGGAGACCAGCCGAGAACCAAGGAATCATATTGACCTCGCATAAACAGATAGCTACGTACATTTGAGCAGACAACCAGCGCGTCACTTTCGGGCCATAGTACATAGAGTAACTCGTGAGAGTTGGTCCTTTTCTACCAGATATCTACATAAGTTGGGATATTGCGGGCGATGCACCAATCGAGAGGGGTTCCAGTCGGTGATCATTTTGGCGCCGAGCTAGATCTCTAGTCAAAGCGTCAGCAAGGTTGGGCCACCGATTGCTCTTCAAGCCGCGGAACGGCTAGATTCACTTTCGGGCAACGTGCTCACCAGCATCTCATTTTTGGTCGCGTATTAAAGGGCTGGTTAGCTAGCCGTTGCAGAGTGATCATTCCCATTGGCGTGGGTTGCTCCTCTGGCGTCCATTTTGGTATTTGTATGCGCACCGTTCGGGTGCTTACTCGTCGGCCCGACCGTACCGTTCAAATATGCGCTTTTTCGGCATGTATTGCAAATATTCTTCTCGGCGTAGATCTCCTCAAGGTGTTCAGCACCATACTTGCAGGCAAGGAGGGCGAATTCGAGACGTTGATTCGATCTCACACGCGCAACCTCGCGCATTGCCGGACGAACTTGCTCAGAGAGTGGATGAGGAGCCGACTTTCCACCCAGCAGGGTCGACATGGCGCCTCCCCCGCCTCGCCAAAGTTTGTATGATCCAGACAACGCGAGCTCGCCTTCAGTAAGGGGCCCATACCTCACGGTACGCATCTGAGGAGTCGAGGTCGAGGCTCCGTTTGCTGAAGTGGGTGTCGGAAGTGCGTAGAAATCGAGTGTCAAGCGAAGGAGGTGAGGCAGTATACCACGCTTCTTGAGCGTCTTGTAAAACGTCTCGCTTGGTTTATCGGCGAGTGTAACCGTCAAGGTCTCTAGGTCGGGAAGACGCCTATAAAGTGTCTCGTAGTGCTTATCGTGAATAGGTGCATTGATGCTGAGAGTTTTGGGTGTCCACATGCCCTCGCCGCCGTGGAAGATGCTCGACACAACCCGGTCGGCGTCAGCACGCTTGAGCACAGAGACCTGGAGACATAGCGTATGGAGTTCGGGTGCGGAAATGGCGGTGATCTCGGAATGAGAGGCTGCGACGTGGAATACCTGGAGGTTTGGGAGGCGAATGGAATGTGCTGGGACAGGCTCCTGACGTGCGCTGTCCGGAAGTGCCGACTGAATCACGAGGAACTTGACGTTGGGAATTTGTAGTTCCTGAAGGCCAGACATTGCGATGGCCCCAACACGGAGCCACTGAACCTTTGTCAAGGGAACCTTGCGCTCAGGATGTACAGGCAGGTATTGACCTGACAGAGGATTAGCGAGACAAAGAAATGAATCAGACAAGAAAACGCACCTTCGTATCCCGATCCCGCGTCAACTTCCATTTTACTAGAGTCGGGGACTGTCAAGGGAACCTTGGGCTCGGGATGTACAGGCAGGTATTGACCTAACGAAGGATTAGCAAGACGAAGAAATGAATCAGGCAGCAAAAGCGCACTTTCGCATTTTGATCCCGCGTCAACTTCCATTTCACTAAATTCGGGGATCCCCAGTGGGCCCCCACGAAGAGGCGGGTTCAAGGCGCACGAGGGATGCACAAGAAGCTCGCTTGATATAGATAAGAATTCCAGATCGTCACACCCCTCGAATGCCGTGACGTGAATAGGCGAATACTCGCCCTTGATCGTGACCCTGCGCAACTTACGCCAAAACCTGTACTCTCTGGCAGCTAGGATGAATTCGCGGGTCACATTCTCGAAGTAGACGGATCGGAGCTTGACCGTCGTCCGCTCGAGCTGGTCGAGAAGAGGATGGAAGACTTCGAGGAGGCCGGGGACGGGGAAAGCCGAGGCAATCATCAAAGACTCCAAAGCCGGGAAGGCTGTAGAGTCGTTGAAGAGGCCATGAAAGGAATCTTTAATGATGTGAAGGGGAGTGTCGGGGTTGATGATAAGGCAGAGGAAGGAAATCTGACTCGAGCGTGACATGAGCATATGAAACCTCGCCCTCCTAAACTCTGGCGTAGGAGAAGACTCGTCAATGCGACCCACAACAAAGGTGGCTTCGAGCGGCGAGTTGTGAGCGCGCTGGATGCACGTCTGCAGGAACTTTTCGGTCGCACAGGCCATGGTACTACCCGCTTTGAGACTCGGAGGCATCGAATCCAAGGATATCAGAATACGCCGCCAGAGTCGGGGTGTATTCTTGATGACCTCGTTCAGGGCGCGACATACCGTCATGAGTAGCGTCAAGGGAAGGTCCATGAGATGATATTCGTCCAAAATCATCGCCAGGATCTCGACGGGCATGGTCAGCAGGATGCTTTGAGAACACGAGCTTGCATCTTGTGCCGTGATTTTCCGCAAAGACTCTGCAAGAGCGTAGCATCTTAGCCATCTTGTCTAACTGCAGACAAAGGAAAATGAGGAGGGCGCGCCTGGAATGCCTACGTGATTCTGTCCTGCCGATGAACCGTGGACTTGTCGCACGGCGGTTAGGGATGACGACTGTAGATTGAGTACCGCCTAAAGGGGCCGGAATTGGCACGGTCTTGGAGGAGCTGGTTTGATGGTTCATTTCCAGTAGAGTTGGGCTCGTAAAACTTGGGATGATTCAGCAAATGGGAAGCACCTATTTATGCGTAGTACGCCTCTATACATAAAAAATGCGTCCAGAGGCTGGTCAGCCGCTGGCCAGGTTCACCAGCCCACGTGTTGCTGTGTGCGGGTTTAAAGCTGCTACCCTGTTCGGAACTACACCAGTGTGTCAGTTGACGATAGAAATGTCTTTTGTTTTATATCCATATTGAAACTCGTATTTCTAGGACCCCAGGTATCCCGCGACTTATTCCCAGTGGTCATAACGTTGAGGGAATTGCCGTTCAGCCCTGCACAAGCGCTTTGGGCCTTGTGAGTACGTTGAGTTGGGCTTCAAAGGCATCCAGTGCCGACCAGCTCCCACGAATCGAGTAGACTGCTCACCAGGTTAAGTCAGTCAATCTGCCCTAGATGTCATGGGCCCTTTAGTCAACTCGTCGCCTGCAGATCTTGAGCCTCTACTTCTAGAAATATTCGTCACGGGACCGGACAGCATCCTTAGATGGTGTTTGGTATGCTCGACGTGTTGACTCCCAGTTCCCCAAGCGACTTGGTCTTATAGGTGCCTAGGCGCCAGGCTGACGCTGCCGCCAATTGAGTGAGGTTGAGATATTCAATCATGGAGATTCCATTGAATTCAATCCGGGTTGTCGACTTCATTTGGCTATCTACTAGCGAAATTATAAATAAAATTACTATACTTGACTTCAGTAAACTGTTCGCTTCAGCGCTAGGCCTATTATTTGATCCGAGAAGGATCCTATCCAAGCTTTTCGACTGGTGAACTTCTAATTTGCGGCCAAACTCGAATACAAGCCTTGAATCAACTTCAGATCTCGTCAAAAACATTGCACTTCTCATTTTGATTGACTTCGAGGATATGAGCATCGAATGCTCTTCCTGCAGTCAAGGGGCGGCGTTTCATGAGTCAGCCTTCCCGGCCATCGATTCTATGAGAGGCTTCTCATCTCCTCCACTAGAGATTCAATCGTAGATTATGTATCGTTTCTCGAGAGAAGATGTACTGTCCATCTTAGTTGCCCCTGTCGGTGGTTTACAGGTTCGCCACTTAGTGATCCTCCTGTTCTTAAGTGTCCGCATGCATGAAAGTGATGTATGTATCTGTGTACTGGTGCTGAGCCATATAAATCCGGTTAACCAGGTGGGTCGATATGCCTTCGACAGAACTCGTCGAGGGTTCAGGATGGTCAGTGCTTATGTGGAAACTTGCAAACTACAAATCATCGGACCAATCAATCTAGATCTTTCAAGGCATTGTGCGAACCCTATGGCCGATTCTAAACGGTATCATGCAGCAGGAGTAGGGTATGAATCTATTACATAAATGATCACAAGAACACAAAGTGAGCTGGATATCTGGAGTAATGTAGAATAGCTGCTTCTCCGAAAATTGAATACATTATCATGCACGGAACCGAGTCAGAATGTGGCGACACGAGGACGGTTAGGCTGCCAAAGAAGTGCTCAGCAATTGCGGTTTCAACGTGCATCACCCGCAATGCAGAGCAGTCTTGCGGTGCTTGCAGGTTTGATTGGGATGAGAGCCAATGTGCCCCGGATCGTCAGTCCTTGACTGCCAGAACTGAATAAAGTCTATAACCACACAGTACCTTTCCAAAAATAGTAATCCACCTCCCACCACTTAGGCGCTCAATATTGCTCCCGGAGTTCTTGATAGTCACGACGATGCTCGCCACCGAACAACCCTGCTCTGGAACAGAAGGCAGCTAGGAGACTGGAGGACTCGGAGCAGTTTGTGAGGAGGCACTCCTATTCAGTGCTGGTTCAAACCTGCGATTGGGCCAGTTACAAAACACGGCATTGTCAATTGAGCCTATTTTAACCCGCATATGGAAACGAGGACGCTGCATGTCCGGGGTTGACCAGACGCTTTTGAGAGTATCCCAGCCCAAATTTTCTATGAAACTGAATTCGAGACTTAGCGTGAAGGTAAGACGCGGCGTAGATAGCTGGTTGCTTTCGTCCGAGCCCTGGCAAGTTGATCTGTGTGGCGCACATCATGTAAGAAGGCATAAATCATAATGTGAAGAGTATGCGAGGAATTATATGACATCAGAGGGAGCGAAATGTGTGGGAAGCGAATGGAGTATAGGCTTGACGCCGACCCCGTCTGAGTGTTTTCGACGTCGGCTGCCCGAAGCTAGTTACTCGCAGCTATTATACACTGGGATGAATAAAAATTCGCCGTCTAATCTGCCGTATGACATTCTACGCCAAATATTCGAATATCTCGGCCGAGCGGACCTCTATGCCCTCTCATTAGTCTGCACGACTTTTCTGCACCCAGCATCAGCAGTTTTGTACCAAATTATTCTCCCTCCGTCATCTACGACTCAGTTTATTCGTCTCTTTTGGACGCTTTCCAAAGCGCCGCTCGTGACGCGGAGCGTACACACACTTCACCTGGCAGCCCGAGGTCTACGAGTTGTTCAGTTAGCATCTACGAATAACCTCGACACATTACTCAAAGCTCAACCATCCTCCACCTTCTCATCAACGGACGTCGTCACACCCAATGGCGCATCTGACCGTCATCAAGGAGTTAGGAATCCCCAGGAAGAAGATGGCTTCGGCAGCTTGGAACGGGTTTTTGACGAAGCGCAATTCAGCAATATGCTGCCCCTCGTCGTTGTCGAGCGAGCCTTTTACAACCTCTCTTCCCTTCAAGAGCTCGTTATCCACCCACACATTCCGTTTCTCTTCTGGTCTTTCACGCGTCAAATGCCCAGTTTGCGGCATGTCCGCATCCTCGGACGAGCAGACTCGACGCTGCTGCTATTTTGGCTCGCAAAGCAAACCAACTTGGTGTCATTACATTACGAACCATCTGACCACTACGTGACACAATGGTTCCCGAGCGGTGGGCCAGAGTCTGAGGGGCATTTCGTTTCAAATCTCAAAACGTTGAGGACAAACGTCCGTGGAGCGATTTTGCTCGCTCCTCAAAGGCCAATCGTCAATCTTCGCCTTGAATTTGGTGATGTCGTCGAGGTGAAATTGGATGGAAAGGTGTATCGCCGGGGTCAATATTCTCCGACGACCGCAGCCTCAAACTCCTGGTCTCTCCATGAGCTTCGGGGAGTCTCTGAGAAAGACACGGGTACCTATCAATTCCTTTACCCTTGGAGATTGCTGCACGACCCACTATGCGCCACTGTTGATCATGGTTTCGAGATATCTCTCTCAGATCACTCATCTCAGTCTTGCGGTAGAGTACGAATATGTAAGTTGTCACCAGGGGTCAAGATGCGGTCTAACGACTTGTAGCCGCTCGACCACCTTGTCCAGTCGACCCTGCCGTTGCTACCGCATCTCCTCATACTCGAGGTTCCGACCACCGATCTCTTTCATCTGATGGAAGCCGTTCGAGGCAAGAGTAATGAAAGTAACTCAGAGGTCTCCGAGCAGTGGAGGGAGGTTCAATCCAACAAGGTATTGAAATGGTCTAAAGCGTCACGCTCACTCCGACTGGTTATATTTCATCCTAGTTCGCCACTCATAGAGTCTAAACTCCGATCCTTAGTCAAGTATCGCAACTCACCACATACTAACTGGATAACTGAGCGCAGTTTCATACATAAATGGCCTGTATCTCGCCCTTGATAACCTACTGTCATTCGCATGAGTTATATTAACTTATCGGCTCCACCAAATAAGACAGAGCTGGTAGGAGAGGTGGAGGAGGCTTTACCGATTACCCAGGCATCGATATCATGTCAACGATCAAGGGGCTCTTCATCAGAATGTGTCCGACAGCGTCTGTGACATCTTGACAAGGTCTTGCAGAGACGAATGATTGGCCTCTGATCTGCCATGAGTCTCAGGTGCGTTCCCTGAGGTGGAACCACCCCTTCTATTGTTCGTCTACTGATTCCCTCTCCAAGGGATTCATCTCGGACAGTCTCAGTTATGGGGCTCTGCACAGCCCTGAGCCAGTCTCTTAGGAGACCGCTTGCCGCAGTTCAGTGAACTTGTTCTGATGGCGGTTGGCGGTACTCCCTTCAGCCTTCAGAGCTTGAATATGACCGCTCGCTGGCGCATGGGCCCCGCCGTCAGACTAGTCGTCCGACCAGCACCCCCAATGATTGTTGGGATCAACCAGCAGTTGTGATGAAACTGGCAAGTGAGGTTGACTGCGAGTGCTGCCTTGCAGTTTCTAACCCGCAGCTACCAGCGATGCGCTATTGAGAGGTCGGGAACGTGGGCGTCTCGAGTGCCAGCAATTCCACCCGCGACCATCTCTTCGAAAGTGTCCCTGGTCACGGTGTGGGTCAAAGTCACCTCTACATGTCACGAAGATCACCGGCGGAAATCAACTATAACTGTATGGGCGTAATTAACTCGGTCTCTGAACTGCTGCTGTACCAAGGCTGTCAAGCCATCGCATATTCCGGTGCACAAGCTATTCATGCTATGGATACCATGCATATCATCCCCGTACGCAACATTTCACATTGGCGGGTTCATCAGGGAAGAAGTACCGCTCAACGTGGTCACGTCAACAAAGCAGACGGAAACGTCCACCCTGATAATTGAAGTCGAGGCCCCCAAGAGCCAGAAGCAGATCGAAAAGTAACCCCTATCGCTTCAGCCCAGGCCATGAGACGTTGTACACTTTCTAGTTTCGGCCAAATCTTTCAAAGTGCTAGTTAGCCCACCATTGGAAACAAAGTCTATCAACACGAGTCGTGCGATTATTGTATTCTAATCATCACACTGTTGGTAACACGAGCGAAGCATTTCGTTGGCGAACCATCTCGTAACGAGGGTTATCAGAATCGTTGATTCCCCGCTACGAATCAGGTTAATCGACACGCTTCAATCCACGAGTCAAGCGAACCCACCAGCCAGCAGCGATTAGCGTTAACAATACGCTGTAATGAGGGGACTGCGTCGAACAGTATTTTGGCTTCGGCGATAGCAAAGCGCCCTTGTATCGTATTTGATGCAGATTCTGTCGACTGGAGCGCTAGCGAGGAAAGAAACGTGTGGAGCCTCTTCGCCTTGGATATCGCACTGGCGACCGATGCCCAACTTCGAGACTGCCTCATGCCTCAGCGTTGATCATCTACGGTGCACGATGTATACCTACCCAGTCTATGGATAAATCCGCCCGCAAAACCTCCAAGTTTGGGCACCCTTCGCAGATCCGCTCAAGTTGCTCGTTGGAGGGTGTGAAGCCGGCGAAGCTTAGCTTTCTCAGCGTCTTGAAGTCTGCATCTCGTACGTTTTCGACGACTTTTGCTGGAAGAGGACAGGCACCAGCAGATTCCAGTGTCAATGTTTCGAGTTGGCAGGTACGGAACCTTTCAAGGATACCTGTAATGATTGGTAGCAGTTCGAGAAGACGCCGTCTCAACCCACCGCATACAGAGGGAGTGATGTTTTGAGGGGCGCCTTCAGATAGGGCAGCGTTGAAGCGTAGCCAGAGCCGCGTGACTGATGATAATTGAACCACCGCAGGCGGCGGTGACGAGTAATCCTATGAACCTTCAGTAATAGAGCTCTGAAGAGCTGCCTGCATACCAGAATGGTCAAAGCTAGCGATTTGAGTCTCTCCGCTTGCTCCAGTGCATCGAAAACTCGCCAATGATCGACATTCCCGCAGTGAAGGAGTTTAAGTTCGGCCAACCTGGGAACTATATTGAGGATTGATTGGAGGGTAGAGTCGGAAAAACTAAGAGAATGCTACCCTGGGGTTGAGATGTCGAAGGAGACAGGTTCAGAATACTTACCCGAATTGAGAGGCTTTGTAAAGTAGCTTTGTTTCTCTCTATCCAACGCAAAAGTACCCGATGTAAACCTGGGCTCAGAGTTTTGATATTGAGCTTCTCCAGTCCGAGCCCTTGGTCGAGTGACGGAACTGCTCCATGACCTGCACCTAACAGGAGCTCCGCGCTCTTGAGGTTGATTCGTTGACCCATGATTGACAACTCCTTGAGCGAGGTGCTTGACGCGAGGCTAGGGAGGAGGAGGTCAATACTCGAGGATGGGTCCGGAACTGTGAATGCGAATGCACGCAGGTTGCGTAGATGTGGAAATAATGTTTCGAGTTGCTCATAGATGACGGAAGATGGCCAGCCTTCCTGCCGTGGGAATGCATGAATAGCAATGCGGCGCACAAATGGGCAGAGATCCCGGTGTTTGAGAAGTGTTTCGAAGGGAGATTGCGTCTGGCGCGCCATTAGTCCATTCCAAAGGATCCCAACTGGACAAACTTACGTGTCTTAGTCGCTTGACCAAGCGTGGATGCATCTCAATCTCCTCATAAATCAAGGCAAAACCCCTCCAAAGAACGATCTGCTGACGAGGGCAACGGAGAGCAAGTCGACGCCGACTTGAAGCTGACCGAATATCAGCGGCAAGACGTCGAAGGGCAGATTGTCCGCTGAAACCATCTCACTCCCTTTAACCGATATTATTGTGCAATAGTCGACTACAATTGCAGTTCGTGTTGGACCATCGACAAGATACTGGGCATGGTCAAGGTTCAAGAGGAAACCGACGCTAGGGTTGATTCGTCTTCTCCACAGTAGATGTATTATTATAAACTACTGAATCTATTCATCATTCTCAATGAGGTCGAACCCGATGTCGGGCCACCTGTTTCGTTCACCGCTTGCATTCAGCAGTCGCGACAAAACAGCTAACGATCCATTTGTCGGATTTAGGCATATTTACTCAAATTCGCTCAGTCTCTTGTATAGGAGCCTCACTTGGGTAGAAGAGATCGCTTTGACGGAACTTTCTGCCTCCTGAGCTGTGATGCCGGTCGTAACGGGCTCAAATCAACAACTGGAGGGAGATTCTGAATCATAGTGCTCGATAAATATCCTATTCTCCACCTATTTGGTCGGAATTTCATACATTGTCATGGCAAGCCACATATATAGCTTTCGTTCTCATACATAGGTGACGTGATTGCACCCTACAAACCTCTCCTGGGTTTTCGCAACCGCTATTCTGATCTAATAGTGCTGGATGCAGATCGTCCCAGCTCCATAAACCATGTTATCTTCCGAAAAGGACAAGGACGCATGTGTGGGGAACCTCCAACATCCGCGAACCAACTTCTCAACTCCCGGCTCGAAGGAGTGTCCTATGCTGGCCCGGATTTGCCTCAACTAGGAGGGGCGAACAACATCAATCAGGTTGACTCCTACAAAAAGCCTGCGTACAGAGGAAATTCCATGTTATTCTTTGTGCTGAAGGATGTCAGGTGGGCTTCCTACCGCGATTTCCCCTCCCAGACAGATTTATCTTCGGCCGTTGGTGTCAGCGCACAGCGGTAAACTAGGACTTGGACATTACCTTCAGGAAATACAGAGGTACCATGATTGTGAGATGCCGAACTAGATGCTGTCAAGCTGGAGTCCTCCGCTGTGGTCGAAGCTTGGTCCACAGAGTCGTTGGCTGCTGGGCGTGAAAGCAAAGCTACCCCCCGTTTGTCCCACACAACGAGTCTGATCAGAATACTAAAGGTCAAGAAGATCTGAACATACAGATTAGTGAGCCCATTATGCCGTTAACAAACGGTGGTGGTCGTTGATATCAATATGGGCAGTACTGACGCCTGCGGTGGCGCACCACAGTTGCACGTTGATGTCTTATATAATTTCTGCCTATCATTCTTTTACATCATCTCGAATCAAATTTGTCATGGCACGCTTCCCTCCTCCAAACCTCGCGGGATGATCACCTCTGCTTCGCTGGTATCCCTAAAAGAAATTCTCAAGTAAATTTTCATCTGTTATGGCTCTTATGCCTCGATTTTTACCAGCCCTTGCCTCGTGGCATCATGGAGAGCTCTCTTCCCATTCGTCCATGGTTTCGATCCTGGTCACAAGCCAAGTGGCCGGGAGTAATGTCTATTTAAATTATGCGTACGTAAAAATGAGGTATTATCATCTCAGGTGAGAACCTGTGTGTTCGCCAGTAAGGACCCAGGAGGGGACCAAGCATGTTGTTCACCACCCGAATGGCTTGAAGCGGTACCTTGTCGAGCGCCAAACCATTCGACCTCTCTTCTACACGTTTAGTGTGCGAGGCTGAAACCTGAGTACGTCGGTCATGAAGCGATCACTGACCCAATTGAGATGATTCATTCCTATTACTAGATGCTCTACCTGGGCTCCAAATTTGCTCGGCCGAAAGAGCCGGCATAGCATGACGATGGTAATGTAAGAGAGAGTGCAAAATTTGATGGTTCGTGTGCCCTGAAGAGGCAGGGCTCGTCTTGAAGAGGTGGAATTATTCGGAGAGAGAGAGGAGAAAATCACACGAGGAATGTGACGCTATTTCTTGTCTCGAGACGTGGAATATCGTCTGCGCCCGAGCTCTGAGTGAACATCTGGGATATCTTTATCGCTGCGGAGCGAGCGAAGTTTGCGGGCGTGTGCATGACACATCCAATGATTTCTTCGAAGTGACTGGCTATTCCAATATTTCAAAAGTTACATGTATTAATTGAAATATCACGTAGTAGGCGGGGAATCTCGCCTGGAGCGGCAAATCAAGGTCTTGGGGCTAAGTTCATCGCATGTCGCAGGTTTGCTACACGTATGATTGAGCTGCGTTGCTTCTGTCACATCGCTGATCTTATCTTCCTTTCAAACAAGACCCTTTGATTGCCCGAGTTGAGGTGGCGCCGGCCTTCCCCGACTGGATGTATTTCCGTGGCCTTGCTTGGTCGAGACTGTTCCACGTGCGCAGTCTGATAACAGATCTATCCGAGGTACTGATGCGAAGGTCGGTCGCAAATCGGAACTCGTCCTATGACAAAAAGTCACATTCCTGACCCACCCGAGCCCGAGAATGATTCATTACCGCTCTTATTGACAATATAGTCGGCCAATAGAGCTTGTTTACGACCGTCTCACTAGTCCCGACTAATGATTCGATTCACTGTCGTATGAATGGATAATTCACCGCGATATGAACAAACAACATCATGTAAGCCACGCAACACGCCGGGGGTATATATCGTGATAAACAGAGAGCTAAGACTTCTGATCAAAAAATGGATCCCTGCTCATGCCGCCAAATACTCTGTGACCGAAATGTCGGGGTCAGCTATCCCCAGCTCTTGAAATCGGTTGACATACTCACCTTGTCTCATTCCAGTTGGGTTTCTCATCTTTCGCTGTCGAGCATCAGCACTTCTGCGAGTATTGACTAAGCGGCTACTTACTCTCAGGAATAGGGCTGCTCTGCTTGTGGCCTTCACAAGGTGGTGGATTGTTGGTTGCGGGGGGAGCTTGGTCCTCGTCTGATTCCTTCATGACTTCAACCAACTTTCGTAATAGAACCGCGAGTAGAGAGGCGAGTAGTGTCGAGAAGACGAGAAGGGATAATGTGACCCAGTGAATTTCTAAAGGTGGTTTCATCCGCGACAGATTGGGATTTAGCGGCGTCCCGGTCTTATATGATCAACCCTCTGGTCGTTCAGAACACGCATTTCAAGGCCTCACGAGGTTCTGCAGATCACGAGTGGTTAATCATTGTATGTAGCATGCACATGCCTTGCAGTATGCGGTTAGACCCCGTCTCCGAGCCGTGCGTTTGTGTCCATTGCCTGCAACCTACGGTGTATAGCCCGGATACTTGCGCCCTTAACCCATACGAGCGTGTAATAGCCTTGTACGCCTGCTGACCTCTCCTTTTGGGAGAAAACCAGCAATACAGAGCGAACGGAGACTGAACGGTTGCGTCATTTGCCCTTGCCCTGAGGTTGACCGTTGGCATTAGAATTGGAACCATTCAGTGCGGCGATGCCCCCACCTTTTTTTCCCCACCCCCCACTCCTGTCGCGATACGGAATCCTGTGATCTCCTCTAGAATAGCGGCCTCGGGAGGCGCAAAATTCGCTGGATTCTTGTCCTTGCGCATCCCATGCGCTTACCAAACGTCGGCCGGCCTCTTCGAAAGCTTGAGAATGGGACAACCTCCACAGTCCAGACCAATGCTCTTCTCCTGGTCCATGCCTGAGAGTGATTGCTTGGGCAAACGACTACAAAGGCGGTCCACAACGCACCGTTTACGCGAAGGGCATCGAGCGTTCGATTGGATCTGGTGCGGTGTATGCAAATTGCTTCCACGCGGTTTTGTGGCTTGCGTGGTGTGTCAAAGACTAGAGTTTGCGCACCGAGTTGATCGATGATCGTTGCGCCGCAAAAGCCACTTGGCCTTGTCCCTCGGCTTGCCACTCTATTTTTGTTTTATTTGTCGTCTTTTGTTTGTTTGATGCGCGACTGACATGCGGCGGCCGAGTGCTGGTCAAACGGTTAAGCTTCTAGTCGAACGAGGCAGCAGATCCCCAGGGTCGCTGTCTCATCATGTCCGCTCCGTCCTTTTCTCTTCCCCACGTCTCGCCTTTTCTCTCCTTGGACCCTCTCTCGGATAGACTTGTTGCTCATTTTCCGTCCCAGCCGTGAATAATCTCCGACGGTAAGCTCGACTCTGCGCACGCGACCTGTTGGCTCTAAGCGCTGATGGTTTGGTCTTTCTCGACGGATGTTGTCCCATGTTGTCCATCGCCGTTTTGGACGTTATTACTACTCTTTCAACGGTCATGATACTCTCCTCGACTCTATCTAGGTCGAGTTGCGCTCGCCATCCCATTTGTTTCGGAAAACGGCCAACATTCGACGGGCACGTTTCGGCTACATTACGCCCGACCAAACGTATGTCCTGTTCATATCTTGTTTGCAATATTGTCCTCATTTCCTGCGTCGGCTCCATCAGCGCAGTCTCTAGAGCTGGACATCCAATCCCCCCGCTCTCCGTTCGGCGACGGAAGTTATTCGACATCCGCGACCCTATAGACGCGTCAAGTCGTGTTTGGTCTCGTCTTCCTCATACCACTTTGTACGTTTTCCAGCGACTCTCCTCGCGTTCTATGCTCAACCCCCTCCCCCCCCCCTTGCAGTCGTGTTTCCTCGCAAATAGATCTCGACTTTGCATAGACTACCGCTCTCAACGCAACCACCAAGCATAATGCAGCTTCAGCTCATACCCTTTCCGCCCCATCCGGCAATCCTCTTCGCCTTTACCCTCCCGGCTCTCCCTCCTACGCTCCCCTTTCCTCCTGCGTATGCCGGTCAGCTACAGCTCCTGCTTCACACCGACCTAGACCCACCGCCGTCTCCCTATGCGCTCGACAAGGCCGTCTGGGCGGTCCACTTGATCGAAATCGTCACGTTTGATCTCCCCAAACGCAAAGTGCACGTTAAGATGGTTGACGACTCGGTCATCGAATGGGAGATGAGAGGCGAAGAGCCATGGCTAAAGCGCGTCCAGGAAAATGTGGAAAAGAGCACCAAAGAAGCGGAGCGTGAGCGCAACGAAGAGCTCAATGCCGCTGCAGCTTCGTCTGTTGCCAACCCCTATCTTCCGCTCACCAACCCGCCACTTTGTCCTCCCGAACTCGAGCGAGAAGTCACGAGCAATAGTCGAAGCCACCGCCGGTCCAAATCGCTCTTCAACTCGCTCCTCTCCGCGCTCAGCATCGGGTCATACACTCCCTCTGGAACGCAACCGTATCGGATTGGTGGAGGTGTTGGTGGCAGCGGACGCAAGGACCGATTTGAAACGTCCGCCGAGCACCTAGCGTCGACCATTCGAGCCTTTTCGATTTCGTCGCTCTCCACTTCAGAATTTACGTATCCACCCAGAGCACAACTGCGACAAGTCTCGAGTCCAGCCAGCCGCATCCTCCGACGCAATGCGCGGAGCGCCCTCGTCGATTGTTTCCGTCGTTGGGTCGTCCCCACCGTTCGTGACCGCCTCCGTTGGGGTGCGTTTATCCCCTATGATGAAGACTTGGAGACGGGACTCGACGAGACGAAATGGGGGAAAATGTCAAAGGCAACCAATGCCTATGCCGATTGGGCATGTCGGAGCAAGATTCGGCGATGCGAGTCTACCCTTAAGGATGCACTTGCACTCGTTGCGTCGCCGACGGAAGAGTCTGGTATGCGACACGAGGTCATCTCCGACAAGGACTCTCGTCGGTCGAGCGCGTCGAGTACATTGGCCTCTGCCATTTCTGCATCCAGCCGTGCAAGCTCTTCTCATCACGAACAACCATCCCCAGACGGCGAGTTTGACGAGTTTCCGGAATCTATCCTCGCCGCCACGCTAAAGACACCACGCCCGGCCGCGCTCAACAACTTGACGGGTCCGTATACTCCCATTTCTGGACGCCATGTCTCGGCATTGCAGTCGATCATCACCAAGTTTAAGACGTTGCACGACATGCTGGGTGCCGACGCGCGGGGTATGGCAGAGGGCCACAACCTGGCCCTTCGCGCTCTCGAAGAACGAGGCCGTCGAAGAGGCTGGAGCTCCATGGAGAGTGGTGGTATTCGCAAGTCTCGACTTTGGTACGTGGTGTCTATTCCATGGAATTGTACATTTGGGGCTAAACGAGGCGGAAACAGCATCAGCAACGCCGAGTATGGGTCTGGTTCGTCCGCCTGGGAGCTTTCGATTCCAGTCGTGCGCAGTGCGCTCGGAGAGATTTCGAGCACCTGGGAGGACTGGCAAATGGAGTGGGAGATGGAACGCGAGTTTGAGCACGACGAGATTGAAGACTTCAACGTCGACGACTTTCCCGACGTCGTTTCCGAATTCGAAACGGGTCCATTCCGATCAGACATCGAGTTGAACGGCCATGGTCGCAACCCCAGCTTGACGGCCACGGAGATTGACCTCAACGACGCCGAATGCCATTCCGAGTTTTCAGATTCTTCGGATGAAGGGGAGTTATCGACTGTCAACGAGACGTCGCCCACATCGCCAAGCGACTTTGCGACTCTGCAGCAACTCTCATCCTCTGATCCCAATCTCGAGCTTACCTCTGCCTCTATCGTCAAGGCTCATCGTGGGAGAAGGTCAGGCGTGCAAGCACGACTGGGGACGTACGAGGATGTACGCGACGAGATGCCGCCCAGCCCTCCTCTCGTCGCATTGAGTCCACCACCTGCGCGTCTACGGACAGGCAAGGAGAATGCAGAAGGAACCTCGACGACAGAGCCCCGCGCAAACGGTATGGTTCCCTCGTGTTGATACTCTTGGATGGGTTTTCTGACTCGACGTAGCCAGCGCCAGCCGTCCTCCAAGAGGACTAAAGCCGCTCAAGATGCAGCCGCTTGCCAACCGTGCTACATCTCATCGTCGCGAGGGAGCAACATCCGAGCATGCCCAGGGCAATTTTGCTCAGACCCGTGTCGGTGACGTCCAGTCGGGCGTGTTTGACGAGTGGGAAGAGGACACAGAGGCAGGCGACGTGTTTGGACCGATTAATCACCCCTCCTTGGAGCCACGCCGTTTCCTTGGCTCACTGCGGGATGCGTTAGAGTCGAGGATCAACGATGACGGCGGCGTGTCCGTTTTGGAACAAGTCGGTGCCTCTTCCGAGGTTGCATCTGGTCACGTATACCCTCCTGGATTGCATGGTGATTACCCATGGGGTGCTCACCCACCTTCGCCGACTCGAAAGGTTCTCGCTGTCAGCCCACGCCGTCGGGATTTCGCCGAGCTGGCTGTGGACGATGCTCGAGAGGCACTCGTAATGGACAAGTTGCCTAGTGCGCGCAGCCCGCGGTTGAAGCCGCACCTCACTCTGTCCCTATCCGCCATCAGCAAGCCACTCTCTGCACCAATGACAGACTCTCATTTGGGCCAAGCACACGTACCGGTGACTATCATACAAGAGGCGCGACCAGCACCGCTTTCAGCACCCGCTCACGTGTCGTCGTTTGAAGACAAGGTGCAAGAAGAACCGCGCACGTTGGAGGGACCGCCGAAGGAGGATGCACCTGCGCTGTTATTAGATACACCCACGGTCGAACACCCTACGAGCACGTACCCTTACACGTGGGACATTAGCGTCGTTCCTCGGGGTATGGTCGTCGTTGGGCGGGTTGGCGTCGCCGAAGACGATGCTGCATCGACGATGACGACGACGACGACGACGACAAGCGAAAAGAGCTCGAGTAGCGGGAAACTGGCAAAGCAACCCAGTAAACTGCGCAAGCCGAATCCGAATGCAAAGCCCATTCTTTGCGTGACGCCTCCACCTCCAGTGCCCCCGCTGCCGTCCAAAGAGGAACAAGCACGTCTTGTGCGATCAAAGAGTTGGAAGGGTCTCTTATCGAGGAGCGAAAAGGATACGTTGCAGGTCTCGTCCGAGGGCAAGCTCGTCAAACGCCGACGTCGTTCGGCTGAGCCTCTGGCGTCGTCGACTCCGAAAAAGACCAAAGAGGCCAGTGAACAACGTTCGCTCATGTCGTCGACGTCGTCAGAAAGTCTTGATTCGGTCGATTCTGATGATTTGGGCGAGGTTGTCGTCTCGACGGAAACGTATCACATCCCCGACGCGTGGTTTACCATCTCCGAGCCCAAAGTAGTAACACGAAAGTCGTGTACGAGCGTCAACCTTTCTGCGCCAGAACCGGAGCGGAGACCTACGCGGACAAAGAGTATGGGGACGTTGAACCGGCCACCGTCGTTTATCGAAATTGACCCGGCAATGGCACCTGCTATTCCTCCACCTCCTCGTCCTGCAAAGAGTTTGAAGCGGAGTCGGAGTGTCGGGCACATGGTCGCAGAGTCGTAGACGGAAAAGCGTCTAGTGCCCCTTGTATTCATACGTCTAGTCTAACCCCCTTTTCTTTTCGCACTGGTCAAAAGTAATTCTCGTTTTGTGGCCCCTGATTTGGTGGCCATTTTCACTCGTTTGTCCCCTCAAGTCGACGCGGAAGTCGGAACGGTTGCGCTTGAAGCGTGTATGATAGACGGATCGTGTCCTGTTGAATATAGTAGGATGAATTGGATATATATGGTGCGCGATGAGCTCAGAATGACGACGGGTGTGGCCACTTGATCGACGGGGATGGTTCTCGATTTCGAACGTGGGATGAAAACAAGACTAGTTGTCTAGGAATAGTCGGTAGAAAAACCTGTCGGGTTCGCTCGCTTATGGACCCCGCCTCGTCAGACTAGAGGCCGGTGCGGTGGTTGCTTGTTAACAGGCTGGAAGCGAAAAAGACGGTCTCTATCGAAAGTGTAGGAATTTATTTTAGAGTTTTGACAGAGGGAGCCACAGGTCTCGCTAGGATCATGCACTCCAAAGGCCGATTAACAGCGAAGGGGCTCAGTGGCGGAAATTGCGCACGCCGGACGAGTTTCGAGCCAAGCCAAACTGCGCAAAAAGAAAAAACGGTCGTGATCAGACCCGTGATTGAGAAAAAGAGGAGCGGCCGGCGAGGAATGAATGCCACTCCCGGGTCACGATGGACAGGCGATTGGACACTGAAACGCCGGGAGAAGAGCCAGGTGATCATTTCCAGAACAGGAGACCGGCGAGAAAACAAACGTTGCTGTGAAGCGCTCTTGGGCGTGATCATCCACACGGACGGATAATGGCTTGCATCATTTTACTCATAACGTAAGGGAGAGCCCCCCCTCCCGGTCTCCGAATGTCGTGACCTGCCTCTGCTAGCCGAGCTGCTCGACTTTGTTTTGTGCTTTAAAACCAGCAGCTGACAGTGGCGCATCCTCTCCAGTCCTCTTTCCACTTTTTTCTCCAACGACTATTAGCTTCAAAATGTCCAACGAACGCTCCACTTCCCGCGGTCGTGAGGCTGTCACCTATGTAAGCAACCCTGATGACTGATGCTGGGTGGCACTTTTGGGCTCACGCGTCGTCAACTCGCAGACCTATGGCCGTGGTGGCGCAGGAAACAAAGTTCGATCTCCTTCTCGAGACCCTTCTGGACAACCTGGTGTAGCCCCAGACGACTATTCGGCCACCCGTGGACGTGAACTTCCTCCAACGACAAATGTAGAGGTGCGCAACTCCTTCTAAAAGACGGACAAACGAATGCTCATCAGTCACAGGGAAAGATTATCACTTACGGACGAGGAGGCGCTGCCAATCATCGCTCCCTCTCGCGCGATGCTCTTGTCGAGTCACGCAATGCCCTCAAGGAAGAGGCAAAATATGTGCGCGAACATGTGACAAATGACGTTCCAGTATGTACATCTCCCTCTATTCAACACAACCTCTCGCTAACCCACTCCTCAGGTCTCTCATGGCCGAGGTGGCGCTGGCAATATTTCCAACTCGCGCTCCCGTTCCCGCTCACGAGACCCAACGGCTGCCGTCGGAAACCCAGCTACCGTCGGTGTCTTGCATGGCAAGGGCGGTTATGGCAATGTGAGCCATCCCGACGGCACAGACTCGACCCTCGAGCGTCTTGCAGAGGAAGAGGAGCAGAAGCGTATTGGTGCCGAACGCCATGAAAGAGAGGAAAAGGAGGGTCAAGTGTGAGTGTTTCCCCCTTTTTGCTTCTTTGGAGGACGACGCTAATGATCCCTTGTAGTCACTCGACTGGACGAGGCGGCTTTGCCAATTTCTTCCATCGCACGAGCACAGACGGCAACTCTACGCGCGACAAATCCCGTGACGCCTCCAAGACGCGCAAGTCTGGCGAGTTCCTTTCGACTGGACGGGGAGGTGCAGCGAACATTGTCCACCGCGACTAGGCATTAACCCCTATAAGAATGGTACTGGGATATGAAAACGAAGAATGGTCACGATGGCCTCGCTATTATTCAAAGTCTCCACGCTCCCATATCCGTATAACTCGCTCTAGTCTCAACACTCGTCTGCCGAACACTTCCTGTAGCTTACATGGAATACAATAACTTGTACCTTGTCTACGTGACGCCTGTAAACTGAGGAAGCGTAGCCTGGGTAAAGCTCCGAGTCGATGAAACTGTCTAGTAGTATACATTCTATTTGCTATGCGCTAGGGTGAGAGAGCGTCCGACAATCCTCGAGACAGCTCGAAGTAGGTAGGCTTATCGAATATGGAACATGGCCCGGCGTATCTGCCAGAGCGACCCCTTGTGCGACGTGGAGTACCGAGAGAGTGATCGACTCTTCCATTTCAACCCGGTTGGGGGGAAGCTGTATTGTTCCACCAAATCCATCCCAAGCAATCGTTGTGTATCCCGTTGCTCGACTGGATGCGACGATGGACTGGCGGAGCGAAAGAAAGAAGCGGCTGACAACGATACTCCTCAGCGCCATATTGCAAGAGTCTGAAAAGGATTTGAGACTCCATGGACAGAGAAGCCACTGAAAAATGTCAACGCTCTACGAATGTGCACACGAGAGGACCGTACCACGAGAGAACCCCATAGGCGAAGGAGAATTGCAACCTTGAAGAGAGCTTTAGCATTATTCCCTCCCCTCTAAGCAGGAACATTCTCACAGCAAAGTACGTCACACCGTCTCGATACAGACGGTCGAGGACAGGCAAGGCGACGCTATTGCCTTCTGAGAGGAGTATTGGTCTGGAGCGAAGAGCGTGCTTAATAAGAAGAGCAGTGGCGACAACCTCACACGGAAGCTACTTTCCTTTGAGCGCAGGCCTCGAGCGTGGAAATCAACATACAGCACAGAGAAAGGTGGAGGCGACCATGAGGGTCGTATTCGGTGGCGGCGTCTGGGTAACACCGCAACCATGATCTAGAGCACCGACACGAGCTATTGACTGTGAGCAAGAAAATAAAACAACAGGACCAGCAACGTACGAAGGAGTAGATAAAAGGCTATACAGGTCATGGGGATTTGAAAGAGGACATAGCCAGTAAACACCCAGATAACAAGCAACCGTGACCTTTTGCTCCCTTGGTACAAAGCGCACACCCGCATGCAGTGCAGGGCTACATAGTATGGCATGGGCTGGTTGATCTGACCATGCGAGCAATACGCACCGGTGGAGGATACTGAGACAACTACTCGACATATTACAGCTCCCAAGGTAAAGTATCGACATCTGGAGACACTTAGAGACGAACTAGTCGATGAGAAATCCTTACGCCTAGGGAATACATAGTCAGCCAGAGGACAGGTCGAAAAGGGAAGTCAATGATACCAATTTGGAAATGTCCCCATCAACGGGTTTTGCCCTGGTTGACTCAGATGGGATCAAACCTCAAAGCTCTAAGAACGTACGAAATAGGCCCAGTGGCAGGCCAATTGCGGGTAGATATCGCGTCTATAAGCATTATGGCTGCCAAGATGTGCGACTTTGACCAATTACTGACGATGACAAAGATGGTGCGAACTATCCAACCCCCACCAATCTTCCAGAAGAATAGTCGCTGGACGAATGAGCAACGTTCATCCGACAGCATGTGACACTGACCTCTTCATCAACTGTGAGTAGGTAATCATAATAGTACGCCACGGCTCCAGCCACCGACACGTATTGAACGATGCGTGATGCCATCGCCGTCGCTATTGCGGAGCTCATCACAAAGTAAACAGTCCACCTCCTTGCGGGTGACGGAATTGGCGAGGTTCAAGGTGCAACGAGCATCTGCATAGACTTGTCGCGTAACCTGTTCCACGCTCAAAGGTTGTAATCACAGCTCCGAGTACCTCGGCTGGCGCGGAGCGCCGTTCGTAATTTGAGTGGGCGGGTGGATGGGCCAAATAGTCCATTCTATCACTTAATTCAGTAACTTGCCTATCCGACGGAGGGTCTAATTGCGATCAAGATGCTTACGACGCAGCATTGGCTGCATTGAGAATATAATAATACGCCGCTGACCTCGGACGTACATTGCTATTCTAATAGAACAGCGCATTTGCAGGTGCTCGGTGTGACTTGATGGCGCAAGACAGGTCATGGTCGTGGCATGGTCACATCAAAATTAGCGATATCGAATCAAGAGTATGGTTCGCGTCACCAGGGAGGCTGCACGAGCGTTCCAACCTCAAAGATGTGCAAATATGACCGCTCCCATGGACGTCAGCCTGCTCTAATCCCAGCTAACTTGTTCATTAAAGCTACTTCCGAACACAATAGAGGCCAAGCATCCAGTCTATCCGAGTCCGAGATTGCTACAGGGAGCTCTATAGTGCCTTGGTTTACCTCCAGCTTTGCCGCGTAAGCTCGGTGGGCATTCAGATTATTGCGGATCGTTGCGTAAAGCTCATCTATAGCTCGTTTCAATAGTACATGAAAGCGTGTATAATGTCTAGTCTGGGTCAGAGTGTGTACGGCAGAGCTCTAGGCCACTCGGATTGTCTCCGACAGGGCTATCCACCTCGGTCTGCTTGCGATAGATTGTAGACAGCCGTATCGAGTCACCGTTCATAGAACGCTGTGGTGGGAGCTGTATAGTCCCGCCGAGCCCGTCAATGGCAATGGTTGTGTGCTGGGCGATCCGACTCGACGCCACGATCGACTTGCGGAGAGAGAGGAAGAACCGACTGGATACGGTGCTCCTCAGCGCCATATTACAAGAGTCCGAAAAGAATTTAAGACTCCAAGGGCAGACAAACCACTTAAGCCCGCTGAGTCACTCGCAAAGACAGGGACGATAAGATCTTACCACTAGGCAACCCCATAGGCGGAGTAAAAATGCAATCTCGACGAAATGATCAGCTGCATTAATCTTTTTACCCGGTAATACTTACAACAAAGTATGCTACACCATCACGGTATAATCGGTCAAGGACCGGCAGCGCGGCGCTATTGCCCTCCGAAACGAGCATCTGCCGGCATTTGAGGGCGTGTTTGACGGTAAGAACAATCACCAGAGTCTCGCATGGAAGCTATCTCGACTTGAGTGTGGATCTTTGGCCTTGAATCGACGTACGGCGCAAAGGAAGGTCGAGGCGACCATGTGCGCAGTACCGAATGGACGCCTACTAATGATATCGCAGCCATGGTACAGAGACCTCACATGGGCTAGAATTACGCTGAGCGCGCATAATTTTATGTAAAGGGAACTTACGCAGGAGCAAATGGAAAGCGACGCAAGACATTGCGACTTGAAAGAGGACATATCCAGTAAAGACGGCAATCAGTACTCGTCTCACCTTTCTCCTCTCACGATACAAGGTGTACACCCGAAGACAGTACATGCCTTTACTTCGGTGAGCTAGGCGAATTGACCAAGTTGACCAATACGCACCGGTGGATGATATAGATACAATTACTCGACAGACAGCGTTGCCGAGGGTGATATAACGACACCTAGAGGGCGTTCATACGTGAAAAAAGACAATGGAGTTCATACGTCTGAAAGGGCGTCAGTACGCGAAAAACAAGTCGCGAGGAAAGCGCGTACTGGGTCTGATAAATGTCCCACGAATGGTTTGTCCCTTTTTCAGCGAATAAGTAAGCTATAACCTCGGATCGTGTATTCGTAGGCTTACGAAGTAGACCGAGCGGCAAGCCAATAGCTGGCAGATATCGCGTCTACAAGCCATTACTTGCGAAACTAGCAGCTTTGCGAATGTACTCACAAGGATAAAGACTATACGGACGATCCAGCTGCCTCCAATTCGCCAGAAAAGTTGTCGCTAAAGGGACGACATAGTGAGCTAGTGTGGTCCACTTCCGCTTTATGCCCACCTCAGCGTCAATGGTGAGTATAAAATCATAATAATATACCACTGCTCCAGAGACGGAGACGTATTGGGTGACGCGCGAGGCCATTGCCGTCGCCATTGCAGCGCTCATATTAATGCGCCCACAGGTGAACAAGCCCAAGCGAGGACTTTATCTAGGAGCTCACGCGACTGATAAAAGACTGAAGAGGTGGAGTCCAAGCCGTGGCTACGGCTGACTATACCCCGTTTAGGCATAGGCCATACCCATCAGAGACTCAATGTCGTAATGTTGATTCCTGTGCGCTTCGACTGGCGGTTGATATTCGTTCTCAGAAGCTGCCAGGAGAAGAATTAGCCCCTCCGAATATTGATTTTGTTGACCTTGACGGAGAGTTGAACGGTCAGGGTCTAAACTTTTCTGTATTCGAAGCTGGGTCTATATGCCGCAAACCCTGGCAAGAATACTTCTCGGTGACAGTAATCGACTCCGGTGTGTTATATGGCGCGGGGCGTAGCGCGGCTGTTCGGGTGGTAACTGCCATCCCACAAGGTCGCACGCTTTCCAATCGAGACTAGGTCCCATCGAGTGAGTGAGCTGTCCTTGCGGACCTGTGATGGAATCGGCCGGCGAATTCAAGAGACAACTGACAGAGAAGCCCAAATCCCAACAAATTGATGCGCTATCTCATGCTCAATCAGAAATGAATACTCTGTGATAGACAGGACTAAGAGTTTCGCCACAAAAGAGTGGGATCAAGCCAATTAGAACTGGTATTTACTCGTAGGAGGGATATCTTTCTTCTTGCTGCTTACAGTCGAGAGCTGCATTGCCTGACCCAGATCCTCGCTCTCCGCAGGCGGGAGCTCTATGGTTCCACCGAGACCATCAACGGCGATGGTTGTTGTGTATGGAGCTATACGAACGGAATCGGCGATTGACTTGCGGAGAGAAAGGAAAAAACGGCTGGCGACTATACTCCTCAGCGCCAGGCTACAAGAATCTGCGAAAGGTGCGAGGCTGCTTGGACAGAGAAACCACTAAAAACGGTAAGCCACAGATCGGAAGTATAGGCGACAGGAGATATACCACAAAGCAACCTGATATGCGGAGCAGAAATGCGACCTGCATGGGAGTTTGAACGAGGAATTTTCGCACGAACAGATACCTACGCCAAAGTACACGATACCGTCTTTGTAGAGTCGTTTGAGGATGGGCAACGCGGCGCTGTCAGCCCTCGGAGGGGAGACTCTGTCTAGACAAGACTGCGTGCCTGACAGTCAGAACGATGACTATTGTCTCGCACGGAATCTATTTCACATCAGTGCACCATTCGAGCGTGGAATCGACGTACTGCACAGAGATAGCTGGACGCGACGACGAAGGAGGTATAAGATGGGGGTGCGCGGTTGATGATACAAGCACGGTTGACCGGGCCAATGCGGGCTTAACAGGCGTAAGTCCAGGAGGCTCTCATAGGGAGAATACTGACGCAGGAGCAGAGAAAGTGCGATGGAGGAGAGTACAAACTGGAAGGCGAGATAGGCGCCAAAACCTGCCATAAGGAGCCGCTGGGGCCCCTTCTTCTGTCGACATAGGGTATGTACTCTGAGGCAAAACATGGCTATCATTCTGTGAGTACAGGCTCTCAAATAGTAGGAGCGATGCGCACCGGTAGATGCTATGGACACCAATAACCGACATAGAATGTTTCCAAGTAAAACACCACGACATCTATATAGACTTAGATATGGATGGATTCAAGGGAAGATCCTACGTCTAAAAATAGTTGGTCAGGATTCAATCAAATTTGAGAAGGCGAACCAGGTTTGAGTTAAGCTCAATGAACGGATTGAGACCTATGATTGGGGCGGAAATGAGACTCATTCGAGCAATGAGATTTGTCGGCTCACTAAGTAGACCGAGTGGCAGCCCAGCGAGAGGCGTATATCGTACCTGGTGAAGCCGTACTTAGTCAATGGTAGAGACCTTGGAAAATCACTGACAGCGATAAAGATTGTCCGGACGATCCAACTACCCCCAATTTTCCAAAACAGTCGCCACTACAGAAAACAAACTAAGATTAGGACTTGATTCGCATTCTTTACTGACCTCGTCCTCCAAAGTAAGCGTGTAATCGTAGCAGTATGTGACAGCTGCGGCTACAGAAGTGTATTGGATGACGCGCGAGCTCATCCTCAGCGTTATTGCGAGTTCCATTATGCTAAGAGGAGGGAGTTAGAGTAAATAATGAGTGCCGTCCGGAGCCCACGGCGGCGCGAGGGATAGATGACGAGGGGCGAGGTGAGGACCAAGAGAGCTGAACGCTGTCTTGAAGGTTACATGCCCGTCAGCGGTCAGAACGCAGACTTGGTCATATGTGGAAAGGTGCGAGCACAACGCTTTAGAGGCCGCAATGTCGCATGATGCGGTATGGGCCCGAGCTGATCGCATGATAGACGGAGCGGCCGCATGAATTTGCTTTTCTTTTGATCCGATTACTAGGATCTTCCTGTCTCGCAGATGAGCCCGTTTGAATATTACGGTATGTTGTCGATCTATTCCCTTACGTCTCTAGGTTGCTGGACCCTGCTGCGGTCAGCGGTGATGACCGGAGTCGTAAACGACCGTCTATTGCGATAATATCTATCAACATCCATTCCCTGTCTCGATTATTCCACCTGCGCTTGCAACGCGAACCCAACTAGTTCTGGTTAGGTCTAAACTCGTCGCACGTCAGAACTTGGAGTTGGCCTCGCCGAATCAGGAGTCACCTATGTAGGTTTCTTCCATATGAGATACAAAAAAAGACTAGAAAGTTATACACGGTCCGGGTAGATACAGGGCCGGTCATACTGTTCATCTAGTCCGCGAGCTCATGTCTTTCGAACTTGTTGGGCCCATATCAGAGAGTCTGATATCCTCAGATGCCCGCGAATCAGGATCGCGCGTCCTTGCAAGCGCTACGCTATACGTATCCACAAACTGAGAGCCCTCCAAGGCAGTGGAATGGCGGGTTTCAACGGGTGGTCTGAACACCAATTCCCGTAGGCCAAGGAAGAACCTAGTTGAGATCACACTGTTCAGACTATAGATCAGAAGGTCGGAAACAAATTTGAAATCCGAGGGTAATGTGAGCCACTGGAGATAGTGTCAACGGTGGTCTAAAATGACAAGTTTTTTCATTGGACTCACCACGATGGCACCAAAAAGGCGCAATCCAAAGGCGAGCTGATCTCGGACATTAGCTACGTCCCCCATCGAATGAACATATCACACCAAAAAATAGATGGCGCCATCTTGATACATGCGTCGTAGAATTGGCATGGCGGCGGATTCGTGGTGTAATAAACGTTTCTGCTTTGCTCCTCTTGCATGCAGGTAGGTCGCGACCAGAATTACTACCTCGCAGGGGATCTTGCGAGAATTAAGACGGAGTGGTATATTTACAAACGGACGTACCATGGATAAGTAGGATCCTATGACCATCTTGTATTGGTCTTTTGGTGGCGGGCCTATTAATACGCAAGTGGTCCTCCCAAATCTTACGAGAGCTACAGGATCTTCAGTACAGGTAGATATTTTGAATACTCTTACTCATGATGCTCGAGGTAGCTAAGGCTCCCATTACGACCTGGACAGCGACGCTCAGATAAAATGACGATAAGATCAGGGCTTTCGCCTTCCATTCTTCGCGATATAATGTGTATATACGAAGACAGAATATTCCTGTAAAAGCTATAACTTGATCTTTTAGCGAACAGGAAACCCACCCGTTGAAGATGCCGACATAGTGATCTGAGCCGTAACATTAATCACTTTAGACGCGCGACAGCTATGGATCTGTCACATTAGCTCGCACGAATAGGGATTTCACATACATCTATTGAGAGATTAGACCGAAAACGTGAGTAGGAGAAGGCGAACCTGATCCGAAAGATGTAACCTAAACGGGTTCAATTCAATAAGGCCGATGGAGAGCCCGAGGATGGGGGCGTATCGAGTCTATTCGGCGTATGAGTCTCTCAACCACAAATTGGTCGGATGTCGCACAAAAAGAAAGAGATATCTCCCAACTGGTGCACTCCGTGTCGTCCAAAAAAACTGAATCTAGATAGAAGTTGGTGATTAGACGAGTGAATTGACTAGTAGACTCAAGTACGAACCTCTGCGGCCAACGTGAGTGCGAAGTCGTACAGATACACGGCTGCTCCGGCTATGGAGACATATTGGATGATCAGCAGCCTTTCCACGCGAGTTGCTATTGATTCCATGTCGCCAATGCTTGAACTCGCCTCGCTGGTCGTCCGGAGACGGAGAGGTCAAAGCTGAGGGCCAGAGCGGCCGTCTGGCGTCACGCCTCAGAGTTGCCTCGAGACCACCGAACACGCTGGCGCCGAGAAATGTCCGGAGAGTGGAGCCCTCGACAGGCACTGGGAGAACAGGGACACGATGAGACAAGTGACCAGCGTTCAGGGAGGAATTCGGACGGTGTGAGGAGTCGAGTGAAAACTCTTCTGGCTCAATCATCCATCTCCAGGGCGGTAAACGAGTCATTTATCGCGCAAATTCTAGGCAGATATCCACTCGAGCACGTCGTCGCAGGCGTCGGGGATGCTTCGCCACCTGGGAACATGTTGCAACTTTTCCCTAAATTCATGTTGCTCATAGGTACATAGTATATCGTAACCAATAGGGGTCTAGTAGAACAAACGAGTGAGGCTATCGATGCGAAGCCCTAAGAGAAAGCCGGAGGGTGCTTCCAAGGGCGTAAAAGGTAGTCGGTAAAGTCTATGCGGTAACGCTTGTAGATTGCATTATAGGCTACAAAATTGAGCAGAGAAGTTACACACAGTTCGGGTGGACACAGGGATGGTCATATTGTTCATGTAGTCAGCGAACAGCCACCTTCCGGGCCTCTTGGCGTTATGAAAGAGAGTCCTATACCGTCTCGTATACTAGGATCGGGGTTGCGCGTCATTGCGACCGGTAAGCTGTACGTATCGACAAAGAGCGAGCCCTCCAAGGTAGTGGGGCACTGCGTTTGAACAGTGGGTCTATGTACCAGTTGCCGTAGTCCGAGGAAGAATCTAGTCGAAACCACACTGCTCAGACTATAGATGAGAAAGTCGGAAACAAACTTGAGCTCTGCAGGGCACGCGAGCCACTGGATGTAAAGTTAGCATTGAGAAGCAATATGAAAAGATGTTGATCAGACATACCACGATAGAGCCACCAAGGCGCGTTCCAAAGGCGATCTGGTCCCAAACGTGAGCTGGCTTCTCCACCCAATGAACCCACTGTACCAGAAGATAGATGGCACCATCTTGATACATACGTCGTAGAACCGGTAAAGCAGCGGATTCACGACTCAAGAAGTGCTTTTGCTTTGCCTCTATTGCATGCAGATACGTCGCGACGAGAATCACGGTCTCGCACGGGAGCTTGCGAGTCATAAGAAGAGGTTTTATATTGGCGAGAGAGCGTACCACAGATAAAAAGCATCCCGCGACCAGTATGTGTAAGCCTTTTGGTGGCGGTCGAGCAAATGCGCAAATGGTCCCGCGAAACTCTATGATGGCTACAAATCTGTCAGTAAAAGTAGAGTGTTCCGAGTTTCCGTACTTATGAAACTCGAAATAGCAACGAATCCGAGTGCGACCTGGACGGCGACGGCCAGATAGAACCACGCTAGCATTAGAGCCTTCATCTTCCATTTTTCCCTGTATAGAGTGCATATACGCATGCAAAACATTCCTGTAACGGTTAAAATTACTTTCCTGAATGAGCGAGCAGCCCACCTGTCGAAGAGGCTGATATAGCAATCTGAGCCACGATTGTGATTACTCTGGAGACCCGACATCTATATGGCTGTCATAACGACTCGGATGCCAGGATTTACACGTACGTCTATGGAGAGATTAGACCGAAAGCACGAACATGGGATAACGGACCTGATCGGACAGATGGGCAACGAACGGATTTAAATCAAGAAGACCGGCTGAGAATCCGAGGAGAGGAGAGTACCGAGTCTATTATACCTATCAGTTTCAACCACGGGTTAGTGATACAACGCACAAAGAGGAAGAGGTGTCTTCCAACCCATCCAATCCTTGCCCTCCAAAAGAACTGTATCTAGATTCAGGTTGTTGATTAGAATGTATAACCCGCTAGCGGACTAAAGCACGAACCTCCGCACCAAACGTGAGCGCCAAGTCGTATAAGTATACGACCGCGCCAGCTATGGAGACATATTGGACAATTGTCATGATCTCCAGACGCGTGGTCATGGATTCCATCTTGAGAAACTGTTGGAAACAGGTTCGCTGGTCGATCAGAGGTGGAGAGGTCTGAGCGTTGTAGCTTATATTGTTCTGGCGAAATTACGAGAGCTATTTATAGGAATCTTCAATTATAGCTGCCGTCTGATCCGTACTGCGCGCCAGGGGGCCCCAACCTCTCTCAAACACCGACGCCGTCGGCGTCTAGTCTCTCCCAGTTCTAGCGCGGATGGTGACAACAGAGAACCAATGACAGAAGTGTCCACTATCTGATCCAGAAGGCTCGCTGGACTCGGCAAAGTCTCAAAAAGCCGCGTTGAGCCGTTCCCAGTCACGGACTCTGACATCTAGCTCTACCGTCCACTCACAAGTGATTAGAAACTGAATTACGGTTTAAGTTATCGAGCACATGTCCATTTCACGGACAGCTATCCAGCCGACGCGGTCGTCGTAGGCTGCAAGGATGCATCACCACCTGAGTGTGTCTGCACAACTGACTAGATTCCGATAATATTTAGTTATTGGTGCATAATTTACCCGAACCGATATGACGCTACCAGTATAGCAATATGGAGCAAACGAGCGAGGTCATTCGTGGGGATAGTCCGCATATGTCTCTCTCAAACGCTTTCCATGGGGTTTGAGTCTCGATAGACGAGGTAGAATATGACGCGACCTTTTCGGCAGAGTGAAGGTGTCGGCCGTTGGCATGGACAACGACCCAGGCAGCGCGGCATTGGCACGCGAGATGGACCCGCGAAGCCTTAAGAAGAATCTGGAGGACAGGATGCTCGTGAGCGCGTAAATGCCATAGTCGGCAGAGGGCTTGAGGATGGCTGGCGCCTCAAGCCACTGTAAGAGTGGTCACCAATCCTGAAGAGAGTTCTGACAGATGCACCTACGACTATTGCGCCACACATCCTCAGGCTGACGGCAAGCTAGCCAATGTTAACCCGGCTATATGCAAGGGCGAGAGTGGTGCTTACTCTAAAGCATGCGGTTCCATCTCGATAAAGTCGTGTGAGGATGGGTAACGTGGCTGAGGCTCCGTCTAGTAAGTGAAGTCTCTTCGCGCAAACCGAGTGGGCGAGGGTTGCAAGTAGAATAACCATCTCGCATGGCAACTAAAGCTTGTAAGATAAGAAAAAGGGGGCGAGTATGCATACCATAGATAGGTACGAGCCTGCGACAATCTCGTGCAGGTGCCTTATGTCCCCAGTCGTGCCACAACGCCCATTTATGGAACAAGTGAGGGCTGTCTTGCGATAAACAGTAGAAAAGACACCGTGAACACTTACGAATGAGGAGTCGTAGCGCCATAATTCCCGACGGCTATAGCACTGAAGAAGCCGAAAGCAGTGATGAATAGAACAACTCGTCGCTCTCTGTGATAGAGCATGCAAATTCTGAGACCAAATATTGCTAGTAAAATGTTAGGCGTCGCGAATGAAGCCCCACATGAACGGACCTGTTGTTGACAGGGAAAGCATGAATTGCAGAACAGTAGTGGCGGACCTTGCCAGTTTACATCTACACAAAGGTAAGAAAAGGGAGAATACGGTGCTCACTGTACTCACACCTATCGGAGAGTCAGCGATGTCATCGCATACGACGGAATCTGCAAACATTACTGGAGATAGGGGACGCAAACGAATCAACGAGTAGGAGGGGTAAACCGACTGTGGGCAAATATCGCGTCTGGTTGTCTAAATGAGTGCACTCTTCCAGCCGAGGTTGCACGCACGAAGAAGAACACGCGCTTTCCAACCCATCCACTCGAAGGAGTCCATATCAAGCCAACCTACTCACAGAGTGTCATCCTTGTCAACGCGATGACATTCGATAGAATTACCTCTGACGGAAGAGTGAGGGCGTAGTCGTACATAAACACAGTTGTGCCAGAAATAGCGGCATATTGGGCAATTCTTTCGTGTGATAGGACGCACCCATGGCCGCTTGACCTTCGGTGGTGAGGGAGGGGCCAACGATAGTTCCCGTTCCGCATGGTCGTCGGTTCATGCTCACTGTTCATTCGCGAGAAGCTATGTGCACTAGAGTCGTCTTCAACCGTGACATGCGCCGTATATGAAATGCGAATAGTCCGGGTCCGCGCTTTGGATGCCGGACTAGTCCTCATTATGCAGTGTAACCTACTACTCTAGATTTGCAGCTGGGGTCGACTCTAGCCTGCTCAAGCATCGACTGCTGTGCCCACTTGGTCGTGCGGGGCACTGTAATCGCGAGTTCCGTATGGATATGTTCATATCCGGTGGTTGTTGTCGGTCCTGAGATCCTATATATTGGTAAGATTGCCGTGTATGGATTGACATTCGGCATAGTCGGGTTCAAGGTTGGTACCCTTGGGATTGAGGCGAAAAGAGATGCTGACGGCCGATTGTATAGACCCTGTTGTATGTTACTTCTACTAAGCATCAGTCTAGTCTGTTAAATCTGTGCGGAAGAGCCTCCAGGAATTCATGAAGCTCAGGCGAGTTCATTTCCCATTGGAAAGGAGATGGACTTCATATTTATTGTGGGGGCTCACGTACGGAGGTGCATTTGGGAGAATTGTGGATTGCTGGAGCGTACTATGGATGAACGGTGATATCTGGAATGGGAGACTGCCATTCTCGGAGTGACTTTAGCCAAAAACTATGCAGATCTATCCTTTATCTTAAGTAGTCCACATGAACTTTGGTTGCCAACTTGATCTAATTATGGTTAGGACCAAACTCGTGCACTCGCGTTGTTCTTTCACGGGGCTCTAAGCCGGCCAATGCGAATAAATAGTATCCAGCGCAAGATTATTTCGTAAAATGCAAGAAAACGAAAGGGAAGTAGTACAGGGTTTGAGTTGGCACAGGCTTGGACGTAATACTGTTCATCTGCTCCGCGATCAGGCGCCTTTCGAGCACCTTGGCTCTATGAAAGAGCGTTTGATAATTTGGATGCACCGGAATCAACATTGCGCGTCCTTGCCATGGGATAGCTATACGTGTCGACAAACAGCGAGCCCTCTAAGGAGGTGGTATGGTGCGCTTGAACGGTGGGTGCGGGTACCAATTGCCGTAGTCCCAAGAAGAACCTAGTCGAGATGACACTGCTTAAACTGTACATGAGAGGGTCGGAGACAAACTTGAGGCCAGAAGGGCACGCGAGCCACTGCGCATAATTAGCAGTGACCTCGAATAACGAAATTCTAATTGGACCCACCACGGTGGCAGCGGCAAAGCGCATTACGAAGGCAAGCTGGTTCCAAAGGTTAGCCGAATCCTACCTCTGGATCAACCCACCATACCAAGAAATAAATGGCACCGTCTTGATACATCCGTTGTAGAATTGGCAAGGCGACTGACTGGTGGCTCAAAAAATGTTTTTGCTTCGCTTCCCTCGCATGCAAGTAGGTCGCGACTATAATCACGATCTCGCAGGGGAGCTCAAGAACCTTAGGACAGAGTTATAGAGCTGTAAAGTGAGCTCACCGCTGACAAAATGCATATTGCGACCATGGTGGGTAGGTTTTTGGGTGGCGGACGCGAGAATGTACAAGTAGTTCCGTAGAATCCTACGAGGGCTACAGGATTTCAGCACAAGTGGGAGTTGACAAATTTCATACCTTTGATGCTCGAAATTGCAATACCACCGGTTACGACCTGGAACGCGACACTTGAATAAAAGCACGAGAGGATCAATGCCTTTGTCTTCTTTTTCTCGCGATACAGTGTGCATATACGAAGACAAAACATTCCTGTAAAGGTTATAATTGCCTCTTTAGATGGGAAGTGGCCGACCTGTTGAAGAGGCTGACATGGCGATCTGAGTAATGACAGTGGTTACTCTGGAGACCTGACACCTATAGAGCTGCCACAATTGTGCGCGCATACAGGAAATTCACATACGTCTGTCGAGAGATCAGACCGGGAGGCTGAGCGTGAGATAGCGAACCTTATCAGACAATTGTGCACTGAACGGGTTCAATTCGAGGAGAGCGACGGAAAGCCCAAGGATGGGAGAGTAACGATTCTGGTCCACCTGTGAATCTCAGCGACGGATTATTCAGACGACGCACAAAAAAGAAGACGTATTGTCCGACTCGTCCACTCCTTGTCGTCCAAACAAGCTCGGTCTAGATTGGAGTGGGGAATTAGTTTGTTGCATTGGCCATCAAATTAAATTACCAACCTCCGCCCCGAACGTGAGCACCAAATCGTATAAATACACGATTGTGCTGGCGATGGAGACATATTGGACGATAAGCATGTCTTCCAACTTCCTCGTCATCGATTCCATCTCGAGACACCGTTGGACCAACGGTTATTCGCTCAGAGACGGAGGGATCCAAGCTTATGCTGTCGCTTATGTATTGAGATGATGAGAGCTGCAATAGGGGATTTGTCTATAGGTGCCGTCTGATTGGGTTGTTACTTCTCACACTAGCGAGTCCGTTCCCTCATGAACACCGACGGTGTCGGTGTCCAGCAAAGCCCACGGTCGAGGCCTCATATGAGGCCCTAGGAGAACGATCCTGGCGACATAGATCGCCTATATCCTGATTCGGAATCTGTGCCCGATCAGAAAATGTGTCAAAATGGAGGCTGTTGCAATGCTCCAGTCTAGACGTTCACCCCCGTTGACCATCTGCTACCTAACTAGTCGCAAAGCCGGTACATAGGTGATATCTCGTGTGGATGTTGATCTCTGCGTGCAGTTATCACTCGGCGCGGTCGTCGTCGGCATCAAGAGACTATCAGCTGGAGCATAACGCTGAAGAAATGGAAAGCAGTGGTAACTAAGATACTACGTCGCTATCTGTGTTAACTTGAGCGCATTCTGAGACTGCGTATTGCTCGCTCGGGCGCGATGTCAATGCTCTACAGAGATTCGACGCCTGTAGAGTTGTCATAAATGTGCGCATATCCGGAGATTCCGCGTACATTTAACGAACAGTCAGAATAAAGGCTCGGATGCGGGATAGCGAACCTGAGTGGATAAATGAGCGGCGGATAGATTCAATTCTAGAAAGCCGATAGGAACGCCAAAGACAGGAGAGTATCGCGTCTTTCTCTCTGGTCAGCTTCAATGGACGAGACGACGCACGAAGAGGAAAAGCCATTTCCCGATGCGTCCACTGTTTGCAGCGCAAATGAATTCCGTCTGGGTTTCAATTGGTTATTTGGTGAGTTATCCGCTAGAGCACAAACCTCCGCACCCAACGTGAACACCAAGCCGTACAAATAAACGACTGCGCCAGCTATGGAGGCATAGTGGACAGTCATCGCATCTTTACGACGCACTATTACTGACTCCATCTCCAAAAAACGTCGGAACCAAGTTTGCTAGTCTTTCGGAGGCGGAAGAATCAAAGCTAAGTATTGCAATATCGCCATTCCAAAAGGTGGCAAGAATTATCATAGGTCGGTCCTAGCTTCGCGCGCCACAGGGCTCCGTTCCCTCAAAGACACCCACACCGTCGGCGTCCAACAAATAGATGTGGTCGAGCCCTGGAACGAGGAAAATAGACCCAAGGCCAGACCTATCCTTCCTTTATTGACTCGGCTTTCCTCGCCTCTATCGAGACAAGTCGTTCAAGAAACTTATTCGGAGTGACGCTTCATCTCCGAAGTAGTAATGGAGCCGAGACGTCCCTTGTTACAAGCGGATAAAGATCTCCCCAGAATAGCAGTGACTTACCATATCTGTATATATGGGCGTAGGTGTCACGAATGCATCGCCGTCCCAGTGGCGAACGTTGGCCAGGTTTCGGTGATAGAGATATGATAATGCCAAATAGTGACCACGCATATTAGTATACAAAGGAAATGAACGGAATCATGATTGTGATAGCTCAACGTCTAGTTTCTCCAAGGGTCTGGCAGTTGGCTTGTGTATTGATTGTCCCAGATTGCGATTCGATATTTGGGATAGGGCAAAGGTCTCAGCAGTAGTTGTGGTGGTGGCGAATAGTCCGGAACTAGTGCTTCTGCTTCTCGAGATAGACTCGCGAAGGCCTAGGAAAAATCTGTATGAGAAGATACTTGTAAAAGCGTAGACGCAATAGTCTGCAGATAGCTTGAGGTTCGCGGGCGCAACAAGCCACTGGAAGAGCAATTAGGAGCCACGAAGGAGATCTAGGGTCAAAACTCACAACAAGTGCGCCGCATAACCTCAGAGCGAGGGCGAGCTGCGAAAATTAGGCTTCTAATGCGAATATAATGTTAGGTTACTGACACCAAAATACAGTACTCCATCACGATAGAGTCGTGTGAGTATAGGCAGCGTGGAGGATGCATTACCGAGGAGCTGAAGTCTCCTTGCCCATATAGAATGGCCGATTGTTGCGGCCAGAATGACCGTCTCGCATGGCATCTAATGCTTGTGAGATGTGAGAAACCATGAAATTATCCGCACCATTGATAAATACGAGCCTGCGATAATCTTGTCGACGTTCCGAGGTGTTTCGCCCGTCAGAGCGCAGTGGCCATCAATGGACCCAGTAAGAGCTGGTAACGCAGTGAGTAGGAACACGTGAATCCCCCCGGCTACATACGTATCAGAATTCTCATCGCCAGAATCCCAGCGATTATCTGCCCTACGGCACTGACGAAATAGAAAATGGTCATGAATACGATAATCCATCGCGTCTTCTGGTAGAGAGTACACATTCTGAGGTAGAATATAGCTGATTGGAAATCAGAAAATGGTGAATAGGATGACTCGAGAGCGTACCTGTCGTCGAGAGGGAGAGTGTAAATTCTAGAGTGACTCCGGTGGCTCTTATGGCCCTACACCTTGGAAATGATGAGAAATGATGACTACAGCGCGCGTCGTACTCACCCCTGTTGTCAAGTCAGGCGGCTATGCATGCATTAGTTAATTTCCACACTCTACTGGAGCTGACGGATGCGAATAGGTCTACAAGTAGAAAAGGCAACCCCACTATGGGCGAATATCGTGTCTGATGTCTTTGATGAGCTCACGCTTCCAATCCCCGTCGTACGCACATAGAAGAAAACAAACTTTCCGAGCCATCCACCCCAACGAGTCCATATAAGGCTGATCTGGATTCAGAGTTGAGGCTGACTGGCCGCGTGTCCGTTGACCGAATACCCACCTCGAGCGGAAGTGTGAGGATGTAGTCATAAATGAACACGCTAGTCGCGGAGACGGCCGTATACTTTACGATTCGTTCGTACGACAGAAAGAGGACGAATGACTCCATGAACGCTTCAGCGGTCCCGAGGACGACAGGGCCAACTATGCTGGTTATATAAGTGAACGTGCGGTGTTGGCCGAGATGCACGGGGCACGTTACCTAAAGTAAAAGCCTATTTTGACAGTCGGCATCGGCCGCAGCCTCCAAGTCGCCGACCAGTCTATTCAAGCGCCACAAACGGAGGACAAAACTATCATCCGATGGGTTTATTGAGATCCCTTTCCGTCCCCTCGAAATTAATGATGATCACAGACTCCGCGGATCAGGTTGTGGATTATTCTGATCGAACCCTTTGCGCGTTTCAGTTGGTTGGGTCCAAGATTTGGACCCGGCCACATTTAGAACTTTGTCTCGACAGCCTCAGACCCAAGTTTCGTTGAGGCTCATCGGGTTAGGAACTACTTTATCCTCCAGGCGCGAGCAAACAGGCCTCCGAACCCAACAGCCGGCTTCATTTGGGACTTTCAGAATGATCCATGTCGGCGCCGTCATGGATATCGTAGAGGTATCGATCAGCCATACTTTTTCGGTGACAAGGGACTACCGAGGCGTGTACTAGATGGATGGCTGTATGTACATATGAAATACAATAGCACAAGAGCATTGGAAAGCCCCCTCAAGTGTCACCGTTTTATTTCTGGTTCGTGGCTACGTTCTCTGATTGTATTCCGTATCAAGGGAGGAGATAGATTCGGATTCGCGAGTGCAGAGACGTCTGCGGTAGCCATAGTAAATGGTCCAGAACGAATAATTCGACCTCTTGAGATGGATTCGCGAAGCTCTAGGAAAAACCTGTATGAAATGATGCTAGTCAGGGCGTAGACGATATAGTCGGCGGAGAATTTGAGGTTATCCGGAGCCGCAAGCCACTTGACAAATAGGTTTTCAGTGAACAAGGATCCTCCTTTGGCACCCAGACATACCATCAGTGCGCTACAGAGCCTAAGAACGAGGGCAAGCTGGCGACAATCAGTCTTCAGAGGTGCAGGGGGGATCGATTGCTTACTACAAAGTAAGCCATTCCGTCACGATAAAGTCGCGTCAAGATAGCCAAAGAAGTAGAACCCCCTTCTAGTTGATGGAGGGCTCTAGTCCGATTTGAATGGACCAAGGTGGCGATCAGGATAATCACCTCGCATGGTATCTAACGGTCTTTAGTTAGAGTTAGGTCGTAGAAGATTCCCACCATCGATAGGTATGTGCCCGCAACAAGTCTATGCAACATATGCGGTATCGTTTCCGCTAGGTAGGTGCAGTATCCATCAGCGGAGCCGGTGATGGCTACTGTGATATGAGCAAGGTAGAGTAGATGTCTGGTGATACGCACGAGCGATGATTGCAAATGTCATAGCCCCGAGGATCGTCTGCAATGCAGCACTGACGAAATATGAAACAGCGATGAATGAAGTAATTCATCGTTCCTCATGATAAAGAGTGCATATTCTGAGGCAGAAAATGCCTGGATTGGCATGAGAGAGTAATACACAAGTGTACCACGAAAACGAACCTGTCGTTGAGAGGGAGAGGGTAAGCCCGAAGAAGATGCCACCGACTCTTATAAGCTTGCACCTACAAGATAGTGAGCGTTTATGACCAAGACTCTACTGTACTCACCCCTGTTACGACGTGAGTAGAACGGCCAGGTTTCGCAGTGGCGACGCACATTGCTCGACATTTTGGATCCGAATTGATCAAAGAGTATGATAGGAAAACCGATGATGGGAGAGTATCGAGTCTGATTACTTGAATGAGCCGTCGCTCAGTGCCAACGTCGTACGCACGTAGAAGAAGACAAGTTTCCCGAGCCAACCACCCCATTTGGTCCACGTAAGAGTAATCTACTCGATGTTGATTGGCCTCGGTTGGCGAGATTCGCGTCAAATGACCAACCTCAGAGGGTAGGGTAAGGGCATAATCGTATAAAAACACAGTGGTAGCAGCGAAAGCCGTATAATCCAGGCATCTCTCGTACCAGAGCGTCTCGAGTGATTCCATGAAGATCCGAGACTCGCGAGCGAGCACGGCGGGCACGGGCGGGGCCAATGAGTGAGACGATTAGAACCTTGCACGAATTTGCGGATCATTTTTTTGCTATTTTGACATTGTACCTTTTTTGATGGGCGTTGGACATGGAGATTTGCATTGGCGCTCCGTCGTCCGCTGCTGATTGAGGGCTCGCAATCGACCGCTGCGCTACGGGAATGCCAGCGTTGCGAACTCGCAGAGAGCGGGTATTAAACTAGCCATTGTCCGCCGTCCTCATTTCGGGTGGCTGTTTAAGATTGGACCCGACCGCCACCATCCTTGGACAAGCTACTCTGACCTAATCATTACCACACCCGAGTTATTCCCTAAAGGTTTTGGGCCATCAATCCCCCTTGAAGACGTAATCTTGGAGGCGCTAAGTCGCGTTCGCCCCGGCACGTCAATATCCCTAGGTAAGCTTGAATGGTCGGGACAACCCAAGTTTACAATCTGCCGAGATCTCCGTCCGAAGAGATGAAGATTTGCATGTAGAATGAATCGCGTCCCTAGCACATGGTCAGCCACACCTTGGTGTCGCTCGGAGGCAACCGAATCAATTACTGCGGCTGGAAGTGATCAGTCCGAGCTCCCGAAATGCACGGTCAATTCGTGAGGCTAGACCTTGCTCTAGGCTCAGCCCCTACCGATCATGTCGGGAACACCTAGCGTGCTCGGAGAGCCACTGCTCGCAGAAGACCTCTTGATAGGTCTCGTCTCGTCAACACCTAGGACTCTTTTCAATTACGACATTGTATCAAGTTAGGCTACTCCGCCGAGTGGACAACATCCGATGGCCGCGGGAAGCCTAAATACTAACAGACAAAAGGCTTTAATGAGTCTTATAGGCGTAGTTTCACGAATACATCCCAACCCCCATCAAACCCTCACCCTTACTGTCTTACGCTCTCCGAGCATCCTTGCTTTTATGACCTCCCCTCTCATATTAGCCCTCAATGTCCAAATGAACAAATACATGGCCGTAGCCGGCACAGCCGTGTATGTGTATGATTCCCTGCTTACATCCTCATCAGAAGTAGGTTGGTGCTTTCATGGACGCGTCTTGCTAAGCTGGGCCGAAAGGTTGATCTCATGTGGACGAGTTGGAGTGGCAAAACTGCGAAAACCATCTACTTTTACGTGGGTATAACGTCTGATTGTCCGTCCAATTGGCTGATCCATGCCCAGACAAAGTACGTTCCGATGGTTGGACTCCCAATTCACTTCGTCGCTAATTTCAAAGCTGAATTATCGCCAATAGTGCGTCCTAGTCATACAGTGATGTGCAGCCATAATCATCTCGGCAGACGTTAGCCGCCGTACTTCTCACGACGTGTCTCCCTAACCAGCTGAGCGCAGATGCAAATCTGCAATCGTCATTGGTCTTGCCCTTGCAGTTACCTTGCGCCTAACATCGACCGGTTCGTCATCTGTGCATTAATCAACCGTGCCGAACTTGCAATCTAGCCATTTTCGTAATGCGCATCTGCACGATATACTGCGAGCGGCGGCGCATTGTCGTGCTCGTTGTCGGAGCATTCGCCGCTTGTACGATATTACAATTCGGCTTAGCAGCAAGCGGCTTATCGATGGTGTACGGTCAGTCCATTTGATATCTCCAAGTGTCCCATCTTACACAAACATTACCTCATCACCATACAGCTGGAGCTACCTCAAATGCTGGAAAGTGCACGTTCGCCCCACTACAGCCTCGGAAATTCCAGCAGGTTGTCGCAAGCTCATATCTTTCACTAGTATGCCTATCACTCTCGCTCTCCTACTGTTGTCAATAAAGAGTAGATGCCGTGCGATACAGTCATCCTGGTAGCCACGTTAATCCATGCCGTCAACTCGCGGCATCTCCATGCTCTAGGCGGAGGTTCGGCGGCATTACCCGTACTCACCCGGGTATATCATGATGGCATGGCCCACTACGCGGTGCGTATATGTTCTTGCTATCTCGTCCATCTCACCTCGAATAGGTTACACTCGCCCTGAGACTTTGGGGAGCATTCTCGGTGCGTCTATCCTGATCAAATAACCTTTTATTAACACATATGTAGGTGATTATTCCTCCCACTCCTTATAGACTCGCACCCGAGGTGTTTGTCTTGGCCTTTACCAGCATTGTGGCATCGCGGTTCTTCCTTGGACTTCGGAAATCCATCTCGCAAATGTCAAGGCAGGCCCTTGGACTTTCAGAGACCGGTATAGATACCTTTCTCCTGTCCCGAGTTCCTCCCAGCCGCTCGCTAGCGTGGACTACGACTACGTCGACAGCGGATGTCGCACCCACACCTCGGTCACAACCCAGGGTCGGTTCACCGTAGGATACACCCAATCCACTTTCGTGTAGTACAACTTAGTTACTCTCTTTCCGCTCAGGATTTGGAGACCATTCCACTACGATGTATCATCATTCTCCCTCTGATCTTTGAGCATGACTTGACCCCTAATTACTGCTCAACATGCCGGGACAGATGAGCCACTGCAAACTTTGAACCCGCTCACGATCACCCACCGAGACGATTGCCATTGAAAATGCCAAAACAGTTTACATTTGTTATAGGTATGATGTATGTGATCTCTAAATCACCATTATCAACCTCGACGTATACTCAGAGCACATGGAGGAGGACGAGGGACACTCACTGCCCAAATGGGTCCTTCTCGAGTACAAGCACATGCTCAGTCTCGCTGGGCAAGGGAATAAAGTCTGCTTTACGCACCTCTCTCAATCATCATGCGCCGCGATCCAAAAAGGATTTGAATCTGTAGCCAATTCAGGTAAGGTTCGTATGTGGTCGAGCATATGTCATTCTAATCCGTGTATATCTCGCTAGTTGGGACGCAAAAGTCGTCAGAAGCCACATTCGAGGCGACGAGCATTCCATCCTCGAATACATGAAGCTACAAGGTGTCCCGATGAACAGAGTTTGCCTTCTGGATCCGAGAGGAAGCAAAGAGTTATCACCAGAAGACGGTAGCGAGTTTGAGTGGTTCCTTTTCGGGGTAGGTGTTTGCGAACCCTCGCTCCTTTCCCTGATGGTTAGACAGGGTATCCTTGGCATGTCGGGTTCCATGATCCGCAAGTGCTTCGTCTGATACTTGTTAGGCGATGATCCACCTCGGGATCGCACAGGAGAGCTCCGTGCCCTCGGGTTCGCTGGACGGCGACTGGGTCCAATCCAGATGACAACAGATACAGCTCTTGGCGTCACCAAAATGATAGTTCAGGATCAAAGTATGTTTCTCCTTCTTCTGGTGCCCTTCCTTCGTATCTCATCTGGTGGCCGTTAGTGACAATGGAGACAATTCCGTTTGTGGTCGGTCACACTTCCAGCAATGTGGAGCAAATCCGTTAATCCGACGTACAGGATCACCCTACAATCAAATTCTCAAAGACAGAGAGCGTCGAGATGCCATTTAGTGGGTAGCTTCTGTCGCTGTCTTGCAGGCGTTGACACTATTCAGGGTATATTATAAAGGAAGGAGAGCCACTACTACCTGGAGGTATGAAGCAACACCTTTACGATGATTTGAACAGAGGATTCAACGATTAGGGTCGGGAAACTGACTCTATCGTCGAAATAGAGAAAGCAAAAGAATGGTGAATAGGGTTCTGTACTTTATTGTACCTCACTACCTCAATCCACCTCTTCTATTCTCAGACCATCCTCCACCACCCCAGTCGCGACCTCATCATTGAGAAATCGACGTTCTCGCTCCCTAATGCGATACGAACTTGTGCCCGGACTGAGTACAACGGATAGGAATTCCATAGGAACAAGCAGACCAGCTCTACGAGTGCCGGTAGGTTCTCACGCACTTCCCGACCGCGAAGAATGCTACCCTCTTCGTCTTTGTAAGGCATGAGCCCACATATGGCCAAAAATTCTCGGAAAAGGTCTGGAGAGATCGAGATAACGACTGTTCCAAATAACCAGGCGGCAGAATGCTTCTATGGCAAACAGGCTTTTAGGAGCCTATCCACGTCTCCCGCAGTTCTCTGTTGTGCTTGGGACAGAGTGTAGATCTGACATCATCAGCGAGAGCAGTTTGAACGCGTCTGTAGAGCGCGCTGATGATGATCGTTGGAGCCATCGAACGGCCATTGGTCACGCTAATAGTGGGATCTGGGTTTATTTCTTCTATATAAGGTACAATTCTCAGTGGCAATCAAACTGAGTCATAATACCGCCTAACACATGCTCGGCGTCTTTGGGTAAGCAGGCGTCTTTCGAGCCTCTTGGTGGCATGACAGAGAGATTGACGCCTTCAGACAAATGCGGATGGGTATTGCGCGACTTCGCAATGGGTAAGCTGTACGTATCGACGAACAGTGAGCCTTCTGGGGTTGGATGGTGAGTTTGAACAATTGGTCTCGGTACCAGCCGCCGCAGTCCAAGGAAGAATCTAGTTGAGACTACGCTGCTCAGACTATATATTAGAAGGTCGGAGACAAATTTGAGGTCGGGAGGGAACGCGAGCCACTATGTAAACAGTTAGCGGCGAGATCAAAGGACAAAACGTTTGCCAGACTCACTATAATCGCGCCACCAAGACGCATTCCAAAGGCAAGCTAGTGTCAAAGTTAGTTTGCCTGTTCCTCCGCTCAGTATGACCGTACCAAGAAGTAGATTGCGCCATCTTGGTACATACGTCGTAGAATTAGCAACGCGGCGGATTCGTGATTCAAAAAATGCTTCCGCTTTGCCTCGGTTGCATGCAGGTAGGTCGCGACCAGAATCAGAATTTCGAATGGCAGCTCGCGGATCTTAAGATGAAGCTGTCTAGTTTCAAAATAGGCTTACCACGGACAGAAAGTATCCTGCGACCATTCGATGCAACTCCTTTGGTGGCGGTCCTGTAAACGCGCAGACGGTCTCACGGAATCCCATGAGAGCTGCAGGATTATTAGTACAATGTGGAATTTTGCGCTTGTCGTACTTATGGCACTTGAAATGGCAATGGCTCCAGTTACGACTTGGATGATGACACTCAGATAGAAGAACGCTAGGATCAGAGCTTTCGTCTTCCATTTTTCCCGATATAATGTGCATACACGAAGACAGAACATCCCTGTAAATGTTGTTATTGTCCGTTTAGACGAGTCACCAGCGCACCTGTTGAAGAGGCTGACATTGCTATCTGAGCAATAATGGTGATCACTCTGGAGGCCTGACACCTACAGAGCTGTCACATTAACTCACATGTGTAGGGAACTTCACGTACGTCTATTGAGAGATCAGACCGAGGAGGTGAGCACGAGAAAGCGAACCTGATCGGACAGACGGGCAGTAAACGGGTTCAATTCAATGAGTCCGAGGGAAAGCCCAATGACGGGAGAGTATCGAGTCTATTGTACGTGTCACTTTCGACCACAAGCCAGTTAGACGACGCACAAACAGGAACAGATACCTTCCGATGCGTCCACTCCTTTTCATCCAAAGAAACTGCGTCTAGATTCAAAGCGGTGTTTGGACTAGTCAGTTGAGTAGTACGGTAATGCACGGACCTCTGCACCAAACGTGAGCGCGAAGTCGTACGAATACACGACCGCGCTAGCGATCGATACGTATTGGACAATTTTTATATTTTCCAGATGCGTCGTCAGCAGTTCCATCTCGACACCGCTGGGACCAGGTTTGCTGGTTATCCAGAGACGGATGGGTCTAAGCTCGGTTATGTTGCTCTGACGAAATGACAAGATCCCGTAAAGAGCCATGATTGTAGCTGCCATCCAATTGGTCTATTTCTTTTCACGCCAGGGCCAAGTACCCTAAAATAAGCCGACAGTGTCGGCTGTCGCTCACCAACAATGATGTCAGTTCTGGACGGCTCCTAATGCAAGGACGAGGAGAAAGGGACTCACTCGAATGACAGAGTTACTCAGGTAGAACGGGAACTGACTCAAATGGGTTCGGTTTGTGATATCCGAGTGAAAAATCCATAGGGCTCGACCATCTATACCCCAAGCAGTGATAACGCCGGGGCACGGGATATGCATCGAACAGATTCAAAGCTCCGTATATCGACATCAACTCGGAGCCGCCGTCGTGGCGCCAAGATCTGTCCAATCCGTTACGCTTAGGCAAAAAACCCTCCATAACAGGAGCGGATCCAACTTCTACACAAGTTTTCCCCTATAAAAATGTGATCAATGTCGGTCTGAAGGTGCGTTTTGTAGATTACTGGCCCGTGCTAGGAAGCAACAGTGAAAAATAAAGTCGAAGATGGCCGTTTATGGCGCTCGAGTTTACTCACAAATATACATAGTCATTTCATTTCTTGATAAATCCACCCGGGTCGGGGCCGTGAACTTGGTTCAGTCGTAGTTAGGCCCAGACTCGCGGGATTTGTCGCCGAACTGCAAGTCAGGCGCTGCTGGACTGTAGTAAATCCATGCTGACAGATGCAAATATTTCTATTATAAGATATAAAAGACCGAGTGGAGAATAGTACACGGGCCGGGTGGATATGAAGTCAGCCATAGTGTCTATCTAATCCGAGTGCAGACATCCTTCGAGCTTTTTGATACACGACTGACAGTATAGTACCATCAGACACCCTCGGATTGCGATTGCACGTTATTGCCGTGGGTAGGCTATAAGTATCAACGGACAACGAGCCCTCCAGGGTGGCCATTGATAGATCTTGTAAGACCTAATAGAGTGGTTCCCTCATAATGACCGATGAACGAATACATAGCCTCCGGATTCAGTGGAAGGAGTATTATTTCAGATCCAAGATCATCCTACAATCAAGCTCTCGAAGACGGATTGTCGAGATGCCATTTCGTGAGTAATTTCTTTCCTTACATCTGCAACCATTGAGTCCGTCGAGGATACAATGTAAAGATGAAGGACCACATCTTCCTGCCGGCATGAAGCAATAGCTCCACGACGACCTGAACGGAGGGTTTGACAATTAGCATCAGGAAACCGACTCTACTATGATACTCAGGTAAATTAGTAATGGAGAGGCGCCACTTTGCCTCCTTGTGGCCCGCTACCTCAGTCTATCTCTTCTACGCGTGCGCCGTCCTTGACCGTTTCAACCGCAACATCGTCATCGAGGAGCGCCATATCGGTATCAACGTTCTCATTTGCTACCGCGATGAGGACTTGCGCCCAGACCGAGCACAATGGGTGATAGTTCCATAAGAATAAGAGAACGAGCGCCGCAAACGCCGGCAGGTTCTCTCGAACCTCCCAGCGAGGAAAAGTGGCACTGTCCTCGTCTTCGTAGGGCATGAGCCCACAGCTGGCCAGAAATTCTCGGAGAAGATCAGGAGGGATCGAGATGACGACTCTTTCGATAACTCGCTGGCAGAATGCTTCCATGGCGAAGAGGTTTTTGGAGAGCTTATCCATGTCCTCCCGTAGCCTGTTCTCCATTGCGTTTGAGACAGCTCGCAGATCTGCTCCTCGCAGGTCTCGAGTAAGCGGTGAGAGCAGTTTGAACGCGTCTGTGTCTAAATGCATCCCACGTTCGACCAATCTGCTAGCTAGCACCTCCTTGGATATCCCCTCGAGATTGCGACCTGTGCCTAACTTTGGCCTCTTGAGCGCGAGTGCAGGACCCAGCGCGTCAGGTTTGGCCATCTGAGAGCCGGAACATGCGTTTGATGAACGGGAGGACCATTTCTCCCGCTTGAAGAATTGTCCGGTCCGTTTCCTTCGAAAACTCGCGCACCGGGAGACCCATCCGGAGGCGCCATCTGTTATAGAAGAATTCGGCGTTCGAATCCGCTTGTGACGTGGTTGGGCGATTTCCATTGAATACGTCCGAGCCATGTATATGGAGAAAACCCTCCATCTGAGGCCATGCCGGGATATCGAGCTGAGTTTCGCGCATCGCATTATAGCTAGGTACTGTAAGAATGGATATCCTCAACGAGGTGATGGACATACACATGCGCGACAGCAATAAACATTCCACCTTCGTTGTACGCTAGATTCGTCAATAGGTAATAGGCCTCATCGAGAGTTTGTGGATACGTACTTCGGGCCCCATATCGTAGCGATTCTGTTAGTAGGTGCGTAGCTCTTGAGCCCCATGTCCACGGACTAAGGCAAATATCCGCTTTTGGCGATGTAAGGGCAACGGCAGTCTTGCTGAATTCGAACGAGACGTCTTGCGCAATACGGATTCCAACGAGGCGGCCAAAATCTCCCATGCCTTCTTGCCAGACGCCGCGTGAAGCCAGCGATTTGGAAGCGTGAGTTCGCCTTTCTGATATTGCTGGGATGTCGTCGTCGATGGGAGAAAGTACCATGGTCGGAGTCAGTGCAAAAGAGGTGACGTGCTTCTTGAGTGTTTGGCACGATAGCCAGCTCATATATTTGTAAATCTTCTTCCCGAGCAACGCAACGCTCTCTTGATATGGAAAGTCGATGTTGAGGGTAATGGCGGATATGTCTAGGTAGAGTTGGGAGGCGAATAGGAGACATGGTTTGACGTGACTATGCACAACAATAGTCGAGTTAACCTGCTGCGGCTCGTCCGAATTGTTGAAGCATTCTTCTTCCGACTCCGTCAGTTGTCGCAATCGAGGAATCGATGGAGTTGGGGCTCTGACGCCAGAGCGAGCCAGTTGGGTAAGCGTACTATGGATGATCAGAGCTTGTATAATGACAAGCGAGCATATTCACCTCTCACCAGCAGACAGCAGGGGATCATCAAATGCGTGGCTGGTTACCCTTTCCATAAACTGTGACCAATGGTGCCTCCGAACAAGCCGCATGGCTGATTCGTCAAGAGGTTTCTCTCCCCATGTTTGAAAAGGCGGAGCGATTCGCCGTGCTTGAGAAACAGTCATTGTTGTGCATGGTGTAGCCGAGTTCTCGGCAGCTGCCTCGGCGAGAACTTGGTGATATGGTTCCATGAAATGCAAGGTCCAGTCCTCGCTCGCTCGCACCATGTCTTCAAACGCATCCAAAGACGCCTGAAGCTCCTTGGCGTCCATAGAACTCATAAAAGAGGGGTTAAGCATCTCTCCCACCATCTTGATCTCCAAGCTCTCTGCCATCTTTACTGCAACGTCCGTCGCAGTCGCAGCGACGACGAGTCCCTTGAGTGTTGGAGATGCGGCCCATTCTGACCATAGGCGACGTACATGCGCACGGAGCATATTCAGATCGTCAAGGAAACAGAATCGAGTAAACCATTCATCCGAATCGTCGCCACCAAGATTTATGTTGGCGTACTTGTCCGCATATCGCTTCCGGGATTGCTTGGCGGTAGCCGACGAACGGCGACGTCGACCTTTGGACGGTTTTGTATCGCTAGACGAGGATTGTTGCGACGACCAGCTAGGTTGCTCATCTACGTCCGACTCAAATTCTTCTTCTGCTTCCGAACAGGTCGAATGCAGCTCGAAGAATCGGTTTGGCGATACGGAGGGCGGGTTGCTTGCTGCGCAATTGGTATCGGCCATGCGCTGCATCTTCTTTACTTGGTCCTCTCGGATCTTTATCTGTTCATCTAGCCACGTCTCTCCTCCGAGGGTGTCGAAGATTCGCTCGAGGATGCCGATAAAGTGAGCATGGCTCTTGTTCGAAGCCAGATCCGAGTCGGAGCGACAAGAGTAGTAGACGTGGGCCTCTGAACGGCGCTGGATTATCTTGTAGAGGCAGTCGAGGATTGACCTTGGGACCTTGGTGAGTCCATGGTTTGGCGACGAGACGATGGCTTTCGCAAAGCCTTCGAGGTCTGCGACAGTTGTTTTAAGAGGCTTTTTAGGCGGTCTCGATGAAGACGTGTCGGGATGCTTGCTGGGGCCTCGTCGTGCGGTATTGATGGTCTCGTACGTGGACAGCAACCACGTTGTAAAGGTATTTGAGAGATGTTTATAGCGTTGGTACGACGACTTGTACGTCGTAGAGTTTGCGATGCCATCTGGTGCTTGCATGCTGGGTTGAAGAGAAAGGCGGCGGCGCGGTCGGGTTTAAAGTAGAAGTCGATAGCGCCGACCATCCAGGCTCCTCCGGTAAGACGATTCTGGAACGTTCACCTTCGATACCACGTCGATCCATGCCGACGGATGATTCACGTGCGGCCCAAATGGCGTAGCGGGTTTCAAGGGCACGACCCACTAAGCGCTAGAGTCACCAGATCGGGTCTGTGATAAGATTGAGTGATACTATGTTCTACAGCTCGAACTTTTCTATAATGAACTCAGAGGAGGATACAATCCCTCTTCTTTACCCGCCTTTTGGATCCGAGCGAGGCGCGAGCTGCCTCATTCAAGATGTCGAGTGTGCCCTTGTCCATTTTAGACGAGCATTCGGCATACTTGAAAGCGCCAATAACTCGAGCAAACGCCTCGCCTTCCTCAAATGTGGTGAGTTTGAGACCTGCCTTATAGAGCTCCTCCATCCTCACTCGGTCCGTTCTCAAGTCAGTGCGGCACCCGACGACGAGGAATGCTGGGTATACGTCGTCGCAAAAATGCAATACCTCTGGCAACCATTTCTCTCAGGCTCCTCAAACTGTCCGGTTGATCCACTGAGAAGCACAAGACCAAGACGTCTGTCGAAGGATAACTGAGTGGTCGCAATCGCTCGTACTCGGAAGCCACAGGGCAATCCCAGGTGGCAATCTCAAACTCTTTCCCGTCGACAGTTACGTCGGCGACGAGAGTTTCATGGACGACAGGAGCGAAACTCTGAGGGGTATCAATGAAAGTTGAAGAGTACGCCGCTGACTCACGTATAGATACGTTCCACGGTGAATATGATAGATGAGTGCAGTTTTCCCTGAATAAAAAGACGTCGTTATGAATGGCTAACTCCTAGAAAGCACTCACCGACTCCACGATCGCCCACAAAGACGGCCTTTTTACGGATTCGTTGTGACATTTTCTTCAGTCGGATACAAGACGCGACGTCCAAGCTTGATCTCCACCATTGACCGCTGAGGACGGTGGACCCGCGCTGCCGCCTTCATGTGAACCCTAAAATGGTTTATGGGTAAGGCTGTACATCAGCTATGATTCAAATTTGGACGCCGCCACTGTCCGAGTCACTGCAAACTCGCCAGGCTGAACTCGAGAGCTCTTTATGATCCGAGATTCGGGGTGAAAACAATATACAAAGTCAGAAGTGTCGATTTATTGATCCTTTGACTGTTTGGCCTCGGTCTTGGCACCCATTCGCCATCAAAGCTCACAATTCGAAGCCTGGGTTGGGTTCATTTCGGAAACAAACGTCTATATACGGCAAAAGGCCACCAGTTCACCTGCGTGTCGTTAATTCAACACCATGCAGGGCGCTGAGCATCATAACGTCCATAGAAGATGGGCGGCTTGCGACATATCGTATTCATCCCTTAGATTTGTCAACCTTGTATCGTCAGGTTTGCCCACCGTCAACGGATCACAGAGTTCCGACAACGATGCGAGAAGACAAAGCCACCGGCCGGCCCGCCGCGACGGGTTCCACGAACCGTTCAAGAATCACGACTATCTCATGTGATAGTTCACGACACGGGTCTCAGAACTAACATGTGGGATCCACCAAGAGACAACGGCTGGTAGGTGGTCAATCCTCATCTCGTTCGCACTCCTAGCAGACTCACTACCCGAGTGTCTCAAGGTCTTACGTGTTGAGTATCAGATATGCCCACCACCGGAACTTGATGAACTCGCGGCGTGATGGATTCCGAACGCGAACAGTTACAGACGGCTTCCGGAAAGGATTCCTCGCGCGCACCTCGGATCCCCAAGCACCCTGCATCACCCCGCGCGCGGGGACCGGCACCGTTGAATGGCTGCGCTCCATGCACCGCTTGGAGGCAATATAAGACGTAGAACGTACCCCGCAATCGCTCGTACCCTCCCTTGCGTTTAATCCTATTCCAAACCGCATCCATGTGGCTCCCGGGCATCGTTATTTTACTCACTATAGGCCTCTTGCAGGCACTCGGGGTCGTTGCGATCCCTACTGGTGCGATCACGGTCGGATCTGGCGGCAAGTATTCGACACTGGCTGCAGCACTCAAAGACACGAGCAGGTAGCTATCTCCCTGTCCCCAAAGGATATGCACTAACTACCAAAGCAACGTCTACTACATCTACGCCGGAACCTATACCGGCCAAGTTGCCATTAGCCGCGCCAATGTGGCCATCTACGGCGAGACGACATCCTCGGGTACCTATACAGGAAACAAGGTCACGCTTACCGCTGCCGTTCCTGCCTCTTCTGCAGGCAGCAACGACGCGAGCGGCACCGTTCGCGTACTCGCCTCGGGCGTCAAGCTTTACAACTTGAACATTGCGAATACGTATGGAAAGGTAGGATCCTCTTGCGAATGGCATTAGTCTCGTCTCACGTATCCAAAAGCCCGTCTCTCAGTCTCAGGCAATTGCTTGAGTGTCCAAGCCGGCAACTTTGGATGCTATGGATGTAAAATCACAGTGCGTTTCGAATAATGGGGATTTTCTTCTTAATATATAAGCAGGGCACGCAAGACACGCTTCTCGCCAATGTGGTGAGTGCTAGCCATCGTCAATCCTCCCTCTACTCATGATTTTCAGGGAACTCAAATCTATGCAAAATCTTACATTTCCGGTTACGTTGACTTTGTGAGTATTCGGTATCCGGTCGACCTGTCTAATACATTATAGATCTTTGGCCAAACCGCATCGATCTGGGTCGCAAAGACAGTTATTGAAACAGTGAGCTCATTCTTCGCTCATATTCTCTTCTGATTTGGTCACCTAGACGGGCTCCGGATATATCACCGCATCCGGGAGAAGTTCAGCGGATTCAAACTATTATGTCTTTGATCAGTGCACCATCCAAGGTTTACCTACGCCGCCCTGCACGTGTCTAGAGGCTCAACTTTACCAGGGTCTGGTTCATCCTATCTCGGTCGTCCGTGGCGCAACTACGCCCGTGTCATCGTCCAGAACAGGTAATCTCCTATTTCAACTTTATAATAGGTTCTCAATGGGTTCTTCGTTTTTTATTTAGCTCTATCGGAAGTAATGTTCGCAAGGAGGGCTGGTCTGTGTGGAGCAGCTCGGATCCTCGGACTGACCATGTCACCTTTGGAGAATACAACAACAGCGGGTGAGTTTACCATCTCTGCCTATTTTTCGTAACACTCACCATACCTTGCTAGATCTGGTGCATGGAGCTCCTCCCGCCCAAGCTTCGCGACAAAACTCTCAAGCGGCGTTTCAATCTCAACCGTCCTTGGCTCTGGATACACCAGTTGGGTTGATACATCATACCTCTAGGCTACACACTTGTATCTAGATTGAATTTTCCACCTTAGATGTCCTCGGATACACAGAAGCTCTAGTCTCAATGACAAGGTCCGAGGACGACTGAGGGCGGGGTTGTATATAAAAGCCATAGAACGGCCATCACCCATACTCAGGAGGGTATATTAAAGGGTTTCTTCGATTAGTCCATGGTATTATTCCTACCCACTGAACGTCGAGCATCAGACTTTTCATCCTATTCTTTCAGTTTGGGTCTACAAAACACCACCCTTGACCTATCGTGGGTCCATTTACTGCAATTGAATATATAATACTCAACATAGGACGCCTTCTAGGTCAGAAGGGTGTATCGTGGTTAGCTAGGCACCGCGAAAGGCAAGCAAGCGAGGAGAAGGTCATTGATTCGACGGCTTCTTCCGATTCGCTATTGATGGGCTTCATATTGGCGAAGTTTGCCGCGGCATTGAAGGTTTTTGCAGAAGGTTTGTGGACCACGTTATTTATTCATTGTTAGATATACACAGCGGGTATGACAATCGCGTACTTGAACTCAGAATTCGGGATATGGCAAATCCCTGGGACAGAGCGCATATATAAAGGGCTTCGAGACAACGTGCACGATAGCGCTGTCAACTCGGTGACTTGAATGACCGGTTGCATGACAGAAGGAGCTCTGATGGAAGCATTCTTGGCCTCGGGAACGTCGAGAACCCGTTTGCGTAGCCCTAGGAAGTACCCCTGGGTACCAGGGGCACGTCTACCTCCATGGGTAGTGCCTTCCCCCACTTGAACTTTCGCCTCGTTTGTGAATACGTGGCGGGTTATCCAAAGGAATACGACTAGGATTTGGCAGATTGGATGCTGGCGTAGGTACTTCCACTCGACTGGAACTTGAGTAGAGTAAGGGCGAGTATTGACCTTGCAATGGTTGTTGTTTCCTGTGGCCATATTCACGATAGACAGTGTTGACGCCCGCCTTTATCGTTTTATCCATTGTGGCTGATCCTCCTCTGTCATAGGTTTGAGGTCCTTGCGAATTACGAGATCATAGATGTCATGCATACAAAGGTATGCTTTAATCTTTCAAGACTATACTGGGTAATTGTCTATCGAGAGGACGGGAACGTTAGAGAGTTCCTTTGAGGTTGACATCCTTTGTGATTATGTGCGCGAGGCGATAAACTGGTCTATATAGTTTCTTATAGCAACCAGTGGCTCATAACCTGTTGATACTAGGGCGCGTGAGGCGAGAGGAAAGACCAGTAAGGTCCAGCCATACCGTCACGCGTCCACAAATAGTCTAGATACAAAGGGAACTATCGTGATTGGCTGAGTCTAACTAATAGGTGCTAAGAGTCAAAGGGAAACCTTCGACACTTGGAGCGCTTGTGAGTGATAGGATGTTGGATATTTCACCACACCGAACATGGATGTAACAGCAACTCAGAATCGCGCTACAGGATGGCAATGAGAGGATACGTATTCGCAGAGCACTTCCTCGTTTCGTTGTACATGGTCAATACAATGAACCGCTCCGTCTTGCACGCTGGCTCGTACATGGCTGGATGAATGTTTCATCCCCCTGCTTTGAAGTCATCGAGATCGTATGTCGCTGCAGTGTACCTGAAACATAACCAGCACCAAAGAGAATAGGGCAATCGTCAAACGCACCGTGTAAACTTAAACTCTCTTGAGAGCACATATCCAAAAACTTGCTGGGGACCTCTTTGTCGATGACCAAGTTTTCGAGGAAGAGCTCATATCGCGTCTTGGTCTTGTACCGATGGGGCACGCGTCGTGGGATGCGATGCGTCCATATCCACAGGGTCCGCCCATTTCTGCATAAGGAGCAAAATATTGCTATCACCGTCTTCGAGAATATCCGGACTGAAACCACCGACGCCGAATCGATCCTGACCATGTCGTCCCGCAACACCGCCTCCTCGAGACGGACCAAGCAGTGCTATTTCTGCATCTCCACCTTGACTGAAGCCGTCTTCCTCACCTTACCGACTGTGTTTACTCATAGCACTATTGGCAAATCCATAGCACCACCTCCAATCACAGGCGTATTGCTCACTGGACCCTTTTCCTCCCAACGCGGGAGGCACCGCAGCCGATGGGGTTGTAGACGTTGATTGCCCAGGCAGAGGCACAGTAGATCTGGGTTGATGGTCGAATATGGTTGTTCATCCTGGTTCCTAGCACGCCCAACTCGTTTGCGCCGCTAAACGGCGAGGCGCAGTATTGTACCGCCCACCACAACCTCCATGACCAGGCTTCGATGAGAAAAAGGTGGCTATGTCGTTTTATGGACTCGGATGTGACTTCCTGATGTGAGAATGGGTTTGGACGGCTGCCTCGAGAGGACTTGGCCGGTGGATGTGAACAAGCTGTTGGGATTGTTGTATGTCGGTTAGCGATGCAATTCTCCACATGGACCGTTGTAGCCTAGTCCAACAATACGCATCAGCTCGCCTTAATCCTACAAGCTAGACCACTACAAATTCCCAGATGCCAGCTGGGCGAAACCAACAGAAACGAGATGCACATGCCCGAGTTCGATCCATATAGAGCGCCTCCATCGCCATCCAGTGTGTAGCTGCCCTGTGAATACGCTGCCTGATTGTTGAAAGCGGGGTTGCGCGGTGGTCGCAGCGGAGGCGGAGGAGAAACCCAAATTATTCTGGTGATTCGCATCCCGCGGTGAACCATACTGGTCCTAACGCGGCCGGTAGTGATCTCGCTGACGGTCAAACGGGTTTTCCATCAGTGGCCATGGCTTCTGGAATCACAGAAGACGGGAATGAGATCGTTCCGACAAAGAATTATCGTCTAGACGAGATAATACGCGTATATTCTCCGTGCCGTGGAGAATAGACCGACGCGGTCGGGGCCAGGGTGTGCATTCGGATGGGTGGCAGAGGAACGGAGACAGCGAGCGTGCGCGACGTCGCCAGCATGTCCCTCGAACAGCCAGTGCTCGTAAACAACTAGAACTCGCTCAGTGTTTGCATCCACAGTCGCCGGATTCTGGGCGATACTGGCAACTGTGCAAGGGACAATCGCCTCATCTGGACTCGACCTCTACAATGCGGTTCAAATTATTTAGCAAATCCAAGAAATCTCACGTAAATCAAGCAGATTCGCCCAGATCTTCAGCTTCCTCTCTTCAGGAAGGTCCTTCCCGCAAGGGAGACCAACTGATTGATACAGCAAACGTGTTCCTTGAGTTTACGGCGATATAGCAGAAACATGGGATGTACTCAGTCCCCTCAAAGCGGCTTGTAAAGCAACCCAGACGATTATCGGCGTCGTTCAAGTGAGTTATCGAGACTGGCACAACCATCTGGTCTGATGAGGACGGCATCAGGGCATAAAGAACAACCAAGAAGATTGGTCGGAGATTATACAGCGTCTCCAAGACTATCTTTCGGCTATCGAGGAACAAATCACCCTGCTCAAACGCGAGAATACTAGTAGGCCGCTCGACGAGGCATTTTGTCGACCACTCGCCCGTTATGTCAAGTAAGTAATCAAGATTCACTCAAGTCCATCGTATTGATCGTTGTAGACATCTCGAGGATCTCATAAGAGGATCGTTGACCGCACGGAACGACAAAGAAGCAAATCACTCGGAGGTTTCGCAGAAATCAGTACCATCAAGATTGACGCCGGGGACATCCAAAGATTCAATCGAGATATCGAGGCTCAGCACAGGCAGTTTATGGTATGAGCGCCATCATCGATATTCATCAACTTAATTTATGAAGGATGCATTGAATGTCTATACTGCAAACCGCGTTCAAGTCATTCAGCACGACACCAAAACCATCAAGGAAACCATGTTGACAGAAGGTATGCTGGATCATTTGTATCCGAAGAACTCGCTAACCTAACGCCCATCGGAAGCCGACTATAATACTATACTCCAGATGCCAATGGTTGCTTCTGCTGCTTCTTCTGTTCACAATGCTTGTCTCAAGGGAACCCGCCAGGCTGTCCTACAGGAAATCGGGCATTGGGCCAGAGAGGAGACATCAGAAACGCCCACTTTCTGGCTCTGTGACATAGCTGGCTCTGGTAAATCAACCGTCGCAATGTCGGCTATAGAACATTGGAACGCGGAAGGGATCCTAGGTGGCACCTTCTTCTTCTCCATGTCGAACAGCGAATCATCCACTACCGACAAGCTTTGTTCCACCATTGCCAGAGACTTGGCTCAACACCTTCCCGAGCTCGGTTCATATATCGCCAAAGCCTGGAAGCAAAACCCTTCGATCCAGCGAAGCTCGTTCAATGAACAGTTCCGACACTCATCAGTAGCCCACTCCAGTATCAACAAAAGCGAGTGATTCTCGTCGTAGACGCCATGGACGAGTGCAAGTCTCGACAACAGCGACAAGAACTTGTAGAGACTCTCGCTGCTGCGGCTCGGGAGAGCAAGAATTTTCAAATAATCATCACCAGTAGCCCAGACCATGTCATCGAAAAGGTGTCACAACCTCTTTCGATCAAATTCAAGTTGACAGACCGCCTCCACGATACGATCCATCACGATAATATCGATGATATTGCGACTGATGTCCATCAATCACTCGACGGACTGCTGACCCATGATGAGAGGCGGCGACTGGTCAACAAGGCCAATGGGCTGTTCATTTGGGCGAGCACTGCATGCCGAATGCTGGATGATGAATCTTCTCCAGTCAAACTCAAGGTTGTATACGATCGGCTAATGTCAATTGATCAACCTGGAGCGATCGATGGCGTATACGACCTGGTCCTGGAGCGCATTGACGAAAGGTTCAAGCTGATTGTCGAAGGTTCACCCTTTGACTCTTAGCGCTCACTAAATAGACTTAGCCAATAGTAATAGCTCATGTCGTAACTCAATGTATTCAGGGACGCGGGATGACACAGCCAGACCTTACTGGTCTTGCCTCTCACCTCACGCGTCCTAGGTTTGTTACACCATATATACTGGTCTTGCCTCTCACCTCACGCGTCCTAGTATCAACAGGGTGCCCAGCCCTGACTGGGCAGCTGAACACCAGTTTCTCATTCCGGTTTTATCCCGGGACGCTCCCAGGCCTCATTTGACCATCCGAGCATTGTAGCCGTGTTAACCGGCCACCGAGACGAGTGAGATGCAAATCTAGAGATGGCGGCGATGGCCGAGATGCCTATACGCCCACGTTCAAACCCCGAGGCCGACCGCCAGGATAGCGCTTTGGGGCAAACAATCGCGAGCAACGTGGTAACCCCCAGCTTTGAGCATATCCACGATGCATCGCCGAAAAGCCAAAGGAAATCAGAATCCGACTCCTTCGAATTCATCTAGAGCGAATACGCCTTCTCAAGGACCAGACATTGCTTATCAGCGAACACGGGACACCCTCATCGAGGCCATCAAGCTTGTCAAGGCGGGGACCGAGGCTACTTCGTTTCTGGGCCCCCTCAAAGCAGTTTGCGAGACTTCTCTTCAAATCCTTGAGACAACCAGGGTACGACACGCTTAGCGTCGCTGGCAAGTTCCGATCTGATTATGCCGTAGACTGTAAATGAGAACACCAAAGGGCTCAAAATACTCAGAGATAGCCTTGAAACACACATATCCATCTTGGATGAACGATATCGGCAGGCTGTCGAGGATGAAAATATGGAGCAAATCCCCGACGCGCTCAAGGATTTCAACAACGCATCGAGAGATTACATTGCGTACGCCCCAATGTCGAAGCTCTGAATGTTTGGCTGATTTGGTGTAGCACTCTAAGAGGCATACTCGCCCAAATGGACGAGTTAAGGCACAGTAGAGACCAAGGCGTGAAAGGATTTTTCAGAAAGATCGCGGATGCCAGGATTGACACAGGAAATATTGCAGACTACAAACAGGAAATCTTACAAGCCACGCGCGTATTCGGGGTATGAATATCATTTGAAGCCAACTGCGTATTGATCTATTCGCAATAGGATAAGACCAACTCCTGTCAAATTCAGCTGCAAGCGGAAGGTTTGCTCAATTCACGTCACCATCCAACTCGTATTGATTCCCTACAGTGTGGAAAGTAACCCAACTTGGACCCGAAAAACCTCGTCCGATGGGAACTCAGCACAAGACGTGCCTACCGGGCACACGCGTACAAATTCTGGAGGAAATTCGACAATGGAGTCTGGACCCCAACGCGGACAAGCGCATCTTTTGGCTCTGCGACATTGGCGGGTCTGGAAAGTCTACAGTCACGTTGACGATGTGCAAGGAATGGGATAATACCGAAGATGTTCTGGTTGGTCGGTTCTTCTTTTCGAAGAATGCTCGACAGACATCGGAGACGGATGATTTCTGCTCTGTCATCGCGGAAGATATCGGTGCGCGAAACAAAATAATTTTAAAGCAAATAAAGATGATCAAAGAGGAAGATCCTCACCTTCTCATACGAGAACTGCGCTATCAGTTCACCAAACTCATCGAAGAACCATTGCAACTTGCAGAGACGGATATTGTCCTCGTGATCGACGCAATGGATGAGTGCAAGAAGGATATGAGGGGAGATTTGATCAACCTACTGGTTGAGAAGCTTTCATCGATGCCTAAACTCAAACTCTTTATCACAAGCCGGCCCGAGTCAGACATTATCGCGATACTCCAGGATAAAGCAATCGTACGCGGAATGCATTTCAAAATGCATGGTAAAGAGCAGCAATCCAACTTGGATGACATTCGGGCCTACGTGGACGTACATCTTGACAAACTGCTTACCGCGCCTCAGCGCCAGCAGATTGTGGAACGCTCGAACGGACTTTTTATTTGGATCACGACAGCACATCTAGAGCTACGAGGGGCTCATGGTCCGGACGCACTTGGTGCGGCTCTCAGGTCCCTCTTGACGCGAGGCAAGGGTGGGGATATTAACCAGGTTTATACAAGCATCCTTCGTCGGCTACGACGAGAGACGTCCAGTGGCACTATACACAAGATTATGGGCACTCTCCTAACCTTGTTCGAACCAGTGTCGACAGAGGCTCTTGGGGAGATGACTGGGATCGCAGACTCAGAGCTAGAGCCGATATTAGAGTCGATGCAGAGTGTATTTCGGGTGGATACTGTGGTAGAGTTTCTGCATCCAACGTTCCAAGAATACCTTCTTGGTCCACACAATGTGGATATGCCATTCAACTCGACAGCAATGCAATCAGGCTTGGCCGTATCTATCCTCAAAGTGCTTCAGGAGGATCTGAAGGAGGACATTTGCGGCATTTCCCTGCCAAACAAACCTTATCCAAAGAATGCGGACATTGTGGATCTGGATAAACGTCTAGAACAATTATGGGCTAGGTCTCCGGCACTACCTTACGCAGCAAAGTACTGGGGCTATCATGTGTCCATCGTTGTAACGGAGAAACATGTGGTCCAGCTGCTGCGAAGATTTTTAGAAAGTCAAATTTTGTGCCTCGTGGAGCTGTTAAGCTTGATGGGACACATACATCTTATTCGGAATTTCGAAGAGATTCGGCGAAGTTGTGAATACCAAAGGTTGGGTAATGACGAAGTCGAGGTGAGCGAGTGCCACATATGATATGTGTATTGACCGTGGTAACAATAGGTATGCCGTGATACCGTTAGACTTATACAGAGGCATCAAAAGACACTAGAGAAGAATGCCTTGGATATCTACCTGTCAGCGCTACTATTCCTCCCTCGAAAGTCACGACTGTGGACAATGTACAAGAGCAAGTTTTCAGATGGACTACCAAACATCATTGGAGGACCGTCAGAGGACTGGCCTTCACACCAAAGTTTGATAGGACATACCGGCTCTGTCCGGTGTCTGGCCTTCTCGCCGGACGGGCACCGTCTTGCGTCTGGAGGTGGATCTGGGGATGGCACTATACGACTATGGGATGGGACCACTGGTGCGAGCCTTGTGACGCTCGAGGGTCATGCCGGTTATGTCTCATGTCTGGCCTTCTCGCCAGACGGGCTCCGCCTTGCATCTGGAGGTGGATCTGGGGATGGCCCTGTACTACTATGGGATGGGAACACCGGTGCGAACCTTGCGACGCCCGAGGGACATACCGGTTATGTCTCATGTCTGGCCTTCTCGCCGGACGGGCTCCGTCTTGCATCTGGAGTTGGGGATGGCACTGTACGACTATGGGATGGGACCACTGGTGCAAAACTTGCAACACTCATGGAACATACTGGTTCTGTCTGGTGTCTGAGCTTCTCGCCAGACAGGCACCGTCTTGCGTCTGGAGCTGGGGATGGCACTGTTCGACTATGGGATGGGACCACCGGTGCAAGCCTTGCGACGCTCATGGGACATACCGGTGATGTCCGGTGTCTGGCCTTCTCGCCGGACGGGCTCCGCCTTGCGTCTGGAGGTGGAGTTGGGGATGGAACTGTATGCCTATGGGATGGGACCACTGGTGCGAGCCTTGCGATGCTCGAGGGACATGCCGGTTCTGTCTCATGTCTGGCCTTCTCGCCGGACAGTCTCCGTCTTGCTTCTGGAGATGGGAATGGCATTTTACAACTATGGGATGGGGCCACCGGTGCAAGCCTTGCGACGCTCATGGGACATACCGGTTCTGTCTTGTGTCTGGCCTTCTCGCCGGACGGGCTCCGTCTTGCATCTGGAGGTGGAACTTGGGATGGCACTGTACGACTATGGGATGGGACCACCGGTGCGATCCTTGCGACGCTCATGGGACACACCGGCAATGTCCAGTGTCTGGCCTTCTCGCCGGACGGGCTTCGTCTTGCATCTGGAGGGGGAGTTGGGGATCGTACTGTACGACTATGGGATGGGACCCCTGGTGCGAGCCTTGCAACGCTCATGGGACATACCGGTTCTGTCTCATGTCTGGCCTTCTCACCGGACGGGCTCCGTCTTGCATCTGGAGGTGGATATTTGGATCGCACTGTACGGATATGGGATGGGACCACCACTGCAAGCCTTGCGACGTGTAAGGGACATACCGGCTCTGTCCGGTGTCTGGCCTTCTCGCCGGACGGGCTCCGTCTTGCATCTGGAGGTGGATCTGGGGATAGCACTGTACGACTATGGGATGGGACCACCGGTGCTAGCCTTGTGACGCTCGAGGGTCATGCCGGTGATGTCTCATGTCTGGCCTTCTCGCCGGATGGGCTCCGTCTTGCATCTGGAGGTGGATCTGGGGATGGCACTGTACGACTATGGGATGGGACCACCGGTGCGATCCTTGTGACACTCATGGGACATACCGACTCTGTCTTGTGTCTGGCCTTCTCGCCGGACGGGCTCCGTCTTGCATCTGGAAGTGGATCTAGGGATGGCACTGTACGACTATGGGATGGGACCACCGGTGCGATCCTTGTGACACTCATGGGACATACCGACAATCTCCGGTGTCTGGCCTTCTCGCCGGATGGGCTCCGTCTTGCATCTGGAGGTGGATCTGGGGATGGCACTGTAGAACTCTGGGATCTTACAATTAATTCCAGGTTGGGACCTCCTTACATGCTCAATTTGCCTTGCTCCCATCTCTCCTTCTCCCAGGATGGACACTCCTTACATCTGGATAATGGAACGGCACTCAATGTCTCCCAAGATCGGCTTCAGCCACACTCATCTCCATGTCTGACTGTCAAGTCCAGCCTCAAGCATTCCACAGTAACTTTTGACTATGCCAGTCAGGAGCTGTGGTCTGTTTGTTGTCCATACCGTAGATATAGGATCCCTGATGAGTTTCGGGTGCATAGTTCCACTAAATACCAAGATAAAATTGCCCTGGCTGTGGGGCATGGAAAGGTCATGGTCATTGATTTCGCAAAATTTTCGGATCCATGTGCCCATTTTTAACCACACTGTACTATCCCCCCTTCTCTCCCCCAGAGTGAAAACAGATGCCTTAAATACATGTTAATTAGTAATCTCGGAATATTTTCGAATAATTTTAAGGATACTAGTTAAAGGGCTGACTAATCTCTGCGGTTTTGCTTACAAAATGGCAGCTTGCACACAATTACAATAATAACTCATCTGTACACCATTTGTCTAGACATAGGAATATGAAAACAAGGAGTTGGGCTTAACCACAATGTACTGGGACATGACACCTCGTTGACCACAGGAGAAAAGCCACAGCTGCTGTAACGCCCTCGAGCCTCGCGCCCTGTGGCACAGGCGCGGCTGGGACTTTCTGGAATAACCAGTTAGTCTCTTACACTCTCACTAGTCTCTTACACTCTCTAAGCGGCGCAGCAGCTCCGCTCTGTCTCATCTCCTTCTCGTATTTTCCATCCCCATCCCTCCGCGTTTCGTCTGGCGCTCTCGCGCATATATAAACCCCCATAATCTACCTATCCTGTACATAGCGAACTACGAGAGTCTGAATTCTAGCCGTTTCCTCATTCCCACAAGTTCGACGCCCGTCAGCGTCTCAGTTTCCCGCTCGCCCCCATTTCCTTCTTCCAGTCGCACGTAACACCTTTACGCCTCAAGCAACGATCACCCATTTCAGTATCCTGGGCGAAATAATATTTTGACAGGCGCTTGCCCTTGAAGATAACCATTGGAGTTATGGACGAGCCATCTGCACACACACATTCGATGACAGTGGCCATCTCACGGCTTGTATTACCAATGACCCGTGTGGTCTTCTGGCTTCGACCAACAAGTGCCTTGGACTGTCCATAATCGCCAAATTGTATGCCCTTCTCATCAGCATTGTATATATTTGATGCTGAAATCTTGCTACCTTGCACTTCGGCAATCAATTTCAGAAAGAAATCACAGACAATGTTTGGATTGAGGGCCTTTGCACGTGAATGATCGATGGCTTTTGTCCATGTGGACTTGAGCCTCTGAGAATGTCGATCCTTGAACCTTTCCACCCAGTGTTTCCACACATCCTGCCCGCAGATGGCCATCGCTATTGCTCGGACTGAATGGGCATTGAGAGGCATCCCTTTGCCACCCCAGAAGATAATCCACTCTACTAGCGCGTTTTCTTCATCTCTATTGAGTAGTTGCCTCTCTTCATTGGCTTCCTGGCGTGTTTTTCGTCCATTCCATCGATGCTGCAGGGTGGTGCGGGATACCCCATAGCGCAGAGCCACATTATGAATGGTGAACAATGTCCCATTGGCCCTACATTGCTTCATAAATGCCATTGCAGCCTCGAGACGTCGAGCCTTGAGGCGAGACTCCTCGTGGCGGGAGAGAGTGGGGCAAGTTTGAGATTTGGGAGCCATAGCTAAACCAGTATGCGGGATAGTTCCAGCTTGAACCTATCGCCTTTTATCTACTTTCTCATCATAGCATCTATCTTTGTTGACATGGACTGCTGGTATGTCATGCTACTACCACGCGGGACCACAACAAGAGAGTAGTGCCTCTTTGACGATCATTAGCAACTGACACACAAAGTAAGCATGTAAAGTGCCCTTTAGACTATTGAAGCAATTCAGAAATGCTTATTTTGTGCCACAATATCGTGACATGGCATGGTAAGGCTCAGTCAGCACCGCCTTGCATTGTTTGCCCAGTACAGCTTGTCAACAGCCTATGAAATACATAGAATGCCGTCAAACATGTTAAAGATAACTAGTATTCTGCTTTTATGTCCTGCTCATAGGTTTAGATACCCTGTACTGCTGTACAGATTCAATGTTTACGATGACCGTTGTAAAGTGAGCTAATATTTAGACGCCTACGGATTGAGGGCGTCTTAAACTGGTGCATAGATATAGAAAATAACATATAGTATCTATATTTCACGTGGTATAACTACAAACTAAGAAGTGCGGCTGGAATCGGCCTTCGGCTCGGTAGCCGGGATTGCTCGCTGTCTGGGGTCCGACAGTAATGGCAAAATTTGAACACAGCAAGCGCCAGAGATGCGATGTTCCATATCCACATCATCACTAATCCAATCCTATTGTTAAGTCCAGCTTCCTTCGTTAATGATGCGATTGTGTCATGATGCGGGTTGACAGGTGACTATAATAACCGGTAGCGATGTGCGCAGGCATCGTTCAGGCGTTCGCGGACTTCGTCTGAGGGGTGGACTGTCGGAACTCTTAACGAGGGATAACAGTCAAGGGGTCGTTTCTCAAGTGGAGGAACGTGCATCTATTAATCTAACTGGTCGTTACTCAAGCAGAGTAACAGTCTAGTATCTAAGTCTGAGTAGCTTCTCGTGCATCGAGAAGAGTGCAAGTGGTCTGAGTGCGTAGCAGGTAGTAATTGTGATAGTAAAAGCGAGTGTCCATTAACTAGCAAAGTTACACAAAGCTAATATATGGTCCAGATGAGTCATAGGTTAGGCATAGGTGCATAAGATGAGTCAAGGACTAGTCAGCGGGACAATCAATCAAACTTTAATAGCCTAATATTATATATTACATCAATTAGGCTGTAGATGAGAAAGGCGCCGACTCTAGTCATTCTGGCTACGAGTCATACCATAACATACCCCCCCTTGGCTAGAGACGGCATCTTGAACAGGATTGCGATTGTGGAGATGAACCTTTGACATGGCCTCCATAATGGCTATGACTCTGTCATCTGAGTCAAGTTGGTACTCCATATTATATGTTGTAATTAAGGGGAGTAAGTCTGGCCATTCAAGCACACGTGGATCATGTTGGAAACTGTCACATGCAATGACGATCAATTGGTCGGTCTGTGAGATGGGGACGTGGATTGAAGGGATGGATGAGTTGTCGTCATTCTGTTGATTATGGCCAAGTACTGATTCTTGTATGTTGGTGGTAATAGTAGAACAGTAATTGATCCATTGATAATCAAAGTCCCGAAGGGGGTAACTGAGTTGATGGTCGATACCAGCAAAGAATTCCTGCTCCAGTTCATGTACATACACGACATAAGGGTGATATCTTTGGGCAGTATTTACTGGTAATAAGACATATTGAAAGCGAAAGGTTCGACGGCGGGAATGAACAGAAAAACTGCAGTGGTGAAGACGGCCCATGTATAGAGTCGTCCAAGGGTGTCCATGTAATGATTGATGACTCCCTTGAATGCTCCTTCCGTTTGAGCAAGTCTAATGGCGGCGTTGGCTTCGATCCGCATGGGGAATGCTGGTGAGGGGAACAGGAAGAGGTGCCAAATGTCTTTTGGCAGTGGAAAGATATAGTCGGAGGGAATTAATGAATGTTTGTAAAGCTTGTGTGTGAGGGGATCAAATGCCATTGCAAAGCTCCTGTTATCAGATACAAACTGCAGAGCCTTAGGCGAACTTAGTCTCTGAATAAATGTATCTTTAGATAAGCTGGGATATACTCTTTTGGCTTGAGGGTCAAGCTCATGAGGTGAACCATAAGGTCTTGAGAAGGACCTGAGGCGTGTTAGAATGTCAGACTCTTCAGCTTCTTCAATCTTGATGGCTGTAGAGTCATATTCCTCTTCATATTCGTCCTCATCTTCATACAAGGTATTGTCAAACTTGATCCTGAAAGGAGAGGCGTGAGGAGGCTCATTAGAATCCTGAATAAATTCATCTAGGTCAGATGCATATTGATCCCAACGCCTAGTGCGTTCAGGATCACTAAGAGGCTCATAAGAGCGACCAGAATGCATTGAGGAACTTCCTAGATTAATTCTGTTGTGATTCTCTGAGCGATTCTCCTTTCCCCAAGTGGGCCTCCGTGCTCGGATAGAGCTCATATTTCGATATATTGATCCAAGTATTTAATAAGGAATTTACACAAGTATATTACTTGGGAAAATTCGTGTGCACACAGTGCTATCAGTAAGAAGACTATCTTAAGTACTCACTATGAAGATTCTGATCGCTAGGTAAGTTCAAACTATCTAGTTGGCGTACTAGTAGTCTCAGTCTGGCTGCTGAGTGTGAACTTAGGTAGAGATACTAATGATCTGACACAGGGAATAATTCTAAAATAAATCTTGTTCGTACTAGACATGTTTCTACAGGCCTTATATACCCATTCAAAGTGGCAGTGAGACTGTGCCCACAGTTACACAGTGTACTGTGCACACAGTTCGCAGTACCTTGTCTAGACTGTGCCCACAGCTGGAGCATTGTGAGCCCAGTTACATTACTAAGCTTGACATGAGATGAGATCGAAGGATGACAAGTGTATTTGGGCATGGGTATGACTAGGGCTGCCGCAGCACAATTCTTACCTAGTCATTTTGAGGAGGCTGTCAAATTCTATGAAAATTGGGATAAGGGGACGGTGGAACTGGAGGCGAGTCTAAATAATATTCATGAATCATACTTGTGTATCAGCTCCATCTGGCTTGCTCGACTTCTCTTGCAAGCACTTATGAGAGGAACTCGGCAAATCCAACCACTGTACAAGGAAGAGAAACATTGTGGTGGAGTCGGTAGTTCCATCCTCCTGGCGGTGGTACTAGACGTACTTCTGGTGGTACAGAGTGTGTATCGACCTCAAGATTATAGTCGACAGGGTGAGCATGATTGAGAACTAGTGAAGATTGATAGAAGTGACCAGATGAGCGGAGCGAGGATTGCATATTGGGGAAAATATCCATGGTTGATTATTGGTGGTGTATCGTAGTGAGTTTATGGGGTATAAATATGGTCAACCGAAAGATTGTCAGTTGGTGATGGTCCAGTCAGGTGACATGGGCTCTTCTGACTGGGTTACAATGCAGAGGAGGTTGTGTTTGTGATCGGCATGTCCGTGGCTGATGGATGGGTGCGGGCAAGGGAGTTTCCGGTTATCATATGACCACTCCATCTACAACTCTGTTATAGATTAAATCAGGATTAGTACGTAGTCTAGCCCACCATTCTTCCAATACTTCGGGAGCGTTGCGGATGCCTCATGCTGTGACTGGATCGCCAGTAATGCTGTGATCCTTCCATCGACAATAGTAGAGGTCTTTGCGTCTTCCCCGGGCTGCAGGTGCTGTCCTTTGAGTGACAATCTCCAGTAGTTCTTCTTCCTGAAGTTCCTTGAATCCGGCTCGTGCTGGATGAGGCAAGTCTTCTATTTCCATTGCTTCGACTGCAGGGCGATATGGTTCAAGGTGCGCAATGCTTATTACATTGTGGATGCCATATGAATGTGGTAGTTTGATGCAATAAGCCACCGCACTAACCTTTTCTTGAATCTCAAAAGGTCCATCATAGCAAGCAGTGAATTTGGTTCCCAGACCCTTTACGAATTCAGAAAGTCTGAGTGTATGAGGATTAATGAGGACAAGGTTGCCGACGTTGAAGGATACATTCAGATGCGACTTGTTATAGCTAAGCTCATATACAAGTTGAGCAAGTTGAAGACTGTCTCATGCAGCAGCCCGGGCACCTTCAAAGGTCTCAACGAATTCTTTGGCATTGCCATTGTTGAGCTCTGAGACCATTGGGTGTGGCACATCTTCTCCATTCTCCCCAACCAGGTAGGATACAGGCCGTCGTGGGTGATATCCGAAGACGAGCCAAGCGGGCGAATACTTAGTAGCTGTGTGAGGCGTTGTATTGTAAGAAAAAGCCAATTGAGGGAGCAGTTGTGACCAATTATCTTGTGACTCGTTAACGTATCCACGTATACTAATTTCCAGGAACTGATTCAATATCTCCATCTGACCATCTGCCTGAGGGTGATATGCTGCTGTGAGAGAGTGCTTCGTTCCCATTTGCTGACAGACTTCTTTCCAGAATGTGTGTTGCCATCGAGCATCATGGTCGGAGATGATTTGTAGAGGGAGGCCTACAAACAATACAATATGATTGAAAAACAGATGCGCAGTAGCTACTTTGTCTATTGTCTTCTTGCAGGGTATAAAAAATCCATATTTGGTTAGTTTACAAACTGCAACAAAGACAGAGTCATAGCCTCTGCTTGGTGGCAAATCCATGATGAAGTCCATTGTGATGGTGTCGAAGGGTCGGAAGGGAGCATTGATTGGGTTCAATAGCCCATATGGTGCGTGCCTATAGGGCTTAATCTTCTGACAGGTGTCACAGGTGGCCGCCGGCCTTTTAGTGTCGGTACTCATGCCTGGCCAGTAAAACTGTTGTGAATGTCGAGCGTACATGCATTCAAAGCCCAGATGAGCTCCTTCCGTGACCGTGAAGTGAGCTTCGCTGAGAATGTCCTGTCAAAGAGAGGAGGGGACGCAAATACAGCAATGTAATGAACCGTCATTGAATAGGATGAAACCAGTCGGTTCTAGCGTGTATTGAGTGTATGACGGCTTGAACTGTCTCACAGTTGACTCTGCCCCATTCTGGAGCACTGAGTGGACCTGGGAGAAGTGCGGGTCTGTATTGTATGCATCAATGAAACGTTGTTTCTCATCCTCCTTGATGCCGATCAGAAGCGTGCTTGGACCTATGATCGCGTGATATGCAACAGCGGCGCAATTTCCATTCTGAGCCACTACTTCTAAGTCACCAACTTGGTCGTTGCTGCAGATAAGGTCCGATGCCAATTTCATTGTGGTTGCATTTATTCCTGACACGTGTGCTTCAAAATCATCATTTAGACTTAGTGAGGGGTCAGAGTCATCTCTTGGCACCTCGTAGAACAGTATGCGCCGATGGAGGCGGGATAGGGGATCAACATTTGAATGCACGCGGCCAGCTTGATGTACAATATGCAGGTTTGGATACGCGGAGAACGTCAGTCCCCAGGTCATGAGTCAACGGTTGAGGTTTTGGTACGTTTTGCTCCATGTCAGCACGCTATGATTGGTGATTGCCACAATTAACTCTCCTTCAAGTAAGGCTTGAAACTTGACAAGGCCGTCTTGTAATCCCAGGGCTTCCTTCTCAGTTGGTGAGTAATTCTTCTCAGCTGACTTGAGCAGTCTCGACCAGTATGCAATTACCCTTTCAATGTAGAAAACAGTCTCTTCAAACACGTGAGCCCATTCTGTTGTCACTGGTAGCGTTTCAATGCCAGCTGGAACAGTTGCAACTAAGGGTGGCAGGGGCTGGCCATGGTCAAAGTATAATTTGAGACGTTCATAGAGTCTTGTACCTTTCAAGTCTTTTACTCTGACGCCTTGGACCTGCTGCAGAACTGCGCCAATGCCGAAATCACAAGCGTCTGTATAAAGCCGATAACCTTTACCAGGTTGTGCATAGGCCATGATGGGTGCACTCCTCAAGGCAGTCTTACAGAGCTCAAATGCTTGTTATTCAACCTCTCTCCAGTGCCAAGGGATTGTCTTCTTGAACAGCCTGAAGAGCGGTTTGGATATCCATGTATAGTAAGGAATATAATTGGCGAAGTAGTTGACCATACCCATGAATATCTGTAGCTCGTGGACCTTGGTCGGTGGTTTGAGAGTGCATATTGCATCAACTTTCTCTCAGTGCGTAGATATCCCAAGTCTTGATACTTTCTGGCCTAAAAGCAACAGAGATTGGTAACCTAGGCGGCATTTCAGAAGGGACAGTGTGAGTCCGGCTGCTTCAATTGCCTTAAGAACAAGGTTGACATGATGAACGTGGTCCTCAAACGTCTTCGAATAACAAACAATGTCATCTATATATACTAGGACAAATATCCACAGGTATTCAGATAGCATGTTGTTCATTACTCTTTGAAAGTATGAGGGACCGTTTTGAAGGCCAAAGGGCATGTGCACAAACTTGTGTAGGCCTCGGTGAGTCCTGAAAGCCGTTTGTTCACGATGTTCTGGTATGATCTCGAGCTGAGTGAATCCAGATAGCGCATCGAAGCTTGATAGCCACTGGGCGCCCGACAGAGCCTGGAGGATGTCTGACTGCTTGGGCAGTGGGTATTCATCAGCTTTGGTCATGTCATTTAGCTGCCTGTAGTCGACACATAGGCGCAATTTCCCTTTCTGGAAGACGATGATTACCGGGGCACCCCAGGGACTCTTTGATGCTTGAATAACGCCGGCTGCAAACCACGCGTCAAGTTTCTTGTCGATTATTTCACACTTGAGTGGTGATCCTGAGTAAGGTGGCTGGGAGACTGGTTTGGTATCTGGCTTGAGGTTGATCTCTACTTTCACAGGGTAATGACCAAGGCGATCGTCGAGACCAAATGCGTGGTGATGCTCAAGGACTAACTTCTTCAAAGCCAGGCGTTGAGAGCTAGAGAGCGAAGGATTGAAGTCGACGGCAGCCAGGAGCTCTTGTTGTGGAATCACATCTGGATCAGGTGTCTCTGATGTCTTAGGACCTCCTTCAATGTCAGGTACTTTGTTGGCATGCTTGAGTTCGATTGGCTTGAACAGAGGCTCTGGTTGCTGGAAGTGACAGATGGCAGTCATTGTCCAGTTTGACATTGACTTGACTCTTTCACAAATCTTCGATAGAACATGGTTTCTCTTGTCCAACCAACGCCTCGGGTCCTTCAGCTTGCCAAGAGGCTCGCCTTGTTGCAGGTGGACTACACGGTCGGAGTGGTTCTGCACTGGCACTACCTCAATGTCTCTTGTAAGTAAGATATCACTCAATCCAAGTGGCAGTGTCGTTCGACTCTGAGTGTAGATATAGCCTTTGTTCATCCCTTCTCGCCATGGAATACAAATGCGGATGCGCTTGATGCAATTCGGTGGTACAGAAACCTTTTCTGCGACAAGAATAAGTCCATTCTTTACAAACTTGTTCATCTGAATCTTTGAACGTTGAGCTTTACAGCGAGTCCGTATTGCCTTACGGTCGTGACTCTCGACTGCTCTGGCAGCAAGTGCTTTAACTTCGTTGCGCATCTCATCTGAAATAACAAAATCATCACACTTAACAGAGTACTCGTCAACAATCGTCAAGGTTGTTCCATCGTCGCATCTGAGTATTGATATACGATACTGATCAGCGAAGTTGTTCGCAAGAATGAAGGGTGTTCATCTCAGTAACTATGTACTCTTCGACTAAGAGACTAACGACGGTCTTGTCTGTTTGGATGAACAGGTGAGTCTGAATGTACATGTCAATTTCGGCATCATCTCGTACTTGTCTTATTTTCACTTCTAGCCCTTTATGCATGCATGGCTTTGGGTTCATTGAGTGATAGTACTGAGAGGAAATCAGAGTGATCTTGGCACCAGAGTCGGCAATAACTTGCACCGCCTCTGCTTCCAGTTGACCTATCCGGGCAGTGATTGTCGTTGGCTTAGCACTTAGGAAGGACGTGCCGGGAGGACAAGCCATGAACTCAGGAATTTTAATTATGGGTGGATTATTGGCAATAGCTGCAAAAGCTTGAGAACTGGCTTCGCTAGGTGGATTAGGAGAGGAATCATAGTCCGGAGATGATATAGAGGCAATAAATAGACTAGAAGCGTCCTTTGGTGGGTCCGTATCCTCGAATTTCTCAACACTCTCTATATCACTATTTTCGTTCACAGGTTCTAGAGTTACCGTTGGCTCAGAGAGTCAAACGGGCTCGGTTATAACCTCATCTTGTGACGAAGAGACTAAAAACCCGAAGCTTCAGCATTGCCTTCTGCTTCACTGTCGCTTTCGGATTCAGCATATGTGGCCTCGTACTCGATTTGGGCAGCCACATAGTCGGGATCGGTGGATGCTAGCATGGCTCCGGCGCGACGAGGTGTGTTCTTGGACCATTTACAGTCGTTATCCGAGTGCTTACCCGATCCACAATGATAACAAGGTCGTGCACCCACTGACTCAGGTGTTTTCTTGACATGGTCGAGTCGTCCGGAGGGTGAGTTGGCTTAGGTAGCTTAGGATGTGAGCCTACAGTCATAGCATGGCTCTCACCCCGCTGGGCTGACTCGTGATCACGTTGCGAGCCAAAGGTGCGGGTGTTCTCTAACACACAAAGTCGTTTCTCAAGGTCATCTACTTTAGGGTCTATAGATGACGATGAGCGAAGTGTATCTTCATGGTATTGAATAAGAGCCTGCAGCTCTTCTGGGTCTCGAATTCTTAAGGTGTCGATAATCTGAGCCCAATACTTTGGAGCGCCGTTCATAATTTCCATAATCAGCTGCGCATCCGGCATCTCGTGTGTCAGAAGGAGAGCTTCAAGTTTGCGGCAAACATAGTTGGTTGGCGTCTCACACTCGTGAGCTTGGTCACAGTACTTCCATTGCGGTGACTTTCGTGCGGGTTCGGGTTTCAGGAGTTCAGGTTT